TGATTAACGTGGATCACTTGGTTCTGCTTGTTTTATTGGTCTTTGTGATCAATCACGGCCGTTTTGCCCTCTCTGAAGTAACCCTGAAGGGTATTTTAAATTCCACGATATATATCCCCACTTCTTACCAGGATAGTAGACCAGCAAGACTCTACCACACACCCCCATACATCTACCACCCATCCCATAATGGTACCTAGACTCAGCCGAGTCTACTACTAAGTACTACTAGTCACAACCAAGATAAAATAGAAATCTAAATGACAAACGAAATAGCTATATTTTGATATATTGTAACAAATACCATCGACCAAATAACTTGAGGTCTGCAACACTCCCATGATTTCAGCGCGGGTTGGTCGACGATCTCGCGGAGTAGTTAGGGCTCGAGTACAAGCGCGAGACCACTGGCAAGCGCTTTCACTACAACCCAAGTCAACGACATCATCAAGTACCCGGCGTGGACCGTGGACCGAGCCGATGGCAAAAAAATCGGGCGGGGAAAAAAGGCCTCGTGATAGACAGGGTTGAGTTACTTTACTACCTTACTGGATCTGCAGGTCCTGATGGAAGCACGCAAGGAGATCCCCTCTCCCGAAGATCGCATGCTGCAACTGCGCATCCCGAAGTAGTTTATATGACTACTAATATATCGTCCATCGTGGTTGGAGGTGAAAATAGAACTCAGGGGGGTCTATGTATATCAATATGACATTCCCCTTAGGCTAGAGCTAGTTACGGAGTACTCTAGTACGCAACGGCCCTGGGAGATCCGCTCGGAATATTCAGAAGATCTGGATTCCTCCCCCAGCCACATCCGAGAACAGAAGATGGAAAAAAGAACCAATCGTACTGTGTGGGCGATCACTTAAGACTTGTGGAATGTGTCCATGCCTTGTTAGTCTCCTAGAGAGAAAAACCCCCAAAAAGAGATGGCGCATGGTAACCTTGTAGACGAAGAGATGAAATGCGCGATTTCTGATAAAGAGGAATCGTAGACGCGTGGACGAGTCATTAGCTCTAGGAAAATTGATTAAATGCTTCCCAGTCTAGATTCGAGGTAGATGCGCACAAGGAACGTGTGTCTCTCTCTCCTCTCGTTCTGCCCAATCCGGGGAATGCTCGCGGCCAACCATTCCTGACGATTCGTTGGACGCGAAACACAGAAGATCAAGTCCAGCAAAACAGAACATAGTAAAAAGGAGAAGAAAGAGAGAGAGGATAAAAATAAAATGAAAATAGAGTCAAATTTGAAAAGCATACAAAGTACGAAATTATGAGAATATAGTAGAGTGAGTAGAAACAAAAGGAGGAAGACCCATGCGAATTTCCGGCAGAGAAGACTGGGTTGATCTGTGGTCAACAGCGGCCGCCTATAAATCACGGATGCCCCGCGGCCCTTCCCCCTTCCGCTGTTGCTTCTTTTTTTCTCTACTTTCTCCCTTCCCCCACACCTCTTTTCGATCTGAGCTTTGTACTATCCTAGTACTTGTTGATAACATCTTCTCTTCTTTTCCATCAAATCAACTTATCTCACCATGCCTCCCAAGAAAGCAACCGGCGCGACCAAGAAGGCCACTCCCGCCGCTCACGCCTCCTACCGTGGTATGTTTTTACTGATCCTGAACGACCACCCCATCGCGTAAACGCGATAAGGGCATCGTTCGCGTCGCGAACGTCTGCTGATTCCATCAATATAGATATGATCAAGGATGCTATCGTCAACGTGAGTAGATCACCGCTGGCGCCCGACGTGTTGTGATTCGGGTCGCGCGCCCGACCGTGACACGCCCGGCCGTTTGCTCTGAACAGCCACCACCACTATGTGGATGAGGGTTGTTTATTATTTTATTTTACTGACTGGTTCTTCCGCATCTAGCTGAAAGAGCGCAATGGTAGCAGGTATGTTGGGCGCATTTTCACCTCGTCGTCGCGTTCGCGTTCGTGGGATTCTTTCCCCCTCCCATGAACCGCCCGCGTCGGCCTTTCCTCCCATTTCACGTACACTAACTTGTTTTCTTCCCATTTTAGTCGCCAGGCTATCAAGAAGTACGTCTCTTCGAACAACAAGATCAACGTCGCTTCCCAAGCCACTTTCGATGCTCAGTTCAACAAGGCCATCAAGGCCGGTGTTGAGAAGGGCGACTTCACTCAGCCCAAGGGTATGTTTCACTATTCTTTCTCTCTTTTCTTCTCTTTTTTTTCTTTCCTTTTTTTTCCTTTTTGCGCCTTCTTTTCCAGTCGCTTAGTACAGCATTCGGAACCGCGTGTACATTACTATGTGCATGCAAATGCGTTGAGGATCTGTGGTTGGAGCGATATCGTTGTCGCCTATCTTTCGAAATCAAGTGACTAACATGTCGCGTCACAGGTCCCTCTGGCCCTCTGAAGCTTGCGAAGAAGGAGCCTGCTGCGAAGCCCGCTGCTAAGGCTGCTGCTAAGCCCGGCCCTAAGCCCAAGACGGCTGCCGTCAAGGTAAGCTTTGTTCAAAGCGATGCTCGTCGGCGCCTCACTAACATTCTCCAACAGAAGACTACCACCAAGGCTACCACCACCAAGAAGGTCGTTGCCCCCAAGAAGACTGCCGCTAAGCCCGGGCCCAAGCCCGCTGCTGTCAAGAAGACCACCACTGCCAAGAAGACCGCCGGCCGCCCCAAGGCCAACTCTGGCAAGGCTCGCAAGACTCCCACTGCCGTAAGTTGATCATCGATCGTGCCACCCTGAACCACCGAACTAACATCTACAGGCCCCTGCCATCGTTGAACAGCCCAAGGTCATTGGCAAGACCAAGTCTGGACGCGTCACCAAGACAACTGCTCCTCCAGCCAAAGCTGTGAAGAAGCGGGCTACTCCCAAGAAATAGGAGGCTACATAAACCTCCCTTTTCTTTTGTAGCATGATGTCGTTCCTCCCGGATCTCCCCCTTTCCTCCCATTTTAACGTGCGCTATCTCTCTCTCCCCCTCTCTCCCCCTCTTCCGGGAGGTTCGGTCATCTTAAATGCGTCTTTCTTCCGCTGTAATTTCTTTTCTTCCTCACCTGGCTGATCTGCTGGGCTCTGATGGTTCTCCTTTTGTTGAATGTTTCTTTTTCTGGGATATCTTCGTCATGATGGCTCTTGTTTTTGCGTGTTTTTTATCTCTCCTTTTCCCTTTTCTCCAAACGTGGGAGGGAAGAATGGCGTCCTGCGGTGGGTTTTCAACGGGGAAATTGTCTGGCTTATTCCTTGTTTCTCTTTTCCAATATTTTTTTTCTCTTGTCTCTCGATTTGGGGGTCTTTTGAGAGGAGATCAGTCGAATGAATTCTCTTCAAACCGATTCGGTTTAACTTTTGCTGTGCTTGTAAATTTTTCGCTATCCCAGACCCTACTCAGACCTAAGCATCAGCAATCCATGGATGGGATGGATATCTGTTGACGCTGAGGATAAGTGGGGTTGCATAACGCGTCATGATGTAAAGGGAAGTTGTGCGGCTGATCATGCCCTACCTCTCTTCCCGTGATCCCCGTTGTCAGTGGGCAACCGAAACGAGTTAGAGAGGGGGGGTGTCGAGTCGTAAATAGAAAGATCCATATCGTCAATTATCTGAAAAGTTACGAATTTAGGTTCCGGGCTCCCAAGGTACGATTCGGGTTGCTGACTCGGAATACTGTACAGTATGTAGATTAGGCTCTCTTCTGGTTGGCTCTTAATCGTATAATTTGCCACCGGCTTAGCCAAAACGGGCCTGCGAATGGTCCGTGGCTAGGCCCAGATACTACATAATTCGAACATATGGAAGAGATATTGTTGGATTTATTCTATTCCGTGAAGAATTGTTTATTTTACGGTACTTGCTTCGCATATGATACCGCCCTTAGCCACGCGATCGTGAGCCGGCCACCAGATCGTGTATGATCTCATCGGTGGAGCGGGTTATTTTGGGAACGGAGACGGCCTCAGGGGATGAAATGAGGCGTCGAAGTGGTTAATTTGTACGGAGTGCCTATACATATAGGGGACTCTAGGGCCGGTCATTACGGAGTGGATGATTAGTTAATAGAAGATAAGGGTGAGTGAGATTCTTAATAAATCACCGACTCGGATCGTTTGGGTCAGGGACATCCGGATGGCCAATACATTACCCCGGTACCTCCGTACTCCGTATTGTATGGGGTATTTCGTACTGATAGGGTATTTATGCAGTCTGCTGTATCTTCTGTGGCCCTTGGTTACATGGTATGTGCATGTGTGGTGGTCGAATCTTGGAAAGAGGGTATCCTCTCGAGTGGCTGTGCGACGTCACGTTGTTCTCCTTGCATAATTGTGCTGGTCCTCGGCCTTGGGCATACTGTACATACCACCCCGCAGATGGGAAAATTTCGATTCTTGGGGGTCTTTGGGCTTTTTTTTCCGAGTTGACTAGATATGTAGGTAGTAGAAAGGAAGAAAGAAAAAAAGGTCAAAAGTATTCTGTAAGAGTAGGGATGTGGCTACGAGCTGAGGAGTGGAGTAAACGGAGTAGCCTACGGGTTGTTGTGGCAGTCAGAGTACTCTCCCGTACTAGTAATGCCAATTACGACACGCAAGTTCTTTTCCCCCGACATCCTCTCCTTCGACCCTCAACCTTCTCCCCACTCCCTCCCCCCCAATCTACACCCCTTTTACGACCTCTCTTTGATTCATAATTCAATAAATACTTGCAAACAATTTCGACTCCTTCGCACTCTCCTCCCCCCCCATCGGCAACTCTTATCAGCGTGAAGTCCGAACATGCTCTCTCGTTGAACCGTTATCATCCTCGCCCTGGCTGGCCGCATCCACCCTGGCTTGAGACCTCTCGCTATTTCCGACCGCTAGTTGCCAAAATCTGTCTACTCCCCTCGTTTTTCTCCGCTGGAACACGGTCCGGTTCGCAACTCTCCTGAACCCCCCGCCAACAAAGGCCATTGCCGTCACTTCGGGTTGCCGGCCCACGCAGAGTTCACGTCACCCCGTTTCCCTGGGAATCGAAAAGCAACCATGCCATCCTTCTCCTCTGACGCTTACCCATCGGCTACTGCGACGACAACAACCACCACTACCACGGCGACTCACACCCGAGCCTTCGACTCGCCTCACCGAAAGTCACACGACAAAAGCTCTGTCGGAAACACCTTCCTGTGGACCAACTGGCCCAACGGCGACGCCAATCACGACTCCCAGCAGAATGACCGCCAATTGCTCAGCGATCTGAAGAACGGTAGCGCATACTCCCTGAATGGCCCCCGATCGAGCGTCAGTTCCTACACGCGCGAACCGCCACTCTCCAAAGACGGCAGCATGCACTCCATCGGAAATGGCTCCGCCAGAGACCCTCGGGACCCCCGAGATATCGGCGGCCGGCCGTCAGCTATGTTGGACCGGAAACCCTCGGACGGTGCTCCTGGCGCCGGCTCAATACCGGCATCCATTTCAAACCAACAGATGAATGGCTTGACCGCTTTTAACATCCGCCCCGTCCAGGGGAAGCCGATGGTCAATGGCGACTATCCTCGTGCCTCCGCAGAGGAACGCTCGATCTCAGAGCGAGCGGCTAGTCCATCCAACTCTTCTCTACAGGTTCCCCATTCTGAAGATGCGGGTCGCATCTCTCCAGACCCCGATCGATTAGCCCCGAAGCCTGGCCAACACCGATACTCATCCCCTCCCGCCCCCTCCGTACACGATGCCAGCTCCATTCAGGAGTCTCAACCTCCCAGCGTTCGACAACGACACTCCTTGCAGGTTCCACGAGTCCCCAGTGTCCGGCGAAATAGCCGCGATATTGGTGGTGAAGATACTGCATATAGCAGTGGTCGATTGTCGCCCACCAGCGCTAACCCACGCCGTACCTCCTTCAGCCTCATGCGACGCGGAACAAAGACAACCCAGTCTGATATCAACCTTGACGAGGCCCAAACGGACGAGGAAGCTGCGCGCTGGGCAGAGGCCATCAAGCAGAAACGAGCGAGACGGCGACGCGATGATGAGGATGATGAACGTGTCATCGTAGGGACCAAGGTTGATCAGAATCATGTGAATTATGTCACGGCATACAACATGCTGACCGGAATCCGCTTCACGGTCTCGCGCATCAATGCGAAGATGGACCGGGAATTGACACCGGCGGACTTCGATGCCAAACATAAATTCTCTTTCGATATGTTCGTAACCCCCTTACACCGGAACATTTTGATAATTTCTAACCTTCCTCTGAACAGCACCGGAAACGAATTGATCCCCTCGGCAAAGTATGACTTCAAGTTCAAAGATTACGCCCCTTGGGTGTTCCGCCATCTCCGCTCAAAATTCCGCCTTGATCCCGCCGATTACCTGATGTCCCTTACCAGCAAGTATATTTTGTCGGAATTGGGCTCTCCAGGCAAGAGTGGTAGCTTCTTCTACTTCTCGCGCGACTACAAATACATCATCAAAACCATCCATCACGCCGAACACAAGCTGCTTCGCAAGATTCTGCCCGAGTACTACCGACACGTGGAGAAGAACCCCAACACCCTCATTTCGCAGTTCTATGGATTGCACCGCGTGAAGATGGCCTATGGTCGCAAGATCCACTTCGTTGTGATGAACAATCTATTCCCCCCTCACCGAGATATCCACCAGACGTTCGATCTGAAGGGCTCAACAATCGGCCGAGACTTGCAAGAGTCGGATCTTGAAAGGAACCCGCGAGCAACCATGAAGGATCTGAACTGGGTTCGACGCAACCGAATCTTGCAATGCGGGCCTGAAAAGCGAGGCTTCTTTGTGGAGCAACTCAAACGAGATGTCGAGCTTCTCAAAAGGCTCAAGATAATGGATTACTCTCTGCTGGTCGGAATACATGACGCCGAACGCGGCAACGAGGAAAAGTTAAGAGACAAGACTCTGCAGGTGTTCCAGCCCGGGGGCGAGGAAGCCGATACGAACCAAAACGTGCTGATGCGGACCCCGTCCAAACTTGAAAACGAACGCAAGGCTCGAGAACTTCGCATGTTGATCAAGCGCGAGCGACCCGTGCCTCTGGACAAGGCAGCTGCCAAAATGCCAGAGGAGATTTTGGACGAGCGGAAGTTCCATATTTTCTACGCGGATGATGGAGGATTCCGCGCAACCCACGAGGACGGTTCCCCCGGGGAAGAAATCTACTACCTTGGAATCATCGATTGTTTGACACATTACGGAACGGTCAAGAAAATCGAGAATTTTTTCAAGGGCCTTTCAAACGACCGCACACAAATCTCGCCCATTCCCCCAGAGGGTTATGGTGATCGTTTCATCAGCTTTGTCAAGGGAATTACCATGTCCAAAGAAGAAGCGCAACGCCGACGGGAGTCCCGTGCATCTCAGGGTACGCGACAGTCGGGCGAAAGGAGGACTTCTCGAGCTTCGTCTGTCGAACGACAGATGCATGCGGCTGAGAAGGAGGCGGCCAAGGATGTCTCAATCACGCATCCTCGAACGCTAGCCACCGTCTGGGATCCTGCAGATGCAGCCAGTCCAGGCCCAACCTCGACTCTTCCGATTGTGGACGAAGCGGGCGAGGCCAGCAGCGTTGGTGGTCATAGCCAGCATAGCCGGAATGGAGCACCGGTCGCCGACAAGGACCTTCCTCCAGTTCCTCGTGATGATCGTCCAGTGCCACCTGGAAAAGGCAAGGGAGTTGACCGAGAAGACCAATTTCTCTCTAGCAGCCCACGCAGGTAAAACAAAACTTGTCTGCCTTTCCCGAGCTGCATGAGCTCATCTCTTATCTTGTTTTTTATTTTCCTTTTTCTTTGTATTCAGCGAGATATCCCCACCCAACCTCCTTCCCCTCACGCTTTGCTTGATAGACCGCATGTATCCTCCGTTTTTATCACCCTGCATTAGTCGTCCAGACACTGCGTTGCTTTCCTCCTGCAAATATCGTCGCAAGATGTTCACGAGTGACGTGTGTATTTTTCTTCATTTGAGCGCCCCGTCTTCATCAGCATCTCCGCCATCCACCGATTACAGACGGCATTGGATCGAAAACGTTCCTGCTGTCTCGGGCAGGATGAGATGCCATGTTACAACGCCTGGGAAACAAATCCCACAACCACCCGACTTTCTCTCATTGGTACACTATCCTCTCTTAAGAGGACTGACTACTCACCCAAGCCATCATACGAACCTGGCACAATGCCAACACCGGGTCCCGAAGACCCATAATTTCCTTCTTGTCTCAATTTTCTCTTATTGTCTTTTTCTTACATCATTTGTCCTGTCCTAGCCTCAGCTACAGCCTTTCTCTACTATCTGCATCATTGTCACTCCCACACCCACTCATTCGGCCTGAATATCTGCCCTGCATCCCATTCACAATTATACCAAGGAGACCCAAAAAGAAACTCTTAAAATGCGAATAACCACAGGCTCTAGCCACCAAACCCACACTCTTGGAACTCACCCAAATCAAGCACTTTTAATTTCCCCGTCCAATCTTTCCTGTTTTTCCAGTCTTTACTTCTTCCGCCCTTTCTCTCTACTTTATCCTTTGTTCTGTCCGTTTTCGACTTTTGACTTTCTGCCTGTTTCCAAAACAATCCCCCCACTTGAGGTAACCTTAGCGCTGAAATTCGTCTTGCGCCCATTCTTCCATACCCTGTACCAATCACAATACCACTTGTTCCTGTTCTTGTTTCACCCAGTTGCTTTTACCTTGCAGTCGAGCAGAGTAGTCTTCTACTGCTCGATCCGATCCGACGCAAGCTTTACTTTGCTTTGTGGATTCGTCGAGTCCTCTTCCATCCGTGCCGAATTTAGAATATACATAGATCAACAGCGAGAGTTGGTTCATTATGGTTTCTCTGTGTTTCAGTTCAAGTTCCTTTGTATATACGACTGTAGACATGAAGCGTAAGCGTAGGCATGTCTGCCATCATTGATGTGGAGGGGAGTGGAGCCGGATGTCATGTTCCTAGTCGATGATATCTTGCCAGCGCTACACTACATCTACATCTACACCTACTAAAGTCCTCGAGATATATGAACAGGGGAGTTGAATTCATTACGGACGCGTCCGCTCCCAAAAGAAAAAAAGCCATACATCCAGTTACCAAGTTCATTCCAATGGTTCCAGATATGAACGCCACACACCCCCTATATAACCAACCGAGGGGATCGCAAAAGCAAAAAAACGGTGGGACAGGGAGATCAAATAGCAAAGTATTGGGCCAAGAAAAGGCATTACAGCAAGACCCCAAGAGAAAAGAGCTAAAAGAAACGTCTTTATTTCCTTGACGAAAAATAAAGCAGTAAGCGCGACGCAAAGCGAGGCCAGAAATGAAATCTTAGCTAGCTTTGCCCGGGTCGAGAGTCATTTACTCCGTTCGGCCCTGAGTTACCTTTGCAGCTTGGACGGCGGACATCTTCTGGAGCCAGCCGGTTGTAGGCTGGGGTTTCTTGACGGTGCGAAGGTCGTCGGTTGCGAAGCCGGAGATGCGCATGTTGTAGTTGCGTTCTAGGACGAGTTGGATGTCGCGGATCTCTAGGGAAGAGGAGGGGCGGAGTTTGGCGAGGCGGCAGGCTTGGCTGATTACGTCGTCGACGAAGTCGTCTGCCATTTGGAGGATGAACTGTTGGCGTGTGAGTCAGTGGGGTGGTTTTGTTTGTCTCACTTGACGTTTACTTTGGGGGGGTTGGATTGAGAGTGTCATGGGGCTGGAACGAACCTCTTCAGCGTCGGGAGTTAGCATTTCTCCATCTCCTCCTCCGGTTACTTGGCGGACGAGGATGTCAAGCATTTTCTTGCTGAGGACGTGCTGGCCTTCGCCTTCGAGGACGTAACCTGGGTGTTTCTGGATGGCGGGTTGTCCCATCATACCCATTGCGCCGTGGCTGGGTCCGCCGGAGAGGGAGGGTCGTGGGGTGGACATTGAGACGGGCTCTGGGGTTGAAACGTTTAGGTTCTTGGGGATGACCATGTTGATGTTGCGAGCGCTTGCTTCGGCGGAACGGTTGGCGAGATAACCGGGTGGGTGAGCTTGTTGCTGGTTAGCAGCCTGGTTCATAGGCTGTTGCTGTTGTTGTTGTTGTTGTGCTTGCTGCTGGTGGCCTTGGTGCGCGGTGTAGTTGTTCGCAGACTGTTGCATAGCCGTAGCCTGGGTCAGTGGGCGAGGTGGAACCTGGTTGGGGCCTTGCTGGGAGTTTGGAGGAGTTGAACCATCAGCGTTGGGAGTTTGACTGAAGGTTATTTGCGCGCCTGGAGTTCCCTGTTGGGAAGGAGGTTGAGGACGCTGGATAGGTGGTGGTGCGTTGGAAGGAGCAGGCGTGCCACCTGCAGAAGGCGGCGCTTGCCCTGGTTGGGATGTCGAGGGAGACATGGCCTGTCCAGCTTGATTACGTGCAGCGTTGACGGCCGAGTTGATAGTGTGAGGTGCTGGGGTTGGCGCCTGCCCCGGCATCGAACTGGCTGTGTTTTGGGTTTGTTGATTGGGAACTGCCTGCTGAGGTGGTTGCTGGGTTGGCTGCGGGGCTGCTACAGGAGCAGCTTTGTTCTGCTGTGCCACTGGAGCTCCCTGGTTTTGGGCCTGGGCGAGCATCGGCTGGGTTTGCTGCTGTGATTGCATCTTAAAGCTCTCCTGCTGCTCTTTGAACTTGTTCAGGAAGTCACTACCCTCGCGAAACAGTTTCTCTGCAGCTAGCTGACGATTCTTAAATTCCTGCACCTCCTCTTGTGTCATATTACCAGCAGCTTGGCGCTGAGAAAACGACTGACGCAGGTCTGCAATACGAGCCCGTCCGACTTCCTGCTTCTGGAGCGCAATTCCGTATCGCAACCGGGCCTCGGGAATCCACGTCTGGACCTGCTCGTTGGTGACATTTGGTGGGAGATAAAAATTCAACGAGCTAACCTTGGCCTGGATTTGTGGCAGAAGCTGGCCAAGGTTCTGGGGGTTGTTCGATTGAGTGCGCTGGACGGGCTGGCCCTGCTGGCCCTGCTGGCCTTGCTGAGGCTGGCCCTGGGGAACCTGTCCCATCGGTTGGGTTGGCTGGGGCTGGGATTGTTGCTGAATTGCCTGCTGGCGAGTCTGCTGGAACATCCGCATCCCCTTCATCAAATTTTGTGATAGCTGCGACAGCTTCGAATGTGCTGTCTGGTATTCGTGACTTTGCGCGTCGCGGCTGTTGAGTACATCCCAGAGGGTGCGCACCAACTGAGTATGCTGCGCCTTCTGTTGATCATTGAGATGCGGAAGCTTTTGTACCTGGTCGGTTCGTATGAGGTTGGAGTGCTGCTGCTGCTGTTGTTGCTGTTGCTGCTGCGGCGGCACCATGGGCTGACCGGCCTGGCCTTGGGACCCATCCATGTTGGCGGTGATGAGGCTGAGGCTAGCGGGGGTATCGGGAAAAGGGGTACGGAATCGGATTTGCGGCGATTTTCAGGGCGATTAGAAGGATATAAAGCTTGTTGCCGCCTTTAGTCCCGTCTCGCACGCGACAAAGGATGAACTGCGGCTAGTCGGCGTGGTTGAGGTTGCGCTCGGCGATGAATGCCAAGACCGCCTTTGCGGCTACGTGCTTATGCCATCGTTCTCCGTACTCCATACCTGGGTTTGATATGGGTCTGCAGCTGATATAACCTAGGTATCAACTTAGGCTGGAAAATAATTTGCACCTTTCAATATTATCTGTCGGCTTATCTAGGCAGAGCAATTCCGACATTTTCATGCAGACTCCAGGGCTAGGTATTACCCAGGTGTACTAGTACTACTCAAATTGGGCGTAAAGTACCTAGGTATGTTGCTCCAAGTGGTGTTGATATATTGCTATTTAGAAGACTTGCTCTACAGCAAAGCACAAAGTAGAAAAGAAAATTGAACTCATTGCATAGGGGATATAAAAACATAAATCGATATCTCTAGATATCACTTGGGCATCGTCACATATCATAATTGGAGTGGCTGTCCAGTCACTGTCCTCGTAGCAAAAAAGAAAAATCGACAGCCGTCGGATGACGACGCCTCCGGAGTGAATTGATTCCTCCAACCTCCCTCTAAGAAAGGACTTAATTCGAGTCAATCGCCTTAGACCACTCGTTGAAGCTGCCTTTGTACAATGACGCACTTCTTCCTGATGTTTTGATACGCAGTGACTCCTGCGTCTGTGGCACGTCTTATATGTGCGCGGTGGGAGTTTTCCTCTCTTCACCTGCCACTGTCCTGGCTTCAAGTTTCTCAGAAATACCTTCGCACTCTCCCACTTTAACGAAGTCCGACCTAGGGAACGACGGCCTGGGTTCTCACGTCGGGAACCCTTCTATTTAGCCCATGAGACCACCGAGATCTCGATCCATGCCGGTGACGCGAGCCTCCAAAGCGCGTTTTTTTCGCTCCAGTTCTGCAATCTCGGCCATCTCTCGTTTGATATCCTCGTCGGTAACCTCTGGGCTACCTGGTTGCGAGACGGGAGGGGGTGAGAAATTATCATCGTCATCTTCGTAGGAATGGCGCATCTGCTCAAGCTCAGCCGTGTTGGTGGCGACACGATCCTCAAGCCGGGTGACGGAATCGGCAATCACTTCATGGCGATAGCGCAAGTTGGTAATCTTTTCCTGGGCACCTGCAACGGGACTATATAATTTGTCAGAAGAAGAAGACAAAAAAGGAGCAAAAGCGGGAGTAGAGACGTACTAGACATTGCACAGTATCTCCGCGCCGCGAAGTAATACTTCAACATTTACCTCTCCACGTCCACGAGAGGATGTGCCAGCCGATCGCTTGATCTCATCCATCATATCAGCTCCTAGAACTCGAGCAACGGCAGACTGGTTGCGATTGTTCCGCGCGGAGTAGATCCGGCTCGCCATGGATTCATTTTCGGACTCCGTGGAAAATGTGGTTCCACGTCGAGTGGCGCGCCGTTGCGACTTTTGAGCTTTGGCGGCCGGGTCGACCTGGAATAATGCTCGCTCATGCGCCTCAGTATCGCGAATCAAGGAGGTAATGTCATGGGAACCGAGCAACGCGTTGGTGAAGATGCGGGGTGGAGGGAAACTGGAAGATACACATTAACATAAATGGTCGGGGGAGTAAAACAGAAGCAATCGACTCACGGTAAATCGGAAATTGCACTTGAGGAGAGTGAGATCTGCTCTAGGTGGGAGTCAAGGAGACCCATGGCGGAGATTGTAGAGTGAAGTGTGTAGAACCCAAGTAAATCCGGGTTCAGAGCTGTTTACGGAGAAGTAGAAGTAGAAGCTCCTGCCTCAGGCCAGATTGAGAAAGTGCCTGCCCAACAAACCCAAAGACTTATCGCTGTTTGTCTGTTCAGTGCTGCTCTCTTACCACTCTCATCTCTTCTTTTTTTTCCCAATTCCTTTTCCCACTTCGTCTCCCTTCTTGACTCCCCGGCGTCACGCGGCCCCAACCAACTTTCCCAGTAAGCTCCCCGTGACTAAGCAACGCCTTCTGGCGTCTTGCGTCCGTCCTCGTCTCTTGACATCACATCCCCCCATCCACTTCATCTATCTGTCTCGCAACCCCATTTTCTCATCATCTCTTTGGATCTAAGCAGTCTTGCGACCCGGGATTGGCCATTCTGCTTTTCACTTCTGATTCTGTGCCCCCCGGATTCTACTCTTCCCCCTGCTTCCTCTAGCTTCTGTGCTGCTTAGCTGAGCTCGACAGCTTCACAAAGATGCCCGAGAGGCGCTCCCTGCGATCAAACAACAAGTCGGACACCTCTTCATCTGCTAATGGTGAAAAGGCTCGTTCCAACTCCCAAAGTTCCAGTGCCAAAGACAAGGCCGCGCCTACGACTCGCGCCGCCGCCAGCAAGGCCAAAGCGGCCCCTGCAAAGAAAGGCGCCAAGGGCGCATCAGACGCCGCCATGGGAGATGATGATAAGTCGAATGCCAACGGATCCAAGTCAACCGAGAATGGTGTGAATGGTTCCGAGGATGTTGAGATGGAGGAGGATACGGCAGGTGCGCCTACATCCTCAATCAACTCCAGTAAGAACCGAAATGGTGACGAGAAGATGACTGTTGTAGTGCCCCGGCCAAGGGATCGAAATCCGCCGACAAGAAAGGTCAAGAGAAGGATGGGGATGTGACAATGGAAGGTGCCGAGGATGATGATGCTGAAGCCGAGCCGGAGATCGATCCGACAACCAAGGCCATTCAAGGTTCGTTTGGGCTTTCCATTGCCCCGGGACTCCAAAAAGATCAATGATTAACGAGGCCCACCTCTTTGCTTTCTTTCCAGATATCAAGACCAACTTCACCCTCCTCGAGCGAGCCGTCGCCCACTTCGATCCCCGATTTACCCTCCGTGTCCTGCGATCGATATCCTCCATGCGGAAACACATCACCCCCGAGGTCCTGGCCGAAGTGATTGTGGAAACATACTCTTCCTCCAACTCGACAGCTTCATTTTTGCTGAATGCTCTCGACCAGCCCAACGCCTTTGACAATGCTAGCTCGGAGATGGAGGTGGATTCGGAGAAGAACAAGGCGGCCCCGAAGGAGGTTCTGGCCGAGGTAGACGCATATCTTTCCATCTTGGTCCAGATTTACCTCTTTGATCAGCGCCAGATCCAGAAGGGTGCTAAGTTTTCGACTGATCTGATTGAGCGTCTTCGCGCTCTGAACCGCCGTACGCTAGACTCTCTTGCGGCTCGCGTGTATTTCTATTATTCTCTGTTCTACGAGCAAATCGCTCCGCTTCCCCCATCTCCATCAGCGGCCGTTACTGCCATTCGTCAGCCGCTCCTGGCTGCCCTTCGAACCGCCGTTCTGCGAAAGGACGTCGATACCCAGGCCACTGTCATGACACTGCTGCTCCGCAACTATCTGTCGACCTCGCACATCACCCAGGCAGATCTTCTGATCTCTCACAACAAGTTCCCCGCCGCTGCCTCGAATAACCAGATCGCCCGGTACCTCTTCTACCTTGGTCGTATCCGTGCTATTCAGCTCCAGTATACCGAGGCACACAGCCACTTGATCGGAGCTACTCGAAAGTCCCCTACCAGCCACAGTGCCCGCGGGTTCTATCAGTCCTCGCACAAGCTGCTTGTGGTGGTTGAGCTCCTAATGGGTGACATCCCAGACCGTTCAATTTTCCGCCAACCAGCTCTGGAAAAATCCATGCACCCTTACCTTCTGCTTGCCCAGGCAGTGAGTGTCGGTGACCTGGATGGGTTCTTGAACATTGTCAACACACACAGCGCGGCATTCCGAAAGGATGGCACGTACACTCTGATTCTTCGTCTGCGACAGAATGTGATTAAGACTGGTATTCGCATGATGTCGTTGTCGTACTCTCGCATCTCTTTGCGGGACATCTGCCTGCGTCTGGGCTTGGACAGCGAGGAGTCAGCTGAGTACATTGTGGCCAAGGCTATTCGGGATGGTGTCATTGAGGCCACCCTGGACCACGAGCACGGTTTCATGAAGAGTAAGGAAGTTGGTGATATCTACGCCACACGGGAGCCCGGCGAGGCATTCCACGAGCGTATTCGTGCCTGTTTGGCTCTTCATGACGAGAGTGTCAAGGTATGTGTTTTCTCTCTTTGGTATCGGATGATAATGGACTGGACTGGTGCTAATTTCGTCTTTACAATCTATAGGCTATGCGATTCCCGATGAACCAGCACCGACTGGAGCTGAAGAGTGCCCAGGAGGCCCGGGAGCGGGAGCGTGAGCTTGCCAAGGAGATCCAGGAGGGAGACATGGATGACGAGGATGCTGGTGGTGATTTCGATGCCATCTAAGAGTGGTGGTGTCCGCTTAATGGATACATCCTTCTTTTTCTTCCTTCCTCTCCCCACCCTGGCCCTATACGTCGGGTCCTTAACGTCGTAGCGGCCTTGCTCAACCCATGTGGTAATTGTGTGAAATTTCGCTTTTTATTTTATATTTCCTTTGTTGGATATGTACGAAGGGGGGTGAGTGCAGGACTGAATCGACCGGCGCAATTTCCATGTCTCTTTTAACCTGAACCCATTTACCTCTGCATTGGAACTATGCCTTCGGCCCTGCTCTACTAGAATCAAGTACAAGTAGCCTGCTACAGAATACGACCTAGGCTTGAGAATGTAAAAAGAAACTTTATCGGAAATCTTTCTGCATTCTCATCTGATTACACTACATTTTCATCCGTAATTAATTTGATTATGATTGGCTGTAGAGCATCCCAACAGTTCAAGTTTCCTTCATGCGGTCCGTGTCGGCGTTGCGGCTGCTCACGCGTGGTCCGTGCCGACCCGAGAGCTTTCGAAATCTTCCCGGATTGTTTCCTGTGGTCCCCCCCATACTCTTCCCCAAACACCTGAACTTCTCAACCCCGTCTCAATTCAAACTTCATGGTATAGGTTCGCCCATAAATCTATCGCCGCCTTGAAGCCTTGCATTGAAGATGCGAGCTCGAACCGTGTCGGCCGCCGGGCTGATCGTCACGCGCACGACTTCAACCCCGACGACCGTGTGCTCACAATGCCTCCGCGATGACCTCCTCCTGTCTCCATTCCCCATCCAATCCCGCAAATATCACCCAACAAGACGGCGGGATGCATCGCCATTCGGCGCCGCCGTGTCAGCCGCCCAGACCATTTTCAAGGGCCTGCCCAAGGCGCCTGCGGGCATCTCGGTCGACCCTCTGCGAATTGTCGGCAAAGAGTTGAAATTTATGAGCAAAAACATTCGCCAATTGCTGGGCTCGGGCCACCCGGCCCTGGACAAGGTCGCTAAATATTATACCCACAGCGAAGGCAAGCATATGCGGCCATTGCTGGTTCTCCTCATGTCCCAGGCGACAGCAATGGACCCTCGCAAACTCCCGGCTGACCAGGCCAATCCCAACCCCGTCGATAACCCCCCTCAGTCAATCCTCTATACTCGAAGACTCCAACCCAGACCTCAACCCGCTCGTATCACGATCCATCGAGAGCCACCAGTACAACATTGCCGGTGACGATAATATTCTCCCCTCGCAGCGCCGACTGGCTGAGATCACAGAACTCATTCACACCGCTTCCCTCCTCCATGACGATGTCATCGATAACGCCGTCACCCGCCGCGCCAACAGCTCCGCCAACACGGCCTTTGGAAACAAGATGGCCGTTCTGGCAGGCGACTTCCTCCTCGGCCGTGCATCTGTGGCCCTGGCTCGACTGCGCGACCCGGAGGTCACTGAGTTGATGGCGACGGTCATTGCCAACCTGGTCGAAGGCGAGTTCATGCAGCTGAAGAACACGGCCCAAGACGAGTCCAGACCCGTCTACACCGACGAAACCCTCAACTACTACCTCCAGAAGACCTACCTAAAGACCGCCAGTCTGATCAGCAAGTCTTGCCGCTCTTCAGCCGTGTTGGGTCGGTGCGCCCCCGAGGTTGTCGAGGCTGCCTACGCCTACGGCCGCAATCTGGGACTCGCGTTCCAGCTGGTGGATGATATGCTGGATTACACTGTCACCGAGGCGGAGATGGGCAAGCCTGTTGGTGCTGATCTGGAGCTTGGTCTGGCAACCGCTCCCCTCCTCTTTGCATGGAAGAGCAACCCCGAGCTGGGTCCTCTGGTTGGACGCAAGTTCCGCGAGGAGGGTGACGTGCAGAAGGTGAGAACCCCTTTACCCCATCCTCCCGAGATATATATACATATTTCTCTATCTATTGTTCCGGACTAACCGTTTTTACAGGCGCGTGAGCTTGTCTACCAAAGCAACGGCGTGGAGCAGACTCGCCTCCTGGCCCAGGAGTATGCCGACAAGGCCATTGCTGCCATTAGCGATTTCCCTGATGGAGAGGCCAAGTCCGGTCTGATTGATATGTGCGCGAAGACTATGAACCGGCGTAAGTAGAGCATTTTGAGAGAAGTTTGTACCATTAGAACTATATACGCACTAGACGGATCCGTTGTGCTTCCCCTTACTATTTTTTTCTTTCTTTGGTCTGGTTGTATGTACAGTATATATTTTATTAGATGCGAATGTTCGGATTGAATTGATCAGGACATGGTGTTATTTCAAAATTTCAGGTCACATAGATGCAATGCCCAAGTGTGGTAACTCCTAGTAGTGGATCTTTCAGCTCCTTCGCACTCAGTGTATTTGATACAAACACCTGAGACTCTCGGGTACCTCGGTACATCGTGGTGGGCCTATGATGTTGGACATGATAGACACGTTTTGCAGTCAGACTTTGTGAAACATCGAGGGGGACCCCTCATGGGGGTCTATCAAGTAGGACCTCTAGTATAGATTATTTGTCTTTGAGAGAAAAGGGGACTTTCTTGCCCTAACTTCACAGGGCTGACTGTTCCTGACAGCTGGTCGGATCCTGCGGGGTTCCCAGTACAGCCAGTTCAAAGGGTTCGTTATGTGAATACTGTATTTACGTATTACAGACTTTGTTGAATGGAGTCACATACTAATTCGCGGGAGTATATATTATAGTGATGTAATATAGCATGTAAAAACAATACCAAACGAGGCCCACATCAGCTCGGAGGGACCACCTTCACCATCCGCCGCGCGTGAGAGTGGAAGCTGCAACTCCCCTGCTCAGTTCGACTCTGCTCAGCTCTGCAACACATCCCCAGTCGCTTTACACATTCTTTTTTTGCTTTGCTTGTTTCTCTCCCAGAGCCGGTCTCTCGTTACCTCGTTCGAGCTAAACCCCCCCCGCTACCTCCGGACGTGAGCTGGTCAAATTATGGAGCTATCGACCCTCCCGCTCCCGCTTTGATCGACTGGTTCCCGATGGGCTCACTCGCCAGCTTTCTCGTCATCTACGTGCTTGGGGGTCTGACCTTCGTCCCACTCATCCTCTTCTCAATATTTGTATACATCTACCTAACTCTCCCGACCGCCCCGACTGCCTGCACTCCATACGCCCGTGATGAGGTCCAACGACCCGACGATGACGAGTATAGCCTGAAATCCGGTACGGGGACCGATCAACTGGCGGAGAAATTCCATCGCACGCACGAATCCGATGTCGCTGCTGGATACTTTGCCGTATGCCGTGAATATGTGCCCGGTGGTGTCAATGGGAAGCCCCCAGAGAGGACGACCCCCGCCGGCGAGGTCGTTGCGACGGAGAGTCCCAGCGTCTATCAGGCGATGTACCGGAGCTTGTTTGATCGAAAGCAGACGCCCAGTATCGAGCCCGCGAAGACGAATGGGAAGAATGCGAAACGGGCGCGGAATGTCTTTTACATTGTCCTCCGGTATGCTTTGCATTCAGCACTTGCTTTCTTATAGTGCACGCTAGTGATGAACCGTTTGCTGACAAAAAAAATGTCAATCCCATAGACATGGCCACCTGATGCTCTACGACGATGTTAACCAGGTAGAAGTTCGCTATGTCATCTCTCTTGCTCACCACGATGTGACTATTCATGGGGGCGAAGGAGATATCCCCGAAGGTGAACTGTGGCTCAAAAGGAACGCCATTTGTTTGTCGCGGCGACTGGATTCGCTGGCAGATCTCGGTGGACCTACGCCCCCGTTCTACATGTTCTCTGAAAACTTGTCGGAGAAGGAAGACTTTTATTTCGCTATGCTTCACAATCAATCGAAGATGTGGAAGTCGAAGGATAGACCTCCGAAACAACAAGACTTTGACGTGAAGCACATTGTCTCTTTGGTGCAACGACTCCACTCTTCTGAAGAGCAGCTTCAAACGCGTTGGATCAATGCATTCTTTGGGCGCCTTTTTCTCGCCTTGTATCGCACGCCCGAGATGGAGCAATTCATTCGAAACAAGATCACTAAGAAAATCTCGCGCGTCAACAAACCGAACTTCATTAGCAAAATTGGGTTGCAGAGAATCGATATGGGTGAAGGCGCCCCGTTCATAACTAATCCCCGATTGAAAGATCTGACTGTCGACGGCAACTGCTGTGTGGAGATGGATGTCCAATACACGGGAAATTTCCGGGTTGAGATATCAGCCACGGTACGCATTGATCTCGGACAGCGTTTCAAAGCAAGAGAAGTCGATATCGTATTGGCAGTCGTGCTGAAGAAACTCGAGGGCCATTTGCTGGTCCGCTTCAAGCCCCCTCCCAGTAATCGATTCTGGATGTCTTTTGAAACCATGCCGAGGATCATGATGGATATCGAGCCTATTGTTAGTTCGAAGCAGATCACTTTCAGCCCTATTCTACGCACCATCGAAAGTAAGATCCGCGAGGTGGTGGCAGAGAGTATCGTGCTGCCATTCTGGGACGACGTGCCTTTCCACGAAACTGTTGGCCAGGCTTTCCGTGGTGGTATCTGGCAGCGAGACGAGCCTGAAGTGGACACTACTCAGGTGGAGATACCTGATGAGTCCGGTGCTCCTCCACCCACGAAAGATGCCCCGGAGCATTCAATCGATGTCCTGAAGTCCAAAGATGATCGAACAATGAGCATGCCTGTTCTTCCCAAGTCCCCCGATGCCGGCGTGAAGGCACGCAAAGGCCCGAAATCATTCGTCTTCCCTTCGCAGCCTGGAAGCCCGGCAGCGTCGTCGACAAGCTTCGATAGGGCAGATATCAAGCCATTTCACCGTTCAATGCGCTCACAAACATTCTCCCAGGCAGCAGACCCAGTTGTGACTGCAGATAATGCCAAAGTCAACAAAGTTGGCACCGGTCAGAAAGACAACGAGAAGAGTAGTGCAACGAGTGCAATGATCGAAATATCAAATCGCTCACCACCTGCTTCTCCACATCGCACCCCAAGCAACTCACCACCCACCGGAGGACTTATGTTGCCCCAGAGCGCAGTTCACAGCCGTGAGCCATCCATTGCAGAGTCTCTCGATGGCGCGAGCTTCACCAGCGATAATGTTATCACCAGCCCCTCTTCTGCTCGCCTCGACGCCAGCTCCTATTCCAGTACCCGGAGCTCGCGTGGAAGCTCCACCACTTCAATCAACACCTCGGTTGCTAGCGAGCAACCCCGTCGTCGAAGCACGATCGAGTCCTTAGCCCGCACCTTTAATTCAGTCTCGTCTTCCGACGACAAGGCCATTGGGAATCTCACCCTCGGATCAGCCACTGCGGCCGCAAAGAAATGGAGCTGGAGTGTATTTGGCAAAGGGGAGATGAACGAGGATCGGGAGGCGTCCCAGCCCCCGGCACGCCCACTCGATGAGCCCATTGGACGTGGCCATCCGCATCCTCCCCCGGGAGCACCTCTACCCCGGCCCGACAAGTATGCTCTGAAGAGAAACTCGGGAACACTGCCCAAGCGCAAGCCTGTCGGGGTGCCCAATCCAATTCAACGACCCATGGCCGCTGATACACCAAGCGTTCGACCTACATCTTTGCCTCGCAGGAAACCAATTCCATCAGCGATGCGTAGGAGCGGCGGCGGCGGCACCGACGAACTACTTGTAGTTGAAGCGCCCAATGACTCGACACCCAATAGTCCCGCCGACGCAGATTTAGATCTAGAGGAGAGTCTGGCAGAGCCCATACTCCTTGAGAATGACGTTTCTCCTGCAGATACTGATGTCGCCAGCGTGTCGCAGTCATGGGAAGATGAGGAAACCCCGGATTCCCAATCTCAACACTCTGTAGATCAGAGACCGACTTTGGAATCAGGCAACAGCGAGGGAATCCCGTCTCTCAAGTCGGTAGAAGTCCCGGCCGCATCACCCTGATTGATCCTGGTCTATTGTTGTTTATTGATTGGTTTTCTGGATCCGAGCCATCGGGCTGGCCCGATAAGAAGCGTGTGACCATAAGAATGGCGTTGAAGGTGCGCTTTTTTTTTCGTTTCATTTGGTTTCTATTCTCTTTTGCTATGGATTACATCTTAGCTTTGCGTTGTGGTAGCAAGATGGTTGTGTGTTATGGGGCTCTTCAAGTATGGCAATACCCGGTCCCTGTTGTATAAAGTTGGGATATTCTTGGGCTTTGGTCTGAATTAAATTAAGAACTCAGATCATCTTCATTTATACTATGTACTATATTGTAAGGTTAGTGTATACTTTTGTAAATACCTTGTACTAGTAGATATTACGTTGCCTTTGATCGTGGCGCAGTGGTAAACCTCACCGCACTCGTCAAGGGATGGACGGGCTTAGGCGTCGCCAAGACTGACAGGCGCCAGCTTTCCCCCCCCAACGTCATTGCACTCCACGTGCGACATCTCTCTTCCCTCGACTTCACCTTCATCTTCTCCGGTCGGCGCTCTCTTTGATATCCCCGCGCTGTCCGGACTTGGGAATCTGTCGCAAAGCTACGACTTCCTTTCCAGGTTGCCCCTGAGCTTGTCCCGCATTGCCCCCCGGTCAAGATGAGTCGGTATGCGGAACCCCAATTCGCACCCTTTGAGCGAACACACGACTAACAAGGACCATCTAGAACGGAGGCTGATCTGGCCATCAATATCCGAAAGGCCACTAGTATCGGTAAGAGCTCGTTCAAGACTGGGGGAAGTTGACTAGGAGTCCCCGGAGGCTAACCGTTCTACCCGCATAGAGGAAACCGCTCCCAAACGTACGTCCTGATTGCGCTCTCTCGTCCATTCGATTCGAACGCGAAGGACGCCTTTTATATCGGATCTCCGTCTAACACAATCCGCTCTTTGCAGGGAAACATGTGCGCAGCTGTATTGTCTACACGTGGGACCATAAGTCGTCCGCGGCTTTCTGGGCCGGCATGAAAGTGTATGTTGGTTCGAGAGGACAATTATATGGTCAAGGGATGGTAGTAGCTGACTGGGAATTCCCAATTGCAGGCAGCCCGTTCTCGCCGACGAGGTCCAGACTTTCAAGGCCCTCATCACTATACACAAGGTTCTCCAGGAGGGTCACCCGATTGTCGTGCGCGAGGCGCAGCAGCACTCCAATTGGGTTGATAGCTTGATGCGAGGAGTTGGAGGCGATGGTGTACGCGGTAAGATAACTTGCGCAACTGGTCCCCCTCTGGACCTACAGCTGTACATACGAGAGATGCGCTGACATGGCTCTTTGTTGTTAGGATATGCCCCGCTTATTCGCGAATACGTCTTCTTCCTCGAGTCGAAACTCCAGTTCCACCGTAATCATCCTGAATTCAACGGCACGTTTACCTTGATACTCCGATGCAACGCCAGGACCCGGGCTAACGAGAGCAGGACTGTTTGAATATGAGGAGTATATCAGCTTGAAGACGATCAATGATCCGAATGAAGGGTGCGTATAAGCTTTTATCTTTGGCAAATTTACATTGCGAATCAAGTGCTAACGATTCTATAGTTATGAGACTATCACCGATCTTATGACCCTGCAGGACCAGATCGATGCTTTCCAGAAGCTGATCTTCTCGCATTTCCAATCCGGTACTCACAATGAGTGCCGTATCTCTGCCTTGGTGCCGCTTGTACAGGAGAGCTATGGCATTTACAAGTTCATCACTAGCATGCTGCGAGCTATGCACACAAGTATGCTTCTGTTCCCCATTTCCCCAGATTGCGGTTGCGAGATAGCTGACTATTTAACCCTACTCAAGCCACTGGTGATGATGAAGCCCTTGAACCGCTCCGCGGCCGTTACGATGCCCAGCACCACCGTCTTGTCCGATTCTATTACGAGTGCTCCAACCTCCGTTATCTTACCAGTCTAATCACTATCCCCAAGTTGCCGCAGGACCCACCAAGTCTTCTGGGCGAAGATGATGAGCGACCAGCTCTCCCGAGACGTCCAGCTAAGGAGGTGGAAGCTCAGCCCTCTCCCCCGCCCAAGGTGGCCGCCGAGCCAGAACCCATCAGTGACTTCTGGACCACCGAGGCGAGACGCCAGCAAGAAGAATACGAGGCCGAGCAAGCCCGCTTGGCGCAGCAGTGGGAAGACCAGCAGCGTCAGCAGCAGGCCCAGCAACAACAATCCCAGCGTGACTTCGAGGAACAGCAACGCTTGCAGGTTGAGCAGCAACGCTTGGCACAAGAACAACTCCTCCGCGATCAATACCAAACACATACCCAGGGTCGCCTGGCTGAGCTTGAGCAAGAGAATCTGAACGCGCGCGCCCAGTACGAGCGGGATCAGCTCATGCTCCAGCAATACGACCGCCGTGTCAAGGATTTGGAAGAACAGATGAACCAGCTGAACTCGAACATCAACCTGCAAAACTCCTCCAAGGACGAACAGATCCGGGCTCTGCAGGAACAAGTCAACACCTGGCGATCCAAGTATGAAGCCCTCGCCAAGCTCTATTCGCAGCTGCGACAAGAGCATTTGGATCTCTTGACGACCACCAAGAGCTTGAAGATCAAGGCTGCTTCCGCGCAGGAGGCGATTGACCGCCGCGAAAAGCTGGAGCATGAGCTCAAGACCAAGAACTTGGAGCTGGCTGATATGATCCGGGAGCGTGACCGTGCTTTGCACGACAAGGACCGTGTCTCTGGTACCAACAAGGAAGATTTGGAGAAGCTGAAGCTGGAACTCCGCATGGCGATTGATCGCGCCGAGAATGCCGAGCGATCAAAGGGCACTGAGATCTCCTCCATGCTGTCTAAGTATAATCGTGAGATGGCCGACTTGGAAGAGGCTCTTCGGGTAAGAATCAGTCTTTTTTTGCATCCGCGATGGTTTCATTTACTGATTTTCTTTTCTTTTTTAGAATAAAAACCGTGCTTTGGAGGACATTCAAGGTCGTCACTCTGAACGTTCGGGAGATCACGATCTCGCTCTCCAAGAAAAGGACGAGGAGATTAAAATTCTGGAGTCTGGCATGGAGCAGGCTCTTATGGAACTGGAGGAGTTGAAGCTGGTTAGTTACACGGCTGTGAAGATTGTATCTCCGGTTTTTCTAACGATGATTACTCTTAGAACCAAGGTGATGTGGACCATGCGCTTGACAGCCAAATCGACACAGTGCTTCACGGAACGGTGGCCAAGATCAATGATATCATTGACTCTGTGCTGCAAACCGGTGTGCAGCGCGTCGACGATGCGATGTATGAGCTGGACTCGTCCATGCAAGCCGGTAACCAGAATGCCTCGCCTCCATATGTGCTGTCACAGATCGAGAAGGCCGCGGCGTCTGCCACCGAATTCTCAACCGCCTTCAACAACTTCATCGCCGATGGACCCAACAGCCCGCACGCCGAGATCATCCGCACCGTATCCGTCTTCTCAGGCTCAATTGCCGATACTCTGAGCAACACTAAGGGTCTGTCCCGCTTTGCCAACGACGACAAGAGCTCCGATCAACTATTTGGCGCGGCTCGCAAGTCTGCAGAGGCTACTGTTCGCTTCTTCCGTGGCCTGCAATCATTCCGCCTCGAGGGCATGGAGGCCGACCACAAGACCGACGTCGTGATCAACAACAACCTCGAAGTGCAGCGAGACCTGCAGTCGCTGTCGAAGCTGGTCGAGTCCTTCACCCCTAAGAGCAGCAAGATCAGCACCAAGGGCGACCTCGGTGACCTCGTCGATTCCGAACTGACAAAGGCTGCCGATGCAATCGAGGCCGCTGCCGCCCGCCTGGCCAAGCTCAAGAACAAGCCTCGTGACGGCTACTCGACCTACGAGCTGCGCATCAGCGACTCCATCCTGGCCGCCGCCATTGCCGTGACCACCGCGATCGCAGAGCTAATCAAGGCGGCCACCGTCTCGCAGCAAGAAATCGTGCGCGAGGGCCGTGGCAGCGCTTCCAAAACAGCCTTCTACAAGAAGAACAACCGCTGGACCGAGGGTTTGATCTCCGCAGCCAAGGCCGTAGCCGGCTCAACCAACACTTTGATCGAGACCGCTGACGGCGTCATCTCCGGCCGCAACTCGCCGGAGCAGCTGATCGTTGCGTCTAACGACGTCGCTGCCAGCACTGCCCAGCTCGTGGCCGCTAGTCGTGTAAAGGCTACCTTCATGAGCAAGTCCCAGGACCGTCTGGAGGGTGCTAGCAAGGCTGTTGGAGCTGCTTGTCGCGCTTTGGTCCGACAAGTGCAGGATATCATCAAGGAGAAGCACAGCGGTGACAATGAGGCGGAGGACTACGCGACCCTGAGCTCTCACGAGTTCAAGGTTCGCGAAATGGAGCAACAGGTATGTATCTCTCAACCTTTCCCCCGGCATCCCCAATCCCAACCCCAAGACCAAGCAACCCTACCAACTGAAACCCACTAACCGCAACAAAAATCCAGGTCGAAATCCTCCAGCTGGAGAACGGACTCGCCCGCGCCCGCCAACGCCTCGGCGAGATGCGCAAGATCTCATACCAGGAGGAGTAAACCGGATCAGATCGCTCTTTGATTCTCCCGTCATCGTGATCGTCACGGTGGCCCTTTCACTTTGAACTGTGTATATCTTGGACCCCATATCCTCGTACCGGGGATTGGTCTTGTCTGTTCTTGTCTTGTCTTTTCTCACCATTTGATCCCCTTTTGTCCCCTCATATCGCTCGTCCTTGTCTTTAGCTTCCATCGAGATCAGCGAATGTATCAAGTCTCCCTCTTTCTTTTCGACTTCGTACTTGTTGCCCAGGTGTATCGCTTGTAGCTTGGTATATACGTGCATGCAGACGGTGGTCCCGCTCTCCTTGCCGTTCTCGTTGTAGGGGGATGTGTCTACGCTTTCATCTGCTACATCTAGAGAAGACGATGCCCAGCTCGGTGAAGGATTTCATGTTTGCGGAGGATCTCGACCGGGGCTATGGTTCTAACTCGCGGACTTCGAACGGCGTGGGACTTTTCCAAATGCAGAGAATCTTGGTCGTGGAGATACCCAGAGCTCTACAAATCTACATGTCTACTCGAAAGAAAGAAAGGATACCAAATACATCCAGGACTGTGGTTTTCGTGATGTGTTTTGGGGGTTATTACTGTACACGCAAAGATGACGAATACCAAAACGCAAGGGAAAACAGAAAGAACAGAAAGAACAGAAGAAGAGAAGAAGAGAAGAACAGACAAGGGGGATAAATGAATGGGGGAATTGCGCAACATGAAACGGGCAGACAACACACGAGTACCTCGGAGGCGGAGGTAAATAAGGGAAGGAATGATGATTGAAAACGCGAAAGGAGGTCGTCGCGTCGTGGTGGACACCATCAATTCTCTTTGTTGTTGCTCAAGGAGGACCTGTCTGACTGATGTCGTTTCGGCGAGGGTTCTTTGAGTGTGAGGGTGTTGTGTGTGGTTCTCGGGATGAGGGTTTGCTTTCATTGCGTAAACTGAAACTCGCTTTTCTTTCGTGAACTGGAACTTGCTTTCTCTGCTGGGTTGATTTGGATTGTCGAATAGTGTATCTCAATAGAGGATGATCAAGTGAGGGGGCGGATGCCCCATGTGCGCGAGGAAGAGAAAGTTAGACATCGTCGAAGTTAAGGATCTCCTCCAAGAAGTCTTCGTCAAGACTTTCGAAAAGAGGCTCAAAGTCCTCTTCGTCTGCCGCAGACAGCTGTTGATCATCCTCCTCCTGGGTAGAATTTGTCTCCTAACTAGTTCCTGAAATTGCGCCTGAGTTGCGCCGAAAGGGGGTGGACCGAGCCCTTGAGGGCCTAAAAGCATATGCTGGGCGTCCAGTTCCTCGACAAACTCGCGGTTCACTGGAACCCATCCATCCGACTTATGGCGATCGGTAGCTTTTTTCATAATTGCAGCTCCTTTTTCAGTCTTCCACAGCCATGAAACCGCTCCCGGATGGATTCGTGGGCGGCGGCGAGGTCTTTGATTGGGCTTTCGTGGCGCATATTGATAGCCAGGATACTTTGCGGCATGCTCCTGCTTCGCCATTTGAGCCAACATTTTGAACTCGTCCTTTACGGCCGGGATCTCGCACTTCCACATGTCCGCGATAATCCGAGCTGGCAAAAAGAAGAACAAGAGTCAGTGTTGAAAAATGCAGGGTAAAGGTCACAAGGTCAACAACTTACAAATCGCTGTGTTAGGGACTCCCGGGTTTTCAGCAGTGATCGGCTTGTGGTGGTGCTTCCTGTACAACATAAATGAATTCGGAGGACGAGGGATTTTTTGCAAGTCCGGGTAGAGGTTCATGCCTTGGCTTGCGGCTTCATGCAGTTGTTTAGAAATATGAATCCGAGCCCACTCTTGAACCTGGACTACAGGTGTTTGCGACTTTGGCATAAGACGTACGCATCCGAACTGATAGTCATCGAATCGATCGACTTCACCACCGGTCAACACTCTATAGAATTTATCAGCCTTGAAACGAGTTAGAATCCGCCGGAACATACCTGAGTCTGTTGTGTAGGATGCTCATTTTGTCTTCCCCGATCAACTGAACGACATTGAATGGGACCATTATTTCACCACCGGTTTGACTGCGATGAATGAGCGAATTTTCCCATAACAGCTCCATTGCCTGGCCTGGGTCAAAGCCCTCGGGGAGGCTCTGGGGCTCCACGTCTGGGTCGAGGTCGACCATCTCCAGCACCTGGTCTATGCCAAGAGGGGCCGAAAAAAGTTGGGGACCCTCGCTTGAGGCAAAGTTGGACAATTGCAAAGCTTGGTCAATGTCAAGAGGCGCCGGAAAGCTTTGGCGGTCCGCACTTCCGTCGAAATGAGACATCTCCACCGGAACGTATGCTTTTAAATCGGGATCGGCAATAGTTCCTGTGAAAGTACGATGTGAAGAGAACCCCGAACCGAAAATGCGGAGCGAAACGAGAGAATCACACGAAGACCGAACGAGACGATCAACACACAAAAGCGGATAAAGAAACGACCCGGAGATCCCCTTGGGAGATGGGACGGGAGTCGAAAGAAGCGATGAATCCCCTTCAAAGAAAAAGACAACAAAGCACACCTCTTGAGGAATGCGTCTTTCGGGGAAGAAAGTCTGCAAAGACGGAGTTGAAAGCTCGAGGCGGGTATCGACTAATGGGGTGAAACGGGATGAGAAGCCGTTTCAGAGCAAGGAGTCTATTGAATTGCCGCAACTTTGGAGGGTTGCGATCTCTGTGAGAAGGTCGTGGGTTTCGGGTCGGATGGGAAGATCGGAGCTGGCGGTTTTCGAAGAATCGGGTGAAACGGGGTGAGGATCCGTTTCAGTGGGGGATCGATTGATTTGCCGCAACTTTGGAGCGTTGCGGTTGCTGGAGAGAAGGTCTGCGAGTGCGAGCTCGGAGTGGTAGTTTGGATTTGCGGTTTTGAAGGGTTCGGGATGAAAGTCGGTGTGAGAGCACAGATATCAACTGGATCGCCACGCTTGTTGGAGCGGCACGGTATCCGGAGAGAAGTTCTGCGAGTGCGATGAGAGAAGGTTGGAGTGAGAGAAGGTCCGTGACAAGGAGCCAAATCCGGTGAAAACAAGATGGTCTCGAGTTTCCGGTTGAAGGCTGAACGAATTTGAAGCTTGGGGTGATCGGCTTGAGAGTGATATCCAACGATATCTGTGGATATGGGGTATGGGGTACGGAGAGAAGAAGCGAAGTCGATGAGAGGTAGAGAGGAAGAGAGAGGACCGAAAGGTAGACAAATAGGGGCACGTGTCGATGACGAAAAGGGTTGCCAGTTTGCATTAGAGACAAATTGCTGAGATAGTGTATAGTATACTGGGTGAGTCGATCTGGTGATGGGTGGATCCGATCCGGTGGCTATTGAGGCGGAATTGAGGCAAACAGAACAATAGCCTGTGATCCATACCTTGACTAGGCAGCTATCAATTGTGAATCTCGGGGACAATTCAGCATAAGTGATTGTTCTCTGTGATTGAGAACACAGATGATGGTTGAATGTTCGAGGAGGGGGGGTGTTCTCTTTTATTCACTGAGGAAGCCTCAACTGTTGGGCCCACTGTGTTCCATCTTCTTTGTTTCTTTGATGCTCAGTGGCGGCCTATTGGGCCACCGGGAATGAATATTCGAAGAATTTGACCTTCTCTTATTGGCACAAAATCAAGTTTGCTTTTCTTGTAGACAAAGAAACATGTCAATTTGATGTGATGACGTTGGAGTTGAGGTGGAGCTGAGCTGCCAGCTTGCCGTATAAACTCCACTTTCCAGGGTTAGTGTGAATCCCCCAGACAAAAGGTGGATCTGCCTAATATTAAGAGTTAGCTTGGAATTTCACACATCACAGCAATCCAATTGAATGGAAATCCTCAATAGACAATACTTCCCAGGTAAGCCTTGCTGCACAAAGTTTGGTTCGGGATTAGGCGACCGTAATTGATGATTTGAGACTTGATGAATGTTCAAGGTTCATGTGAATAAAGTCGCGGGTACCTGCAAGTCTCTCAAGTCATTAGTATTGTTCCTCGTATAAACCCCAAGCAATCTACAGGCCAAGAAAAGGGTGAATAAAATGTGAAAAAAAAAGTGAAAAAAGGGGCAAATCGCGAAATGTATGTATATTGACCACCAAGTCATGATAAATCGGGTATCTTGATCTAATATTGGGGATCCCCCCTTCCTACAGCTCCGTCGATGCCGACAAGCTCGAGTTCCAATCGCTGGACCAGATGAATGTCGGGCATCGCCACTGTGTGCCCTTTTCCTTCTCTCCGCTGGGTCCAAGGGGTCGAGGGCAGATCCAAAAGGCCCGACCTTGATTCATGCCGGGTTTCTTCGTGGTAAGACTGATGCACGGTTCTTGATGCCCGTCGCATTTGGGGACGGGCTTTTTGGTGAACAGTTTGCCCCAATCTTGTTTGCTGACGATCGGATCAATCACCAGGTCGTCTCCGAGCTTGCTCGGCGTGAGATCCCCGGTCGGAAATTCGGTAGACGAGGCGAGCGCACTCCCCGGTGCGCTCGAGGGTACTTGGAAACTCGCGTTGTCTGTTGTTGAAGGCGCTTCGATGCTGCTTGTTGTTCTGCCGGGCGCGGAGGATGGAGGGGACACCTGGGAGGTTCCGGATTGCGCCGGAGAAGCTGCGCTGCTGCCAGTGGGCTTTGGTTTGAAAAATCCAGCCAGGGTTTTCTGTCCGCTCGCAGTCCCCGAAGGCGTCGCAGAGGGCCTGGAGCGTTTGATGGGCGAGTTCGAGAGAGGCTGGGATCGTTTGCGGGATAGCGATGGCGGTCCGCTGTTTTGAGCGGGCGAAGCGGATGCATTGCCAACCTCCTTCGAGCTGGGCGTCATTGATGCCGTAGGTGTAGAGCTGACCTTTGGTGCGCTCGAAGGCTTGCGGGAGAACATATCCTTGATGCTCCTTCGTTTGTCCACGTCGAACTCCGGGAGGAGTCGCCCAGACGCTGGTAGCATGTACTTCGAAGAATACTCTTGCTGACGTTCGCCGCCCTTGAACATCCCAGGGGGGGTTCATGAGATCTTTGATGTGGACCGTTTCATCGTTGTGGGATACCCAGGCTTTGAAGACAGCGTAGACGGGACAGTGATCGGAGCCCTGGAGGGAGGAGATGGTTAGGTTAGACAAGTTTGTTTGTTTACTTCGCGCTCAGAAGTTTCAACGTTCAAGAGAAAGCGCGCCGGTTTTGAGAAAACATACCATCAGTCCCTCCTGAATATTGGAATTGGAGAACCAATCGCGCATCTCCAGACTACACAACACGTAGTCAATCCGCGACCCATAGTTTCCCGGTCGTGTATTCAGTCTCGTGTCCCAACATGTGTACATGCCAGTACGTTCCGGGTGAAACGATCTGCAGATATCGTGGAGGACAGGCTGTTCCCGCCCAGTCTCGCGTTTACCGACCACCTCGCCGTCAGCGAGCAACTCATTGAATAATTTCCGCGGAGGACTGGACAAAAATTCCTCCTGTGTCGTGGTGCACTTGCGGATACCTTCAAGAGCATGTGCCGAGTCAATCGGGAGCTTGGAGATGTTGATGTCTCCAGTCAGGAACACCCGCTTGCCCATAGCAGTCAGGTTCCGGACCCGAGCGTCGAGAGCGTTGAGGAAGTCCATTCGGAAGGAATCGCGGCTTTCATCCCGATATGCAGGACAGTAGGTTCCAATCAGGACAAATGCTGGAAATTCGAGAATCACACAACGTCCTTCTGAATCCAGAGTTGCCGCATCGATACTTGGTTCGGCGGCTGAGCTTTCGTCGTCGTTTTCCTCTGCAGAATCATCCCCAGTTTGTTGGTTGGACCGCGTGAGCTGTTCAATCGTCGGGTAACCGCCTATTTGTTGGTCTGGAGGTAGTTCGCGGAATGGTACTGATGAATTTGGTGGGCAAAGGATTCCCGTGATGCCTTCTTCAGCACGGATTGGTGCACAAGTCGCGTTTCGCGTGTAGATCACCACGCCAGAGTAGCCTGTGGATAATTAGAAAAAAAAATACAAACACAAAGTACCGAAGAAAGGAAACTCGCCCTTTTTGAATCGAGGAAGGCTGAAATAACAGTCCCATCCGGGAACCAGGACCATATCATCTCGGAGGTCTTTTCGCTGAATTTTGGTTTCTTGGAAAACCACAATGTCCGACTCCAGGATATCAAACATAGACTGAACATCAATAAATTAGTAAATTGTTTCCCGGGTCCACAGAATCAAGGGGTCTCACCTCAAAGGTCCTAGTCCCTCTCCAGGGTTCGTAGGAGAATGGATTTCTGAAGAGTCGTTAGTCGCAACTTGATCCCTCGGCTTTCTAGCTACATACCGAATGCCGTTCACTGTCATACAAATATCAGCATTCGAGCATAAAATGGTTCCATTAACCAACCGAAGGCGAGAAACTTACCATTCCAGGTGGTTATGCGAAACCCCATGGCCAACAGCTTCCTCTTCACGAAGCAGCATATCCAGCTGCACGGCTACAGAAAAGCCCTCAGCAAGACTCCCTTAGTCAAATGCAAGATCGACGATGACCCGTTCTTGTTTTCAAAAACCGAAGCACGAAAGCAATAAACACCAAACTAAATAAACAAGACCGAGGCCGCCCAGCCGTCGCGGCAAGCTCGATATCACGTGAGTGTGGAGTGACGTCGAGTTACATAAGCCGGCGATTTACGGGAGTCCACTAAAGCGGCCTCAATTTCAACGTATGACCCCCCCCCGATCTCTCTTCCACAGAACCCTCCACTCCAACCTCCAACCCACCATGTTCCGCAACGCCGCCCGTCTGTCCCAGCGTGCTACGCGCTCGACTCCGGTCCGCCAGACCGCTCAGCGCCGCTTCAACTCCTCCGAGGCCAAGCCCGAGTGGGTCGTCGACAACGAGTTCAACCGTGAGCGTGCTGCTGTCAAGCACCACGCCGCCTCCACCAGCGGTACGTTCTGCTCGAATCGGTCTCGCGGGACGGATATCCCGTGGACCCAGGTTGATTTGCGGGCTTTGTACTGACTCAATGGCTTCATAGACCTGTGGCGCAAGCTCTCCATTTTGTACGCACTCCCGGCCCGACCACTCCCTTCGAGACAAGAATGAGGGAGCTAGAATTCCTTTCTCGATGCCAGTAAACGGTATCCGAATAATGCTAACTTGAGCAATCCGCAGCGCTGTCATCCCCTGCCTCATTGGCGGTGGCCTAAACGCTTACAACCTGTGGAACGAGCACTGGGAGCACTGGGACCACATGGCCCCTCTCGAGGAGCGTACCGAGTACCCCTACCAGAACATCCGCAGCAAGAACTACCCCTGGGGAGACGGTGACAAGGTGAGTTTCTACCTCCGCAGCCCGCCAAAACCAAGATGATCTCGTGTGTACTAATTCATTTCGCTAGACTATCTTGTGAGTTTCGATTACCCCGATGATATGATATTATATTATATCCACCCCACCCCCGCTCAGAGCAAGAACTACGTTCTCTGCCTTTACCCAAGCATCTAGTTTCCACACTACCCACAAATCTGCGGAGCAGGGAAAGACTAATTGCCTGGACTCCCTCGCTCCACCACCACTCCATATTTTCTAAAAAGGAACCCCAACTAACGTCTTCTTAGCTGGAACTCCGACGTCAACTACCACGTCAAGGACAAGCCCACCTAAATCTAACGTCCACGACGCGCAACAAAATTTGCAACAAATCCCGTGAATCGAGCCCTTGACGCGCCACATTGGAGAAGACATCCTTGCCACTGTATATGTATTTCTATCGCGCTGATGGTTCACGGGGAATAGAGCCTACCTGTCTGTTTGGCGGTTGGTCCGGGGATGTGTGATTAACAGAATGATGTGGGACTTTGTCGTATTCTATCAATCAATCTCGATATTTCTTTTGTTTTGTTCAAAGTTTCTTTGAGTTGGTGCTGGGCTGGGATGTTTGGTTCGTAGTGGGTTTGTAGATGGGTTATGCGTACTAGCTTTGAGACAGGCTATGATTTGAAATTTACCTTGTATCATTATTACAGGCTACTGTTGTCGTAAGTAGTACCTCGGGCGTTGTCAGTGCAAGGGTATATCAAGGCTACCACCCGCAAGACCTTTCTGTATAGGACTCGAATGCGCGGAGCAGAGTACATACGGTTGTCTGGTGAGCCTTGAAGATATTCTAGGTATCTATAGACTGAAGGGAAATCTCTTGGACGATTAGTTTACCTGCTGAGCAGTGCAATGTGCACCCAGAGACAGTCTTGTTACTAGTAGTAAACAACTTACTTGCCAATTTGATAGAATTTGAAGTAGCTAGAAGGACCATCGCGAGCGCCAGAGTTCCCGGAGATCCTCCAACATTGCCAGAAATAACAATATCATACCGGTAAATAAAATGATGCTCATCAGCTCCTACACAATACAATGCTAGTCCTAATGCACTGTCTCTCCCTCCTATCATGAAGCTTCTCATTCGAGTTGAGTCTTTGTAAAGATTCGCTCCCTGATTAGCTCCTTTATCTCTCTCAAACATACTTCAGGTCGGTAGGGAGCATCCAACAGGTAACATCATTCCTGGCCTCTAGGTGACTCCACATAGCGTTGTCGAAATTGTAGCTGCGGTGATCCTTGTAATCAGAGTCGCAACCAAAGCAGTACCACATATGATTATGCAAATCTGTTTCTCCAGGGCGCCCGATAAAGCTAACATGGAAGCGGCGGAGATGCTCAATCGCAGACTGTACGCCAAGATAGTATCCCCCATGTCTCACGCAAAGTGTACAATAGTACTCCATGCTATTAGCGTATGTTAGTTACTACGTTATTTATTGCCGTACACGCCGCGGAAGATACCTTCAAGTTTCAAGGAGCGAACAAGTTGCAGATAATTTTCCAAAATACTGGACTGAGCATGTGTCTTTTCGAGAAGAAACGCTGACTTGGGTATTACCGCGCCATTGCCATGTTTATGTAGTTATGAGGACTTCAACCATGCAAGTATCAATATAACGTAGTGGATTTGTACTCATCATCAAAACAATCTAGAACGAAAGCTTATGAAATCTGCTGTCGCCCTATAATAATATCAATAATTATTGTACGCATCATCCGACTGTAACGAACTGAATATATTTACCTAGGCTGTATCCAGGCACGCGCAGTCTGTTTACTTGGCTTCAATCCGTTGCTCCCTGTTTATCCTTCTCTGTCTGATATCATCGTTAAAGGGGACTGCATTTTTAATATTGATCTCTTCGTATCTGGGCGCGTCACACACAGTGGCAGTACAAACTTTGGCTTTTATTCGAGCCAGAACTTCTTCTATCAACCATTTGTCAACGGTTTCCAAGGTTGATAGTACTATGTCCATATACATAGAACAAAATAAAAATGAAGACGGTTCAAGTTACTACCTAGGTAGGAACTTTGCTATTCAGGCTCAAAGCCGAAATTAATGCAATTCCAATCAAATATGGGTATTATTTCTCCTGTTGCTGCTGTTCATCCATAAAGCTCCAGGGCTCATTCTCGATTTTATCAGGAATATCTTCGTGTCAAGAACACCTACCTACTTCCATGAAAGATAAAAGATAACGAATCCCATTCCCAGCCCGAGGGAGAAAAAAACGCCAACCCTCTAAAATTACAAAAGAACTTTGGAACAATTGATCTCAAACCTCTGCACCCCTCCGCCTGCGCAAATCCAAATACTTCGCCGCATAATCATTAGCCAAGACTGGATCACCAGTCAAGTGCATGACCGTCGCCTTTTTAGCCATCATCTCCGTCTGACCCAGCAAATCCTCAATCTCCTCATAAGAATCATACGCAGAATCAATATACCCAATCGCCCGATTAACATACTCCTTCCTGACCGGCGCACTCTCCTTACCCACCGTCGCCCACAACTCCCCCGCAATCCCCATATTAGCGTCCACAAGCAGCGAATAAGCGCGCGCAATGAGCGCAAAGTCCTCCGACTCCAGAACCTGAGGCATAATGCTCTCGACGAGCTCGGCGCCGGCTTCGAATTCGCGTAGACTGAGGAGGACGGCGGCTAGGGTGCAGATGGATTCCCAGAGGTCGAGGAGGATTTTAGAGCGGTGGGCGATGCTGGCGGCGCGCATGGCGAGGGAGAAGCCTCGTTGCGGGTGGCCGGATTTTTCCAGGATGCGCGCTTTTAGGCAGAGGAGTTTGATTTGGGAGTGGACGTCGAAGTTTTCGGGTTGCATTGAGTGGGCGGCTTGTTCGACCATTCGGAGAGCGCGGCCGTAGTCGCCTTGTCGGATTGTGAATTCGATTGTGTAGAAGGCGAGCTGGAGGCGCATTTCGAATTCTAGGAGTTGTACGGCTTGGAGTTGGGCGATGATGTGCTCTACCGCTACTTTGTCGTCGCTGGGAGAGTTCATATCAGATCAGGGGTGTCATTGGGAAGAAAATAGTGGAAATGATGCACTTACCGGCAGATTTGTCTTTGTAGTTGGAGGAGGCCTGAATAGTAGGTCCATGAGTTGTTGTATTTGAAGGCACGAAGTCTCTCTGCTTCGACCTTGTTCATTCGTGCGAAGGCCTCCTTGTAGTTTCCTTTTTGTGCGAGCTAGAGGGAGAAGTTAGTTACTGAGCAAGTGTGGCGGATGTGTGTATTGGCATGGCGTACGATTTGGCAATTTCGGAACGTAAGCTTCACGAAGTCATCGTAGGGCGAGCCCTCTGCGTAACATTCGCGGAATACTTCAGTATCTAGCCAAGATAGGTGAGTAGCCCCTGTCGTGTGGATTTTAGTAAAATATTTTATAAGGAACAGAAAGCGAGAATCCTACCTATTCGGGCATACATAATGCTTTGTAGCTGCATGTGTGATCCTGTCGCTGTCGAGAGACCTTTGGTCATGTTGACATGAGAAGCTCGTACGAATGTTTCAACGATCGAAGCAAGACTTTCACCCTAGGATGTATTAGCGTGATGTGCCTAGTCAGCTAACGGAGAAAGATTCAAGACATACCTGTTGCATCTCCAATTTTGCCTCGCTCACCAGTGTGGTACTCAAAAGAGACCACATGTCAGTTTCTTTCGACTTGGCTTTGAGAAACGCAAGGCCTTCCTTTTCATTTCCTAGCATGCCACTGTTTTGCACTTCTCGCATTTGTTCCGGGAACGCTTTTCCAAAATGGTACAACCAGCTCATGCAGAAGTTGAGACAGTTCATGTCGTGGGATTCACGCGCAATGGCAACGGCCTCTTGTACGGCGGAAATAGCCTCGGAGAAGCACTCGAAATCAGCTTGGATGATGGCCAGATTAAGCAGAGCAAATTGATAAGCACTCCGGTCAATGTTACTGTGCATAGTGTAGTCGAAGTAGCGATGGAGATTGTCGAAAGCTGATGTGTAATCACCAGCTTTCCAGGCATCGAGATACCTGAATATTGTCAGTGACAATCCATGTTTAGGGAGGTTAGGTTGATCAGGTAAATTGCACGTACTCAAGATAGTACATCAGTATGGGAACTGATGACTCGGAGGTCATGATATGCTTGAGTTGCGTCCTCATCTCGTCTGGAACTCTGCCTCCCAGTCCTATGCTCGTTAGCAGAGGAGTTTGTCACCTTTGGACGCTCAACATACTTTGTAGCTCGCCAACCTGGAATTCAACCAGTCGCTCAGCATCTTTGATACTAACCATGCCATCGTCCTGCACTTCTTGCTCAAAATCACCATAGACTACCTGCGAAAGGTAGCTGCTGGTATCTAGACCATTCATGGTAAGATTAATATCGACCGGCGACTGCTCATCTGATGGATTCCTCCGCGCCCACATATGATATGTTGGCAGACGGTACTTGACAAATCCAGTCCACAAGTTCACCGAGTCATGGAACTGCAGCCGCGTGTATTCGAGACAGGCTCTGCGCACAAACACGCCCAGCGGCGAGCTCCTAGACAAGCGCATTCCCTCCTCTTCCGGAGCGAGACCATCATCACGCTCCTGGATCAATTGCTCACGCGTCTTCGACAAGAGGGATGGCAGGACATCATTCATGAACTCCTCTAAGGCATCGAGCGAGTCGAGGGTCCATAGCTTCCTGAGAAATAAATCCCATAACGTGCGGCCGGGGATTGAGGACTCATGATGTGAGAGTACCTCCTCCAATTCATCAATGCTGGGCAGGTAGTGACTCTCCCATTGCTTATCGGCGGGATCTAAAGGGAAGAGACCCGCGGTCAGGAAGGACAACACATGAATGGCGGACGAGTTGGGGACGACGCCATCGGTGTACACGGTGATCAAACACAGTAGAGAGATTCTCCAGGGTGTTAAGTAACGGGCCATTGTTTTTTTCTGGTCACGACCAGGCCATATTGAATCTCGCCAGGGTAGACGGAAGGTAACCTTATAGGAAGTTGACATCGCGCGACGCGATAAAGGCGGATAAGGGCCTCAGGCTGCAACTGCCCTCGGTGCCCCGCCAAAAATTAACATGACGCATTTACAACTTCTAGACATTTCACATCCCAATTGCAACACCATGTCCCAAGCTCTAACAACAACCGATCTGCAAGGCGCTTTGCCCCTCGTCGCCCGGGGCAAGGTTCGCGACCTGTACGAAATCGACGACAAGACTCTCCTTTTCGTCGCAACCGATCGTATCTCTGCCTACGATGTGATCATGGAGAATGTACACGCTCTTCCTCCAATTCAACAGCCCAATTCAACCGGAGAAATCCCCCAGACTGATAACTGACAATGACTTGTCATATAGGGAATCCCCAACAAGGGAGTTCTGCTCACCCTCTGCACTCGCACCTGGTTCAACGCTCTGAAGGAAGCCGTCCCCTCGCTGCGCACGCACTTCATCACCCTCGACCTGCCTCCTCAAATCCCCGAATCCCTGCGCCCCGTGCTCCAGAACCGCAGCATGCAAGTCCGCAAGCTCCGCATTCTCCCCATCGAGGCCATCGTCCGCGGCTACATCACCGGCTCCGCCTGGAATGAGTACAAGAAGTCCGGCACCGTTCACGGAATCAAGGTCGCCGCAGGTCTCCAGGAGAGCCAGGCTTTCCCCGATGGACCGATCTACACTCCTAGCACCAAGGCGGAGCAGGGCGAGCACGATGAGAACATCCACCCCGACCAAGGTACGTGACTTGCGACGCTTTGCCCGCAACATTTTTACCTTCTTCTTTCAAAGTCAAGATCGAAACTGACGGCGAATGCACAGCTGCCGAGATTCTCGGAGAGTATGCCTCGACCGTCGAGGCGCTGGCCGTGCAATTGTACAAGGTTGCGCACGAGTATGCGGACAAGCGCGGTGTCATCATCGCCGACACCAAGTTCGAGTTTGGCGTCGACGAGGAGACGAACGAGGTTGTTCTGGCTGATGAGGTCTTGACCCCGGACTCGTCACGATTCTGGCCCAAGGAATCGTATGCGATTGGTCGTGGCCAGGCGAGCTTCGACAAGCAATTCCTGCGGGACTGGCTTACCTCGGAGGGTCTTAAGGGTAAGGATGGTGTGTCGATGACTGAGGAGATCCAGCAAAAGACCGCCGAGAAGTACAAGGAGGCTTGGGAGAAGCTTACCGGTGGTCAGTAAATTGCAAACGTCGGCGTTGCCTGTCCTTTCTAGATATGATATATATGCGGTTTTGATACGTGACAAGGATGAAAAGAATATCGAAGTGTTCGAAAATGTTACATTTGTCTTTTCGGCCCGTCGAGGCTGGGACTATATCTCCAATAATGTACTGTACACGCAAAACGCAAACGAAGGGGGAATGGCTGAATTGGGTGCCCATCACTCATCCCATTCTGATCGAAGGCCCTGGAGTCCCTTTTTCTTTGTCGGGGATGTCTGCTGCTCGTTGGTTTCCTTCTCATTGATTTCCTTCTCGTGGAGCTTAGACGCTGCCCAACCCGTACGAACACCCTCATCGACTGGAAGCGCATGGGCGCCGCAGATGAGCTTGTCGTCCGCAGCATCCTGCTCGTCCATACCATTCGTCGCCCAAATCTTATGAATGCGCAGGTCGAACGGGCCATCGATGCGGTCTGTGAGACCAATACCAATGCTCTTAACCCGGTTGCGCATAATAGAAGTCTGTGGCTCCACCACGTATCCGAAGTTTGTACGGACGAAGGAGTTCAACGGCAAGAGAACTGTTTCCCAGCCCGTCGAGCCAGATGTAGTTGCTGAAGAGGAAGAGGAGATGATTGTGGATTCGGGCGGAGTATCGGAGAGGGCGTCTGGACGACCGTGCGGGTACATTTCTTTAAGCTGTTCGCGCGACTCGGAGGGGTTGCGCGATGGGGCGGTGGGCGTGCCGCGCACGCGGTGGTGTCGGGTATACAATCTGTGTTGGTGGATATCTGTGTCGACGATGGAATCCGTTTGAATGTTCACGGTATATCTTCGGCCGTCGGATTTAATGCGAAGGGCGAGGTAGGAGTACGGATCGAGATCCCAGTATAGACGGCCAAAGAGCCAGACGCCGCGGTCTTGGTTGCGGAAAGCGGCGTATCCTGTTCAATCGCGATAAAGATCAGCTCCGAGCCCGCGAGATATCCCTAGTTTATAAGTATACATACCGGTTCGGTCGACGCGGAAGTTTGACGGAAGCTTCGTGGAGATCTGGCCGTGGAATCGAGCATGCGGCGGGATATTTGCCGCAGGCAGGCCGGGCTCGTAATCCAGACTGGCAGTGCTGAAACCACCAACGACACGGTCGGCCATGGTCTTGCATCCCTCAACAGAAGAGCTATCTTCAAAGTCGAGGAGGGTGTAGGCTTTTGTGGGCGTGTGTAGGCCTTCGGCGTTGAAGGCTGGAGTTGTGTCAGTTCGCGAATGGGACGAAAGTTCGCGGTAGGACTATGAAATACCGATTTTTGAAAGACGACCGAGTTCCTCAGCACTACGCCTGAAGAACCCAGCCTGAGATGCCAAGCTCCTAGTGGGAATCATGTTGGGCGCGGAGTTGTGAGGTTTAAGATGCAGTGGCGTGAGGAAAGAAGGTTGGAAGAGCCGGGCGCCGATCATCCGCGATAAGATAGACGCAACCACATGGGTACCTCGTAGCTAGTTATACTACACATCCTAGGATACGTATATGTGGAGAATTAGGGCTATAATGGAGGTACTATCAATAGTACATTTTTGTTCTTAATAAAACAGGAGGTGCTCAAATGGGATCGGACTATCCAATGTAGTTCTGTTGTGGCTCCGAATGTCGCTACGCTCTACAGGATGGGCCGAGGTAGTATAGAGCATCTAGTTATTAGATGGCCACTACGATAGGACCCAAAATATAGAGAATTACAAAATAGTTCAAGACTCGAAAGTACCTTCTAAGGTTTTTGATGAGAGAAGCACAAGAAGGGTCTAGATCACCTTGGGCAATGAAGTGTGGAGGACTATGACAACACCCTCGGCCGTTGGTACAGCATCCATGGATGTCGGGGAATCCAGTCAGACAGTCCTGGAGTGCGGTAATTTCTCGCAGTAACTCACCAGGGTCCAGAAGCTAATAAAATTACCCCTGGGAAGACCGAGACATTGCACCGTTACACGGAGCCGACATTCCAAGTATTCAGGACTAGCTTAAGGTATGGTACTAGAGATACTGAACATCAATCGTGTAGGGATTTAGTTTTGACTTTCTGTAAGAGTTTTCAATTCCTTTCCCACCCTTAAGCCTTGGTTCAGACCTGAGTCACGAGATGATTTAGCCTTAGGCTGTCCATTAGACTGCCCATCACTGGCCCAAATTGGCTGATTGTGCCAATATAGTACGTATGGCAGGCGTCACCCAATAGCCTCGCCCCCAACAACAAGAAATATAGAGCTAGCTGATCTTGGATGTTTTACGATCCAAGAGAATAAGTTTCAGAATATGAGGCATTTATAGATTATATCTGAATCACAAGTTTGTTCGAAATAACAGCTGCCTGCCTTGTTCCATCGGCTTAGATGTTCAGGACAGAGACCCAGACACGACACCGGGTAATGCCATAGATTAACTGCCATGTTTTCTACCTACTAAGCTCCCTGTGTCTCGCGCGTGGTCGCTCAAGCTTGGGTCAAGTTGAAATCGTAGCGACTGGTGCTCGCTGCCCCAAGGTCAAGCCCATGGTTGACGGTTCCCAGATAGGTTTGGTTCCCTGGCATGTACTATACCAAAATGATTTCGGAGCTTGAAAAAGTGTGCGGAAAAAGGTCTTCGCGACCAAAAAAAAAGGGAATCAACTCTCTCACTCATACATTCTTTCACAGCTGATCGTCAATGCGTCTTTGCGTCTTTGCGCCTTTGCTGTTTATAGGGCTATTGCTACATCTTTGATATACTGACAACTCAGTTCATTTATAGCCTTGGAAATCTGCTCAATATGGCTGAAAATGATATGGCTCCCAACGGGAATAACTTACATCCAAGACAGATGAGGCGTTTAAAAGAAGAGCCATCTGCGCACAACGCTCAGGGTCTTTTCCCTCCCGATGCTTGCATCTTCGTTGGAAAGTAAGTTTTGGATATTCTCAAAATTTCAAGTTCAATACGCTAATTTATCACAGCCTTTGCTCAAAAATGGATCAAGGTCGACAGAAGATTGACATAGAGCAATATTTCGACAATTTTGGGCGTTGCTACGCGAAGGTCAAGATCGATAAACATACACAACTCCATGGGGCCTTTGTACAATTTGAGGTTTGTTACTCTGCAACCTACTCATTGATGGATTAAGACTGGCACTAACTCTTAAACTATAGAAAGTAGAAGATGCCGAAAAAGGTCCTTGACCGTGCCGCTCAAGGTCTTCCTATAAATTTGCACGACCGCGATCTAAGAGTCGAGCGAGCCAAAGGACAACGTTAGTGCCCCCTTCATACATCTTTGTCACTACGAAGCTAACTATCCCAGGAACCGCACGCCTGTCACTTCGATCCGGTGCTCATATTACTGTAGAGGACTCCAGAAAAACCCTAGAGCCAGCAGGTCCTCTCGAGGGACTGTGTCTCCAAAACATCCAACTGGCGTCCGGTAATACTGCGACTTGTTTAGCTACATTCGTATATGTTGAGGATTGCAACGACGCGGTCAAGGTATGTGGAGCTTAAGCCTTTTTCTACCTTTCATCTTGTATCTCTTTGCACTTTGACTTACAGCTTCCCAGGATTTCCTGAGGAACCCCAAATACGATCTACGCAAGACCACGTACGAGGGCAACCCATTTGCCAACGGCGGTTCACCCACTTCAATTCCAGAGCCAACCAAACATAGACCCCAAGCTAATAATGAGGGCGGGCAAAAAAACCGATATGAGCACCACCGTAATGGCCCTGCTCCCCATAGAAACAATAGCTCAGGATTTGACAGAACTCATCGTGCTCCTGGCCGGCGCCCGAGTCACCAGCCCTTGAACCCATCTCAGAATTATCAGAATCCTGAAAGCTACCCATCAAATGGTGCTCCATACATTTCGGCTCCGAATCAGCACATGTCTTCCAGGATGGCACCGGGAGCTCCCCCATTCATTCCAGGTCAATCTCACGTTGCCCCGACGGCCAACACATACTATCCTCCACAAGGCAACGCAAACAACGGTCCTCCGGTACACACTATATACAACGCCCCTCCACCGGACGGCACATACGACTTTCCCCAGCAAAGCAACATGTACAATGGCCCCCCGCCAAACAACACATACAATGGTCCTCAGCCTAATATCGGACATGCTGGGGATGCCAGTGTAAATGGATGCAACAACCCACAGTACATGGGCCAAGGAGGCTTGAATTCCGGATATCAAGGACCTTTGATAGTCGGCGCACCTACATGCAACAACAACAACAACAATCCTCAGATGTACCCCAACGGATATCAACAGATTCCACTGCAAAATGGCTATTTCATTCCATATGGGCCTCTAGGAAACCCGATGAATGGACATTTCCCCCCGCATTTTGGACAGGAACAATACTTCCAACAGGACCCGGGGTATTTCGTCCCACAGCCTGGACCTATGAACATGCCTTACATGCAGCCGGACAACAACGCTCCTCCATTCTATCCACCGCAGCAAGCACAGCCAGCAGCCCAACCGCAACCGATAAACAACCCACCTGCGGCACCAGAGAATTCCGAAGCGTCCAAAGAGCCGGCGCAAAATCCAAGCCCAGAGCAAGAGCCTGAGCAGAAGGACCCAGCTACCGACGAGCCCAAAGCAAACGGAGCAGACAAGCCAACTTCCGAGAATGAATCCAACGAATCGCCAAACTCAGACGAAACGGAAGAGACAAAATCCGAAGAGTCCCAAACTGCTGAGAATGGATCCAATTCAGACAAAAAGAAAGAGGCAATCCCCGAAGAGCCAGTGGAATCCACCAATTCTCATTCTCCCGCCCCAACCACAGACGCTACAATTCATCCCAAACCCAAGCAAAACGGAAACCACCACCCAACCACCAACGAACTCCCAACTGAGAACAAGCCAAGCACGCCAGAAAACCCCCCAGTCTCTCGGGACTCTAGCCCGAGCCGGACAGCCAATGGCAGCAACTCACCCGGATCAACCAGACCTTCAGTGCACGATCGCGCGCGACAAGAAAACCTCAATCGCAAGCTTAACTTGAGCCCAGCCCAGGTAGAACAAATTACCAGGGAGCTTGAGATTGAGTTTGAAGAAAAGATTAAGCTGGAGGCTATGAAGAAAGACAATGGAGATTCGCATGCCGAGAAGGATGAAGAAGATCGGAATTCGCAGGCCGCTACCCTGATAGATGCCTAGAGAATATTCCTCGTCGTTACGAGGCTGTTATGGTTTTTGACCTACAGACTGGCGATATTTTTGATACGGAAGGTTACTCTTTTGCGCGTTAGCTTCAAGCTATTTTGGGCCTTTTTAAATTCTGTCTTTTGCTGACGCTACAAAGTTTTTTGTTTTTTGTTTTTTTTTTTGTTATTCATGTGCTGTTTGATATTCGCTTCAAATGTTGTTTTGATACTTTGCTTTCTGCCGAGTCCGTCTGATATCTTTGGATATTCGGATTCTAGCACATTTTTTTTTCACAGTTGTAATATTTGCTTCCGGATTATTTTGTTAGCTTTATCTTGTTTATTTGTACGAAAGATTTCATGTATGTTCGAAACAGCGTAATGCAAATCAATTGAATCGCTATTCCGAGATTTATCCACAATAGTCCACCGCACCCCCATCCCCGTTTCTAAGTTCCCAACAAAAAGAAATTCTAGAAGTATGTAATACCAGTAGTACAAAGTATGTAAGAAAAGAACTTGAGCACCAATGCCCACAATCTACTCACTCTGCAGCAGCTTGGCTTAGCTTAGCAGCTAGCACTGCTAGGCACATTGGAGCACTTGCTGCTAGTCTTTCCACCCTTGACGCTAACACCGCTCCAGTCCCAGCCAGAGCAAGCGCCAGACGCGCAGAGGACGTAGATATCAGTAGCGCTGCTGGAAACGGTGCCCTTGACGTTGTTCAGAGTGAGGCCGGTGATGGGGACGCCGTTGGTGGGCTTGCCAGTTGGGCTGCCGTTCTTGTAGTCCTGCTCGATGACGACGCCGTACTTGGTGATGCCGGACAGGGTGATGTCCTTGTAAGTGACGCCCTTGACGGAGCCGGTGGCGCCGTAGACGGTCTTGACGCGCACGCCGTTCTGAGAGTTGGTGATGCTGCAGTTTTCGATGTTGACGGTGTCGACGGTGTTGTCTGAGCGGCCGCCGACGGAGCCGATGGAGATACCGTGGCCGCCGGTGCAGGTGGCGCCGGTGAAGTGGATGTTCTGCAGGTGGAAATGTTAGATTAGCCAATTGGCCCTTCAGTCGGAGTGAAGTAAACTGACCTTGCCGGAGTTGACGGCCAAGCAATCGTCCTGGTTGTGGACGGTGGGGTTGGTAATGTAGACACCGGTGCTGGAGCCGACGTCGAAGGCATCGGTGTTGTGGCCACCGCCGCTGTCGCCGTCGGCGTTGTCAATGGTGATCTTGTTCAGGGTGAGCTCGCTGGCACCGTTGATGCTGAAGACCTGGACGGGCGAGTTCTTGATCTTGAGGCTCTGGATGCTGGAACTGATCATCTTGTGAGCATAGAAGAACTTGGGCTTCGTCTTGCCGCCGTTAGTGCCCTTGCCGTCCCACCACCGGGCACCGTCACCGTTCAAGACAGCGCCAGAGGCACCTGTGACGGTGATGTCGGTTCCAGACACGGAGACGAGGGGTCCGGACCATTCCTTGTAGCCGAAAGTGGTCTCGCCCTCAAAGATGACCTGGAAGAATACGTACATATGTTAGCCGGGGAACTGGATATACTGAGGATATTGAAGCCCAGGGCCTTTCTTGCTTAGGGCCGTACCTTGGTTCCCTTCTTCAGTCCAGTGAGATCGAGGGTAGTTCCGGCGGGGACGGCAACATTGTTCAGAGTGATGGTCGAGCAAGAGGTTTTGGCCGCGATGGCAGAGGCAGCTCCCTTGGAGCCGGTGAAAGTACAGCTAGACGCCCGGCGTTCCAGCGCGGAGGCGACAGTAGGCACAATGTCAGTCGCAGGTGCAGCCTGGACAGAGGCTGCGCCGAGGAGGGCGATGACGCAGAGCTTGATGCTGGGGACCATGGTGGGTGTGATTAAAAGAGAGTGTATTAAAAGAATGTAGTGAGTTGATCGATGATATCCGGCAGGGATGGATGGCGCGCGAGCGGAGCCATTATATAGCTTTTCGTCGTGGCTGTTGACGAAGTTGACATCTTCTAGAATCAGACTTGAATAGGACTAGATCAGGGACCAGTTCATTTGTTCCTATATTGCTCGGATTCTTCGGAGTTCGGATGTGGAGACGATAAAATGAATTTCCTCCAATGTGGTGTCTAGTCTGGCCAATGTGACGAGTCGGTATAAATGCTTGATAGGCCTAGGTTCATGGCTTTTGTTTCAGTTCCCAACCAAGTCGCCAGCCCTGCGGAGTGATTTCCTCTTTGGGAATAGCCAGGACCCTGGGGTGGAAGCAGTTTTGATGCCAGTGGCTACGCTGGAGCATTTAGGCGGAGTTGTTTCGGAGAAAGACATACTAGCCCTAAGTGGATCTAATATAGTTAGTTATTTAGGCTAGTTCTTAGTAACCTGGTGGGCGCCATGAAATAAAATGAGATCGTGGAATTTAGTACAATATTAAAGGGGCTTGGAAAAGAGGAGTTCTTGTATAGTGCTTTAATTGACCCTGACAGGTTTATCTGGGAGGAAAATGTAGTAGCCTAAATGATCTACTTAAAACCGGTTATTGAACCATGAAACGACGATTTCCGATCCAGAAGAGACATCATAAAATAGAATGGAACTTTGACACATTGGTCTGATACCGAGACAACGCCAGGTCCCGTCCGAGGATAGAAACGCAGTGGTATATGTACAAGAATGCAAAATGCAGACGTGAACCGTTCCTCCCAGACACACCGGCGCCGGATTGCGCAATAGTAATAAGATATGAATAGATAGAAAGGCAGAGAAGGACAGAGAACCGGGGGGAAAAAAACGACCCGGAACTCAAAGCAACAAGCATCATGGAGTGTGTTCATTGTCATAAAGAGTTGAATTTTCATGGTCCCGCAAATGCTTTGCTGTAATGAGAAATATGCGACAATGCTAGAGAGGATGCAAGTGATGAGATGCTCCGATTTGGCTTCGCGCTCCAAAATGCAATTTGAACATGACATGAATAAGACAAGAGGTGTATCGGGGTTAATGAGAAAAAAAGGGGTATTGGCAGAGAAGTTGAAATCGAGATGTTTGAAATGAAAGGAGAGAAAGAGGAGAGGGTGAGGGGGTGTGTGTATGCCGAGCTCAAGGTCCTGCTTTAGGCTCGGACACGTCTGGCATCAAAGTAACTCAGGTTTACAGCAGTGTCGTTGACTCCAACGAACGGTGCTGCATCCTCCAATAGTTCCCAGGAGCGGATTGGGAACGGGGCACCTATCCTTCCACGATGGTCAAGGCGCAGCTGATTGACCGTACATTTGGAGATTTCAGCGAGTCCGTTCGGAGGGCCAGATGACGGCGCTGGTGGTTGTTGGTACGTGGTAGCGGTAGGGAAGTTGGCGGATGACTGAGTAGGCGTTGATGCCGATGCCGCTGGAGATGGAGCTGAAGCTGACTGTAGCGCAGCAGCAGCAGCAGAAAAATCGGACGTGGGCCCGAGAAGGTAGGAGAAGCGGGTGTCGTTTTGGAGTGGGACGAAAGGCGGGCATTTATCTTTGAGAAAGCGGCCACATTGGAGACGAACCTCGTCTGGGAACACATCGATCAAGGAGGCAGCCACATCCAAGGCATGGGTCTGCAATAGAATTCCCGGGCAAGGGCTGTGGTTCTCGGAAGCGCCTGGATGGGGAAAGTAGTCCGCCCCTGGGAAGAGGCGTAGAACTTCACCGGGAAGACGAGAGAGCGCGACACAGAATATTGACGTCAACAATCGAGTTTGCTCTTGAGGAGAACCAATTTTCAGAGTCGGGGAAGGTTGCATGAATGAAGCACGGTGGAGGACAGCCATGCGCAAGAGCGCAGAGAACCAAAAGGCGAGGGATCGCTCGAAATGGCTCCGTTGTTGGTTCGGCGAGGCCGCAGTTCGCCTTCTATCATTGTTGTGGGAGCTTGGCTGCATTGTCAGAATCTTCTGGAGCAACGCGTCCATCTTTTCCACGACAGCCGAAGCAACGGCCGGGGTCCCCGAGTCAGGTATACTGCCGGAAAGCTGTTCGATAATGGTGAGATACAACTTGGCTGTTTGAAGAGTGCCCATGTTTCGTGGAGACGAAAGGGTTTCGGTCGCTTCTTCAAAGATTGGGATGGCGAAAAATTCTTTTTCAGCACGCTCGCGAATTTGGCGGACAGCATCTGGGTTCATAAGAGAAACGAGGTCAACCCAGTGAAGCTTCTGCGAACGAGAATCTGCCACGACCGTTTTGAACATCGCATCTACAAACCTGTCTCGGAACTCGTGTCCAGAGTCGGCATTGAAGAGAACCTGAAGCTTCAGTTGGCAAAATGGCAGCGAGAAGTCGTCTGTTGTACTGGCAAGTTTCTCGACCTCGGAAACAACCGAACCCTGATTCGCTGAGCACTGGTTGTAGGTCGATGAGGTAGCAGCTTCCACACCCGACGAGCGCTTTTCAAAGTCAGCGTCGAGCAAGATGTCGAGCGCTCTCTGCAGCAAAGCGAGTGCCGCTGGATGTTGACTTAAGAGGTTCTGCACGCATTTCTGATCTGAGCAGCCAGGATTGCGCACCAGGAGCTCGTGCAACAGCGTGACCATCGAGTTTTCCAGATTCTTACGTTGGACGATCGGGGTTGAAGTTGACGTATCAAGAGCTGCAGCAGCACTGCAGGCGATCCCAAGAGCCTGATCAGAGTCCTTTGAAAGGAACTCTTGTTGTGCAAGTCGGAACCGGTAGGAGACCAAGTCAAGGTACCCGTCATCCTCCGCACGAGTCACAAGAAGCGCGACAAGATCCGCTGGAAGACTCGCTGCGTTGGGGATGACCTTGGCAGAGTATGAAATCCGTTTCACAAGAGACAAAAATGACCGGATAGTGACACACCCAACTCCAATGAGAGGTGGAAGGATACGAAGTAAAGTACAGCGATCAGGCGCCCGCAGATGGCTACAAACCCAGCGGGCGAGGATCCCATCGAAATGCTTCGGCTGGAATGATCGGAGCTGCGCTAGATATCGGCATGTGTCGTTTGCCGACAACTTCGCACCGTCATTGCCAGATTCCAAGTGCTTGGTCAAAGTATTGAATATGGTGTCAAGGGTAGGCTCATCCATGATATTTCCGGATGAAAGGAAATGGTCCAGCTTTTCGCGGAACAGAGGATCGGCATCTCCTAGTGAATCGGGAATATGGTCAGATACCGGCGATGATGCGGCTATAACGGACCGGTTCTCCATGCGGGAGAGGTCTTGTCGTAGAATGGCAATGGTGTTTAGCTCGTTGGGGATGCGCATGCCCAATTCGATAAGAGAAAACATAAGGTCCAAATTCGGGATGCCGAACCGTTTCAACCCGGCATATGCGTCTACAACTTTTCGGAATAGGTCGGCGGTTGCGCCAATTGCACACAGAGAGTCGAAGTGGCAGTTTGTAGTGTCGGCGATAGATGCAAGAACAGTGTAGTCTTCAGAGCTCGACGTGATTCTCAAGATGTCTGCAAGCATGGAAATATCACCAAAGTTCTCCAAGATGTCACGGATGATGTAGAACTCGCTCGGTGAAACGGCAGAGATAGAGGGAACCTTCTCGCTGGAGAAGGCAGTTCGGAAACTTGAACTAATAATGACGTTGGTATTATTGAAAGTGAGAAAGAGGTCAAGAAGACTTACTGGGTGGCGTCACGGGTGTAATCGGCGATCGTGCGTCGTAGCCATTGGCAGACTTCGGCTTTGACGGCCCAACTCATTTTCGCGGGGAACACTTGAAGGGGTTCTTTTGCGTCCATTGGTGCGTCGAAAAGAGCAGGGAGACGACGGGAAATCAGATCCTTGACACTCGCGATCATTGCAGTCTCTTCCGAAGCGGAGAATCCCATGCGGTTCAATAGAGTACCACGCAAGTTACTCACATGCTCTGGAAGTCGGCCAACAGGAAGCTGGACGATCAATCCAACATCACATGGCAGATCGTGCAGCTTTGATGGAAATTAGCTCCAGGAAATTCAACTATTTTGAGTCATATTAACACTTACCGTTCTCTGTTCGTTCGAAGCAAAGCTCGTAATTCCCTTTGCCATCAACCATTGAAGATATCGACCAACCGAGAAAGTCTGTGACCTGACGAGCTCGGATACGGCGTGGTAAATATTGTCCATGTTGAGCTTTTTGGAGCTCCCGGTCCGCGTAAGAAAGGCGAGTATATGGTCGTCAACATCAACTCCAGCTGCTTTCCACTTTCGTAGAAGGCGAACTCCTATGTAGACTCGACAAATACCATGACGGAACGGTGTGGCGAGCCATTCCAATAACTTTGAGACCAAAACAGCTCTGTTGCTTACTGCATCCAGGCAGGCAGAGGAGACCGATGAGATGTCCCGTGTAGATAATACCGAGTCTAGAAGTCGAATGATGCGTTGCTGGGGTGAGCCTCGTGCGGCCTGTTTCGAGTGGCGCGGTCGTTGCACTCGTGCATTGCGCTCTGAGAGGCTTTGAAAAAGGATTCGGTCTGCTTTCTGTTCCAAATCGAGACATGATGACACTTGTGATTTGTACAAATCCCATGAATTCGGCAATACCATGGATGAGGTATGTTCACGGGCCAGTTTTGTGATGAAACGAGATAATCGATCCACAAGAGGCTTGAGGGTGCTGAGCTTGACTTCAGAAGTCTATAATTAAGGGTTAGCGTTGATCGCACAAGGTAGAGATATAAAATGGACCCACCTGTTGGAGTTTTTGAAGTAATATTTCAGCCAATTGTCGTCCCCGTCGTCGGTACCGCATGATATTGTTCCAGTAAATGCCAAGCATCAATAACCAAACAGGGACTGTGGCGATGGAAGCCGCCTCAAAGGATGAAAGGAACCACTCAAGGAAATTATCGTGGTCCAGCAGGTTCTCAAAGAACAGACGGGCAGTTAATCCAACTGCATAAGTCATCTTGCTTTTCCAGTTCAAAGACTTTGGGGAGCTAAAAACACCCTCCACAAACTGTTGTACATTGGAAGTCCAATCTCGTACCCACTTTGTCTCCAACCCCACGGCCAAAGCACCACTGGTGCCCTTTCTTTTGAAGGCTCGAATCTCGTTGGCACCCACACATTTTGCAAGCCAAACAGCTCGGGCAACTGGAATCCATTTGCCTAGACACTGATCGAGAAGGACCTTGCCGCGGATACCGTGTGGGATAGTTCTGCTGAGTCGTCGCAGCGGAACAGATTGGTTGGCGAGGTCTCGAAGCCAGGCCTCTCGCTTGTTGTCGGTGAGCGTGACTCGTGGCGGAGGCTTGAAGGTTGACGGGGCATTGATGGTATTGTGGTTTTGTCGCATCTCCATCGCAGCCGAGAATACAGATGAAAGCATTTGCAGACCAGCGCGGTGTTTGAACTGGGTGTATAGAGCGGGGCGGGCCGTGTTTGACTCGTTCTGAGAGACTTGGGTTCGGTCATAGTATCCTTGCTTGGCGGTTTGTTCGTTGAGAATATCTTCCGGATGATTCCCTGTCCACGGCGCGAAGTCGGCAACTTCTAAAGGGCATGTGTTAGCCATCTCGATGAATTTCATGGAAACCAGTTCAATCGACTTACTCTCGCCTTTGATTTTTGGTGCCACGGAAGGGACCTGGATGCGATAAGGTGTTGTTTGGACCTTGGTGTCGGGCATGTTCTCTGTAGTTTGTGTACCCACATTTCGCGAACGGTCTGCGGGTGCATTGCTCCATGGTTGAATAGGTAATGGAGGCGGCGATGAGGGCTTCGAAGTTGCACCATCGGCTCGACTCTCGCTGCCCGGAATTTCCGACATGACGGCCTGGAACGACCACAGCGGCCGGCCGCGCCAGCTGAGCTGTGTTCGCGAACCGGCGCTCCCCGGAGTATTTTTTGTTTCCGCGCTATTAACTGTTGCACCAGCTTCGCTCAAATTTGACGATCCAGATACATCGAGTCGCGGTCGTTTCGGCGGCGGTTCTCTGTCTTGCGATTCGGACCCGCCACCGGTCAAGTCGATCGCGATGGGCTGGCGGGATGACAGTTGCGAGGATTCGACTGGAATATTGGACTGGAGAGACACTGATGCCTGATCAGGCCGAGCAGGGCCACCGTTCAGCGAGCGCATCGGGTGGCCCCATGATTGGCCGCCGGCAGAGGAATGGGGGTTCATCTTAGGCTCATGGTGTCTTGTCCGAAGGGGTTTCTGTAAATCATTCGAGTTGTTGGGCTTGTTACTGGACGATATATGGGACGGTGAAAGGAAATAGGCGACGTAAGACCATCAGAGGGAGACTTGGCGACTGGGGGGCGGGAGAGGGAGTCGGGGATATCGATTGATGCAGATGCGAGGTCGATCGGTCCAAATCACAGCTCACGACATGCAGTGTTCACGAGGTGTGATAGGCGATTGCGGGGGCCCGAGCGGGCAATAGGAACGCGTTTAATGCTTCTTTCTTTTTTTGTGAAATCTGGTATACAGGAGAGGGAAAGAAGAGAAGAAGAAAGGCGTTATCGGAGGTGTTGATGAGGATAACGTAAGTCGGCACAAATCAGCCGTCCTCCTCCGGGGCTCCACCGGATCGACGGAATCAGTCTTCCTCCACAAACCCTGCGATGAGTGGCGTGGTTATTGTATGATCAAGGCCGATGAAGGCAGATGAGGAAGGCAGATGAAAGGCAGATGGGTAAATATTGTTGTCTCGGGTGTTCCATTAAAATGGACATATACCACATATCTCTATATCTCTTTTCCCTCCCAAGTATACAGTAGAGAGTATACCTAGGTAGTTGGAGGATCCATTGGCCCCTTTTAACCGGTCTACGGAGAGTATAAATCTGATCTGTCCACTCATACTACTACTGTAGTGCACAGAATCAATACTATTATGTACTCTGTCTCCATACTAGATCCCATCCTTGAGACCCTCGGATTATCATCCGTAGCCCCCCCTTTGACCCCTTTCCATCCTCGGAACAGCTTACTTGTTTTCTACGGAACCCTTTGTTTAGGATTCTCCGTCGGCTATCCATAACGGCTTGACCTAAATTCATTTTGCCGTCGCATCTCCCTTCCTGAATTGGCCCACTTGATCTTCACAAGGGGGGTTTGTCCACGCGGAATCAAGTCCCCATTTCCCCGTGCTAGTCGCAGCTGGACATGATACACAAGATGGACATGATAGACATGGAATTGGATCAATCTGCAGGACTCGGTGTAGGGTGAGTGGTCAGTCTCTCTCTCTCTCTCTCTCTCTCGGCTGATGATTGTCTCTATCTGCCCTATTTTCCCTATTTTCCCTATTTGTCTCCCCCATCCAATCCGTTCGGCACGCAACCCGCGCTCGACGGACTCCGAGGCGTCCACATTCCGCACTACCGGCCCACTGTCGGATGGCTGCATCGCTGGAATCGTATCAGCTGGGCCTTTTTTCCGAACTAGGTGTGGGTCGTGGTGGTCGTACCATCAAGCACTCTGCACTGTTTTGAGGCTGGCTGGGTTGGGCTGGGCTTTATCTCATTGCTGCAACAATGGCTGGCCATCGGTAAATGGCGCCCTTTCCCCCGTCGGCGTGGCCCGGTTGGAGATGAAAGATGCTGTGCTTGCAGGATGCAAGGAGGTCCGATGCGTGATGCGTGTGCGACCAGGCCAATCCAGACACCATCTCGATCTGCAGCACATCTGGCAACGTCTCACCGACCATTTCGGAACTGAGATCGTCCCCAGGTTTGAGCGGGTCGCCCTGCAAGTATGCGGTGATCAAAGATTGCCTAACCGACAGCCCGGGCCTTTCTTTTCCCTGCTGAAATGTCGAAATTTCTTTTCTCTAGATCATGATTTCTTGTATCCGGAGTTCTAGCTATGTAGTCGCTATATTTTCGATATGACAATTCGTAGTACTAGTCCATTATCTCCCAATTGTCCCCCAGTCGAAAGTTCTCCGTAGTCTGCCTCAGGCCACACTTCCCCGGGGGGGGACTTCCCATTCGCCTTGGGCCTTGGCGGCTATTCACCTCTGTCCTCTCTCCTATCTTCCACTCCGCACAGCAAGATGTCGTCAACCAAGGATATGCGACGGGCGGATCTCGGTCAGTCGAATTTATTCATCTCCATCTGTTCAATACTGACGTGGCACCAGCGATCCCCTATGTCGACCCGCCTAAGAGCACCAGCGAGGCCGATATGTCCAGTACGCCACACCTCATTCCACCTCCTCCCTCCCCCGCCAGCATTGGGACCTGGCACCATGTGAGCGTCGATTCTGATATAGCAGCAGGCACCATGTCGAGCACTATGCCGATGGCTGCGGTATGTTCTTCCCCGATAAACCGATCAAGGTCGGCGTTCCGAGCTTGTGAAGCAGTGAGCTGACACATTCTAGATGTTCACGCGCAACAGGTAAGCCGAGCGGCGCATTCGAAGAAATCATCATCAGATAGTATCTCGTGGTTAACAAAATGTTCGCTCTTAAAGGATGATTGGATGGTATGCTCATGACACCCATACCCAGAGTTCCGTTGGATCCGACCCTTTCTGACACGGTTACAGGGTGTCTTTCGTCTTCTCCCTCCAGTCCTGGCTGTCCGAGTCGCCCGAGCAAAAGAAGAATGCCTCCACACCGGCTTACATGTCGGTCATGATGTCCTGTTCGTATACACCCTGTCCGCGCTGAGGTCACCGTATACTAACCAATCTGTCTGTTTCTAGTGATGGCGCTGGTCGTTGTATGTCCTTTCGCCACCATCCACCCACTAATTGCTCGTGCATTTTTCTCTGACTATATCCGCAGACCTACTTCCCCATGTTCCTGCCTCCTCAGGCTAAGGGCGGCGTCGCCGCTCCAGTTCCCGCCTAAACCTCCGAACCTCAATGATACCATTATCTCAATACCAACCTGCCTAATCGTCAATTCGTATAATCCGTGCGGCCGGGGTGAGACGGCTGGAAATCTCGTCTAGAGGTCACAGCTGCACTGCCTGTCCAGTAAAATGGTGGCTGTACGATGGGTTGACTCATGCTGTACAAATAATGAGTGGATTTGTGTCCGGTAAATGGACCATGCTACCACTTGACATGTTCTAGCACTCTAGCGATTAGATTAATTGAAGCAACACTGAACTGTACTGTACTGTCTACTCCGTGTACTTTAGGTAAATACTAGTTAGTAAAAAGTCGACCATCACTGTCACTGTCACTATCGCATGTAGCTATTCACGGGTTCAGTGGGTGCTTAGTCACACACCGCCTTCCCGGGCACCCCGTCACAAAAGGCTAGTCAACTCTGCCTTTCCCTCTGATTCTTCCCTCGAACACCAGACCACCTTCATCTTCCCCACACACGCTCTCGATCGCTCACTTTCCAGAGATACTGAATCTCCCCCTCGCTCTCTTTACCAACACCGATTTCAAGAGTCGTTTACGACAAAAGGCCGAGTTTATGTCCATCGAAAACCTCAAGACCTTCGGTAAGTTGGGTCGCCACCTGCCCCCCCCTCCCTCCCACTTCACGCCTGCATATATTGTACCTGCCTCAACACCACCCTCGAGCGGTCTTGATGCAGTAGTGTCTGCAACTTGAATACATTTTGGCTTCTGGCTTCATGTGCTTGGGGTGATTGGGAGGGTTGCATCGCACTGCTCCCCCCTCGTCGATCGTTGTGGCGGGGTAAAGTTCTGGCACTGGACTGCGGCTGACACATTTTCTTCAACAGACCCCTTCGCCGAAGCTGACGAAGACACCGGCGAGACTAAACAGTCTCAGAATTACATCCATATTCGGATTCAGCGTACGTCCCTTTACTTCGTCTTCCTCTCCTAGTCGAACCCCACTACGACTTAAGCCCCGTGTTTACTTGGACCTTGGGCACGTGCTAACCATATATACTACAGAGCGCAATGGTCGTAAGACTCTGACCACTGTTCAGGGTCTTCCAAAGAAGTTTGACCAGAAGAAAATTCTGAAGGTCATCAAGAAGAAGTTCGGTACGTTACTTCCTTTCACCCCTCCCCCTCATCGCCAACCATGGTACATGAGGAACGAAACGATATCTAACACCCTTCCCTTCCAGCTTGCAATGGCACCATTGTTTCCGACACCGAGATGGGTGAGGTGATTCAGCTTCAAGGAGATCAGCGTAAGGATGTTCAGGAGTTCTTGACCGACAAGAAGGAAGGCCTTGAGCTGGATGCCAAGACCATCAAGGTACGTTCTTTGACAAAAGCCATTCCTCACAGTCCCCGTCCTCCCATCGATACTAATATTCCGCCCAGGTCCACGGTTTCTAAACACGTCACCATGCCTTGTTCCGGTCCCTTCTTCCCAGTCTATGTTGCCCCGTGAGCGGTTGGATAGGAAGCACGCGATGTATCCCCTAACCGCCGGCTGTGCGCGCACAGCCGGCCCACCCAGTCGGTCAAATGTCTTTGCTTTCTGCCCTTCACCACTCTGAGCCCGGCTTATTAGACTTGGGCCATTGTTGATATGAGATTAACCCCCCCGCTTTTCCCTCTGTATTTCCAGCGATACGGTCCCAGCATGACCGGCCGGAAATCGGGGTTGTTCCTCCTCTCATACTCGGCATTATCATTAGTGTTTCTTTTCCACAGAACGGGATCCACGACGGAACGAGGCGTTGGTAGATACCCATACCTGCATAGACAGACGATGCGTTTTTTAACTCTTCACTTGTTTGCGCGTGTGTGCTTTTACTTTATTTATTTTTTCACCATCTTATTCTCTTATCCTTTTTTTTTCCATTCCTTTGCTTTTCCGACGGGACCCTGCGTCTTGCGTGGCGAGAAGCTCCGGGTGTTTAGGGTTTCGAGAGGAAGGGTTGAGCTTCTCATGACTCCTTTGCTTTGTGCGCATGTGCTCGCCTGGTCGGTCTTTACCGTCTTCCTTTTACTTTCTCCCCTTTTTATCTGCTCTTTTCTTCCATGTTCTGCATTGCATTCCTTGCCATAGCTGCTGATCGGAAACATGGAATTGAATTGCTAGGATACTAGGACTGTGTCTTGTAGTACATGTAGGTTACCCTGAGTGCGCTCCTGCTTTAGTATTTACATTCATGCAGCAGTACTACTAGTAGTTGCAGTACTGGTTTCAAAGGCCCGATAGGGTACTTGATTCGCGTTTACGGTGTATTCCCATGTTCCAGCCCTTTTCAGATTGCGTATCTACTATTTCTGATAGTCAAGTCTTAGTACCTAGGTAGGAAGTTTAATGTAAAAACTAAATTCAATGTGGGAAGAAAAAACCCCTGATAGGACTCGAACCTACAACACAGTGATCCGAGATCACTTGCACTACCAATTGTGCTACAAGGGAGGATGCAGTAATCACGTCAGGTAGTAGGTGGGATGACTCAGGAATGATATCCGGCGCGGAAGCAGGTTGCACCTAAAGGTTCCCTTGAACTCGAACATTGATCAACTGCGCCTTTTATTTAGGTTCAGATTGCCGGTATTCGTTATCTAGGTCCACCGATTGTAAATACAACTATTCTACATACATACCGACTTTTTAGGTGAGAGTATAGTACTACTGGTAAATGCAATTAGGTAAGAAAGTAAATAGATCTGTCAAAGATCGGTGTGTACATGATCACAAAAAAAGCAGAGCCCTAACACAATTCATGCTATGCACCCACTCCAGAAAAGAAAATGACAATCCCGAAATATACAATTCGGCCCGATCTCGCGGCAACGCTGGCACTCGGTGGTATCGACCGGTAGGTTTTGGGGTAGTGCATAAGGAAGAAATATATGTAAATATAGACCCCCGGAAAGGAGACGAGGAGAAAAGCAAAGCGAAAGGGGGAAAGAAGAGAAATGGAATAGAATGAAATGAGGCAAAGGGTGTTATCAAAGTTCTGCGGGATCTGCGACTCGCATGCGCAGGAAGATTGCTACCGCCCAGTCCCAGAGTTTGCGGGTGATCACGAAGACTGGGACTTCTGGTTCGTTTTCGCGGGTGAGATGGAGTTGTAAGAGCAGCGAGGACATGCTGAGGAAACTGGCCACTGAGACGACTAGTAAGGATGCTGTTGTTTCTCGTTTTATCGTCGCGTGGTTTTGGGTAGCGTGGTAGACGAAGGTTAAGCTCTGGTGAAAAGGGTTAGTCACTATCATCAATTGGTGTTTCCATGGGCAGGAAAAGCACGTACAGTGGTGATGGATATCCAGGCGGGTAGTAGAAGCCTAGGGTCAGAGGATGCGCCAGAGAGATAGAGAACCCAGGAAGTAGTGTATGCGATCAATCCATTCGTTGTTAAAAGGCGGATGACAACCGCCGGAGGTGTATAATTCAAGAGCCTGGAAGTGGAGAACCGGTGAGGAAAATGAATGATAGCGAATGTTCAGGGCGAGTGAAACTTACCATCGAGACATCATACAATCTGCAAAGAAATAAGATAGATATGCGGATGCACAGCACTGGCGAGAAAGTTAGCATCACTGGTTCCCAGCCCGAAAAAGTCACGGTTGAAATATCACATCGCGTGCCACCTCTTTACTTACCCACATAATAGCCAGAGCGACTTCAGTAACACGAAACCTCCTCTCAACATCCCACTCCTGTCCCACGCTGCCTACAATCGCCGCCGCCCACCCCTCGCGTCCCATGCCGGGCCGAATATGCAACAGTTCTGCCAAAAAGGTGAAGGCGCATCGCAGCCCCCACCAGGCAGAAGGCACCGTGCTCATTGCCCGACAGACCAGCAGAGGGATGTACCATCTGCGGTCAACCCCCAGTATGACAGCCACCCGCGGGTGAAGGGGTGAAGGAGCAGCTTGGCCAGCATCGCTGCCGAGTGGGGTGTGGGATGTCGAGGAGGTCGGGGAGGGCGCGACAGCGGGCGGCGCTGTGGAAGTCACTTCTTTCATGAATTGGACCGCGGGCAATGTTGCCGTAGGCCGGAGTAGTTGAGGAAGTGGGTTCGTCCGAGAGAGATCTAGGTCTGGCTCGCGAGGCGACTCAGCGGGGGGAGCGTACGGCGGAGGAGACGCATTCCGTCGAGGAGCCAGCCTTGACGAAGAATCGCGGCATATGCGGCCGGCGCGCAAGTCGGTGTGGGTTCGTTTTGGACTCTTTGGAGTTCCCACGAGAATATCTCGGTTGCTTCGTTTTATGTCTGAACTGCTTGGGCTCGTTGTGACCAGGACGTGTTTGAGTAGGGCTGATTGGGCCGGGTCTCCCCTGATCAATAGATTTTCGAGAAAAAACTGTACAGAACGAATGTCCCTCGATATGTGGAGGATCGTCTGTAGTAGAGGAAAAATCAAAAAGCTACCCCTAAGCGATCCGAAGACCGGGCAACAAGATAAAATATAAAGAGAAAGAATTGGGTGGAGTGTCTGGAAGGGCTTCTCCAGTGGAGGACCTTGCCATATCGCGGAGATCTACACGTGACTCCGGTTTTTATTCTCTTGGGCCAATCTCGAGACACTTATTTCCCCGACGCAATCCGCCAAGTCCTTCGCTACTCGCCATGGCTTCCTCACTTCGTTCGCCTGCGGGCAAGACTCTCTCGATTACACGGTCGAGCCTGGGAAATGCCCGATCCTACGCCCCTGGCGCGCCGCAATGCCGGTCTTTTTCACAGGCGTCGCAACGATGGGCTTTCAAGACGCAAAACTTCAGCCCGCGCTCTATATCCCAGCCCTCGATGAAGGTCCGATCAAAAGACCTTCTCGCAGGCCAGCTACCGAATGATATTGGATTGTTACCGGGAACCTTCGTCCGGCCGCTGTGGAGGGATATGCCTTCGGTTTTCGACAAGCCGCGGGATCGGCTCCAAATGGAGTGGACCTGGATTAAGGCATGGTTCCAGAACTTCATGAGGTGAGCCCTACATAGCCTTCCTGCTTGTTCTACTTCCGCCTCGCACGGAATATCAGATCCTGGTGGTAGGGAGGGCAAGAATGAACATCCCCGAGCAGCAGAAAGACTCAACCCTTCAAGACATGGCAACTAACATCAACCAGCTTGATCATCTATACCAAGAAGGACAACAACTACCCCCTCCTCCTGACAGAGCGTCGAAAGATCGCAACCTCCCTCTACAAAAACATGTACACCACATTCGCCAGGTAAGCAAAGCAACGCCTTCGCCTCCCCATCCCGCACTATAAAAACTAACCCCCAAATAAAAGCGGCGACATCTCCAAGCTCAAGCAAATAACCTGCGACGGCCTCGCCACAAAATTAATCTCCCAAATTGAAGCCCGCCGCCCAACAGAAGTAGTAACCTGGAACCTAATCAAATGGCTCCGCCAACCCAGCACCTACTTCACAGGCGTGCGCGTCCTCTCGGACCGCGCCACCCAACTCCCTGAAGTCGCCAAGTCCGGCATCCGCCAGATCGTCCTGCGCGTCTCATCCCGCCAATCCATGACAAAGGCCTCGAACTCAAAGGACGTCGCCGCCCAACCGGCAAAGCAGCAGGACGTTACCGAGTACGTCGTGATCCAGCAGCTGATCTGGAACGGCAAGGACGCTGGCTGGCGCGTTTGGGGTAATACCAAGCCAACGACTATGGAGCAGGTCTGGCACGACCCCTCCTTTGCGCCGGGCATGACGGCGCTGGAGAGACTCGATGCGATGAAGGATTTCATGAAATGAACTCGTGCATCGCCCGCTTCGGCAAGAGGAACCGCAGGGAATTCTGGATTTGAACTGAGAACGGTGGTGTGATGGATGTGACGCCCGTTCCTTCCTTCGATTCCTGGTATCGCCGTCGCTTTCTCTCTTCTCTGCGCTGGTCCATTCTGTTTTACGCCACGTCCGTTGCATTGGTGACTCTGCCAATGCAATTCTGTGATATAGAGCCATTACTTTTTTCAATGTACAATAGCATCTCTCCCGCTTATATCGAGCCGTTTTCTTCCTACGCATTTTCATTCCGATATAAAAACCCACTAGTAGGTCTTCAATAAGTTAGTTGGCTACTAACTTGGACCGCTAGTTCTTCGGTCCGAGGGTAAGTCATAGTAAACACTAGCAGCAGGATCTCTTTCGAGCGTAGTCGCGCTTCCATGCACGTCGATTATACAGTTTACTAGTACAGGGTTCAAGTGGTAGATAAGACTCGTGAGAATTCAAAAGAGCAAAATGCCAAAGCCAACATGATATATGTACAGGGGGTAGACACCAAATTAGTGTGGTACGAGTCAAGTGAAATCAAGTGAGGTCAGGTCAGTAAGCAGGCAGAGGTCATGCCGAGGTGTTCTCTGAAGACCAGTACAAATGGTGCGATGGGGTTGGGCGGAGATCTGCGATCGTGAAAGCATAGAGATACGTAGTGCGGGAGTCGGAGTGTGGACGTGGTATTGGTATTTCGTTCCGACGATAGACGTGTATTGATGTGCGGTGAATCATCTAGTCGTCGTCGAAGATTTGGAAGGTGTTGTTTAGTATCGTTTCGATGACGCGGACTTGCCAGCCTGCGTCGGCGATGTTGCCGCCTGAGTTGGCGCCCATGAGGGTTGGTCTGGGATAGTGTTAGGTTGTGTATCTATGGATTTGGTACGGTGGATGAATACGGACCCGAAGCAGATGGCAAGGTTGCCTGCATTCATTCGGTTTTTGGTGTAGTGTTCTTGGACCTTGTTCAGGTGCTGATGATTGTTGTTAATCTTTGCTGTTCGAAGGGGGTATTTTATTCTGGTGATGTGGCTTACCAGGATGATTGCGCGGAGAGTAGCGTAGTGTGCATCGGGTAGACTGTTGATAAGAGCGTGCAGCGAGTCACGACGTTGGATATCGTCATCAATGCCTGGCGTGAAATAGTTGGATTAGTATCTCATTTGAATTTGTTCAGGCGGGAGCTTTCTACTTACGGGCTGCATCGACAAATTGGGTATAATACTGTGAAGTGAACAGAGGATCCGGGAGATCTCGGAAGAATAGCTTCGCGAGCCCGGCAACGCTGTTGACGTCGTGGTAGAAGTTCTCCGGGTTTGTGAAGTCCACTTGCGACGAGTCTATAATAGCGAGTTAGATTGGGATATCTCCAAAAATCAGGATCGGGGATAGTTACCATTGTCGAACACGGCCTTCATGTGGCTGATATGGTTGGCACTGCCAGAGAGTCGGTAGATACCTTCCATATCCAGACCATATAGTTCAACAGCCTGGAAACATTGGTAGACTAGGAAAGGCACAGCAGTTCCATCCCGAGCGTACAGGTCCTCGAGGGATACTCCGAAGACCGGCTTCAGAGGAGGCAGATTTGTTTGGTAGCCACCCTTTTCCATTGGAGGGGGTCCAGCCATTGGCACCACTACCTGCGATGGAGGTTGCTGGGGTGGTGGTCCCGAGACCGGGTATGGAGGCTGGTTCGGTGGTGCCGATGTAGGTTCTGACTGGGTCTGGTATGAAGGCGGCTGGAAGCGATCGGTATTGCTCTGTGGCGGTTGGGTCGCAGGAGAGGAGATATTCGCAGTGGAGAATGTCTGAGGTAGAACAGATTGACGCTTGTTCAGAGTGCTGGGCTGTGAGGATGTACTAGCTCCGCCGCCAAGTGTCTGGAAATTGCGTTAGAACACGAGTAGGTATAGACTTGACCAAGGGGGAAGCTTACGTGGTGGGGTTCATATTTGACTTCATCTCCTGCTACAGCACCTTGATTTCCCTCGTGGCTCAGGATGTATTCGTGAAGGTCCTTCTCGTTGTCAACCTGGCGGACAACCTCCGCAAGACTCTTGGGTGCAATCGAGCTCGAGCTATCCGTCTTCATGGGGCTAACGCACAGGCCCTGTCCCAACAGGAGCTTTTCATTGAAAGTAGCTGTAGATTGTCAGTAACAAGGAGCAGCTGAGATGATGTCGAGCCACGACTCACCGAACTTCTGCTGCTGCAACGTTAATCCCGAGTCGCACTCGGCGATGAGCTGTTGTAGATTAAACACAGTCTGGGGACGATGCATGGACAGCAACTCCCGGCGCGCAGCCTGTGCCGCCTGAACCTTAGTCTTGTAGTCGTCATCAGCAGTCTCGACCTTACGCGTAAGCTCCTCCTCATGCTGTGCACCAGACTTGTGACCCTTCAAGCCGAACTTGCCTCCAGTCTTCTCACCAGTGCGGACACGGTCCAACTGCTCTGCTAATGACTGATATTTGGCCTTGGCCTTGTCGGCCTGGGACTCGGCATCGGTAACCTTCTTCTCTGCAGCCAGTCCGGTTTGTTTCCATTGTTTGCGGCCACGCTCAATGTTGGCGGAAAGCTCGCGCAGATCGTCTGCCATCTGCTGGAGTGATACGGCGAATTGGAGACCATGATCGGCCATGCGCTCATGCAGGCGGTGGATATCTTTGTAGCTGGAGCTGTACGTGCCCTGGCGGTTGTCGTTGCGTTGCGCGGCTTCGTTCACGGCGCGGGACAGTTTGCGCAGCCCCTGAGCGTGCTCTTCTTCCAAGGAGCCTCGCTTTTTGAGAAAGCTGGAAAAGTCCTAAGTAGACGCAAAAGGGTATTAGTTAGCAAGTGCAACCTTTCCTCTTCGACATGGGGATATATGGCAGTGACGTACTTGGGCGGAGGCCACGCTTTGCTTCAGACGAGTAAGGAGAGTGGTGATGCCGATCTAGGAGATATGTCAATCAGCATGGCAATTCCCGGAGTACAATCGTGGGGCGTAGTTTAGCCATTGGCGACTCACCTCCGAGTTTACCACTTTGTCCAAGCGAGCTTTCAGTTCATCAGATATGGCGGCCTGGGGTTGTGGTTGGTGTTGGTCGAGGGCCCCCGAGTGGCCGGAGTCGCGACCGGCACTGGATGGGCGCGCATCGGAGAGCGCGGGGAGCGCTGTCGGCTCAGGGAGTACTGAGTCGGCCATGAAGGTAGATTGAGGTATGGTGGGAGGATGTGGAAGAGGAAGAAGAAAGCAGCCGAGGGGGGGGATCGAAAGCGCCACACCGGGGGTGGCTATTATTATCGATGTCACTTGGCGGTGGAGAGTCGATCAGAGGCCCACCGAGAATGTTGCAGCCTGAAAAGGATCAAGTCTATAATGTGAACCAGTATGACCATGAGGATACAAATATTATATAGGGAGAGAGAATTATGGAGGATGCAATTGCATAGCACTGGTGTTAGGCAGCGGGGTTGTCTGATGCCCTAAGAAGTGTGAAGTACGAGGTGCATCGTGCCTGATGGAGAACTTGATGTGGCTCAGGGATGACGCAAGCAGATCAGCCACGAAGAATAGAATCCACCAGAGCATTCAATTATTATGGATATGGCCTTTATGTACTCTTTACTCCGTACTCCGATATTGTGATAATTTATATAGTACTCCATACTCCTGACATGTTCACAGCCTCAAGCTCCGAACATGGAACACTTCAGCCACATCCATCCTGGCCGAAGTCTATTGGCACTTCCATGTACTCTACTGGGCATGATATACTAGTGCTAAATTAACTAGTTGATTGAGTTCATATCGTTGATCTGAATAGATACAAAAGGTTACAGTATACTATTATTAATAGTTGCTAGTAACTGGTCACTTAGAGCCTCAACTCCTTGCAGACCCGGACCCACGTGTACTAGTGGGATGGACTCAAGTTATAGTATAGCTACTAAGTAGAGAAGAAAGCTATTCTAGCACCGGAGATAGCTTGCCAGCTTGAATCCTTCTTGAATCCCCACCTTGCTGGTACCTAGGTATCCTTCAAATTCCCCGAATGCGGTTCCCATCCAATCAATGTCAGCGGAGGCCGATCTGATAGTCTCATCATGACCCACTTACCATGGCCCGAGGTCAAGACTGTGCCTAGGTGAACTAATGTACTTAAGGTAGACAATCTCCTCTTTTGATCCATGATACACTTTGTAGAACCTACCATACCTACCACAACCTTCACCATGTCCGAGATCAATGTCACCGCGGTTATCTATCCGCAGCCCGACAAGTTCGACGAGGTGAGATGATCCAAGAACCTCCTCATTCCATGACTCCCGGTCTAATCAAGTCAGGTTGCTGCTTTGATCACCGAAGTCACCAAAAAGGTGCAAGAGAACGAGCCCGACACTTTGCTATACTATGCATTTCAAGTGCAAGGCAAGAAAGAGATAGCAATTGTCGAAAGGTCAGCTCTCTTCCTTTCTCTTCCCCTCATCTCTCATCTCTCAGCTGTCTCGTGCCTCGGCATATCCGAGCCCTCCAATGGGAACTCGTCAGCAAGCCAGGGGGATCAAGGCCAGAGCCAAGCTAACCGAACCCCAGATATAAGAACCAAGCGGCCGTACAGGCCCACGTCAAGTCAGCCTATTTCCGCGAGTTCGCTGCCAAGATGGCCAAGTTGACGGCAAAGCCCTCTGAGTTGCGGGCTGGAGGATTCCTGGGCGGTTCGCGGGGCGTATCGCGGCTGTAGAATGGGAGGAGAGTCGAGTTGGTGGCAGAGTTGAACTGTTAATATTGAGGAATCAGAGAGCTAGATATAAATAAATAAGAGACCAAGGAAATCATTGGGTGATTCCAGGCTAACACCCGTGATTGTATTGTCATGCGATTGGTGCAGGGTAGAGAGTCTTGGGTAGTTGGGGAACTGAGAGGTCATCCGAGCCATCGCAGGAACACCAACCACCACCACTCACGAGGTCCACCACAGTCCAAGAGTTCATCAGAGCTGATTTCTGGAGTAGGGACTACTGTACATAGACCACTGGCATAGATCGTCCATTGGGTATTCTTTGGGTATTCTGGTGGGTCCTATCAAGCTGTCCATCCCTTTTCCCTTTTTTTTTCCCAATCAATTAGTCTCTCCACATCAGCCCTTTACCAACGGAGCACCTTTCCAAAGAGCTCGGCCCCTCCTTTTCTTCGCGATCTTCCCCTTCTCCACCTACGAACCTGAACCTCACCTTCACCAACCCCCTCTTTTCTCCTGATCTTCTATCCCTCACTTTGGTCTTCGATCCGACAATCTACCTTATCGATTGTTATTCAGACTGCGCTGCCCCGGGCCCTCCTCTCCTTATCGTCCAACCCCCCCTTTTGTTTCGGTGTACATAACTTCGCACAACCATGGCGACGGGTCCGGCTACTCAATCGCTCAAGGTATGCTTCAGCTTCCTCTACTGCTCTGGCGAGGTCTTGGTTAGAGTAGCAGCTAATAGGACGAATAGTGCGTGGTGACGGGTGATGGTGCAGTTGGCAAGGTCAGTACTTGCCTTCAAATCCCCCTCCAATTCCACATCCACAGCTGCAATGGAAATATTGACAAGCTCGATTCTCTAGACATGTCTTCTGATCTCCTACACAACAAATGCCTTCCCCGGCGAATACATCCCTACTGTGTATGCTTCAACCCACTTCCTCGCCTCCTCCACTCACTGTGTTCTCACTGCTCTCACTACTGTCCAATGAACTCAAACTAATGGACCTATCCCACAGCTTCGACAACTACACCGCCAGCGTGATGGTCGATGGTCGACCGATTAGTTTGGGACTGTGGGATACCGCTGGACAAGAAGATTACGACCGTCTCCGACCTCTCTCCTACCCGCAAACCGACGTCTTCTTGATCTGCTTCTCGATCGTCAGCCCACCTTCCTTTGATAACGTCAGAGCCAAGGTACGTTTACCACCACTTGAATCGCTTTTTCATCTCATCCTACTTCTTTCCCATCAAGAATCCGCAACTGCAACCTGCAACTTCTCGTTCTATTCTATTCTATCGTTGGACGCCAAAGTAAACAATGACTAACCTCCTCTCCAGTGGTTCCCCGAGATCGAACACCACGCCCCCAACGTCCCCATCATCCTGGTCGGCACAAAGCTCGATCTCCGCGATGACCGCGCAACCACCGAAGCTCTCCGATCCCGCAAGATGGAACCCGTCTCATACGAGCAGGCCCTGGGCGTGGCCAAGGAGATCCGAGCACACAAGTACCTGGAATGCTCTGCCCTGACACAGCGGAATCTGAAGAGTGTTTTCGATGAAGCCATCCGGTAAACCATACCCTTCTCCACTCCAACCGCATCAGATCAGATCAGATCAGATGCAGCATGATACACGATCTTGAACCATCGCTAACATACCCAAGCGCCGTCCTGAACCCCCGCCCCGCAGCCAAGTCCGGGCGAAAGAACAAATGCGCGATCCTGTAGGATACTGTCTTCCGTGCACTCTTCTTTACGTCTGCTATAACGATTAATATATAGTTAATACGGCGTCTCGGACGTGTACGTGAGGGTGGAAATCTGGGCTATATCTTTGCCCGCACTCTCTCGTTTTCTCTCTCTCTCTCTCTCGATGAACTCTACCTTCAGCACCATACTCTCCTCACGACCCACACGAAGGAAGAAATATTGTCACTTCGAATACCTTCCATCCATCCATCCACCCATCTCCAGTTCCAACTGTCCCGTCTGAAGTGAACTCGGGCCAAATGCATCATTTCGCCCCATACCAAGCATCCCATCCATCTACCACATGTCCCGCTGCGATATCCTCCGTGTTTTGATTTGATCTCCAAAGTTGTCAGCTTATCTGTCTGAATGATTGTCCCATCTTATTTTCTTTGCAATCGGGAGTTTCTTTTTTCATTGCTTCGTCTTTCTTCGACCGTCTCTCTATTCTCTATCTCTCCCCATGATTCTAGAAGCCATCGTACTGATAGATTTTTTGTCAAAAAAAAACTTACGCAAGTATCCATTTAGAGCGACGGTCTATTGGAGAATATCGAGCCGTTAACTTGAATTACCTCTCGCTCACTATGAGTATAGAGTATAAGTATACCAGTATTCCAGACATCACCACCACCTAGCCACGGTTCTACACCTTCCAATACCTCGAACCAATTAGTTACACACTGTACATACAATTCTACAGTACTCAGGTAGTAATCGGCACGGCCTAACAAAATAAACTGTACATGCAAGCCATGAAGCAGCGTTCTATATGGGTCATCAAAACAATAACAAAAACCATGCCAGCTCGCACGAAGCGTCCGCAGAGATAAAAGAGAAACAATCGTTACACGACCAAGATCAAAAGCATATTTTCCATAGATGGCATTTACCACATCTGCTGCGGTCTGCGACTCGGGTGCACGCCGGCGTACTTGTCGTCATCGCCGTTAGCAGCGGGTGCCGGGGCTTCGGCGTTGGCGCCGGTGCGTTGGGCGGGCTTGTCGTGCTTCTTCTTGTCCGTCTTGATCTTCTTTGCGTCGCGCTGGCGCTCGTCGTTGAGTTTCTCGTTCTTCGCTTGGATCTTGGCTTTGCGGCTGTCTGTGTTGCCGCCGCCGCCGGCACTGGGGGAACGTTAGTATGTATGTGATGGAATTGGGATTGGGTCGGGGATTGGGATGGACTCACGTTAGCTCGACGTTCATGCGGCGAGGTGGGTACTTTCCGTCGTCGAACATGGAGTGGTGGTACAGCTTAAGGCAGGTCTTCATGCGGTCGTAGTTGTCGAACTCGATGAAGGCGAAGCCGCGGCATTTGCTGGGGGCTTCTTTCTTGGTTGCGACGCGGATGAGGGCTGGGGGGGTTCTTTTCGAAGTGCTTGGTGAGGGATTCGTGGTTGGCGGAGTAGGGCAGGTTGCCTTTGGTTTGAATTGATTAGTTTCTAATTGAAGTCATCGGGCAGTTTGTGACTTACCGACGAAGCAGATGAAGCGAGAGTTCTTGCCCTGGGCAGCAGCAGCCTCCTCTTGCTCTTGCTCTTGGGTTTGCTCCTCGGGGGTAGCGGTCTCCTCGTCGGTTTTTTGCTTCTTGTTCTTCTTGTCCTTCTTCTCTTTCTTCTCTTTCTTTTCCTTCTTCTCGGTGGTCTCTTCGTCGACGTCCATCTTGTCGGCGGGTGACTCGGTCTCGGTCTCGTCTTCGGCCTTGCGCTTTTCCTTCTTGTCCTTCTTCTCCTTCTTCTCGGACTTGTCCTTCTTCTCTTTCTTGTCCTTCTTTTCCTTCTTTTCCTTCTTCTCCTTCACCTCCTCGGTAGCAGTCTCAACAGGCGCAACCTCAACAACCTCTTCCTTCTTCTCCTTCTTCTCTTTCTTTTCCTTCTTGTCCTTCTTCTCCTTCTTCATCTTCTTGCCCTCAGGCACAACTGCATCAACCGCGTTCTCGAGCTTGCGCTTATCTCCCATTATGAATGTGTGTGGTGGTGGTTGATTGGGGGTATGGAAGTTTGGAGCTTTTGTCGCAAGATCCAAGTTCGCTCCGAAAAATTTGGGCGGAGACCGAGAAATTTGGATTTTGCCGTTTCCACTAAAGGGCGGTGAATCGCTATCGATCGCTGCTCTCTTCCCGATTTGGTAGTAACCTCGAACTTTACTGCATTGGGAGGTTGTTTTATTGGATTCTACCTTCGTCTCAATGTATCTGAATATCTTCAATTGGTGGATTATGATTGAACGGAGTGCTTGAGATTGTTGAATTCTTTGGCTCAGTCAACTTCAGTTCTCTTTGGATCTAGAGTTGTCAAATGGCACGGGCTATAAAGGGCTTAGCTTGTCTAGTTGTCAGGCATTCTCAGGCACCCGTGCATATTATTTAGACTTGGGAATCCTTTGATTATAAAGTACGTGGGGAGGGGAGAGGAGGATTTCCTGCTCTTCTCGCCAGGCCATCATTGCTCTCCACTGGCAGAGCTATGGACTGCACCACAGAAGGTAGCGGCGATCTATACGGCGTCGGTGTCCGAACTGGCCTTTATCTACAATGGGCTGCTGGATTTCTCCTCCGCAATTGGAATGGATCCTGGAAAACCATATCAGCCGTGCGCGTTGTAAATAATGCGATTTGCTATGCGATTATCGTCACTATGATCATCGGACAAACCAAGGGCTCCGCACTGTCCCTGGACTTCCTTCTGGTCTATTATCTCACCATTGCATTATTCTACTCCGAGTCATACAATCTCTTGAAAAAGCGCGACGCAGCCGGTAACGAGCAGGGGTATTTACTACGTCCCGATTTCCCGCTCGTTGCGCAAAACCTTTTATGTGCCCTGATCAGTGTTTTTGGCGTCTGGTTCTGGATTCAAGGAATTTATCAAGTCGAGGCACCCACATGTCCGGCAAAGGCAGCTTGTCTTGGTCTCTTTCCATTGATGAGCGCCCCGTGGCGTCGATTTGCGGCTACGATTAGCGCTATCACGGGTATAATATTCATCACTTTCTTCATTGTTCACCTGGTGGAATTATTGCCAGGCCTTAAAAAAGGCCCTGTGAGACGAGTGAACCAGATCGGGATACGTTTAGCCCGGATATTTCAGATGGCCTCGGCTCGGAGGATCGACTTCGGTTCTTCCCAATCAGTGTATACATACCGAATCAAAACGTCGTCTACCCAAAGCATTCTACGACCTCAGCTCAGGCAAGCACCGACTAATTTCGGCGGATTGATCAAGTTCATCCATTGGGGGATCATCAATCTTTTGGGCCCGCTTATTGCGATTGTCTCTGTGGAGAGGATGCTGCAGGCAAATCATCTCACTACAGAGAGTATCGCAACTTCAAGTGGTCAAATGATTTCCCTCTTCACCGGCATCGCAAGTCTTTTCGTTGCTGTTGCCGATATCTTAAAGGGGATCTGGTCTCAACAAAGGAAAGATCTAGCAGAGGAGTTCCTTGAGCACCAGGTCCATGATAGATCTCGACCGCTGAATGCGAAGGAAACCAGACTTCTCGTACGTCAACTCATAGTGGCTGAAGAACAGCGAGACCCGGCATTTCTAGAAGAGATAATCCAGACTTCGGCTTCAGATACAGTGGATATTCCGAATCCCCTGGTAGAGAATGAGGAGCTGGAGTCATCTCCAGATTCCGCAAGCAAGCTTTCAAATTCCATCCGGGTCGGAAACGGGGACACCTTTAAGACATTACTTGAGGCAATCGGACCAAACTGCCCTGATAAATTGGGCAAACATCCTCTATGGTGGGCCGTATCCTGCCATCAACCGGAATTCGCGACCATTCTGCTGAAACGATACGATATCGAAGTCAATTGTCGCGATCACACGAACCGACAAACTCCACTGGGTCATGCGGCACAGAGGGGAGATCTATCGATGCTCAAGCTACTACTCTCACACAAGAACATTGAAGTGGACGCCCGAAATAAATATGGGCAAACGCCCTTCCTAGAAGCAGCAGCAAACGGCCACGTCGAAATCATGGAAGAACTTTCTTTACATGATGCGGACCCAAATTGTCGAGATCAAAGAGGCTACTCTCCACTGACCTGGGCTATTCTTAAAGAACATGATCCAGTGATCAAAATATTGCTATCAATAAGCGAAGTGGACCCAAATCTCGACGACGAAAACGGCCAACAACCTTTATGCTGGGCCTCCAAAAAAGGAAATCAGGCCGCCGTGCGTCTTCTACTCGATCACGGGTCTCAAACCGAGATAGAGCACAAAGATCGGCACGGCAGAACGCCTCTCTGCTGGGCAGCTATGAAGGGCCAGAGCGAGTTAGTCAAGACCCTTGTGGAAGAAGGGGCAAACCCTTTCCCTCGAGATATTTCGGAGCGTACGCCGTTAATATGGGCAGCTATGCGGGGTCACTTGGAGGTTGTAAAGTATTTATGTGCCCAAGCATCAACGAGAGACCCATCGCAGATTGATGCCAGGGATATAGAATCCCGCACGCCGCTCTCGTGGGCTGCTCGAAACAATCATGAGCAGATTGTGAAGGTTCTGTTGAGCTATGGCTCTGATATAAAGAGTCGGGATAGCGAGGGTCAGATTCCGCTCTTTGTAGCAGCTCAGAATTGCAATGTGAAGATTTGTAGGCTTTTGGTTGGGAGGAATAGGGTTTATGTCAGGGATGGTGACTCTGAGAGGGGTTTTTAATTAAGTGAAGAGGGTTCAATTCGACGAGATAAACGCAGCAAGCAGGACCAAAGAGGCTCTGGATAGCACCGTGACTGCAAGAGGATCAGATTCTTGACATTGGTGAAATCATTCCTGCTTAATCAGGTATAGAAATATCTTTTCAAGTAGTGGTGGCCGATATGTCGCCCGACTAGTAAGAAAGAAGTTCAGAGAGATTCTGGCCATCTCGGTGACCGTTGCACCGACCCCATCTAGTTACTCCCTCCCCAGCTGCTTTAGCATCCACATCTCTCCATCGAATATTCCCCCTTCAAACCCTTCAACTCCATCATCCATCCGTCTAAAGAAGTATACATTTGCCATCTCATTACCATCGACATTCAATGACAGCCATGCAATTGCAGAGTTCTCGCCCACAGCCTCGACTCTGTATCCAGCCACTTTGAACGGAACGCCATCCAACTTATCAAGAGGCCCAGATATAAGCGAAACATAGAGCGATGGGTCAGAAAGTTGAGTAAGAGCACCATTTGCAAAGAAAGAAATGGTTGGAAGGTAGTAGGTGGCCATTTTCGTAGCGCGCTCGATGGACTTCTTGAAGACGGGCGATGTGAGATCGGCGATATAAGAGACAATGTGAGCCTCTGCAGCGGCGGTAATAGCGGTGGTATCTTGTTTGGTGGCCATGACTTTCTTTGGGGGGTTGCGAGAATTGCTTTGATTGGAGCTGTGTAGGAGATGGTTGATTGGAAATGTCGGGATGAGATCCTAGGCTTTTATAATAAATGCTTTCAGTTGCTTTCTAGCATATGAAATGGGTCAATTCCGCCATATGCCCGCCGTTCCTCCACCGTATCTCTTCTACTAGTCCAAGTTTCGGAGGTCTTCGGCCGAAGACGAGTAATCTGAACTATAAGAATCTACGCCGACCCTATATCCTATTTACCAAAACTATAATAGCCATATCAACGGAAGTAAATAATCTTGATTCATATCCTCGTATAAAAGATAAATAAATGATAGCTCGTCCTTTGGGGTGTTTCCATCAATGCGGACGCAGGAATTGGGAATAAATCACAGTGTCCAATTACCCACCAAGTCCGTATTCACCAAACTATCGAAAAAAATCATATCATCCGGTGAGAATGACCATTCACTGGTGCCAAGACTCTCTTGAATATCGGATATCTCAGGGAATTGGAAGTGACCGCCAGAGAGCTGCAAAATAGTATCAGGTCCTCGCACGACATGGCGAGCAGAATTCCCTTCTGCTGCAACTCCTTCCTCGCGTCGTTTTTCTATCGAAGACAACAAATCCGGCGCGCAAATTCCTTCCGCCATGGAAGGAACCGTGGCTCTTTTTTCAGACCGAGAATAAGAATTGCGTACGTTTGCCCCGAGGATCCGTTCGCCTTCCAGTGGTTCTACGGTGCCGCTGTGTGCGACCCTGATAATTCCAAAAAATGGGATTTCCAGACACAAACTACCGGACGACATGTCCCCACGGAGAAACTCTTGCAGTGTCTGAATAACTAAAATACTCTGTTCGCCAACGGACACTCGAGAGTCATGTGGCTTAAGCCTTTCGAAGTTTCGAACAACCCTCTCCACAAGTTCGGAATCTTCGTGTCCTTCTTCAAGTGACATGCCTTGAGTCTTGTTTCCGTGGGAGACCAGCAGCCCCAGTAACAGAGTGGTTGCTGCCGTGAAAGCTTCGAAATCAAGGAGATTGGAGAAGTAGAAAGTCCTTTTGGTCTCGCGAATGGATGCCCATCTCTTGATTAGGTTCCGGCAAGCATCCAGACAAGAAATGCGCGAATATTCGTATCGTCGATTATTCGCTGCGCGTAGCATGAATGGAAGATGTAGCAGCGTCACTAACTCAAAGTGCCAAATTTGGCACATTACTCGCTCGAACTGAGTAGACGCTTCCTGAGTGCGGCTATGAGGAATGTTGGAAGGAATTTCCCACCACGTCGAGGGCATTTGTTCTGCAAGCCCCTCAAGTTTTTCGCCAATGATTTGAGTCGTAGAAAAGGAATGAATATAATCCTCTTGGTTACGAGCAAGAATGAGACCTGCTATATCGTAAAGATGCTTGTGATAAAGATCTTCTGGTGAGAGCCAAGCTGCAGTGTTGTCGAAAAGGGAGCACTCCTGAACCTGTACCCGAGGGTACACCGAGAAGAGTAGATAGATAACGCTCCTAACAGTATGTTTAAGCATTGTTGTTTGCAAATGCAGCCCGAGATATCAACGTACCCCTCTTGAAACTTGATACAATAGATAATGTCGTTTAGTCTCCTTCGCATCGGGCGATTCTTTGGATGTTCTAACGGCCACTCTGTGGAAACCCAATAGCTCGGCCATTGCAAGAGCTTTGCGAAATGAAAGCCATGATTTTCGAAGATTGCCGGCATTGACCTCATACACTCCTTGGAGTGCAAGGCATTCAACCCCCTCGATCCTCCCAGTGATTTCGTCATCAGAGGTGACATTTCGGGTGAGAAAGTCAACAATACTCCCCATCAGTTCTCGCGGGGGTGATTTGATCTGCAATTTGCTCATGTCAAGTTCAGGTGCAAGCTGCTGAATGCATATTGCAAGGCAGAAAAGTAGTTTCGCTATTGCAATCGGATGACCCTTCGCAACGATGTCGACATTGAACAACCCTTGAAAGTCATTTTCAATTGAATTTGGGAGATGAACCATCATATGTTGCTGGATTAGCCACCACCCGTGACTTGAAGAGAGTAGAAAGTCCACGTCCGCTTGACAGGGTAGCATGTTCGTCAGTTGTTCACGCAGCAAATCAAGTTTCCCAGCTGGAGGCTCAACCTCGGCCTGTGGCTGAGGAGCGCTCGGAGACGATGTAAGAGCGGAAAGTGAATATTTTTCTGTTACCGGAATCGATGCAGGAGTCAGGTCACTGGGCCGGGCCCAAGGTGCTCTTTCTATCAGTGCCTCCAGCAATGACTCCACCCTAGCCATACGACGAGCCATCGCCGGATCCTCTGCATGATGTGGCTGATCGTCATGCTCATACTCCTGACTAAGACAAGAAGTGCTTCGTTCAAAACATCCCGAGCAGATAGAGGGATTCGGAGATGGTTTGCACTTGATCTTTCTCCGCTTGCCTGCTCGTTGTTACTATCAACCTTCGTTGGCTGCGGGGCATGGGCGCTTACATTCACAGCAGCTCTTCGTTCCTTTACGGAGTCTTTTCCGCCGATGTTCTTCAGGCATTGGGACTTTTGTATCTCAACAATATTACCACATATTGCGCTGGTCAGTTTCGCGGAAATAGCGCGTTGGTTTGCAGTCGGTCGAGTCGGCTGGCGTCTCGGTCGAATTCGGCCGAACTCGTCCGGTCAAAAAACATTCCCTAATTATCTCCTACTCATGATCCTATTTTCTCGTGAACACTAGGAGGAATGGAACCGAATCAATCTAAATTAAAAAGGGCCAGTAGCTTGATCGGCAAGCTTCCTCATCGGTCGATCTAGCTTCATTATTGGCATACCGACGTTGACGGTCCTGTGCGAGAGTAATTTGAGCTCTTGCCTGCTCCCAGATCTCAGGCAGATGGGATACGAAAGATTTAGCTTCACGGCCTTCTTCAGATGCAGATTCATCCTTCCAGTCAAATGACATCCTTGGTTCGTATCATCTCTCCAGAAAAAACGGTGACTTGCCAGTAGTGGCATTTGAGAGACAAGCGACCGCGAAGTGAACCATCCAGAGGTATTCCGACCAGTTATCTTGGTGATGATTGATATAGGGGCGTAGGCACTGTTCCATGTATTTGTTCGCTATCTCTGTCTGGCCGTCATTCTGGGGATGGTGGGCTGTTGACAGCTTTCTTTTAATCTTCAAGATCTCGCAGCACTTTTGTTATCATCAGCCCAGCTGACTTAGAAGCGATACTGTCCATTTCGAGACCCTGGGAAACACTCGGGGTTGAGCGCAGCGATCTTAATAGTACTATCAGCCCGTTAATCATCGACTGGGATTAATCGTGCAGTTGTTGAATTACTTGGAGCGACTGGAGATGGTGGATGAAATTGACCTTCCCATCTGCCTCAAGTTAGGCGTAGAATGCTGATATCAAAACTCTCCGATGTTGGAACCGATGGGCTGGTATGTACCAACTTTCCGCATTTGAGGAGCAAATTTCTTTCGATGGCAGATGTTGTCAGAAGGAAAGAGCTTGAAGAGAGAGGCGATCGGAACTTAGAGAAGTTGGGCCTTCCTTTTGGGAAGTGGCGACCCTCTGCACTTTCGTGTGGCTGTTCCTTCCTAATCCCGATTGCTACCAGCATGTATACCTGCCTCAACAAGCCCTGTTGTAGCGACACCGCCACATCCAATGTACTGCTGACGTCCAAATTCTAGAGCCGGAGGGTCTTGAAGGGAAACTTGAAAGGGTTTAGGATTGTTGTTGATGAAGAAAAGAGGGTATGATAATAGATAAGTATAAGTATACATTGAGTTGACATAGTATTCTCTAATCGCAAACTTTTGTGATCGTTCATAAAATTAAAACATCAGGATTTGGATCTTCTTCTTCGAAGCTCCATAACGGTCTTTAAACTCGGGTCGAGTCAGAAGCTTCAGAAGAGGCAGGTGTGTGTCCTTCATATCGAAGATTCCGCGCTGCTTTGTGTCGATGTGGGATCCGTCAATGACGATGCGCTCTAATTCGTCAACTTTGAGAGTTCCTGAAAAGGCCAAAATTAGTATGTGATGAGGCATCCATTGATCCGATCCAAACTTACCAGACTCCAGAAGATCGGACAGTCTTTGAGGTGTACCAGCACCGATACCAGTCCTAAATGCCGAAGTCAGCTTGAATTTTGTTTATTAGAATTCACACAAGAACGTACCGAGCGCGCTGAAGGAATTGCTTGGCTTCTTCCAGCTTAATGTGTTTCGCGAACAACTTTCCGACAATCGACTCCTTGGTCTGGAAGGGCCGGAGGGCTCTGATTTCGCCTGTTAGTATAGTGTTCCTCCGTTCGTTGACTTGGATATATTCTCACCTCACAACATCCGCAGCTCGGAGGGCAGCAGCCGACACCACAAGTGTATGAGGAGTACCCTCCTTCGTGGAGGACTTGGTCAGGTCAGCTCCCTTGGGGCTATATTTCTTGAGGAAAGCGGGCAGTTGCTCCAATGAGCGGGTCTCGTCGAAAGAAGTAGTATCGAGGAAGGCAGATCCTGCGCATCGTTAGCCACCTGCAAAGCTCGCCAAGCATAAAGATATTTTGGGCAAGTACATACCGGGAATCGAGAGGTCGCTGAGCTCCACAGCTGAGAGCTCCTTGTCCAACTTCTTTGCGCGCTGGGCAAAGTAATCACCGAGCAGCGATCCGTCCATCTTCCCAATCGACTTGTCAATGCCATTCTCGCGGTCCTGAGACGTCGGGTCTTGCTCAGGCTTATTCTTCCTGCTCTTCTGGAGCTTTTTCTGTCTCTTGCTGAGGCCCTCCGTCGCTGGTGCGGGCTGCGTCTCAGTCTTAGGGCCGTCTTTGGTCGGTTCGTCGGCCTGTCTCTTGCGCTTCTTCTCCAGCTTGTCGGCGAGGCCCTTCTTGGGTACTGAGTCGGACATCTTGTCGGTATTTAGCGGTCCTTCGATTTTGATTGACCACTCAATGTCCTCTAATTGTACTAATCAGAGCAAGTCGAGTGTCGATATCTTCAAAAAAAGAAAAAGCTTCGAAAACGCGCAGATGTTAGTCAGCATTTATTATCGATAAGATATATAGACTAGCCGTTTTAGGTAGTGTGGATTGTTATGCCCGCAAGCCCCGACGCGCTGCGTCCTCCTCAACGTTCTATTCTATTTACATGCCCCACATTCGTTGCTCCGATTAATCACAAGTGCTCCTCCTTTTGAAGCTCACTGAAGACACATTTACTCATCCCTAACGCCTGGCTTCGACCTTGGGGATGTTTACGCCAAACCCGCGTAGCCGCAAGTCGCTGCGCGATGCGGGCAATGCGACTCCATCTGGAGACACAACATTGACGGGGGTTAGTAAACCAACCCATGGCTTCATTTCGCAAATTGTCAGCCTACTGACCTGCTGACTCTTGTCAATCACAGCTCCAACGTCTTCCAAGCCACACTCTATACCCACTTACACCCGGTCGTTTTACTACTGCAGCGACCCCATCGCGGTCCGTTTCTCGTTTCACGCCTCGTGGTCGACCTGCAATAGCGCCTTCTACACCCTACGGCCGGAATGCGCGCCAGCAGCGAGCAGCAAACACGCCTGGTCGTGACCGGCGTAGGAGTGGCCGCATTCAACGCGAAACGACCTTTGATATATTAAGAAACCTTGGTAGAGGTACGATTGAGATCATGAAGAAATCTTGACGGTATAATTTTTCGGTATAGGAGACTGATCGATTCTCTAGCGCTTGCCCCCGCAACTGAGCCGATTCTTTCGTCCCCTGAAGAAGTGATCAAACCCCAACCGAAACCCAGAGATGAGATCGAGGAGCTGGATGAGGAGTCGGAAATCGAGGCACCCGAGTTGACTCTGCCCATTCAGGAGGTGGAGGGGAGTGAAGAAGGAAGTACTGCACGAAGCCCGCCTCGATTGTCTCTCCCTTTTGACGATGACGATATTACCGTCGAGTACCCCAGGAGAGATATCAGCATTCGAGACCAGGAACGATTGTCGATAATGAGTCGCAATTTCGGAAGACCAAGCGATGTTTTTGGAGATAATCAGTCCGACAGTGATGCTGATGAGGGGGATGAGACGGGCATTGTGGAAGACGATGGTGGGGAAGATACTATGATCAGCGGAGGTGATTTTGATCGCGGGTATGTGTTGATAACATTTTTGAAGTTTATTTGTCTATGGTACATGAAGGCTAATATTCACAAAAGTGGAGAAACAGCGGATTTGGGACGATTCAATCTTGTGATGGATTTCCCATCCCCAGGTGCAATGCCAGTTGAAGATGACATGGGAGACAATCTCGATGAAACGGACGGATTCGAGTTGGACGCGGGTGACATTCAACCCGTGCCCGCTTCGCCTTCAGCGGACGAGAACGCCGATGCAATCGGTGATTTTGGTTTCGATTTCCCACCTGCTCCCTCCTCAAGCGTGATCTCGGGGATTGCCGGAGGTGGCCTGCGGGATGATGGGCCATCCGTGCAGAGCAAAGAAAAGAAAATCTCCCGTCATGGAATTCCTGTGCCTAATCTGCCAAAGGGGGTTGTCAAGAAATTGGCCATGCGTTTCTCAGGTACGAAGGCTGGGTCAAAGGCGAAGATCAACAAGGCTGCGCTCGAAGCAATTGAGCAAGCATCTGCATGGTATTTCGAACAAGCAAGCCAGGACTTGGCTGCATATTCGAAACACGCAGGAAGGAAGACCATTGATGAGAGCGATGTTGCAACGCTAATGAGGAGGTTAGTTTGCCATTCCCAGACCCAGACGTTTTGAGCTGCTTTGCTGACTTGTATAGACAACGCCACGTTAACAAATCCACGACAATATTTTCACTGGCTCAGAAGCATTTGCCTCGGGAGCTTCAGCAAGATATGCGACTCGCTATGCCACCATGATCGACTCGTACAACACTATAATAACGGATAAAGATCCAAACGCCTGGGACAAACCACCAAGGAAAGATATGAATAAGTACAAATCACCAGTTACGATTCTGGCGAACACGACGCAGAGCCTCATTAGGCTTCTTCCGCAGAAGCATCCACATCATCACAGATGTAGCGAATGAGAGACCGAACCTAGGAAGCATTAGATGGGGAAGGACCAGTCTCCACAAGAAAGGACGATCGACTTACCATGTGAAGATGTATTGAGCATGGTTGTTTCGCAGGTTGACTTCGGCTGCACGTCCAATGGGTTTTCCTTTCGCCGTGCAATCCATATACTGGAGCAGATCGGGCACTGGAAATACAATTAGCCCCGATTACATATCAGAATAGTCGAACGGCAGTTAGTCCATACTCATAGTCTGTTCAATCCACACGGGCTGGCTCCCGGCCAATTCAGCCATCTCCACAATATCAGGGAAGTAAAACTTCCGTTCCGCGGGCTTATTCACTGGCGTAAACATGTTCTTCTTCCAGGGTTCACGTAGTAGTCCCTCCACGGTAACTTCCCCCTTTGGCAGCCCCTCCGGCCGGTCCTTCTGAGCCATATGTTTCTTAGAGATCCAACCGCGGTTGACTAGCACAGTGCTTTGGCCATCTCCACGCTCGAGGGGCGTAATGACAAGGAATCCGTCTTCACCATCATGCATACGAGGTCCAACCAGCATCTCCTTGTCATGATTGTAGTGACCAGTGGCGTAAACGCGGCGGTAGTCGAATTCAGATATCGCATCCGGGTCGACGCGCGGAGGTAGCGGAAGTGGAGGTCGGACAAGACGGTCCTCGAATCTGGCAATGAGCTGGGTCTTTCTGTCCAATCGATAGACCTGCCAACAGCCCAGTCCGAATGAAATAATTGGAATTAGAGCTGTATAAGAGGGGCCCCGGTGTTAGTGGCATGACTTTACATTTTTCTTGAATGCGAGTCGCAGGTTGAAGAAAACATACCAAGGATAATCAATCCAGGTCCATGCTTCTCATTCACTCGAACAAGCTTGGCCGGGTGATCCACCACCGAGAGACTGTCTGTCAATTGCCGGGACTGTGTGAATTGGCGTTTCTGCTGCTGCAGACGACATCTACAGCAGATCGAATCCAGAGACCATGCGACATTCTGGTTGCCGGCTCGGGGTGGCAGAGCCCAAGCAGATGGAGGGGCCCGCCGTAATAAAGTCGAGAAAAACTGCCGCATGATGTGTGAGAGAGAAACCGAGATTTATTATCGCGGCAACGTGGGTTCTGCGGAGAAGGGAAGTCGAACGGGGGAGATTTGTCGAAGCGGATCCCATTGGAATCGCGCGCTTACCTTAAGGCGGTCGCGCCGGCTCCCCCGACTCTCGGAGTCCGTTCTCCTTCTCCGCAGTTACTCTGTACACATCTCCAACTTCGAACATTTCACACTTCACTACCCATTCTCTGCCTCTTTGAAATGCAATCATGACTCTATTCTATACTGGCACACTTCAGGAAGGCATAGCCCTCGCAGTCCAAGAGGCAAAAGCTGTTGTTTGCTTCGCCCGAGGTTGGTTATCTACCCCCCGCATCATGACATCGATCGTCTTGGACCGGGGACAGCTTGGCTAATCAACTTGGATACAGATGAAACCGAACTAAGCTCAACCTGGGAGGATGACTACTTTTCTGATGCAGAGGTATATGAGCCTTCAAGTACCCTGTCTCACTATGTGGTAGCTAATCGCCCGAATAGATCGCCCAAGCCCTCCACGATAAAGCGATCACCTTACGCCTCAGTTCTGGAACTCAGGAGGCTGGATTTCTAACTTCATTCTGTCCAATCTCGAGCTTTCCAACTATTGTGGTCATCAAGTAGGTGGCACTCGAAATACATTGTCTTGCTTGGCCTAGGCGGACGTAAACTGACATCAGGGTTATAGAAACGGCACATTGCAAGAGTTTATTACATCGGAAGTATCCAAAGATGACTTTTTGAACCGATTGAAGGTTGCCCTAGAGGGTAAATACGCTCCTCCTGTGGCCCAGCAACCGCAGACAAATGCTCCATCCACCAGCAATGACACTACCACTTCTTCAGCCACCTCTGCTACATCATCTACTCCGCCTCCTATCCCGAACCAACAACCAGTATCGCAACCTACGACGAGACCACCCCGCCCCCAAGCTCAACCTCAGTCTGGGCAGTCTTCGTCACCATCAAAGCGTTTACCCCAGAAAGAGGACAAAGCAGAGAAGCCCAAGCCGAAACAAGAGAAGCCTCGCCAAGAACCTAAGCCTCGAGCCCCCGCGAAACCAGCCGTTACCAAGGCCACCAAGCAACCGAAAGAAGAGCCAAAGCCACAGCCAGCCGTTCCTAAAGGACCACCGAAGGAATATCGCCTCCAAGTACGACTATTTGACGGCAGCTCCGTCCGTTCAACATTCACGCCCAAACAAACAATCGGCAAAGAAGTGCGATCCTGGCTAGATCAACAACAACAAATGACCGACGAAAACCGCCCGTACAACCTAAAGCATATCCTAACCCCGCTTCCGAGTCGAACGCTGTCCGTCGGGGAGGAATCGCAAACACTCGAAGACCTAGGTCTCGGCTCAACGGCAAATCTAGTCATGGTCCCTGTTCAATCGTTCACGTCGGCCTATACTGTCTCCGGATCCAGTCTTCCCGTTCGTGGAATTTCCGCCGTCTACAACACAGCATACTCTGTTGCAAGCACTACTGCCAGCTTCTTCGGTTCAATCGTTGGATATGGTCAAAGCCCACCGCCACCGACAGTGCCGGAGCCGACTCCGAGCTCTTCTACGTCTGCTCCTACTCCTCGCAATAGACGGCCATCGGGACCGAATATTCGGACGCTACATGATCAACCAAATGATGGGAGAGATAGTCAGTTTTATAACGGGAATCAGGTATGACAATACTTTTGACTTATCTTCATTCGCCCTGGAAACCCTACTTATACTGACATTCAAAGTTGAATTTCGAACCCCGGAATCAAGATGGGAACGGCCGTTGAGTGACTCGGTGTGAATTAATTGGACATTACTGTGCTACCCCCTTTTTTTGCTATCATAACGCATGTTTGATTGAAATACTTTATCAATGTACCGTAACGAAAGCGAACAGCGTGTATCATATCTCGATAATTTTCCTGGTTACAACGCCCTGCAAAGCACAAATTTCATCCCCATCAATAAAGACAGAAATAGCACATGATGAACACAGGTCAATGGGAAATTGGCAATAATTAAATTTAGATTCAATGAGCAGAGATGGTATAAGTACAAACAACACGAGATCAGAGTCGCATTGTCAAAGAATCATATTCAACCAGGCTCAACCTACAACCGAAGCACATAATAGAATTTCGGTACAAGGAAGGGATGCATGATGTCTATCGCACGCTTTATAAGACTGTCCTGTTCTGCCAGAAAAGGCCCTTAGTAGGGCTTAGCAGCAGACTGGCAGGCCTTCAGCTGGTCCAGGTACCATCCGCAGATGCTGATGTTGCCCTGGTTCTCATCCATGCAGGTGCGGAAGTTGCGAACATCGGTCTCACAGGCGGGGTTCTCCCACGAGGTGTTGGCCGCGTTGCTCTGGTACAGGCCGTTGTCCATGGCCTGGCCCTGGGCAGGAGCCTGCTGTTGGGCCTCGGCGGGGGCGCTGGAGCCACCGCCGCCGAACATGCCGCCGATAGCGTGGCCGATGGAGGATCCGACAGCGACACCACTAGGAAAGAAAATAGTCAGTCAATGTGTTTCGGGAAGGGTTCCGGTAGTTGCCTCCCGGGTCTGGCCGAGGCGCGGAGAAGGGGAGTGAAGAGGGAGGTATCAAGGCTGTGATGGGGAGAGGGTCGGATACTCACGCAGCGGTGGAAGCCATGTTGGCGAAGAGACCGGGGCCAGCGCTCTGCTGGGGAGCAGCCTGCATGGGAGCAGCTTGTTGGGGAGCAGCGGCGGTCGAGTGAGGCGCCTGCTGTTGGTGTTGAGGAGCGGCGGCCGGGCGGGCAGGGGCCGCGGTAGGGCGAGTGGGAGCGCTGCGCGCGGGGGTGGGAGCGGCACGGCGTTGTTGACGAGGCATTTTGATTGATGTGGTGTGTTTTGGAGAGAAGGGAGGAGAGACAGATATACGAATACTTCGAAGCCGAGGGTGGAGAAAATCGAAGCTACTAGAGGCTGACTCAGTGCAAGCGGTTTATTATGGTGAGATGTGATTGGTCGGAGGGATGCCATCACGTGGGCCGGGGTTAACGGGCATAGCAACAGGAACAGGAACAGCCATGGCATTAGGCAGGCATTAAGCACTCATTGCCGGAGCTCATCGTTTATGAACGGAAATACTTTGAGTGCGGGATTTACGAAGTTACATCGATTGTCAAGTCAAAACTCCATTCAGTGCTTCATGGCTGGGTATCTAATGGTCGTGGTGTACAAAGTTAGGGAAGTACAGAGGACAATAGCGAGGACCGCCTCAGGATGAGTGCCCTCTGAGTTCCTGCCGAATACCCTGGAAATAGGCAGGTAGACGAACAGAAACACAGACAGACAGATAGGAGGAAAGCCTATTGACCCTTCCGGGCCTTTCTAGCATCCTCCTTCTTTTGCCGCCGTTGCTTCTTTTCGTCTCTCCGTTCCGCTTTGCTGAGTCCCCTCTTGGACTTGTCCTTCTTGCTTCTCTTGGGCTTGGATTCTTTGTCTTTATCTTCCTTTTCCACATCTTCTTCCATTTCTTCGTCGTCGTCAGAATCGCCAGTCTCCTGGGCAGAAGAAGTGACGGCACTAGAAGCAGCGGATTCCTGGGCCGCTTCCTTTGCGGCACTCTTCTTAGCTAGCATTGCAGCCTTGAGTTGAGCGCGCGCACGCTCCTTGGCTTGCTTCTCTGCAAGTTCTAGATCAATTTTATTGTTGCCAGCCTGTATTATACGTTAGTAAGAGTTGAAGCATACAAACGTTACCCTCGCATGAAGATCGGTGCTTACGAGGCCATGTTTAATAAATCTGCCTGCGGCCGCCTTGTCCAGTTTCATAGTGGGTTGTTCAGGCTCAGTTTCCAAGGCCTTGATCTTCTCAAAGTATTGCCGCACGCGGGTCAATTCGCGGAATACTGGGTGTTGCTTCGCATTGACGCCCTTGAGACGCAGATATGCTGTAGAAAAAATAAATTAGCCTAAGCGCTTTGTTTCGAGAAGGTAGACCTAAACTTACAGAAGATGAGAGACTCAAGCGTGTAAGTGATCAGGACATGGATCTTGGCTCTGTCCATCACGGGCAAATTCTTGGATAACTTCGCAAGGGACTGACCGAGGACAGGTTCAAGGACCTCCTCAAGATCATCGACATTGTCTTCTAGCTGCTCCAGCAGCGGCGTCAAATCTGGTGCGTCCATGGTGATGTGGTGTTGGAAGAACAATCCGCGAAAATCGAAAAATTTAGGGCCGGTGCAAACTGGGGCGGCGGTGGCGGGCGGTGGAGAGCAACGACTCCGATCATTCGCGGCATCGCGTCGCATCTTCGACATCAACTATTTCTTTTTCTCCTCGACGGCATTGGCTTCTGTCGCCCCAAAAACAAGCCTTCCGCAATACCTAACAACTACATTACGGCTCCAAAATTGCTCAATCCTCATTTTCACCCCGACACTCGCCCTCTGACCCTCTTCACGCCATATTCGGGGGACACTTCTCTCCCCCGAAAACTCCGCAAAAGTGTTGCAAGCACTTCGATTTCGCCCGCTTTGGCGCAGCGGGTGTCTTGACACATGCCATCATGCTCGACGATCAGGATTGAACGATATTTCTGCCAGATTTTTGTCAACAATGCCCCAAGAGAATGGAGAGGTCACCCCAGAGCCCGAAGCCCTCGTGTCAGGCCGAGTACACGTCCTCGGTGCTGGAAATGTGGGAATCTTTATCACACAATCACTCGCCAAGCGGCAATCTCCGCCCGACGTCACCTTGTTTATGTCAAATTGGGGAATGTTCGAAGCATACCGTCAGAGGAAGAAAAAGTTATCGATCACCTACGATGGACTGACCGATGGGCTCAAGAATGGTGTCGATATCGAAGTATTTGAAGGGCACAAATGGTTCAAGCTTCCCCGTGATTATGGAGAAAAGTACAAAGAAAATGGCGAGCGCTTTGTGAAAGATGAGGAAGCATCCCGGCTGCGGAGTACCAATGAGCATATCGATTGCTTAGTCGTTTCTTGCAAGTCAAATCACGCTTTCTTAGGCATTCGCTCTCTTGCAAAACGTCTCTCGTCTAACTCAACCATTCTGATCACTCAAAACGGTCTGGGTGTCATTGAAAGACTCAACAGATTTGTCTTCACAAACCCGAGCGTACGCCCCAAATACCTTCATGCCGTTTTCAGCCACGGTATGGATAAGAAGGATATGTACCAAGTCAAGTATAAAAAGGTTGGACTGACGAATATCGCTCCTCCAGCCACGGCCGGTAAAATATCCATGATAAAGCCAGAGGATGACACTAGTTGGGCGCCTTCCACGAAATACTTGACTCGCCTTTTCACCCTAACCCCCAGCCTGGTTGCCGTTGCGAATACACCTACCAACGTTCTCATGTACCAACTTGAGAAACTCGCTATCAGCTGTGTCATTGACCCATTGACTGCGATCAATGATTGCAAAAATGGCGACCTGCTTTATGTGGAGAGTGTATCCCGTATCATGCGATTACTTCTCCTCGAAATCACCAGGGTCATCTTGGCTCTCCCTGAATTACAGGGGGTTCCGGGACTGGAGGATCGATTTGAGCCTGAGCGTTTGCGTCGAATGGTCGTTTTCGAGCTCAGTCGAACTCGATCTAATACCAGCACGATGCTCCACGACGTTAGGGGCCGGAAGGGGACGGAAATTGAATATTTAAACGGATACATCGTGCGCCGTGGCGAAGAACTGGGTATAACATGTGTGATGAACTACATGATGAAACATCTTGTTCATGGCAAGCAACAAGTCAACAACCGTCGGGAATCCGAAGCAATCCCAATCGATGCCCGCTCCCCATCAACCGAAAGCCACCATTTGACCGGTCGCCATCAACAACCTTTACCAGAGAAGAGCACACAGCCGCAGGAATCAATTCTCGATGAGGATTTCGAATCCCAATCGCCATGAGTCTGCACAAAATCATCCTCAAGCCTTCAGGGTCATGCAACTGAAAAATGTTTACAAAGATAGCGCGTTCGATGCGCTCTCGCAGATATTCTTGATCTGCTTCCACCTCCGCAGCAAATATTCTGCCTTACCATGGTGTGTCTCGGGCACGGTGTTGGAATCCATTGCTGTCCGCAGCGCGCTCATCGTGGCATCTGCCTCCGCGGCATATGTCTTCAGCCACCCCTTGATGATGTCCTCTGACTTCTTCTCATCCACACCCTCGGTTGACCCCTCCAGGTGGTTCCTCCAATCCTCCTCTTCCATGTACATTAGACACGCCGCTATCTCCGTTCGGTAGCAAACTCCCTCGGCGTTGACCGAGTAATTACTATGTATATTTAGCACTAGAGCAGTAAAATACCCGGCATTGAAAGGCCTTTTCAGGAAATCCAAAACTTACCCGTAATATTGGTTCAGCCATAGCTCTTCTTGCTTCTCTGCACTGGGGAAGTCGCACAAGATAATATCGTCAAGATAGATGCAATCCGAATCGTTCTTGTCCATGAAGAACCCATCTACCGAGACAAGGTTAGAGAGACGCAAAGCGCAAAGTGGCAATAAAGAGAAAACAATGACTAGACTTACACTCAGCAAGCAAGAAGTCGTTCGGGTGGCTTCCGTAGCTCATATAAACCTCATCGCCCGCTTCATAGTCCTCGGTGGCACTCAGCGTATATCCATCTCCATCAAACTTGACATCACACTGGAAGAAAAAAATGTTAGAAAGATCAGATAGAATAATACGAGTGCATCTTAACAGCAAAAAGAAAAAAATCCTCACCTCCACATCCGAGTGGTTGAAATAGTCAGCAAAAGGCAACAAAGCCATAGCATCATTCCGATCCTCCGGAGCCTCCTCATCCGGTGCAACCCAATAGAAACTCCTCGTATTGAGAATAAGCCAATGGTAAGAGAAAGACTTCCAGTCAATATCCGGAATGACCGAAACAACATCCGTCCAAGCTTTCCCCAGCCTCTGACCCTGCTGCTGTACCAGATCCTGATGCTCAGTCTCGTACTGTCTCGCGGCCTCTCCTTTCTGAATCGAGTTCCATAGCCCCGATATACAAGGCGGGAGAAAGTTCACTTGCGAAGCAGGAACAGGGTCTGCTACATCGTCACTATCTGGCCAGGTCAACCCACCCAATGATCGCGGCCAAAGCATCGGCATACTATCTTCGAAATCCTGTCGCGTAGGCCAGGTCTTGAACCATAGACTGTATGGGGCTAGCTCTTCTTCGCTGCTGCAGGTCAGGTATGCGGCAATGATAGCTTGGATCCTGGTGTCCTCGGGAAACAGGGCCCGGAATTCAGAGGGAATTTTGTCTGCGGTTAAGATAGTTGTTGTTGGGACCTTGACAACAAAATCCCCGGACTGTAATGTAAGGAATCTTGGTGAGTTTTTTATCTTCTTGTCCATGTTCATTGTTGTTGGCCTCGGATTAGGGCTCGTAGACTCTTTTTCTCTGCTCTTCATACCTTGATAGTGTCCGTCGCGATCATCCCTAGCCCCCGACCTGGAAAACGTGCAGGTCGGACTTTATTGGCGATAACGCCCTGGGCAAGAGCCCATTCTGAGAATGTCTCGTGGACTTCACCGGGACTCCAGTCCGAACTCATGGTCAAAATGGTCTTAGACTCTTCGTTTTCTTTGGCTGTCTGTGTGGATATTAGTGTCTGTGAATTGAGGAAAGTAGGGACTGATCAGATGAGCCGTGGAGCAGAGATGGGAGAGATACAATTTTAGCACAATTTTGTACTTGAGAAATTCAATTGCAGGCTTGCAATCATGATGCTGGCGAAAAACGGTTCCCTCCAGTCTTCAATCCCGATGGATCAACAGTCTAAGTGGAGCATTTGCAGCGATAGCCTCCCTAATTTGCCGGCAGAAATCTACTGCGATACGATATGTAGTAGTTTAATAAGCCAAGATAGGCTCATGGATCCCATGATACTCACCCATTCTACTAGGGTATATTTTCTATAAAAAATTATACTGAGGTATTCATTTCAAAGTGATAGTCGGAAAAGATAGTCTGTGTCTGCGTTTGTGTACAAATAAATATTTATGCTTGGATAGGATGTCCATCTCTCACCGCCATATGCCCTTAGGGTACTGTCCAAAGGAATTCGACAAAGGTTCACTCACAGTTTCCAGTATATAGTTTCTGTGAATAGGAGTATTTAATACTGTCATTTAGAGTAATTTCTTTCTTAATAGTGTGAGTTTTATCAAATTTGGTGCGATGGGGATCGCAAGAGCAATTTGCTATTGATGTAACCTTTAGGAAGGCGGTAAATATCTAGTAATGTAGATAACCCGCTTATCGCTATGCCATCGGCATTGGATCTTCCCGTCGTATGATTCCATTCCCCTCGTGAACAACTCCAAGCTACCACTCAGCATAATGTCGCTGCTCGGGAGACGCGGTCCTCAAGGACTACGCTGTCTGTCTACACCCTGCCCTCTATCAACATGCAGTATACGATCATTCTCCGTCCTCAATCGCCCAAAACCAAGTTACCCCGGCCATGTCCCACTCACAACTATTGAGCGCGGAGCTCTGGCCATCGGGTCTGCACTTGGGTCTCTCGTGAACCCTCGAAGAGCAGGTACGTCTCTCAAACAACTCAATTGACAGGCCCTCTATTACCGGAGTCAGCATGTCACACCTCCTCTTTCGGAGCTCTCTCCATTCAACGCCGCTCCAAAGTTCCAACCGATCCAAACAACCTCCAAACTAACAAGCTTCACAGACCTCATCGCAGCCCTAGGCGAAGCAACCGCAACCCCATTCTTCATCTACCGTCTCCGCAATGCAATGCTCTCCGACCCAACCGGCCGCCGAATCCTCCGCGACCGACCACGCATAACATCCCAAACCCTAAACATGGACCACCTCCGCACCCTCCCCGAGAACTCCGTCGGCCGAACGTACGCAAAATGGCTCGACAGGGAAGGCGTCTCACCCGACACACGCGACAACGTGCAATACATCGACGACCCCGAGTGCGCATACGTCATGCAGCGCTACCGCGAATGCCACGACTTCTACCACGCCGTGACGGGGCTGCCGATCTTTGTGGAGGGCGAATTGGCGCTGAAGGCGCTGGAGTTCTTGAATACGTTGTTGCCGATGACGGGATTGAGTCTGTTTGCGTTTGTGCGCATGAAGCCCGCGGAGAAGGAGCGGTTTTTGACGCTGCATTTGCCTTGGGCTGTGAGGAGTGGGTTGGCTAGTAAGGAGTTGATTAATGTTTATTGGGAGGAGGTGCTGGAAAAGGATGTTGATGAGTTGCGGGCTGAGTTGAGGATTGAGCGGCCGCCTGATTTGAGGGAGATTCGGAAGATGATTCGTCGGCAGGAGAAGAAGGAGAAGGAGATGTTGATGCAGCAGCAGCAGCAGCAGCAGCAGTAGTAGTAGTCGTAGTTTGCGGTATATGCGTTGGTGGTGTGTATATATCGCGGGACACGGATTTTACTCTCCACTGGAGATCATGTATGATTATCAATTTTGTGAATATTATTAGCAACACAAGGAGAAGATTATCTAGGTAGGCATATTGTGAGATCGGTTGACTTAAGTAGAGCATGACGTCTTCTATAAGGAATACTTCCTCGGATAGGCACTCAGTCCAAGCAAAACTGCGCTTCGGCTCGAACAACAGGAGCAATCTTATTTACTACTAGATCCCTCACTCGTCTACTAGCAAACTTGACAGAACTTCAGATATAATAATATCCTGCTGACTTCTTGTGCCATATTTGCGGCCAAGTATATTTTTGGTATCCAATAGACAACAAACGCAAAAGAAGAATTACCCCGACAAGACTAACATCCAGACCGATCAAATATGAAACAACTCAACGATTCGATCATCCTCAGTTTACAGGTCAAGCAGATCATCATCATCGTCCCAACCGCCTTTGCGCCGGGTGTAAACGATCTTATGCTCTTCCTCCTCCTTGCGTGAATTCTCTGCAACAGCATTCAGAAGCTCCTTCAATTGTTCCTCCGTAACCTTTTGGCGGAGTTGGCCGGACTGTGCCAGCATCATGAGTCTGTTCTCGATATCGTCTGCGCGCGATGCCTTCACCATGCGGATACGGCCGAGACGGTCCGCGGCGGCGGGATCCAGGATCTGAGCCATGATTGCGGCTCGGCGGTCCGCTGTGTAGTGTTAGTAACTTTGTTCATCGCTGTGCACGTGTGCACATAATGTATTCGATATAATCGGCGAGGGAAGGGTGGGGTGGAGCGGTCGTAACGTATAGTGGGCTGTCGGCGTGGTTACTCACATTCGGCTTGTCTGGAAGAAGGAGAATGCGGTTAGAATTTTTTCTTGGGGAAAATAGTATTGGATGCCTGTAGGGAGAGACTCACCTCTTCTGCTCTTGCTGGTTACCCTCTTGGCTGGGGCCACCAGGGCCGCCGCCCTGCTGCTGTAGCTGTGCGAGGCGAGCTCGCCTGATCTATTTCTCTTAGCAATGGGCTGGGCGGAGTGAGGGGATATACACGGAACTCACTTCCTCCAGCTCTGCGTCCGCCATAGTGTGATTGCGGGGCTAGGTGATGGGGTGCTTTTGCTCGATATTGAAGATTGGATTCGGAGAGAGGAAGATTATTGAGTGACCCCACTTGTGCCGCCTGAGGCCGCCACGCGGGGAAGCCGGGCGTATATGTCACGTTTATGATATGGGCTTTTATTTACGTTTCTATTTATGATTAGTGGTCAAGTCGGGGATTTTTCGGTTTTAGTGAGCTTTATAAGCATCTCTTCAACTTGAAGTTTAATGTGACGTTCAACTTGACAATCACCGGAGGCACAGTAGCGGTACGACTACTAGTAGTAGTAGCACTAGTAATCAGTAGTTATATACCTAGGTATTCAGGCTTCAAGTTGAGGTTGTATTAATCTTCCAAGGTTCAAGTTGAGAATAGTCTGAGCTAATCTAGGTAGCTATTAGTATGTACCTAAGTAGGTAGATATATGATAATCGGAATGAGCAATAGATTGACACTTGACTGGCTGCACAACTCGGATAATTGCGACAAGGCTACGGAGGCAAAGGGGCGAATGTGCTGCGCCTCGGGCACAGCGAAATTGCCAACTCCCGGGAGAATACGAATTAACTGGGCCCGGCATCGCCGCTAGTTTCACGGACCCAGAAAAACCAGATCTGCCCAAATTGGTTCGGAGTGCACACGCGAATCCGAGAGCGCGATCGACTGGCAAGATCCGGCTTAGTTCGCGACTATTTGCCTATGAAAGGCATAGTTCGATCAGGCAGAACTTTCGCTTGCTGGTGGCCAATTTAACCTCAGGCTGTTATTCTCCGTACACATGAGACATTCCAGTATTCGATAGATAAGCTATGCCATATGCCATATAGCATCTAACATATACTCCGTACTCCGTGTATTGGATAAATCATCCGATCGGGTGAGACATCCACAAAGTAAGTTGTCGTGCCTGAGATTCGTCACGTTCGGGGCCCACCACTTCCGGTTTCGAATGACTAAGCCTACTTGGGCTTCCTCACTGGCAACCCCCCCCCGACCTTCAACTCTCTTCACTTTGCTGGTGGTCGTCTCCCACCCGAGTCCTTGACTTCGCTCTCCTTCATATAATCAATCATTTCAGTCCTTTCCACCACTCTACACTCAGATTCCGACAACCCGTCATTTCCCCAATCTTCCGGCTCGAGAATTCACTTCACTTCGAACGCTAGCGGGGGTCTGCTAAGCGCCCAGTTCTTCCTCCGACTCCCCAAGTGAATGGCTTCGGGGATCCTGTTTCGCCTGCGCCGTAATTGGGTGTGATACATACGGGGATATTTCTGTTTACCACTTGGCCGTGGTTGAGAAAAATCCGCAGACCTGCAATCACATTCCTTCGACGCCGTTTACGTCACTCATCATGGCCGAGTAAGTCTAGCAAGGAACAACAGCGCGGATGTTCACTAACGACCGGAGCAGTCTAATTGCCTTCCAAACATACCATCATAATCTAATGCCGCCGTCCACCATGATTCCGCGTCACGCTCACAAGCGCTCGCTGTCTTCCGAGCACCGAATCCTATCCCCCGAGAAGACCGTCACCAAAGCCAAGTCCACCACCGATCTTTCCCAAGTCGCCTCCCAAGCAGATGCCCATCAGTCATACCCCAATTTCGAAGAAAACAACTTCAGTACCTTGCAGGATCCACGACTGCACGTCGACAGAGAGGTCTCACCGTCGACGTCATCGTCTCATCACCCCGACCTGAGCAATGAAGTTGCAGCGCTAAGTGTGAAACTGATCCAGGCGATCAATAATCAGACAACACTCGATGACAGTCTGGGTGCCACACGCCAGGAGCTGGAGGTTGCCCAGGGAAAAATAATCGCTCTCGAGTTCCAGAATGAGAAATACCGCCGCGACCTCGACCAAAAAGTATACATCAAGAAGGCCGACTCTGACCGCGAAATCCAACAATTGAATGCCGCGCTCGCGGAGGAGAGAACACTGCGCGCCGTAGCTGAGAAAGGGACAAAGACAATGGAACAAGAGTTGGAAAATCTGACTGCGGATCTCTTCGAGGAAGCCAACAAGGTTAGTGATTGTTACATGTTTTCTGAGTTTGGAATTCCTGTCTGACTGATATCAATTAAGATGGTTGCTGCGGCGAAAATCGAAAGAGAAGCGGTGGAAAAGAAGAACGAGCAATTGCGCTCGCAAATCAAAGACACCGAGTCCCTCCTCGCATCGCACCAAGAACAAATGACGGAGCTCAAGTCAGTCCTGCAAGGGATGCATCTCAACAAGGAGGATTCGGAAAGCCGCACCAACATATCGACTGCTCCGCCATCGCCAGGAGGTGTTCCACAGTCACAGGGCTTTGCCAAGCAAGACTCTGAGATGGGGGCGGCGCCTCCTATATTCAACCCGGAGGAGCTAACACCCGGCCCCTCGTGCAACTTCCCTGACTTGATCCGCATGGTCTGCCGCGCTGACCTACCGGCATATGACGACTTCCGAGACTTGTTGGTTCTGTCTCGCACCTCCAAACCCCCCAGCCGTGCGGGCAGCGGGTCTTATGGAGGCTTGAATGTCATGAGCCTGGCTAGTTTTGCGACTGGTGGATCTAACTCCGCCACTTCATCTCCCACCAAGGGCTTTGGCCACTCACCTAATGGGAGCTTGTCCTCACAAACCGGCTCGCATATACCATTGAAGGACACCCGGTTTTATAAGAGAGTGCTCATGGAAGACATTGAGCCTACTTTGAGACTCGATTTATCCCAAGGAATCTCATGGCTCACTCGACGCACTGTTCTCAGTGGTATCTGCGAAGGTTCGCTTGTTGTGGAGCCGATTCCAGCAGCGACGAAACAGTACGAATTCCCTTGCTCAGTCTGCGGTGAACGCAGGACTGGAGAAAACAATGAGCGCACACACCGTTTCCGAACATCAGAGAGCGAGACCGCCCAGCGATACTCGCTGTGTATCCAGTGCCTGGAGAGAGTCCGCTCCTGCTGCGAATTCACTGGCTATTTGCGGATGATCCTCGATGGACACATCCGCGCCGGTGACTCGGAGGAGGAGAAGGATGTCTGGGAAGAAACGGTTCGCCTTCGTGAAAGAATGTTTTGGTCCCGAATTGCGGGTGGTATTGTTCCACTTTACACAAAGCCAGCCGATCCCGAAGTCCCGCAAACTGATCTACCAAGCGACCCCGCTACTTTGCAGGATCCCGAGTACGAGGAGCCATTCATTGCACGAGACATCACCGTGCAGTCCCATGATGGAGCTGGAATCCCCACCACAAAGCTCTCTATACCTGAATATGATCTGTCAAGACCTGTGACACCCGATCTTCCGACTTTGAATATCCACGATGAAGCTTCATCGCCCGAAGCTCAAAGACGAGGCTCGATCGATTCCGATATCAGCGTCTACGAGGAGGCCAATGCTGAGGTGGTATACTTACCTCAGGCAGAGCAGCAGCCGGAAGCACAAGCAGAGTTGCAGGCTGAAAGTCGTGGGTCTTTGAATGAACCCGCGGTTGAGTCTCAGCCGCCCACCGAGACCCAGCCCGAGGTGACCATTACCCCCGATTCCCCGGCTGAGCCTACGACCGAGCCTCAGTCAGAAGCGCAAGCGAAATCGCAGGTTGACATCAATGAGTCTTCAATCGGACCTGCGGTCGAGTCTCAGCCTGAGGTGACTGTTGCTCCTCATTCTCCGGCTGAACCTACAGCCGAGATTCAGTCGGAAGCGCAAGCAGAATCGCAGTCTGCCATCCATGATTCCCAAGAACACCATAAATCCCATGAACCCCCCGCTGGCGAGGAGGGCACTGAGGTCGATGGCTCCAAGCATACGTCCGCATCGGCATGAGTATGATGACCCACGGCTTCCTAGTGCTTAATGACTCCCCTGATTCCGGCAATTCTTTCTTCACACTCGCATTCCACATCATCTCACCCTTCCATCCACCTTCGCATTCTTGCATATTTGATGAAACTGGCATTGATAGACACCTTTCCATTCTCTAGCATTGTTGCTTACGCCTTTAATCGCACATTGCCTTTTTCTCCGCTGCTTCTGCGATATGCGTGGAAACAGCGGGAGTTTTCTTCACATTTTGCCGAGCCTTATGTATTACTACTACTATTATTATTCTTCGTTGGATGTTGTTGACTGTACACACTGTCATGCCTCATGTTCCCTTTTTGGCTTTCGGCTCTGGCGTCCCTTTTTCTCTTTCTTTTTTCCCCTTTTTGCTCCAAAGATGTATACATAGTAATTATTGCTGGTCTTTTGAAAGAAATCATCAAACATGATCATAGCAAGGAACGTTCCGTATAAGTAGTGTAAGGAGTATGTACCTGCATGTACCTGCAATCCTTCTGTCACCCCGTCGGCTGTGGTCACCACATGGGAGACCCATGTCCCGAAGATGAATCAACCGTGGGAGGATTAATAGGCCGACTAATGCCACCATTTGTCCAACCCCGACTAAAGTTGGTGCTAATTACCAGTTGGGCTAGTTGCCTGTAACCAAGTGCCCAATGCTTTCAGCTGTGCGCAACATCAGCCTCCAATCGCGCCATTTGCTGCCGGGATGGCACTTCTAGTCTAGCCTGATTGGGCAGTCTGTGGCCGTTGTTCATGCGAAGATAAGCTTACCCTCGTGCTTTTTTTTTGCCTTTTTTCTCTCTCGTTTCTTTACTAATTTTCCTCTTTTCTTTTTTCTCTCGACATTTAATATCAGAGTTGCCTTCTCTCCTTTGGTTGCGCATACGGAGTCCTCTTCCACTTCTTCCCGCGCCTCCCAATTGTTCACAATGGCGGACTCCGACTTCAAAGATAAGAAGCAACCGGACTACGGTCTGGAAACTGAAAGCGATGACCCGGATTCCTTCAATACAATTACCGCTCTGGTTGCTGAAGGTGGGTGCCTGATGCCAGAATGGACAAGCACATGATCACATTCATTATACTAACTTCTTCGTGCTGGTAGATCACGAACATGAGATCAAGCTTCGGACGATGTCTTGGCAAAAGACATCCATTCTCTTGGCCGGCGACCAAGTCTGTCTGGCCATCATGGCACAGTCCTGGTCTCTTTCGTCAGTGTTCACCCCCAGGCTGCGCACTTGTTGAATTCCGCGGCAGATCTAGTCGAGATCAACGAGCGAGACCGCAATCCGCTAACCCTACTCCCTTTCTAGTGTGCTGGGATGGGTGCCGGGCATAATCACCATGGTTCTCTGCGCTGTCCTGTTCTGGATCACGTCTATTACCATGCACAAGTTCATCATGAAATATCCACAAATCAAGGATATCTGTAAGTGATCCTCTCTCCCACGGAGCTTCCAACGCACATGTTTACTAAAACGGTTTACTGCAGGTGATTTCGGATATTATGTCTTCGGAAAGAGTCGTGTGGCATTCGTATTTTCCGCATTTATGCTACTGGCCAACAATATCTTGCTCATCGGATTCCATGTCCTTACCGGCGCCAAGGTGCTGAATACACTATCCGATCACAGCCTGTGCACTTCCGTTTTTGCCGTCATTGCAACAATCATGGGCATCGTGATGTCTATTCCACGAACTCTGAATCACGTCAGCTCTATGTCAATGGTATCCTGTGAGTCTTCTTCTTCCCAGGAGGCCCCTCTGCAAAGAAACAGAGAAATCCCCAAAGCCCTTTCGCTAATCAAATACAGCCGCCTGCATGGGAATCGCCATCCTCCTCTTCCTCGTCTTCGCTGGAATTGAATCCGCCCCTCTGTACGGGTATGACGGGAACTACCCGACCCTCGGCCCTGTCGAGACATACGCATTCCCCAAACCAGGAACAACATGGGTCGCATGCATGAACGCCGTCTTAAACATCACATTCCTTTGGGTGCCCCAAATTCTATTCCCAAGCTTCATAGCCGAAATGGAGCGCCCGCAAGACTTCCCCAAATCCCTCGCCGTCCTGACCTTCATCTCGGCGATTCTCTTCATCGTCCCCCCAGCTATTGGGTTCCGGTACCTGGGCCAGTACAGCACAGCGCCGGCATTCGGCAGTCTCGGCGTGGTCGCGTACAAAAAGGCCTCATTCGGCTTCGTCATTGTGCCAACGCTGATAATCGGCGTCATCTACGCAAACGTCACGGCGAAATTCATCTACAAGCGCACAATGGGCCAGTCTAAGCATGCGCACAGCAACACGCTCATCGGCTGGGGCGTGTGGGGCCTTGTAATGGTCGGCATCTGGCTTCTGGCATTCGTCTTTTCAGAAGTCATCCCCAGCATGGGCGATTTTCTCTCCCTGCTCAGCGCGGCGTTTGACTCGTTCTTCGGCTTTATTTATTTTGCCATTGCGTACTGGCAGCTTAATCGGGGTAAGCTATTTTCCAGCGTTGGGAAGACGGTTATGACGCTGGTGAATGTTTTTATTATGGTTTGTGGGTTGTTTATTCTCGGGCCTGGTCTTTATGCCGCTGTTGAGGCTATCATTGCGGATTATTCGGGGAGTGTTACGCCGGCTTTTACTTGTGCCAATATGGCTCTTTGATATAGGGGTTAAACCCTCTGGGATGGATGGCGTCCGTTGGCTGGGTGGTGGTGGTTTATTTTGATGTACGGTCTTTATTAGGGTAGGTTTTGCATGATACGATACCACTTCAATATTATGAGTGATGCCTTTTTGGTCTTTGTTATTTTCGTATCGAGTTGATTGCCTTAGATAACTGGGCATTGTTTGTCTTGTTAATACGCATGTATACCTACCCAAGCAAATTCCAAGGCTTTTTTCACAATATTGGGTCCTTATGCAGCTCTGCCTGACTTTTCCATACCCTTGCTTTTCCTTTGCACCGGTCCCCAGCACTAAATGGAGCGTCATTTTCGGTACTCTAAGTTGCTAAATGAATATTAGCACGTGTATTGACTTTCTGAATGACGCCCGGGCGTGAACGAATCTAAATAGAGGACCCTGTTTGCCTCTTGTTACGCGGCATCTTTTGGAGGACGGAACAGTAGAAAAAAAGGCCAGCGTTTTCCAAAGTTCTAGCTTCAAAGTCTTTATTGTGTGCTTCTGTCCTAGGCAGTGGTCCCCATCGTACGAGTAATTATAGCGGAAGGTTATCTTTTCCGATCTATCAGCTTCAGACCCTGACTAATAGCATTAAACAAATTACTTAGGTATGTGTTATGTTCAATAAAGTGTTACATGCTAGTAGAATATCGGCAACCTAAAAAAGGCACGATCGGGTGACAGCTATGTACCACTCATTTTTGTATACAAAATGGTGACCTGCCAATCACTACTATTTTTTGTATGTAAACAATATGTTTGGTCAATAGCTGCTAAGTGCTGCCAAGCGCAGCCTGGCGGGGCCTGGGACGCACGTCAACAGGGAACGTTTGACCTGATGTGTGCAGAGCCTACGTCTTTACCCTATTGCACAGCCAGAACGTTTGTCCCACTGCAAGATGGGCACTTGGGGCAGGCTCAGTCATCCACACTCCTATATGTAGGTTCTTTTAGCTCAAATATTTTCTCATCTATATATATTTCCTCTGTGATCGATATTCTCGGACTTTCTTACCGGGGCCCTCACCTCAGATGGGCAACCTTCCTCCAAAAAGCACCCACTCTCCTAAGGGCCTGCAAAGATCAATGAACAATTTCAATATCAATGATAGCTGCTGGGTGTCGGGGGAGTGCGTTGTGATTATGGCCCACCAATGGATGCGCAGCTTCGGTCTCGAATATGGCAGTGGGCGTACTTCCCACTCCCGTGGAGGACCATTACGACAGTACATGGGCGGAGATGGCGATCAAGAGTAGTGACGACGATGTTGAACGTCCAAGCCTATTCGACGGCGTTTTGAGAGAGCATTTGGTGAACTGCGGGCTGTGGAGAAGGCTTTGTACGGAGGAAATTCATTTTTCGACCGTATGGAACGTAATCTCCCAGTGAGCCTAGAAAATATGCCAGATATTCCCAAGACAGATAGTAACGATGATAAATCGATGGTGGGTGATGAGGAGCTTCTAGAGGTTAAGGAGCTGTGAGTATTTTGTGATGATTATACGGCGACGATCTTAGTAAACAGATGAGGTAGCCAGAGTAGCACTAGCAATGAACAATCTAGAATATAGCCTCTTAGCTATCAGTAGCTCTGTGACTTAGAGCCAGAGACTGACTGAATTTGTAAAACATTTTTTGTACTGCCAGTTGGGCTATTCATAATGCACAAAGTGATTGGGAGATGCCGAGTGGGTCTGGTTCGGGTTCGGATATTCCCCGTCGTATTCGTATGCCTTGCCACATCCGTCATTCTCCATCTTTGATCTTCGATCCTATCATTTGTTACGCAACTCTCCAATCCAGATAATTTTCAGCCTTGCGAGAAATGGTCTTCCGTCGTTCCCACCGTAAGTCCCGCCACGGGTGCAGCAACTGTAAGCGGCGACGAGTCAAGGTATGGGCAGTATCCTCTGAATTAGAGCATCATATCAACTTACAAGCACAGTGTGATGAAGGACGACCAACATGCGCCAACTGCGACCAAAGACATGACACATGCATCTATACTACCCCAGGTCCATACACATTCGCAGAAGATACAGAGAAGGCTCCCCGAAGGTCACGCAGTCAAAAACCATCAGAGCCGGAATCGGCCGGACCCGATATCTCCAGTGTCCAGAATCATTTGGATGCCGTGACAAGCAGCTCGACTTCACCATCATTAGACATGAAGCAACTCGAGCTAATGATGCAATGGATCAATCACACCCACAGACTCCTCGCTCGCAACGAGGAAACAAGAAAGATCTGGGAAATGCCAGTCCTGCAAGATGCGCTCCAAGCTCCATTCCTAATGCACGGGATTCTCGCCTTCTCTGCCCTCCATTTATCAGAACTTTCAGCGTCCAAGTCCAACAACCGTGCTTCTGAATGGTTGAATACTGCGATCGCCCACAAGAACACCGCCTTATCAATGTTCTCAGAGCAGCTGTCGAATATTAGCCAAGTCAACGTGAAAGCGATGGTGAGCTTTGCCAGTCTGGCGGTTGTATTTAGCTTCGCGAGTGCGCGAAATTTTGGACCGTCCCAGCAAGAGGGACCCAGTCTGGATGCCCTGATACATATCTTCACCTTAACGCGTGGTGTCCAGCAGGTTGTGAATGCGGAAACGGCCTTTCTATTTGCAAGCAACCTCGGCCCCCTATTCAACATCAAACCTCCAGATACGCCTATGCCAGCGCAATTTCAAAGTGCGTTTCAACGGTTAGAGAAATTGAATTTTGACTGTTCTCACCAATCGACCGCTCATGACATGGCTCCTTATGAACTAGCCATTACCCGTCTGCGCCAGCTGGCGCCTTTTACCTTTGCCGAGCCGACGTCGCTGACTTTAGTTGGTGGATTTGCGATCCGGGCGCCTGAGGAGTTTATGGAGGACTTGAAAAATAGTCGTCCGTTCGCACTCGTGGTGTTGGCTCATTACTGTGTATTTTTGCACATGGCGCGGGAGAATTGGTGCGTGGGTCCGTGGGGGTCTATCGTTTTGCGAGAAATATCGCAGATTTTGGCTCCAGAATGGCGTCCTCATATTGAATGGGCTTTGGAGCAGGTCTCCTAGTACTAGGTCACTGCCTAGGTGCGGCGGTGAATGTCAATGTTTAATATACCCAATACCAGAATGTCCTTTGTGATCAAAGCTTAATTACTACGAATTTCACTCCATGCCCCGAGCACCTAGGGCGAGAAAATGGGTTGACTTGTAAATATGAAATTGTGATAAAATATGGATCTAAAATGGTATAAAGACATGACACATGAGAAAATAACGATTACTAGTCAGCCTGGAAGGTTCCTTCACGCCTCCTCTACACGGCTCCTCTCCAAAGGCGACTCAGCCTCAAACTTCCGTGTTTTGTAGATCTTCTCGGAATACCGGTCCCCGCGGCCCAACAAGCAATTGACCTCGCTGGGATGCGCATATTGAAGAACCAGCATCGTAACAAACATGAGCAGAGCATCAAAGACATAGATAAACGCCTCAGTCCTCATCAGGTACCCATCATATCCCTGAAGATATTCCACAACGCGAATGACCGACCGAATCAGGATAAGGATACTGGCAACATAGAGCGCAATCATATGGCGATGCCAGAGAGAGCTCAATTCCATGGATCGCGCGGTAGGTGCCTTTGAAAGGCGAACTTGGAAGATAACAGCGCTAATAGCGAAGAAGCCGAAGAAAACGATCTGCACGAAGAGACCGCCGATGATAATATTCTCGCCCATGGAAGGGTTTGTCATATCTTTCACCATTATTCCAGCACCTAGAGGGAATGTCAGAGGGCTTGAATTTTATGAAGGAAGGAAGTTTGCGCGATCGTACCAGAAGCCTGCATCAGGAAAGACAAAACGTCGCCGGCAACGAAGATCTTTGTCAACCATTTCAGCTTGATTATTGAGCTGTGCTCTGCGTCTAGCATCTCGATGATCCGGCCCAGAGTCATGTAGATACTCGCAGCTAGGAATGCGGGGGCGATGAGAATGAGGGCGCTTTGCATCACGTATGGGCCTTGGGTGTAGTTGGGTGTTTCGAGCGATGATAGGAGACGGCCGATATATCCGACTGTTTCAACTGTAGGTACGAAAAGAAATGGTCAGCAAACTTGTGGTCGACTTTGGGCAAATAGATTGGAACAGGATAACATACGAAGTCCACCAATGAGAAATGGAATCATGAACCATGTTCGTGTTCGAATGAGTTGATAGAAGTGGAAAATGCTGCTTAAACCAAAAAGGCCGGCGAAGATACCCGCAGCTGCGCTGGATGGCGCATAGTAGTAGAATGTCCACTGAACAGCCATTGTGATGCGTCGGTGTATGTCGATATCTTAAGAGATGCAGAGGATTGAGTGTAAATCTGTATGAGAAAGTGCCACAATGGGAGAAAGATGAGCGAGTGTATTGAAGAATAGGATCAAGTAAGACGGAAGAATGCAAGCTTTTTATAATAAATTGACTAGAACTAATGTACAAATTGCATGAAAAAATACCTGCCCCTTTCAAGGGGATTCGTCGTCTGTTGGAACTGGTTGAGGGGATACGCAGGCATTTTCTTGTCGTACTCGCTCCATACTCTCTACTAGGAAAGGCTTTATGGAGCCTCCGGTCTTCGCCACAGCCTTAGAACTTTATCTTTAGGCATCGACTGGTACGGGACCCGCCGACCCTGGAATCGCTTCGTGTTCGTACTCTTTACTATACTTGAGCACGCTAGACTAAATAGGGTTAGTATATAATAAACTATGTATCCACTATTGAACGGAAGCCGCCCTATTGAAGGAAGATTTACTATTCTGCTCCTCGCATTCGGCTAATAATGAATTTAGAATCCGAGATACGAGATTAAGGGCCCAGATAACCTTAGTGGGTGGACCATTGGCCCGCAAGGATTGGAGCTTGGTGGCATCAGATTACCCTAGGGTGCTATTTGTTGACCTAGATAGGTGGCTGCTCCAAGTATGTAGCTGCTGCCTGGTGGATAGATATTCTCTGATTGAAGTGAAGTGAAGTCTCTCAATTTATTCAAGCTTTACCCCATATAAGGGTTTAAAGTGGACACACACGTAAGCAGCCATCGGCAAAGAAAGCTTGGTGACGTTACGACCAAACATACGCCAAAGCACTGTTCAGTGCCAGATTTTTCAACTGCCCATTATGTGCCACTGCTGCATCGATCCATTTCAAACGGGCTTTGCGCTGGAATATGATGCAGTAGGAAGAGCCGCCATAGTGGAACATGCCAATCTCCTCGCCCTTCTTCACATGGGCCTTTTCCCCCGAGGCAATGGCTGGATCAATAACACAGGATGAAGCTTCGTGCATACCGACAGCGACAAAGGCAACCAGCCCCAGTGCAGGATTATCTGCCTCGATGATAACGATACCTCTTGTATTAATATGAGTCAGAAAGCCCTGTGCATCGTCCATACAACGCGGGTCCGCGGTCTTGGACGGTCTATCAAAGCCCGTTATCCACGGTGGGATGGCGAAGAAGTCCCATCAATCACGGTGTGTGCCTTGATTGTTCCAGAGATGGGAGCGTGCCAGCGGTGATAAGTGATTGTGCTTAGGTATGCCTGGAAGGCCGTCCCACTAATATTTCGATGCCGATTTTAGCCATTGTGGCGACTATATTCAGCGCTGCTCCCCCATTTCTTGCTGTTTACGGGGAAAGGATTCGAGAAAGTAGCAGATTTGCTGGTCAGACCCTGAGAATGCAAAATGAACATCCCTTAGATGAGAACTGCTGAGGCATAGGCCTCAGGTATATCCAGATCGATCTATAACTGTTAGTCTCACTCCCTCGTCTTCATGATTTACAGATCTTCCATCATCCTCTGTCCTTCATACACCATACTCCTCACCAAGAACGATTAGAGACGGCCTATTGCTACTGATACTTTACTACTACAAACATCTTAAAAATTCGGCGAGGTAAAACGCAAATAGTAATATTCAATTTCCAGCTAAATAATCCCAATTTTTGATCCTAAGCACGACCAAAGATATCTCCCCGGTTGAACGGTGGTTTATTCTTGTCATAATTATCAATCCAATCATCAACAATCAACTCAGCCTCATCGAGGATATCCTCGTCAGTATTCGTCATGGTAACAACCGCAAACGCAAAAGTGCGAGAATGACGCCTTGCGTCGTCAACATCGGAAAGATAGATACGATCTCTGATTTTGATATAATGTAACATCTTTTCAAGCAACTCAATATCAGTCAATTGGGCGTGTGCTCGCTTGAACATAAAACCAACATACCACTTCTTCGGTTCGATGTCAAAAAATTTGTACCGCTCATCATCGCTGTAATCGGTACTATAATTTGACGCGGACTCGGAGTCGTTCAAGTTTTGATCGCTGGGAGGCACACTGGAATAAACTTTTCCGTGAAACGTACGACAAAGACGGCCAGGCATTTTGTAGGCTCTGTAGGCTTGACCTAGGATGTGGAATTTGTCGATTTTAGTCTGGGTACGATGCTAATTAGCTCTTTAGTTGAGAAATCCCGGTTATGCTGTCTGTGGTATCCTGTGCTGTTGAATAATTTCAGGAGCCGATAAGGAGCACTTGAGGCCGTTATTAGTACTCCGAGTTATTGATTCTTGGTACAGACTCGAGCAGCCACAATGGGCTTTGTGTCATTTATCGGAGGATAGCATCAAGGAAGGATTTGGTCAAACAAAGAAGTCTTATACCGAACAAAGGATTGGACTCGAAGTATGCTGTTATTCATTCATTGAGCAAAGTTCCTTTTCAGACAAATATAATACTTAACAAAAAATATTGAGGTGTCGGAGAATTAGTCCCAGGCATTCACTCGAAGGGCTGCTGCTATGCGGACTATATTCATTGCCACCACCTGTTAAAAAACATCAAGGATCACTATTTCTCGGCATTGTCTTATTTCTTCGCAAGCAGATGAATATAGTGACTCTGTCAACAGCTTCTGGTTTTTGGTCCATTTCAACAATACTGTACCTAACTATTAAGCTAAACTATTTTTAGTAATAGTATTTTTACCCTTTAATTATTTATTGTTTCGCTAAATTCTAAAGAATATCTGAATTTGAGTCTGGCAGATACGTGAACGATTATGTAAAGGTAAAGATATTGACTAGGCAAGGCAAGGATGACACGACCGAGATGGACAGTGTATTCTGTGATCGACACCGCTAATTTGTATTAGCTCTGATCTATCTCAATATGATCCAAGGTTTTCCCGTTACATCAAAATCTTGACTAGGCTCAAAAACTAACTTCACAAAGAGATCCTTTAATATTTTTAAGAGCGGTTACAATCGGTAGATAGAGAATAGAAATACTGATAAGGTACCTAATTGTCTACCCAGAGCGCCCTGAGTATAGTGGAGTTGATCCCTAAGTAGCTATAAAGGCTCCGGGAGGGCCCAGGGAGCGATCCGGGAGCCCTTCCGGACCAAGCGATAAGACGCTTGGGTATGATCACGTGATGTAAATATGACTAAGGTTTTGGTAAAATGAACGCTTAAACTGGCGTCGAGTGTTGCCGTTTTGGGCGTTCGATTTACCGTCACTTAGCGTTGTGGTGTAATGGGGATTTTGCTCTAAACATCGGAGTCATGTGATCAGAGCCTTCGCAACAAGGTGTCTGCTTACAGGGAGATATTTAGTTCGCGCGATAGCATTCCAGGAACATACACCTGTCGAGTGTCACGATGCGGTCTTTTTCTTTCCTGCGACGGTAGCGGTATCGGTGTACTGCTCATGAAGGCTCGGATACCTTAGGAGGTTTCATCTCAGTGGTCATTGCTTTGTCTACTCGCCTGCACACTGTGTGTGTGATGGTTTGTCTCTCTGCGATCGACCCGTCTGCTTGACAGACAGCCAGCGAGCATTCCCATCTTTCACTAAGTATTTCAAAGGCTTCTCTAATGTATCAGTTTAACAACCTCAAAGTTTCACAGTAAATAGCTTAAATTAATCTCATCCAATTTCCTTTGAAAACCCTTTTAGAATAAGTTTTTCGAAAGATATTCTACTGTAAAGAGTAAGTAATAAAAAGGGAGGGTGGTGAAAAAGGAGGGGTAAAAAGAGGGAGAGAGGTAAATGAGAAAGAGAGGTGAATGAGAAAGAGAGGTGTTATAAAAAGGGTTGGCAGAGTAGAGTAGGCAATAAAACTGGCGATAATTTTCCTGATTGTGGGGTAATGCCTTGGTGATAGCTCTTTCCCGCAAAGCTTTTACTACATATAAAATGGGGTATTAACAGACAACTGCCCAATGCGCTTTTGATATAACAAAGAAATGAAGAAACACGCAGACAAGGAAATATCTATAATCAATCTAACTCTGAGCCCTTTTCACAGCTTGAATGCACTCAATCTCAAGCCTCAACATGATGCAGACGCCGTTGCTATGCTATTTTCCAACCATAGTCGGAAGTATGTAATTTAACCGAAGCATTGACATTTCCAGAGCGAAAAAATTCAAGAGAATCGATCAGGAGAATTATCCTTTGGCGGATGCTGAAACTTTAGGTCGTAGTGAGCTGGTTCTGGCTCTGGCACCGGTGATGGCGATGGTGTCTTCACTTGAACCATCGGAAAATTAGACTGCGTATTCGGCTGGTCATCATATTGTGGTGCCGGCATAGGGTAACCAGGCGGCGGGCCAGCGAGACGAGCAGCATACGGATCATAAGGCTGGGCGTAATTGTGATCGGTGATTGGAGCACTGTGATACATTACTCCCGGGCTGTTCCTGCGGCCTCGACGAGTGCAGTAAAGTATCAAGAAGACGATAAAACAGATACCGAGAACACAAGACACCACGATGAAGAATGCGCCAGCCCAAAATAACTGGCCCGGACCCATGCACTCATAATCGGGTATACTGTCGAAATTGTTATCGCTGAGTGCCTTGCGTGCGGCCTCGCAGCTGGTCCACGCTTTGCGAAAGTATGCGCCGAGGAGAGCTCCGCCCACGATGGCGGAGACGATTCCGGCGGAGAAGGTGCCAATTGCCCAGGTCTTGGTTGTTTTGTGAGATCGTTTGTAGGGCTCGGAGTTCTTCGATAGACCGGAATCGGGGTCGGCGTTGAACGGTACGCTTGACATTGTGGAGAGGTTGAGAAGGAGAATGGAGAATGTTCCCTCTGAGACGCAAGTGTTTTAAGGGGGTAAAATCTGAAGAGCTTTAAAACACCTGTCACAATGGTGGTCCAGGCTCACCTAGTAGTTTTACTACTCACTATTTTAGGTGAAAATAAAGTGTTGGGCGACCTATCATGAGAGACACCGCTGCAAGGTTGGAGCCACCAAGCCTCGTATGTGGAGTAGGGAAGACCCCCGATCCACTTTCGTAATCAATTTCCTTCATGTACAGCGTGGCAGAGCCCCGTGGTGGTAATCTGCAATCTTTTTTTTTTCTCTTATTACATTGTTTATGAGGACATTGAGGTCCGTATATTGGCCCTACCTATCTGTGGATTGTTTAGGATACGGGCATCGAAGTATAGTTCCCGAAGACAACCAAACGAGGCTCAAATAACCCCCCCACAAAAACAAACTAATTGGCACCCCCATGCATTTCCTCCCTTGCCAACGCCCAGTTAATGCCTGAATATAGCCTTGAAATCGACGGAGTAACTGAAGAGTCACAAGCTTGTCATTATGAGGAAAGCTCCATTCCGCGAAGCTTGCTCCCGTTGGCAAGGGTGGGGATTGGCACAGAAAGGGGGAAGGAACTGTGGTCACGTTTGTTTGACTGGGCATCGGACGCGAGCGTAAGAATTCAGAGAAAAAACCGAGGAAGTTCCTCGAGGGATATTTTTGGGGCATCAAATAGATCAAGCTATTGTACAAAAGAACGCACCATCCGATGCCCATTCTCCAAGCGAGGAGTATCAAAAGAATAAATAAAAACGCTCCTAGAACTCCGACAGACGGGAACAAAAGATTTGAAGATAAAAGTCCCGTCACATAGTGCTTATTGTCGGGCACGTTGATGAATGTGTCGAAGTTGCTCCTCGATGTTCATATTCTGCGGGGTTTGCGCTCCGTTGGGTCCAAGGGCCGGACCAGGAGCACCGGGAGGCAACGAGCCATCAGCACCAACGGCCATGCGCTTGCGGCGCGCCTCCTCTTCAGGGTCAACGTTAGGCGCCAGAGACGAATCAAAGACATCACTGCGCTGGCTAGCCAGTCGCTTAAGGTTGTTCACCACATCAACAGTCGAAAGGTTGGTCGTCGCACTGCGAGACTCAGCCTTGGCACGCTGTTCCTTCCAGCGCGGGTCGAGCAGTTCAATACGCATGTGGTGATCAAGCTCTGCGACAGGGATCTGTTGGTGACAGTTAGGGCAAAGCGCCATCGCGCTGGCCTGGCGGCGGGCTTGGGCTCGCGGCACGTAGTCTTGACGGATCCGCATCGCTGGTTGACCAGGCGCAGCTGCTGGCGATTCGGGGCGAGCACGCTGGTCTTCAAACTGGGCAGCAGCAGGGTACTGCATAGAGGGGTCCATTCCACCCGGGGGGTGGAAGGGCATTTGTGCGGGATAGGGAGAAACGGAAGGTTGCATGACTGGGACGGCTTCAGGCTGGGCGGGGTAGGCATTATAGTGGACGGGGGCGTCAAGATCGGTAGGCATGGCCTCCTCGATGCGCAGTGGGTTGAGGGACATGGCGGCCTTCTGCTCGAGAGAAGCTGACTGCAGGTCTCCGAGTGAAGTTGGGGGTGGCAGCTCGGACTGATCGTCGGACTCGTTGAACAACACAGTCTCGACTACGACAAAATCATGCCAGTCAATCTGTTGATATTCGATACGTTCCTGCTCCTCAATTTCTTCCTTCTTCTGCTTCTGTTGCGCTTGGTGCTTCACCCATTCGGCGCGCTGCTTGGAGCGCTCGAGTGTGTTATATTTGTCCTGGACATTGCGCTGCAAATCCGAAATCCTCTTCTTCTCCGTCGTGGCTTCATCAATTCCTTCCGGTCGTAACAAGATCGTGTACTGGTCTACCAACCGTGTGAAGAATTGGTACAGACGGTGCTGAGGCCGTAGGAAGTCGAACTGGGAGTTTCTAGCTTCCCGTTGGGACAGTGCTGTCAAAAACGTCTTTCCTCGCTTGGCGACAAATGTCGCAGTCAGCTTGAGCACCTCCAGATCCTGCGCATTGATCATGGGCATGCGCGCCGAGAAGTGAAAGCTTGGTGGTTCAGGCGGGCCCTTGGGAGCTTCGGGTTCAGCGGCCAGCACAGCCTCTCCGGCTCGTCCAGCTGCGACGGAAGAGCCGCGACCCTCTTTGATCTCGGTCAAACGCCACTGATAGAAGTTGGCGTAGGCATCGGTTGGGTTAAGGAAGGAGAACTTTGGGTTGTTCTTTTCTTTATCGCGGACGCGGTCTGAGAGCAATTGCAGGTGAGTATATTAGCGTGAAATGAGAGGATAGGGACTCAATATACCTTCGAATACTGCGCCATTACGAGAAACGTAGCCAGCGGTCTTCTCGACGATTGCTAGATAGCTGATTAGCTGGGTAGTCGCGACAAAAGGGAAGAACAGAAACGTACCGCGAATATCCTTAGGGGGTACCACGACACCTTCTGGAGCCTTATTCGTATCCTCTGGAAGAGGTGTATTTCCATTTGACGGCTCCATGACGGTGAAGATGGAGGGGAATGGGATGCCAGCTGGATCTTTTTCTCCACGGCTTTGGAAGTTCAGCGACGGCGATGCGCATGACTAAGCTCACCAGCCACAACACCAGCCACTATGATGTGTAAGTACCAGCCACAGTGGCGCCCTGAATGCGGCGAGGTTTGTGTATGCGTAAATAATGATCAATCTCCGTATTTCGGTTGTGATACTGTATAGTATAGAATAGGCGTTAATGGAATCATAACTGGAGTTGGATCAATTGCTTATTGACTCGAGTACTAGAACTTATTACTGGTAGTAAGTGTATGTCCCCGCTCGGACGGTTCCTCTGCATGGTACGATGTATGAAGCCAGGGGAAGTGTAAACATCACCAGTGTACTACAGAAAATCCCCGACAGTAACTTACTGCACGTACTGGTAGTAAACATGCAATACTAAATAGACAATTGAAGGTATATAACTTCTTCAAGTGCCTCAATACAAAATTTTCTAACAACTTCAACCGATTCTAAAATTACAACACATGCAAAACTGGGGCTGGAAGTAAAGGGGCCAGAGCCGGGGCCAAAACGGCCCTCTCAGCTCGTCCGTTCTCGTGGCTCCCGTCGATCTGGCCTCACGAACTTGTTCTTGTTGGAATCCCCGCTTGCGTCCATTCTTTCCTCCCATCTACCTTTTTTTCTTTTTTCTAATTTCTTTCCTCCGACCCTGTCATGGGTTTTCTTTTAACTATCTACGATCACTAACCCCCCTTCAGCAACTCGCCTTGCCTTTTCTTCGAGGTTGGTGAGAGCTCCGCCTTGAAGCTTTCGGCAACTATTGCTTCGATTTCGAGACCGCTTTTCTTTTTCCATTGCGTCCATTTTATCTAGGCTCCATCAAGCCAATTTTGGTTTTCTTTCCTCTCCTCCGATCTTGCAACCTCTGCCGCCGTTTCGTGCCCCCGAGCCTCCGACATAACCCCATCGATCGGGACCCCATCAACCATCATGGGTCAGAAATCCAAGGATACGCTGGCTGTCCGGCCTCAGAGCCGCGGTCGCCGCTCTCCGAGTCGTTCCCCCAAGCCGAAGAACCGCAAGCCTATTCAGACACAACCCACCAGCTACGCGTCAGACGGCGTCAAGGAAAATGATATCCTCAACCTCCCCGCTTCCGACTACAAGCTGCTGGTGCTGGTAACGCTGATTGCCGCGGCCGTGCGCCTGTTCCGCATCTATGCACCTGCCAGCGTTGTCTTCGATGAAGTTCACTTCGGTGGCTTCGCTTCCAAATACATTAAAGGTCGCTTCTTCATGGATGTCCACCCCCCGCTCGCTAAACTCCTGATCACGCTGGCTGGCTGGCTAGCCGGCTTCGATGGAGAGTTTGATTTCAAAGACATTGGCAAGGACTATCTTGAGCCCGGCGTGCCTTATGTGGCAATGCGTTTGCTGCCCGCGATTATGGGTGTCCTGACCGTCTCCTTGATGTTCCTTACCCTAAAGGCCACCGGCTGCCGGACTGTGACTGCGGTTTTGGGTGCTGGCATCGTCATCTTCGGTACGTTTGAACTGGAGGTGCCCGGGATACAGGATATATGACCGGAAGCTAACCATAATTCAGACAATGCGCTCACTACCCAATCGCGATTGATTCTCCTGGACTCTCCTCTGATTTTCTTCACTGCGTTGACGGCGCTTACTTTCAACTGCTTCACCAATCAACAGGAAATGGGCCCGTCTCATGCCTTCAAGGGCCCCTGGTGGTTTTGGTTGGTAGCCACGGGATTCTCGCTAGGGGCCACCCTCAGTGTCAAGTGGGTTGGTCTCTTCACAATGGCTTGGGTCGGCTCTCTCACGGCTCTCCAACTTTGGGTCTTGCTTGGGGATACTCGCACGGTTACCCCGCGACTGTGGTTCAAGCACTTTTTCGCTCGTGTCTTCTGTCTGATTGTGATTCCTCTTGGATTCTACCTTGCCATGTTCGCCATCCACTTCACATGCCTGGTCAACCCCGGTGAGGGTGATGGTTTCATGTCCTCCGAGTTCCAGTCTACTTTGAACTCCAAGGGTATGCAAGACGTCCCGGCCGATGTTTCCTTTGGCTCGCGTATCAGCCTTCGTCACCACAACACCCAGGGTGGCTATTTGCACTCTCACAACCACATGTATCCCACCGGTAGCAAGCAGCAGCAGGTCACCCTCTACCCTCACAAGGATGAGAACAATGTTTTCATCATGGAGAACCAGACACAGCCTCTGGGTCCCTATGGAGAGATCGAGGGACCTTATGCTTGGGACAACCAAACTGCTGGCTTGATCCAAGATGGATCGGTTATCAGACTCTACCACGAGCTTACCCACCGCCGTATTCACTCGCACGACGAGCGTCCTCCAGTGACCGAGGCTGATTGGCAGTTCGAGATCTCGGCTTACGGTTACGAGGGATTCCCCGGTGACGCAAACGATCTGTTCAAGGTCGAGATTATCAAGAGCATGTCCGAGGGCGAGGCGGCCAAGACTCGCCTTCGCACCATCCAGACCAAGTTCAAGCTTGTGCACGTCATGACTGGCTGTGTTCTCTTCTCTCACAGAGTCAAGCTTCCGGATTGGGGATACGAGCAACAGGAAGTCACTTGCGCTCGTGGTGGTACTCTGCCCAACAGCGTCTGGATTGTCGAGTCCAATTCCCACCCTATGATGCCTGCGGATGCCGAGAAGGTCAACTACCGCAACCCCGGCTTCTTGGGTAAGTTCTGGGAGCTGCAGAAGGTGATGTGGACTACGAACGCCAACTTGGTCGAATCGCACAACTGGGATTCTCGTCCTTCATCTTGGCCCACTCTCCTCCGTGGTATCAACTTCTGGGGTAAAGACCACCGCCACATCTACCTGATTGGTAACCCCCTCATTTGGTGGTCGACTACCGCTGCCATTGGTATCTACTTCGTGGTGAAGGCTATCTCAGTCCTGCGCTGGCAGAGAAGCTGTGGTGACTACAAGCACGTTTCTTTCAAGCGTTTCGACTACGAGGTTGGCACCACTGTACTCGGATGGTTCTTCCACTACTTCCCATTCTACCTCATGGCCCGTCAGCTCTTCCTGCACCACTATCTCCCCGCCCTCTACTTCGCCATTATGGTCTTCTGCCAAGAGTTCGACTTTGTCTTCAACCGTTTCAAGAGCCTGGGCTTCACATCTAAGCCTATTATTGGAAAGGCTGTGATGGCTGCCTTCCTTGGTCTCAGTGTTGCTGTTTTCACCTTCTACGCCCCCCCTTGTTTACGGAAACCCCTGGACCCAGTCCGCCTGCGAGAGCTCCAAGCTGCTGAGCGGCTGGGACTTCAACTGCAACACCTTTTACACCGACGTAAGTGTTCCGGAATGGCAACCTCCCCGCCGCGGATATTGAAAAACAAAAATAAACCAAAATCCCAAACCAAAATCAAACCTGCGACATCCCATGGCTGACATGGACCCACAATTCTTAGTTGAGTCAATATATCACGGACGTGCCTTCCATCGGCGCAATCCCAACCACCCCCGCCGTCCAGGCCGCCGTCCCCGAGGCCAAAAAGGCCCAGGATCCCGTCGACGCCGCACAGGACCAAGACCAAGCCGCCGTGACCGAGCCCAAGCTATCCGGCTCCGTGGCCCGCGTCGAGTACCGCGACCAGAATGGTAACATCCTCGACGATTCCCTCGTCTCCTCGCTACGCTCCGAGGGCAAGGTCAAATTCGAGACCCGCTACGAGTCCAAGCGTCTCGAGAACGCACAGGAAATCCCCATCGTGGACGGTCAGCTCGCACCCCCACACCCGGACGTCGAAGGCCAGAACCCCGAGACTGGCTCTAATGCGGCAGACTCGGCTGCCCCCGAGAGCCCTGCCTCTGTCGTCGGTGGTAATGAGCGCTCGGTCGAGAAGCCTAATGAGCCTGTCCCGAGCCCTGCTAGCGAGGGTAACGAAGCTACTAAATAATAAGTTCTGTTGATAGGGTTTGGATGTATGTGGTAGAAAGAAATATTGAGAGAGAGAAAATCTTCACACTTGTGTATTATGACTGTTTATCAGGATGAAATTTTTTTTCTTTCGCCGTGATTAGGTTCCTTTCCTCGTCAGAATATTGAGTTTTTCATACTTGAATGTGTTGAGCGTTTGTATTGTCCATTTCCGGCGCATCTACGGAGTTCCCGACTCGTACTAGTACTATTGGTCCACAAAAGCTCGCGAAGAAGGAACATAAGAAAACGACAACGTTGATCTTGTCTCTGGTGATACTGGTAGTACGCACTGAAAGGAGTGGAAAGAAAATAAAAGCTGAAAAAAGACATCGATTCCAAAATTGACTTTATCTGAACAGCGGGTAGGTACTATGCACAAATCCCCGGTTAATCGCAATCATAAGTCCACGCACTCTACTGCCTCCTTGCCCGTGGTCTTAGTATACAACAGGTAACCGCATAGGCGGTTCGCCCTCACAACGTGTTTTGGGAAAGCTCAAGGCGAACTGGACTGGTTTAGTAGTCCCACTCCTCCTTGCCGTACTTGTTGAACTTCTCGTGGAGGTCCTGGAGAGTAGTTAGTGGCTGTGCATATATAGTTCGACAATACCACTAGAATGCGTTTTTGTTTTGCAGATGGGCGTAGCCATTCGTCACGAGCCGGGACATGATGGGGGATGGGGATGGGGGCGGGATCTGCAAAGGTGGCATGACATACCTCGGGCAGGGTGACGTTGGGGACAATGACAGTGTTCATGGCACTGGGAGCAGCACGGAGGGGCTGGCTCTTGTCACCGTGAGGGTGGTACTGATACTTGTAGATCTTGCCATCCTCAGAGGCGGCGTGCCAGGGCATGGCACTCTCGCCGATGCGAACGTTGGAAGCCTCGGAGGTGACGGAGGTGGGCTTGCTGCCGAAGTACCTGTAAGAAACAGCAGAAGAGCCGACCGGTCAGTCATTGCGCTTGGGACTCGATTATATCTGAAGCATTGTGGTAGGAAAGAGAGAGCACTCTTCATGCAATGCGCCTGGCGTAGCATGGAGTGGCACTATCATTTCGCTGCGGGAATATTCGGGTTGTCGGGCGTGGGAGGGTGATATTTACCAGCCGGCGAGGAGGAAAGCACCAGACATAACACCGAGGAGGACCTGTAGTCGCAAGAATTAGCTTCGGGTGTTCAATTGAGGTTCAATGGCTAGTCGGCGGTCGTACGTAGAGCTCGGGGTCCTTCTTGGCTCCCTTGTCGAGGTTGACCTCCTCGACCTTGGAGGAGAGGAAGCGGCGCGGGGGAGCGCGGAAGATGGGCTGGCGGGTCAGAGCCCGGCGGGAAGCCAGAGCAGCGATCGAAGACATTGTTGTGGCAAGTCGTAGGTGGGTGAGAGAGGGGAACGCGAAAGACTGGGGAGGTCGTGGGAGAATCATGTCATGCACTGCTCTCTGCGTGGGTGGCCACGGTCACGTGGTTTAATGAGTCAGCAATGAACAGACCAACCGCCAACCCTGGATTTGCGACTCTCGCCCGCTGGTTCGGATCTTGTGTTGTCGACAAGCCCCCTCGTTTCCTGTGGTTCTACGGTTCTACGGCCGTTGGTGATGTAATTGGGTACTCTTCATTGTTTGTATCATTTGCAAACTTCCAGGAAAGGTGAGTGACTCCAGACATCGATCTTGGTATGCTGATCAGGGGTCTCCCGAATCGGGATCTTGCCTCTGCCCCGGATTTCGTTTCACGCGTGGAGAGCCTTGATCAGCTCTTCGGAAGCTCTTATACTAATAATTATATAGTATCCTGCATGCTAGTCCCTCATTAAAACCTCATCGCCCACATCCCGTCGCTCCTTTTTTTTCTTCGCCCCTCGATTCGATCAGTCACACGCGATATATTTGATTCCGTCTGTCGGTTGCCGTCGCCCTACCTTTTCCCATAACCTCTATTCGTCACCCTTTGAGGGCAGTATGCTTGCGCAGACTTTCTACTAGCCAACACGAAGTACGCTACTGTAATAAAATATAATGCCGAACACAACAGACAGTCCCGACGCCGGCGAGGCGAGCCAGCATGTACTTGGCATTCCTCGGCCACCCTCAGTGGGAGGGATTTCATCCCGTGTGACCGATATGGCCTCAGAAGATGGAGAAAACTCGCCATCCGTGGCGTCGCCACCACCCTCACAACACCAAACACATCAAACGCGTCCCTCGGGATCTAGACGGGGCCCACCTCCAACCAGGAACTCTGTGACAAGCAGACCCGGTAGTTCGGGGAGTCGATTGAGTCGCACGCATATCCCAACGTTAACAGCACAAGCTTTCTTCCGACCCATGAGCTCGCAGCGGCTTCAGGCTCACCGAGGCGCGCGACCAATGACCAAAGGCACGGTTTCTTCGACGGACGAATGGGCGGATCACAATAGCCAAAATCGCCGGAGTATCATATCTAATAGCACGTTTCCGCAATCCCTGCCTACAGTGGAACAGGACGTTCCACCCTCGCGAGGCACCGAGTTTACGGACCCCATTATCCCAGATCGAAATACCTCCAATGCCAGCCCTACGGGTAATACGACAGTACGAAGTCTCGGCGATAGTGTCAGACTTCTCCGGGATCGAGACCAAAGGAACAAGCCGCATCCCGGTCATTTAAATCTCAATCCAACCTACAATGGAAATTCGGGGCAAGATGTACCTCCGAAATCTCCGCTATCTTTCCTTTCGTTACAAAACAAGGGCCATGCACACAATGGCCACGATACTCGTGGTCATGAGCCACTTTCATCGGCTTGTTCATCTCCCAATGCTCTTGACAAGAAGCAGCAACAACTCCCTCGGAGTTATCTCGGCAAGAACTTTGAATACTTCACCGGTAACACGCTCTTCTGCGGTGGTGGACGATTCCAAAATTCGAGGGACAAGCCCATCAATATTGCTACCGGGCTCCTAGTCGTTGTTCCGTCGGCCCTTTTCTTCGCATTTTCGGCTCCCTGGCTGTGGCATAACATCTCCCCGGCAATCCCAATCCTCTTCGGATACGTTTTCTACATCTGTTTCTCGTCCTTTGTACACGCTTCGGTTGTTGACCCAGGCATCATGCCTCGAAATGCCCATTCCATGCCTCCAACGATACCATCGGATGACCCGTTGGCTTTGGGCCCGCCAACCAATGACTGGGTGATGGTCAAACTTGCTACCTCCGAAGTGGCTGCCATGGATGTTCCTGTTAAGTTTTGCAAGACTTGCAACATCTGGCGACCTCCGCGCTGCTATCACTGCCGTGTCTGTGACAATTGTGTTGAAACGCTTGACCACCACTGTGTGTGGCTCAACAACTGTGTTGGCCGCCGCAACTATCGATATTTCTTTGCTTTCGTCAGCTCGTGTACGATTCTTTCCCTGTTCTTGATTGGGGCTAGCCTTGCGCATATTCTCGTTTACATGTCACGCGAGGATATTTCCTTCGGCTCCGCCATCTCCAAATGGCGAGTGCCTTGGGCTATGGTTATCTACGGCATCGTTGCAGTCCCGTACCCGACATCCCTATGGGCATACCATTTGTTTTTGGTTGGTCGTGGTGAGACTACAAGAGAATATCTTAATTCTCACAAGTTTGCGAAATCGGACCGCCATCGGCCCTTCACTCAGGGCAATGCTCTGAAGAATTGGATCTCGGTTCTCGGCCGTCCCCGACCGCCCACCTACATGCAATTCAAGCAGCCTTACGTAGAAGGAGACCAACGCTACGCTATGCAAAAGCGCAAATACCTCCCTCGCGATGTCGAATCCCAAGCAGGCATCGAGATGCAACATGTTGGTCCTGCTCAGTAGGGCTGAGTTTTCCAACCAAAAGCGATTCCTGAATGTCTTGTCTCGACACCTTTGCTACGACCCTTAAAGATGATATGATTTCTTTTTCATTTCTGGCCACAATGACCAGTCTCTCCCTTTCCATTTACTCTTTTAATGGTCGCTAATCTTTACACCGACATCTTCCTGTCATGTTTCCTTATTGTTTACTTTATCCGACCTCTACTTCACCCGCCGACATTCTTTGGCGTGTTTCCCTCTTCTTCCATATTTTACTACACATCTTTGTGATTACGATTCTCGGGCTTTGAACAGCTTCAGTCATGCTGTCAAACGTCCTACTACTATTACCTGCCCCTCTATCTTCTTTGGGTCGCCCTTGAACATTTTCTCTTATTTTCATACGTTTTTTCTCTCTACCTCTCTCCATGATGGAGCTCGCTCAATACCCTGTGTCTGTGTGAGGCAGCCAGTTAAAATCTAATTCAATATTTTATACAATTTAATTCCATAATTGAAAACCCCTCGCGCGTAGCAAGAAATCCTTCACTGTCAGAAGGGGCGTGTTTATAGGCAACTTTCGGCATTCCAACGACTCTTCGTGGATTGTCCTTCAAATGAATCATTTCACCCTTTCACCCTTGTATGTGAATAAATTCATTTGAACAAGTCTAGCCTGCGCAGTCTTGGTCGGGCCTAACGGATGAGTTGATGTTGCACGCGTCAGACATGCTAATATCCCTCATCGCCCCAAAGTGATAAGAGGCGCGCGGCTGCTGATCTCCAACTTTCCCACCCCTGATACTCCCCGGCTTCTCCTCCCCTCACCCGCGCCCACCTCGAGCAAGGTCGACTCATTCACGTGTGGAGATCGCCTATCTCGCAATCTAGGCCGCATTTCTCACCATGTCGCGCCGAACCTCCCGACTCTCCACGTCCGCGACTCCCGCACTTCCCGACGTCTCATCTCACGAGACCCCCGAAGACACGATGAGCCTCGACGTGCCAGAACAACTGCTTACGCCCGAGAACAGTCGTTCGGAGACCTCCAGCAACAATGAAAACGCGTCCACCGATGAAAAACTCGCCGGCCGGCGGAGATCGACACGGGTGGTACGCGCATCGCTACAAGCGACTGAGTCTCTGGCCAACACCCCAGCCAAGAGCGACGAGCCTAAAACCGCATCCAGCCAAGCCTATGTCGACAGTCTGGCAAAATCGAAGCGTTCCCGTTCCTCATTGCGCCATAGCATCGCCGTGATGGAGTCATCTCTCCGTAACGGAACCGCGCTACCAGATGTTGATACCCTCGCCAATGACCAGTCAATGGTTCCCGACACACCTATTTCGAACTCCTCGCAAGAACCGGTCTCAGACGAACTGAATCCCCCGCTTTCACAACGAACTCTACGACACCGTGTCGAAAAGGCGCTAGGCAAAGATGAGAAGCAAACAATGGAAACGGAACACAAGATCGCATCTCGGGGATCTATGAGACGTTCAACCCGGTTGAGCTTGGTAGAAAAAGCGAGCGATATCTTGGAGCGAACAAGCAGTGTTCTAGGCAAACGCCAGAGGGGCCAGGCAGACACCAAAAAAGAAGTCAGCCGTCGCGCCAGTCTTCGCCCACGCACCCTCGCACCGGCGAAGGAAGAAACGCCCGCCCCAACAGCCGAAGCACCCCAGCCCAAGAAGCGTCGAGTCTCCGAAAGTGATGTCTCCAAGCTACAAAAGAAGGAGCCATCTCCACCGCAAGAAGAGATTAAACCAGTTACTCCGAAGTATAAGCCCAAGCGATGGCTCGCTCACGGATTGTATACGGGGCAAGAACCATCCGACTCGCCTCCCAAACAACGCCAAAGCAAGAATTCCGCAAAGACAGGCACTGGTCCTCTAAACCGTCGTCTTCTTCCCATGCCCATGTTTGCTGGTTCGCGTCTTGTGAAGCATGGCAGAGATTATCGACTTCCGTTCGATATCTTTTCCCCCTGCCACCTGGTCAGCCCAAGCCGGATGAGTGGCGCAAGACCAACAAGAGTAGGTTTCCTATTCTAATTCGATACCCAGATAGCCCTTAAGTTAACTTTATATTTAGACGTTTTTGTTGGCGATGCCGCAAGTGAGTGGAGAGCTAACAAGAACCTGGAACTGTCAACTTGCATGTGCGACGAGGACACTGGCTGTGACGAAAATTGCCAAAATCGCTATATGTTCTACGAGTGTGATAGTGGTAACTGCAGACTTGGTCCTGAATGTGGAAACCGTAACTTCGGCGAGCTCAAGCACAGGACGAAGGCGGGTGGCAAGTACAACATCGGAGTCGAAGTCATCAAGACATCTGATCGCGGATACGGCGTGCGCAGCAATCGCTCCTTCGAGCCAAATCAGATTATTGTGGAGTATACTGGAGAGATCATCACGCAGTTTGAGTGCGAACGACGGATGAGGGCAGTGTATAAGAACAATGAGGTATGGAAGTTGATTTTTGCAATGCTTTGGACAATGGCTAATTCATTGGTTCAGTGCTACTATCTGATGTACTTTGATCAGAACATGATCATCGATGCTACTCGGGGCTCAATTGCTCGCTTTGTCAACCATTCCTGCGAGCCAAACTGCCGCATGGAGAAGTGGACAGTTGCTGGAAAACCGCGCATGGCCCTGTTCGCAGGCGATCGTGGGGTCATGACGGGGCAAGAATTGAGCTATGACTACAACTTCGAGTGAGTTTTTTTCACGTCAACTCAAGGTTTCATGGAGGCATTACTAACACGCTATCAGTCCATACTCCAACAAAAATGTCCAAGAATGCCGATGTGGCGCAGACAACTGTCGTGGTATCCTCGGTCCCGACCCAAGGACAAGGACCAACGTCCCAAGATAGTAGATGAGAAGACCAAGAACTCGGCAACTCCAAAGAACGTGAAGAACGCGAAAACCACCGGCACCAAGCGCAAGTTGTCTGAAACGACTGGAGCCTCTTCGGCTACGGCAAAGAAGCGCAAGTTGCTCCAACCAAAGTCCATTAAATCCAGCTTCAAGAAAGTCATCAAGAAAGCGACAACCGCTCGCGCAAAGGCTACAACCAAGAAGTCAGTGACTGCCTCCAAGGCGACCAAGAACGATTCGTCGGCCAAGAAGAAGAGCGTTAAGCTTCCGACTGTCAAGTCGGCATCAAGAGTCAAGGCCACTGTGAAGGCTTCACAGAAGAAGACTGAGAAGGCGATGCCCAAATCGCCGGCGAAGAGTACTTCTCAGCTCAAGCGACCATCTGCCGCGACAAAGAAGAAGATTCTTGCTGCTGCCGACGGTTCATCTCCTCGAGCTACCAAATCCAAGGTCAGGAAGGACAAGACTGGGATTAAGAGAGGCCCTTATAAGAAGACTCTCTTGAGAAGACTGGCTCTCGCCAACCAGACCTCCGTAGAGAGCGCTGCGAAAACAAACAACACTACCGTTAAGAGCCCAGCGAAGGCTAAGAGCTCGGCAAAGGCTAAGGGCCCCGGCAAAGCTCAGAGTCCTGCCAAAGCCAAGGGGCTAACCAGCAGCATGAAGCAAGCAGCCAAGAACGTCGTTCGCACCGTGAAGGGTGCAAAGCGATCAGCACAATGATGTGAAAAACGAAAAATAAAGCATTGCGCAGGGCGATTATTTGGTCAGAGCCATCGATATCACAAGCCCTGAATTGATCCCAGTTCACCTCTAGTTACGGCACGGCTGAATGTCTTATTTCCGATCCGATGTTCGAACGCATTACTCTTCTTATTTTCTATTATTTTGGAATCACCTTTGATCTCCTGTCAAGTCGAATCTTGTTCATTCTGATCTGTCAAGCTTCTCAACGACCTTGCCACACACACACATCCTCATCCTCATCCTCACCCTCATCAGAACTCAACTCGGTAACAGAGATCTTTGATTGGTGTTCTTATTTGCCATCAATGCTTGTACCCTAACCTTAATCTTCACTTTTACAGGAATATCTCTTTGACCTGGATTATTTCCCCCTCCGATTCGCGCGAGCCACGCTCTGCCCCTCCTATTTTTTTATATTTCTTCCTCTTGATCGTTAGCCCATCCCTTACACGTGAGAATAGGCTGGTTGTTCCCTTGGGTATCTTGTCTTATCTTGCATGGTGTTTGTTTGATTTTGCCCTTCTTTCTTGCATCCTGCCCCTGATTTGGTTATTCGGCCTTGATTTGGAATCCTGCGCAATGTCTAAGTTTGTGTCCTTGTTTTATCTCTTGACTTCTTATCTTTTATCTTTATTTTTATATTCTTTTGCTCATCCCTCCTCTTTGGTGCGTGTGGATGGATGAATCGTGATTGTTCTTGCTGGTGACACTGAGTCGGTGGAAACGAGATTGGCGTGTCGTGTGTAACTGGACTCAATAACCAATTCAATGAAAATGTTCAAAAGCAATCCTGCCAACCTTGGAAGTCTGTTGGTGGCTTTCTTAGGCGAGAACTTGGGATAATGCTTGTATGCAGCTGGGTAGTCGCTTGTTTCTAGACTTCTGATACCTTTGGTATGTAGATCGTTACCGCTTTTAGATACTATATTGGAATCGCGCTTTTGGGGAAGAACTTGAACTCAACTTGAAGACTACTAGTACTAATCTACTATTGTTTCTGATTTAAAATTACTAGGTTAAGTGGCGTTAAAGGACTCGGATCATTGAAACTCTCCATTAGGCGTGCACCCTCCAGTGGAATCTTGAGAGTTCCATAGTCGTGCAAGGTTGCCAGATTTTGAGTTTGGCCGGAATGTTAAATATATTAGTCCAACTTCCAAAGTTGGTTCAAGATTATATATTGCCAGTGCTACTATTTTACCAATACTAGTAGTAAAATATCAAGAATTAGAACAACTTGAACCCTCGATTCCACTGGCAGTGATTATCCAATTTGAAGCCCTGAAGGCTTCGAGTCCAAGGTCCAAGTGGAGAATGAAACGTTACTACTAGTAGTAGTACATATAGTACTTGTATGCATACGTTCAAATTGCATAGTCACTTGAATGTATTCACCATCCAATGTCCATTCCCAGCCTAAAAGTATACATCCAAAAACCCCCAACTCCAATCCGCAAAAGCAAGACTTAGATACATTACAAGAATTGAATAGACCGACAACGAGGCCTGTGAATCGGAGACAGATCTATACAGCTGCATCTGCATCTGCGGCTACGGGCGGGGCTGGGGTTGCCTCCGATTCCTCCTTCTTAGCCTCTGGCTCTGTTTCCTGTACATACTCGCCCTGACCTTCGCCCTCGGTCGGCGCCGGCACATGGTCCAGCTCTTCCTCTGCCGCTGGCTCTGCGAGTGCTGGCATAACAGGGGGCGAGGGAGCAGGCACAAATGCCTCAGGAACAGGATCATCTGTGGGTGGAGGGGTAGGGGTAAGGGGTAGGCTCAACAATCGATTCTGGTTCATGAATCGTTTGTGGCACGGGAGGAGAGGCCGACTTTTCTGAAGGCTCGGCGGGTTCTGTTGCAGCGGGGTTAGGCGCATCAGCCATATCGGTATCTTTCTGTTCCAGCACGGGATCCTGACTGATTTCGGTGGTGACAGGCTCATTTTCTTCCTGCACATTCGGCAAAGTTTCCGGTTGTTCGGGAGTCTGGTTGTTGGCTGGAGGTTGGGGTGTTTCTTCAGAGCCATTTTCCGACTCTTTCTGCGTTGGCAATTCCTCAGAAGGTACGGGAACCGAAGGCGTCACTTCTGGAGTGGGGGAAGAAAGGATAGGTGTATTCTCCTCAGGCTTGACTGGCTGGGACTGTATTTGGATTTCGTTTGCTGCGACAACAGGACTTTGTTTCTCAGCTGCGGGGGAGAATTTCTCATCTTCCGCGGCAGCAAGAGAAGTGGATGGTGGCTCAAGTGAATCCTCTTTTTGTACTATCTCCTCTGATTCCTTTGTGTTGATATCGATATCAGTGGTGGCCGCAATAGGCTCCTTTGGAGGCGAAGCCTCTTTGGAAGGCTCGATCAATTCCTTAGTCTCGGATGTGTAATCTCCAGTCTGCCCAGGAAGAGCGGCAGATGTTGCAGATAGAGATACCTCAGCTTCTTGTTCAGCAGCACCATCTTGAGGAACAGCAGGGGTTGGAGGTAGAGAGCCAGCAGATAAGGGCTCCGAGACAGGGGGTTGTGGCTCGGGAACAGCATCATCCATCTCGACATCCTTATCTTGATCAGCGGGAGTACTGGTTGATTGTTGTTCGGTAGATTCGTCAAAGGACTGCGGCAAAGGAGTTTCTGGCGTCTTTGCGTCAAGCATAGACTCATCACCCTCATCGCTCTCATCACCGTCATCACCTTCGTCGTCATCATCATCTTGGCCATCCTGACTAGCCGGAATAGGTAAGCCATCCTGACCAACCTTGGCGCCATCGATGCCACCCCCGGCGCTGGGAGCCACGCCATGCACTGTAGCAGCATCGGCACCCTCGCCCGGGGCGAACATGACCTTCTTTTTTCGGCCCTTGCCAGTACCCTTGCCCTTGCGCTTGGGAGGAGGCGGTCGTCGCTTGTTGGGATTGACAACTGCAGCAGAGCTAGCCTCCGCAACCACAACACCTTCTGAATTGACGATTCCAACACCTTCCACGAGTGTGCCCGGGGCAGGTGCCTCGGGCTTGACTGGCACCTCGCTTTGTGCCACAATAGTTTGAATATCCCCAGTGACCTCGCCCTCAATGCGGTGTCCTTCAGGGACCCAAGCTTCGTAAATCGAGATGCTGCCTGTCACAGGGTCTACTTTTTGGAACTTGGTTCGTCGCATCGGGCCCGGGGTCACACCAGAGCTTCCATCCAAACTAACAGGACCACCATAAAGGGACGGAAGACCTGGGCGACGCTTCGCCAAGAATTCGAGCTCTGGAGGGTCCAAGTTCTTCGGGTGATTCGCCCACTTGCGGCTGGTGAAGCTGCGGTCGGCCATATGCGCGTTGGCGTTTGCTTGATCCTCTGCCGCGGCGGCGTTTTGTTCCTCCTCCTTTGTAGCTCGGCCGCTCTGGCGAACATAGATGCAGCCTGCGCGGGCGGCTCTAAGGAGGGCGCGGCTGGCGGCAGGTAAAAGTTGACTGTCGCGTGGCATGGCTAGCTCTGGGAGCGCCGGGGTTCCTCCAGGGCCCTGGACGTTGAAATCGGACTCTTCGGTCTTGGGCGCTTGAGAGGTAGTTTGTATTTGGCGCGACCAGCGGCGGACGGGCAAACCCTCGAAGACATCATGGTCGATTGCGCTTCTAGAGCGACTGGCGCTATCTAGTTGTCGCCCGGAGCGGGAAGATCTGAACTGTACAGAGTATTAGCCAAATAACTCATTTCAATGCATCAATTGAATGTTGCGTTGGAGATCCCATAGCTCGCGAGAAGGGAGACGGGATGGGTAACGATCGCGGGCGCAATTTAGACGTACTGCGGATGGCATGGTGAGCAGCCAGGTGGCCCGTGTATTTGCCCTGTAGGTCCTCCGATTAGATATACACCGCAAATGGTCCGAATGTTGGGACGAACAAGAGGGCGTATGGGGCGAGGGTGGAGGCAGCGTTGGAGTCGGTCGCGTTGCATTGGGGCGATCTCGACAGGGACAATCACGTGATATCGATTCTTACATCTCGGGGTGTTTAATACCACTAATACTGATAACTACTGAGCATTGAGGCAATTCATTTGAATTGGAGCTTGCAACAGAGAGGAGAGAGTGTGTATTCTGGTGATCAATGAATTCGGCCGTCAACTGGCACTTACACTATAAATACAGAAGAAAAGAATCCAGTCCAATTGTACTCTCCTTCATTGTCACGCTAGGTACTCCATGAGACAGAATTAATTGCAGGCTTACTTGGTACTCCCAGTAATTCAGTTCCAGCTGTTGAAGGGAAATAAGAAGTTAGTACCTCTCAAGCGTAAATGAACGATACAAGCCCAATGGCTGGCTCAAGGTGAGCGGAACGTACCCAGTGTCCTTCTGGCGAACAATGCCACCTTGGTCTCCGGTCTCCTTTCCCTGGATTCCATCATATTAGGTCTAAGGCCTTGTCTCTGTCTTCAAAGAGCACCTACTGTCTCCTGGCCCTCCACCACCAACTTGTCCATTTGATAGAACTGGCTGATAACAGTTTGCCTCTGTGAAGAAATTGTTAGCCCCGCGATTTATTTTTCATTCTGAACTTTAGCGTAGACGGAAGATATCATGACAAAGCCATTTCGATATTTAGAACGCATTGTCCGAGCATCGCGGAGGGGTAGCCAACTTAGCCAGGTCGATAATGGAAGACTAACCTTCAACAGACGCAAATCCTGCAGACCCTTCTGCATCAATTCTTGTATCCGGCGCTCCTGCGACTCATTCTGGTTCTCGCGGAACATGTCTCGCGTTTTCCGGCGCGCATATTCACGGAAGTTGTAGTTGGAGAACTGCGACGAGGTTCGCAGAAGAGAGCGGAACTATATAGATATATCATTTAATTAGCTCACTGTGATCGGGATTGGTGGTGGCCTCCTGGAGGAGCGCATCGCATATTCGGTGATGTGGAAGTAGCCTGGGACGAATAACTTACCAAAGACCGCGCCTGGAAGGCGGTATCACGGTGCAGCGCAGCAACAGACATGATTTGATAGAGAGAAAGATGCGGGAGACGAGGGAAATCGATAGGTGATGTTGCTAGTCAGACAAGGCCTGACGTTGTAGGTAGCCCACGGAATATGCGGTTCTGGTTATCGGAGTCGGGGTTGCGGAGGTGGCGGTTCAGGTCCAGGTTCAGATGTAGGCCGAGATAAAGTCCAAATGCTCAGTCGGTAGAGTGGTGGTAAAGAGAACGAGAGAGTGGTGATGTACAGTAGATTCCCAGGGGTGAGGTGGGAGTAGATGAGGAGAGAGTGTTTGATGCCGAAGCGCAGGGCGGGAAATTCTTTTGGGTTCGGAGCCAAAATGACGGAGTTTCCGGGGCCGAGCTTCTTCTCCGCGCTGGTCAGTTTCTCGCAGCTCCTCCACCAGCATCACAACCACCATCGCCACCTGTCTTCGACCAGCACACCATTCTGCATGATTCAAGGGAATATACAGTCTTGTCTCGACCATCATGATTCAAGTGCCTACACCGCCCGTATCGCGGTCAGGTTCAGAGCCTCGAACAGTGAAGCCCGCGGAGGACCAGTCGGAGTTACTTCAGTCATTAGATGTTTTGCTGGAGCAGTACCTCCATCTGTTGGATCGCCAGCAGAAATTGCAATATGGATTGGCGAAAGAGCTGTCCTCAGTATGTCCTTTTGAAGCCATATGCCCAGACAGCAGGCTAATTGTTCTTCAAAGGGATTCTTGGCGCTGGCCCATGCAAACTACACCTGTCCTCCTGGCCGACGATATGGAGCCGACTATTACGATGAGCGGATGAAAGCGATACGAAAAATGTTGGTGAATCCTGGAGGAAGACTGGAACTAGAGATACCGGTGGACTAAAACGTGCAAAATCGATAGCTCGATCCGAACCGAACCAGACGAGCATGTCACCAAAGAAAAGGAGAACTCGGAAAACCCAACGCAATTACAAACCCAAGCGCCCGAGACTCAGTATAGCTTCGCCTTGAACCGCATACCGCAGCGTACATCCGTGTCTGAATCGCAGGAGACAACTGAGACGGAGGGAAATACCTTATCGACTACCGAGCACCTCCAGACCGAAACACCCGCACCGTCCAATGACGGAGAAGACGCGAAAGAATCCAGCTCTGAGGAGAACAGCGATGACACTAAATCTTCCGTCAAGTCTAATGCTCCTAAGAAGAAGTTTCACTCGGACGATCCTATCCATTGGTACGGCATCCTAGTGCCGGCCTCGTTGCGCAATGCCCAGCGATCTTTTACAGAGGCAACCCAGAGTCAAGTGCCCGAGCTGGCCGGCGTGATTGTGGAAATGCGATCCCTGGAGCAGAGAATCACTAAGATACGAAAGGAACTAGGGGTCGAGCCATTGGAGAAAACGAGCTCTCCTTGATCTATTCCGTCGGCACGGAGTACCTACAGGGGTACACTCCGTACTATACATAACCACTAAACCAAGCCGCAATCGAGAATATCCGGCTGCTTCCGAGCATATGCCACATGGTGGGCATGGCACCAAAAGGTGTCAATAGCACCGGATAATTGGCCCTGTTTGGACAAGTGTGCAAGGATCCGCCTGGACCAAAGATAGAAGGAGGCTGAATTATGGGTAGCCGAGCTCCACGGCTCTGCATCTTCACGAACGGTGGATTCACGAAAAGAAGGACCCCGTTTCTTCATTGCCGAGATTCTGAATTTGCATCTCCTTTTTGCCACTTTGTTTTCTTTTTTTCCCGGGTCGCTCAAGATCTGTTTTCTCCATGGGACCACCTGTGGTGGATCAGTGCGAGGTGGAATCGACCTAAGTATTGCCCCAAAGGCGCCCTAGTCGAGCTGGGTATACTCCGTAGATAGTGCCAGCCTTCTCATTATGTTTCACCCCGACTTTTCCGCCTTGAGAAATTCCCCGAGACTCCAAGCTAGAAAAAGTACGGGGGTTATACCCAGGTACTACCGTGGCTCAGAGGGTTCTGACAGTTGATATCATATTCAACACTGGATGAATTCCAGAGTTCTCCACAGTTACCTTTGTACCTGGTGCAATCTCTGTACAATGTCTTATGGACTCTGCAGGTATGTATGTATTGTTCCATGTTCCATATTCCTTGTTCCAAACAATGGCCCTTCTTGACGTCTCACATTGGCGGCACTAAGCGAATGAGCCCCTCAATGTGAGACGTAGCGTCGGAGACTAAGCTCCTGGCACCTCCTGGAACACACCCCACTGGCGAGAATCGAGATCGGGATTCGTGCGCTCGGCCCCAGTCTCCACTATTGACAAGGGTACCGGCCTAGATGTGTAGCGACCTGAAACTTCGACGTTTTCGAATTTCAAAATGCTTCGCCCCCATGGTCGCCAGAGATTACCAGGAGCTGTCCGAGCCCCCTCAAAATCAATCTATCTACTCCGTCCCTAGCCCGCGCGATGTGAAGCGACCTCCACTACGGAGAGGGACCCGGTGACTTCGCTTGCTCCCGAAAATAAATGAAAATTAACTAAAATTGAAAAATGACCAGGGTTTAATCCATTTCGGGGCTGGTTCTGGGAAACACGAGACGTTTGTGCCGTTCTGGCCGTGGCTGTTCTGGCGTTGACTCCTCCCTGTCCCTTTCTTCTCGTTTTTCCCCTTCTCTCTCTTTCTTTGTTGCGATACTCGCGACTCTCTTTCTGCTCGAAGAGCTTGAGGCTCTATCTTTCTCTTTTCCCTTCTCCTTTCGCGTCTACTGTGAGTGCTATGGTACTATCCCTCTATCCAGCCCTGTTCACAACCAGATACTGGCTTGAGGTCGGTGCTCAAAGGTCTGGCAACACAAGGATGCATTCTAATATGAAAGTGGAATCCAGGCATCTATTGTTTTGAAACATCGCTGGTTTGACACGAGCGATTGTTCCTTTCTTGCAGTCAGCGTTGATCGGTGGTAAGATATTGCCATTCACAACCCACCAGACAATGTTAGGAGTAATCTGATGTCTAACATGCAGGCTCTCAACAGTGGCATTGAATGCCTTTCCATTCTTTTGTGATATTCGACCCAAGCTTCGACCTACAGCGTCCAAGCTCTTCTTCATTCTCTCGGTATTTGTCTTCGGTTTAGACATTTACTCTTCAACTTCATTCTTTCGACCTTCTGGTTATTTCGGCACAGTTCATTCGTTTCGTGCCTTTGCCTGCCATTCTATTCTTTTCTCGATCAGGGTATCGAGCAATCTAGAATCTTGATTCTATCTATCGACACGCGCTTTCGACTGTGACCTTAACCTTGCCAGATCCTTATTGCTTCTTACCCTGATGCTATAAAACGGCCAAGTCTTGCACACTATCCACCACACTTCGATTCTTGTTTGAATATTCACCTGCTTGAAGAACAGCCAAGGATCAATGAGCTCAAACCCTCCAGCAAGTTCTGGCCCGGGAGCACATCCTGGGCCTCGTCCTGGAGGACCAGCACCTGATAGGAAAGGATCCGTTAAAAGGGCGAGGGAGCAATTGGAAGCTGGTGTACGTCCAACACGGGGCCCGCCAGCCATACCCGTAGCTGCAATTCCAAGGCCAAATCCACCACCACCACGGAACGTTTCCCAACACACGCAATGGCCTCTTCCTGCTTCAGGGCTCCAACCGCGTCCTCTCAACCCGCACCAGCACCCCAGATATCTCGGTCCCCGGGGCCCTCCTCCGCAAAGACCGTCGCGTCCAAATGAAATACCCTCGCAGATGCCATCCCAAATTCCATCACCGTCTATTTACTCTGTCAGAAGTGGTCTAGACTCGGAGACCAGCTCCAATTACCCATTCCCAACACGGCCAGCTCGATCTTTCTCTCAACCAAAAGCTTACCAGAACCATCCGCCACCGCGCCATTATGCAGCCGATGATGGCTCGTGTCCGAGTCCCACAAGCACAGTTGATATGACGCCGCGTATTTCAATATCTACTGAAGATTTGTTCCGCCATTCCACGGCTTCTAATTCATCTTCTGTCCCAACTGTTCCTCCAATCCTATTGCCAGAGCCGCCTCTGCCGTTGGGTCACCCGCAAGCCCGGACAGCAGGGCTTGTTGCCCCAAGTGCTCAGAAGACTCGTGCCCGGAGATCCTCCGTCTCACCCATCCCGGAGGAATTCCCCAACCCCCGCCAAACCTTTGGCTCTCTTGCCTCTAGCCGTGCCATTCCTTCGAGCTGGGGCTCTGGACCGGCTGAATCAGAAATCCTGGGGGCTTATCTTGATGTGGACTCTGACGATGAAAAGCACTCAGGGGGTACCATCCGAGAAGACAACGCCGCCCTCGTGAGAAGTGCCAGCGTTGGCAAGCGGGGGAAACCAACAATGCGTACAATCATGAAGTCCAACCCTAACTCCGAGTTGATAATTCCGGATGTCCCCTCGACCCAGCACAAGGGCGATTCACAGAGTGACATCTCAGATGGTGCTGTCATCACAGTAGCCGCCATTGGTAAGGCTATGCGCCAACCGACCCCAGTCCGTCGAGCATCTGCCTCGACCGTGTCAGGTGAATCGTACATTGATCCCGAAAAGCCTCGTTTTGCGCACCCGGTCCCGGACCACATGGACGTGTATCGAGATACTGGTCTGGAAAAGGAATTGGAGGCTCTGCCTGCTGCCGCGCCTACCATGAGTGACAAGCGACCTGGTGGCCGTAAACCACCTCGTCTGGATATCGGCGCTGTACGGAATGCCGAAGCACGCGGAAGTCTCTCCAGCTTGACTGACCTGATTCGACGGGCGACTAAGCTCGCCTCTAACCTTGACCACGGAAGAACAGCGAGTCGGAACGATATGTTGGCGGCAGACGCAGAACCAAAGGCTCCATTTGGTGAGTCCATTTTCTAACCCGAGGCTAGCTAAAGAAAGCTCCCACTGACAAGAATAACAGGACGACGCCGTAACTCCGGCTCCATTTCTGATATCCTGCACATGTTCCCCAACCCGGCCCTGGATACCCCCGACAAGCCCCGCGGCTCCTGGCCCGTATTCTTCGGCCGATCCGGTCTACGCAACGGTGAAGCCCTCGGCTCAAACGCAGATGAGCCTCTTGCCCAAAAGCCTCCGCGCCGGTGCTGTGGCATGGCGCGAAAGTGGTTCATTATTCTCTGCGTGATTTTGTTCGTCATTGTCATTCTTGCCGTTCTCCTCCCCGTCTTCCTGGTTGCTGTCCCCAACGAAAAGTCCAGCAGCGCCACCGCCACCTGCGCCACGTCTAACCCCTGCTCCAATGGCGGCGTGAGCGTTTCGAGCGGAAGCCAGTGCTCATGCGTCTGCGCGAACGGATATACCGGTTCCACATGCACAACATCTGGTGATAGCAGCTGTGTCAGTTCGAACGTGGATAACGGGACAATCAGCAAGAATGCCACGATGGGCAGCTCTCTGCCAAGTATCTTCAGCCAGTCCAAGACGAACTTCGACATCACCCTCGACCCCGTAACAATCATGGCGCTATTCAGCATGAACAATATCTCCTGTAAGACGGAGAATGCGCTCGTTGCTTTCAGCGACGTTGACCGCAGCAGCAACAGCAGCAGCAGCAGCAGCGGGACCAGCCGGCGATCCCTTGACCTAGATCTAGACCTAGGTCTCAGGCGAAGTAGAGGAGGACTCCACGAAACCCACCCCCACACACCTGGCCGCCCGGTCAGAGCAAACAATCAACGGAATCCTCGTCGACGGCTCCGGCAACCACAGAGGGTCCAGCGAAACCAAAACGACGTCGATCGCGGCGAACCCAGCGACGGCAACGACCACATCGACCAGCAGCTCCAAGGCCACGTCGACCGGGGTACCGGAGTCGGTGATTGAGTTCTCGCAGGTGGCTGTGCTTTACATTATGCAGGATACGGGGTCCCTCGATACGACGCTTTCTTCCGAGAAGCAGATTGCGTCGTACTTGAGTGGTTCGTATGCGACGGCGAGTTCGCCTTCATTGGAATTGATGGGGACTTACTCGCTGGACTTTGCAAATAAGACGATTACCAGGGAGGGGTCTGGGTTGACGGTGCATTGATCTGCTCGTCACTCCGCTCTGCCCCGTACTCCGCAGTTACTCCTGAACAGGGGTCTAGCTGACTAGTAGTCGGACTAGTCTATCAGGACGCGTGTATACAAAAGTACATTGGGAGCTGTCTTGAAAGGGGGAAACTTAGGATCCGATGTATAGATATCGATACCGTGAGAGTAGTATGTAAATAGGTGTTGAGGCGTGAGGTAATACCATAATGTGCCTTCTACTTGTTCAATTCCTATAACTACTAGATATATACCACACTGTAGTGACTGTACACTGGCTTGCATCAACAACTGCCGGCCAACAGAAAAAAGCTTAAATGGAAACTGCCAAGGCCGGCCTCGGAGAAGATCATTTCCGCTTTAGGCCGACAGATGCTGTTGAAGCACGCCACCTCCACGCTGGCTGACGTGCTCACTAGGTCACGTGGCTACCGTTAAATGCTGTACGGCCACGCACTTGGCTTACTGCGACTACAGTATATCGTGTATACTTTATATCTGGTATTCTCAGGATCTACTCCGTAGAACCTGTGGGATACGGGATGAATGAAGAAGACCCTCACCCGAGGGAGGCGGAGTCTTAGTATCAACTAAATGCCGCCCCCTGAAAATCCGGGAAGATCCCCGCCATAAACGAGTACGCGAGTCCGCGGCCAGCGGAGATTGCTTACGTCTACCTTCAGGGTAGTGGAGGTACATTAGGTTATACTATGTACCTGTAGGCGTAGTGGAATGAGAGTGTCCATAGGAGAGTATGGTACTAAATAGCCAGGAACACGGATATACTTCGATATAGAGCATAGTTAAGGTATACATAGTACGCGTATGGGTCCTTGGAAGTGTCCCCTTGGAAATCCTTGATATACTGCAAACCTCAATTCGAAACATGTTCGAGAAGGTCCATTGCAGCAAGGATGTGCAGGATAGGCGGGCAGCCCCTGGTTCTCCAACAGATTGAATTCTGTCTGGACAGACTGGACAAAGTCAGCGGGGCCAAGACTCCAGCAGACTCCACTGTTGACGACGGTCTGGGCGATTACAGATCAGTCCATCCATGCGTGGCCCTTCCATCCCGGTTTACCCTTCTACAGAGTTCCGAACTAGAAATTCTCACCTTTCCCACTTTTCTTCCTTTCCTCTTCCCTTCTCCTCTCCTTCTTCTTCATTCTCTCTTATCCCCTCCTTCTCCCTCATACCCTCTCTTTCTCTCTTCACAATGGCCAATTCTCCCCACGGTGGTGTCCTCAAGGACTTGCTCGCCCGTGATGCTCCCCGCCACGAGCAGCTCAGCACCGAGGCTGAGACTCTCCCCGCTGTTGTCCTCACTGAGCGTCAGCTGTGTGATTTGGAACTCATCATGAACGGTGGTTTCTCACCTCTGGAGGGTAAGTCATAATGCTCAACTTGTTTCTTTCTCTGCATCTGAAATTCCATGGCTTGGCAATCGCGTCATGCTGCCCCCCCCCCACTATCCACCATGGATGGAGTCTGAAGTATCTGAAGTATTGCGCAATTCCACTGCCAATGCAAATGCCAATACCTTGCTTACTGCATTGTCAACTGGTGTTGTCAATGCAGTTACCAATTGGAATGCTATTGGCCAGGAAATACGACTTTTGCTTTTTTTTTTGCTTCTGATTTTTCCTACCTCATATTTCCACTATATTTTTTTGCGGCGCGGGCGGATCTCAATTACGGAGCGGCAATGCTAACGCCGATCTTCTTTGCTTTTTCTAGGTTTCATGAACCAGGCTGATTACAACGGGTATGTTCATACTCCAACACTCCAAGATTCTTGGATTAAACTTGAAGTCCCTTTGAAATCAAAATTACAATACTAATGCCACTTCTCTAGTGTCGTTGAGAACAACCGCCTTGCCGATGGCAATGTCTTCTCCATGCCCATCACCCTCGACATTACCCAGCAGGAAATCGATGCTCTGAAGCTGCAGGCCGGTGCTCGCATCACCCTGCGTGACTTCCGTGACGACCGCAACCTGGCCATCCTGACCATTGACGACATCTACCGCCCCGACAAGTGAGTTTCGACAATTCCCCGCTCCGCCCGGCTTCCACTTTGCTTCCTGTCGGACTCCGCGACCCCCTCTGTCGATCTCCACCCGTCACGTCTGGATAATATCATTTCCCTTCCTCGTGTTGCTGCGTCGGTGTGGTGAATCGCTCGGAGGTGGCGTCGGGTCGAGTGCATGGACCATTTGCTATACGCAATGCCTGGACCGGGCGCGGCTCCTTTTAATTGTGGGTCTGGCTGACGTGGATTCTTTTTTTTGTTTCTAGGACTAAGGAGGCCGAGCTTGTCTTCGGTGGAGATCCCGAGCACCCTGCTATCAAGTACCTGAACGAGACCGTCCAGGAGTTCTACATTGGTGGAAAGATTGAGGCTGTCAACAAGCTGAACCACTACGACTATGTTGCTCTGCGCTGTATGTTTTCCCTCGATTCCCCAATTGAACCAATAGCCTCTTTCTCGCAATTAGTATACTAACCTCAACTCCAGACACCCCCGCTGAGCTCCGCGTTCACTTCGACAAGCTGGGCTGGTCCCGCGTCGTCGCTTTCCAGACTCGTAACCCCATGCACCGTGCTCACCGTGAACTGACCGTCCGCGCGGCTCGCTCTCGCCAAGCCAACGTCCTGATCCACCCCGTCGTCGGTCTCACCAAGCCCGGTGACATTGACCACTTCACCCGTGTCCGCGCCTATGAGGCCCTCCTGCCCCGCTACCCCAACGGCATGGCCGTCCTGGGTCTGCTCGGCCTTGCCATGCGTATGGGTGGTCCCCGCGAGGCCATCTGGCACGCTATCATCCGTAAGAACCACGGTGCCACTCACTTCATCGTTGGCCGTGACCACGCCGGTCCCGGCTCCAACTCCAAGGGCCAGGACTTCTACGGCCCCTACGACGCCCAGCACGCCGTTGAGAAGTACAAGGACGAGCTCGGCATCGAGGTTGTCGAGTTCCAGATGGTCACCTACCTCCCCGACACCGACGAGTACCGCCCCGTCGACCAGGTCCCTGCCGGCGTCAAGACCCTGAACATCTCCGGCACCGAGCTCCGCCGCCGTCTCCGCAGCGGTGCCCACATCCCCGAGTGGTTCTCCTACCCCGAGGTCGTCAAGATCCTGCGCGAGTCCAACCCTCCCCGCAACGCCCAGGGTTTCACCATCTTCCTGACCGGCTACATGAACTCCGGCAAGGACGCCATCGCCCGCGCCCTGCAGGTCACCCTCAACCAGCAAGGCGGCCGCTCCGTCTCCCTCCTCCTCGGCGACACCGTCCGCCACGAGCTCTCCTCCGAGCTGGGCTTCACCCGCGAAGACCGCCACACCAACGTGCAGCGCATCGCCTTCGTTGCCTCGGAGCTGACCCGCTCCGGCGCCGCCGTCATCGCCGCCCCCATCGCCCCTTACGAGGCTTCCCGCAAGTACGCCCGTGACGCCGTCTCCCAGTCCGGCTCTTTCTTCCTCGTCCACGTCAACACTCCCCTCGAGTACTGCGAGAAGACCGACAAGCGCGGTATCTACGAGCGTGCGCGCCGCGGCGAGATCAAGGGCTTCACTGGTGTCGATGACCCCTATGAGGCTCCCGCCAAGGCTGACCTGGTCGTTGATGCGTCTAAGCAGAGCGTTCGCTCTATCGTTCACGAGATTATCCTTGTGCTTGAGAGCGAGGGTTTCTTTGACAAGTCCCAGTAAAGTTTTGTAAAGGTTCTGGACTGATGGCTTTTTTTCTTTATTTCCTTTGTTTTGATGTCGACATATAGATATTCGCTTTTTAATTGCGACTGGATTCCCCTATACTAGATCCTGATTGAATGGATTTTGTTATCAATGATTTTCTTTTTTGGTAGTTGTAGATTCGTGCTGATTAGCCAGTACTCGCATACTCTGCTTATGAATAATTGGAATTCAACGCTGGGACATTCCTAATGAGATGCGCACTGGAAAGAAAGGGGCCCTGGTTTTGGTCAATGCGGATGGCTTGGGTAGTTAGATGTTCCCTCTTTTCTAGACCTGACGCCTCGGTTGATATCACGTGATGTGAACAAACATAGCAAACCGGCCAGACTCATCCATCTCGCGCGCATCTTCAATTCAATCTCGCATTGAATTGAGCCACCCAAAATGCTGTCTCGCAATCTTGCTGGTCGAGTACCAGCTCGGGTGCGACCAGTGCAGACATCAAGGTACCCTGCACTTCACTCATTCCGACCATTTACCCACCGTACTCGACTGCAAATATCCTCGCCGTCAGGTCGTCCGCAGCTACAATTCCTCTCACCACAACCACTCTCACGACCTATCCCACCACTTTCAATTCACCTGCGCAAGCATTTCGGCCGCTTAGTATCAACGACTAGTCGCGAACATTACAAGAAACGCTTCGGCTCTACCGTGAAAACAACACTCACGCTATCCGCCGTCTTCTTCCTCTTCTCAATCATCAAGCTCGGCATATACCAAGAAGACATCGAGCACAAATGGCCATCACCGCCAGAATGGTCCTGGAAGTCTCGCTGGTGTCTCCGCTCCGCACAGGCCCTGCAACACCCTGAATACACAAACCGCCTCTTGACCGATTGGCCCATGGTAGCAGGCTACCTCAAGGAACTCATCGAACGACTGGAGAACGTAGAAGGCGAAGGCGCCGGTATCTTCGAGCAAGGAGACGGAGGATTCCTCGTTGAGGGCGTCGGTCTAACAGGCCTCGACATCTCTGCCAAAAGCGAGCCCTGGCGCCGTGGCTACTTCCAGGCTCTTCTCGGCGCTGCAAAGGCCGCCGAGAACCTGGAGGGCTGGTTAACGGATAAGAAGCAGCGTGTCTCTGCTCCAGCGGAACACGTTATCGGACCTTCAAACCCGCGCCCTAAACCCATGCCCGCGGCTGCAAACTACGTTATCCACGAGGAGGATTGTGAAGTCGCGTCTCCGCCACCAGAGAAGTTCTACATGAAGATCCTGACGACAAACGGCTTCGACACGAACCAGAAGGTCGAGGCCGCACTCGCCTACGCCGACTGGCTCGATTACAAGGGCCTCGGCATGACAGCAGGCGACATGTACATCTGGGCACTAGACATAGCCGCAGGCGGAATCCCAGGCGACGCCGACACCCTCGTCGACCTGAAAACAGGCATATTGAAGAACACCAGCCCCTCACCACCATCGGAAAACCTAATGCGCGTCTCAACCGCACTAGCCGTTCACAACGCCCGCCAGGGCGACCTCCCAACCGCCCTATCTCTCTTCACATCCGTCCTCAAAGCCTGGCGCAGTCTCCCGCTAGTCCAAGACTCGCAATTCATGGCACCACCACCACAGGGCTTCAACCCGCTCGCCCCGGCATTCAAACTCTTCGCAACACTCTTCATCCCGGCAGAATACCCGCCAGCCTCCCCAACAGGCAACGACCCGCCAACCCGCACAACAGGCTCAGCCTGCCACGAAGCAGCCCTAATGACCTACATCGGGGAAATCCTCTACGCATCCTCAAGTCGCGAGCACGGGCTAGCCTGGACGCGCGACTCGGTCGAAATGGCCGAGTCAACCCTCGCAACCCTGCACAATTCGCCCGATCTGGCCTCCCGCGGCCGCTGCGCGCAGTGTTTGAAGGTCGGGCTGGAGAACTGGCGGACCATGGTCTCAGCGCTGGTGGAGAGTGCGCGCGAGGAGCAGGTTGAGAGCCTGGCTTCGGCGAAGAAGGCTTGGTATGGTGGCGCTGATCAGGCGAAGGTGAAGGCCGAGCAGTTGAGGAGGTGGGAGGCTGAACGGGATATCCTTCAGCATCGGATTGAGGAGGTTTTCCCGCTGCTTGATGGGGAGGGCGGGCTTGATACGCTTGCTGGTGGTGGCTCTGGGCTTTTTGTGTAAATTATTCATTGCATGGGTTGGTTTTGTTCTGACCGTGGAGGGCATGGTGTTTTTGATTGGGGTTGGGTGGGTGTATATAGGTCTTAGTGATACTCTTCAATCTAACTACTACGCGGTTCAATGCCGTTGAATCTCCATTTACTACTCACGAATCTGAATAAGGGCGAAGTAGCTCTTTCGATCAAATTGACTGATGCTTGTGTTCGGGAGATGGTTCTAATAGTATTCAGAGATCTATACGGGCTTTCAAGGCAGACCTTGAACATGGAAAAGCTGAGGTCAGCAATGGACACTAGGAGGGGAGCACATTGAGCATAAGGATGAGAAGAAGGACGGCAGTTGCTAGAGGGCGTCGTTGAAAAAATCGAAATACGTCTGGAGCGCCAATAAAGGGAGCCAGGGCATGGCAATCTCGGATGGCCGTATAGTTGGGCGGAAGTGGGAGTGGCCACAAGGCTTTATGTGAGCTGGCAGGAGCCGATTCCATTGCTACGTTACCGTTTTGTGAAATTTGTTATCTGTCTTAGTATGGCACTACGCTGTATCTCTTTTGTCCTTGTTACGGTGGGAGTGGCGTTGTCATCGTTCTGGTTCCCGTTGGGGGAACGCATACAGGGCTATTACTTCCGAAAGTGTGGCTGAATTGAGATATAGAATCTTGAATTGAATTGCATTACATTGAGGTAAAAATCTGAATTCGCGAGCAAGCTGTTGCACCCCTAGATCCAGAAATGCAGCAAATATCATCCGCGGAGCGTAATGGTTGATGGAACAAGGCCAGCGCCTCGAAAACCGAGGGCTCCTAATCACCGTCACTGGGGGTCCTCATCGTTATCCTCCTTCTCACCAGAATCACCTGGGGAATCTAGCTCTTGGAGCTTCCACGTATGAGAAGAATCGAAACACTCTACCTTGAACCCGGCACACTGAAGGCAAGCGTAGAAGTATGCACAAGTCTGACATTTCAGGTAAGAACCATCGATGTCTCGAGTGCAGATAGTGCAGTACAGATTAGCAGACTCATCTCTCAATTTGACAACCACGCACTCTTTCCCTTCACTAGTCTTGGGAGCTTCGATGCCGATTTCTTGAGCGAATTGGCACACAATGTCGACCATGGTATCTTCTCCAGAACCCGCCGCCCACCAAAGCAGATTTCGTCCGAAGCCGTCTTCAAAGTCGCTTTTTTCTTTAGCGAAAGTGATCAATTGTTTAACCACATCCACGTGGCCATTCCTGACTGCGACGCAAAGAGGGGTGGCACCGTAACGATCTCTAATACTTGCAGATGAATTTGATAGAAGAACCTTGACCACATCTTTGTTACCATTACTAGCAGCGTAGAATAATGGGGTACGATTGTAGACGTCCAGAAAATCAAAAATATAAGCTGATTGATGGATATTAATACAGTGCAAAACGAAGGGAGCATTCGATACAGAAGGGCTCTCACCTGTAGGCTTTTCTGGATTGTGATCTACCAACACCTTGATTAGAAGCTTCACGATCTGAAGATTGCCATTGAAGGAAGCCAAGTGCAAAGGTGACATTCCAACATGATCTCGAACCTGGAAATCTGCCTCCGATTCCAGAAGAAGTTCGACAATTGGCAAATGCTCGTTTAGACAGGCAAAGTGCAATGCGGTCTGCCCTTCAATGTCAGATATGGAGATATCGGCACGCTTGTCAACGAGGCATTTCGCCACATCTAGGTGGCCATTTCGGGATGCAATTTGTAATAAAGAGTAACCATGTATGGCTGTAATATGGATATCTCCCCCGCTGCCAAGAAGAAATTCGACAATTGGCAGATGGCCATTTCGGCAGGCAAGGTACAATGCTGTACATCCTTCATTGCCAGATGTAGTGATATCGGCACCCTTATCAACAAGGTATTTCACCACATCTAGATGGCCATCTTGGCAGGCAAAGTGCAATGCTGTGCATCCTTCATTGTCAGATGTAGTAATATCGGCACCCTTATCAACGAGGTATTCCGCCACATCTAGATGGCCATCTTGGCAGGCAAAGTGCAATGCGGTCCGCCCTTTGATGTCAGATATGGAGATATCGGCACCTTTGTCAACGAGGTATTTCACCACATCTAGATGGCCATTTTGGCAGGCAAAGTGCAATGCTGTGCTTCCTTCATTGCCAGACGTAGTAATATCGGCACCCTTATCAACGAGGCATTTCGCCACATCTAGATGACCATTTTCAGATGCGACAAGTAGTGGAGAGAATCCATCCATATCAGAAACATTAACCGCTCCCCGTTCTCAAGAAGAAATTCGACAATTGGCAGATGTCCATTTCGGCAGACAAGGTACAATGCGGTCCGCCCTTTGATGTCAGATATGGAGATATCGGCACCTTTGTCAACGAAGTATTTCACCACATCTAGATGGCCATCTTGGCAGGCAAAGTGTAATGCGGTCCGCCCTTTGATGTCAGATATGGAGATATCGGCACCTTTGTCAACGAAGTATTTCACCACATCTAGATGGCCATCTTGGCAGGCAAAGTGCAATGCTGTACATCCTTCATTGCCAGATGTAGTGATATCGGCACCCTTATCAACAAGGTATTTCACCACATCTAGATGGCCATCTTGGCAGGCAAAGTGCAATGCTGTGCATCCTTCATTGCCAGATGTAGTGATATCGGCACCCTTATCAACAAGGTATTTCACCACATCTAGATGGCCATTTTGGCAGGCAAAGTGCAATGCTGTCCACTCTTCATTGTCAGATATAGTAATATCGGCACCCTTATCAACGAGGTATTTCGCCACATCTAGATGGCTATTTTGGCAGGCAAAGTGTAATGCTGTGCTTCCTTCATTGCCAGACGTAGTAATATCGGCACCCTTATCAATGAGGCATTTCACCACATCTAGATGACCATTTTCAGATGCGACAAGTAGTGGAGAGAACCCATCCGCATCTGAAACATTGACCGCTCCACCGTTCTCAAGAAGGAGCTCGACAATTGTCAGAGAGCCGGACTTACAGGCAAAGTGTACCGCCGTCCAGCCTTCAGTACTCGATGCTGCAGTGTCGGCACCGTTATCGATGAGTAACTTAACAATGCCCAGGTGGCCGCCACCTGAAGCTAGCATCAATGGAGTTAGAGTACCACGAATTCTGGGGTGACTGCTCACGCCTTTCTCGAGGAGAAGCTTCGTGAATTCCGAATGCCCTTTTGCTGACGCCCAAATCAGGGCTTCTTCATCATCATCCACCGTCATGGTATCAGAATTGTGTTCAAGAAGAATTTTGACCATCTCGAGATTATCTCGGTGCATTGCAAGTGACAGAGCCGAAGGTTTCCCACTGCTGTAGATGCTATCAGCTCCTGCCTCGAGAAGAAGCTTGAAAACCTCGACATGATTTCTTTGAATAGCGACAATTAAAGGCGTATGTCCACGAGAAGTCGCGGCGTTAACATCTGCTCCGTGTTTGAGTAGTAAGGAAACGATTCCTGGGTTTCCCTTTGCAGAAGCACCCATAAGGGCGGTCCGACCTTGATCATCGGGAACATGGATATCGGCTTCTTTTTCAAGTAGCATCTGCACGATTTCCAAGAATCCACCTCTTGATGCAGCATGGATCGATGTAAATTTATTAGCACGCTGAGCTGTGGTATCTGCCCCATGCTCTATCAATAGACGAACAATATTCTCATGTCCCATTGCAGAAGCAGAATAGAGAGCCGTAGCACCTGTCTTAGTTCGAATCTCAAAATCAGCACCCTTTCCAATAAGTAGTTCCACAATCTCAGAAAAGCCGAGGTCTGCAGCAATATTCACTGGTGTCCAACCAAGTTTGCTCTGGCAGTCAAAATTAGCTCCGTGATCAACCAACAGACGGACTATCTCTACATGGTCCTTAAGAGCAGCACGAAAGAGAGCTGTTTCACCGTTTTCACTTGAAACCTCAATGTCAGCACCCTTTTCAATGAGCAACTTTACAATCTCAAGATTGCCTTCAGACGCAGCAAAAATCACCGGTGTTTCGCCCTCTGCATTCTGGCAGTCAAGATTCGCTCCGTAATCAAGTAACAGACGAACTATCTCTGTGTGATCATAAAGAGCAGCATGAAAGAGAGCTGTTTCACCGTCTTCACTTGAAACCTCAATGTCAGCACCGTTTTCAATAAGCAACTTTACAATCTCAAGATTGCCTTCAGACGCAGCAACAATCACCGGTGTCCAGCCATCCTCATCCTGCCGATTGATATCTGCCCCATGACTTATCAATATAAGTGCGATTTCGGCATGTCCACCACCAGCGGCGTCATGTAGCGGCGTAGTTCCATAAATGCCCGGCAGCTCAATATCCGCCCCCTTGCTTATAAGCAACTGAGTCAACTCTATATGGCCTTTGAAACAAGCAACTTTGATTGGGGTCTCTAGTGATGGGCCGGACTTAAAATTGCATTCTGCCCCCGAATCGAGAAGCAGTTGAGCTACCTGGACTCGACATCGATGTACAGCGCAATGAAGTGCACTATTGATCGCGAGATTGGCCGAATTTTGCAGAAGTAACTTGGTCAGCTCATAGTGCCCTTTACCCGATGCTATCACAAGAGCATCAACCGCATCATCGACAGTTGACTTTATGGTCAAGTCGGCCCCATTATCAATCAGCAGCTTCACGATCTCCAGACTTCCCATGCTGCATGCTGCCATCAACGGTGTGAACCCGGAGCTACCCTTCTCATCGACGGCAAACTTTTTCTTTAATAGAAATTCTGTTGTTTCGGTCAAACAGAGGAAGGACGCATAGTACAAAGGGTTTGTTGATGAAGTTGGGTGGGTTGCGTTCGATGGTGCCTGCCCGCCTTCGCTCTGAGAGCCATCTGAATCATCTGGATCATCTGAATCATCTGGATCATCTGTTTCATCTGGATCATCTGTTTCATCTGGATCATCTGTTTCATCTGAATCATCTGAGTCTTCTGACTCAGCCACTTCATCTTGATCAAACCAATCTTTCCAGGCACCCCAATTTGAATTCTGGGTATCGAAAAGATGGTTGATGCGTTTTACTAAATCACCATCGTGTATATCTCCAATATGCGCATGATTATGCCAGAATCTGGCGGCGTATTCCCGAAACGAGCCAAGCATTTGGTTTGTTTTATCATCGGACGTCTCTTGCCACACATACTCGCAATCCACATAACAAAGGCACATCTTTGCCAGAAATGTGTTTTCCATGACTTCGATAGACTTGTTCAGTCTGTTGTTGGCCTGAAGCAGCCCTCCTTGCCCGGGAAGATTGCAAAGTAGATACTCCTTGACAGAAAAATGGGCCAAGTGGATCGTTCTCAGTCCAGGCTGAGATTCAACATGCGAGGCTCGGATTTCGACAAGAGATCCACAAAGCTGAATAATTTCGGTATTGATATAATCCTCATCAATTGAGTCCGGAAGTTCGTCCAATTGGACTTCGTCGCCATCGCGGTCAACCGACAATGCACCAGTCATCTCGGAGACTGATAGTGGCCGGAAAGCAAATGCAGCCCATCGGAGCAATTTGATCGTTCTCTCTCGATCTTCTCCTGGCAAGTTAGAAATTCTCTTCCAGTTTCGGTCGTATGTATGCTCAAGTCCAGGCGGAGTGGAACTGATTGCCTGTTCAAGTTTCTTTTGACTTTTCCCACTTCGTAGGTGATCTTCCTGCATTTTGATCCAGAGAAATTGTCCGTTGCATTGCTCGGCCAGCTTTTGAGCAATATCTTCCCGTGATGCGGCTGGCCTGGAGGATAGCTTCCTGCTTACCACGCTGCGTGAAAACGCCTCCACGTCAGAATGTACATCTTCGGGTCGAATCTTGTACTGATAAACGGAGGCATTTTGAGTCCCTAGGTCTTCTGAAAGACAGCTCCGAATCTCTGGTTCGTCACGACTGACTATTAGAATTCGGGTAGAGGTGCCGACAACCGCTTTTTTCAGGGCGCTCAGAAATTCGAGAATGGGATTATCATCATGGGATGCTTGCCCATCACCAGACCAACAACACTCATCTAGACCATCTATCACGAATGTGCACCGTGGTATGGCCATAACGACCTTGTGGAGAAGCCTCAGCGTATCGCCACGACTCGCCTTCACAGGGTGTTCTGAATCGGCGGACCATATCTCATGAACCAATGCGAATACCTCTGGTTTACGCAAGATTTGAGCGAGCCATGACCTTATGGCGAAAAAAGGATCATTTCGGTCCTCAAAATCGGACGAAAGAAAAAAGTGGCCTAATGGGTCTTCAAGTTGTGATGACAAGCTGTGAATTATACTTGCACAGATGATTGATTTTCCAAAACCCGCAGGTCCGTTAATCCAGAGGATTTTCGCTCGGTCATTAGGGAATATAGATGACGCCCAATCGAGAAACCATGGCCTGTCTAGAGGCCAATCGCATGTGCCTTCAATGCGTTTCTCAATAAGTGTTTCACAGAGTTCGTTGGGAGAAGTAGAACCAATGAGCCACGCGTGAATATCGCGCCGTATTTCATCTATTACCATGTAATATGAGCTCGGATCAACCGATCAGATTGAATGTTACATACCTTTCATTTCAGCCTCGATTCTTTGCAGCAATGCTTGGAGCTCTTCTTTCCATGCTCTGCTTTCTTGTATTCCATCTGAATTGGTCTCAGATAAGCTACAGCTTGAATGTCTTCTGAAGGAAGTCCTTACCATGTGATAGATTTCCATCCTTGCCCTTATCTTCATCCTCGATTGGTATCAAATGGTGAAGATTTTCTACCAAAGATGTAAATAGCCCAACCTGAGAAACTCTTTTGGCTTTGGCCCCAAGCGCCCACTTCAATTTGTCTCTTTTAGAATCTCGGGGAGGTTCTCGCGTAAATAAAGGTGGTTTTGAAGTTTCTTTATTCTTTTTTTGAGAATGATTGGAAATGATCTTCTCATCGCCACGACAAACGCCATCAATCGCTATGAGCAAGCCTTTGACGGTCGCACTGGTTTGTGGATCACCAAGAAGGTCGTTGTGTTGATCTGATATTTCTTGACCTTTTAGTCCAACGGATGAGCCCCATTTCTCAAGTCTGAGCTTCTGAGCATTGTACTGGGCCTGAAGAGCACGGTAATCCGTGTCATATTCTCGCCATGCACCGACCCGCTCAGCAGCATCCAGGCAGGTGCTGAACAGGCCGGCCAAGCTGATTATACCGACAGCAAAACTCACAGGCTCCATGAAGCCCAATATACACTCGAGAATGAGCTGGTCGTAGTTCCAGTGAACCGTGGTATCATGGGGGGTTATTTTGGTTGAGCGGGGGTTGAGGGGTGGGGCATTTCAGCCCTCCCCTCAGCCTCGTGCGTTGTTCTTCTAAAAAGCACTAGATTAGACAAATTTTGCATTGTCAGCAAGATGGTGGGGTCTTATTTGTTGCAGCGACACGCACTTGTACTCAGAAAGAATAGACTGACCCACGGGTGGCCAATAAGTTTTGTTTTTATTCTTCGGGCTGACTGCAGATGTTAACCTGAATGAGTAGTAGAAAATATAGTTACCCTGATGTGTCCAAGCTTATTAAGCAACTTCAATTTGCTAAAATGCCCTCAGTGGGGATATCCCAAATTGGATCATATTTTATCAAATGGTATCTAACTATGTAACTCGACCTTACGGTTGCTGACGGCAGTAGGGGCTGTAATAAAGTCCTTGATCTCAATTACCACGACAAGAATACTATACCGATCATCCAGTGACGCTACAACCTTGGTATATGCTAGCTGTGAACTGGAATTTGAAGCAAATGTGATAATTCTATTTGATGCTCACCACTAAATATCTCTTGAGACAGATTGAAGGCCTTGAATAATATCAGCCTTGAGATCTTCTGCCTCTTCAATACCACAGCTGACACGAATGAGCTTCTCATCGCAGACTTTATCGCTCAACGCGCGCCACTCCATCAAACTTTCAACTCCACCCAAGCTAGTAGCATGTTGGAACACATACATTTTGCTTGGAAGCTTCTGCGCTTGCGACTTAGTTTTCATGACAATGGAGAAGACCGGACTATGGCCACCGGGCATTTGCTTGGTCAGCCAGCCGTCTTTGATATCGGCCAACTGAAGTGAGCTGTGCTGGACAGTCTCAATAGTTTTGCTGACTAGAGAGCCATCCCTGGCCTTCTCCTCGGTTAGCCATTTGACAAGCTTCATGGCGTTCTCTGCCTGTCGTTGAATGCGCAATTGGAGTGTCCTAACAGAACGAATACCTAGCCATGCCTCAAAAGAGCCCATGACTGAACCAATATACTGGCGATCATTGTATAAAGTCTCAACCCAGCCTTGCTTCTCCCTCTCGGAATGCACAGCGATAAGTCCACATAACATGTCCGAATGACCGCCGAGGTATTTCGTGCCATTGTGGATAACAAGGTCGGCGCCCAGCTGAAGAGGGTCTTGTAGCGGCGGGGGTGCAAATGTAGCATCGACTGTGAGGTACGCGCCCACAGCCTCTGCCTTCGCTTTGTAGTAGGCAAGGTTTCGTGCCTCGCCTGTTGGGTTGACGGGCGTTTCAACGTGGATCACATCTCCGGCCTCGGCCTGATCCACATCTTCCAGCGTCAACTTTTTAGTGCCATTAATGCGTGACATGATGTCTACGACACCATGAATACCATGATAGCCCTCAGTGAGAAACACCCGCTTGGGATTGAGGAGAACCATGATACCGTGGAAGGCAGATAAGCCGGTGGAGTAGGTCACCACGTGGGCGCCAAAGAGACTCTTCAGTAACTTCTCTAGCCTGTTGGAGTTGGGGGCCGTGTAGCGTGAATAAATATGAGAATCGTTCGGCGCGTTGGGCTAGAAGGATGCCGGCAGAATGTCAGAGCGTCTCTGGTAGGTGGAGGGGGAAGTGGATGAGAAGGTATCAGCATACATCCAAGTTGTTCATAAATTTCAGATTCTCGGGATCACGGGCATAACGGTAGTTGACAGCGACATGCATACCAGGAGCAATGGCTCGGTGGGGTGAGTAGAAGTCGTCGCCATGGATGGCTTTGGTTGCCATTGACATGTTGGGCAAGGCCTCGTCGAGGGCCTCGCCCGTCAGAATAAAATTTTCACCAGATGACATTCTGAAATTGAGGATGTAGAGGAACCAAGTCACAAAAAAGCAAAAGGGTGATGAATCGTGACAATGAGACGGAAAGTCCACGGGTGGTCAGAGTATTAGACAAGAGGATGTGACGAGGAAACTTATGTGCGAGAGTTTAGTTTGCTGCTTCGGACAACGAGACCAACGGTAATCATCAGACATTTCAGCACCCAAACACAGCAAATAAACAGCCCAGCTCCCTGGTTCCACTTATGCCCCATTGGCTCTTTAAAATTTGACCACACTTATTTGGTGTCTCAGCCCTGCGCCTTATTTAAACTCATATCCATGAACATGTGTGGAGTAAATCGCTCGGAAATGAATTATCATGTCTCGGAATCGATCGCAACTATTTGTGTGCCGTGTATGGGAAAGAGATAATGGCATGAAACTGGTGACGACAGCTCAAATCTCTTTTCTTTCCCTCTATTTGCCCTCATCAGCCCTGGAGTGTACCATATATTGAAACTTGAAGATGTCAGCCTCGGAAAAATGAAAGTCGAGAAGGCTGACCCCACAACGCCAAAACGATAAATTGTGGGGAATATCTGCCGGGAAAAAATAAAAAAGAAATCTCAATCTATATAAAGATGGTGCTGTCGGGAATGGATTCCAATCCCGACAGCAACTTTTATACCCTCGGCCTGCTTCCGCGTTGTATTGCAGAGTCGGAAAGGATTGGCTGGTCGTTAGGCACTTCACACTTTCCCGAACGACACCGTTTCTCACAAGACACAACGGGTCCGATGAATTCTCGAAAGAAAAAAAGACGTTGGGAAAATACTCAGTCATTGATTCTCGAGCGTTGAGCAGTGGAGTTCGGTTGTTGCTTTGTGTTCAAATTTACGACTTGAGGTTGCCAGCGTCCAGCGACCATGTGCAAGTCGATTTCTGCACGGGAAATCGGCAATGACAAGGGCTGCAGCAGTGAAAACTTTATGAATCGGGCTTCGCCTTGCGATGATGCCCAGGATCCCGGCCTACCCCCAGATGGAGGGTATGGCTGGGTATGCACTGCTGCTGCTGCGACTATCAATATGCACTCTTGGGGCTTCAACTCGGCATATGCCGTATTTTTGGCTCATTACCTCGCAAATGATACTTTCCCTGAGGCCACTACGCTCCAATACGCTTTTGTTGGTGCTCTCAGTCTCACATTTCTCTTTCTCGTCTCGCCCATAGCAACATATTCGACACGAAAGTTGGGCATTCGTCCAACTATGACAATTGGAGTTTTATTCGAAACGGCAAGCCTCATCGCTGCTAGTTTTGCCACACAAATTTGGCATCTTTTTCTCACGCAGGGCCTCCTATTTGGCATCGGGCTCGGCCTTCTGTTCATACCTACGGCTTCAGTCGTGCCCCAGTGGTTTACAACGAAGCGATCCCTCGCGAGTGGCATTTCATTGGCTGGGGCCGGCCTTGGAGGGGGCGTATACTCCCTTTCGGCATCGGCCATGATACGGAGCCTTGGTGTTTTCTGGGCGTTTCGCATCTTGGCTATCATTGCCTTCGTTGTGAATACTTCCTGCATTTTCCTGATCAAGGATCGGTATAAAAATACGAAAGGATCGCGGTCAACGATAGATATTTCTCTCTTCAAGCGGCTCGACTATTCGCTTCTCATCGCGTTCGGCAGCTTTACTATGCTTGGATATTTCATTCTTATATTCAGCTTGGCAAACTTTGCAAACAGTATCGGACTCGACTCATCACAAGCCGCAACTATAAGTGCTGTCTTCAACTTTGCACAGGCGGTTGGACGTCCTATTATTGGTTACTTCAGCGACTCATTTGGTCGGATCAATATGGCCGGCTCAACAACATTCTTGGCTGGTTTGCTATCGCTGGCCGTTTGGATACCCTCGAAGACATATGGTGTGAGTCTTTTCTTTGCCATCAGCTCAGGTCTTGTGGCGGGCAACTTCTGGGCTACAATAGGACCACTTGTAGCTGAAGTGCTTGATCTTGGAGAAGTCCCATCAGGTCTGAGCTTACTCTGGCTGAGTCTGGCAATACCTTCAACTTTCAGCGAGCCGATTGCGCTTAAGATAGTCGATGGTACCGGCAGTTACCTTGGGACTGAAATATTTACAGGTATGATGTACATTGCTGCAGCTGCTTGTCTTGGAATCTTGCGGGGGTTGGTAATACAACAACGGGAAGTTGAGCGAGATTCCTCTATCAATCCACACGAATATGTGGAGAGTACTGGAGATCGTGGCGATACTGTCAATACGCTGTCCCGGCCCCGGCCATCAGCTATAGCATTCATAAAATGCTGCTTTAGTGCGGGCAGGTATTAGAAACGAGGCGAACTTGAAGAATACACACCCTTCAACGGAGAAATTTGTGTTATTGTATTAAAATTGTTCCAATCCTAGCTTGGCCAGAAGTGATGGGTATCAAACTCGCCGCTAAGATTAAAAAATATTGAGTTAAACATTGTAGGCTGATCTACCGCACCCTGATCCATGCCTACCAGGCATGTATCGATAGCATCCAATAGGGTGGCGGAGGCCCTATTAATTTCTTGCAAATGCTGCTGGGACTTATCAGAACCAAAGAATTCGTGAATGCTTTGGTGAAGGGTGGAAAAGTCCTGGCTCGATTTAGTCATCCACCGCCTGTCGTTTGCATTGAACCTGTTATAGAGAAGGGATGCACTCTCTATTGTTTTGATCTTTTTTTTTCTCATCGCTTCGTTAGCATAAGCTATAGCCAAAATACAGTGACAGCTGCGGTACCGCAGCCGCTTCTTTAGCCAAACTTACCCAGCCTTCTCCCAACAACCATGTTTTTCGAAATTCTTTGAGGTATTCATAGCACAGATTAAATTCATGTTTAGAATTGGTCGATTGACCCAAGTTCATCTGGGGGAATTGGGTCACATAAAGGTTCATGTAAGCTCCGATAAAAGCACAAAAGCCGGTGAATGGCGAATTGAGCTGAACGTCACATTCTGAGGCCTCTTTGAGAAGATGGGCCACCGATGATGTCGCATTGAAGAGACGACACGCGCTCGAATGCCACCAGCCAGGGGGTGCCTGGGCCTCCAGTTGATACTCGATGGGCCCGCGTGGTTCGGGCTCAGTCACGGGGAGGAAAGGGAAGTACTCTCGATCTAGGAGAATAATGCTTTTGATAACGGTTAGCACAAATTATCTGGGCTCATACTGATTTAGAAAGTAGGTTTGCTGTACCTCAGGTAATAGATGATGTTGACAAACAAAAAGGTTTCACCATTCCCCACGGCAGAATGTGCGGCTACTGATTGACTTGGATAGTGAAGAGCTGGATGTTGGCGGGCCCTCCAGCTTTCTAGATTCTCGGAAATTGAAGACCACGGCGATGAAGATGACCAGGGACAGTTTTCTGGGCTTCGCATTCCAGGAGCTCGACGTCCATCGTTTCGTATAAACGTCATGGTCTGGCTCCATACCACTATGCCTTTCGAGATGGCTTCGAAGCCGTCGCTGATGCTCCACAAATGGACATCAGCACCTGGGGCCATAGATGATCGACTACCAGCAGTGATTTGAGGCCCTCGAGTAGATGATTCCATACTCAACGCGAAATCAAAATTATTGAGTGGGTGGAGTAGGTCCATTTGCTCCAGTTCCTGGAATGGTAGAAGAGGTTGAGCCAAAGTGCCTAGGTCAATCATACTGCTAACGTTAAAACATGACCAAAAGGTTCTTGACTCAATGACGCGAGCGTGTCTCTCGGCCCAACCGATAGCCTGCGAGTCGTTACCGAGAGAGGCACGGCGGGCGCCGTAGCAAAACTGCATCGTTCTTATGGCGGCACCTGTATAAGCATGATGTTAGAATGCCGGGCATGAGAAAATAGGCCGTCAACCTTTCGCCTCGTGTCTAGATGGACATGACGGTAGCCGAGAAAAGGAGCTCATATTCTACGCACCGCAATACATCCATGCTTTGTGCAGGTCAAATGAGCTTCCCTTGAGCACTGCTATGATCAAAAGTGCCTGGGCAACAAGCATATGCGGACTTGTGAAGGCCATATTTGATAACAGCTTTTCAGCGTAACTTTCGTAGACCCTGCGTTCGTACAATCCATCAAGCGAGCTCGAATCACCGGTATATTTAGACGCCGTATATGCTGCAAGTATAGCCGCCATCAAGACACGATATTCCCGTTGGCAGGTTTTTTGACCTTGAACACCCTCAGAGATCCCTGCTCCGTGAGAGACGCCGAAGCCTTTGAGTAGGGTTGGCAAGTGAATCATGGCAAGCTCCGGATATCTGGATGTGAAGCCTTTGACTACTTGCACAATAGTACCAGTCTTTAAGCTGGAGAGATGAACCTCAACCTGGGTGGTTGAAACAGTCTTCTCAGACGCTGGTGATGGCGACGATGAGCTAGTAGAGCGAGGGCGAGCCCTTGAAGTATGATCATTGTTTTGAACTGGACGTTGTCTCTTAGCTGACCTGCCATCCACGGTGGCTTCGTTTCGCTTTGCAGAGATTGAACAACTGCCATGGGCCAGGGGCGTCGGATTTGTACTGTCGTTGACGCCACCGTCGCTGACATTATCGTTATCGTTTGGATCAACATCGTCAATATCTTTGTTGATCGTTACCCTCGGGCGCTTGCGCTTTTGCTGTTTTTGCGAGACAGCTGCAGAGCGCACGCGCGTTTCAGTCAACGCGCATCCTTGGATGTTCGTTTTGACGCATCGCTCGCACGGGGATGACCCTTGGTGAATGCATTTCACCTTGGCTTTGCTGTATAATACTCGTTAATGATACGAATGTCAAGTCTTGAGAAGAAACCAGTAAATGGAGCTCCAAGGCCCACAGTCTACCCACCCTATAAATGGGCAGATGCAAGGAGCAGATAAGTGTAAAGCAGAACGGCACTAACCGACACGCAGCACAGGACAGGCTAGTCCGCATTGTGATGATCCTCAATTCTTGCAGATCTCCTGCTCTCTTCGGATATACGGATGTCAGTTTGAATCAGTTTGCGGTGTAGCCTGTGAGGACTTTCAGACTGACGCTCTCGGGATTGCTTAAAGGGAGTAAAATTGAAACCTTAGGGAGGCAGGGAGCATACCTGACGTGTGGGGCCGAGACGTTGATATTCCGAAGCCACTGTCGGGAAAGATTTGATGCCTTTGGAACTTTTAGGAAAGCCTGTGAATCTTATCTGCCATCCAAATTTGCCTTGAGTTGGACGTGTGCAAAGTCCTAAGAATTTACCGGTGTTTAAAAACTCGTTGTACCATATCCCATCTATCAATATGTCTGAGTTGGTCAGTTCAGAGATGGTGGATGGCAGAGTAATTATTTTTCGTCGGCTTACCAATCGACCAATCGGCTTAGGATGGGTGGGTTCATTTCGGGAAAGAGAGAAGTACGACTTCATTTCCGACGCTGACTCCGTGTGGTTTATCTCTCGGATATGGTGTGAAATCATACGGGGGACTAATAACTATTGACTAGATAGCTGACCTCGTTCATAAAATTTGTTCCACTCACCTTTTTCAACCTATCTCCGGATACGAAGAAAATATGTAAATATAAATAATTGCCGGTTCGAAAATCGAGGTGGACCATGATCGTCGATGTACGCTTCCACAAAGTAATTCGTGATTGTCATCTAAAAATCTATCAAATGAAAGCTCTATCGCCCGCCCACCATTGTTGTTCGGCTCCTTGAACAAACACACGTTCGACTACATTTCCGCTCACCAAGATTGATCACGGTAATAGTGCACGACAGACGTTATTTCTAAGCGGGCATAGTGAGGTCGAATACTCCATATCCGAAGTTTGTAGTTCGGTATCAGTCGTTTGTTCTCCAGCTGTGATACTGGTCTGGCCATCGTGAAATAGGTGTATTTAACGCGCAAAACTAAGTGTGCAGAGAGGAGAGAGAAGATCGGGCAGCAACGCTGCGAGATAAGCTTATAGCTTGGTGGTCTTAAGCTTAACTTAATCGGAAATAGTATACAGAACAAGTAGTAGCACGCTTCTCGATTCCTTAATGCCTTCCTCTATAATTCAGCCCCCAAGGGTGCCTCACTTCCTGCACTCAGCAATGGCAACAGCCAGTTGAGTTCTTCGACAAAAACACTCAGTTCTATTGGCTCAGAAATCACGCGATCTTATCTAGCGTAATGCAGACGGATTCGGAGCCCGAAGAGCTGTTACCATCGGACCTGGACGGCTTAGAGGCCGACAGAGCTGCTGCCGTCGCCGCAAGAACAGTTTTTAGCCCAGGCGGTCTTTTGAAAGCAGGTCGATATCGCCCGTTCCGCAAAATTGGACTGGGCCAGTTTGCCCACCTGGGCATATATGGCCGGCGAGAGATATGGAAGAGAGCCAGAACCGATGTTTCGCCATAAAGATCAACCTCACCTGGTATACCGAGTCTCAAATACGAGAGTATTCAATTATGAAGATACTCAAAGATGATCCTATCTCTGATCACCCAGGCAAAACGAATGTGATCGAGCTGTTCGATAAATTCATTCATACCGGACCCAACGGAGGTCATTCCTGTATTGTCAACAGACCATTGGGACGTTCCATTGAACGAATATTGTCAGAGTTTATCTGGGCTGATCCAGTGCTATATTCGTTCTGTTGTCGAATCTCAATTCAAGCCCTGCAAGCACTGGATCTTCTGCATCAGGAAGACATCATGCACGGTGATATTCATACGGGAGATTTCCTCCTCGCGCTGACTTACAATATTGATGAAAACACCGTGGAAGATACTGAGGCAAAAAACACACACGGTAATGATTTGAATGACCCCAATGGTCCTTGTATCCTTGACGATAAGGTCGATATTACCTCTGGGGGTCTAAATGCAAAGGTCTTTCTAGTCGATCTTGGTGCTTCTAGCAGCCCCAAAGATTTACCAAGATTTGAGACCGCCTATTCAATCCCGGATCGGGCACCGGAAATTCTTATGGATATTGGAGGAGCTACTAGCAAGGCTGATAGTTGGGCCCTCGGCTGCGTACTTTGGTGCATCGTCACAAGAACCCCACTTTTCGCACCTTGAAGTTGGGGTGATATCGACGACACAAACGCTGAGCAGATTATTACCTTCGTTGAGCGCTTGGGTCCCACTTTGAGCGCCCATGTGAGCAATGTGACGTCTCCTAGTCTCGTCGGCATAATTCCGGGACAAACATCTAAGAAATATCTTGTTCTGAATTCTCACACGGATGGTGTCAACGGTGCTGAAGAGAACGGACCGACTGATATAGTCACGATGTCCCAGTACATCACGCGTCTGCCCAAGAAGTCACGAACTCGTTCAATAATTGTGCTACTTACCATGGGTCACTCCGACGGGATCGTTATGCCCTATCTGATTAGGGTTTACTTCAAACGATGCGCTGATATTCCAGGTCATAAATCCTTGGTTCCAGAAGCCTCTTACCAATGGCCTTTTCGAACTCTATGGGCATATAGAGCCTTTGATCTGACATTTCATTCAAGTTGCATTCAATAGGTACTCAGTATTTCTCAAGTAACCAAATTCTGCGAGCCTGTGGGGACATAGCCATCAAGCGCTTAGACTCGGCCTGCTTAACACTAATATAATAGCTCACGAGCCGAGGCCCCATTATGTATTTTAACGCCTCGTCCTGATCCAATGCAGCCAAACTATCGGAAAGGGATTTAGGGAGTGGTGTCGTAATACCCAGTTCCGCGAGCTCCGCGGAGCTGAGCTTTGATGCATCAACTGTGACATCAAATCAGTATCAAAGAGCACCACGTGGGCTCAACCCTTCGTAAACATACCTGTACACTCTTTCACTTTTAACTCTGCACCCGAGCTCAATCCGATATAACCACCCGCAAGAAGAGCAGCCATTGCAAGATACGTATTCGCAACGCCGTCAACGGACTTGAACTCCCAATGGCCCGCACCGATCTTTCTGACTGGCGCTTCCCGATTCTGAAAACCCCACGCCACCCATTCTGAGCCAGCCCAGATACCCGACCTTACGCGCTCGTAACTCGCATCCTGGGATAAAGTGAAAGCTGCGATGGCAGGAAAGTGGGTCAGAACTCCCGACAAGAACGAGCTCTCACGCTCGACTTTATTGATCGATATATGGGCATGTGCCGCGCTGCCTGCGCCGCTGGAGAACGGTCGTGGATGGAGGGTTGCACGGAGACCATGCTCATCAGCAATAGCCGTGATGACCTGGCGTGCGGCGTAGAGTATGTCCACAGCTGCAAGTGGTTTCGCGGGTGGAAGGATGAACTCGAATTGACCGGGCGCAGATTCGGCATGGAATTGCTGGAGGTTGATACCCATTGACGCCAGCGTCTGATGGATTTGTTCTAGTAGTGGAATCGTCTTTCGGGTTTCGGAAGTCATTTGTGACCAAGAGTGATTTTCTGTAGCTGCTATGTAGTCGGTTATCCTTCCCTCGGCATCCCTTCGGGGTTTCAAAAAGATTACTTCGATTTCAAACCCGCACAGAGCTTCGACATCGTGTTCTGTGCGGAGTTTCTGGACAATGTTTTCTAGTGTACTTCTCGGGCAGCCATCTATAGGCTCGTTGCCTTCTGATCGCCAGAAATTCATAATCGTCGCACTCGAAGCGGAGGTTTTCATGCTCGCGTTTTGATAGAGACTGGATAGGTCGGGCTCTAGATAAAATTGTCCTGTTGTAGACCCTTCGGGTAAAACTGTGTCGTCCTGTAACATCCAGAAGACGGCCAGTGATATACCTACCCGCCGTTGCTTCCGGGCAATGCGAACAAATTCTGCGATGGGGAAGATGCGCACTCGGAGCGTGGCAGTATAATCAATCCACTGCATCCAAACGTACTCGAGATCAGGGAATTTTTGTAAAATAGTGTCAAGCTGGTCATGTGATGGGTTGCCAGCTTGCTTGGTACGGGTTACCGACATGGGAAGGGAATAAGAAGAAGAGGGTTTGTCATTCAAAGAAGCATTTAACTGATAGAGACGGTTGGAGTTCTCAAACAGGATACTCTTGGCGGCAGTTTCTGCCTGAACACTGCTCAGATCGCCGCACTGCACATACTCGATAAGAACCTAAAATGACGAGACATTAGAAGACGAGCGAACAACGAACTATTCGAATGAAACAAGCTTACCTTCTCCAAAGCCTGGCGAAATTGACGATTAGCCAACCAAAAGGTCTCCGGGTGGAAGTGTCCGTCTGTACTCCAAAGAAGACGATTCACGGGCGCAATCTCCAAGCTCTGACGAAGGATCTTTTCCTGTCCGTCACGGCTAACCATGGGGAAAACTTCACCCAAATCAAGATAGACATTAGGATAGACAGAAGCCAGATAGCCCGCTTCACGGGTAAACGGGTACGCAGAATGCAGCAAAACGATATCTGCATTCTGGTACTGCGCAATCAAAGGCTGCAGGTAAGCGGGGTTCGCCTTAACGAGACTAATATCATTATCGCCCAGGCCAGTATGAAATTGAATCGGTTTCACAACGCGAGCAGCTTTCTTGAAAGTGATAGCCTTGAGCGTTTGCTGGACGAGCCAGTCATTCAAAGGCTTGTCCTCGACGCGGTAGCCTGATTTTCTCGTCCCCGAGTCCAAGGTCCGGTACAACGAGGCTGTCAAAGCCTCTTCATCTGCGGAGTAAGGATCGACATCCAAGCCCGTACGATAACAAATCACGGATTTGAACCCGACAACTGCTGGGTCGTCCATTGCATTGTCGATTGCGTCAAGGAATCGTTGCCGGAAAAGACCCCACACAGTCTCGTCGGGTTTGCGTTCAGAACCCATTAGATCGGTGAGTAGTGAGGCGGCCACTGCCTCGATGCGAACAATGCGCTTTGTAGAGGCGGTGGTGAAGCGGTCATGCCAATCGTAAGCCTCGACGTCATCCTCTGTGAGAAGATCATCGAGGAGGAGAGTGTGGGTGCCTTCTAAAGACCGTCGGACCAGACCCTCGTAGTCATCCTTGACCCATCGGTTTCGAGCCTCTACAAGCTCGTTCCAATCCTCGGTTGGAGTGCCATAGAGCTCTGACAGTTGTTTCACGGCACGAAGCATCGGAAGTGTCGTGCTGGCATTGGCCATGGCGCGACCGTGAGCTTCAGACACAATAGACTCGAGGGGGTAGCTGTCATAGTCTGTCGCGACATCGCGCCCAAGGATATTATGAGCATGATTGTCAATCAGAGGGTGCGTTTGCACCAGATGGCGCAGTGAGGTGCAGTCGTCCATGGTCAATGCACAGACCGGGGGTGCAACCTAAGGTTGGAGGAAGTGGCAGAGAAAAGTTCGTGATAAAGATAAAAGATAAAGCGGCGGGGTCACAAAAATGATTATCGATCCCAACTCCCCTCTCTCAACGAGGCTACGAGTCTATTTTGGGGCAACACGAGACGCAAAAGACCTGCACACATGGGCAGAGCTCCAGATACATCACAAAGGGCCTGTCAGAGAAGCCCCGTGCGTACATCAAATTTAAGCTCGACTAAACTCGACTTGGACATCTACACGAGCTTTCTCAATGACGATTTCTTCACTATGAATCCACCTGGGAATTTTTAACACAAGAATATTGGTTAGGTTGTATTCTGATCGTCGTGGATATTATTCTAGTGCAAAATTCGCGGGTTCAATTGACGGTAGTATTTCCATTTATTTGTCGAATGAAGTACGAGGGTCTCCACAGGATCCACTAGTACTCCAGACATAATTCGCAATTTGCAATTCAATGGAGTCAATTACTCCATATATACATATACTCTCAATTCAAAATAAAATGCTCAGTACTGTCCCTCGATCGTCAGGGTTCCTGTCTTGGACACCAGATACTCGTTGACGGCAACATCCTTGCCACTTTCCTTGCCATATCCAGACTCCTTCATACCTCCAAATGGCGACTCGGCGGCTGATCCATTTCCTGCAAACATATTAGCACGATTTATTGCGCAAAAACTATTACCAGATATTTTGACGATGTACGCACCTGTGTTCAAGCCGATCATACCGGCTTCTAGGTTCTCAAATAGTCTCCACACGCGATCGACATTCTTGGTGAATGCATAACTAGCCAGTCCCATACTAGTCGCGTTGGCCCACTGCACCGCCTGATCTTCTGTCTCAAAGCGATACAGTGCAGCAATCGGGGCAAAGGATTCCTCTTGTGAGATCTGCATATCCTCGGTCATGCCGGACAGAATGGTCGGCTCAAAGAAGTAGCCCTTCTGCGAAGTCAACGGTTTACCACCGAGGATAACCTCCGCGCCACGGCTACGCGCATCTTCAACTTGCGCGATCGCTTTATCGATACTTCTCGGAGTTGTCAGTGGTCCCATGGTGGTATCCTTCGCCGACCCGTGGCCAACAATCAACGTGCTCGTACGCTCCTTCAGCAATGCTGCGAAGCGGTCATATACACCAGCCTGCACGTAGATTCGGTTTGCGGTGATACAGGCCTGTCCAGCATGACGCCACTTCAATAACATAAGCTGGTCAAGGGCTTGATCAAGGTTGGCATCATCAAAGACGATGAATGGGCAGTTTCCGCCCAGTTCGAGCGTCACTTTCTTCAGGCCCTGGGCGCAGTGAGCTGCCACGAGCTTGCCGACGCGGGTAGAGCCGGTGAAGGTGACTTTCTTGACCAGTGGGTGTTTGCAGAGCGTCTCGCTGAGCGGGGGTGTGTTCTCCAAGTCAGTAGTCAACACATTCAGCACACCAGCAGGGATACCAGCTCGCTGCGCGAGCTCAGCCAACACGAGCACGGAGATAGGAGTTTCGGGACTCGGCTTCACAATCATAGTACAGCCAGCCGCCATCGCGGCGCCAACCTTGCGCAGAACCATCGCGACTGGGAAGTTCCATGGCACCAGCGCAGCGGCCACGCCGAGGGGCTGTTTGATCGTGAACAAACGACGGTTGGGCGCCGCAGGCACCGAGACAGTGCCCTGGATACGCTCTGCCTCACCAGCGAACCACCACAGGAATCCCAGGGAGTAATCCAGCTCTCCATATGCTTCGGAAAGTGGCTTTCCCGTTTCGTGGGTGACGATCTGAGCCAAGTCATCGCGCGCCGCGGTGGTGAGTTCCCACCATTTCATCAGCCACTGCGCTCGCTTGCGCCCGGATACTTTGCGGAACTCTTCAAAGGCAGCGTGTGCATTCTCCACAGCTACGTTGACATCCTCGGCTGAGTTGGTGGGGCAGCTTGCCCATGCTTGGTCGGTTCCAGGGTCTGGAAAACACCGTTAGCCATGAGACGGTTCGTAAATATGGTGATATGGTTGAGATTTTGCATACCGAGGACCTCGAATCGATTCTTGCTCTTTGCCTCTACCCATTTGTTACCTACAAATGAGTCGAAGTGCAGAAGTGATGGGTCAGAGAGCTATACACGCATTAGTTCAGTACCTCGGACTTCTGGCCGAGAGCTCCAAAGGCCCCGGATCAACCATTGAAAACACAGAGGAAGGGTCGCGGAACAGGAGATAAATTCACATACCTTGAAGGGTAGCTGATATTGTGTCGCCATTGTGTATATAGGTGTGTTGCGTATGTGTAAGAGGATGGAAAGTTCGAGGGAGATGATGAAGAGAAGTTGAGTTTATACTCGGCGGACTCAGCGGGGTCATCGGGGCAAGAGGTGGGGTTGTCCCCATCTTCCAAGGTCTCTACCTTTGCTCTCTTTCTACTTTCCATATTCAGGGTCTCCCCCACTGTCATAACGGCTGTATGCCTTTTATTTTGTACTATACATTAAATATATCCCGAAACCTAGACCAAGCTATCCATACTGGTGTGTTTGCCATCGCGCGACCGGCCATCATGATGTGGGCTCACTTCGTCAACGGTATATCGCACCGACACATCAGTTGTCTTCACAATTCCCGTTACCCCATCCTCACTCCCACTTGAGATACTTGGACTATCGCCACTGCGCTTATACTTCCGCATATCAAAGTGGTCCCCGCTTTCGCCTGGGCCAATTTCCACCCGGTTCGTCGGGTTCATCTCGTATCCGTCTTCCGCTTGGGAGTGCAGCTGCGACTTGTGTCTGGTGGAAAACTTGGAGCCAGGGAATGCCCGGGATCCACTGGTCCCAGGTCCATAGCCAGATGTTCCTCCGCCGCGCGATGTTCCCAGGAGACGAGGCAGGTACTTGCTGGCAATAGCTTTCATCGATGGACCACAGGCGGTAACAACAGCGACATTGACTTCGATGGCTGAGCTAACAAAGCCGATGGAATAGGTAGGGTCCTTTACAACCTTGTGGCTCAAGAAGGCCTCTGCAAGAATTATGATACGCCAGACGCCGATGGCGGTTGCACTGCATGGTGTCAGTCTATACCCTGCGGTTACTATCTTGGGACCCGTGGGAACTTACACTCCGCCGAGACACAGGATCACGCAGACCGCAAGCTTGCGTCGTATGGGCATCTGCAGATTCCAAGTGATGATGATAGGAATTGACAGCACTATTATATCCGTGAAGAGATTCAGTGCTGCAGTAGAGACATAGAACGCTCCCTGGTCGATGCAGGTTCCTCCCACAATTGACATGTCGTAGACGCGTGCAATAGGGGTGCATTGGAAGATGTCGACGAATAGGACGGCCACAAATAATCCGATAACCATTCCCATTGAGGTCCATATCAAAGCGTTGACTACTCGCGACCGTGATTCGAGACGACGTAGGAATACCAAAATCGACAGTTTGATGATGGTCAGGGTCGGGTTGTAGAGAAGTTGGTTGATAAAGTTCCACTAGTTATAATCTGTCAGTTCCTGTGTGTCGGTTGTCATCGCAAACTGGTCTTACAATCAATCCTTTTTTGACATCGTAGTCTAGGGGGATATCCGTCGTGTGGATGCCGACATAGTTAGTCTTGATATCTATAGAGAGTTAGTTAATAGTCATCACCCTGCGGATGCATGGCATGTCAATACGTACAGTACCACGACGTGACCGATTGTGAGACAGCGAGGATCTATCCAGCAAGGTTAGTACTATAGGGATAGTCGCCAGTGGATTCACATACATAGCCAACAATAATCAGATAGTCATCTGGTAGTTATGTTAGTATATGGTGCCAAAGGCCAGATAGATCGCACGATAGCCAAGTGTCGATCACTGGGGGCGGCTAGGAGGCTAACATACCACTTGTCAGTGCTGATCGCGACAATGCTCGACTCCATAATCTAAGGATCACAGCTAGGCCGCCCAAAATAGGAAAAGCGACGACAATGCCAAGAGCGAGCTTTTGTTGATGGTCGTCAATCATCATGCATAACGGTGTTTAGGGGAAAGGCTAGAAGGAAAGAAGAACCAAAAATCACAAACCAGAAGCCTCCTCCAAATGCAGGCCTTCTCGTCCATATTATAAGGCTCAGCACTTGGCGGACCGCCACAGAAACAATTGATTAAGGTGTGCAGTGGTAACACCAACTTCGCCATACCCAGTCACGCATGCACATTTCTTCCTCCACTTCGCTGAATGTCCGAGATCCAGACCCATGAACCAATTTATCGGACCCGGGACCGATTTCGGAAATCCCATTTGGGCAAGTCATTTGTTAGTAGATACTCCGGTGCTAACCCTCATTGGTGTTGAGGCCAGGACACCCCACTCAAAGAGTAAGCAGGGTGCATCAGGGTTTACAATTACTTAAGGAGAAGATGTTTGAGAAAAAGGCTAATCCAGCATGACAAGAGTAGTACATCGCATTCCATTAAAGTTTGACACCGAGTGTCCTGCAATAGCATACTAGTAGATTACATCGATATGTCCAAATTTGAGAGGCAAGATAATTATGCTGGCTGCAGAAGTCAAAGGGTTTGCGAATATTCCGCTAAATTATCTGCCGGGCTGGCAAGAAAGAATTCTTCGCACATTCTAGGCGCTAAGTAGTGAAACTTGTCGAGCTGCAGGTCATGTAATGAGACATTTGGCTAATATCTCTCGGTGCTCACAGTCCGGTCTAACCGAGGTGGGGCATATCCCCAGTCAAGTTAGGCCAGATGTATGCCCATGAACCGTGGGCAAGGAAATATCCCAAAGGATTTTCCGTATCCAATGGCCGATGCGATATGAGAGAAGAGTTCAAGATTATACTTTTCGAAGGATTTTCCTTGGGTGAAGGTTTCGGCAATATCAAACAGTCTGACATACCACGTTCAGGGACCAAAAATACTAATTACGGTGGAAACTTCCCGTTTAACGTTCGCTGGTACCGTCCGCCACACCCAGCATGCACCCCTGAGAAATGAGTTTAACGTACGCCTCCCCCATTTTCTTTTTCTTTCCTTGTTTTTATCATACGATGTTGGCCCATCCCCTCCCCTCATTTACCTCGGCAAGCTATTCCTTTTCATAATGTCCAAGCGCCTCCGATCCTCCACGGTAAATCTCTGGGTGGATCGGAAAATCACCAGGTGGGTCTAGAAGAAAAAAAACCGCCGATGGCAAGTTTGTTCCGCGTGTGGCTTGTACCACTGCAGGATATTTACCGGGATATTGTCCATTCTGAGATCAAGCGCCTAGGTTATAGCGGGGGAACAGGGATGGGCCACGTGTGCATTTTGGCAGGATAAATACCATCTTTTCTTCGTGGCGCTTGCACTATCTATCGCCCAGGAGAATTCTTTTCATCCGGCGTTGACCGAAGGATTTGTTAGTGCAAGAATCGCTCTGAGTGGGGGCGGATCGGGAGATGAACAAGGGCTAAACGGCAGACTCCAATTCCACTCTGGTAATACGCCCGGGCCTGAATCGGTCCAGAGCTAGCCACCCTAGAGACTGAACGGTGGTTGCGGGTAGAGTGTAGTCTGCGGCTAACTTCAATCTGCATAGCGTGCGTATAGTGTATAAATCGTTCGCCCTTTTAACCACTGCCGAAGCCATGCATGTCTCGGAGATTTGAATCGGCCGAAGGTCCCAGTCTGTCAAGACTCGTCGCCCTAACTCAAAGTGGAGCACAATGAGGGCTTTCAGGACTCTTTCCGATGTGCCCTCCTCCGAATACACTTGTGCATTGTACAATTGGTGTGGGGCGCAGTCTAAATCGCTCGCCATGTGGTGGTGGTCCGGTCAAACTCGTGGCCAGAGAGCTTGTCTGCCTATCTCTGCATCGCTTTAAATCGTAGAGATCGCCTTCTTTCTTTTCTGTTTCACTTTTTCCAGTAGTCCCCTCGCCGATCGACCTGGAGGTGAATAAAATCCCTTTCTCATTGAACTTATTCAGGTTCTCTTTATTTTCACTTCTTTAATAATGGCGCCCCCTTCATTTGCGGCGGCCGCTTTGCTCGCCCTTTCTCTTGTTGCCCCTGGAAGTGCTGAGTCGGCTATTACCCAAGTTTCCGTCGAGTCTACCTCCAATGCCCCTGTTTTTGACAGCGAGACACTTCAAGTGACCGATGCGTCTTTGTCGACTCTCAACAAGAATCAGTCGGCTTACTTTGCCTTTGCCAAGAACGATAGTTCTCTGCAAACTCGCACATTTAGCAATGGCTGCAAGGTCTTCCCCGGAGACTGGCTCTGGCCCTCGAACTGGGTCTGGTCATTGTTCGATGACTTTCTGGACGGTGCACTGATCAAGACGGTGCCATTGGCTGCTTCATGCTACAAGTCATGGCCCCAATACAATGCCGAAACGTGCGAGACTCTCACTTCGGACTGGACTAACTCCAATATCCAGTAAGTCTTTTTCTTTTTGGAAATCCACGGACATATTCAAAGATAAGCACTGACTCTGTTTAGCGCCGCGGACCCTGCCTCTGTGATGTGGCCTTTATTCGAGGGACGCAGCTGTCTGCCTACTACTGATTCATCTGCCTCTTGCACTGTTGGTGGATACAGCAGCTACGCTGTTAATGTCAGCAGCGTTGGTCAAATTCAACTGGCTGTCAACTTCGCTCGCAATGCTGGCCTGAGACTCGTTGTTAAGAACACTGGTCACGATTTCAATGGAAAGTCGACTGGAGCCGGTGCCCTGGGTATCTGGACCCACAATCTTAAGGATATCGATTATATCCCGCACTACCGTAGCTCGGGCTACAACGGTCCCGCTGTAAAGATGGGTGCCGGTGTTCAGGCTCACGAGATTTATGAAAAGGCCAATGAGCTTGGTTTCACTGCTGTTGGCGGAGAGGGCAAGGTGAGACTCCTCATTCCGCTAATTATTCGAATGTTCCTTGCTAATATTTGCAGACTGTCGGTGTTGCCGGAGGTTACGTCCTTGGAGGTGGCCACAGCCCCTTGTCTTCCATCTATGGTCTTGCTGCTGATCAAGTCCTTTCTCTCGATGTCGTTCTGGCCAACGGTCGTTTCGTTACCGTGACCGAGGAGAACAACCCCGATCTTTTCTGGGCTATCCGCGGTGGTGGCGGTGGTACTTTTGGTGTTGTCACCTCTGTTACCAGCCGAGTCCAGCCTAAGGTTGGCGTGACCGTCTCGACCTTCAGCTTCTCTACCGGCACTGATGTTTCCGCCGATACCTTCTGGGCCGGTGTGCGCTCGTACATGGAGCGCTTCCCCCAGAACGCTGACGCTGGCACATACGCTTACTTCTGGATTCTTTCCACTGGTACCGATGCATTCACTTTCCTCATGAACCCCTTCTTCGCCGTCAACCACACCCTCGCTCAGTACAACGCCCTGGTGAAGCCATGGTACAACGACCTCGAGGATCTTGGTATCTCAATCACCCCCAACTCCACCTACTACGACAACTTCTACGATGCCTGGATGGCCGGTTTCCCCCTCGAGACCGTCGCCTCCTCTGTCATGATGACCGGCTCGCGTCTCTTCCCCCGCTCCAACTGGGAAGACACAACTTCCTTCAACGCCACCTTCGCCGCTCTCAAGGAGACCGTCGTCGCCGGCCACCCTCTCCTCGCGTTCAACATGAAGGCCGAGCTGGTCAACGGATACCCCTCCAACGCCGCCAACCCTGCATTCCGCAACACCCTTCTGCACGCCATCACCTCTACTAGCTGGACCGACACGGCCAACAACACCGAGATCAAGACCAACATGGAAAATTTCACCAACAACGTCCTCGGAAAGTGGCGCGCTGTCTCCCCCGACGCCGGTGCGTACATGTCTGAGTCCGATATCCTCGAGCCCAACTTCCAACAGGCTTTCTACGGCACCAACTATGCCCGTCTTTATAAGTTGAAGCAGCGCTACGATCCTACCGGTCTTTTCTATGCTCCTACTGGTGTCGGTAGCGAGAACTGGGTTGTTAAGAGCGAGGATGGCCTGCCTGATCAGAATGGTCGTCTTTGCCGCGCTTAGGATGGACTTGTAATATAATCGGATTGCTCCGAGTCTTATAGACTGTACAGTATACTATATTCAATATAACTTTACGATATTAATTCAGGAATAATTCTTCTTTCATCCAAGTTGGTAGATCACCTACCGCCTAGCGCGAGAAGCATAGCGATGCCAGAGTACTAAATTCAAAATAGATTACATATCTCATCAACCACTTTGTTCGACTGCCTAGTGGGTATTTCATCACGAATTTCTGTTTGGTCATTCCCGATCAGTATAATGTCCTGTGTTTTGCTGGAGTGTTTCAACTTGAAGTTGGAGTAACCTTGGAAGGTTTTCCTTATGTATGCCCAGTACCACTGGCAAAAGTTACGGCATGAATAGCTAAATACTACTTTCTAAATATATAGTAGTAGTACTACTAGTATTAGCAGTGTACTAATCAACACCGATTTCCAAGGTTAAAAAGGACTCGGATTCCGCTAAGATTTCAAAACACCTCGAAGGGCTGTTGAGATATAGAGTTGTAATTTATTGCCTTAACTATGGTGTTTGATACTAACTGGCCCCACATTCCGGTTAGTACTGGGCGACTCACTCCTAGTATGCCAAGCCTAGTAAAATTAACAGGAGTCTAATATTTATCGACGGGAGTCGGAATTTAAGTGGCGTCCGAGTGGTCAAGACTAACTAGTAGTTACTGTTCGACTCCGCGAAACCATTCCGACTGTGTTCCCCCGCCTTCGAAGTACTAGAAAAGCTCACTCGTCTTCAAGTTCTCGGCACTCGTTGCCAAGCTGTCAATGTGGCCTTTGCGGGTGAATAATGTATCTTCTTTCTGGTTGGTGGAGAATGACTTGGCTCAGGTTATCTTGGCAGAGCTTAGTCTCTCGCCCGCAAGAAAATGTGGCTCTGATAGGCGAAGGCCATGATGGAAAAGGTTGGGACTGACACTTCGGCTAAAGCTATACAGAGGCTCAGTACATTAAGCCTAATAACTAAGTATAATCTTTCCGAAAGTATTAGTGTTCACGAATAATTGATTCCTATACCTATCCATGGTATGTTATAGCAGCAAATAGTGATTTTACTACACTACTAGTTAGTACCGCGCCCTACGTGGTCTACTAGTAGATCATCGTGAACCGACTTATTTTGTAATAAGTATATAAAGGCATCATATGAGTATTTTGTAGTTCTCTAATATTCTTGCAGGTCGGCTGATCTTTCCTCGGCCAGGGAACCCAGATGAGGGGAACAAGTGGCGTTCTAGAAAGTAAGTGCATCCGTAGCTCCGCTCCGGTCCGTGGCCCGCATTGTCAGGGTCTCAGGGTCCAGTTCCAGCCCCGGGTTCCTAAAACCTATAACTCGGAGTTTTCCCAGATATCTTCAGAAGTATAAGCTCGCGATATCCACAACCATAATTTTAGTATAATTATACTAAAATGATCGGGTAAGTGTGATAATCTCTATTATTTCCTTTTCTGGTGACTACCGAGTCCGTCGGATTCCCAAAGCAGATCTTGGCCCCCCCACCGACGGACCAATCACAGCGACGCATCTGCCACATGCCAGTCCTCGCTGTTGCGGGTTGCTGCTTGTTGCTTGCTGCTTCTTTCTGATCACGGCGACGCCCTTAATTCCCTCCATCTCGATCTCGATTTCTTTTCTTTTCTTCTTTTTCCCTTTCCTTTATGCAACTTCTCTTCCTATTGCCTGCCAGGGGGCTACCCTTGCCAACATGAATCTCCTTCTCTTGTTGTGTACCTATGCGACACTATGTCTCGCACTGCCAATTCAATTCGTCCTCACTGGTGATACACCTACCATTCGCCTGAGCTCGAATACGCCGAGTGAGACTATCAAGCCAAGGCCCGTCGTGACAGCCGAAGACCAAGAGCTTTCTCCCAAACCGACTTTCCGCGAGTACGTTGAGCGTCTCCGTTTGGGAAGGCCGTCATCTGCCAAAGGATCCAGTCCAGATGCAAAGTGGCCGACGAAATCAGAATTCCAGAACCAGGGAGATGAGCCATCTTTCTTTGGAAGAAAATACGGGATCTTGCTAAGCAGCCCGAGTCAATCTACTACGTCTCCGCCCTCCCGGCAATATGGCGTCTTCCTGGACAAAGTCAGCAAATTTGTCGAACTACATGGTCCCAAATCTCACTCCATTGCATCAAATCCGTCCGCAAATCTCCACTCGGAGCCAGACTCTTCACTTGGCCGTCTCTATGGAACATTCTTGGGCGGAATGGACACTTTAATGCCATCCGAGAACCACCCCAAGAACGCGCTCGCAAAATCCAAATTGCGCAAGAATGGCTCCTGCGACTCTTCTAAGAGTATTGCCACCTTCCTCAACCCGTCAGAGCTACTCGACCTCCTTGACACTCATGGTCCAGAATGCGTCGCTGTGGCCATCTTCATTCTTTTCCCTCTTGCCTATCTCGTCCTCGAGTTCCTCGAACTGATCCTCAAACGCTGTACCCACGAGAAGTATCCAGAGCGCGGCCGTGATCGCGTCCGGCTCTTTGGTCCAGAGAGACAGCTTCGAGCTTGGAGTAAGAGACAAAGGGAGATGGTTCTCGAGGAGAAGCAGTGGTGGTCGCCACGGCAGACGCGATCACGATAATTCCCATTCCTTTTTTTCCCTCTTGGCTTTTACGACGAAACCAGATTTTTCCTTTATTCTTGTTGATACCCAGATGTTACTATTAATTCCTCGAGTTTTGTGATCTACGTTTTGTCCCCACCATACTGCAGTAAGCTGCCCCACTAAAATGATGGGTCGAAACATGTACAGTAGGTAGGCAGCCTTGCAGTCATGCAATGTTATCAATATCTTACCTCCAAATTAAAGACGACTACAAACTTTAATAATCCATGTAACCCCCCCATGAATGTTCCAAAGAGCATCCAACAGTGCTTTCCATCCAAACTCGGCCACCCCCACTCTTCAAATGCTTATTTAGCCCGAAGGTCCTTGCCCGCTCGAATCGGAATTTATAACACAGCATGATCAGTCGAGCAACAGGTTTGCTCAGGTGGATCAGCAGTAAAGTTAAATGACAATGGCAATACCGGCAACGATGAATAAGTGTTCTAGCTTCAATATAGATTACGGGTTGCTACAGGTATAATGAGAAACTACACATATTACGCGATGGATAGCTACACCATTCAATTGTTAAATTTGCAATTTTTGGAATCAGTGATCTCCAGTAAGTATTAAGTTATGAATATTAAGAAAACTCCATAGTGTCCATCTTCAACAAGAGGTCAAGGACACAAGGTAACAAAACTCCACACCAAAGCGCCACCCGTCTCCAACCTAGGCATGGCTCTTAGCAGCAGGCTTATGGGCAGCGGGCTTCTTCGCGACAGGCTTCTTTGCGACAGGCTTCTTCGCAGCAACCATCGTAGCATCAGCCTTCTTCTGGTTAGAGTGACGAACACCATTCTGCATCGCCTGCAAATGAGCAAACTCAAGCGTATCCTCACCCAGACTCCAAGCCATAACACCACCAAGCTTCTTAGCATCAACGATATCACTGAACTTGCGCGTGATGATCTCAGGAGTATCCCAAGTCCAGAAGTAATTCGTCTCCTTATCCCAGAAGTACTGGCCACCCTTCTCCTCATCAGTCATGCCGCCCTTCTGCGCACGCTTCCAGGATTCAGTGACAGCAGCTGGCATGTACTCGGGGCTCTTCTCGAAAGTCACGGCGCCAGACTTGCCGGTGTCGCTGCCGTCGGAGTTCTCGAGCTTGACAGTCGCACAGCCGAGCGGGTGCTCGTCGCAGTCAGAGTTAGGGTCCGTCTCGAACCACTTGGCATAGTAGGCGAATCCAAGATTGAGCTGCTCGGGCTTAGCGCCGATGTCGAGGTATGCGTTGATAGTCTCCAGGGATCCAGCGACGTCGCTGGCGTGGAAGGTAGTATTGTCGCGGCGGTTCATCAAGTCGTAGCTCATGACGTTGACCATGTCGACAGTCTCGAAGATCTTGGGGCCCTGCTCCTTCGTGAAGGCGATCATATCTTGCAGGCGGCCGGGGACAGCGATGGAAAGAGTCTTGTTGCCGATAGCCTCGCGGAGGGCGGCGAGGAACTTGGGGTAGTTCTCGATTTCGTCGACCTTGTCCTTGTTCGGGATTGTCTTGTAGTCGTCGCCATTGCCGCCGGGATATTCCCAGTCGATATCTGCATCTGTTAGAATGGGGTTTGGAACAGCGGGGGGAAATGTAACTAACCGACTCCATCAAAGCCGTTGGTCTCGAGCATGGAGGCGACGTTCTTGGCATAGCGCTTGCGACTGGCGTCGTCCTTTGAGCCGGTCGAGAACCCTGCACTATCTCCCCATCCACCGATGGCGATCATGAGCTTGGTGTCTGGGCTGAAGCGCTTGCGCATATCATCGACAGGCTGGAATGGAGTGAAAGACGGCGCCGAGTCCGAGTTGAAGAGAGTTGTCTTTGCGAATGCCATCACAGCATAGTCGACGTCCTGGGTCTGTTCTGTACCGGGGAGGTCGCTCTTGTGCCATCTAGATGATGTTGGCTTTCTTCTTTTGGAAATGTGTTGGGACGGATCACTTACTGGTCAATGTACATGGCGAACCGGGTGGCAGTGACGCTCTGAGCGGCCAATAGGCCGAGGGCAATGTTCTTGAGCATGATGGATTTGATAACGCGATACTCGAAGAAATAATCGAAGGTAAGACTCAGAGTGAGGCAGACGAATGGGTCAAACCAAGTCGCGTTGCAGGGACACTTAAGCGCCGGGCCAGAAGGAGAGGTAGAAGAGAGAGAGGCAACCTTCACGTGCCCAGTTGGGACACGCGACTATAAGAATCATTGAGCACATCTGGCCAGAGATGCCGACTAAACAATTCGCTCCCCAGAATGCCAGTCGGGTCTGAGAGTACGGACTATCACAAAATGCATCCACCGACCCATTTGAACAAGCCTATAGGATTGTTCAGATTGATGCAAGCCGCGGGGCATTTATGCATCCTTACTGCAGAGTGGATCTGTGTGAGGCTATTTGAGAAGATCATGGGGAAGGGAGGCCAAAAGGCTCCTCAGGAGGAGGTTGGAATGTCGGCCAGAGCTCGGGACCGATGATACATAGACAGTTTACCCTCAGGAGCAATTATGATTTGGCTGCTACGGGCCTATTCTTCTCTATAACCACACGTACAATAGCTTGTGGCCAGAGATCGTGGTATATTTCCAATACTCTAGAAATTGAGGTGTATTTTTGGCGACCCCTCGCGAGGCTCATTCAAAAGTTCAGGTCAGCCTTGGGCCGCATGCCAGATCAGCAATGCATTCATTCCCCTCCTGCTCACATTCCCCGACGTCATGAAATATTTTCCTTCCCGGGTACTCCGACAGTCAAGCAAATCTACAAAGTAACACTGCGGAGGTTCACATTGGCAAGCAGATTTGATGTTCAGCGAGGATTGCTTCAAGTTTTAGTCAAACCGGTGCCGGAAATGGAATTTCCTAGCTTGTAATCGTATATACTGCCTCATGATGGGCAAGGAAACCCAGAAGCCACGCGGGCAATGCAATTGGAATGCAGATTGAAATATATTCATCTGAAAAGATACAATAATCTAGGGGTATAAGACCAAAAACGCCAGATCTATGTTACAACGGCGAAGTAAAACCAAGAGTGCTACTACTAGGAAGCATGAATTAATTCCAGTGTCGGCGGATAATAGGACGAGCTGGATCCCAGGGACCAATGACCACATTCTTGTACTTCTGCAAGCTGATAAGCCACCAGCTGCAGCCGCCCATGGCAAGTGCAGTGAGGATACCTCCAAGGAAGGATCCGATGATAGCTGATGCCCAGCCACCACTCATGGTCATGCCAACGGCGCCGCCGGCGATGACCACGAGCGCGAGTGTAAGGCACACATGACCGGTCCAGGACTTTTGGCGGAGTTGTCGGCGGAATATAGGGAATAGTCCGAAGACCTCCATGGAGAAGAGCATTAGGCTGAACACGTGGGTGGTGGATGGAAGGCGGGATGCGAGTACGGTTGATGCCATGACGGCTGCATTTGTGGACAAGGAAGCGGGAAATTTTGTGGCGCCGGCGCCCTCGCCACTTCCGTAGTCGAAGGAGAAGATGTTCATGATTATAAGCCAGCAGCTCATGGCCCATATCGAGTCGCTGGCGGTGGATTTGGTAAGGGACTTGAGGATGGGACTTAGGCCCAGCAGGGAAAAGTAGATTAAGAAGGCGGATTTGACGGTCGAGAGTCGTTGGCGGTTGCGGGAGGAGAATAGAGAAGGTCGGTCGATATCTTGGACGTCCATGTCGCCAGCGACCGCACTTGATGGGGCGGGGTTGAGACCAGCTCGTGCTGTGGGGTCAATGACTCCGCTCACGCTATTGTTGTGGTCGGGGCTTTGATGCGGCAGATGTTCTTTTGACGAGTTTGCAGCCATTGTCAAGCCAAGGCCATGGATCGGACTGCCCTTGATGCCATTGCCTTGGGTGTCGTTGGCTGGCGGGTTGACACCACTAGTTACCGAACTCGAACTTGAGCCATCGTCGCCCCCGATGTTGCCATTTGCATTTGAAAGCTCTGTCTGTTCTTTCCAGATCCAATTATCCCATAAAATCCAGCCCACCGCCGTGCCGACACTTCCCCAGCAGACAACCGAAACGGGGCTCACCCGGTCTTGAACAATATCAACGAAACAGCACACAAATATGACCACGGAGCAGACATGCTGAACAATGACCGTCGAATCCGAAACAAGAGGCCAAAAATCATAAGGCCGCACTCGGGGATTCCGTTGGAGATGGTCCAGAAATGTCTCGGTATCGGTGTAATTATCCGGGTCTACCACCAGTCAGTAACAGTCTACTACCCCACACAATGCTGACGCAAGAAGACTCCCCCTCTCCAGCGGCCATATCACATACAAGATTGCTTTACCCAAAGTAACTTCTTCCAGGCGCCTTTCCGCCTTCTCCGTCCAGCACCAGCCCCCAATTTCCGCACATCCTTCCGATTGGGGTCCGCGCCAAGCACCCCCCGCGGCGGATGCAAACTGGCATCACCATTGAGCGAGCGAAGCGTATCATCGTAGTTCGTCAGAGCGGAGCGACCCCGCGACAACGAGGGCGCAAAGTATGCGTCCTCGGGGGCCAGGCGGTCCGGATCCGGAACGCGCTCGTCAGGAGTTCGGGAATTCGGGCTGCGGTTCGGGTGTGTGTCGACGGGGATCGGTGGAGGGATTTGGGAGAGCGATGAGGGTGGCGGAGTCATCGAGCTGAGGCGATTAGTAGTAGCACCGACGCATGGCTTTCGAGCAAGAGAGCGTCTTAATGGCCTTTGGGGGGGACTTTGGAGGTCTTCGCGCCCCAAGCTGCGAGACGCGCAATCCCACGTGTCCGGGGAAAGTCATGTGATCACTCTGCCCTGGATTTCCTCTTTCGGAACGATTTCATACTTTTGGTCTTTCCAAGGTTTTGATTCTTGTATTCATCTGGGGATTCTCAAACTGCAGATTTTATTTAAATGATGTGGTTAGATTCGAGCTTGGTGGGCTAGGCACAGATACTAGTAGTACTGATGCCAGTGTTAGGTAGAGTACAGCAGAAGTATAAAAGGAGGTATTAGCGTACATCCAGGAAACAGTATACTAGCACCTTGAATCTGATACAACTAGCAATTTAAGTAAAAAAAGCTACCTAAGTAAATCAAATACGACTTTCAAAAATCCTGGTCAAAAACTTGATCTTGAAGTTAACCACTTTGTTGAATGCGCTCCGGCGCGGCAGGCTTCACGGTAATCTCGATCGATCCGCTTTCCGCAATAGAAAGCTTCCGCACATCGTGACAAAGCAAACTAAACTCATCCTCACAATCCTCTCCGATATACCTGCGCGAGCCCAACCCAGGAGCCCTACAGACCAGAGAGATCTCCTTTTCCGGGTCCTTAACGCCGAAAAACTCCCTCGCTTTTCCGAAGAGAGATTTGATGTCACAGCCATCCAAAGAGAAAACACGGGCGTGATCACTCTCCTCAGAGAGTAGTCTCACACGAGCCGAACCGAGAAGTCTCGGCATCGCCCCGGGCCTTGCAGCGAAGCCTTCCTTCAAAACGACGGCTTCTCCTTCTGTTTTAAGCCTCTTTTCAGGCCGGCGCATCCCGATCCGAGAAACTTCAGGCTTTACTGCGGAGAATTGAGCAGTTTCTTTGCACTTGGAGCGACCCCTAGCTTTCTGCTCCAGGTCTTGCATGATAAATTCACGCTGACTTTCCGTAAGATCCAAGAATGCAGTGTCAAAATAGTCCTCCTTCGCATCATTGGCCGCTTTCTCAGGAACATAGAAGCGAATTGCGCATGGGTCTGCGGCGAATTGCTGATCTTGACCATCCCACGCATAGCCCAATGACATCTTTCCCGAGGCCCTTGAGATGCTCCTCGTGTATACGATCGGCTCGCCAGTCTCCCCTGCTGCATGCGGGACCTGCAAGGCGTAATTCATGTGCCATCGAGATCCGGAATCTTTGCTCGCGGCCGAGATTCGGAAAACAGAAATCTCAAGCTCGTTTCCTTCCGGATCATAATATCGATTGCAGGCGAAATTTCGCCCTCTTAGTGGAACGCTGCGGCTCGAGTTTGGTGGGGGGGCTGTCTGGGTTTATCTCGTGGTGGTCGTTGAGGTTATGCATAGCCTCGTCTGGAAGAGATTCCGGGTCCCCGTACAGGCATTCTATTTTGAATTCGATGGAGTGGGAGACTAAATCTCTGGTATTGCTTTTCTTGGTGTTTTCTGTTGGCTTTTGCTTTTCCTTGGTCGAGGATTTCGGCTCATGGATGATATCGGAGCTGCTATCCTCTTCCTCATCACTTTCATTTTCCTCTCCATCTTGTTCTTCATCCTCGTTCTCGTGTACAGAGCTTCTAGTATCTTGATCAGCTGCAGAGTTCTGAGCTTGAACCTCTGCCTGGAGTTTATTATCAGTTAGTTGAGCTCCGGGTAGGAATATGTTAAGATTTTCATCATAAGAACATAGAAACCAAGCTTTTAGAAATACCTTTTCTGCATGACCACTTGCAACTACCCCTGCCTTCGAACTAACACCTTGAGTTACTGCCATGATTCTGTTGTACTGTACGGGCAGTCGAGCTAGATTTTGTTGACCACAAGCTTTCACAAGACACAATGGGGAAAATGGAGAGAATACTGGTATTCGAAAGGTTGATAAAGAGAGGAAGGGGGCCATGAGAGGTGTGTCTTTTCGATTGTGGGCACAGGATATAAATCTACTAGTGTTGTGATTTTACCGGATATCTCCAGAGGAACAAAGACATTATGCCATACCTAGGTATCAGCAAACATGAGGTTTACTTGACAAACCGCATAGTACCAGTGGGCAAAGTAGCAAACAACTTGAGCGCTGGAAAAATATAAAGTGTACGTCATCCAGGCCGAATGGCCTAGAAAGGACTGTTGGCGACGATTGTCATACTAAAATATCATGCCGTTGGCATGGGTACTAGTATGATATCATTGCCTTCAGTATCAAGGTACATACTAGCTACTAGTTCGAGAGAGATTAAGAACGATAGACTCTAATTGTTATTAAATTTTTATTTTTGCATTTTTAGGGCACAGGGACTATCCTGTTCATTTCCGAGACCCATATTCACCCCTTATACACAACTGACATCCTTGGGCCATCCGACAGCCTCGCAGAACCATGGCATATACAAGGGTCTGTAATTTATTTTTGGTAGGAACAAGACGGCAGTCTCCGAGAGAAAACGGAAAGAAGAAGGAAAGCGAAAGGAAAGAAGAAAATGAAATGCAATGCGTATCGGGGTAGGACCACGCCGGGCCACAACCATGTGTCTATTAAAGCGAGCAGACATCCAGAATCCAAATCTCGGGACCGCCAATGTGTGCGGGGTGAGATATGACAAGGTATACATTCAATGAGGGGTATCGAGTTGACTCAAGAGAAGTTTTGGAGAAAGGGGTAAGTAGTGGGAGAGAATAGGGTAGAGGGAGGGAAATAGAGGGGGAGGGGGAGGGGGAGGGGGAGAGAGTCGCCAGTACCGCGGTAACGACCGATTACGAAGAACTGGATGCGCCGTTCTGCTCATTCTGATTCAAAACGGAATTTTGGGCAAGGTTCCGGACCGCCTGCGGTGCCACCACCTCATCGAGACTGTTTCTCCGACCCCAGTTCTGCGGCTGGCGGCGGATGAAAGCGCCCACGGCACCGAGGTAGCCCTCATGGCGTAGGAAATATGCTTGCTTCTCGCCCTTAGACCAGAAGCGGATGGCGTAGGAGAGGGTGTTCATTGTCTGGCGGTGGCCGCGGATGAAGGAGCCGCCGAAGTAAATGTGTTTGACTTCGTGCTTTTCTGATTGGAGGTAGGCGATTTGGCCAATGTTGTTACTGGGAATTGTTAGCCGGGGCATTCGAAGTATAGACACAGGCGATTACTGTTTGGTAGACATACCTTATAGCATAGAGGAGGCTTCGGCTCATATCCTCGTGCTGGAAATTGACTCCCCCATTGCCGTTCGCGTGTTCCGAGTCGTCGTGGTACAGGCCCTCGCCATCCTCGGCGCCTTGCTCGGCGGCGTTCTTCAACCGAAAGACCTTCCCAAAGGTGCTGGCGATGGCGGTGCTCTTAAGCCCGATTTTGCTGTAGTCCATGCCGTAGATATCGCCAACCAGCATATCGACTCCACTGTTATCCCCGCGATCCGCCATGGCCAGCATGTCGTCAAAGGTCCTGGCCCCGGTAAGAAGAGACATGATGCCCCAGAAAGTACCACCACCGAGATGTGTGCCGCCCACGCGCTGGAATTTATTCGGACCGGAGACCTTGATCATTGAGACGCCGGATCCGATGTTGACGAGGAGATAGGGGTACACGTTCGGTCGAGCCTCGGCAAATTGCATGGGCTCTGTGTCGGTGTCATTGTAAGTGAATACTTCGTTCGGGATCTCGGTAATAAAGAAATCGAGGCCTAGGAAACTCAATATTAGCCAATTTGCAGCCGGATGGGTGTTGGACAGGGCTCACCGATGATCAAACACTCCATCTCCTCCTCTCGCAGAATATTGACGTCCAGCGCCTCCTTAAGCTTATCATAGAACTTGAACGCCCCCCCCGCCGGTAGCAACGACACATAGGCCATCTTTGGTTGACCCGTTATTCTTCGCATGTTCCTCCTTCAATTGGCGAATAAAATTGATGCAAATGTCAATCCGGTGCGTCTCAAAGTTGATAAAATTAAGGCGGCCGCCATTATCCGCCGCGTCGAGTTCACGGGTGAAATAGACCATTTTAATTAGGGATCCGCCAATCTAGAGGAGTATCCAACACAGTCAGTCTCAATCCCACTTGTAATATCCGTTTTGGCGGGATGGCTCTTTTTTTTTTTCTTTCACTGATCCTCCGCAAATTGCGGGGTGAACGATCGCAGCTGCGGGGCATACAACGACCACAAAGGAGAGACCGAAAAAGTTCATTTCAGCCGGTCGGATCAGCACAGGGGTGTACTCACATCAACGGCGACATGGCTAACGACTCCGGTATGGTGCGGTAGCCGGATGTCCTTGTTCTCATAGTGCACGCCCTCGGCTTCAACGGGGCTACGGGAGCGGAGCTCATCGTCGACGATAAAGGCGCCCTTGACATTGATTTTGACAGCACCGGGGTTGGTAATAGCCTCCTCTAGGCGAGCAGGCCGTTTGCGACGGCCATCGGAATCACGATCGGGAGCCATGGTATGGTACAGAAGAGGTGGGATGGTGAAGGAGTAGCTGGGATAGCTGGGAGGAAGCTAGAGGCCGTGCCCAGGCTTACTGCGTATATTTCCTTCTACCCGGGTGGCCCGTGGACCGGTGGGAGTGGCAGTGGCAGTGACAGTGGGACCCTGACCTGACCATCACCGAGCCGAGGGCCGAGAGTTGAGTATAGTCCAGAGTAGAGGAATAGTAGTGGTGATATTGACTGAAACTAGTAGTATAATTGTAGCAGAAGTAATAGTATATCTGAACAGTCTACTCCGTAGCCTGGAATTAATCACAGCCACGCTGATAATTGGTAGTAGTGGTAGTGGCAGTAGAGTAGTGTGACAACTGGCGAGTTTGGTCTCCGGTGTACACGCTAGACCGCTTTGGGACTCACTGGTTTTCTGCATAAGGAACTATAAACCGCACTCTATTTATTTTTATCGAATTTATTCTGGAAGATAGACGAGGGCTCAAAAGGTAGATTTTTATTAATTCTCATAGTTTCTAGATATAATAGACCGATGATGCACTGTAACCAGCAATAGCAAGAAAGGTATGACTCCATCGAACTACATCTTAGCTTCCAAGGGTTGGGTCAAGATCTAGTAAGTCTGGATATCTTTCTCCTTTTTTTTTCAAATTCTCCCAAATTTCAAGAGTCTTCAATATAAAAAATACTACAGTATCTAGCAGTAGAGTACTGTATGCCAATATATATCTAGAAACTATTACTAGTACTACTATAGGACTGTATTTGCCAACACGTGCTCATGAGGAAGGTGCGTACCCGGTTCTCCCACTGGCAGGTGCGATGGCCATCCGCGTTTGTTGCTTTGTTGCCTTCACCTTCGTTCCTTTCCTTCTTCTATTCCCTCTCCTTACTCTTAACCTGGTTCTTTCTTTCTTCACTTCATCCCTGATTCCCACATACAGCTGACTATGACTTCCATCATGGACGACTACGCTCACGTTCCCGGTGCTCTGGACGATGTCTCGAACGCCCACAATTCTGACGCTTATCGAGGTCCTGGTGAGGAGCCAGAAACTGTCACTCAGCTCAAGCCCCCTCTGGGATCTGAGTATCGACATGAGGAGGTTCGCAAACAAGGCTGGACAGATCGTGTGGCCATCAAATATGACGAAGTCGCCCGCAAAGACGACTATGAATGGGCTGGAGGTGCCAGTCGATACGAATGGTGTGGTGAAGAGGGCGATATTGGCCCTCGGAATGAAGAACTTGAAGAGCAGCTTTTCAAAAATATCAACCTCGCTCGTGTGGGTCACCGCATCAAAGAGTCAGTCCCTTTGATCCCTCAGTTTCTGTACTCGCTAACCATAATTTCTAATCAGGTACGAAAAGATCACTGTCATGTTCGAGAGTGAAGAGCGGATTTACCCTACCGCATCGGTAAGTGCTGTTGAGACCCTTGAGTACTTATATCCACCTTACTGACCATGTATATCCAGTGGGAGGCTGCGAAGATTCACCCTGTCCTGGTTGAGAATCTGGAGCTCTGCCTTTATCGGCACCCCACTCCGATCCAATGCTACGTTATTCCCTCGGTCCTTAGTGGGAAAGATATCATCGGCATTGCGCAAACTGGTTGGTAGACAATTCTCAACTCCCATTGGTATACAGCTAACTTGTCTAGGCTCTGGAAAAACCGGCGCCTTTCTCATTCCCATTCTCTCACAGTTGATGGGAAAAGCGAAGAAGCTGGCGGCTTCCCGACCGAACGTTACGGATCCCAATTTCGATCTCAAGACACAGGGAGTTTGTGCCGAGCCCCTGGTCTTGATTGTGTGCCCGACCCGTGAGCTAGCCACTCAGATTTTTGACGAGGCTCGTCGATTGTGTTATCGCTCCATGCTGCGCCCCTGTGTTGTCTATGGTGGCGCTCCGACCAAGTATCAACGAGATGAGCTCCGAAAAGGATGCGACATCTTGATCGGTACAACTGGCCGAATCACAGATTTCATGTCTCAGCCCAATGTCCTATCCCTCCGTCGAGTCCGGTAAGTCTCTCACGCCACTCATGTCTTGTAAGATGCAAATACTGACTACTCTAAAGATACACTGTGATCGACGAGGCAGATGAGATGCTCCAATCGGACTGGGAAGATGAATTCAAGAAGATTATGTCGGGCGGCGGTCAGTGCTTTTAATTTCGCCTTTAACTACTATCGCTGACCCTAAACAGATGTCAACGAAGATGAAGACCATCGCTACCTGATGTTCTCGGCGACCTTCAACAAGGAATGCCGAAAGCTCGCTCGCGAGTATCTGTCGACCGACCACATTCGTATTCGAGTTGGTCGTCCCGGAAGCTCGCACCTTAATGTGTCCCAGATCGTAAGTAGTTTGACTTTGACAACCTTGCCTTCATTTGACCTCGTTGACCCTCTAGGTCCATTTTGTGGAGGACCGAGCAAAGAAGCGGGCCGTCTTTGACTTGCTTCTAAGCATGGTTCCCATTCGCACTTTGATCTTTGCGAACAGCAAGACCACCGTCGACTACTTGGATGACTACCTTTACAACTCAGGCCTGCCAACTACCTCGATCCATTCGGATCGGACCCAGCGTGAGCGTGAGGATGCAATGTGAGTACTCTAACTTGATTTTCTTTCTCATATCTTACACATCTCACTCTCTGACTCTCTCGCGATAGCCGCTCCTTCAAAATTGCCGAATGCCCTATCTTGATTGCTACCGGTGTGACTGCTCGCGGCCTTGACATCGCAAATGTGATGCATGTCATCAACTATGATCTTCCAAGCACTGCTCATGGCGGTATTACTGAATATGTTCACCGAATCGGTAAGTTCCATCTCTCACGTGGTGGTGCCTGGAGATAATATATCTGTGTCACGAGTAATGCTGACCCTCGACAGGACGGACTGCGCGCATTGGAAACGAGGGCATTGCAACCTCTTTCTACAACGAACGAAATGAGGATCTCGGACCCGACCTTGTCAAAATTCTCATGGAGTGCAAGCAGACTGTTCCCGACTTCTTGGAGCATTTCACTCCGTCCGAGGGAAAGCTCACCTTTGACGATGATGAGACCGACAACGAGGACAACAAGGAGAACAACAACGAGGAAAACAACGAGAATGGGGAAGTCGGCCAGGAGGAGGAAGGTGATAACAATGCCGCTACCACTGAGGATGCCACTTATGCCGAATATGCCCCTTGGGCTCCCCCCCGAGGAGGCTCCTGAGAATACCGCCTGGTAATTTATCCTGGCACGAACAGTGATTTCGAAACCAATTTGATTTCTGTTATTGTGTCCTTTCATTTGAGTCTGGCGATATTTCTCGGTGGGAAAAAAAAATTTCAGAAGCCAAATTTGGTTTCTATTCGGTTTATCTTTTTTCTTTTTTTTTCAGGTTCGGTTTTCCACATCTGATTCTTGATTTCTCCTCTTCCATTTTTATGCTGGCTAGGTGGTTATGGTCATACGGGAGAGACAACTGCAAGACCCGAGGGCACGTTTCTGATTTGTGCACTCTTTGACTACGTGTCACTCTGTATGGTGGTCTTTGTTCCATGGCAGAACTAGAAGGGAGTACTTTGATGATCGACCTAAGTGTTGTGGGCATTTATTCCTTCTATCTAATCCACCCCAGTTAGCAACAGAATCAGATTTCTTATTTCTACTTCAATAATTCCATAATCGTAGGCATCCTGAATACTGTACATGCTTGTATTTTAGAGTCCGGGTTGAAGGTGATTGAGTTGAACCGATGCCACCTTCCTCGTTGACTCTCTCTACTAGTCTAGTATCTCCCTCTTCCCAACCATCCACACTTCATCGTTTACCACATCCACTTCTCTTTTTCAGGTTCCTTTCTGAACACCATACTCATTTGGAAAATCTTTATTCAATCATTGAAGCAGCATCATGATACCCGTCTACTTTTTACCATTCCTACCAGCAGCACTAGGCTATGTCAGCCAGTCATTCCGACCCGAGCCCCAGCTCGAACTACGAGACGTTGAGCAAACGACTCCATCTCTGGTGATCGACACCTTCCAAGACCCCATTCACAATGACCTAGGCTTTTGGCACGGTCATGGTGAGAATCTTACTATACATCACGAACCGGGCTCTATATCCTTCTTCCCGATTGATCCCGACCAGAACTATCATACCCAATTCGAGACCCGCGGCTGCTTTAGCCTTCTACCATGGCAAGACCAGTTTTTACATGTTGTATTCGATGGGAGCGATCAGTTCACTGTTTCGTTGAATGAACACAATATCGAGTGTTCCGCCGCTCGTGCCCCGTTTCCCGGTGTACCAGACAGTGTCCAGACATCCCGCTATGTCATGAGAACTGGATCAGATTCCTCGGATGATGATGAATATGGTGATGCAAAAGATTCTCTCGGGCTTCCTTTGACCAGACCCGTCTCCCAACGACGTTCCCATCCCTCTTCGCCTGACCCGCCCGGAGACAAGGGTGGCCATGGCCCAGCTTCTCCTCCAAAAACAGAGCTATACATCCCCCTGTCCCATTTCCGTATCGATAAGAGAAGGGTTGTCTCTGTGTCCTTCACAGGCTTCTATACCAACGAAACGGTCACCCTCCACCGCGTCGAAATTGTGCCTTCGGTTCCGCCTCCGTCCCCGCGAACAATTACTTCACAGTTCCTCGGAAACTACAGACTGGCCAGTTGGTTCTGCGCTGCAGTGTGCCCAACTCTTTTGCCTTTGGAATTGACGATGGTCAGCCACAGTTTGCGCAGGAGGTCATGAGAATTTTGGACGAGGAAGATGTTCGAGTCACATTCTTTGTCGTTGGTGCTGGACTACAAGATTCGACGACCAACTTCACCCGCTTTTACAAGGAGATGATGAAGAAGGGACATCAAGTTGCCTTGCACTCTAATACCCATCCGAAGTAAGTTATCTCATCTACGACGAATTTTATATCTGAAATATCAACGAGAATACTAACAATGACACCAAGAATGGAAGCCCTCCCGACAATGGAATTGATCGATGAGGAGATCAACAACACCATCCGAGTCTTCAAAGAAAGACTGGATCTATCCTGTGAGTCAATCTAGGTCCTATCCGCGCTCATTTCCGCGCATTTATTTGTCTAACACCGCCCAGCCCGCTACTTCAGACCCCCCTTCGGAACAGTCGGCGCCCGCATGCGCCAACAATTAGCCAAACGCATCGAACAGCCCTTCATCGTTAACTGGAGCGTGGACGTGGAAGACTGGCTATGGGCCAACACGACCACGCCGGAAAAACAGCTTGACGCTTTCTACCGGAGTGTGGCCCGGGGTGGAAATCTTGCCGTGATGCACTTCCTCAATCCGTCGACTGTTAGGTACCTTCGCCACTTTATCCAGCATGTCAAGGCTCTTGGATATAATATCATGCGTATTGACCAGTGCTTGGCGGATCCTTTTAGCCCGGCGCTTTGAGAGCGGGTTTCTTCGGTTGGTGTTGGCGTTCGAGTTTGAGTGGTCACAGTTGGAGTTGGTGTTGGAGCTAGTGGTATATCCTTATCCTACACGACGTTCTTCGTATGGCTCTCTACCTAAGCAATCCGGTTTTTTTTGTCTTCTGCAATTCAAGTATTGAGGGCTTACTGCAGATTTCTGCATTTCGCATGCTGTACTCTGATCAAGTATTGGTACTTACCAGGCCTAGTAAATTACAATCTCTCTGCTATCTATTCCTACTAGTAGTCTACCCGTGTCTTTACATGACAACTTGAAGTACTGACTAGTACCTGCAAATTGAGTCATTTCCCATAATACCTATACTTGTGCCGGCCGAGGGCTTCTTTTCTTTCCAAAGCCCAACGACCAAGGCAAAGTTGCCCAGTCCAGCCCAGCCCAGCCCACAATTTAGTAGACGTGGCATTTCCCTCGCTCGCAGAGTGCGCATTTATGCCGCCCCACAAAGTAATGCCACCATAGTGCACTGCACAAAAAGGCAAGATGCCGTCCTTTCCACGAAGACTCTTATTCACGCATAACTACCGCATCATAACTGGCCGGAAGGGGCTAGGTGGGTCAAGTCGTGCATATTAGCTTGTCGCTGTAACACTAGTATCCCCGTCACGCGAATCATATGCCCATCCCGTCTGCCACTGAGACAATGTCCCACCCTGATCGACATGGAGACGTATGTGCCAACCCAGGGAGAAGTTGGAGCTGCGAGGGCCCAGAGCGAAGCCAGATATGTATGTTTGATCCGGATGCCATCATAGGAAGGACTTTTATTTACTCGGAGAATTGTCGGGGTCGGAATTATTGGGTGCGGGGATTTTCGTCCTGGTGGTTGCATGGTATCCACGACTGAATCGACCAATCTGGTTTGACAGTTGCGGGATAAGAGTCTGACACTTCCTGCAAGGTGGACGGGATTAGTTTAAGCCCGGATACTAGTGGCCGGCTGCATAAGTACCTAAGTACTAGTAAAGGATACGAGCTGCGCTAGGCTTCCAAGATTTATGTTTATGCCGTGCAGATTGTGGGGAGGTCTGAGGGCATTGGCCTTTCCCGCGGTCCTTATGCGGTAGCTTTGTGCGATTTAAGTGATCGAGGTGTTGTCTGATGCCAGGGATCCATGGAAGAGAGGGGTAGGACGGCCTGGAGCTTGGAAATTATGGTATTTATATCGGGGATGGAGCGGCCGTTCAGGGCTTTCTTTTCTCTTGGGAGAGATCACAGAGGAACAAGCTTTGGATACTCCAAGGTTTCTGCTCAGGATCATGGCTGTTATTCCCAGATTCGCCGTTTTCGATGGGGATGGTTTCTTGGGAGGTACATCTTTGATGTGGGCTTTGTTAGGAATAGGACTCGCTCTGGTAAGTTCAAGTCCTGGATATCAAGTTGACTCAAAGTTGATGCATGATCAAAACTTTCTACTCTCCCAAAATATATCAACTTGAATCTGAACACAGAACATCGATAACTAAATGTTTCTTACACTCACCAGGTCCCAACCTACTACTTCTTCCTCATAATCTACAATATCTACTTCCACCCGCTGGCAAACTACCCCGGCCCCAAATCCATGGCCGCAACCCGAATCCCCTACATGCGCAACACAATAAGCGGCCAATACGCCCAACGATTAAAAAAACTTCACAACCAATACGGCGAGGTCGTCCGTGTCGCCCCAGACGAGCTCTCCTTCATCGACAGCGACGCATGGAAAACAATGTACGGCACCCGCACCGGCCACGGCCAAAAGCAAAAAGACTACCGATTCTACCCACCAACCGTCTCAAACGGAGCCAGTATAATCCAATCCAACGACCAAGACCACTCGCGCTTCCGCCGCCTCCTCTCCCACGCATTCTCAGACAGCTCACTGCGCAGCCAAGAACCCATCATAAAAGGCTACATCGATCTGCTCATCCAGCGTCTGCGCGAGAACTCAACACCGGAAGCAGAAAATGCCCAGGCTGGCCAGAGCAAGACTAAGCCGCTGAATCTAGTAGCCTGGTACAATTTCGCAACCTTCGATATAATCGGCGACCTAGCCTTCGGCGAACCATTCGACTGCCTAAAGAACTCCGCCTACCACGTCTGGGTGAAGATAATCTTCTCCAGCGCCAAATTCGGCGCATACGCGAATATCTCGCGGCGACTGCCTGGCTCGAAATATCTCGTCAAACTTATCACGCCGAAGCGCGTCTTCGCGCAGAAGGAGTGGCATAACCAGCTTAGTCGGGAAAAGGTCGTCGGTAGATTGGAGAAGTCCAACGAGCGGCCCGATTTCTTTGCGAATATTCTCAAGCATAGTGGGACGGAGAAGGGGTTTAGTGTTGACGAGATGGTTTCGAATGGGAGTACATTGATTATTGCGGGTTCAGAGACGACGGCTACGCTGCTTTTCGGGGTGACGTATCTGCTGCTGAAGAATCCGCGTGTTTTGGCGAAGTTGCAGGATGAGATTCGGTCTACGTTCAACTCGGATGAGGAGATCAATTTCGATTCTTGCAATAGATTGGAATATTGTCTTGCTGTTTTGACGGAGGCGCTTCGGGTTTATCCGCCTGTTCCGGGTGGTCTTCCGCGTATTGTTGATGCTCAGGGTGATATGATTGAGGGGCATTGGGTTCCTGGAGGGGTGAGTGATTTCCTTGCATTGGGAGAAGAGATGTGCAGCTATCGGAGAAGTGCTCGGCGGGTTGCGATATTTGCTAACTTGCGTTACCATTTATAGACTGTTGTCTCGGTCTCTCACCTCGCTGCATACCACTCTGAAAGAAACTTCAGGGACGCAGAGCAATTCGTTCCTGAGCGCCATCTCGACGATCCTCGTTATGTGAATGACAAACGATCAGTCATGCAGCCATTCAGCTTCGGTCCTCGCAACTGTATCGGACGAAAGTAAGTATCCCAACGTCCCTTTTCAGGCCCAAGCTGACATTCCATTCTTTCCAGCCTTGCGTATGTCGAGATGCGCATTATCCTCGCGCGCATGATATTCAACTTCGATATGGAACTGGACCCAGCGAGCAATGACTGGATGAACCAGGATGCTTTTATCCTGTGGGAGAAGCCAGAGTTGATGGTTAAGCTTACTCCTCGAACCTGATCGCGTTCTATGGTGGTTATAACCGGTTTATCGCAACCATGAATGTGCGGTATTTTTGATTCTGCATTTCGGCTCTCGCATTTGTCAAATTGAACGTGTTGCATAGGCATAAGCATAGTATTTTTCTATCATAAGTCCAATCGGATCTGTTGTTCACAGTTTGTTCTAGTCCAATGTCAATCAAGCTCAAACAAAAACACATATCATGTATCGAATCTTTCCGCCAACGCCCGTCCAAATAGGAGGTTTATCCATCGTTCATAGGGATCCAGGCACCAGCCAACGTAATAGAAAGAAAATGAGAAGAGAGAAGAGAAAAGAGAAGAGAAAAAGAAAGAAGCGGCCATACACGATGCGAAAAATGTGATGTTGGTGTTGGTGATGTCCTGTCCTGTCACGTGTACTCATACAGTCTCCTCGATCCAAGCCCACAGGCGCAAAACAAACGATAATCATGGCGGATTTTCATAAAAATTAAAGCAGGTATGCTGACACAAACAAGTCAAGTTGGATGGGAAGGTCTTAACTGAGACTTCCAAATTCGGGAGCGCGGCAGACACCACTCTTATCCATCATTTCGCGGATACGGCTGGTCATGAATCCCGACGTCGAGTCTCCGCTAGGCGACGAGTTACCCAGCCGCGGGCGACTGCTTGTGTAGCACTCCCCACCGCGCCAGGCGTATTGCACACATGTCTTTTCGACCTCGCAGATCTCACGACAGTCTTCGAATGTTTTGGCGAAGGGCTGGTCTTCGTTTGAGAGGTTGTCCCAGCTCGATCTTGTTGTTAACGAGGCGATATCGGGGTAGATGTATTCACGGAAGACGTCGCTGTGAAGGAGCAGGCGCTTGTTTTTTCTATTCGGGATGACGCATTAGTACATTGTAAAATGGAGCGGGATAAGATAGCTCGGGGTGTACTCACATCGTGCCAGCGCCTTTGCTCGAATTTCCAAAGATGATCGATCTCGCGAGAGCTGAGATGGTGAAAGGCAACAGCCAGATAACACCAAGGAAGACGGTACAACTCGTTCGTGAACTCGTCCAGCTCACCGATATTCGAGTTCTGCAGAATCGGCCACGTAAAGTGTAAATTGACGCCCGCGTCTGCGAGGACCTTGCCCAAAACGCAGTCGCCTGCCCAGTGCTTGTCAACGTAGTTATCTAGCTCTGCGCGGCGCGCAGTGTACTGATCCGACGCATCTTGCAGTGCGGGGTTCGACACCATGAAGCCAGAACCACCGTGGGCGAAGATGACGTCCGCAATCTGCGTCTCGGTGCCCAAGTACCAGGGCTTCTTCGCATCGAACTTGGCCAGCCAGGCTAGCAGGGTCGGCCACGAGACATAGGTGTCCGCTTCCATGAAGACGTACCACTTCGCATCGGGCTTGTGCTTGAGCGCCTCCTGCGCCATTGGCAGGAACTTCCATTTATCCAGTTTCCACCCTGGGTTGTTGGGCTTCCCGATGGCGGAGTTGGCTTCGTCGGCGAAATCGTCCTGGGCCAGGCCATTGCGCCCGTTCTCCGCGATGCGATTGTAGATGTTGAAGTCGGCGACGCGCTCCTTGACGTCCGGGTCGATGTGGCGCAGAACGTCGTGGATCTTGACGCCCTCGATCTCCTCGTCGAAGTCGGAGTAGATGACGAAGTTGGGGATGCAGCGCAGAGTCGTTTTGAAGTGGATGGGCACCTTCTCTTTCGACTCGGTGACGCCGGTTTTCATGACGACCAGGACATCCTCAATTCCTGGTAAGGACGGGCAGAATGGGGCGGGTTCACCGGCATGATCAGGGTCGACGGTGCCGGCACTCGAGGACGATGACGAGGATGGGGCGAGGGAGGAGTGGAGGGAGCAGATGTGGTAGAGGAAGAAGAGGGCGGCCGCAGCGACGAGGGCGGCGAAGCGTCTGCTGAAGCGGCGACGAGGGACCATTTTCATAACGAATCAGTCGCCGGGCCTGGAGGTCATCGTGAGAAGAGACAGGTCACAGGTTCACAGGTCTCCTGCAGGACGGCCAGGGATGAGGGGATCGACAAGGCCGCGTTGCTGGATGGCCACGGTGGCTGTGACGCGTCGCTAGGCTTCTACTTAACATTCTAATTGGCACTACAGTCTGCGCAGTCTCGCAGTCTACGCAGCAGACCTTTAGTATTCTGTAATATATTTTATAGTATACTATTATATTATTTTATTTTATGCCACTGTAGTACTGTATTACAATTGAAAACCATTCCTTTCAAGTTCAACTGCACTTTCAAGTTAAACTGACGATCGCCAGCCACACGGGAAGTCTACCGCAATTTGAACTCGGCATATCCACCCCTGATTGCATCGGAATGTGGTCATTCAATGGGAATGCCCGGAAGGTGATATTATAATTACGGAGTTGGTTAATTTGAATTTGAATTAGCAGGCTCGGTCTGATTGATCATTTTGAATTTAATTGAACAATGATTGTTGTGGGTAGTATGATACCCATGATAGTATTATACGAACATCTACTAACTAGTAAGTTACTCTGCACAATTCAAGAGTTATCTTGCAATCCCAGCACGAGTGGAAAATAAATGTTTAGTTCATGATTTTTTCACTAGCTCTCTTGAATTGAACAAAGATATAGATACCCCTTCCATTCCCATCGACAGCGCAATCTCATCCATCCAGTCTTTCGTGGGGGGGTTGCGATGTTTCCGGCATAAATTTTGATTCAATCTTCAGCCTCAGTCCATCCGGAGGCCGTAATGTAATAGTGGAAGACAAGGGAAAATCTTTGCCACCACGGCCATCGGATATCGGGCGGTTTTCCACTCGGGTCGACCCCATTATATCACGAATTTCAAGTTCTGCGGCAGACTGCTGCGATGGATTCAACAGTATAACCAGATAATTAAGCAGCAAAAGACTAGACTGTACGCCCCGGATAGTCAAATTAGCAAACTTATCAAAGAAAACCCGTGGGACCGGCCCGACAAATTCGTCATATGATTCATAGCCCGCTCGCACGCTCGACGCCGCTATTTTGAATTCAGTATAGATACCATTCATAGCCGCACGCGTGGCGAGTACTATACGAAACAGCGCCGATCTCTCGCGGTCCTGCGCATCCACTGGCAACCCATCGAGCTCACGAATCCGCTTCACGAAGCCCGGGAGTTTAACGACTTCTCGGAAAGCACGCTCCGCGATGTCTTCCAGGACCGACGAGTTAGGGTTCCTAGCATTCCTGGTAGCTAGATCCTTGTTCAGTTTCTGCCATCCTGGTTCTTCTAGAAAGCACGCTTCGCCGCAGACTAGGGCGGCTGTCACAAGGGTATTCCGACAGGCCATGTATAGATTGCACCCAAATCCGTCTGCGTGGAGGCGAGGGCCTCGGAGCTGCATTAATGTGCGAAGTCCCCGCGCATGATGTTTCCACCCCTCCAGAGATGTGTAGGCGTGCATTTCGAAAACACCCAGGATGATGACGGTTGAGAGGGCCTCGTCCGATTCGGCCTTTTGTGGGTCACTCAGTAGTCTTGATAGGTTTCGGAGGGAACGGAAGTAATACATCCGTCCTTCGTCTAAATATCGGGTGTCGTTGTGAAGACTGCCGAGATAGGTTGTGGTCATGCATCGCACGGCCCAGTCGAAGCATGAGCTGTTTGAAGTGGGTCGCTGGGTGATATAGTCAATCCAGGTCATCGGAACGCGGGGTTCCATGATTTTGAAGTAGCAAGGGAAGGAGGCCATCACGAAGCTGTGCGCCAGCTGAGGCTGCTGGATAGCAACGGCTTTGCCTACTAGTGACGGAGACAGACATTCGTCAACAGATGTAGAGAGCTCTGTACATGTTGAGAGAGAAAGGTCAGACTCGGAGGATGCGGGGTGGTCACTATAGGCGACGCTCGACGGGGTTGAAGTCGTAGAACTCTGCGCCTTGCTATGACAGGTTCCAACTTGTTGGCATCGTAGGCGGCTAGTCTCCCGCCGTTTTCCGGTCTAAAGGCAGATGTAATGTTATTAAAAGTTCATGATATTCATAATTCACAGATTGAACTTCATCAAATGGGGTTATGGAATGGATCTACATGGAGAAGAAAAACCCACCTGGCATGACCTCTGAGCACAGGCACGGTGCTGGCAATATTCAATTTGCATCTCATGTATCACAGGAGGTCTGATCAGGTCACAGCTTCCTAATATGCTCCCTAGATCTGGGCTTTCCCCAAGAGTAGTGCAAGTTTTCAGTTTGAACAAATGGGGGCCGAAAATCCGTTAATCTTGCGCCGAGAGGCTGAGGACTGCGTCCCCACGATGACATTCACAATTCGTGGTAGATAGCATGGAAGACAGGACTGTTGTTGGGAGGTGAAAGGTGGATCGCACGTTTGAAATGTCGATGAGGCTCAGCTGACATTAAGATTCCGGGCTCCCCACCAGTCGACGGTTTGAACAAAGAGTTGTCTAATACGAGAGCGGGAGGGGAAAGCTCGGCGAAAATCAAAAACGAACCTCAAAATGATTTAGGATCGACCCGTTTATATCCCGATTGGCTTAGTTTCGCCCAGACTTTTGTTTTTAATTAGATCAAATGATGCTTAATCCAAATAAAATACTGCTGTCGGTAAATCTAGTTGTAGCCTAGCGCTAGCCAGTGAGTTGCTTCCACAGAACCTCGTATCTAAATGTTGCATACTAGTATGACGATTTGGTAGTGCGCGACATTGTCACTTCGTACATACAATTTTCATCACTCAGTGCCCAGAAGACCCTTGTTCAACTCGGGAAATTCCACCTGGTTGGGAAACTAGACTGTAGGATAAGCTCTAGATCGTCAGACCAGTTCAATATGATTGGTCTATGTGGTCAGCGTGCTAGGTCGATGCCTCGTGCGGGCTGAACCTTTCTATTTTTAGAGTCATGTTATGTCAGGGTAGGAGCATTTGGGAGGAATGGAGGATTGGTGATGGTTTTGACCTAGTAATTTGAAGATGCCCAGGTGGTTCGGGGATCATCTTGACACTATGATCTTGATCATTACCTTAAATGGAAATAAATCGTACTCGACTTCAAGTTCCACCTTGGAAGTTCATACTACTATAAAACCTACTAGCCAGGACTTTAAAACCACTGTACAATTACTATCATCGCAGTATTGCCGCGGGAGAACATCATGGTCAGCGTAGCTAGTACCAGCACATCAAAGAAGCCGAAAAGCAAGCAAGAATGCTTAGTAGAGTTATTGAGCTTCCCAATGTTGTTGCGGCACCAGTTTGAGTCGGATCTCCAGAAACTCCATTTGAAGTAGTAGCAGATGCTCCATTGGCAGCTCCGGTAGGCGGATACGCCCCAAAACAGCCGCCAGTTCCCGTAGCTTCAGTATTTCCACCTGAACTACTTGTACACATTGATCGTCGCGGATCCACACACTCAGTAAGATACCGTTCATAATCAATGAGATCCATAGAGCTCATAGGAACGATCTTGTTATTCATATAAACGTCGCATCTTGATGTGGTCACTTCTTGTCCGCCCAAGTTCGTGCTTATGGTTGACACATAGGTCGATACGAATGTGGCTATGCTCGATTCCGTCGCCTGTGCTTTCAAAAATTTAGGAAGCGAGACACTAGCCGAATCTGTATATGTGAATTCGGTCTTGGTGCATGATGCAGGGTTGCTTAATGTGACGGGCAGATAATAATGTGTCGTCACGGATGGGCTCTCGGTTTGAACGGGTGGGGCCCACTCGAGGAAACCCGAGATGGGAAGGTTGGTAATATTTGGCAAAACGAGATATTCCGTAGTGACATTGATCCGGTAGTAACCACCGTCATCTCTGGTAAGATAATGGGTAGAGTACGCCGTGGAGGTGGAGGTCGGCGAGACTGTCAATGGAGCGGTTGTCACCACTGGCGAGACGGTGGTTTTTTTGGTCACCCATCCCCAGGCATCTCTAATTTCCTCTGTAGCGTAGTATTGGACAAGCCATGCGGTTGAGGGCTGAGCTACTGCAAGCAAGAGCAGAGTTCTGGGGAAGCGCATGATAGGTACTAGCCTGAACTTCGAAGAAGATTCATAGGGAATATAGCATGGGTGGGCATCCTTTACTAATAAGTACAATGAGGGAAAACATGGTAAATTTTACAACTTTGTAATGCAGCCAGCTATCATTCTCTGGACAAGTTGCCAAGAATTTTAGACTGTGGTTGAAATGATCTATACGAGGTAGAGACACGAGGTTTTCTTGGCACGCTTTCCAATTCGCTATGCACGCCTGGTGTCGAGAAGACGGAGATTATCCGTTTTGAAAACGGGGAAACTTGATCGAATGGAAAAAGAAGATGAAATTGGCATAAGACGCGCAATGAAAATGCAACCCTATTTTCCGGTCCCTTGCAGATAAGCCTATGTTTTTAAACACGGTCCCTTAGGACCAAAGGGACTCGTGCACTGCATACACACCAAATGCCTACGTGTTTTCAATAACAAGCGTTTCAGTATTCTCTGTTGCTTCAGAATGAGGCTTCACGATGCCCGATTCAATGGCAACACGGTCTAAGCTCCCTCTGATCTAGGCCGCTACCATCTTTGCAGACACTAAGGCATTCCGTGGGCATGGAATCAAATGCTTGAGCTAGCATCAATTCGATTAAGACTACAGAGAAAGTTTAATTGGCATCAGCTCAGAAGCTAGGTAATATTTCAAGTTATCAAAAGTACCTGAGTGTATAGGTATTATGAACGTAACGTATCTGAGGAAATGGCGTGCGGGGTGGATCATGATGTACGATCCAGCTAGTACTCTCCCCGCATCGTTCAAGCAGCGGGATGATTGATGAACTGGCATATTTGGAGGGAAAGGGGGGGTTTGAAAAGAGACAAAATAGTACCAGTTACTCGTAGAATGAGGTAGTAGGCCAATTTATCGTTTCAATTTGAAATCTTATTGAATACTAATAATTGCTGTGAAACATTTAAATGTGCTATTTGACAACTTGAGCTCATTGCAAGGCCGGTAGACACACACTTAAATAAGCTCAAGCTTGAGCTTACGAATGATTGAAAAGATTCAAATGAGCAATTGCAGCACTTGCACCTATAGCGCAAAAAATGCTGCAGCCAGGGCAGCACCTCCAAGCGCAAGCCCCTCAGCCGTCGCAACAGGCCCGGCCATGTTCGTAGAAGTCTCCGATTCATTGTCCGCAGCAGTAGCCTTAGCTTCAGTCTCGGTTCCAGTTCCAGTTATAGTAGTCATCGTTGTCGCATCGCTGTCTGAAGACTTCGTGGTTCCTGTCACCGACGCAGACGCCGCCGAAACAAGACTAGAGTAGTCCTTGGTGGTGAAAGCAATCTTGGTCTGGCAGGATGCACCGAACTTCGTCGTGGTAGGAAGATCACGGGTAGTGCCGGTACAGAATGGGAAGCAGTCGGATTGGGTATCTTCGAGGTAGTTGTTGGCAAGCGAAAAACTGTGGACGCAGCAGTAGGGATCGTTGGATTCGAGAGTCAGGCTTCCATAACAGCATCTCTGAGTGTCTTTGTACTGGATATTAGTCCAGTCACTAGGACATGAGTTACCATTTAGGCCGCCATTCTTTCCAGTTGGTAAGTATGGTTTCACAAAGAACCTTGGAACAGACAGGGGGGTAGACGCACAATGGTCTCTGCGGAAACAACGGCAGAAAGAGCCACAAGAGCTGAGAGGGCAATGTTTTGAAGGATGTAGTACATTTTTGATAAATTTGAGATGAGTTATCTGGTTTGTAAAAAAAAAGAATCGAAGATTTCCAAGTTGCTTTTATATTTGAGCCACAATCTAGCGATCATCCAGGGTATACCTTTTCAAGGAAATGCAAGAACGACATCACCGTCATCTGAAGGTTGGGACTAATTTCTTCACCTCGCCACGCCAGATATCAAGAATTTTGTCTTCGGAAGCCGTCTAACCAATAGATGAAGTTGAGAACTATGAAATCGGGATTCTGAATGTGATGTTCGATCCACTGCACAACAGCCGCATTATCATTTTGGGAGATCGAATGCGAGTGTGCTAGTCTGTCAGACAGCATCATCCAATAATATCGGCGAATGAGAAGCTTGGACCCTGTAGATCTTGATTCATGGGGATTGTGTCTCCACTCGAGTCATTTGGGCGAACGAGTGCGAGCTGTGGGGACCAGGGCTGAGACTAAACCCAAAAGTCTTCAGGGTACATCTCAAGGGGGTTCGGCAAATTTATCCGAAAATACTATCCGCGTACAGAGTGCAGAATCTGAGAAAGAATTACGCCCCTGGGAGCTTTCTTGGCATAGTGTTTAGCTGTGCGATCGTGGTTCAGGACCAATTTCCATTTTGAGATTTTTGGACCCCAATTGATCAGCAGGGTATCAAAGCTGCGGATAATCACAAAAACAAGTGTACATCAGATGACCACCCTCCTGGTATCTCTATCCGCCGCTCAATCATATGCCAAAACTCCCCAGCAAAATGATCGGAGGGTTCATATATCCATAAACCCCAGTCTTCTGGCGAAGGCCCATGTGAGAATCCTATTAGTCGCACTAAATCAAAACGGCCGGGATGGGAACTAGTATAGTAGTCAATCGGTCCACCTGATTCCTTGAACAGCCGATGTTGTGCCTTTCCAAAGCTCCTCAAGTTTACTCCGCTAGCTTGGAGGTCTTTCAACCAACATCTCAGGCTAGAATTATGTTTTGCAATGGCCTTGGCTGTAGGACCATAGGCAAAAACCCCATCACAAAATGAACCAAACAACGTAGATCCATTATCATCGACATGGTTCACATCGAGGCCGCCGACTAGAAATTCATGAAAGAGCCGGAACATTGAGTTATAATAAGTCTGGTCATCTGCATGCCGATAGACTTGGTATTCTCCAAGCCTTTTAGAGACCTTATTTGGCAAATTGAGGATCTCGTAGCTTGCGAGAAATTCAGAGTATGAATCAAATTCCGAAGGACATTTTGTGAATACAATGCCACGGAAAATGAGGCGCAAGACTTCAGGGAGACTTGAGAAATCATACATCACCCAAAAGGACAGGTCCTGTTGAACAACCACATAGTAACCAGGATGAGGAAATTGGGGAACTGACTCGTATTTCCAGCGGTGTGGTAATTTCAAAAAGACACGAGAAGAAAGGTAACACCAGGCAACCTTGTTGCGTCTCTGTTGAGGAACTTTGTAAAATGATGGAAAAAGGGTTTCGACCAGGAAAGCAAAGTCCTTGGCAGAGTCGTGGAAGTCATATAATGAGTCCCAAAAAAGTTCTTCCTCGTCATCAAAGGCTTCATTTGTGTATTTGAGAAGCAAACGGAGCACTGGAGTAAGGCTCAATCTCACACCAAAGACGAAAATGATGCCTAAAATCATTACTCTCCACCCTTGATGGTTGTAAAGACTCAGTTCTGCGCCTTGGTCCAAAAGTAATGTAGCCGATTCAACCCCACGCGTGTGTATAGCAAGCTTTGGTTGGTCTTGAGATAATGTTTTCTTATTGAAAGATAGTTTGGGCATTCCACTAACCTCGAGTAATGTTCTTCCATCTTCAATTCGGTCAATAGGTGAAATTTCCCCAGATGAGATGAATCGCTGTAGGCCTTTAACGTCATTATACTTCGCACACGATACAACTTCGGAGACAGATGGGTGTATCCTGTAAGACTTCACATTCCATTGCCAGCCAGTGCGAGACCTCGCACCCGCGACTTCCAAGCATTTTGAGGTTAGCCAAGAGGGCAGCGCAAGCCGCCACAAATAGTCATTCTTATATGATTGTCGAGTAATACTTCTAGATGAAGACGATTGCGAGCAAGCACAAGCATTAGAGTTTTCTTATAATCATCGAATCAGTATTGCCATTTGAAACTTTGAAATCATTTAAAGGGTCTGAAGCCACACCATCTTTGTTCTGAGGTGTCTGAAGATCAATATCATGCCTTTCATTCAAGAGCTTCTCCGCAAACATTTCAGGTTGTACCTGAATGAGAGCCCTACTAATTTCAGCCCAATTCAATAGTCGAAGCCATTCTCGCAAACCTTGTATAGCATTGTTGGGATAAGGAAAGTAACCGGGTTGCACTCGTCAGCCTTGTTCGATATCTCTCAAAATTGCCCTTTTTTATCACCACCCTCAACGAGGCATATGACCTTTTGAACCCCTTTGCCGACCGCATTTCAGCCATCAGACCTTCTGAAGCAGTCTCTAAATCAACAGCAGCTTCTCTGCAGAGTTCAAAGCTCTTGAGAGCATGGTTGTTGTTTTTCAGAACGCCAGCGACTGAGTCCTTTGACAAATCCTCCTCAATATCCATCAGAATTAGACCAAAGATATCGATCTCACGGACCAGTCGCTCTAGGTCCTCCGGTGCGTCGCGTATTTGGCCCCAGCAGTCTTTGATTTGTATGGTTGACTTCGTGACCTGCGCGACGACGGTTGCGAAAGTTAATGCGCCAGAAACAACACCGATGACTTCAGCCATCGTGGTCGTGTATAAGCTGAAAGTTGCGAAACTGTGAGTTGAAAGAAATCAGAGATGGACTCGGAGACAGCTGAAAATGGGGGGTCTGAACTCGCTTGGTGGTGCATCAGTAGCCACTCAAGTTGTTGTTTCATTGGGCACCTAGACTGCGCCTCAGCATCACTTAGCGCCAGCCTGACTTAAATGGGGGCGACTCTCAACCTATGCTTCAATTGATTTTCCTTTAAACACCATGATGGGCTGTGGCAGTGTCAGTATGCTTCATTTACTTTCTAGGTTCCAGCGCCTCTGTTAGGATTGATCGATGGCTCAGCCTTGTTTCGGTGCAGATGGCTTCGCTGGCATTTTTAAGTAAGATCTTCACAAACTCCGACGATCGAGAACAAGATTAACTCCATTAATGATTGTACAGCTGACTATGAGGCTGATATGCTTTTCCAGTATGGCTCTATGACCGAATATCCATCCATCCACCCAATAAAACTGCGCCACCATTACTGCGACGGTGCATTTTTCTTCTCGATCATATTCTCATGCAACTTGATCAACTCGGGAATAATGATGCTTTCAATCTCCAGGCCCTCACCACCAATATCTGGCTGAGTCGGTGCTTGTGGTGGTTCGGAACCAGCTTCGCCGCCGCCCTTCATAATCTCCGCCAGACCGACTTGATCCTCGACGCCGGAGATACTCTTACTGCGGCGAGCTTTGGGGACTCGGATCCATCGCTCATGAGGAGGGTCCGGCGTGATGAAGACAACCTCCCACTTGCGCGTTGAGAGAAGGTTACCGATAACGAGGTGGTGTGAGTATCGCTGCAAGGCCGTGCGCGCCTTATAAACCAGCAACGTAGGATCCGTCTCCAGCTTGAACGAAACGACCATACTCCCATCAGGAGCCCACCCATCCACCAGGCGATGCAAGAACTTAGGCACAGGGTCAAGGTTAATAACCAGCTTCTTCTGGCTGGCCGGCTTAGCCTCGTTTTCCCCAGTGTATATCTCATCATCTCCATCAACAGCACTGTCCGCACCACTATCACCAGCAGCACCACCACCCTGGAACTGAGGCGGCAACTCCGACGACTGAATCTTATGCTCAGCCATCCGACTCCTCGGAATAAAAAAGTCGCTCACAGCGGCAGCAAGATAAAACAACGCATTTGGACCAAGCGGCCGCATCAACTTTGCCAACGACCGCAACTCAAACATATACTCCGCAACCGTCGTAAACGGCAACAAAAGGAGTCGATTATTCTGCTTCGCATAACGATACTTCCTCAACACATCGCGCATCTCAGTCTGATACTCGTCGCGCACAACGATAGATCCATGATCCTGATTCGCCGCGCCCGGAACAGGCGGCGCCTCGTCCATAAAGTCTAAGAAGCAATTCGTCGAGTGGCTATAGTGCCGCGAATATGGCAGCAGACTATACTGCCGGTGCAGGAAGATCACCGCGTACCCTTGTTCCAGGAAGTACTCGGCGGATGTGGCGCCGCGGGTTCCGGCGGAGAAATTGTCGATGAAGCGGACTGTTTGCGCTTCGAGGGGGACGGTTGTGCCGCCGGATGTTACGAGCACCACGCGGCGGTTGGCTTCGACGTGAAGGTCGATGAAGGCGCGGGCTAGGGCTTCATGTTTGGGGAGCGCCTTTGGTGGTGGGTATTCGTTGAAGTAGACGGATTCGGCCTCTGCGGGCTCCATGTCGCCGAGGGAGGGGGACATGATGGATGAGGTGGGGGGAGTGGTCGTCGATGATGGAGAGGATGGAAGGATGAGAGAATTGAGAGAGGGTGGAAGGGTTGAGGAGGTTGCGACGTAAGTTTGAGCTCGTTGGGGATTCGAGGATCCGGCCGCTTTGAATCGGCGGGGCAGATATGCAAATCAGATGCCGAGGCCGCGGTTGATCATGGAGGGGTTGCAATGGCGGGTAGTGCTGCGACCGGGGTCAATCAGCGTGGGGCGATTGGCAAGCTTCTCAACAGTTTGGATGGGATCAAATGATGCAGCTTGAGGCTGTAGCAGGTTTGTGATAAAAGACTGACTGGTCTTGTCTATATAGCAAAGCAATGACAGGGGTCGATCGGAAGCTCCGTAGCTCGGTGACTTTTTGCCCCGCTGCTGCCGGTTGTACAGTTTTGTTCTTTGGAACCTGCGGAGATCGGCCAACCTGATTGGGTTTTAGCGCTGCCGCTGGGCCGATGCGGATCCCGTCAAAATGGAAAAAGGGAAAGGCAAGTCTGGAAGAAAAAAGGAGGTGCTCTTTGGCTGAGGGTGATTGTGGGAGTGAAGCGTTATGATTGGACCGGATGCGGGTGGGTCACGTGTAGACTGGTATATACCGAGCAGATTGCAGCACTCACTCGGACAGAAGGATCTATTACATAGTGCTAGTATTTACGGTGTGGTAAATAAGGGAAAGGAGAAACAGGATCCTGGATTGCTATGGTTTACTCCGAAAATAGGAGGAATGGATTGCTAGAACTAGATATACTCGGTAGCTGGTATCCTGCAGATGTGAGAGTGGGTCATGATCTACCCCGTACATTCATTGTATGCATGTGTGCATAAGCCATGAATTGGCATGGGGGTCTACCCGGGGCTACATTTGGGATGGGAGTATCCCATGCCCTAACAACTTGAAGCATGGCTCGCAATGAGTGCCATTTGGAACATATCTAGAAATTTAGCAGGGTCACAGGACCTGAGGACATGACGCTTCAGGTACCTAAGGACCATCCAACGATAGCTTCACTCTCTTACATTCTCTGTTCAGCAGGCGTATCATGCGTTCGCGGCCTGTTGCCTTAACACAACAGCCACTAGTTCATCCAAGCCCGCTTCAACCGCTCTTTCCACCCACTCAGCAAATGGTAAAACCGGCATGTTTGTTATGCCGATTTCATTTCCCAGGAATTCTCCAAAGGTCTCGACTGGCACTGCAGTATCACCGGTCTCGCGTACATAATCCACTGGATTGTCTGCAGAACGGTGAAGATGATCAATTACTGAGCAAACGATGCTTGTGCCACACTTTTCAACGCTAATCAGGTCAAACGCTCCCCGAAAACCGGCCGCCACTAGATCAGGGACAGCTCGGATAACCTGCGACCATCGCCAAATATTGTGCCAGATGTCCCTGTCTCCTACGTCGGCGCCGGTGATCTGGCTAGGTCGATGAATGACCACCTGGAGTCCAAGTGTATGTGCTGCTCGCTCCAAAATTCGCTCACTCGCCCATTTTGCTGCGGTGTAACCGTCAACGCCATCCACAGGGGGCGGAAAGGAAGCAACCGACATCTCGGAGAAGGGCCGAGCTTGAAGAAGGTGACATACGCCTGCTGTCGATATATAGTGGAAATGGGGCGTTCCTCTTGGACCCGGACTGCTGTGGCGAGTCGAAAGAAGGGAAAGTTCTAGCAGTTGCCTGGTACTGTCAACATTACTGCCGCGTAACAACGAGTACGATTTTAGACGAGAAACATCTGCACCATTATGAATGATTGCGGCGACAGATGAGAATATCTGGGATGCTTCTGTCTCACTCAGTCCCAGTCGCGGAAGAGAAAGATCCCCTGAATGAGGGATGATCTTGGTTGAAGACAGGAGATCGGGTGGCAGGGAGCGTCCTGGACGGATGGCAAGGCAGTGAATGTATGCAACCTGGGTGTTTGTGACTAGCTGTCGAAGAAGCTCACGACCAAGGAACCCAGTGCTACCAGTGAGTGCCACGGAGATGGACTCGCTGTCGCAGAGGTGGCCGGGGTCAGCCCTAGGGAGACTCGGATCCAAAGCGGTCTCTTCTTCCCAGTCCACCATCTCCGGATGAGCTGTGCCAGGGGATTCAGGCCGAGATGCCAGGGTTGCCAGGGTATTGTAGCGGAACACGTCAGTCACGGCGAGGAAGAGACCATTTTTGCGCGCAACTCCGGCCAGCTGCATAGCGGTAATGGAGTCGCCGCCCAGGCGGAAGAAATTGTCGTCCGCCCCGATGGCGTTGGAGGGGAGATTGAGAACCTGTGCCCATAGTTGCTGCAGTATCCGTTGCGCCGTCGTGCTGGGCTGGCGCTTAGCCGTGACAAGGTCGCTATAGGTTGCGATCTGCGTTTGTGAAAGAGCCGCTGCCCGCTCGCGGAGCCGCCGTCGGTCAGTCTTGCCCGTAGCCGTCAGCGGAACCGCCACCAGTGGGAGAAAGACTGCTGGCACCATGTATACCGGCACCGCATCGTGGAGGCGCGTCTCAGCGGTAAGGATCGCCGCGCGGAAGACGTCCGTGGGGGTAATTAGGATATCATCCATCCCCTCATCCCTGTTTCTGTCCATCCATACAAATGCTATCAGCATCGGCGGCCGCTCGTCGTCCGCTGGCTTCACCACCTCCGCCACCACATCGCGTGCCCCAGGGAAACACTCTCGCACATGGTGCTCCACATCGCCCAGCTCGATTCGCTGCCCGCGAAGCTTGACCTGCGTGTCCTTTCGCCCTATAAACCGCAGTAGCCCGTCTGCTGTATATTGCACCAGGTCACCCGTTTTATACACCCGATCGCCGCCAGGGTTGCCAGGGTAGGCGGTGCGGATCGTATGTAGCCACGCCGGCGGGTCAATGAATGTCGCAGCCGTCTGTTCTGGGTTGTTGAGGTAGCCCCGACCCACAATCGGGCCCTCAATAAGCAGTTCCCCAATCACGCCGATCGGAAGTAGCTTGTCATGGTTCGTCTGGTCAACAACCCAACTAACACACCCGGTACCTCGTCCGATATTGCATGGATCATTGCCCTTTCGAGCGATGCGTTGGATTGTAGAAATCACAGAGCATTCTGCCGGGCCATAACGTGTTCCACAACCGAACGGGCCGGACAACCGAACGGGCCACCCCACCTAAAAAACGCGTCGCGTGTTGCAGCTCTCTTTTTCAAACCACCACCATGCCACCAATTCGTACTGCAAAAACTCAAAAACGAATTGAGCAAGAAGGCAGGATTGAACTTGCTATACAGGCGCTAAGAAATGAAAAAGTAGCTTCTCTGAATGAAGCTGCGCGCGTTTTTGAGGTACCTCGTGCAACATTGCAAGCGCGTTTCAAGGGAAGACATTATCGCCAAACCCTTCGCGCAAATTGCACAAAATTGGATGCAATTGAAGAGGATTCGTTAGAGAATTGGATATTGGATCTAGATGCACGTGGCAAGGCCCCTACCTTTGCTCTTGCAGGAGAAATGGCCAATTTACTACTCGCTCAACGTTCAACTACCCCCTCTCTTACAATCGGTATAAACTGGGTACAGAACTTTGTCAAACGTCGCGATAAGCTTAAAACACGTTTTTCACGTCGCTACGCTGCACAGCGTGCATTATGTGAGGATCCGAAGCTTATTCGTGAATGGTTTAATCAATATTGCAATACTATTGCTCAATATGGTATTCTTAACGAAGATATCTACAATTTCGATGAGACTGGATTTGCAATGGGGATTACTAGCACCTCAAAGGTTATTACCAGTCGAGAGTGGCAGGGGAAGCGCAAACTCCTACAACCGGGTAACCGAGAGTGGGTTACTGCAATTGAGTGTGTCCATCTGGATGGTGTTCTCCCTCCGACTATTATCTTTAAAGCGAAGGTATTGATGGCAGCGTGGTGTAGTACTGTCCCGAATGACTGGCGCTTTGAGATCAGTGCTAATGGATGGACAACTGATGAAATTGGCATTTCGTGGCTCGAAAATTCCTTCATTCCATACGTCAAAAAGCGTCAACATGGTGCCTGGTCTGCCTTGGTTATGGATGGCCATGGGAGTCATGTCACCCCTCAATTTGACACTATCTGCATGAAGAACAATATTGTGCCAATTTGTATGCCATCTCATTCATCGCATCTATTACAACCACTAGATGTAGGTTGTTTTAGTGTATTGAAGCACTTCTATGGTCAGGCAGTACAAGATCTTGCACGTGTGGGCTCTACACATATTGATAAGCCTGACTTTCTTAGTCTATACCCTAAAGCACGCGCAGCAACATACAAAACCTCTATAATTGCTAGCAGTTTTATGGCAGCGGGCATTATTCCATATTCGCCAGAGACAGTACTATCAAAACTTGATATTCATCCCCCATCGCCTACACCACCACCATCACATGGTAGTGATAGCAGTCGTGAATTCATACCTCATACACCATCCAAAGCTATCAATTTTCAACGGCAGGCATCCTCAATCAAGCGATTACTAGTCTATAGGGATATAACCCCTGATAATGACATATATCGACAATTGGAGCAGACTACCAGAGGTGCACAATTACTTGCACATGAGATGGTTATGTTAAAGACAACATATGAGCGTGTAATGGCCGAAAATGGACGTAAGCAAAGAAAAAAAGCTTTACCAAATAGGCAATTACCCTACGAAGGTGGAATTACAGCAGAGGACCTGCAATTGCGTGTACAAATTGAATATGAGCACCAATTGGCAATACCCCCGGCGCCACGCCGCGCAACCAGGACGACGATTGAGAGACCTATACAGCGCTGTGGCAATTGCAGGGAGCCAGGGCACAAGCGGAATAGGTGCCCAGTTGTGAATAACGCCTAGTTTTTGCAATATATTATATGGTGGTTGAGTTATATTCAATATATATCGTCGTAATGGGGTGGGGTGGCCCGTTCGGTTGTCCGGCCCGTTCGGTTGTGGAACACGTTATTCATTGTAAAGTTGCAGCCGATCCGCCCACTGGTCAACATCTCTGCTTGTCATGGCCTCACCCATAAGTATAATAGTCGATAGATTTTGGACTTCGTCAGGTAGCAGTAACCTGGCCACACTTGGTGTTAAAAAGCACACGGTGGCTTTCAGATTTTGAATAGCTATGGCAAGCTGGCCCCGCCTGGCTGATTCCGAGGGCACGCAGACACAGCCACCGACAATCAGAGTAGTCAATATATCGGAAATGCTGTTATCAAATGCATAGCTGGAAAATTGGAAGACCCGGGATGCATGGGTGAGACCGAGAGAGGGAGCGTATGATAACGCACCAGTCGAATAGCTCTCATGAGTGACAATGGCACCTTTGGGTACACCGGTCGAGCCTGAGGTGAACACGACGTAGAGGGCGTTGTTCGGGGCCACTGACGGCGTCATCTGGTCACTGCGCTTTTCGCACAATTTCATCTCTTCCACCCCAAGGGCCACCACCCGCGTCACCAACTGCTCTGCGATCGCTGCCTGCGACGCCGACGCAATGGCTATGTCCACCGACACGGCCAGGCAGATGCTCTGCAGTCGTGCCCGCGGGTGCGACGGGTCCAGCAGCACAAATGCTCCGCCTGCCTTCATCACTCCCAGCATCGCCACTGTCGTCCACCGCGACTTTTCGAACAACAATGGCACAAACACCTCCGGTCTGACCCCCAGTCCGGCCAGGTGCGCCGCCAGCGCCGACGACAGCCGGTCCAACTCGCCGTACGTAAAGTCTCCGTCCCAGGCACACACCGCCGGCGCGTCGGGCTGCGCACAGCATCGCTCTGCGATCAAATGGTGCACGCACTGCTCCGCTCGCGCCGGTACCACTCTGTTCCATTCCTCTAATTTTCGCCTGTCCAGCTCGCTGAGCAGCGGCACATCTGCCTGGATTCCGCTCTGGTGGATAATGGTAACTATAGCTTGGCTCAGAGTGTGTGCTATTCTGGTTGCTTGGCTTTCAGATAGGGTCGACGGTGAATATACAAGCGATGCCGTAAATCTGTCATTTTTCGATCTGCATTCAACAGTGATATCGTACTATTTCCACTCCTTGTTAGCGCTTGCTTGTGGACATGGGGTTGAAAGGCCCCGGGGATATCTACCTCATTTGGTAAGACCTTTTCCAATTCTTGAAAGCTAATATAGCCCTCGTTTTGTCCGCTCCCTTGAGTCTCTGGTGGAAACGACATGCACGTGTTAAACATGCCGTGGCCCCCATCACTAGCAGAATGGAACAATTCCGTCAGAGAGAGATGCTGCGATGAAAAGCCCCGCATGAAGTCCCGTTGGTTTTCATGTGCTGTCTCCAGCAGCGTTGCCGACTGCTTAATGTCGATCCGGCAGATCAACACGTTGATGTATGGTCCGACTGCATCTTCAATCCCGGCTACTGGAGCGTCTCGCCCAGAGGTCAGGTAGCCGAACAAGACGGAGTCTAGACCGGTAAAAGCCCGTAAGACTAAGCCCCAGGCAACCTGGACCACATTTGAGATGGTAAGACCTGTTTCTCTGCAAAATGCATCCAGTTGGGATGTATATTCAAACGGGACAGCGACTCGGACCGATTGCGATTCGGCAGCCAAGTGGGACTCGGACCTATCGTTCAGCCGCGGGAAGTAGCACGGACTGCACCCTTCCAAATAACTGCTCCAATACTTCAAAGTCGCAGGATCGCGAGAACCCTCAAGATATGCGACGTAGTCATTATAAGGTGCTCCACTGGTGGGGCATTCAAGTTTGTTATCGCAGGCGAGTGCCAAGTCTCGTTTCAGAATCTCCATCGACGTTGCGTCCATCAGCACGTGACTGATTTCGACAGCAACCAGCAGTTTTCCGCGCTCTGTCTGACAAACGGTGAACCGGGGCAGTGACAGTCGGCCGTGTCCGCCAATCTGCCGGCGTGCGTGCAGAGTAGAGCGAGCGTCGCCATCATCAGAGCATTGAACGACCGCTGTGTTGGCAGAGTCGGCCTTTAGGATGACCTGAATATAGGGGGAAGTGCCGACCCCCTCAACGAAGATGGTCCGCAGCATGGAATGACGCCGGGTAAGCTGCACCCAGGCCAACTGGAGCCAATCTGGGTCAACCGTTGTATGGCCGTCAGTGCAGGCGACTTCCCATATGAAAATCGCCTGGTAGTGCTCTGGCTGTCGTGCTTGGCTGATCAACATCCCTTGCTGGATTGGGGAACACGGAAATGCTGCTTCTACCTCGCTGATATGGATACAAATTGCTGGCAGGCGGCAATGCAGGAGATCCTGGAGGTTCTCGCTGGTCAAGGCTAACAGTGGGAAGTCGCAGGGCGTGAAGATGGGAGTCTTTTCTTTCAATGTCTTCACGGCCTCGTCCATAGATTGCTTACACTGCTGAGCCCAGCGCTCTAGGTCTGTCCTGGAGATTCTGCCGGGAGTCCCAGTGAAGACTATTCTTGGACCGTTAGTTGTCTCCGCTATTGTTACAGTCATTCCCTCAGCAGGCTGTGCATCAGGCAGGTAATCTAGGTTCTCGCCGACGACCTGCTCGAATACCGCGCCTCTCCACTGTTTTTCGTGGTAGGGCAAGAGGAATTTGAAGCGTATGCCGGGAAGAGGCGCGCACATCGACTTCTCCAGCGAAGATTGCCGACCAGAGCTTGGGATTAGATGCGTCACTTTCCCATTGCGAGCCCGGTGGTAGCTCTCTTTTGTCTGGCAAAGAATCTCACCAAAGCTCGAGCGTCCATACGACTGCACACATAAAGTCAAGTCCGTAGTGAACTGACCGACGGTTTGAGAAAAGTCGTTGTGGCTTGATGTCAGACCTCGTCCGTCTTCCTCGACGGTCAAGAGTGGCAGCTCCTGGTCCTCAAAAGCGCGACTAAAAGCGTGCAGCACCGCGGCCTGCAGAACTACACTGGATGTTAACCGAAGAGGCTCGGGAGCATCACCTAGAAGACCCGATGGGACTGGTATACTCGTGTGCATTATGCTGTGGCTGTGAGCTGGACAGGAACCATCAGTTCGTTGAGAGGGCTGCTGGCCAGAAACGGTCATGGACGTTATGGGAGCAGGCGCTGGAATCATGTGTGATCGATCTCTCGCCTTCAGTCTCGAGCAGCACCATTCTCGAAAACCAAGAGGCAGCGGTTTGGGTATCTGCATATAAACGTCGTGATCCAGGAAATATTCAATATCCCTCGAAATAATATCCCAAGAAGTGTGGTCGACAATCAATGCGTGCGCTGCGAGCGACAGACATTGCATTTCACTCAAGTTGAATAACATCGCTACAAAAAGAGGACCTTTCTCGATGTCCAAACTCTCCCGCCTTGATTTCATGGTCTCCGACGCCTCTTCTAGCGTAGACACGGCACAGCTGGCGTACTCGTAGCCTCCCTGGGGCTTACTAGCGACGGTTGGAACATGTTGGGCCCAACTGCCGTTTCGATCACTCGTGAATCTCGCGGTCAGCATCGGATGTCGACTGACGATCTGCTGTATAGCATTTTCTAAGTGAGTGGGGTCAATGCTCCTGTTCAACCGAAGGAAGATGCAGGTTGTTGGTGAATACCAACTCTCCTGATCTTCGGCCAAGATCATGCTTCGCTGGACAGGAGTCAAGCTGAATTCGGCTTCCGAATCCCCGTCGTGCCTTGTCACAGTGCTGCAATGCGCACCTACAAGCAATGCAAGACTGCTGACGGTTTTTTCGCGGAAAATATCTTCCACGGTTATGGTGATACCCCTCGCCCGGCATTGGGTGACTAGCTGTATTGCCTTTAAGGAATCCCCTCCAAGACGGAAGAAGCTCTCGTTCACGCCAAAGCTTTCAGAGGGGAGCTTGAGAATCTTCGAGAGCAGAAGATGAAGACGCTGTTCTGCGCGTGAACTTGGGGTCACTGGGTCCAATCTGGTGAACGCGTACGAAGCCAGGGTGCCATATGAAAGTGAACCAGCGATCTCCTTCAACTTGCGCCGGTCTACCTTCCCGGAGATTGTCAAAGGGACGTATTCTAGGGGGACATATACATGCGGAATCATGTAATCCGGCAAAAGGTCGCGTATTTTTGTTTCGGCCTCTGCGGAGTGCGACTGGAAATCGTGGTCAGATCCATCAAAAAGAGCGGCCGAGTTGGAGTTGTTTAAGTTCTTCTTCGCAGGCGCTCCATCCCTGGCATTCTTAGAGCATAGTATGAATGCCACCAATATCGGTGATGGGGTATCGCCGATAGGGGTTACCACATCAACAATAACTTTGGTGGCCCCAGGGAAGTGACGGAAAACTTGGTGTTCTACTTCCCCCAGCTCGATGCGCTGCCCACGGATCTTGGTTTGCAGGCCTTTTCGTCCCATGTAGATGAGGCTGCCGTCAGAGCTATAGCGGACTAGATCGCCTGTCTTGTACAGTCTGGCCTCCCGGTCTGATCGGAAGAAGCGCAGCCATAGCGGATTCTCAATGAACGCCATGGCGGTTCGCTCGGCGTCATTTATGTATCCTCGTGCCAGACAGGGCCCCTCGATTAGCAGCTCGGCCACGGCCCCGATAGGAGCGAGCACATGGTGGTTATGGGGGTTGACCAGCCAGAGGTTCGCAACGGGCGATTTGCCGATGTTCTTCAAGTTCGAATCTGCTTCCGGCAGTATAATTTCAAGTTCCTGCTGGACAGTACATACTCCGACCCATTCTGTCATTCCATACGCCGGCACTACGGAAATTCTCTCTGCCCAAGATCGGGCCAGATCACTTCTCAATGGCTCTCCTCCGACTATTAAAGTCTTGAGACAAGCTACATTATCAGGAGCAAGGGAGCCCATCAATGAAGGCGTCAGCATGGCCCAGCTGACACCCATCCGAGACATTGCACCCGATAGGTCGTTCATTCGCTCGTGGCCTGAAGGAATACAGATAGTGCCTCCAACTGTCAAAGTACAGAAGATCTCGTTCAAAGAAATGGCAAAACTGAATGAGGCAAATTGCAGGGCTCGCGTGTTAGCTTTCATTTCCAACGCTTCTGCATAGGTAGCGACAGCTGCCAATGCTCCGTGGCTGATGACGCATCCTTTGGGGCTCCCAGTACTACCGGAAGTGAAAAGTACGCATGCCATATTGTGGGTTTCTACTTGTCCCCGCAGCAATGCCATCGGGTTAACCGTTGGCAGCCGCGCAGCCGTCGACCCAGACACCACAATCAGGTCGTCTATGACACCCTCCAATAATGTGGCCTGCCGGTCTGACGAGAGAATGACTTTTGCATCTACCCGTGTGATGATTTGCTTCAGATACTCGAGCGGATGAGAGGGATCGATGGGAACGAAAGCTGCACCAGCCTTGACTACTGCCAGCGTTGCCACAATCGCCCACATCGTTTTCTCAAAGCAAACAGGCACCATAACCTCTGGCCCTACCCCCTTTTCTTTTAGGTGGATAGAAAGCGTTGTGGAAAGCTCCTCGAGCTCACCATATGTCAGGGTGCCATCCCATGAACACACAGCCGGTGCGCCTGGTTGGTAGCGGGACTTCTCCTGGATTATCTCGGCGATGGAGGAGCCGGTAGTGATATTTGTCTGTTTGTTGTTCCACTCTGCGACACATTCTTGGCTTTGCTGGTCGAGTAAATTGATATCCCTCAGCTTCTGGTCCGGATGTTCGAGCATTGATTCAATCGATCGAGACAAGACCCCTCCTATGATCGCTGCCTGTGAGTCGGACACGACCGCAGTGCTATAATGCAGTAATATCTCGACCATGCCATTGCATGTTCTTGCGATGAGTAGCAGGTCGTAATCCTGCTGTCACGTCTAATTAGTGTTCTGATTAGAATGGAAAATCAAGGATGTGGCTGACCTCATTGTCCGTGGCATAAAGTTGCTCTGACGAACTCCCCAGTCTGAACGAGCTCTCGCTTTCCCCGGCCATGAATACGACTCCAGTATTGAAGTGAATGTTCCCACTTTCATCCTGGCTCATGGACAGCTGGCGGTGGCAGGTTTGAAGCAGTTGCTCAATTAGATCGTCTGGGTCGATGGTCACTACAAATGTTTTAAAATCACCAGAGACTGATCCAGACATTTCTCTAGGTGCGTCAACCCCAAAGTACAACACCTCCGAGTTGACAAACTGATGAAGGACGATCGACCATGCAGCAACAAGCAAAGATGCTAGGTCAGATCTGTCCCTCTTGTATAGAGTACCGAAATCGCTCAAATGCTCCCCAGGTACGCACCGAGCCATTCTGCGCGCCTTCCCTGGTGCGGCATCAACAAGGGTTGGAAAGAGACACATCTCAACACCATTCTCTGGGGACTTTGCATATCGATCTCTTAGATTTGGCTTTAGGGAGTAAATGTCTGCCATACTGATGGATGCTTACGAAGTTTCTTCGCAAAGTCGTTCGTATTTTTATTATAGAGAAAAGTAAAAAAAGAGAACCGTGGTGGCTTAAGAGCACTGCGTGACCGTCACCACTGATTGGGAAAAGGTTTTTCAGAAAGTTCCTCCCAAACTATACATGCATATTTGCGAACACTATGCAACGCCACGTGTTGCATGGCTAGACTACGCTACCTTGTAGGCAGCTTAAAATGGTGTCAACCTCGAGGGTGTAGACTTTATCAGTGATCCGTGGAATAGCGGTGGCCAAGATGGTCGTATCCTAAAAAGCCAAGTCAAGATTCCAGCGGCTCGTACAATAACATCGGAGTAAAAAGAATGCTATAACGCCGGAGCTGCTTGCCAGGAATACGTAAAATATTGTCAGGCATAAGCTGATGATCCAAAATAGCGGCTGTCGAAAAGTGGCGGGACGATTCTCATCTAAGGAGAATAAAGAGCCATTAGACGTAGTTATCAATGCTATTTGCCTACCTTTTGGGTAGCTAATAGAGCGAGATGAGTATTCAGCCCGAGACTTGACTACTTCCTTTGATTCTGCTGCCATTATCTTATCAAAGAAATCTAAGCCGGAAGCCTGAATGTCATTAGCGTTCGGATAAAACCTTGGAATGCTTATATCGAATGCATCAGTGTTGTCACAAACCTAAACTGTAGTACAAGATCAGGAAGGGCTAGGATTGTTCTTCAGCTACAGCATGCAAGGGATAAGGCAGCAATAATAGGCATCTTGACGCCTTTAGGCACCATATCTTACATCAAATTGCATGAAAAAAAGTAAATATAGAGGGTAGACTTAGTAATCATACAGTTACGTTGCCATACTGGTAATTATCGGGCTATGAGGACGAAAGGACTTCCTGAATGGACGTGCATACTAGAACAGCTACATAGAAACACAGTATGACAAGAAATGCGCTACTTCGCAGTCCATACCTTTTCAGGCGGAATTTAGATCAAACTAAGGAGCCCACCAGGCGATAAATGTATCCATCATGCAGGTCAAAAAGGACTAATTTGTACCGGCACGATAAGCGAATGAACTTTTTCAGAGTCATGAAAACCGCAGCGAAGGTTCCCGAGCTGCAGGTAGTGGCTCAGCTGAGAATACTCTACACCGACCTTCCTTGGTTGATTTATGGTTTATTACAGCGTGAGGAATGGTTTTTGGCGGCATTACTGCTAAGGGAAGAATCATATATTCCTTTCCCTGTCCTTGCCTGTGTAACCAACAGTCACGCGTAGTTCAACGTATTATATGTGTTGTGATTTACAGGAAGGTTGAATGTTCATTCACATCATGATCTGAAAACATGATGGTCCATACACCAAAGGGATATCGCATTGATTATCAATTGATCAGAGTCGAACTGGAGTAAATCTCGCATAAAGAGCTGTATTATCGACTTTATCGAGCCCGGTCCACAACAATACGGCTTATTTGTGTGCGGTAGAAGGTGCATCGAGTGAGAGAGCCCTATACCATAATTATCAGCATGTCATGTCTATAGAGCTATAAAACCTCGAATAATCATCTGTTACACTCTAATGGGTTCAATACACTATTTGGTCAATCTTCGGATCTGTGGTCGGTCGGATTTGGCTACGCATTACTCCGTAGTCGCGATGCAGATCCAGACTATCTGGGCAAGGCTTCATGAGTGCAGGATTTTAACTCAAATAACTGGTCACTTAAAAGTATTAAATGTCTAGGTTCCAGAAAACCTAGTTTTCAATAGTATCAAATGGCTATGGTATTAACTCTAAACGGTCTGTCATCGCTGCAATGGGTCGGTGAATTGGTATACTACTACCTAGTAATACCTAGGTACGCATCAATATTTTAACGCACATCTCTATCTCGTAGTACTATTTGCTCGCTATGATTGGGCCATCAATAGCGCATTCATGACCTGGCTCAAGTAAAGAAGGCTGTCTCTGCATAGCCTGCCGTATATGATCTGTGCGTTGCATATTGAGAATTGACATATCTGCTTTTACGCATTGTGTGATGTCTACTAGTAGTAGATCTGCAGGCAGGTTCCAGTGCAGTATTTAGAGGGGCTCTCCTCATTGCAAGTGGCCCAGTCTTTCCGTTACTAATAAGCGTAGACTCCGCCACAATCCCGTCAAATTTTGATACTGTTGTATTATTGAACTTCAGGATTCTTTTGTTCTTAAACAAATTCAACCTATTGTGCCACGTCATGACGAAAACGAAGACAGATATTCCAATCAACTGCACTGTCCTGGTGGTAGGAGGCGGACCAGGAGGGTCATATACCGCTGCAGCACTTGCCCGCGAGAAAATCGATGTTGTTCTTCTTGAGGCAGATAAATTTCCGAGGTAGGCATCAACATACAGTCCCCGGATGAAGGCCCCATTATGGAAATGACGATGGCTAGACTCACAAATTTCTCGAAACTAGGTACCATATCGGGGAAAGCATGCTTCCTTCCTTCCGACACTTTCTACGCTATATCGACCTAGAGTCTACGTTTCTCAATCACGGCTTCACCCAGAAGGTGAGTTAAAAAGAACGGATTCCTACCTTCTCACCTCCTGACTCTGACACGGACCCGGTCATGTGTAGAACGGTGCGGCATTCAAGCTTGTCCAAGATAAGAGAGAGGGATGTAAGGACATCTACCTATCTGCACTCTGAACAGTCCATCATGTTGACCATAAGTTCTAACATCTGCAAAGACACAGATTTCATTTCCGCCGGTGGACCGAACAATTTCACATGGAACGTCATCCGCTCAGAAGCGGATGAGCTGATGTTTCAGCATGCCGGAAGGAGCGGAGCGAAGGTTTTTGATGGCGTGAAAGTAAATGACTTTGACTTTGACGATATGACCGGCCATCCCCGTGCGGCGTCGTATACCCAGAAAGCCTCGGGAAGCAAAGGTACAATAAATTTTCAGTATCTGGTCGACGCCAGTGGCCGGGCTGGACTGGTCAATACCAAGTATACCAAAGATCGCACTTATAACAAGACTCTTAAGAATATCGCGCATTGGGGCTACTGGAGGGGGACGAGGCCCTACCAGGAAGGAATGGAAAGGGACAACTCGCCGTTCTTTGAGGCCCTGAAAGGTTTGGTGACTATTCTACCGTTATTTTACTTCCAAAAGAGATATCTTGGCTGATTTCAGTTTTCTTCTGTTTCTGAAGACGAGAGCGGGTGGGCTTGGTACATCCCACTCCACGATGGAACTGTATCTATCGGAGTCGTCATGAACCAGGAACTAGCCACGTCGAAGCGGAGCGCCTTGTCTAATACCTTCTGCAAAGAAGACCACACGCTAGAATCATTCTACAGCTCTTCTCTCGAACTTTGCCCCACTATGATGCAGCTCATATCCGGTGGCAACCTTACAGGCTCTGTCAAATCGGCGTCCGATTACTCCTACAGCGCATCTACTTATTCGAAGCCCTATGTAAGAGTTGTCGGCGACGCCGGCTGCTTCATCGACCCTTTCTTTTCCTCGGGAGTCCATATCGCTTTGACTGGTGCTCTCTCGGCAGCTGTCACGATCTGCGCTGCTCTAAAGGGCGATTGTAAGGAAGCCAGTGCGGCAAACTGGCACACTACAAAGATTCAGGGCGTGTATCAGCGGTTTCTGATGGTCGTACTGAGTGCGTACCATCAGATGAGAAGACAGGATGTCGGTGTCTGGAGTCAGCTTGGTGATGATAATTTTGATGAGGCTTTTGAAAGTATCAGAGTCGGTGAGTATGCCTGTCTTAACCTTGTCCTAATCGATCAAAATAAATGGAAAGCACAAGATGATCGAGCATCCAGCGCCAACTAACGCATAATTCGAATAGTAATCCAAGGCATGGCAGACGTAAGCGAAAGCGGCGTTAAACAAAGCCAACTCATGCAAACGCTGGACTTCTGTGCTCAGGCTTGGAATAATGTAGATCCGGGAGAGAAGGCAAAAGTTATGCAGAAACTCGGCGATAGCAGCCCTTCTTCGGTGAGAGGAAAGGATTTCTCAAAGGAAGAATTAGATACCTTTCATCACATACAGGCACGCAAGGCAATGTGTACGGAGAGTACGTTTGGACTTGATTGTTTCCATACAGATGTGATTGAGGGATTAAAGCCTGTTTTGGATCGTGGGAGATTGGGCTTAGCACGGGTTTAGGGGAGGGTTCTCGGTTGTCTTCAACACTTCCCGACTTGCTCCATTATTTTGAAGTACATCTCAAAACTCGCTGGAACTTTTCGATGACGTGAAGGTGCTGAGGATGATCCTGGATTACTATGGTTTAATCCGAACTTAGGAGAAATGGACTGCTAGAACTAGATCTACTCGGTAGCTGATGACCTGCAAGTGCGAGTGTGGATCGTGATCTACCCCCCGTAAATTTATTATATTCGTGTACATAAGCCATATATTCGCATGGGGGCCAAGTAGAGTCGAGATTGGTTCGATCAAATCGGCAGCTAGAGAGTATAACCCCAAGATCGTTCATCATCACTCAGCAGATTGTCATCGTGAATTCATGAAGTCATGTTGAAATTGCATCGCAGCCCGCAATAACACCAGAATTTACTGGAGATATCGGCTGCGGAGAGCTTGGCTGATTGTGCTCATGCGGCTGGCCATCCCTCCTTGTTGCATGTTACTCATGAGAGCCTCTTCAAGTGCCGACTGGGTTACACTGGTATCTAATTCCACGGGTAAGTAAGAAGTCGCAATAGCCATGACAAGCTCATCAAGGTGGTATCAGACTTACCATCCAAGTCGCTAAAGCTACTGCCCATGCTGGGTGTGCCATCACTGCCATTCACCCCACCCCTGCCGCGCGGGCTTGCGCGCGCCTGTTCGGTGGCCCTACCGCTGCCATGGGAACTCCGCAGAGGAACTCGGCGTTCATCACCCCTCACTGGATGATTAGGGCCATTAGAGCTTGCAGAGCTCATTCCGGCGGAGCTAGTGTTTGATTCTGCACCCGTTGGTAAGAAGCCAGGTCTGCGTTCGGTTGGACGCCAGGCGGCGGATGCTCGATCGGCATCTAGTCGGAGAGTGCCACTCAACTCTTGGCTTACTCTTTCGGTGGGAACTTCTCGTGATAGCTGCTCGTGTCGGGGCATGGGGAGAAAAGCAGGCGCATCGTCGTCATCGTCTTCATCGTCGCGTATGCCAGCGCGTGACTGATGAGTGGAGTATTTTCCGAAATTACGCCAGCGCGGGAAGCGACGAGGTGACGTCTCTTCCTCGGAATCCGATTCTTCGGAGCTCGAGCTCAAATCTTCTTCTTGGAGAGGCGGTGATCGCATGAATGAAGTGCTTTGAGGTTGATCCCGGCGGGGTACGGAAGGTCGGCGGGCACTGCTTCCCGCGCCCTGTTCTCGACCTTCAGTGGTCGGTGTGTCAGTTCGAGATGTATCACGAACGCGGTTGATGGTCGCGATTGATGTAGAGCTCGTTCGTCGGCCAGTAGGAGCAGGCTGAACAGCCTCTCGCTGCTGCGAAACTTGGCGGAACATGCCGCGAGAGCCTGAGAAATTGTCAGTCTGTCATCGCACACAGACTTGCACTCTGAATACCTACCAGCTACGAGTGGTCGTTGTGTCTGACCACCCAGTGCTGTACTTCCAGCTACAGAGCCTGGGGCAGGAGATGGAGAGTTTGAATGTGATTGAAGTTGTTGGGGTGCTTTGCGCATCTGGGCCCGCGCCTGGGTAAGTTGTCTTTCGTAGAGCCATGCAACTTGCTGCTGTAGAAACTGAAGGGTGACTCCGAACCGCTCGGACCTAATGATTCATGTTAGCCAAACGCCTTTGAATTTCAACAATTCGAGGTGATAACTACAGCTCATTCCCTATCGACAGTTAGGCGCGTTTTCAGTGGAAAGAATATGCAGCTGACTCACAGTCGAGTCCATCTTTTGATGGACGGGAAATCAAATCCCAGAGCGCTCTCTCCTTCTTAGCATCCCAGTCCACCTAGTCAAATGTCAGATCGGTGAACAACATGCCCATGGAAGTTGTCGACCACTTACTGAGGGAGGGTCATGGAAGTCACCTCGGGGAAATGGAAGCCGAATGAGAACCGCGAACTGGTCAGTGGTCTCGTGGCTCGACATCGGGAAGGTCGGGAAATACGGGTCAGACTGAATCGGAGGTGGAGGTGGAGGACAAGGAGGCAAGGGAGGAGGGGGAGGAGGGAGACGAGGTGTCAAACACGAAGTCTTGGCTATGAAATGGCAGAGGGCAGCCTCCGCTCTCGTCCGATGAGCAGGAGTAAGGAGAAGATGGAGAATGGTCGTTTTTTTGTGAGTTAAGCTTCGTGAGGCCAGTTCATTACGGATAAGGTTGTAGATATGGGCGATATAAAGATCGCTGTCCACCACCGTGCTTCTGACGAGGAAAAATAGGATTCCTCGTAATCGTAGAAATTAAATTCCGAGCCCACACTAAAAGATCCAGAGGTACTCCCGGAGCTGCTAGACTCTTGTTGAGAGTTGTCGGAGGTAAAGGGTGACGCGTTTGGGGCATCAGAAAAGGACGATAAGCTAAAGTCCGAGGAATCGGTGGAGCCTCAGCCGTGATTATTGTATTGTCAAGAATATCCTTTTGTTCTGTGTCCAATAAAGTCTGGGGGCGACAGGTACAGTCGGGGTTGTGGTTATGCCAGAGGCACATCATCATCAGGATTCAGCCAAGCGTAGGTAGGAAAGTAACATGACTTTTGACCCACCTTCGGCCAATCATTATTCCGTGATTTTATACTGTACCTATACTGACTATTCAATGACAACGTAGGTAGAAATTTTCTATCTATGCTAACTATTTATATATAGTTTAGGTATAAAGTTTCTGCCTGTATTAGGTCTAGTTTGTAAAATCTTATTAATTATAGAGTATAAGTCTAGTTTCAATGATTACTATATGTCAAGGTGCAGGCTTGGCAGATACATATCAGGAGCTAGTCAGGCAGGATCGTACGACAGGATGGTAGGAACAAGCAGCACACCAGGATCAGGATGTATATTGATGGGCTACAGGACAGTAAGTTGACCAGGACGTAGCTTAAGGAGCTACGTTTGTGCAGAAATCAGGATCAGACGTAAGTCTACTTGTCACGTGAGCTCACATGCGGGGTCCTTATCCGTACGAGGGCTCACACCGTGACAATTGTACCTTATAACTAACAAATTCTACTATGAATCTCTAGATACAGTAAGATTAGTAGGAATATCTTGAGTAATATCTCTAAAGAAAGTAAGCTGATAAGGTGTACTAGCAAGAATCAATTACTATCTCCCCCAGAATAAATATAGAGATTAAGCTAATAACTTAGTACTAGCTTCAAGAATTATAATAGAATCGATACAAAGATATAGTGAGAAAGATAGGATAGTAGGGATTCACAATCTTAGCTATTGGAGAATTTACCTAGCTGTGATTGAATTTCTCTGTGTGACTACTTCGGCTAGCCCTTTTAAGGAACTAAAAGAGATTCGTTTGTCTTGTGATTACTCTCTAGCGGTGCTCTCCATATGTTCTGACGATTTCTAGTAAGGCTTGCTGACAGAAGTTAAATATCGCCCCGAAGATGTCATCGGGCTCGCATGGTTCGCGCTTAATTTCCGCTCGAAGATCGTGCGGAAAATGGGAGGCTACCCCCTCTACTTGGTCGTGCGACAGGAACAATAACGAATATCAATATGCCTCCCTTGCTATATTAATCAAATACAGAAATCCCGAAACAACATTTAGCATGAATGATCTGTACCCAAATATGGGAAAAACATTGTTTCCGTGTTTTCCGCAACAGCTTCGAGGAAGCTAGGGATGAGAGGTTCTATTCCTAGCTCAAGAGCTCGAGTACTCCAATCTTCGAGGCTGAACTCCTCGAAAGGCCTCTTGTGAACTTGCTGCATGTAATCCTTGAAACTGTGGACAGGCACCATGGTATTACTGGAGTAGTGACAAATTTTGACCGAGGAGCAAGGCCCACTGACTTCAACCATCACTTGAGAAACAATCTCATGCGCAAGAACTTCCACATTCTGGAAGTCCAAATAGCCATCCACATTTGTCATATGTGGGGTGGCTCCCATAATATTTGAGTAGCGTAACATGGAGTTCAATGCATCTTGGTGTGGTGCATTCTCACCAATGGCTGTGCAGGGTCGATGAATCACCACAGGGGAACCAGTCCTTTCAGCGAAGGCTTCAAGGAAAGACTCACTTGCCCACTTGCTTGCTGTTAGGCCTTCAGAGCCATCTGCGGGAGGAGGATGCGAGGAAAGAGAGATCGGACCTAGAGATGCTTTTCCAGAGAGAAGAATAACTCGCGGTGAAGATATGAAGTGCATAGGTATCCGACCTTGAAGACAAATCCTTGCCAGAAAGTGAGTGGAAAGTAGATTAGGCTTCTTCAGTGAGTTGTAGAAGTTCAGACAGTGTCCGTTAGACCCTGCATGAATGACGATATCAATACATGCTTTCAGGGCCGACTGCTGGTCTGGAGATAGCCCAAGTGAAGAGTCGAGAAGAGTCCCTGAGTAGATGATGACCTTATCATCACCGGCAAGAGTCTTCTTCTCGCGCTCCTCAACAGCAACGCAATGGATTCTTTTCACATTATGATTTTGCCCAAGTGCCTGAACAAGTGCCTTTCCAAGGAAACTTGTCGATCCGGTGAGAAGGATTTCACGATCAGACGATTGCAAAGAACGTGGCAAGGGAATCTGGTCTGAAGATGCAATGATATCTTCCGGGACGAGTGTTTCTTCGAACCAGTTGACAGTTTTCACGGGAGACTTTGCCTTCTCGGTGTCCACTTTGGCCGCCATGCTAGATAGTGTGGAAGAAGCATAGAGATCTCGAAGAGTGAGCGCTACCCCGATAGATGTCCGAATGGAACTTTGCAACTTCACAAGCATGAGGGAATTTCCACCTAAAGTAAAGAAATCCGAATCGGGTTGGATTTGGGAGTCATCAGGAAGGACCTTCTGCCAGAGTAATTTGAGCTCGCCTTCACCCAGTGTCAAGCGAGCAGATGATGTTGATTGAGGGGCGGTTGGATCGAGATATATAAAGGGAAGGCTCTCAATCTTCTTTCGGTCAATCTTCCCATTTGAATTTCGAGGGAGATCATCTAGTGGGATGACTTTGGTTGGGCACATGTACTGTGGCAATGGAAGTTTGCTCGCGAGAAGCCGGAGCTCATCATCATTTGCACCTGCCCCGGGAACTAAAGCGACATATGCGACTAGCATTTTGTCGTCACCTTCGCCCTTGACACATACAACGGCTGAAGAGAGCAGCTTGGGGGCTGAGTTTACCAAAGTGGAGCCGACATCCTCAAGATCTATGCGAAGCCCGCGGAGCTTGATTTCAGTATTTCCGTCCATGCGACCCATGTGAATGAGAGAACCATCCTCCATGAGACAACCTCTGTCTCCCGTACGGTACAGTCGTGTCCAACCTTGATCGACATCATAAGGGGTCGCAAAAGGATCCTGAAGAAATTTCGACCGGGTTTGTTCTTCGTTCAAGTACCCCAAAGCAATCCCCACACCACCAACGCACACTTCACCAGAGACTCCAAGATCAACAGGGTTTTGATTCTCATCAAGGACATAAAGAGAAGTGTTTTGAATGGCCTTTCCTACACTGCGGGCCGTCTGGACCTGTGACACGGACATAGTCTCGAAGGAGGTACAGGCCGAAATTTCAGTCACACCGTATGAGTCTTGAACGGTAGGACAGTTTGGTCCTAGTTGAGTGAATTCCATCTTGAGGCGATCTGTAAAAGATTCTCCGCCCAAGCAGGCAGATCGCCAGGTCGTGACCCCTTTTAAGAGTTCGCGAGCATGCTGGAGCAAAGCAAGATACTCTGAAGGGGTAGCCAGAGTGAATGTTACTTCTTCCTTTCGAATGATTTTGGCAATCTCGATTGGGTCCCCCCCGTGCGGCTTGGGGAACGATGACAAGCTTTCCACCGTTCATGATAGAATTCAGGGTCTGCGCGAGCCCCATGTCAAATCCAATCGAGCTTTGCTGTAAGACCACAACTCTACTATCTAGAGAGAGTTCCTTCTCCTTCGCTGCAAGATAATTGATAAATCCTACTTGAGGTAGAAGAACGCCCTTTGGCTCTCCAGTTGATCCACTGGTATACAGCAAGACCGATGGTGCAGTCCCACTGCTCTTGTCTTTGGTGGGTAAATCCAGGTGGCTATCAAGACTGGAAACATCCAAAACATGCCCCGGGTTCAGGAGTGTAGCTCTTTTCTGGGTCGATGGAATACAAAGAAGAGTCTTTGCTCCAGAGCTCGCGATCATTGCCGAATGTCTAGCTGCAGGCACACTGAGATCCAGAGGCACATATATACCCCCAAGGCGAAGTACCGCAAGCATGCAAGCCACAGAGGCTACCGATGGCTCACACAAAACTGCGATGGCTTCACTGCGAGTTACCCCCAAAGATTCAAGGGAATTCTCGATGCGACTGACATATGATCCCAGTTGTGCGTAGCTATATTCCATCGAATCTTGCTTTACCGCGATCTTGTCTCTGAACAATTCCGAAATTATCTCAAATCTTCCTGGTAAAGTGGTGGGCCAGTGATGCTTGACACGTGGTCCTCGGCGAATAGAAATTTTAGGCTCTGTAGTCTTCTGTGGGCCGAGAAGGTTTTCAAATGATGTACTGGAGGGATCGGGCGCGAAGGTGTACAAAAGGTCGGTATAAAGCTTCAAGATGTGCTCCGCGGCCTCGGGAGAATAGAGGCAATTGCGGCACGTCAAGTCCAATAGAAATGTACCAGCTGCAGTGGGAGTCACATGGAATGAGATGTCGTAAGGTGCACTTCCCATGATACTACGATCATAGTTGAGCTCAAACTTTCCAAGTGAAAGTTTTGTGATCTCACCAACGCGATAATTGAGCGCCACCTGGAACAGTGGAGTATAGTATGAGGACCTTGGAACCTTGAGTGCATCCAGGACGAGGCTGGAAGGCACAGAGGAGTTTGAAAGAACCGACAAGACCTTCTTTGTGGTTCGTTGAAACACGCTGGGAAATGTGTCATCCCGAGAAATATCCGACTGGACTGGCATCACATTCACGAAATAGCCAACCGTACTCGAAAACTGGCTTTGTTTCCGATTTGCGTCACCTATTCCTATGCAGATTTTGTCTTTCTCTAAAAGTCTCGCGAAGAGAATTTGGAGACACGTCATGAAAAACTGGAACGGTGTGCCTCGTAGGTCACGACTGGCACTTTTGATCTGATCTGCGATTGCTTTCCCTATTTCTCTAGTTGTCGTATGAGTTTTGTAGTCATCTGAAGACTCTCGGACTTTTGACTTGGCAAATGGAAGAAGAGGCATCACATCAGGTAAGGGGGATAACTCCTGTCTCCAAAAGCTAAGCTCTTTATCGAACGCACCATCTCGAATGGCGAGGTTTTGTGAAATGGAGTAGTCGATATATTGAGAAGCATAGGTATGAGGAGGTCTCAGCTCGAAAAAGCACTTCACGTCGTTCAGGAGTATTGACCAACTAAAGCCATCCATTATGATGTGATGATAGCTGAATATGATGTTATGTGCTTTCTCGCCAACAGAAACCACAGTGACTCGAAATACTTCCCCATTTACCAATTGCCACTGATGAGTTGCAGCCTTCTCAAATTCCCGAGAGACGATTGCAGGATCTGATGTATCGATATGTTGGAAAAAGGACATGGAGTGTTCTAAAACACCTTGTTGCAATTGGCCACTGACAGGATCTTCAAAGAAGGCAGTACGTAGAGAGCCATGTCTTGACACCACGTTCGCGAGTGCATACTCAAATCTTTCAACATCAAATAGTCCTTCGACATTGTATGAGATCACAACATTGTATTGAGATTGATCTTTCATCCAATTTGCCGCAAACCAGATTAATGATTGATAGGGTGACATTTCCTCAAGCTTTTGATATCTGCCGGGGATGAGGCTCTCTGGTTGATTCTGGCTCAAAACTTTGACCGGGTGGGAACTGTGGTTCTCGGAGATCAAAGTTTCTTCAGACTTCGCGGACTGATCAGAGCTGCCAATGTTGGTTTTAGAGGACGAGATCTCGGAAGCAGTACTCTGAGAGTCGCCCTGGAACAATATTGAGTCATAATTTTGGACCCCCTGGCCCATGAACCCTTCTAGAGCAGTATTGCAAAGCTCTGATATAGTACTATGCAGAGTGGTATAAGCCGGAATCTCAACATGAATCTCCTGAGAGAACCAAGATCTGACTTCAAGACCAGTCAAAGAATCGAAACCAAAATCAAGAAGCGGAACATCGGTGTCCAAGGTTCCAGAAGGTATTTTGAGCATTTGTTCCACCTTGGAGGACAGCCATTTCTCAAGGACAGACAACGCCTTTTCCTTGGATGTACAAGCTTGTAGCTGATCCATGACAGTTGACTCCATCGAGCTGAAATCTGGCAACTGTTCCTGTTGAGGATTCTCATTCCGCAAAAAGTGAGAGAAGAGCGGGTTAGTTCCCCAAATAGGCTTGGTTAAACCGTCGGAGGGATGCTCGGCCATCGCGAGCCCAACGAATAGTTCGGGACCTCTATGGGCGTCAGGAGCACCGGAAACAATTGCTTGGACAAAAGAACTATAAATCTCCGATTGGGACAATGTCGCATAACCGAGCTGATTCATATGTTGTATCGTTTCTTTCTTTTGTCTTGCCACATACCCGACATCAACAACCATGCCAATATGGAGGATTGATCCCGGAAGACTTTTTCTTCTTCGCCGCTGTATGAGACCTGACATCATAACAGTTGAGGCAGCGTCGAGGGGATTGTATGGCACTGCAGCAAAGGCATCCAGAGAGGACAGAATCACAAAAAATTCCAGATTGGGCCGAGAGAAAATTTCAGAGAGACACTCTGCTGATTGGATGACTGGATCTAATTGAGTTTCCAATTTAGCAGAAGCTTCCACGTCTGCCATGTTGACTGATAGATTCATCGAAGCGATACAAATGCCCGCGATGGACGGCATTGAGCTCATTGCTTCCGTGCAATATGATTGCATCGACTCCTTGTTGGTGGAATCCAGTTTCATGACCTTGATGACCGTGTCCAAAGCTGCCATCTCTTCCAAAAACCCCTGGTCAACATGATACTTGTTGATCAAAATGAAATTCCGTGCTCCTCTTGTTGCCATCCATGTGATAATTGACAGTCCGAGCGGGTCTGTCATGTTTACCATCACATAGGTTTTTACGGATGAAAACTGATGATCTTCATCGGTACCCCGAAGCTGAGAGTGGATTTTCTCTATTCCAGTCCAGTCTAGTATCGCAGGGTATATGTATCGTGAGGCTGAACCGCGACTGAATTCGTCGACGCTAAAAATGTCAGAAGACCCGAAAAGCGGTTCGTTGAGTGCGGCTAGAGCTTCGGTGCAGGACTCCTGAACAATCTTGATATGGCCGAGGAAGGGATGTTTGAGATAGAGAATTCTTTCCAAACATCTCTATACATGTCGCGAAGGGTGTATCGGAGACTGTCATTTGGAGCAGTGGATAGGTCAATGAAGCAAGCCACATTCTTCGGCAATGTACGCTGCAATGCCAGAGGAGACGCTCGCGGGTGGATCCCAATCCATCTCTTTCCAATACTGGTAAATTTTGAACTGACAAAGTGAATGTCCCTCCCTGACAGACGATGACTTTTTTGGACAGCTGCGGTCATACTGTTGGCAGGAGAGTATATTAGGATGGAACCATGAGATGGGGTTGACAATGCCAGATGCCTTGCGAAAATGAAGCTTGCAGCCAATCTGAACAGCTCAACGGTAGCCTTTTGCTCATCCAAGATGTAGACATCCTTGATCCTGGCTAACACATTGGATGTGTTACGCTCGGTGAGACCGAGTGCGGTGCATGTGCCATCACAAGTGGTGCCGAGCCAAAGAAAGAGGCGGTTAGAAACACTCGGTGAGAGAGGAACTGAAAACCGAGTTCGAAACGGTAGCAGATCCACGCCACGTCTGATATTCTGAGAGACTTTTTCAATATACGCTACCACTTGAGATGATTCTTTAATTTCGACAAAGTGCTGGTCGATATCAAACTCTTGCAGCGACTGTAGATGAGTAGATTTGTGTCTTGAATTCATTTCAAAATCGGGAACAACGCGTGGGACAAGCAGACTCTGGCCGTCAAAATGGATCTCAGGTTCTGTTAACCACAATCTATCCTTATCGCGTATCCAAGGAAGGTGAGACCATGAGAGTCGCAAGAAAACATCCATGATCGTCGTGATTAGCCCTGTCTCCAGCTTGAGGATATCCAAAAACTGTAGAATCATGCTTGGAGTCTCAGATTTGAATGCCCGGCCCAGGCCAGTAGTCATGTTCGAAAGTGACTGGCCCGAAATTCGGCCGGTCGTCAGCCAAAGAGTGCACTTCGACTTTTGAAGTAGGCTTCTCAAGACACTTAAATTGTGGTGGGACAGCTCTCCCGTTAAGTGTGGATATTCCAGATCTGTCAATGAGATCACGGATACACCATCTGGAGGACAGGACATATTAAAGTCTTCGATTGTAGACACCATCCTGACAGCAGTGCCCAAATGAGAAAAGGAATTCTTCAGACTGTGCGCCAAGCGACACACTGGTAACGTTTTTCCACCAAGAATCACTAAAGTCTCCGGTACGAGGCTTCGTTCTGAACATAGTTTTGGCTGACGAAGAAGGTGCGTGTAATTATCCACCGCCTGTGAGACAATTACCGAAAAACAATGATTATCTGGATGTGGTGCATCGTGCGATACTCCATCGACACCGGAAAAGCCGGAATAACGCAGTCTTTGATCCCATTCAGCAAGGGAAACTGTTGATCTAGGACAGCTGGGTTGAATTGCGTCAGATTTATGCCACCACGAAGAAGTGACACCCATAATTAGAAACAACAATATGTCCATGCGGCCAGTCGTTTCGACTAGAACAATACATCCACCGGGTTTCAAAAGAGGGCGCATGCGTCTAAGAGAACTTGTCGGCGTTCGAGGCAAGTTGAAGGTATTGATCAAAACAATCATATCATAGGACTCAGCTACATCATTCGAATCGAACGCCTCATTTTTCATACCATCAATTGAACCGAATGACACTGCATCGGCTGTTAGATGTATTGGAGGTGAGGTATTGTCTCCGGGAAGATCCCCTGTTGTGAAAGTACCATTGAAACGGTTGTCCTTGATCATAGTCTGCACTTTACTTGTAAAGGTTTGAGCCCCTGTGCCTAGTCCAAGTATCTGCATTTGGGGATATTTGTGAAGAGCCAGCTCGACGGCTTCGTAAACCACATTTTGCATTGGAGAAAAGCTTGTGCTTTCCAAGTAGAGTCGTTCAAGTTCATTCCTATTGATCATTTTTTCTGCATCAATCTCCTGTCGGAGGTATTGCGGTAGGAGTGGACCAATTCTGTGGATTATTTCGAGCTCAATGTTACTCATATGTCTCTGGTGGTCACTTTTGATATCATGCTCGCGGTCATCAAGCCATTCGGCCTTCAGCGTCGGGTGTTGATTATTTTTGACAGATTCAATGAGTCGGAGCACTTCATGATAGAAAAGCTGGTGGTGTTGGGCGAATGACGGAATTTCACGTGTGTCGATCTCAAACACAAGGTTTTGGAGGTAAAAGAGTGCTGCTCTTTCAATTCTCCCCAGTAGAATGTCATCATTCTTCGGTATTTCCTTTTGGACAAGCGGGAATGACCCCAAAAAAGGATCAATCTTCCAGGTCAGCCGAGAGAATATTTTTCTATCAAAAGGGGCAGTGGCTTCCTCGGTAGAATTCAAGCATAATCCTACGACCTGTACAATTGACTGCCCACGGAGATTGAACAACGAGACTTCGCCTTCAATTCCTTCTGAGTTTGACCTTGTTACTGTGGCGTCAATTTCAAACCTCGGCGTCTCTGCGTTTATCTCATTTGAGAGATGTGGGTTGATGAGAACTTGAGTAGCCTGCATTGGAATATAGGCAGAACATAAGGCATCATGGAGAGGAGATGAAAATGCTCCAATGAGTGACTGCACTGCAGCTTCTAATAGAGTCGGATGCAAGTGGTAGTCTGAAAGAAGATTTTCTCCTTCGAAAGACACAGTGGCAACGGAATGGTGTGGACTTCTGGCCATTGAGACGATTTTTTGGAAAGCCCCGCGGTACTCAAGGCCAACGGACTGCAGTGTATGATAAAAGTCATCACAGTTGACATTAACGAGCTTCTCCAGCTGATTACCTCTTAGGGGAAGCTCTTCTGCAGAAGCAGGTCCAAAATGGAGTATAACACGCGCCGTACATGATCTTTCAAGGACTTCTGTTTGAGCACAGCATGTTTCACAAGTGAAGTAAGCTTCAAGATAACCGGATGAAAATTCTGTTGATGACTGGTGCAAGATGCTAAGAGAAGAAATACACTCAACCCCCGTATCTTCTTCAGTAAGCTCAATTACTTTCGAGACGACCAAATCTTGAATCTCCAGAAGAGCGATCGATCGTCCCGCTGCGAGGGACATGGCGGTCTCTACCAACAAGGCAATGTAACCGGTGTTAGGGAACAGTATTTTCCCCTTATGCCTATACTCACGAAGCCAATGTAGCTCGTTCAGATGGAGTATGTTTCTCCAGCGTGGGCTTTCATTTGAATCGTCGGGGATTCTTCGACCCAAAAGCGGATGGGACCGAGTACCCTCAAGACGATATCGCCGTGATGCGCGTGGCTCCCTCCAGAAATTTTGATCATGATCCCAGCTGTATGTCGGTAGGTCTTTGAGAAATCGCGGCAGTTGTGAGCTGATGGTCTGAAGGTATCGGGCGATGTCGATATGTTGTGGGCCGAAGATCTCCCACACAGCCCCTAGAGCAGAGGATGTAGCTTTCACATCATCTATATATCGTTTGAGAAGTGACAGATATGGAATCTTTTTGGCATTTAAAGAGTCACGGATATGTGAAACAGGGCCTTCCAGGGCAGAGTGAGGCCCAACTTCAACGCATAGATCAAAATCCCTTCCACCATTAAAATGGCTTTCGACGGCTTGAGAGAATCGCACTGGCTGTAGCATGTTATCAACCCAATATTGGTCCTTGAGAGTTTTCAGCCCTTCGCCATAGAAATCAAACGTCTCTTGGACAGTTGAAATCCATTTGCAATCTTGCTTGGGGGTCCGCACTTGGATGTTACAGGCCTTCAATGAAGACATGTATCTATCGGTGTGCAATTCCATGTGATGCGAATGATACGCTGTCTCAACCTTGAGTATTCTTGCAAAGACATTTTTGGCATCAAGATTTTCTTTGGCTTCTTGGATCGCATCATAATCGCCAGAAAGTGTCACGCTGGCAGGAGCATTGTACGCAGCGATGACAATGCGCCCTTTGAATGGCATCTTATCACACAGCTCCGTGGCTTGGGAAACATTCATGCCAACGGCCATCATGGCACCTCTATTCTTTATACCCGTACCAGTGGGGGGAGCCCACATGAAGTCCTCGGTAATATGCAATTTGAATGGCATGTTCGGCGCTGATGACCCCCGCCGCGTATGCAGCTGCAATTTCCCCAGATGAATGACCGATGACGCCGTCAAGTTCAATTCCAATTGCAGAAAGGAGGTCAACAATAGCTATTTCAATTGCTGTTGTGAGAGGTTGGCTGAATGTGGATTCAGATAAACGAGAGGATTCCTTGTCTGCCATGAGCTCGGTTCTCAGAGACCATGACGGTCCATCAGGTAGTAAAGCAAGAGCACATTCACAACGCTCAATAGAATTGGCGAACAATTGACATGACAGGATTAATTTTCGTCCCATTGTAGCCCACTGGGCACCTTGACCAGTGAAAATCCCGAGGACTTTCAACTGCTCAGATCGACTTCTTCGAGTCAGTGTGCCAAGCTGACCATTAATTTCCATCTGTGTCGCAGACGTTGCTAGCTTTAATTCCCCGAGAAGACTTTGGGGGGGAGTCTGCAGTGAGGCATATCTTGAAGCATAAGGCTGATCTTTTGGTAGCTAGACACCATGCCAGATCGTTGAGTTGTAATGATGGATTCGATTCAACGTATCTTGCAAGGCGTTCGATAGTTGCGATCAAGGATGGTCGTGAATTTGCAGAGATGAGAAATGGTTTTGCGATGGCGAAGCTATCTTTGGAGTGCTCATTGCTGAATTTGCGATCAGATCCACTCACATAAGCCTCGGCGCTCTCGATGATGGCATGGGCGTTTGCCCCTCCAAAACCAAACGAGTTTACACTGGCACGCAAAGGAGAGGTACCCTCAACTTTAGGCCATGGAATATTGCGTGTTGGTACGTTTAGATGCGTGTAGAATGGTGCAATCTTTGAGTTCAAGGTGTTGAAGTGGAGATTTGCAGTGATCGTTTCATGATTGATACACGATACTGCTTTCAAAACGCCCGCAAGACCCGCACATCCTTCCAAATGCCCGATGACAGTTTTTATAGACCCAACATGCATTTTTGTGTCTTTATACTCACCAGTAATTGGCTTGTCGGCAAAGAATGCCTGATGGATTGCTTGAGCTTCGACAGGGTCCCCTGCCTGGGTACCAGTGCCATGGCATTCGAAGTATTGACAGCGATCTCGAATAGGATCAAGGCCAGCATTCAAATATGTTTGTTTTATTAATTTGGTCTGGGCCTCTGCGTCTGGCATAGTGATGCCCGCAGAACGTCCGTCGGAGCTGACCAAGGTTTCCCGGACAATAGCGTCGATCACATCACCGTCCGCGAGTGCATGAGTCAGACTCTTCAGAATGACGACGGCACAACCTTCACCGCGGGCGTATCCATCAGCATCCTGATCCCACATTCGACATCTCGAGGTTGGAGACAACATATGGATCTTCGATTCGCTGATAAAAGTCCCAGGGTCTAGTAACAAGTTGACGCCACCAACAATAGCCATACTGGATTCGCCATTTCGTAGGCTTTGTACTGCTTGATGAAGAGCAACAAGCGAACTCGAACACGCGGTGTTGATTGTGAGTGAAGGACCCTTCAAATTGAAGCAATAGGATATTCTATTAGACAGCATAGTAGGGGCGGTTCCGGTAGCATGCCAGCGATTGATTGTCTCTAAATCGCGAGCCTGCATGTCATGGAAATCCGAGGTCATCACCCCCACAAATACCGACGTTGAGGAATTTTGCATCTGTTCCAAAGTGTATCCCGCCCTTTCAAAAGCCTCATAGGTGGTTTCCAGGAGCAACTTCTGTTGTGGGTCCATTGCCAGTGCTTCCATGGGGTTGATATTGAAAAATAAAGCATCAAAATTTTGATGACCATCTTCAAGTAGATAAGACTTGCCTGGAACATTCGTGGTGCCATGGTGGGTTCCGTCAGGATGATAGAAGCTGTTGAGATTCAATTCTTTGCGGCTATTCTCTCGCAGTACGTCTTTCTGGCTCTCGAGAAGGCCCCAAAGCTTTCCCGGGGAGTCAGCACCGCCTGGAAAGTGGCAGGCACTGCCAATAATGGCAATTGGCTCTTTCATCTTGTGAAGAGTCTAGATCACCCGAAGTTAATACTCCTGTAAATATCCTCGCTTCTCGAAGGGTTATAATTACCAAGGATTCCTGTCACTGGCTCTGTTCCCAAGAGTGAATGAACGCAAGGCCTATCGTTGAAAAGCAATGGCCGATGAGAAAATCACAGCAGGAAGAAGAAACTCAACATAAAAAAAATCCGAAAAATGACAATATGAGAAAACATTAATATTTGTAAATATCACTCCGTACAATTCTAGTTATAGGCGAAGGTGTTTTGTGATCTTCACCGCCTCTTCAATTATAGCTCTGGAAACCCTAGAAGCCTTGGGCAGGTCAGCTCCGTATGCGAGACCGTAGATTGGCTTTGCTAGGATAAATACGAGGTAGTAGATTACGTGCGACTTTAAATTAATGCATCCTTGCCTTCCAACTCAATATACGCCAAGGCCTCGAATTTTCATTGGCTCCTTCAAGCCTCCACCTTCTGGATTTGAAGCCCTTACTTATCAGTAATCGTATGGAGAATACTAAGGCCATCCAAGTACTATAATTATCTGCCAAGAATGCAACCACGTATTGAGGTGGTGGGCTTTTTCTCCCTCTCTTTTTTTATCCAGCCCTCCCTGCAGGAAGATAGATTTCATCCAAACCGCATGCAGCGGATGTCTCCGATGACAACAACTCAGGCAGCCATGTTAGCATGCAGTTCATGTAGCAGATCAACAGCCCAAAATATCTTTGAATACATTTTTCAACAGAAGTTGCCATTTGATCATGCGATGAAACATCATCAAGAATGCATATTCCACGCTATTGATTCTATGCATACTTCCCACCCGCAAATTTGGCATCTGCTGGGTGAACTCGTATGTGTATATTTCAATTGGCTCTTTGACCATGTTGCAGATCAACAAAAATGTGCCAGGCGTCCTGCGCTTGGCACGGCCTTAAAAGGCAAGTCCTGTCTTGACATTCGATTGTTATTCCAAAACCGAGCCCAATTTTCTACACTTCGCTCAATATGATCCGCATCCAGAGAAACGAAGATTCAGTGCCGCTCCAGACACTGTCCCGGAGCTTCAACTTTGCAAAAAAGGATGAGGCTAAGTGGTGGTGGAGTACCGCGCCTATGTTCGCTAACATTATGGAAAATTCCAACTACGATGTTCATGCGCAGTACGGCTTTCTCTGTGTTCACCGCGATTTCGTCATTCCAATGCTTGGACCATATCCCACCAAAGGAGATAAAATGGCGTGGAAGAGTACCTTAACACGCTTCGGGCTCCCATTCGAATTAAGTTTCAACTACTCGAAGTCATTGCTCCGGTTTGCCTTTGAGCCTCTGGGGCCTTCCACTGGCACTGATGAGGACCCTTTCAATACCAAAGCCATCTGGAAGGCGCTTGAAAGCTTTCAGGCAATTCTTCCAGGGCTCGATCTTCGGTGGTTTGGTCATTTCGTCCGAGAACTCGTTGTTTCAGATGAAGATGTTCAACAAATCCGCGATAAAGAGCTACCTGTTCCAATGTTCAAGACTCAAAACCAACTGGCCGCTGACCTGAATCCAGATGGTGGTATGATGCTAAAAGCATACATTTACCCACGGATCAAAGCCATGGTTAGGGGTGTGACAAAGGAAAACCTCATGTTTGAGGCAATCAGAAAGATTGACATTGACGGTAAATTAGCCGGACCATTATCGGTTCTGGAAACATTCATGGCTTCGAGCGACACTTTGATCGCTCATTTTCTTTCATGTGACCTGATCGACGTATCAAAGTCTAGAATTAAACTATATTGTTTCGAGCTCCAGTTAGATTGGGAGACTCTTTCCGCCATTTGGACTTTGAACGGGTTGCGCAATGACCCAGAGACAATCATCGGGCTTCAGTGGCTCAAAAAGCTCTGGGAGCTTTTGCCGATCACTCATGGTCGAGCCCCACTCCCCAACTGCTTTCATGAACCAGGCGACTCGCCCGATGAGCAGCTTCCGCTTATTGTCAATTTTACACTGTCGCCAAACAATTCGATGCCCGAGCCCCAAATCTATTTCCCTGCCTACGGGAAAAGCGATTTAGAAATTGCGCAAGGTCTAGCTACATTCTTCGATCATGTGGGCTGGTCCAGTTTGGCCAATTCATATGCGTCTGATTTGTCCTCATATTAGTTCGTCCTCTCCAATTCGCATGATTTTACGGGAGTAGACGAATGATTAACCATTTAATAGTCCAGATCAAGCTCTAGAAAACACGAAGCATATTCAAGCGTGGATCTCATATTCCACGAAGGGAACCAAGCCATATGTCAGTTCTTATCTTCATAGCTTTGAGGCGATGAACAAAAGATTTGATGGACGGCTGTCATGATCAATGCCCAAGATAATAACGGTGCTTTACGCATTCACCAATTATTCACATGGCATTCATGGAGCCAACTGCCTTATTTTGCTGAATCACTTTCTGTGCACGAGTCCTCGGTTTCGAGGCTATTTGTACCCCCTGCTGGCAAATATTACACATTCCCGGGTTGATTGGTGTAGGCTTAGATAGCTGAGGAAATATTCAACTCACATTATCCTTGAATATTTACGCAATAAACTCAAAATCAATGAATTTTTCCCAACTTTAGATAGTGTTTCATCGGTTTTTTTGGTTCCCCTAGGTGGCGTGAGCCTTGATTACCTAGGTACTCAATAACCTTCCTCGTCACTGGTAGCCTGCTAGTAGCAATTCTAAAATAATCGTCATGCCTCGAATGAAATCATTTAACTATTGGAACAACTTCTATCTTGTGACAGGAAACCTTTAGACTAGATCATCAAGTAAGTCAAGTAAATATTCGGGCGGCTAGTTGCCCGGTATAGATACGGCACTCAGGGTTTGGGACCATCCAGAGCAAATCCGAGACGAGAATCTCTCGTGATCTCCACAAGTTAATATGGCCACATCTATCATTGCTGTCATAGTAGTTTGAGTTACACATATGCAAGCCTCATTACAGAAGAACGATCCCAATGAGCAAATTTGCTCGCCCAATATTTACGGCTAGCCTAATCGAGCTTTATTGTATTTTACGGTTGATACAGTATCCTCGGTCAAGTATTTCCATGACTGGCACTTGGGCTGAGGAAACAGAGAATCCCTGTGGCTATCCATTTAGCAGATTGTTCTACATAATATTCGCGAAGAGAATTAGGTAGTGGTGCAGAATCGTTGGCATGTTAAATACTTGAAATACCAACAACATACAAATCTCCAAACGATATTGTGCAGAGAGACTGGGGTTTATCGCTCTAGTGATGTATACCTAACTCGTAATGACTTCGTAACCCAAATATTGAACATGGGTACCCTTTCCCATCCTTCCATTTTTGGTTTCGGCCCCTATCAAACGACCAAATCAAACGAGCTAGAACAAGACGTATCTCAACCCGAGCGAGGCTCTGAGCAATCCAATCCCGAGGCCTGTAGCTGGACGCCTGTGTGGCGTGGCGATCATCAGTATCATATGCCGGATCACCCAACCGTCTTTCGGGAATGAAACTTCTAGGATTGACAAAGTTTAGGCTATAATAGCTGGCGCAGTAATGCACAATATCAACTTGTGACCTACCTGAGATCCAATGACTATCGATGAAATATACAGGCTACCGTAAGCGACAAGGGAGGATTTGAAGCACCTCATTGATGCAAGCACCAAGATTTTTGAGCTGCCCGAAGCTAATAGAACGGGCTTCCTCGATATTTACAAAGTTCTCGCGTAACTCTTGGATGATCTTACGTTTGTCCTGCCGCTTTTGGTCAAGAAATTTATGAGAGGCTACAAAGGGCATATATAATATGGTACTGGAAACTTCTAGTCAACGAAGAGGTCAACTACTAATGTTAGGCAGCCACGTCCATAGTTTCCTCCTCATCTCCATCCTCTCTTTTCCATAGCACTGAATGTACAATTTTATCACTACTCCATACATTCCATATAACTCAGCGACGATCCATTATATCCACCGTTATCCAGATCACCGCTTCTGTCGCCAAAATGAATAAAGGCTTATTGTAACGGCATTTCAAGTTTCCCGGGAAGATGTGAGTTAGCATTTGCAGAATGTCATCCATGTCGAGGAGGTGTGGCTCGGCCAAAGTATTAACTCTGGAGAACACTCGTCTGAATGCTCTTCATTCTCGATTGACACAAAATTCTAACAAATCCAGGTCTATTTTTTAAAAAAAAAAATAAAAAAGGGGTTCAGAAATAAAGATCCTTTCTAGCTCAAACCGGTCACATTCCTGCTTCAACTAGCATATGAACAAGCCGCCATTGGACCACCGCCAGGCTGCACCGCTTCAGCATGGGGGGAAGAGCAAGGGGGGTGGCAAATTGCCTTTAGAAACTGTGTAGAAAGGTCAGGATTTGAATGATGTGGTTTTTTTCCATAGATGTATTAAGCACTGTCAACTAAATTACTGGCTGGCTTTATAAATAATTTGGAGAAGCCACCCTTGGAGTTATGGTTGATTCAGTACTCAAGTATATTCTGAACAGTGATACGCCAGAACTTCTTTCCTGATGGATTCTACTTGATTCCCTCTATCAGTATACATTGCTACATTAAATATGAAGATTGGAATCTAATTTTCGATGAAGATATCCGAGCGGTATGTTTCGTAATTGTCGCCCTCGCCTGTTGGCCAACCTGACGTCTGCAGAAAGGAGAAAAGGTCCCTGGCCTTGGCTAATATATCTATCATGGCTTACGCCAGTTCTGAACATGCCGCGTGAGAAGATAAATCGCATAAGATGATAAGATGAAATTTGGGAAGGAGGATATGATAACTTTCTCAATTACTTGGTATCTGCAGCTCTAGGTTGGAATCTGAAAACATCGCACTGGCAGGTGATAATAGGCCCTAGAATTAAATTATTGCTGACAATATCGTGGGCATCAACAGATCTGTTAAAGACAAGAAGATCCCGCTACTTATTGGCTCTATTCTCAATCGGCCAATACCCAAAATTGACGACATGGCTGGCGATAAGACTTACTTATCCTACCCGGCAGCAAATGGCAATGTAAATCCTGAACATACCCGAGGCCGATTATAGAGCTGCCTAGTAATTCAAATAGGCTTAACAGCACATGCTTTTATATCAGTCGAGCTCTTGGATGGAAATAGAACACCTGATAATCACCAAATTCCAATCTTGTTTCGGATTTCGCATTGCAGTCTGCGCTCAAGTCTATTACTTTGGATGTATTGGAAGAATCTAAAAGCGCCTTTGCATATTTCAGAGTAGGATGGAATGAAACAGCGATACGGAGGTTTTGGTCAGGTTCATTAACATGATTGAGACATTTTCCCCACAACACAAGTTATCCTATGAGAATGCAGCTTTTGAGGAAGAATTTCTGCGGAGGGGCTCTTGCATTTCTCGATGTGTAGATAGCTGGTAATCAGATGCGATTTGGAAGTGAAAGCGACAGAAAAAGCATCTGGTCAAGGTCTATGATGAATTTACCCCAATATATGAGGCTTTCCGAGCTTATAACGGTCTGGATAGAATGCAAGCATGATTATATAAAAGATATCGTCTCCCTGGATCCGTTTTATATCTCACATGTGGAAATGGCGCATTAGAAGCACAGCCATTATTTCTCTACCAAAAACATTCTGAATCGACATTTGAAGAAGCATAACTCGATAATCTTTGTTCAAGACGACTTTGGAAGCGTCTTTTGATTGGGTCATTGGATGAACTTATGATGGTAAGTCGTTTAATACTGAAATTTTTAAAATTCCAAAAATCCAGTGTGAATAGAATGTGAGAATCTTTCAACATGCTAGTTGCTTTAGAGCCATTTAGTTCCTGTACCTGGTTGATGTAATATCTTCCAGGGTTGGTTAGCACGAATTTGCATAGTTGCGAAGAATTCAATAACGATAATTTACGTGGACCTAAGCGAAGCCAATTTTGCAAATATGAAAGAGCGCAATCGACAGATGTGTACGAATTTTGATCATCTTTCAACACTGGAGAGGTTCGGAATTCCAAAAGGTTGGGAGCATGTGTGGATGGAGAGATTCTCTCGCTGACAATACGATATCGGTCTGACTGTGATCAGAAGCTCGTTCCGTTTCGGGAGACTGTGATCGGCATTTGATTGGAAATTTTAGCACCCTCAACTTCAGTCTTCAATAGAGTGTTTATAAATCTTTTCAAAAGTACAGGAATTCTTCTGAAGTTTTCTCCCGCTTTTTGGGGCACGGAGTTAGGTACCTTTGAGATGGGCAGAGACGAGATCCTGACAACTCTGCACAGTTCCGATAAACAAAGCAAGGAGGTGGTAAGATTAAAGCTAATTTGTAACCTAAATACGGTATTTGTATTGCTTGCTGTACCATTGCACGGCGATTGTAACATTCCAGGGATAAGCACTCCATGTCGTGTCTGTAGCCCGCATAGGCTATACGGGCGATCAGCTCCCTTGAAACCTAAAACCGTTCAAATCCGCCGTTTGTCGCCAGCCTCTAGGCCCCCGCCCCTGTCTATTGCTACTATCTCCCCTCTGAGTTCTTGGAATTTCCTTTTGCACTGTCTGCCTAGTATGTTTTTCTCCTAACATTTTCACATCATATATCAGGCCTCCATATTCGATTGATGCACCCACCTACTTTCTGGGTGAAACTCATCGACCATTGTTTCCCACATGCGTCAGCCTCAGATCTCAGGTGACGATCGTGTCAGGGAAAATGGACCATTGACACCTGAAAAGACAAACAACTTCACTCAGAGCTGTATAAGCGAGATCGATTGGGATGGACCAACAGACCCTGAGAATCCAGTCAACTGGTCAAGAAAGAAGAAATGGCTGAACATGTTTTCAATTTCATTTCTCACGCTTCTGACGCCCCTGACATCTTCCATCGTTGCTCCCGCACAGGGGCCCGTGATGAAAGAATTTCAAATCACAAGCAGAATACTAGCATCATTCGTTGTTTCGATTTACCTCGTTGGTTTTGCCTTCGGTCCCCTTTTCCTTGCTCCTCTTTCGGAAATATACGGCCGACTACGCATTTATCAGATCGGCACCTTTATTTTCGTGATATGGAATGTTGCAGGAGCGTTGGCGCCCAATATCGGTGCACTCTTGGCTTTTCGACTCCTGGCAGGGATTTCAGGAAGCAGTCCGATCACTCTAGGGGCTGGATCCATCGCGGACATGTTTGCGCTAGAAGAGAGGGGGCTAGCCTTGTCCATTTATGGACTCGGGCCATTGTTAGGTCCTATTATTGGTCCTATTGCAGGTGGCTTTCTTTCTGAAGCAAGAAGCTGGCGATGGATATTCTGGCTGCTGACGATTGTGGTGAGTAGTACTCGAAAGTGTTATGAATACATTTAGTCAGAATGAATGCTAATGGTAATCTACATATCCATTAATATAGTCAGGTGTCGGTTTTATCATGGTGATAGTCCTCCAGTCTGAAACTTACGAGCCGGTCCTTCTCCGAAAGCGAGCCGATCGAGTAAAAAGGGAACTGGGACACTCGAATGTGCGCTATCGAGATGAATTGCGACTTAACGCCAAAGAACTTTTTCTTCTCTCGATTACCAGACCGCTGAAGCTTCTTTTTCTAAATCCGAGTGTGGCACTATTTTCGCTTTACACAGGTACTGTTCAAGTTGCTGCTATCGATACAGAACGAAGTCTAACCAATTCGTACAGGTGTAATGTTCGGCTATCTCTATCTCCTGTTTACTACAGTGACCCAGGTGTATGAAACAACATACGGTTTCAGCCAGGGTGCTACTGGCCTCGTATTCATCAGCATTGGAGTTGGATCTCTCTTTGCGCTTGTGTTCTTCGGATTATGCTCAGACAAGCTTCAAAATGCCCTCATCGCGAAGAATGATGGCCAGGCCGAGCCCGAGTTTCGTCTTCCGCCCAGCATTCCAGGCAGTTTTCTCATTCCGGTCGGCCTCTTCTGGTATGGCTGGTCTGCTGAAATGCATGTCCATTGGATCATGCCTATAATTGGACTGGGCTTGATTGGCTTCGGGATGATTGCCTCTCTATTGCCGTTCCAGGCATACCTTGTGGATTCATTTGGCAAATACGCCGCCTCGGCCATTGCTGCGAATACTGTCTTTCGCTCGTTAGTTGGCGCTTTCCTACCCCTCGCCGGGTCCTCAATGTATGCCCGTCTAGGGCTTGGTTGGGGAAATTCATTGCTAGGATTTATCGCAACAGCAATGTCGCCCTTGCCAATTATTTTCTTCATCTATGGCAAGCGAATCCGTTTGAACCCACGATTCCAAGTTTCACTGTAGCCTCAGCCGCCGAATCCTCTACCCAGGCAATCCCAAAGGATTTCCTCACTATGATGAGCTAATCTGCAGTCTACAAAAAGTATAAAATGGCAGATAAACAGCGAAATATATCCTCATAATTTAAACATCGTTGTGATATGAGGCTGGTGCAGATCAGAAACCAAGCCGCATCATCGGAATCAATCCCGAGGTGTCTATATGAGCAACCAAGTTGATTGGAAATCAACTTATTTTTCTCGTTGTACATATAGCCTCATGTTTCTCTCTAAATAATTAAAACATGATTCATACCTCTGAAATACAACAAACATATATAGAAAATAGACAGCTCACTAGAAAGTAATTAGATTATATACTGAGTTTACATCCACCTCGTTACGCTTGATCACTCTCGATACACCAATATGGATGGCCTATATCACAGTACCAGGCGCGGCAAGACCCTTTTTGTTCCTCAGGGATCCGGTGTAGTCTACTTGATTGCATGGCGGTGAGGAGCTTCTAAGTATAGGCAGTATTCGCCCCACTACCTAGACTACAAGCATTTTTTCCAAGGTAGACGGCAAACACTCTGTATGGTAGGATCACCTTTAAAAGTCCAGAAGTGTCTGAGTTCATATATGATCTATATCCAGGTCAATTTCTAGTATCTACAGTCTCTTTAATGTATTGACTCTGCTAGCCCTCCGATATGAAGAACACGGCAATGAGGCAGCGAGAGGGAGTATCGGTAAGATGTTTTAGGGTGCGGAAGATACTGCGCTTGTGGAAGCTGCTGCACCTATGGAGGCTACTGCGCTTGCGGGAGATGTCGCGGCTTCTTGAATCTGCTCTGGGCTTAGAATGGATATGTACGGATACAGCATGCCTCCTGGGTACAGGAGTGTCCAGCAAGCCATGCATGTACAGCTCGTAGATGTTAGGGCCACTGTAATGACCGTCTTCCACGCTATCAGTCGACAGTTTCACGACTTTCGAATCTATATTGATTAGCCGACGCAACTTAACTTGAGGGACATGCTTTCAATATTACCGAGCGAAACCAACCTCCTTGCTCACACCAGTCTTGTCATCGCGAATGATCTTCTCGGAGACCACGCGGTAGGCTCTGAGTGATGACGAAGATCCAGTGATGCTAGATGTCCGGTGTAATGAACAGAGGCTGTTACTACTACTGCTGCCTGCGTGGACACCTTAGTCATCTACTTAGGCATCCACACCATGCCCATGTATCTAGTTCCTTCCTTTCGTCGCTTCTCTCTTTTCTTCTTTCTTCCTCTCCTCAATTCAATCTATCTTGTTCTCTACTACTGCAACCTCGCCTACGCGCGTAACCGTATCTGAGCATCCTTACATCCGGGAACAGAGTGACATCTCTTAAATATTAGGGCTGCTATAATGACTATCATCCCCGGTGCCAGTCAAGCATTCGGCCGTTGTAATAATCCGATCATCCCCAACACATACCCGTGCCTTAATCTTTCATTTTCGGTTCTCCTTGGTTTCCTCCAGCTTTGCGTACACAACAATGGCACCAGGGGTCGGAACTGGACCCAAGAAATTGGTATTCAAGTACGCCGTTACTGTCTTAGAGCCTGACTCGAGAGCTTCGTCGTCGCTAGTTTTGTACTTGCTGCAAAGGACGAGAATGCCTGTGTATTCGTCCAAAACAGTAGTCACGATTCTTCCGTGGAGGATACCAGAGTAGCCATTGAGGTTGCTACCCAGAATGAAAATCATGCGGATTTCGTCTACGCTCCTGGTTTGACCGGACCCGGAGGTAAGTGTCGGCCGTCGATACTGGGAAAAAAAAATCCCGATAGTGTAGCATTTGATTTGAGGGTGACTGAAAAAAAGACTATCCTCATTTGAGGACTGGTTAAGGACTTTGTGTCTCTGTCATAAATCTCAAAATTGAGGAGATCATGCGAGTCATCGAAGTTGCTTGAGCTGAACATCGAATTGCTTTCAAGAAATACAGAGTCGCTCGCAAATTGAACGGAGGTCGAACTTGATGCTGTGATAGGATGGAATAAAAAGGTCTTCTCTGAGGAAATCGGCGAGCAGTACGAACAGATATCTTATTTCTTGTTTGTCTCCGACGAAGTGAGATCTGAAGGATTCAGGTAGACAGATCGAACGGAGTCTGCGGGCAGCAAGGGCAATCAGAGCGTTTGGTTTCATGATGGTGTCGTAAAGCAATGGTCTTTCAAAGTTGGATGGAAATTCTGGTAATTCTCGTTCGAAGTTGGTAAGCTTGTCAACTCGTTCTAATCAATAGAAATGAACGAGCCCTGAGCTTCACAAGAGTCAGGGATAATTCGGTAGAAACAGTGACAGGATTGACAATGGGTATTGTCGAATCTTGTAATTTGGCCTGGTTATCGCGAAATGCTGCCTTGAACAAAAGTACGTCATTATACCATCCCTAGGACTTCCCTTGCTAATCGTGGATTTCAAGGTTTTGCTTCAAGTCGCTGACAAGCTACCAGCTGGCAGAAAGACCTCAATTTCGCGGGAAATTTTGAGAAAAGCGATATATTCCCTTCCAACCTTCGATTTACATTGCATTAGGGTTCCGGAAGATCTTATATCCCAGTCGGAATTAAACAAATAAAGTTGAACTGAGTGGGCTCGGGCCTGCAACGATCTATAACTAGCGCGATCCACGATCGATTCTAAACCAAACCAGTCAACCTCGGCCCCAGCCCTCTTCCACTTCCAACACCTCCAAGATGAACGGGCTCACCTATGTTTACTACAAAACCATTGTGGTGATTATCCGCTTCCTCTGGGATGTGATAAGCTTTGTGGTTCGCCGACCATCCCCCACCCCCGATGGAGTCCTCCATATCCCCTCCCGCGACTCGGGAAGAACAATCAAGGCCCATCTGTACCATTCATCATCCGCCGCGTCAGGCCCCCAACCCGTGCTCCTGAACTTCCACGGCAGCGGATTCATCCTCCCCCATCACGGCACAGACGACGAATTCTGTCGACGAGTGAGCCGCGCCACCAAATACACCGTGGTAGACTGTTCCTACCGACTGGCCCCAGAAAACCCCTTCCCTGCAGCGCTGAACGACGTCGAAGATGCGGTGAACTACATCCTCAGTCGACCAGACGAGTACGATGCCACGCACTTCTCAATCGGCGGCTTCAGCGCCGGAGGCAATCTCTCCCTAGCAGCCTCGGCTTGTCTCTTCCCGCCAGCCACCTTCCGCTCATTAATCGCTTTCTACCCAGCACTCGACCTGAGCAGCCCTGCCAAGTCCAAGATTGCACCTAACCCGGCCGGAATGCCCATTCCGGCCCCGTTGGCTCGCCTGTTCAATACGTGCTATGTGCACGCCGGTATTGACAGGCGCGATCCGCGCATCTCGCCCCGGTTTGCGGAGCTGGAGCGGTTCCCAAGGCGCATGCTGGTGATTACGGCGGACTGTGATACTCTGGCTCCTGAGGCGGAGGAACTGGCGACCAAACTTCAGCAGAGACAGGGATGGCATGTGGTCTGCGAGCGCATGGAGTCGTGTAACCACGGGTGGGACAAGCACACTCGGGCCGGACCCCCGCAACTTCAAGCCAAAGAGCGTGCTTACGGGTTGGCTATTGATCTGTTGAAGGAGTGACTCAGGTGATATGTACATTCAAGTTTCCACGCACATACTCTTTGTTTCTTTTCTCTGTCATTTTCCTCTATCTCTGGTACTGCTGTGTGATCTCATTCAGAGAACTGCCGCGTGTACCTGGCCTGATCCATTCCAGTTTCCATTTGACCGAACCCATGGCTCGCCACGGATCCGCTCGGGGCAACCCTAGGGTTAGGGGAAGTGGATGTGGGCTAATGAGCTAATGGGCGAATGGGCTGAGCTAATGAACTAATAAGATCAAGGGTGAAGAAAATGTCCATTAGGGTGAGACAGGGGGAGAATGCCGAAATGAACGGGCCGAATATCTGCCACATGCTTGCATCAGGATCGTCCCCATGGATCAATAGTCTACAAAAAATGAATTAAGGCGGGAACATATGTCCAAATGTAGAAAAAGTAAAAGAAAGAAAAAATGGAGGTAGAAGAGAGGAGATTTCAAATAAAAACTTGAAGACGATCCATAGTTACCTTTACCTATTCTGTTAGATCCTGTTTTTCTCCCCTCGTGGCTTGCACCCCTCTTGACCCCCTCGAGGCGGAAGTCCACCTGGACAATATCCATTTGCATCTCCTCCACCTACTCACCCCCTATTGCACGGTGCTAGTGGATGCTGTCAGTGTGCCCTCGTCCACCGTGCTCGCAGTGCCGTGGACGAGTCCGTTCCTTTCATGAACGCGCATTCTCAACCCCTCCAGTACATGCGCGCCCGCTGGCTGGCGCTCCTCTCCAAACCTTTGCATACTAGGACCGAACTGTACATATCCTAGGATAATAAAGTCATGGATGACCCGCCCCCGCCCGTTGCGCCCGTCCTTGACGAACAAAAATACCGAACAGATGTCCTCCACCTCGACTCGGCAGACGCAGAACAAGCGCGGGCGCAACAACTTGCCGACGAAGCGCGCACTCTCGGCCTGAAAGTTCCTGACATCGAAGCTGCGGCTCCGCTGGCCGCCTCGATCGCCTCAGGAATGGTCGATCTTTCCTCGCCAGTCCTCTCATCAGGCTCATCGACTGATCGGAATTCCCTCGCCGATGGCTCCGTCACCCCCTCCTACGAACCTTCCTCTCCGTCCCCGCTCGATCAAGTCGTCTCCTCCCCGTCCTCAATCACAATTGCCTCTGAGCGCGCGAAGCCTGGCAGTACGCGCTCGCTCGCTTCGCTCTCCACGAGGCCGACCTCGTATTGTTCCAGCGAGAGCCGGACGCTCCCCGGCGCCTATGCGTATGGTAAAAATGCGGATAGTTTGTCGGTTCCCGTGAATCGCATGTCAATGCTCAGCGTTGCGTCGGCGGACAAGAAAGAGAAACGAAGAAGTAGCATTAAGAATGCCATTGGACGGATCCAGTTTCGCAGGAAGCGGCCCTCTAGCGCCCTGCTCCCGCCGGATTCACAAGTTCTAGTCTCAAAGGGCGACACGGGCGTGGACCATGTATACCTCGAGCAAAAGAAACAGGCACCAACAAGCAACGACGTGCTCCCCCGTCCGCCAACATCAGAATCTCTCGCGAAATTGGAGGTCCCTCTCTTCGATCAGGAATCGCTGCAGAGAAGCTTGGATGACCCAGAGCTTAGCGAGATGTTAGAGCGACATCGATTGGAGAAGGACAGACATATGGCATTCCAAGATGCCGCCCTCAGCATTGCGCGGCAAAGACATCAGACCGCCATTTCGGACCGGTATTCAGACAACGAGCGTCTGGAGGAAGAGAAGCGTGTTAAGGTTCGTTAAGCCCTTTTGTCCACTTAACATTTGAAACCGGACTAATCCAAACGAAACAGAACACAGCTGCCGCCAGTCGACTAGAGGAGCGCCAACTCGCCATCGAAATGGAACAGCAGCGGGAATTTGAACGCGCGAAAATGAACTCGCGCACTCGCATCAAGCATATGGAGGGTTATTTCCGAAATGCCAGTCCCCCGCCTTCGCCTTCCCCCAGCCTAAGCACAGCGCAACAATCTTCCGAGTCGATGATCTCCGAGACAAACGGGACCCCGCCAGCCCGCCGCATCACGCAGCAACAGAAAGAGCAGCTCGAGCAGCAATACCACGCGCACGAGTCAATGGACGCCCTCCACGAAGCCCGCATCAAGGTCCTCCGAGACCGGCAGGAAATGAAATTATCGGACGCTATTGAGCGGATGGAGCGCGAACTGGACACGCTGTGCGAGCAGAATATCAAGAATATCAAAACTTTGCAGGTTGAGCATCGGGACGAGGAAACGGCTGTTATCAAAGCGTTGGATTCGAAAAAATTGGAGCTGCAGCGTCGTTGGCATTTGGAAGAAGCTATTTTGCGCCACGGGCTTGAACAAAGAAATGGGCTTGTCTACGGACCCCTGCCGGTGATCTCTTTCAGCGTTGCTGTTGCTGTTGCTGATGATTCTGAGGCCGAGGCTAAGGCTGACAGCCCGGAATGTGCTATTTCTGTTTCGGAGGCTTCGTCTGTTGCTGCTGGGCAGATTTAGTCTTGTGGCTATTGATCTTTGCTTCCTTTTTGCCAGTTTGGTTGGTTGGTGATCTACTTCGCATCTACCCACCCGCCTTGATACCCATCTTTTGTTGAAAAGCCTATTCGCTTTTGGCACTTTCATCTGTACTGATTTCTTTTTCATTCTCACGCCCTTAGCTTTCTTGTAATCACCTTGTGTTTATGTGTGAATATTTGTCAAAGTCCTTGGCTTGACTTGTCTATATCGCATTGCGGCGGCTCTTTGGTTCCTGATGTGCATAGCATTTGTTTCTGGGATACCTGTGGACTAGGTACGGTTCTCATAGAAGTGGTTCAATAATTTCAAGATCATCATTTCTCATTCTCGTATCAAGGATGCTGAGCATCGGGTATCATATTAAGTAGTAGGTATTACATTCTTCGCTTCATCAAAGTGCCCGGATAGGAACCATCAGCCAAGTCAGCTCTTGCGAGCAACCCTGACTTCAAAGATCGCAATCCATCTTCAAACACACTCATGAACGCGCCTCCAAAGCCTCAAGCTCCTTCAACCGCTCAAAAAGCGACTCAATCCTCCCCCCACCACCAGTAACAGCATCCTCAACCACCTTATCCCGACCACGATCATTCATAAAAACAGCCCGCTCCACAAGCCCAGCATTAGACAACTTGAACCGTCCAAGTCGACCATCCTCCCACTCCATCCGCACATACCGCGCCTCGACAGCCGTAGCCTCCAACCCAACAATCCCCAAATCATTCCGAGAAGCACCCCCCCTCACCCCACTGCTTCTCCTCCCCTCCTCCCCCTCCTCATTCCCAGCATCAACATCACGATCCAGCCCCAACTTCTCCCTCAAAAACCCCACCCGCCTCACAACGAAGATGCCACGCCACCAACTCCCTCCTCAACTCCCTCACAAACCCACGCAAATCCTGCCTTCTCGCACCGCGCGAACTCTTCAAAACACCACCCTCACCCTCCTCCTCCCCCTCCTCATCCTCCACCCTCCGCCGCGAAGACGAAGCCAAATAAACCCCCGCCAATCTATCAACAGCAATAAACGCTGGAATCGTATGCCGATGAACACACATCTTCATCTCTTTCTGTTTGCCCTTCCCCTCTTGTCTCAAGAGTACATAGTAAGGTTTCACGAACCGGCCGCGCGCACAAATATCTATCCGTACACCCAACAGATTCGGCGCGGGGCTATTCGGCGCGGGATCTTTGAACGGGAAGGCCGTTGCGCCGAAGGCGATGCGGTGGTGATTGGTGGATGAGTGGGCGCCGGCTGCTGTTGCTAGTGGGGAGAGGTCTTCTTTTAGGGTGGTGGGGGTTTTGGCATTGGTGTTGGTGTTGGCGTTGCGGAGGAGGGATTTTATTGTTGGGGTGGTGAGGAGGCTTGTTGTTAGGATTCTTTTGCGGTGGGCGAGGGTTGAGACTGGGGGAATGTTTTAGCTGGTGTTTATTTCACTTTTTTGGGGGCGTGATGGGATAGGATGGGATGGGCGTACTCTCTGCGCGAATGGTGTGGATCTCGGCGTCTAGGTCTTTTTCTTCGGGGCCTGGAGATCCCGGGTTGTGCGCTTTTTGATTCATGGTGTTATTTATGTGGAGGGGTGTTTGTTGGGTGTCGTTCTGGGACCCCGCGATGTTGTGGTGAGGGAGTTGTTGTGGTTGGTGATGGTGATGATGTAGATGGCCGCGCTTTGTTTACATCCACGTGACCCGCTATCACCGCGGTTCCGAATTGCTTTCCCCCGGCTTGAATGGTTGGACATTCTTATATTTTCTTGCCGGTGCGTTTAGGGGTATTTTACGAACGGCGTATTTATGTCTTGTTTTTTTCGATATTTTGGGTGCATTAGGCTTATTGATGTAGCTTTTCGTCCTTGATCCATGGATACCCACTCACTAACTGGTTAGTTACAGCATGAAGTATACAACTGTGACATGTGAAATTTTGACCTGGCTGAGAGGATTTTGATGCTTTTTAGATTACGAGCAAGATTCAAAAATGTGCAAAAAAACCGACCCATATATTCAGTTGGGATAGATTTACGGGTCAGAATCTATATCATGTCGCGAGTCCTTTGAATTCGATGGACATCCAAATCCAAGGTTTCAAGTTATTTTAAGCTCGATTGTTGGCCTCAAGCACCAGACAACCCGATCTTACCCTATGAGCGGGGCCTCTGGCACAACACAGTGGGTACCTGCTTTCGGGCCGCCTGGTCTCAAACCTAGTTCAAGTTGGTGGAGACCAGATGCTTTGCGGGCAACTTGAAGCGAAACAACCTTGGAAGTGCTTGCCTCAGTATCGTTGATTAACCGTGGTCTTGCAGGTCTCAAAGAGAGCCCTGGTAAGGGGTGGAGAACTTGAAACTTGAACTCTTTATTGGCAAAGACCCGGCGCTAACTGACTGCTCCGAGTCGTCCTATTGCACTGTGGTTAGCCGAGAGAGTAATTTCCGGAGTACCAGCTAGTCTGTAATTCCCCTCTCTCCACTATTGGGGGCCGTTCAAGTCGTCCTGCATGAACAAATGCGCATTTGGGGAACGGCCCGCACCTGAAGTGTTCCTGTAAAATTTTCTCTCCAAGCTGTTCTCCCTAGCCATCGATTTACGCGTCGTTATTTAGCGACACCTAGTCATGAGGCCATGGGTTTCCGCAGTTCTCGGGGCACTGGCCTTGTGCCGTCAAGCATCATGCTCAGCAGGTGATATTTGCTACATCTCTGGGCCCAGGGGTATGACAGCTTACTCACTCGGAATCGGTCTTGAAGTTGAAGTTATTGATGCTCATTCGCTACAGTTAACCTCATGGACGATCGATTATATTTCATGGGCGGGAATTACAGCACAGTTTCCTATGATGGACAAGTGATCGAGCCCAGTAAGCTCTCCTCGCAGGAACGATGAATCGCGGTACTAAGAAGGCAGGCTCGACCTTATATTATATGGATCTCGACAGTCAATTCCCCGTTGAGAGCACGATTCCCCAGTCCGCACTTCATACCAGTGCTATCAGCTCTGACATCAATGTCGCTCATCAAATGACTGAATACCCAGGATCTAACGGCGCAATGTGGAGAACGAATGACAGTATGTACTTTTTTGGTGGTGGATTCGATACCGCCATCGACACAGTTTCATTCTACAATGTTTCATCTGGCAAATGGAAAGAGGTCGAGGTAAGCGGTGGAAAATTCAACTTTGGGAATCGGTCGACTGCGCAATCTGTCAGTGTTCCAGAATTGGGTCTTGGGTTCATCTTTGGTGGGAGTGGTCCTTACATGGAAGGCATGATACGATTCGATGCATCCGATCCGAACAATCTGACATGGACGAATGAGACTCTCGATCATGGATCTCACGGCTTCAATGTGCCAAACCTAAACGCTGGCACTCTCCTCTATATTCCAGCCAGTACGGAGGGAATGCTCATCAGCTTTGGAGGAGGAAATGTTAGTTATCCCTCTATCCCGCATCACAACATGATTTGGATAATCTTCCGCTCTGACCTTGCTAAATTACGGATCAGGTCACCGAGGGATTGAGCCCTGATTCAGGCTGGCCCTATCCTGCTGATTGGGATGCTGTTTACATATACGACATTGCTTCTCATACATGGTGGATGCAAGAGACGTCCGGTAACAGCGACCTACCCGTTGACCTAGATATGTTCTGTGCTGTTGCTGCGGTGTCACCCGACCACAGCGCATTCCATATCTCAGTCTACGGTGGATGGAGCTTGACAGACCAGCGCGCGTATGAAGATGTTCGAATTCTTTCGATTCCATCTTTCCAATGGATAGAAGCAACCGAACTATCAAACAAGACCAATACAGAGCAGCAAATTAATTCGACTATTGGTCGCAGTTCTATTGGCGAATGCCAATTGTTTCAGGGTACACAGATGATCGTCCTTGGAGGCGATGTACGCGCTGGGGCATATTCGCTCACAGACGGAGCATGCAGCAACGCGTTTGAACCTGTGCGCGTTTTGGATCTCTCGACTTATGAGTGGCAAAAAAGCCTCAATACCAGTGCTAGCTATGAGGTTCCATCAATCATCTACAACAAGATCGGCGGGGGGTAAGTTTCGAAGACAATTACTTATAGGTTTCAAATTAACGATTATATAGACCTGCTGGAGGAGCGACGGTTACAGTGCCTGTCTCGGGCTTTGCAGACGCTACACTAGCTTCCTTGATACAGAAACGTGTTCCCGGATTCGAAATAACAACATCGTCTCAGTCAAATACGTCTCAAACAGCCTTGTCTCAACCATCAACCGAGATTTCACATGGTAGTAATGCCGGTGCAATTGCCGGTGGAGTGGTTGGCGGAGTGGCTGGATTAGCGGTGGTTATTGCCTTAGTTTGGTACATTTTGCTTCGGCGTAAAAGGCGTCTCCAACTTGAAGACAGTCAAACGAACCCCGGGCCATTCGCGGAGCCTTGTGAACTATCAGCAGAGGCGCATGCTGAACTGGCCTCGAAATCGGATATGCATGCTGAAATGCCGGGTTCGAACAAACCAGTTGCTGAATTGGCTTAATCGGGACGTTGAAATTCTTTCATGAATATTTCCAAGGTTGAATGCCCAGAAACCTTGAAATGGACTACTAGTAAGAGAAATCATAGAGGTCCATCTCGAGTCCAGGGCTGTCAGTGAGCAGGGTTTCCTTCCCTCCCCCCTCTTTAGATATATTTTTCTTTTTACTAACTTTGCCTAGGTAAGATTTAGATATATTCAATCTCAAGGTCTTGGAATAGATCCAATACCGAGATTCTGATCTTGGGATGTGTTGTTTTGAACTTGAAGTACGCGACGGCACGCGTTAGTACGTACCTAGGTAGGCAATTCCAAGTCTTTGAATGCACTCTTTTTTTCCTTTACTAACTTCCAAGATTTGGACTCTAGGTTTAATTTGACAACCCCACATTCCCGCAGTCCGTAGTGTGTAATTTAATACAAAAAAGTGGCCCTACAGTGGAATGTAAAAGAGACATGGTATTTAAATACAAACACAGACACGGACTTCGAGGAAATATCGTACTGGTATATCTTGATAGGACCCTAACATATTGCGGTCTGATATACAAGATCCCCAAGTTGCCTGGAGACGGTATGGTATTGATCCTAATAGAACTTGAAGAGTCGGAGTCACGGTCTTTGTGATATTCTTCGCCTTCACTTCTGTGCTGTGCGCAGCATATAGTCAATACCAGTGCCGCCGCCACAATGGTCGAAACACTTTCGTATGGAGACATTTCCGGTCATGCTGGTCCATCGAAAATGTCACTTGCTTGAATTGCAGTATTTCTGACCAGGCTTGTTGGCTTCAGAATCCTTGTAATGGTAATCAGCATAGGCCCTGGAGCCCTGGAGTTTGATTCAGAAGCTCGGCGAGGAGCAATGACCTCCACTACCTAGGTAGTTATATGTACCGCTTGGAAAACAGCCAGATCTAAACTTGTAAACTTCCAAGGTTGAAGGCAAACTTAAATATTATCTCCAATTCCAATACTTTATGCATTATCAATGATAACTTTTATGTTTTCCAACTTGAACTTGTACCTTAGCATCTCTGAGCGATGAAGGGAACTTGAATATAGGAATATCATTGAATGCCCCTGCTCAGCTTTTTGACTTATGAGTCATAGGCTATACTGAAGCCCATTTAGACTACAGAATTATCCAATATCAGGTTTTTTAGAGACTCCTATATTCAACTTGAGGTTTAGACAGCACGACTGTTCATTCAATATCACATGACCTCATACATCAGCATTGGATGTCACATGATGCATCACGTAAGAAGGAGACATTTTGTGATTACCAACATCGACTTCGCTTTTTAGCTGTTCCCGTTATTTCGTCTCCAGCTATTCCTATTAAAGCCGCTTTCATGGTTGGGAGTTTGGATCATTCCCTGCCAGGACCTGAAAACCAAGTGGAGCCGCAACATCGCCATCGCCAGAGACGGCTTCAAGTAGCCCGAGCGTGTGATGCTTGTCGGCTTCGCCGCACCAAGTGCGACAATGGCATACCATGTTCAAAGTGCATAGCACGTGGAAACCACTGCAGTAATAGTGGTTCGGCCAAGACCTCAACTCTCACAGAAGCCTCCGAAGAGATTGCTCGCCTTAGGCAGAAAGTTCAGGAACTAGAAACAGAGCTCAAACGACAGGCTTTTGGCCAACAGAACCTACCAAGTCCTGCATCGTCACAATCATCACTGCCTTCGGCTCGTGTCTCTACGGGAAATATCCCAGGCCCTGATTTAAGAAGGTACTGCGATGGTATTCAATTTAAACCTACGCGCTCCTCTAACGAAACATGGTTTGGGCCATCATCGCTTTACTCTTTTATTCAGGGTCTTAGCGAGTCTCTCGGTCTGGAACCGCGAAAGGAAAATTCCGCCCAATGTTTGCATCCTGTAACAACCAGTGATCACAAATTTCTGGACGTCCCTGAGTCGGGTCTCCTTGGATGTACTAGCCGTCCATGGGCACCTCCAGCCGAGGATATTCCTAATTCGGGGGTTTACTTGAGTCTCATCCAAGAGGACTACTTTTTAAATCTTTATTGGCAAACTAACCATACATCGCGTTTTCCGATTGTGGACGAGACACAGTTCAAGAATCATTATCAGTCTCTATTAGTGGGTGACGGACAGGATCGGAGACCCTCAGCCCTCGTCGATATTATAATTGCCATGTGCATGCAATATGCAACCTCCACAATGCCTGCAGGGGCCCAAGGAATTCTTGTTGAGGGGAACGATTCGCTAGTTGCGGGTCGGTGGCACTATTGGCGTGGACAAAAGCTGCTTAAACATGAGCTTGACAGTCCATCATTATCAACATTACAATGTCATCTGCTTTGTGCAGTCTACATATGTGGCGGATCTTTCCACAATATGATGATCAGCACTGTGGGTCTCGCTGTAAGCACTGCTTATATGCTTGGTCTGCACCTGGATCCCCCGCCGACCATGTCCGAAAAGGATCGCGAGATGCGCAGACGGCTGTGGTGGGCAGTCTACGTCATGGACAGCAAATCTGCAATGAAGCTCGGTCGCCCCTTTCTGCTATCTAGCTCCCACGCCATGCCGTCTCTACCCAGTGACGATCTCACGGCCGCTGCGAGCTCCGGATCCATGTTTGCTCCTATCGGACAAAATGCTACATGGCTGAGCTACAATCTACATACGGTCAAGCTTTACATCGAAGCTCGAACAGCCCACACTGCCTTTTTCGATCAGTATATCCATATGCCAGCGGGCCAAGCTTTATGGGCTGATCATAAAACCCAAGCCTCCAGTGCGAGACTTCTAAACACACACGCCCAGAACTTTCAGGAATGGGTCGATGGTGTTCCTGAATCTCTGAAATTGAAGCGTCAAAACAATGGTCGATCTTTGTCCACGGATCTCACCCCTATTATACTTGAGCCATTTACCCCACCTTGGCTGCAGCGACAGCGCTTACTCCTTGAACACACATACCATCATCTCAGCGTGAACCTCTATCGTCCATTCGTATCCTTCACCTTGAAACCGCCGGCGGGTTCGATGGCAGAGGAACTCGCCATGAGATGCGCTTCTCATGCGATAATGTTGACGATGATCACGCACCAGACGCTCACAGAATCGACGCACTTTGATGGATGGCTCGAGGTCTTCTTCTGCCAGTGGAATGCACTTATGACCCTTGTTGGGTTTGTGGTGTTGTTCCCGTCTTCGACCTTACTCAACCAGGCTAAGCATGCAATCGAACTCGCTACCTTGGTGTTCGATAATTACGGTGCCAAGTTTTCTGCTGCTGCAAACGCAGCGAAGATTGTTCGTGATCTATCCGTCAAGATTGAGTCCCTCGCAAAGCCCAATGCAACTGGGTCCAACGCTACGATATTACCTCAAGACTTCGAAGCCAGCTCCTCATCGGTGTCAGTTGATCAAACCCTGCCATCCCATGATCTTTTTGATGCACCGGAGTTCAACCTATTCGACATGGCTGTCGACATTGATTTCTGGAATAGTGCTGAGGCGCTTTGGCCCGGCCTTGACGACTTTTCACAATTTCAATCAGAAATATGAGTGAAGAATGATCTGGTGCCCAGGTGCCTACGTTAATATAGCTATTGTGAATAATGAATAAACTACGACTTTTTATTACGAGTCCGAGTCGATGATGTTTGATCGGCGACCACCTGGGCAGAATGCATTCAAACGTGTTTAAGCCCTGGAGTAAACCAGCCTGAAGCGTGCTTCTCTTCGTACCCGCCCTAAATCAGACTATGAAATTACTAGTAAGTTTACCTATATACTGTTCCAGTAGCTTCAAGTTTAAACAACTCTCTAATTGGCCCATCAGTCTTCATCAGTATTTTCGGATAATTTTTACAATTCCAAGGTTTGATGGCCAATCTTACTAGCCTGCATCGGAGGTACGGAGTTGTGAAGACAACTTGTAAGATACGACAGGAAGCAAGCCGTGTGGGGGGGTGAGAACAAAAAGATTCGCACGAATATCATTGGATGCGTTCACGTATTCTACGTCATTCTAATGGGACTCCACAATCCGAATCCTAGGTGAATGGGCCAGCGTAATCCGACCTATCTACAAAGATGCTGGAGTTGCGGAGTCGCGGAGTCGCGGAATGTCGGAGTCGCGGAGTTACAAAGGTCCCAATAGAACAGGTGCTGGAACCAGACGCTAACCCATTTTAGGCCATTTCAAATCCGGAGTTACGGAGTCATGGTGCAGTCCAAACTAAACGACAATGACTATAAATCCTCGTCCACCTACACCTTTTTACATCAATATTCAAACAGTTCCACAGCTTTCTCTACTCAAGAAAACAGCCACTACTCCAATACCTTCATAAATTAAAAATGTCTCCCGCTCGCAAGGCTCTTATCAGCATCACTTCGGCTCAGGCCACTCTCCTCCAAGGGGAAACGACCGGACTATTCATCAGTGAAGCCCTTCATCCATTCAACGTTCTCACTGCCGCCGGCTTCGAAGTCGATCTCGCCTCCGAGACAGGAAAATACACCCCTGACTGGCTGTCGCAACAGCCGGACTTTCTCAACGGCGATGATCTAAAGACCTGGAACGATCCTAACAGCGACTTCCGCCGAAAGCTGGACAACCTACACAAGGCCGCCGATTTGGACAAGTCTCAATATGGTCTGTTCTATGCCTCTGCTGGCCATGCCGCTCTGATCGACTACCCCACTGCATCCTCCTTGCAGAAAATTGCCGAGGAGGTCTGGGCAAACGGTGGTGTCGTTGCCTCAGTATGCCACGGCCCTGCCATCTTTGCCAACATTCTCGATAAGGCAACGGGGGAGCCTATTATCAAGGGCAGAAAGATAACTGGATTCACCTCTGAAGCTGAAGATACTATGGGAATCATGGCTGAACTTCGGAGCTGGAATACCGAGCTGGTCGAGGAACTTGCTAAGCGCCTTGGAGCTACTTGTGAGTCGTACTTGAATATGATAATTGTGCCAGTATTGAAAGCTAATTCAAATTACAGATGAACGCGCAGCTGGAATTTGGGATGACTTCTATGTCGTTGATGGCCGTTTAGTGACAGGCCAGAATCCCGCTAGCGCAACGTCAAGTGCTAAGGCGGCAGTTGCTGTTTTTGAGAGCTTGTGATTAAATATTTCAAACTTTCAAAAGTCTCCAATCTCCTGGGAATAGATGAATGGGTTGTGCCATAGGCTTTCCTCAAGTGTCAAAGTACTTTCGAGAGCCTGGAGGGTTTACTTGCCCGATCTCCAATCTAACATAGAATATATTCGAGAAATTTCTCAATCATACTTTTTCAACATGATCATTTTGACCAATGTATGAGAGATATCTCAGATGTACTTTCCTACATGTCTGACCAGTGTAGTAACTTGAAGCTTAATAATGTTGTTCGATACGCATATCCGCGCTACATAGCGCGCTGGTGGTTGTTATACGCGTTTTTAGTATTTAAACTTAATTTTTAGTTTATTGTTGGCTAATCCGTATTATATTCAAATTTCTTGCAAAGACATTCAATATTGTAGTAGCTGTATGTACTTAAATGTAGGATGGGTATACATGGTGGCAGAATTGACCAATTAGACTGTCTCTCCAGATTTCTGGCCTTAGGTCTTTCAAGTCAGCAAAGCGCAGCTCCCAGAGCGGTCAGCCATTCTGCCCACGTTATCGCAAGCTCTCCAACATCCTTGGGATCCACTCCGCAAGTGCCTCTATCTCTGCCTCGCTCCTTGACGCCTTTAGGTAAAGTCGGTGCATGATGGTGCATCCATACGAAGACACCAGACAAAACCCAGGTCCGCAACGGCGGGCCTATCCTCCCCGTGATGATCGCGACGGGCGCATGTACGACGACCGCTCAAGATCTCGCTCACCTGGCGGTACACTCTCCTCCCCGCATGAACATGACAAGAACGTCATGTGCTCTGAATCTCAAGGTCTTCTCCTGCACCTCATTCTGAACTTTGGCTGATATCACCCTTTTCGTTTCACGGTAAAGGCTATTCTGGCACCCCCCAACGGCACGACAATCGCCGGCGTGAATACTCGGACAATTGGGATGCGAGGGCTCCCCCTCATAACAGAGACCAGGATGATCACCGTCGTCGACCTTCACGATCGCCTCAACATAGAGGGCGGCAAAGCTATAGAGATCGCGATCGGGAGGGTTATCGCTCGCCTGGTTATAGTCAGAGTCGCAGCCGCAGCCGCAGTGCTCGTCGAGGCGGGTCGGGGTTTGGTCGCGAAAGCAAAGAAATCATGATGGATGGAATTCCACAAGATATGTCAGAGGATGATGTGAGTTGCACTCTGCTGGAAACTGCTGCTTTTTTGCTCACTCTTTCTTTCTCAATGTAGGTTTCAGCAGAACTCAAGCAAGCTTACCACATCACCGGCCTGGAAGAAATCCGCGTTATTCGTGACAGACAAACGAGTTAGTGGACCGAACTTCTACTATGACAAAACGAACGATTCGTATACTCATGGATATTATGTTGGCAGAAATATCACGAGGTCTTGGTTTCCTTCGTTTCCGGACTATCGACTATGCCCGGGACTTTTTAGAACGGAGCCATCCCTGCATCTATCTATACGGCCCAACTGCTGGAGAGAACGATCGCAGTACCAAGGTTCGCATAGCGTACAGCCGTGAACGGGAAGATCGAACCCGGTCGAAGGGTGAAGGGGATTGGACATGCCGAATGGTAGGAGTTCTGCCAAAACACTTTGGAATTTTAACCCCTGCTAATTATGAGCTTACAGTGTGCGGTTGTCAATTTCTCTACTCGTGCAAAGTGCTTTCGTTGCAATGCACCCCGTCCCGGTTGGTTTACCCTGTGTCCGTCCCATCAGTCTTGGATGCTAATAGACACCAGAGTTGGGTCCAGTCGGTCCTCCCGGGGTCCCTGCCCCGAAAGTAGTGAACAATGGCGATAACGATGCCGCTCCTGAAAACCAACCCTCCCAATTCATCCTCATTAGAGGATTAGAAGGGTCTGTCAACGAAGATCTCCTTGCAAAAGGTGTCGCCAAACTATACCGACCAGCGGGGGGCAATAGTGATAACGCCACTAATACCCAAAAGAAAGCTGGCAAGGTTGCTTCGACAACTGGAGATGCTAATCTTGGGGCCCGTGAGGGTTCTATCCGACGCGTATTGCTGGTCCGAGATCGCAGGACGAATGAGAGTTGGCGTTACGGGTTTGCTGAATTTGCCAATGTCATGGTATGTAGACCAGCACTTCCCACTCATCCAGCCCCACTGACAGTACTTTATACAGGATGCCCAAGCTGCTATTCAGCGGTTGAATTCTTTCGACAAGTTCACCATCTCATCCCGGCCAGTTCTTGTTAGCTACATACACGCGGGAGTTTTCGTACCAGTTATGGATCCCCATCCCAGTACAGAACATTTCACATTCAGTCCACTCGCCAACCCCTCGCTAAAGCTCATGTATTGGGACGATGAGGGGTACGTGACGGAGCTCATGTTGTCATCACCCGAAGACGACGTCGGCTATGACCAAACCAAGAGCGATAAGACTGTCGCAGGCCAAGACGAAGGCCAGTCTAAGGGACAAAAGGATATGGAGAAGGTTAAAAAGAGAAAGGCGGATGCACCAGCCAATGCAAATGCAAAGAAGCTTGCCATGCCCTCCCACTTGCAATTTTGGAGCAACCGACACGCCGAGCTCCACGGCATCCCAAAAGACAGTGACGGCAACATCATCGAGACCTCATCAGAACCTCGCGATCAGAATGCCCCGCCGACGCAGTCCTATGCGGATCTCAATCGCAACTGCTGCTATTTGTGCATGCGCCAATTTAAGAGCACCGCCAATGTCAATCGCCATGAACGCCTGAGTGCACTGCACCGGGAGAACCTGCGGAATGAACAAGCGAAGAGTCGTGGTATGGGGAAACTCATCAAACACGGCATTGTACCCCCGACGGCTGAATATCGCGATCGTGCCCGAGAACGTCGAAAGGCATTTGGCCGTGGCGGCAAGGCTGGTACTGGTGCTGGAGCTGCTCGACCGAAGCCGTCGGCTCCGCAGGAGGAAGATGAACCACCAGTGCAGACAACGTCCAAGGGTGCATCACTTCTTAGCAAGATGGGTTGGTCAGCTGGTTCTGGCCTAGGTGCACAGGGTACAGGCGTCACAGCCCCCATTGCCACCGAGGTTTACGCGCAAGGTGTCGGATTAGGAGCTCAGGGCAGCAAACTGGGCGATGCAAGCGAAGAAGCAGCACGCAATACCCGGGGTCGCTACGATGAATTCCTGAGAAAAAACCAAAGCAACTGCTCGCCAGCGGTACGATCAATTGAACCGCTGATAGCTAGAAGTCAACTGTACAATAAATTATACCACACACGCACAGTTAAAAAGAGAAGCAGAGAATTTTCTTCATGATATTTTAGCAATGAACACCAGCAGGCTATGCTCAGTATATCAAATCAGATGCATAATGTACAAGGTATCGTAAAAACAAGAGCAGAGTGTGATGTTATGTTAGTATGTATCCCGAAAATGCGGGCGCAGCAGAGACGAGCGGCACCACTGGCACGACCTTCTTAGTCCCTCTTTGCCTCCAGCATCTCACGCTTCTTCGCCTTCTCAAGCTCAAGCTGTTTCTCAAAGCGATCGCCAAAAACGCTCGCAACCCAATCCGTAACCTCCTTCTCGAGCTCCTCATCCGACTTGCCCTGGGCAGCGCCTTCTAATCCACCCCGCATGATGCGCCGCATATCCTCAATTCCATTGACATTAAGCATGCACATGATACCGCCAGTAGTCATCATTCCAAAGGACACAACATTGATTGTGGCAAGGGCGAGCGCTTCGGCTGAATCCGCCGCGCCGTTGAAATTGGGCTGGAAGTAGGTTGAGGACGTGTAGTAGGGCGGGATGGCGGCGATGCGCTTTTTGATGTGGGCCCTTCGGGTAATGAACACTGAGAAGGCGAAGAAGGCCATTCCTCCGGCGAGGAGTTTGAGGTTGGTCCTATCTTGTGGTCTGGGTGGTTGGACTAGTTGTGTTGATGGTTCGGAGGAGGAAGGACCTGATGTGGAAGGAGGAAGTTGGTCTTGTTTCGACAATGCATTTTCATTGGGACCTGGTGTGGTTGCGTCTGGCTTTGAGCCGGAGCCCCATCCTAGAAAGGAAAGCATTGCTTGGTGTGGGTATATAGATTTGTTGAGATTTGCAAAGACAGGTTCTCGGTCTGGTCGGTGGATATTCGAGTTGTGGCGAAGGAGGATGAAATGACACTTGAGGCGACAATTCTAAATTGTCATTGAGGGCTTGGTTTACTATGTAAGAAATCTGAATTGATGGACAAGCGCTGAAGTGCTGAAATGGTGAAGTGCTGAGAGGAGAGGGGAATGACAGCGCGTGCGGAGGCGGCGGAGCATCTTGGCCGATCTCCACGTGACACCGGCTTGGCCAGAACCAAATGGAAGAGCCCAACTGCTTTCTTCTATATTGATTATTCTCGATATTCTACTGATCCACTTTGTTATATCACGAGAGCTTCCGGGTATCGTTGGACCGCACTAAATGTTGTGTCTCGGCAAGTCCCCATGATCGCCTTGTCGGCTTAAAAAAAAACGCACATCCGTCTCACACCATCAGCTACGCTATGGTTTACCAGGGGAAGCCAAGTACTGGATGTCGGAATTGCCGGCAGCGTCGTATTAAGGTATCATTTCTGTGTATATATCGCCCCTGTCGGAATAGGTTCGTCGAACTGACACTCCAAGTGCGACGAAACACGACCCCACTGCAGAGCATGTATAAGAACAAAACGCACATGTCCAGGGTATCCAGATCCGTTTGATTTGGTACATAGAGATCAATCTTCTTCTTTTAGAAAGACGACAGAGTCATCAACAACAAGCGAGAGGTCCAAATATAGTAACAATGATGGAGACGACGGAGACACGCCAAGTCCCGCATCGTCTAATGCGTTGAGCACCAGTGATGGACACGCATCAAGTCGCCCAGAGCCAAAAGCGCTCTCTCTTTCCAGGTCTTCAAGCTCATCCTCCTCTTGGCCTCCGCCTCTAGGCCCTGCTGATCTCTATCAGACAATGGAAGATACAGTCGTTCCACTCTGGTTTAACGCATTTCTATATCTACCCCAGGACCCATCAGTTCGAAGTGGCTTTATGGAAGTTCTCCCAGGAATGTATTCCAGCGCTGAACGCGGCTCCCATCTTCATCTCAGCACTCTTGCGGTTGGATGTTTTACGCTTGCCGCTTGGACTGGTCAGGGTTCATTAGTTCAAGCATCAGAGCGATATTTCATCAGGGCCTTGCCAAAGATCCGAGAGGCCTTGCAACCAGGAGGCGGTTCCGATGTCAATACAACGCTGCTTTCAATCATTTTGCTTTCTATATATGAGGTATGGTATAATGTTTATGGCTTCTATAGAATTTTCTTGATATGAGAGGATGAAAGCTAAAAATAGCATAGGAGATGGTTGCTACAAAGGACTCTGAATCCCCCATGAGAGCTCACTTACGAGGAGCAATCGCACTCATCAATGAGAAAGATTCAAACCCCATGGAGCAGACGCCGTCACAACAGGTTTTCCATACAATCGAGGCTCAGATAGTATGCAATATTCCAGCCAGATATCTTGTGACTTTGCCGCTGACCTACCCCTCCCCAGATCAAGAACTCTCGATCCTTCACCAACCCTATGATCCCAACACCCATTGTGTGGCCTTTACCACATGCGCGGGGTCCATTACCCAAAGTAGTACTGTCATCAATCGCTGCAGAGATAGTACGACTACGACAAACCTGGGAACGCATGCTAACCGAACCCCAAGACGAAACGAAAATCAAATCTATACTCCGCAAATCCATCGAAATCGACATCAACCTCGTGTCATGGACACACTGGCTTCCAGAGCGATGGGTACCTACTGCAGCGACCATAATCCCGGAAGCCGTACGCAACGCCGGCATGTACCTTAATCGCTGCGACTGCTACGCCGATATGTGGATAGCAGTGACGTGGAACACATTCCGCGACTGTCGCATTCTGGTGCAGAGAATAATGCTCAAATGTCTTTCCATGGCCGGCTCACTTGATCCCGATGGAAGGAGGGCAATCGCCATCACGCAAACTATCCATAAGCTTGCGGACGATGTCTGCGCTTCTGTTCCATATTTTCTCGGATCCCAGATTGAATCTGTGCGGATGAAGCCTGGTTTGGTCACATACCCGTGGTCAGAGACAAGGCCCGTTACGCAAACTCATTTGATGTCCGCGCCTCTCATGGGGCCATGGCATCTCTTTCCGTTTCTGCGGAATCTTGGTGACTCGGAGTTGGGATTGCCTCCAACGCAATATCGGTGGATACGGGATCAGATTCATCGTTGTATGGTCATTTACTTCCAGAGGTAGGAGGTAATGGGTCAATTGTATAGTTACCGGTATGCATCCTATATAAACTCAAGTAGAACTTGAATTCGGTCAAAGCGAGCCCATTAATTTTAAGAATAAGAAATTTAATGTAATAAAAGCCTCATATATACGGTTTTACTTCTTTGTCGATCCATGGGCCATTGTTTGAAGCGACACTAAGTCATAGTACTCGTACCCTAGGGACTAGGCGGGCACACAAGCTGAAATTCTCTCCACCCGATCATTTATAATTCTAAAACTATGCTATTCGAAATATACTGAAAGTATTCATGGCTCTCTCACGCTAAGCATTAAATTAGGGTACCCTTGCTGACATTAATTTCAAGTTGTAGACTTGGCTTATGTGGTTGTGAAATCGAGTCCATTTCCCTTAGCGAACCCCTTGCACTGTCTGCACGGCTAGTCATCCGTGCCCAAAATAGCTACAGCTCACATATGTTATAGTAATCTACAACAATCAACGCGTAATTAATTGAACTGTCGGTTCATCGCGGGGTAAGACTCTGATGGAATGAAAGCAGACAGTCAGCATCAGCATCAACACCCGAATGATCCAATTATCCCAGGAAAAGGAAAGGACAGCAAGACTTGCGTATATTTCCGGCTCCTCCGATCCCAAACCGAACATATCGTTCTTGGGCTTTTTCTTCGGGCTCTTTACCCTGAGTTTCATTTTGCAGCGTCATCTCCCACGACTGGGTTATCGTGGTTCTACTAGTATCGAGTAGAAGGGAACAATCTTCATCGGTTTGTGACTTTCGTCTAGGCCAGGGCCATAGGTTCCGGAGACAGGACATGCTTTCTAAAGTGAACGAGATAGACATTGCCGCCGATCGATGGGAACTTAGATAAAGAGAGCTAAATCACAGGTCCGTGTGTACGAATGTATGGTCTCTGGAGTAGACAGCCGGGTAGAAGCCCACACTTATGAAGTCTCCTTTAACATCAAACGAATTCAGTTACGCAGATTGTAACTATGTGTAGTAGCACAAGTTGCAGATCGATTGAGGGAACTATACCACAGGGTTCTGATCTGATTAGCATACACCGGACCAGATGCTTCCTTGCACCGTATTGATCAATAGCTTTGGCTTGGAGCAGCTACTCTTGTGTGGTCTCTAAACAAGGCTATTCGAGAACATTTATCCAAGAAGGAAAATCTTGAATCCCAGTCTTCCAAGTCCTGCTGAATAACCTCGATTGAATGCCTCCTTGTACCAATGCCATTGTCCGTGTAACCCATACCATCCATAAAACAGGCGGAGCACTCACTACTCCATACTATGCGACCGATCAAATGATCAGATGGGAATCCAAGGTGGGATTTGAGCACGCTGTACGGAGTATGGGGTAGGTGCATTGCATAGCGATAGGCGTAAGCTTATTTAGGCTTGGGCATTTAAGCTATGGCATTTGAATCCCCGCATATGGAGATATGGACGAGGAGAAATAGCCGACTGGCGGCCCAGTATCCCGTAGTTTCTCGCGCCATACGCTCCCAGTGGTCCATCTTATCTCCCCCAGAAGCCAGGGCGTCACTATTAAAATTGGGGCTAATATGACCCGCCGGAAGTCCGCTTGTTTCATTTAAAAGGCGGGCTGTGGGCCGCAACGGTATGGAGGCCCGGTCCAGATGGTGCTGGGGCGCCGGTTCTTCTCCAGTCAATTCGATGAACCGTGCGTTTAGAGTGGGCTACGGAGTACGGTAGATGAGCTCTGTTGGAAAGGGCAATTCGAAATCCTGCAGTTGAATACATCATCGCATTCCTTTCTCATGAGGTTCTGTGGATCGTGCTCCGTATAGTTTCCCGAATGCTGATCAGTGTTTCACAATTATTCACAATCAAAGATGATGCCTCGGGGTTATCTCGGGTGCCTGGTCTGGAACGTTAAGAGCGAAGACCTCCAAGAGTTCCCAAGACCGAGTCCAAGTCTAAATGAGAGCAATAAGCTTTGGTTGTGATTTGGTTCGTGGCGAGAGGGGTGTCCGCGGAACATTGGGGGCTGGAACCGATGAAATGTCGGGTCTTGTCCGAAGATCATCAGGCTGAACTTGCATTCTTTGTTGGAGATGGCCACTCTATTTTACTCCGTACAGTTCGACAATTACGTCGATAAGTTTCAAATGTGGGGAAGTGGTCGCAGCTCGGCGTAAATCGTTTGACCTTGATCCCTCGAGTAGAACACAACATCTGGCTGTCACTTCTCACAATTCGAACCCCATAACGAGGCTTGGCGCGGCTGGTCCATGGAATTGCCCCGAGGCGACGTCGGAGATGCAGCGAATGAGAGGCGCGGTCCTGGGGGGCGCTATACCTGCACACTACGAGAGGGGATCTGATCCCGTCAGCCGTAGGAGCAGGAGCAGGGATGTAGGAAACAGGAATGCAAAGCCTTCAAGGTAGAAGAGAATGAAAGAATGAAATCGGGATAATGTGTAGAATAGGTAGAACAGAGCAGAGTAGGAATAGAGTAGAAGTAAAATAGAAGTAGGTAGAGTAGAGTAAATGAGGGAGGTCGTGGAATGGTCATCTGACCGTTCCTTCTTCGCAAGTTGCAAGGTTGAACTCCTCTCAAACCACACCAACTCAACTCAACCTTTTGGAAGTAGCTTGTCTCTTCTTTCACTCTTTTTCTTTCTTCCTCTACACTCTTTGGGCAACTTTGCAATTATCTTCGACGGGATTTACCCCTTTCTTATCCCTCGTTCCTATTCTTCTCCTCTCCCTCAGTATCCCGCTACCCTTCGCGCCAGGAGACCTGCAATGTCCCTGTCAATGCTGGCTTAATTCGCAACACCCCTCCCCTCATCCCCCTTTCTCCGGAACTCGTTGTGTTTGCACTGGACTCGATAAGATCCCTTGGAGTGAAGACCAGGTCCTAGAGGGATCGGTCCGCCTCCCCCCGCCTTGATCATGTTGCTCAAACCCGCGACGCCCCTCACGGTCCTACTTCTGGTCGCATTTGCGCTACTCCTACTGTCATGTCTATCCACCCCCATAATTAAGGGAATTCCTCTAGCGACCTTCACCGATGTCGATTACGGTGTCTTCGGCTACTGCCAGAGCGACAAATGCACCAATATCCATGTCGGATACACTAGCAGTGAGTCGCGCCCGTTTTGCTTGCTGCCTCTGCCTAGTACTTTTTTTCGCTAATTTTGAGCGTCCCTCCAGATGATATCAATAGCACCGGCGATGATTTCAATCTACCATCAAGCACCCGCAAATCTCTCTCCGCTATTCTCATCGTTCACCCTGTTGCTGCTTTCCTAACCCTCATTTGCCTCGGCCTGGCCGCTGCAGCTCACTTCCACGGCCCGTCTCATTCGCCACGCTTCCTACTCGCCTTGCTCATCCTTCTATTGCCGACCCTGCTCGTATCTCTTCTTGCATTCCTCGTCGACATCCTGCTCTTCGTACCGCATTTACAATGGGGTGGCTGGATCGTGCTGGCAGCGACAATCATCCTTGTTGCTTGCGGAGTGGTGACATGCGCCATGCGCCGGACTCTAGTGAGCCGTAAGGCGCGAAAAAACCGGATTGCCGAGAACGCTGAAATGAGTGGTGAAAATTATTACAATCGACAGAACGCTGCGGCCGCCGCACTGGCGGCTGCTCCTCCTCCCCTCCCGGAAACGACTGAGAATAAGGAAGCCATCATCTCCGGTTCACCCGCTTCCGAGTCTGGTCCTACTTTCGGGACCTTCCGCACGAATACTCGCGACAGCGATGATGATCGGACACCATTAAATTCCCGAACTCCAGTCAACGGAATGGCCGATGTTCCCAATCTGCCAGACAACCAATACCCGAGTCGCCATGGAACCCCGTATCATGCTCAGGATGAGGCGGGCATGCCTCCCCAAGGCCCCTATGGTGCCGGCCCCATGCGTAACCCATCTGATCCTCGATTGCGTAATCAGTACTCCGATGGTAGCATGGGCTCTCGCCGTGGCGGTGGTCCGCCTGGGGGCGTGCCTCGCGGAAGAGGATATCCCCCTCGAGGCGGTTACGGCCGGGGAGGACCCTATACAGGACCTCCTCGTGGTCCCCCGGGCGCCGCTCGAGGCGGTTATATGGGCTCTATGCCTCCGCGTGGCCGTGGTGGTATGATGCCTGCTCGTGGGGGCGCCCGCGGTGGTGGAGTTGGCTATATGACAGGCCCCAACCGCAGCTTTGATTCTTATGGCCGACCAATGCCCGCCGGTGATGAAATGTACGACGTCCAAGGACAGGCGCCCGTTGGACAGATGCGCCAACCATCTCCAGGACCCATTGGAATGGCGGTTTCGCCCGAGACTGTTGGTCAAGCAATTGAGATGCAGCCTCAGACTCGGAGGTATGATGCGCAGGATTCTCATTTCAGCAACGAAAATCCACATGCTCTGTCTGTTGACGGCCATCAAGCGCCACTCGAAAGCCCTACGAGTCAATACAGTCGAACTGAATCCTACATTCCCGCTCGTGCGGGCTGGGGTGCTCCCGATGTACGAGGACTTTCACCGCACCCTACCCCATCACCTGTTCATGCGAACGGTAACCAAGGTACCGCCTACTACGAAGACGTTGATCCCCAGTTTGCGCGTCGCCCTTCACCTCGACCGACTCCTCAGCAAAACCTCCCCTCAGCTTTGACCCCTGGAGGTGGTGGAGGTGCCCACTGTATGTCTCCTGCAAATTACATCCGAAATATGATCCGTGCTGACTCATCTCTAGTTTGATGACTTTTTTGTGTGATTACATGCATATTGTGACATGATTTCACCGACCCTTTCCTTGCGATACCCTAATTTCTTACCTCAATCTCCTTTGGACGACATGTGAATTTTTCTCTCCCAACACCATGGCAATGCAGGTCATTATGTGGAGTGGAGTTTTGGTGTCTTTTTTCTCATTGGGGAGTTTTCTTATTCTCTTTTCTTCACTTTTTCTTGGCAGAAATTGCGCTTTTTGCTTGGTCTTGCGCATCCACCGTATGAACTCGGGTGGCAAGAAAGCAGGGGCTGGTTCTTTCTGCTGTTCATCTGAAGTGTATAGCAGTTGGTCGATGCGATGTACAGGAATGTTATTCCGTGGCCCTTTTCCTTCTTCTCTTCTGGAACAAAAGCACTACGAGCGCTGCCGTTCGTTAACTCTTTTCTATTCTGATCTTGATCGATATTCGCCTGAGTGGCCTGTTTACTAGGCACTTGAACTTGAATACATATACATTTCCATTCACTTATTCCAATTCTACTCCGGGGGTATTTATCTACTCTTATTTTTTGTTTTCTATCCATTCATTCAGGTTCCTTTCCAAGGTTTCCCCGGGTTCAAGTTCCAGTTTATATCCGCACGTGATATGACGTCGGGCATCCCCAAAATGACGGACGGGCCTCCCTTTTTTTGTTCAAAGCTTGATTTTTGACAAGCCGCACTAATTCCACTTGGCAGCTGGGCAGTCGTGCATTTCCCCACTCATTTCGGGGATTTCTCTTCTCTAGATACAATGCCTCCATCTTGAGAGCCTCCCCATGCCCCTGCCAAGCTCCTAGGTTCCACCTTTCGTCAGGGACAATGAACGACCCCGGCCTCGATGATGCTATCGCCGATCAGGCTGATATGCTGGACAAGTCTTCAAATGGGCAAGCAGATAAGAGTATCACTTCCAACGAGAAACAGGGTGGTGCAGATGCAGAAGTCCATCATGCAGCGCGGTGGTGGTTGGCCAGTACTGCATATCCGTTGGCAGCAGTAAGCAGATGGCAGTCAATCTCGGTTTGCTTCTTGGCCATATTAACACTCTACAGGGCACATTTGGGCCCATGGCCAGTGCTTTCAGCGTGTGCTCTCTGTCACAGCCATGGCGAATGGAACTTGGGGGTAAGGAGATTGCCGATCCGAAATGGTATGCTCACATCGCCCTGCTTGTTTTGTGTCTAAGGCTAACATATATCAGGGTCACCGCAATCAATGCAATTTCCTTGGCCTTTGCTCTCATAGCCAACCTGTTTCTGTCTTTAAATATGGCCCGCAAGATTCGCTTCGAGGTTGCCCAGCCGATCATAATCATTGGTTGGTACATTTCATCAGCACTCCTCATCGGCATTCTCATTCCTGTCGGGGTGTTGATGTACAATTCGGAGAACAACGGACGCATCTATGCACAGAGCTACTTCTATGGAGCCTTCGCCGCTGGTTTATACTTCATCATCTCGTCCCTCCTCAGTGTGACGGCATATGGGGCTTATAAAGGCCACTTTGAACGAGAATTCAAATTGACCAACAGCCAGCGGACACTCATGCTACAAACAATCATATTCTGCATGTATCTGCTTCTAGGTGCCGAGGTCTACGCTACTGTAGAAGGATGGAGATTCTTAGATGCCGTCTATTTTGCCGACTATACCCTGCTCACCATTGGTGTCGGGAATTATGCCCCCGCGACGCATGTTGGTCGTGGTCTCCTCTTCCCATACGCAATCGGTGGAGTTCTCATCCTGGGTCTGATCGTCTCGTCCATCCGGACTCTGATGCTCGAGCGTGGCCGACAAAAAATCGCCGACCTTCTCATGGAGCATACACGCCGACTTTTCGTCAAGCAAGCTGCTTCCAGTCGCAATCGTTTGCAGGGTTTCCTTCCAGATCTATCTGCCGCGAATGACGAAAACACCGATATCAGCGAGCGTGAACGACAGAAACTAGAGTTCATCACTATGCGTCGCATACGCCAGGTATCCACCGTCCAGTATAAGTGGGTATCCCTTCTCATCTCGATGGTGGTGTGGATGGCGCTCTGGTTAATAGGCGCCGTTGTTTTCTGGCGCTCCGAAGACAAGCGTGACTGGACGTATTTCCAGTCGCTCTACTTCGCCTACACAACCCTCTTAACAATCGGATACGGCGATATCTACCCAATCAGCAGTCTAGGCAAAGCATTCTTCGTCTTCTGGTCCCTCCTCGCCGTACCGACAATAACCATCCTCATATCCAACATCGGCGACACACTCATCTGCTCCATCCGCGATCTAACCATCTTCCTCGGCGAAATAACCATCTTACCCGGCGACGCGCCCTTCCTCGAGCGCATCCGTGACGTACTACACGTCTCATGGCGCGAGCGGCGAGAGAGATGGTTACAAGAAATCACCGGCGAGCACGACAACGCACAGGAGATTTTCAGCGAATCGGCAACGCCGAACGGAGAAAGGGAAAGAAACCCCATGCCAACGCCACCACATTGCGCCAAACGAGCCGCCCTCGAAGCAGAAGAGCATAAAAGGGAAGAATTCGCCCGAGCGCGCGGCGATGTCGCGGCCGAAAACGTGCACCACTATCATTACCTCCTCTTTCGAGAAATCCGCACCATGCTGGAATATGCGCGCAGCAATGTGAACAAGGAGTTCGATTATATTGAGTGGGAGTATTATCTTTCTCTTATTTCGGGGGAGAGACATAAGCCCGCTGCTGTTAGCCCGGATGCGCTGAGCGAGAGGCAGAGGGATGAAGACCCGGCGCAGAAGACTCAGGGGTGGAGCTGGATTGATAACAAAAATCCGTTGGTTGGGGAGAAGAGTGAGGTTCAGTGGTTACTGAATGCGTTGACGGATGCTTTGGAGCGAGAGTTAAAAACTGCTAGTCGGGCCTTTCATTCACCGAATGAAAGTGAGGTTGAAGTGAAGATGATTGATTCTCCTACTGGCAGTTCCTAGGACAGTGTGCATTAATTAGGAATTAGGAACTTGGCGTCATCTTTGACCAATGCAAGGTCATTTATTTCCTTCAAACGATACTACTTTTCTTCCCAGTGGCGATACCAGTCATGCTTCAAGTCGAATATCTGCAACCAAAACCCCACACTTTTTGGGCTCATTTGAATCCGTAGCAATGATTCTCTGCTTTGGCCTGGGGATATACAAAGAAACACAGTGTGCAAGGCATTGTTTGCATCTCATGTAATATATTCAGAAAGAGATCTATCGTATCTATACATTTTCCATGCGCTGCATGGTTTTCTAAGTAGACTTGCAAGAGAAGACACCTCCAACGGTACCATCAGCGTAAGAGTTGATCTGTTCGATACATAGTCAGTATTTGCAGCAGAGAGATAAGTCGTAGGGATTTCGGGAAAACTCACGATATCAACAACACTAGAGTAAGTACCGCCAACGAGGACAATCAAGCCGACAGCAAAGATGAGAGTATTGAGCACAGCGAAAGCGATGTTCTTCGGGTCAGACCAGCTGCCCTGTCGGATAAACATAAACCACATTATCGCGGGGAAGTAAAAAGTAAATCCGGAGACGAAGAGCGACGAAATAACCGAGAGAAGATCGTCGAAGAAGGGGATGACCTCCGCGACGACGAATTCCAGAACGGTCAGAACGGACACAACGACCAGCCAGGTGATCCAGCCCATCTTGGTGTTGATGAAGCGGATGTTGGAGTTCTTGAAGATACGGCCGTGGATCAGACGGCCCAGAACGACGGTGTTGATCGATCCACTGATGAAGATAACCGGCAAGGCGATACCGAATGCGATACGGCTGAGGAGAGGGCCGGCGGAGAGGAGGGCAGGGCTCTGGACATCCTGGCCGACGAAAGCGTAGACCAGAGCTCCGGTGACGGTATAGATGAAGATCTCCATGAGACCGAGAGACCAGATGGACTTGGGGAAATCGGTGGGGGTGTGCATCTCGTCCATGAAGGAGAACTGGCAGAGGGCAAAGCTGTAGGCGAAGATGATGTTGGAGAGAGCGATAAATGCCTCGGAAAAGGTCAAGTCCTCCTTAGGCCAGGCGGACCAGTCGACATGAGTAAGGCCGACGGAATTGTTCGCAGAGATACCAGTTCCGATAATAGTGATTCCGACGGCGATGATAATCGACACAAAGTCGATGTATCCGAGCATAGCCATCTCTGAGAAACTGGGCGGGATGGCGAAAATAAGCAAGATGATCATGGAAACGACACCAAACACCAGAGTGCAGATTCCACTGTTGGTGATGTTGACAAAGGCGATGGTTCCAGTCAGACAGTGAGAGCCTGCAGACAGAAGCAGCTCCAGGCACAGCATCAGGTAGATAACTTCATAGCCAATTCGGCCGAACATTTGTCGTCCAGCCTCGGGATAGTTCGAGATATGGGGAAATTTGACCTTGACCTGACCGATGATGTAACTGGTGTAGACGGCAATAAGACCGATACCGACACAGCAGATCACACCGGCGACCATGCCCAAAGTCGCAAATGTAGAGGGGATCGAGAGAGTTCCCAAGGCGACAGCCTCGACAATCAGGACGATTGTCAGCTGCTTCCAGCCCAGCTGGTTGAACTTCTGCACGCCACCCTGGTAGATCTGCTTCTCACGATCACTCATATCGCCGAACCCATCGTTGGCATATCCATCCTGTGATGAGAAGATCTCACCACCTTCCTTGGCCTTCTGTGTCATCGGATCGAGGTAGGCTGTGGGGAGAAACCGAAGGGTATTATGTGGTATGTGACCTCTGAGATGGGGGGGGAGAGTGGCGGAGAGGATGGGGGAGAAAGATGGAGAAGGCGCGCGAGGAGACAGAGACACCTTAATAAGAAGTGACGCGTGGAGGCAACAGGAAAAACTGCCAGGCGAGAACGAGAAGGAAAATCCAAATGGAAATCCAAATTGAGTTTTCTATCCAGGGCAACTTCAGCTCGAAACGGAACCGTTCGAAAACTTCTCGGCGCCTTCCTAAAACAGTCAGACATTCGACTTTCTTTTACTTAACCATAATCCATTCGGCCCCACTTGCTTGTCCCCTATTGGTTAAGCCGCCCATCGCACCATTTCGGGCCGATTGTCTGACTGCCGCGTGCCGAACCCCGTTTCTCTTTTTACACCCTAAGCTGGTCCGTACCTGCACTAAGGTTATCTTTGATTGAAAATTGACCAACGGTTATTATTCAAGATCTTCAGATATCTGCCGCTAGGCAGTTGTTTGAGCCGATCGCCTGGCGATACTAGTGCGGCTCTGCTGATCCGTCCAATCGGCTGAGGTTCTGACTTTGGCTTTAGCTTATTAGCTCCGTCCTTGCACTTGGCACGCGACCGCAGGAAATAAATACACGTGGATTGGGGTAAGTGCCCTACACGGAGTACAAAAAATGCATTCGCAGATTCGTAATAGTACTAGCCTTTATTTTCCCGGTCGGCTATCTCAACAATTCCTCTCTACCTTTTACGCCTTCTCTTGAGTGCTACTATGGAGAACTTTTCTTAGCTTTTTTTCTCTCACGATTAAGGTCGCTGCTAGTATTTGCTAAACCATATTGGGACAGGCTGCAAATGAGTGTTTAGGAATTCACTAGGAAGCGACCTGTATCCCACAAATTTACACCTAGAAGTCCCGTACAAGAAATTCTCATCACCCGGTGTTATATTGACCGAATGGTATGACCAATCAAGGCTGAAGTTGAAAATGGAATTAATTTTAATTCGTAGTCATGTATCTGCTAAGTGTGATAGTAACTCTCGGTTAGACTCGGATCAATATCGGAATCACAGTCAGGAAGCTATGAGCTAGCAGGGGGCAGGGTTAATGTGCTCTACTGTCTCAGATTAAAGGGCCAACCCCTTTCCAATGGCTCCCATGGCGCTCTTTATCATACATTATGGTATTTTAGTGTTGTAACGATGCCAACGGTATTGGAGGATGGAGTAGATCATTTTCACATGACTAAATAACAATGCCTGTTGACACATACATAAACAATAGTCAGTAGCCCCTTGCCCTCATCTTGTTCTTTTTTTTCCCTTCAAGTTCTCTGATTTGATCACCTTTACTCCTGACATCAACGGAACCAATCTGCTCTTAGCCTGATCTTTAACAGACCGTGGGTAGCTTTTAGACCTGGGCCTGGCTTTTGGCCAAACCCAGGAGCCATGTCTATAATGGATTTTCTGCTGCATATATTAAAATACTGGAAATTCTAGAGAGATGAAATGATACGTTCAAATTTAGTTCAGATGCTTGTTATCCCGTACGGTCATTGAAGGCCTCTTTGCATCCTTCAAAAGACGAATTCTAATAGTAATTCGATGATTAGCGAACCAAATGTCTGGCCGTATCTTCGGTCCTGGATTCCAGCGCTTCAATCAGAGGCATGAGACTTTCCAGCTCCAGCTGACGCTCCTCTGTCAAGCAAACTGTGGGGTCCTCGAGCCTGAGATCACCAAATAAGCTGAATGTCTCCATTCTGTCAAGTGTAGGGGAGCGCGGCGGTAGAGTCTGGGAGAAAGGACGCCTGGGTGGGAAAAGAAGAACCACAACCCATAAGTGAATGTAAGAATATTTCACTCCGCAAATCGAGATGTTTCTTAGTACCACCACTTTCCTCATTATTTTCCCCCTTCCTTTTCTTCGTTACCTGTCTCCTTCCATGCTTCTTTCTTTATCTTCTCATTCTCCCTATTTTGTCTTCATACCCGCTTAAAAGGCTGTGTAATGCACCTCGTGCTCCATTCCATCCGACAGCAGGGCATGCTCTCTCCTGTGTCTTTTTGTAACTTTGAAGTGATGATTGAATAAATTAAGGTTGCTATTCGCCGGATGAATTTAAGCCACAGGAAAAAGTGTGATAATTCCGTTTTTTTTTTCTATTTAAAGACAGCCACAAGGATCAAATATATCTATGTGTCTATCATGAAAGATATCAACAAGGAAAACATATTTCTTACACATCAAAATAGTTATGGGTTTCTGGAGCAGCAAGAATGGATTTATCTCTTTATTAACAAGAGATTGAGGAACCAGCGCCACATGACCCCACATGGCACCATTAATATTTGTAAGTTCACAACTTCTCGATTTGATATCGGAGGCTCGGGTGGAATGAAAGCGATATGAAGCATATACGCTGTCGGGCTACGGGAAATGGAACCGACCCGACTCCAAGTGTGGTCTTGTCTCACTTCAGTCTTATAACATCAAATCTTCGAATATTTCAACCAATCGGATATGGTCTAGCGGTTTAGGATCGCTCGCTTTCACCGAGCTGGCCCGGGTTCGACTCCCGGTATCCGAGTTTTTTTTTCTTTTTGCATTCTGGCTCATAGCAAACTTGAACTGTAGTCTCGCTTTCTAGCGACCCGGTCGCAGATTATCTCTAAAAAATCAAAAGCAAATACGGACTTTTTTTCTTTTTTGAAAAGCGACGGGCTAGAGTCGCGTGCCATATCAAGGGTCTGGTTTCTAACTACATACTACATCGATCAACGGACTTTCTAATCATATTTAGCAGGAAATAAATACCAATACTTCATACACTTCCAGTATCTACCTAGGCAATGTACATATGTACCACCGAATACCCAGATCTAACCACCACACGCATCCAATATCCAATCTGCAATCTAAACCACAACCCGCCCATCAACATTCCCTGCACACTATACTCCAGCGGCGTCGAAACCCTCATCCCAAAAACAAAAAGATGATTAAGCCCCTCATAAAAACGAACCCCAAAATTCCCCTTCTCACCCAAAGTCACACACCAGACTATGTCCTAGGATAGAAATCTGATTCGGGTCGACGTTGGGAATGGGTCTGGGCTTGCTTTATTGCGTCTAGGGCTTGCGAAATATACTCGTCTGTTAGTGTTATGTATTTTCTGCACCGAGATGCTTTGCCGTGTGTGTGGGTTACTTTGTCGAATCTTAGTGATGTGATGCTTTGGTTTGCGAGACCGAGGGCGAGGTCTTTGAAGGGTTTTGTTGAGGCGATTGTTGAGTCGCGGTCGCATGGGCCGGAGCCGGCGAGGAATTACTGCACATGGGAACTTGGGTTTCGATTTCGATTGCGAGGGGGCGGGTCTAGGTGCCAGTGTGTTTGCGGTTTGCGGTAGGCAGAGTGTTGCGCCGATTTTGTATCGCCCTGTTCCGAGGACTTGGTCAGATTCTAGGGGCCCTGAGGCTGGTGCGTAGCTTGGTGGCTTCCACACATTTTCAAGACCTGTAAAGTGAAATCCGACGAGACTGCCCGCCGACGTCATTTTTAATTGCAGGACGAAATCTGCATATTGGAATTTTACTAGTAGTGGAATTTGACGCTTGTTAGGAGCCATCCTGGTGTGCTGATGGGGTCTCCGATGGCCTCGATGGGTCCGAGAGATTTGTAGACGATGTTCTGGCCTTTTTCGAGGATGGTTTCTTTGAGGAATAATTGATTTGGTAGGATGAAGTCTGATTTCAGACTGGGCCAGTCATGAGTTTGGACTTTTGAAATTCAAGTTATTTTTTGGGCGTGCTTTTTGGTTTAGGTTAGGTCTGGTTGTTGTGGGTATATATATAGCAGGTAGGCTGTCGTTGATGAAGTCAAGGTGATTACGGATGATCGTATAATTGAAGTGGATATGGTTCAAAGCACTGGTATTTATGCCCAGGTGTCTGTAAAAATAGTGTATTTATATTAAATAATATGTTCAGTTATATTTATTTAATATTAATGATCTGACATTGAGTGAGCTGACATGGGGTCCAAAATGAGCGGGGTAGGTATCTGACTTAAAGGTATTGGGAATATAGTATGTGTCTTTGCCTACTATTCCATCCAACATCCCAATTGGTGTAGTGGTTAAGTAAGTCACCTTGAATCAAACATTCAATTCGAATCAGTTCTAACAGTTCCATCAGCATCGCCGTCTTTCACACGGCAGCCAGGGGTTCGATTCCCCTATTGGGAGATTTCTTTTTTTGCATTTTCTTTTTGCTTCGGGTACTCAGTATTTTGCTCCACTCCTCATTTCCTCCACGCTTTCTCTCTCTCTTTTTTTCCCCATTAGATTCAATCAAGTCTACTTAATTAATTTACCGAGCGAAGTAAAAAGATAATACTGCCACACAGCTACTATCCTGAGATCTTGAATTACCCATTCAGGGGGGCGTTATGAATGGCCTAAGTATGGGTTAGGCCTGCTGGAATTTCCGTAGGATCTTCTTCATCAGCAAATATCACCTAGTACCCCCCGGCAAATAAATCTTCGTATACAGGTGATTCAATAACTCAATGAAATTCTCCCGATTCAACTAGGATAGTAACCTTAGGACATGGGCATGCATTTTGGAAAAAGCCAGCAATTATGTATTATCATCACTGAAAACTAAATAACAAGCAAGACGCAAAGAAAAGAGAAGGAGGGGGAAATAGAACAAGCGCCAAAGAAAAGAAGAAAAAAGGTTGAAAAAAGAAACAGAATGGGGATAGGGTAGACGAAGTCAAAAAAGATAACGACCAGATATGAGATGAGACGAGACAAGATGAGATGAGATGATACGCGACGCTCATGCCAGATGCGAAAAGCAACGTGAACAACACAACATCCCCCATTTTTCTATGTACGCAGCGCAGTGCAGCCCCTCGATGCGGATTCAAATTCAAATTCAATGGTTCCAAGAACGAGAACGGAAAGAAAACCGGTAAAACCCCCCAAGAACGCGAAGGAAGTAAATAAGCCCGTGAGCACAACCACCACCAACAAGACCGGATGCAAATTGCTCTAGATCTCGTGTCTTAGATTAATCCAGCACAACACAGCACGGAAATTAACTCAAGTCAACCCAGCTCAAGACATGGTCAAACCATACCGACATGCAAATCACTGCATGCTGCGCCCGGCCTGACTTCGACCCGCCTGGCTACGACTCGCACGACTGGCCTGACTGGCACGGCTAGGACTAGTCCGACTAGGTTCGTCCTCTTCAAGTACATCACTCAAACGAGTCGGATGACGGTGTCGGGGCGTAACAGCTTCCCAACCGGTACCGACGCCCCAGCCTGAACCGCTATAATCCGCGGTGGTGGGCGGGTAAGGCGCTTGAGTTGATGCATCGGCAGGCGCACTCGAGTACGGGGCGTCGGTAGTATAGTGGCCGCCATCATCGTAGTCGTCGCTGCCCTCGGACAGCGGGGCTGGAGGTGGGAATGCCATTGCCCCGTGTGGCTGTGGGTAATGCGCGTAGTCCTCGTCTCCGGCTTCGCTGCTTCCGACGTAGGAGCGGTCATCTGGCTCAGAGCTTGGGGCTGCGCCGGCACCGTGGTATGCGGCGCTGGTGGGATCATGCTTGTAGCCTTGTTCTGCGTAGAGAGGTTTGCTAGAGGGTGGATCTGTCTTGACTGGTTCGATAAAGGGGTCTGAACCTGTTGGTGACATTGGCCCTGGGCCTTCGTCGTAGTACTGGTGGCTTGCGCTGGGGTCGCCGGGTTTGCTTTGGTATTCGCTGGCTGGGGGACCGGTGGTGTATGGGTCATCGCGGGTGGTAGGTCTCGTCGTGTGCCGGCTTGGAAGACCTTGCACCATGGGGACGACCTGGACGCCGCCGACTAGGGTTGGTTCGCCATTGCGGAGGGAGGTGGTTCGTTCTCGCTCTTCTTGCTCACGTCGGCCAAGTTCCTCCCAGGCGCGGCGGGCTTCTTCCCGGGAGATTTGGAGCTCGCGGCGCATTTCTCGGAGGAGCTCCTCGGATCGAGATTTGTCTTGCTCTGCGGTTTGTGCGGCCGCGAATGCGTCAGCCCGGCCTTCTCGCTCGGTTTTGAGTTGGCGTTCCAGGTCGGCCACCTGCTCCTTGGCACGCTCTTGTTCAGAGCGAGTGTCGAAGAACCATCTTTGGAATTTGCGTTCCGAGGATGCACGTAGGCGCTGGAGTTCGACGACAGCATGGAAGAGGTTGGCGCCTGCGGCGGACAGGTCGGTGATCTGTCGGGCGAGTTGCTGGCTGAGAGGATCCTTTTCTAAGTCATCATTGTGCTGCTCGAGCTTGCGGATCCAGTAGCTGGTGAGGCCTTCCCAGTGCGATGATAATGTTTCCCATCGTTCAAAGGCATGAGGGAAGCCGGCGCGCTTGGGCTGCTGGAGACTTTGCGGGGCCCCGGATTGACTAGCTGGAGTTTGGCCAGGCCTAGAGAGCCCACCAGTCCCTGTTTGTCCGCCAGTCCCCGCTGCTGCACTCTGTGAGCGAGCATGTTGTGGAGCTGGGGCGAATTGCTGTTGGCTCGAGGAAGGGCCCGGTCGGGCTTGAGTAGGAACATCGGCTGTAACCGGAGGTACTGGATATCCTGGACCAACAGTGCCTGATGTCGCAGCAGCGCCTGGACGGAAGCTCGGCCCAGAAGCTGCTTCGGGTGGAGGCTGAGCTCCCCTAGGGGCGCGAGGAGGTTGTGTTCGGCGTTGTGATGGAGCATCTGCGGCAGCCCCAGCAGCGTAATGTTGAGCTTGAGCTTGCGCTTGCGCCTGTTCTTGCTGCAATTTCTGTCTTTCCATATTCACCTGCTCTTTCTCGAGTGCCTCCTGTTCGGCCTTGCGGCGTGCCTCGCGATCTCGACGTTGTCTCATGATATCCGTCGGAGTACGAACACCGCTCGGAGGATGTGTTGAGATCGGTGCAGGGGGCTGGGGTGGACGAGAGGCACCATTTTGAGCGCGGCCATTGCCTACAGGCCCGGCCGGACCAGCGGGACCAGCAACGCCTACCATATCTGACATAGAAGCATTCACTTCGTCCCAATCGGTTGTGAAGGTAAAAGGTCGACGGATGGCGTCCTCAAGGGCGTAGAGGATTGCCGAGGCGGTGCGTGACGAGACAGTAGTAGTTCTCCAGGGCCAATATGAGCTATCGAGAAGTTGATAGGGATCGTCGACGGTGGATCCGTTCTCGTCTGTATGAGCTTCCGAGAGGGCAGGACGTAATGCAGCGATTCCACTATCTGGCGTTGGTTGGACGGATACTGGGATTGAATGCGCCGGCTGGGGTTGGGCCGGTTGTTGCTGGTGCTGGTGATGTTGCTGCTCTCTGGACTGTCTTGTTGAAGTGTCAAGAGAGACGGCTCGGCGATGAGACAATTGACGAGGCTCGGGGGTGCGACGAGCTCGGCGTAAATAGCGAGGGCCACCGGAGGCTGAAGTTGGGCGGGATTCAGCCGAATGGGTGGAAGCAGGACGAGGAGCTGTTGGCTGCTGGGGTTGTAGCGGATGAGGTTGATTATGATGCTGGGGAGCCGGGGTCGTAAATGTGGAGGATTCGTTAAGGTCGTAGACTTCGTAAGACGGTCTGCGAGAGTGGCGATACACTTCTGGCGAGGGTCTGGTATAATAGGGGGAATTGAGCGACAATGCGAGAGGTGTTGAAGCTAGAGTGGAAGGTGTGAAGTTGAAGCTAAAGTCGAACTCCGGGGTATTGCAATTGCGATTGCGATCGCGAATAGTCGCAGTGGATCAAATAGGGTCTTGAAGACCCAGAAATAATGGAGATGAAATTCCGAGGATGGAGAGGAGGAAAAGGAGCGAACTGGGGGAGTGCCCCGGAGTGAAGGAAAAGGTGAGGTTGGGTGGCTGGTTAATTGAGATGGCTGGGGGGGACGTTCGTGTTCGTTCGTTCGCGCCTGCAGCGCACCATTCAACGGAAGACAACCACAGTTCACAACCACGAGTGAAGCAGAGCTGAGAGTGAAGCAGAATAGACTGACACAGGCTGACAGACAGGGACATTCAAAGTGATGTGGAATGGAAGCGGGAGAATGCCGGGGAAATGTCCGACATTCGTAGGCACACAGACTCTACTCGCACCGAGTCTCCCAACACTTGAGCACTGCTTCAGCTTTGCTAATGCCCTGCTAAGGCCTGCCAATGCCTGATAATACCTGCCAATACCTGCTAATACTCTAATACTATGCTCATGCGCTCCCATGAAGCACAGTTTCAATAATTGCCTGCAACCCCGCAGGTCTCAAGGTTCGGTCGCACAAGCACAACGGACGATCGGAAGAAACTCGAGGGGAACAATTCATGACCAGGCAAGGCAGGGCAGTGTTGAGGCAAGATCAAGGCAAGATCGAACCAGATCATCGAAATCCAGTCTGTGCTGCTCTGTCATTGGCATTGGAATTGTCCCCAGTCTAAGCCACGGTTGGGCGAGGCCAACAATACAACCAAGGTACCACCCGTACAAGTGTATAGAATACTCGCTATAACTACGGAGTACCTAGTTAACTGAACTAGTTATAACGACAATGGCTACTCGGTACCACTAACTATGCCAGTGTCAATGCACGTATTGTACATGATGCGCTGGCACGGGATGTCGGGCATCGACTTTAGTATATCGGGCTTACTCTACAGAGTACTACATATTAATTAACTAACTAGCTACCTAGGTAACTAGTTAAATAACTAGTGGTACTCCGTACCTAACACAGTACATCGTAATACTGTAACTCATCCCCTGAACCATAGCTCACCTGGTTTCTGTCCCAGTAGTTCCAACGGTTCGGGCGGGCTCATCGCACGAACTTCCCCACAAGAACCAAACACTAGGGAGATGGTCACTAACTAGTAGCTAGGTAAATTAAATAAACCAAATAAATCAAGCGAAAAACGGAAACTAATTCCATCCACCACGGTGTCATTCTACAGCTCAAATATATGGATGTATCTATCCGGAGCTCGAACTCTACTTCTTTATTTCGTACTCGAACTGCACCAACCTTCAACAAGAACAACAACCTTCCAACTTTGATCAAAACAAATAATGCAAATCAATGCATTCTTTGTAATTAATGCATCGAAAAGAAAATCCCTCAAGGGCGATCACAATCATCTACAACAATATCCTCCCTACTTCAAGTCTAGCCCTCCAACCCTCCCTCCTCGAGTCCGTCATCTCAGACAGAACAACCGTTCTAGACCCTCCTCCCACGGCAACCCCTGCAAGGACCCAGACAAATGGGATTGGCAACTTCGGAAAATATCCCATTAAGCTCGGGTGGAAGTGCTCTTCCGGTTGCATCACGGATGCATCTCCACGAAACCCGGCGATCGAGAAGAGGGACCGAAGACCCAATATTCAGGTAGGTTTCAAGCATGCCTTGCAGTCTGCAGCACCCAACTGCATCACCAACAGTAAGTAGCAGCAGTGACTAGCTAGCTCCCCCTTCCAGGGGAAGGGAACAAGATCTGTCTGAGATCGCGGATGTTCAGCGCTACCGTCCCGCGGGGGTCAAAACTGGGAACTGCTGTCTTTCCCGCGATTTTGGTCTCTTCCGATAGGTTCGTTTTTAGCTCCCCTGTCTGTGATGATGTTTCGTATGTATCCCCACGATTGTTTCACTCATTTAGTATTCGCAGCGCAGAGGCCCCCCCCCTTTTCCCTTTCCTTTCCCACGACGCTAAGGAGGGATCGGGTTTTTGGTTGTGGTTTCCGACCCGGTAGGCTGGGTGATCTGCTCACTTGGTATTATCGATGCGCTGCGGATCTTCATATAGGTAAAAAAATAAAATAAAAGATCCATTGATCTGGAGTAGTCGAGACCTGCCACCTGAGTATCGATCGGCGCTGGATTGCTCTACGTAATTGCTACTAGTAGTATGATGATGGTGATGCTGCGTTGCCTGGGATATTCCCTAGAAAGGGTCTGTCTACTCCGTACTACTACTAGTATTGTCTGCGAGGGTCAACCCTTGGTTGCATTATAATTTGCAGGAGTTGCACTGGTACTTCCTGCACATCATTTCATGGGGTGCGATCATCTAGTGTAGCTGCGAGTGCGATTCTCAATGCTCAATGCCTATGCCGAGGCTGTGAATGATGAAGAATGTGATCTAAACGGGGAAGTGAGGGCCCTGTGCATCGGCCGATGGAGTATACACTGCGTCGGTACTGCGGAACATAAAAGCTGTCGATCAGGGGCTGTACCGTAGATATATAGATGTCAGCGGCGTCGCCGGGGGTGTCCGCTACGCTGCCGAACGCATATGCAAGACAGACTTTTTATTGGAATGTGGGGAGCAGCCACCGGGGAAGCAGAGTGCACGGCTGGGCAGCAGAGAGACCTCGGGGAGAGCGAGGAAGTAGAAGAGACGAGATGGGATCTCCGAACTGGGCGGCTGAACTATTAGGTCTGTCTGGTGGCGATGTACAAAAATTTGGATTATTCGATCTCAGATATTGCGAGATCACATAGCGAATTACGATAAGATCACGGTACTACTAATGTACTGGTTGCCAGGTTACTTTAATGGCCTGGTGGGCTGCAAGTATACATATCCGCGGACTAGATATGTCCATATCATATTCAAGTTTGAGGATTCAGATTGTCGACCAGCGAATGGGAATATCCGCATCGCTACAATTGCTGTATCGCAAGACTGGATTGGACCGAGCACATACAGCTTGAAAGATAGGCCAATGATCGTGTCGAGAGCCTGCTTGCCCCTCGGTGCAGGAGGCGATGGAAATGTGATCCGTCAACTGTCAATCGAGACCTCGATGTGACCCGCGCGAACCCTTTCCGCCAAACCTAGGATCTCTCCCGCGGGGGATCCCTGGGGAACTCCCTCGATTGGACGCAGAATCAATGCACAGCAGACGCGGAGAAGACCTGAAACCGCCCATGAAATGTGGAACAGTGGCTACACTATGTACGCTATGATGGACAGATCGGCTGCCTATGGAGTGCGGAGTACGGGATGAGGGTGGCACGAACTAGACCACAACAAAAAGAAAAAAAGAAAAAAACTACACATGGAGCCAGCCACGATACAAAAGCAATGCCATGACGTCGAAGGCAGTTCGCCATCAGCCCATATTTGATTGCCCGCCGTGGCTAATAGAGAATTCGGGCGATGGAACGTTGCGTTGGCGGTCGCAATTGAGAGGGTTGAGGCTCGAGTAGACGTCGTTGCGCGGTTCCCAGGAATGGGAAATAAAGAATGGACTGTGGCTTTGTGTGGCGAGAGTGCTTTGAGAACAAAGTACTGGGTCCTTCCCCTCTCCCAGCCAGTTGGTTTCTGGCAGTGCTGCTAGGACTGATCAATCCGTGAGTTAGGGCAGACTCCACTTCGGAAGATCCGTCCGGTTGATATCTCACATTCTCACAGACCCAGCCTCTGCATGGGCATGGTGCGGACGCAGCTTACAGCTCTTGACGCGGTGGTAGCCTGCCCACTCAGAAGCCCACAGTGGTCAATAATCACAATCAGACGTAGTAATCACAATTACCCATTGTGCCATGCGAAATCTGACACGGGTCGTACGAGCAGCTTCGTGCAACGCGGACAAAGGGGGTTCAGGTACCAGGAACAACGCCATGGGCATCATAGAGAATTCATCTGGTCCCCTTGGACCATGGGTGATAGAAAGCTAGAAAACAGAAAATGAGCGTGTGAGTGAAAGCCTCTTCACAAAAAGTACGGGGAGTCCAAAGTACTGCAGGATGGCAGAGCCCTACGGATACTCGATCCGCGCGCCCTTGCTCGCTGTCCTTGCTGCACCTCCATCCCTACAGCGGAAGGGGACGTCATGTAAGGTCAGATCGTCCGTGCTGGGTTCTTTTGTTTACCTGCATTGGTATGCACCTACTACTCTCCCCGGCCACCTTGGTCCGAGGGCCTATTTTTGGGGACGTGTATAAACATATCCCCTTCGCCCCCCATTCCACATCCCTGACTCTTACTCTCCAAACATTTGCTCGCTATCTTTTCCTTTACGTGGTTTATTTCATGATCCATTGGGCCCCCGCGTCCGGCTCCGTTGTGTCTATCCTGCTTTGAATCCACACATGGCTATCGGAGATTCCTCCTGTCCCGGCGAGTTGGACGTGTTGCACCCAGACCGGAACAGATCAGAAACCACTATCTGCTTGCCTTCACCCTCCCCTGTGAAGCGAGTATCCTCCTACTATCCCAGGACCGGTGCCAAAGCATTGGAGGAATCCAACCAGGATCCCTTCTACCTCGAGCAATCACTGGCCGCAACGCCAATCTGGACCGACTCGTATACCCCGGCAATTCGCGATGATAGATACAGTGAAGATCACAGCCAGTACTATTCATTGTCTCTGACACAGGGAAAAGACAACAAGTATTCCCAGCAGCCTTCATACCAATACACCGGCCCCGATCGATCCACACTCGCACAGCTAGAATTGGAAAACAGCGCCAGATTCCACAGCTATTCCTCTTCCACAGACGAAAGAAGAACTACCCACGGCAGTCAAGACTCGTTTAGCTCTGTGCAAACAGACTGTACCGTCCCAGATCTCACACCAAGCTCGTCTTTCTCATCAACCTATTCCTCTCCCGCTTGCCCTGACGCCGTGTTGAAGGCGACAGAGAAGCTATATCAACACGCCCACCAAGCTCATATCAAACCCCAACGAGCTTTCTATCTCCCTGCATCTACTCCTCCGAAATATTCACTTCCACCTCCTCCACCTGTGCCTTCGCTCCCCAAAGCACTCACTCGACCCACCACACCTGGCGCCGACCACTCCACAATGAAGTACGAAACATCCAGTATGTCGTCGTCCTCGCGCAAGAGCAGGAGGAAGCAACCTCCCACCTTGCCAAACCTCTCTCGAGGCACAAGCTCCCACAGTATGCGCAGGAAACAGTCCAGCCCTGGAACCCGCCCTCCATTGGACCCTTCCATGATCTCCCCTCCTAGCTTGATCAACCCTGTTACCATGGAGCCTCATGCAACCCACTTCGACCAAGCTCTCTTCATCCCTGCAAATGATATTGCCAGCCCAATCCCCAGCCCTGTTGCTAGTTCCCCTCCAATCTCCAGGCAATGGACAGCTACCTCCATGGAGCGACCATCCACTTCCACAATGGATGCCTACCTTGGTGAGCAATCAGTCTGGGAATCCGATTCGGACAATGAATCCCTCAGCCACAAGTCACTCTCCCGCAGGCCTATCGACACCCTGCGCAAGGTCCGCAGCCGGGCCAAGCTCCGTGGCGCCAAGTCCCAGCCTAAGCTTCACCAAGCCATGCTTGATGATCAAATGCCTGAGCGGTTCCCAAGTCTGCCCGATGATTCAATCACCAGCACTGTGATGGAATCTCTTCGGGGCATGAGCCTCGACCGCCCCAGCACCAGCAGGGATGGCCTGCGTCCAAACCACCCTCTCCAGACCCTCCGGCTCGTCGCACCATCTGCGACCTCCCTCATGAAGCCACTTTCCAACCGCTCAAGGAAAAATAGCAGCATCCTTGAGTCGGATGTCGACCGCGCTGCAGCTGCAGCCAGCCAGGCTCAAAGACGCCGCCAACGTTCCGACACTCCAGAATACAACTCGGACAAGGAGCAACTTACCTCCATGTGCTACGAGCAACACTCCCCCGTCCCATTCCCGGACCCAGCTGCAGACAACCGACCTTTCTTGAAGAAAGTGATCGACTCCCTCCGTTCACTGAGCTGCCACAAGACCTCCACGAAATCTAATGTCACAACAATCTGATACCCACTGTTTTCGGAGTTTGGGACGGGGAACGGCGTTTTTCTTTTGACGATACACACTCAACGGTCTCCTTATTTATGCCAACGCTAACCTCACTGCCATGTCTTTACTTTTTGGTCTATTGTCTTTATGACACCTTGCACTCTTTACGAGAGAATCTGCTCTCTCCATGATCCTAATGATCGTCGGTGATCATAATTGGTCCCGACCGATGTCCGGAATTATACAATGTCAACGATACCACGGATGACCCGAGCCTCGCTCACACCACGCGAACATTTTCCTTACCCATGTTTTGAGGTATACACCTCCCACGATCTCTATGCTACTCACGCCTTACTCCGCAACGCGTTGTAATACCACGTTTTTTGAACAACTCATGATTTGCTTTCCTCTTTTGCGCATTACGGTCTCATCCCTGAGCCTATTTCCTACTTGTCTGCCACATGTCGCTCGAGCTTTTTCCTTTTCTCCTCACCTGTTTCAACAACCAATGTGTCACCTACCATAATGATATGACCAAGGAACAAAAATTTGTACGATTTTGATAGAGAACGTCTTTCTATTTACTTTGCTACTTTTGCGGGGTTCTCGGAACCAAGATTGATTGCATTTGCATTTGCATTTCCCTTCGGCGCAACCAACCAAAAAGCATACAATGAACAATGAACAATGAAACATCACGATCTGAACTTTGAGCCTTTACACATACTAGCAACCAAAAATGCAAATGAAGCACGATTATCACTGCCACTCTGATCTCCTCCCTACTATTCCTGGACTATTGTAGACTAACTATCTCGTTGTCTGGGCGATCTGCCTCAGTCCCTGGAATGCCGGGGCTCGAGACTCGTCGCGGCATGTATCTACCTGTCCACCAGCACCAACTGGAATTCGTCAATGGAACCGCTCTCTAACTACTGAGTACGTCGTACCAACTGGCGAACGCATTACTCGAGCAAACCCCGACCACTGCCAATCCCATCCCACCCAATCTCAAAGTATGCACGGGATTCGATACTCCTTCAAACTGTCTCAAGAATAATGAACCCAAAGTGGAGCAACAATTGGATACTCACGTACAGACACCGGAAAAAACTATTAACAGCTATTGGGCGCATGTCTAAGCATCCTTGCCCGGCGCATGAACCACAACTACTTTCCCCTCTTCAATTATTATTCAAAAAGACAAAGTACCATCCAAGGCAGTACCCCACCTACTCAGATCGAATGGCAAGGAAAGTAAATTGCAGCCCCGAACATCCCCTCCAATAGGGAGAAAGGGATCAAAGGTACCCTACTTACTTTGCACTTACTGGACCTAGCTACCCTAGCTCCGGATCCATGCAACATGTACATGTCTCATGCGGAGGCAGGGATGTGAACCTTGGTAATGGGATCCCCCGTTTCTGTACGGATGATCATGTAGTCGAGATGGGCCTAGACGGACTTTGTTCTCGAGGTGATCACCTCTGTACAATAACGCTCTATTTGGTTGGACCAGGCGAGAATTTCGATCTGGCGAGTTTTTGCCTCTAACTATGACTCCATGACGTGTTTTTACTACTTCGTACTTTGATGGCGGACGGGGCTTGCGGGTGGAGTGAGGCTGGGATCGGCGGGTGACAGCTTCGTTGGGTCCTCGCTTTCTTTCCTGGCTTTGCTATTTCAGTGTAAATAGGCGACCGAGGGAAGATAAAAGTGCCGTTTGACTCTTGCCTCTGTTTCCCAGTTCTTATGCCCTTGTCTGAATGGGACAGGGATGACATGGGATGGGTGGGGATGTCCTGTCCTCGAAGTATAAAACAACCTTGGAAACGGGCTGATCATTGATTATCCTTTACCTGTCTGGGGGCTACTTTTCTCGCCGCCGTAACTCGTTCGTACTTTCTTCATGCTAAAGCGGCCACCCTGTCGAAGTAGAAAAAGCAAAGGTCGATACGTCGCGATTTCTCACCCCTTGCTTGCCCCGCTACCTCTTGGCTTGAACGTACTTTTTCGAACAGTTTGCCTTGGTCGAAACATCCTCGCTCTTGTTTGCTAGCTCATTTCTTTTGATTATCAGTTTCTGATCCGCGTTTTCTAGTCTATGAATTTTCAAAGCGACTCTACCTCATACGGGTCAACAGCATATTCCCCCTATGAATCTATCTCACAAATCCCCCAGGTCCAAACCAATTCAATCGACAGCAAATTAGCAGGCAACCACGGGGCGAAAGTCTAAACCCTGAACTCCATCATCGAATCCACCCACGTAGGAGGCTATGGCTGATCCAAGCAAAAGTCCTCGGAAGCCCCGAGCCGTCAAAGGCAAGGTGCATCCTATCCCACCGGATGGAAGCTGGACATCACCGAGACCCCTCAAATCCCGACGTGATGGTGGGTTTCAGATCTATCGGAGTTTGTTCGTCTTCGCGGGTCCACATCCGTGATTCCGGATCGGGAGGGAGCAGACGCCCCGTCGATTGCCGACCCAGGCGTTTGCTAGACAAACATGCTCCCAACCTAGCGTGGCGTTGGAAAGTTGATAGGGCTAATTTGAGATCTGAACTGGACTGGGCCTAGGCCTTGGCCAACGCCTGGCATCCTTGGAAAAATCCCACATATAATGACGCTGTTCGCAGAAAGTCTCCTCTGCCGTCGCGATCTTTTTTTCTCTTCCTTGTCGATTTGTTGACATCGCTGCGGTCTCCTGGGTAAACAAATCCCCTACAGCTGTTGCTGTATATTGTCCCACAGTGTCTCGGAGCTGTTCAACCGTTTTTCCAAACCGTCCCCTCGCACCGGACCGGCTTCCGCCCCGTCCGCATGGTCCTTGCAGCCATCCTGCCTACACCCTGCGCTCTGCCTGCACTCTGCATCCTCGAGCCGGGTAGACGGGTCTCAGTCGTGGAAGAACACTGACTCACAAACCATCGTGCAGGACGGGACGGGCAGCGGGGCCGGCCCAGCGCGCAGAAACAGCATGGCCCGCTTCGATGCAGCGTGCATCTCGCTCGCATCATCTTCCCCGGGCCAACCACTATCGATCATCGTCAAGGGGAAAGTGACTCCGTAGTACACTTTGTCAAAAGCTACTCGAATGTAGCGAACGGGAAGGTAAGGAAGGGCCGGAGCTCACAGAAAGCAAAGCCCTTGAACAAAGAATCCACCCAAGTCCAAAGCTTCAGATCTGCTCACTTGCTACGCCAGCTGTACCCTTCTCTCCCTGCAAAACAGAAACACCCTCCTCTTTCTCTTTCTCCTCCAATGCCTCCATATTCTCCTCCCACCTCGGCACAGCAACTCGGTCTTCCCAGACAGACACAACAGCATCTCCCTTCCGACCCAATTGCACCTCGGCCATTTCTTCAGACGCAGCCTTACCCGCGTTCTCGGGGTCCGGACCGGACCCGGCCTCAAAGCCCGTAAACACAGACTGGACGTCAAGTGCCTTAGTAGCCTCCTCGTAGATCTTCGTAATGCGCTCCTTCAGCAGTTGACGCGATTCCTGCCCTCCATCTTGAATCTTCCCCGTCGAAGCCGAACCTGCCGCGGTGCCCCGCGATGGTTTCTTGACTACGCCGCCGCCACTGCGCTCTTCGAGACCGCGCGTGAGACCTTCTAGGATACCGAGGATGGTTCCGGCTCTCATGCCCAGCTGTGCGCCAACGGGGTATCCTGCATCAAAACCTTCTTGGACGTGTTCGCCCTTTGAAGCGGAGACGCCGTCGCGATAGCCTGCTGTGACGTGTTGGCGGCGGAGTGCGGGGGACTCGGATGGGTCGGCTGTGGGCCGTTGGAGCTGCGCGTGGGATGGTCTGGTGTCGATGGTTGTTCCTTCTGGTGGGGAAGAGCCGAAGATGTCGTCTAGAGAGTTGTCGACTTCTGGCGCGGGGTGGTCGGTTTGGGTGGAGGTCATTGTCGTTGCGGGTGAGGCGGGGGCGGAAGGAGAGCTGGAGTCGAGGGATGTTGGCATTGCAGGGAAAATCTAAGGGAAAGGGATCGCTGCAAGTTTTGCTCACTGGGAGGAATGTGGATGTGGGAGAGAGGTAGCTTGTACAAGGGAGGTGAAGTGGAAGTGGAGGGGTTCAAGAAAAAAGATGCGGGACCCACTCGAGGAGTATACGACAAAGTGTATAGTGTATAGTATAGTGTATAGTAGCAAAGAATTCGAGTTCTAGTAGTTAGTATAGCTGTACGAATTATAGTCATTGATTATGGCTACTTAATATCGCTAGTTTAGCTACTAGTAGTTAGTGTTCAGCTATAACCAGTGTATAGTGTTTTTGCATCTCCAAATAGCCCCCAACTCGGAGCAACGTCAGCCCACCTGGGCAGCGGTGCGAAATTCCTCCGACCTCACCCTCACCCACAAAGCATTCGAGTATTCAAGTGTTCACCTACCCACTGATTAAATTCCTCAGGCCCACAGTTATCAATTCTGCAGCTTCTCATCGCCATGTCAAGACGCGCCCTCCGCATTCTCACCTACATCACCGTCCCAACCCTCGCAACAAGCTATGGCGTCCACCTCGGTCTAAACCACTTGGAAGACAAATATCCCGCTCTCCCACCAGCTGCCGCTGGTAGTGCCGCCCTTAGCACGCCACAAAAGCCAAGCCAGCGCTGCGCATATACAGACATTTATGCGACGCGCATCCGCCTCGAAGCACTCGAAGCACTCATCCCCGAATCCGCGCTCGTGACAGATATCAATCAAAAGATCCTACTTGAAGAAGCCTGGGCCCGAGCTGTACTCTCTTCAAAGCCCCTCCGCATTGAATCTTCTATAATTGGACTTCTCACGTCCAGAACATCTGCGCCCGGCGACGTGGGGGAGAATGGGTTTAGTGCAGACCCGGAGACGGGGGCCCCACGCTCTCTTCTGCATGGGTTATTTACTGTTGAGAGGGAACCGGCGCAGCCTGGAGGGAGTAACGGATTGCTAGTTTTTTGGGGTATGGCTGATGGGCCGCGACTTTTCTTTGAAAGGATTGCTCGGTGGGGGTATCCGTGGCGGCTTATGTCTGGCGGACGGCATGAGATGAGTGTTTCGGAGCCGTTTGAGATTAAGGGCCAGGGGAGGTTTGTTGAGGTGAGATTTTCTGCTGCGCATGATTATGAGGTTGTCCCTGCAGAAGGTGAAAGACAGAAGATATTGCCTGAGTGGACGAATCGATTGCATAGGGGGTATGCCCGTGTCATATTGGATGCTGCGGCGAGGGAGGTGGAAGGTGGGTTGAAGAGAGTATAATCCTTCTTTAATATCGCTTTGCTTTGACTTATTATTAGACCTGGCATCTTTGTGCTTGTCCTTGGCTTATTCTGTTGACTTTATATCCATAGCTCAGCGCTGCATACTCTCTCCTCAATACAAATCATCTATACCATTTTATCTTTGAGAGCAGACCGAAGAATAAAACAGGACCAGAAAGCTAGAAAAAAAAAATCAGATCGAGAAGGCTTAGCAGACAATAAATTGCGTGTTTGGCGATATCTGGTTTCCCTCATTATCGTCAGTAACACTCTGCAGTTCTGTCTCTTCCAGCCCACGCCACGCCTGGACGTCTTCTTTGAATACGGATTCGGTTTCAAAGCTTCCCCCAGATGGTTGAAACCTTCGAAGTACTTCCCATAGTTCTTGGGAATACCTTGTAGAGTTGACTGGTATACTCCTCTGAAGTAGCTGCCCAAAAATCGTGCGGAATATCAGGTAAAAGTCCAGATCCGCGAGGCCAAAAATCTTCGCATTGAAGCGCAACGTCGACGGTCTCGGTATAACAGTCACGAGTTGGTTCTACCTACACCTGGTTTTCATAAAATTGCCGCAAGGAGTAAATAATTAGTGGATCCATAACAAGCATAGCTCCCAGCGAGAAAAGGTAAGATATGTGACGTTTCATAGAATGACTTGATCCAGTCAGAGAATGGGCTGCTAATGTGGCTGAATCACCACTTGGTTCTTGAAAAGATGAAGCATTGAATACCATTCTTTTGAAGATATACAAAACTCTATCACCGTGGCCTTGCATTTCTTATAATTATCCAAATATTTGATAAATACGCAGCTCATTGTGGAGATAGTAAACTTGAATTCTATACATCCCATTATCAATGATGTTTACCTTCACCCTTCCTATCCATGACCGGCTGTGACCGGGCTTCCGAGAGGATTAATCTTCAAGTTCTTGTCCAATGTCCTCATATTCAAAGGGTCGAGGCCCTTGACATGTCATTAAATCTGGTTGAGTCCAGTGTCCGCCCAAATGCCCAGGTTTCCACCAGCTTAAGAAATAGCTGTATTCTCAACAAAAATAGGACACACCCTTGTGCTAAGGTGACTTGAGATACCTAGGTACATTGTTTTACCCGGAAGAATATGAATACTAGTTTCTTCCCTCTCGAAGCCTCAGGCAAAGGCACTTGACCTCGGGAGTTCAAGTTCCTCTCACGTTCAGCTTCTCTTCTTCCACCTTTCCCCGGGGCCCACACCCACCTTCTAAGGTTCCCCTTACTATCTTACTACACATCTTCTCTTTACACATCCTCTTCAAGTTCCCCTCATCCGCTTGGGTGTTTTCTTCTCCTCATCCATACTTGAATGATGGGCATTTTTTCGGCTTGCGTGGTGGCTGCGTTTATCAGCTCAGCCATTGCAGCCCTCCAAAACTCATTCACCGAGCGTGCCAAAGGGCTGCAGACCTTCGTCTTTCGAGTACTGATGAGTCAATGAGCCAGGGCATAACAAAATTGGTTACCAGTGATATCACCACCGAGATCAAAATTTCAGTTTCTACAGCAATCCTCTACTCCGCCACTGACAATAATCCAACCGACTTCGGCTCTGTCGCCAATGGCACCCGGCTTTTGAAAAAGTCCCTGACAGATTATGCTAAAGCCTGCCCAGGATCCAAGGTTGCAGCCTTTGGACAGCTACAGTGAGACTTTCACACTGGGAACTAATGAATTTCTCTCCATCCCAGGGCGCCCAACTCACATCGAACAACTTCTGCAGAGTACTTGGCGAAAGCATCCGCTCATACTAAAATAAAAGCCATTCAAATCTCTTACGCACTTAACGTCTTTCTTTAAACAGACCCCAGCATCCATTCGTTTCCCTCATGACGAAACAAAGTCCCGAATCGCACCAGAGCTCTCAGAACACTAGCTCTTCGAGCCCGGTCGAAGATGTATCCGCCAGTCTCAAACTATTTGCCGTGAAGCTATCACACGATTCCATGGGCTATGGGGAATATTCGTGCTTTGTTCGATGAAATGAGGACTAGAAGCGCTCAATTCGCGACATTACTACCCGAAGCAACTTTTCCGGACCAGGTCTCTGAGGACGAAGTTATCTTGAGTGAAGCTGATATCAGGCCCTTTCTCTACCGTTCACTATGGGAAGCTGCTCAGAATGGAAAGCTGTGCAGTATAGTCCCCCCCATTGACTAATGGACAGACAAGGTTAACAACATCATGGTAGAAAGAGGTCTGTCATCGATTGCTATAAGCACCTCTAATTCAGACCTGGAGAGGCTCCGGAAGTTAAGACTCAATTTCAATACACCGATTCAATGGGCCTAAACCGGGTTTTGTATAGGGGTAGTGTGACGATTGAGCACACATCCGCCTACTGGGATACTCTACACGGTACCGCCAAGTCCGAGACCAGAACGGAGATTGGAAACTTCAATCCTCGCCAATTAAACTAAAGTCTACAATCAAGCGGCCAAAAATCCCATTCGCGATGGAAACTCATCCGGCCCTCAAGTCTCAATATACGTGATCTGACTGAACAACTTTAGACCCAGGCTCCTATTCCAGCCAAGCTCCGTAGGCGAAGAGGCCCAGATGTCTTCCCTAGACCTCCTCCTCATACCCAAGACTTTGCTCAAACTCGCCCTCTCTCTACCTCTCCCCCTCGGGATGCAACTGCCCCAGAAAATGCGAATCATACTGGAGACGCTGGTGGCAATACAATGGCTCGAACATGCAAATCCAACGTAACAAATTTGCGTCCAAGTCTGCTGCTACCATCGTAGTGAAGTCTAACCTGGCATGGTCGGCCATAAACCGTGCCGCTCACAACAGTCAGGTGTTTTTTGTAGCTATGACGCCGGATACCCGTTCTGTTATGTGGGCCATACCGCGACGGTGCACCTCCATTCATGAACGGAACTGTGTACATGAAGTATGTCCAGAGCTAAGGGGAAGAGGTCGTTCATTTCGTTATTGAGCGATACCATAGTATCAGCAGCAATGACGGCAGTACCGGTAGCTGATCAACTGCGACGGACTCAGTTTTGCCGTCGTCTACTGTAAAGTTGAATAGTGTGCCTGGCTTAAGTCGATGGCGGGATTTGCCTTAATTGCTGGTGCATGCTTTTATCTCTGCTTCGGTGGATGATTTACTTTTTGCTTTAAGTCTAACATTTCTCACTGCTTGTGTAGTACAGCTCGTGTTGTTAAATTTAATGGTACTCCCCCAGGTACCTTTGCTTTGGCAGTTAGTTTTTGTGATTGCACAATTCAAATTATAGTTACTAGGCCACAGCACTAGGCCACAGGCATATTGCACTTCCAAGTCCGACGTCTCCTTTCGATTACCCCGGACGCCAGTGGTAAATTGAATTGTCTTTTATCTAAATAATCCCCAGGAATCAAATCCGAGCCAAAAATTAGCTGGATATCCTGTTTCATATACAGTCACAGGCATGTCCAGGTGGCTACTAAACATAGTACTACTAATAAGCCAACACGAGTGGGATCTCTCCCTCTGAAACCACAAAGGTAATACAAGTACTAACTACTAGTCCATCGTCACTAATCAAACACAAGCCGCCCCATGATCAACAACACTATACGCCGCAAATCCATTATAAGGATAACAAACCTCCCAGCCGGAGGTAATACTAGCAATCAGAGTCTCAGCCGTACAATTCGACGAGCTAAACATGCAAAAGTCCTTCCCGTCGTCTCCATCAAGACTCGTCTTAAAAGAGAGACTCTTCGGCACAGATCCGTCGTTCGTGTCTGCAGCTGAAAACGCTTCGCAGACGCGGCCGTAGCGGGCTGAGCGTGTGTAGATGCTTAGATTGATGTTTGAGCTGTTCGGGTCGCAGGTTGGTACTGCTGCGTTGAAGAGGCGGAGTTGCCACTAGATCGAAAGAGGATATTAGAATGGGATGAATGGGGGGGTTGATTGGAGATTGTTGTGTTTGAAGAGGATTGGCTCGAGATATTGGGACTGACGCTTGTGTATGCTTGGATAGCGGCTGTTCCGCGCTCTTTCAAGGATGAACCTGGGCGGGCTGAAGCGGTCGCGCCCAGGGCGACGAGAATAGGTAGAGAGAGACGCATAGCGAAGGAAGTAATTAATTAATCAATTAGTTGGTGGGAAAGTAGGACGAAAATTAAGGCGTGGGCCGAAGTACAAGTCCAGCTAGCGGGGGAGAAGACGGATGCGAAGCCTTTATAGTATGTAACGTACGTCGATCTGACAAAGGGGAGGTCGTTAGCGCCGCACAATGCCAGAGGTAGGCCTGATTCTAGACACTCTCGACCTGCACGATTCAGCTGTTGTAAGTGGGTGCAAGCCCTGGGCGCGTCCGGGAAAATCTGCAGCTAGTTGGAGGGGTCTGCTTGGCGCGGGAATTCACTGTGGCGAGACGAGGCTGATTGATGGGTCTCATAGGGTATGTTTCATGCGATGAGATCTAGTGCCATCTATGAGGGGACGGGCCGGGCACCTTCCAATCCGATCTTGGGGCCAGGATTGACCCGGGGGGTGTGAGGACAAGAGATGGGATGGATGTGGGTGATGACTCGGAGGATGCTTGGTGGTTTTCGGATTCAGGAACATGGCGAATAGGCGAATTCCAGGGTTGTGGGGAGACAGTGCAGACACGAGCTGAGTCTGCAGGGTCCTTCAGGGGTTGCTTGGTATTTATTATGTACTGGTACTAGTAGTATCTAGGTCAGATCGGTCTCGATTAGAAGTTCTAGGGGTAAGATAAATTATATCCGTAACACAAAGAACTGCCGCGCTACGTTGTAGAAATCCCTGGAGAGGTAGGACATAATTGGATTAATTTTGATCAATCTATTGGTATTCGTATATTGCCCTTTTCTTTGGGCTTGAGCGATATGTATTGTGTATATCCCCGCTACTCCCGCTGCGTGCTGGGCATCAGCCGCCACGCTCGGAGAGGCAGGTTTTGGAGCTTGGTGGCGGCCGGCTTGATGAACATGACAAAAGTGATCGTGCCAATCAGCACGCATAACATGTTGGTCATGTAGTAGCCGTCCCGACCGACCTCGCAGGTTCCGCCGCCGTTTACACAGCGGTTCTTCTCTGGCTCCAAGGCGCAAGAGAATGGTGAGGTGATAAGTGCACCCTTCAGCAAATCGGCGGCTGGGGGTGTGCTGGGGGGAAGACAGGTCGCTTCGGTGAAGAAGTCAACCAGCTTGAGGACGAAGAAGCGGGGGAAAGTTCCGCCCAAATTGCATACTCTGGAGAATTGTTAATATGCGGTCAGACGAAGAGAAAGAGGAGGAAAACTCACGTTGCGAGGAGGGTCATGTAAGTTCCACCAATCGCGGGGTCTGCAACACGAGCGTGGAAGGCCGAGATGGCGACGAACATGACCGTGTTCATAAATGTTGAAATCACATGTTCAAAGATGACGGTCATGAGATACCAGAATGGAACCGTTGGTCCGCTGGGGTAAATCATCACGGTGAATTGGGCGATTACGGCAGCGGACAGTCGGCCAACGAAGGCCCAGCCCCAGAGCCGCATGGCACCATACTGAGTGGACCATTTACCGGCATAGTAGCCAAGCATGATCTCAAATGGGAAGTCAATCAAGACAACCAATGCCATGTTGTCCTGGCCGAAACCCTTGTCCAGCAATTTGAGGCTGGTCACGCCGTCATTGGCCTGGAAGCCGATCTTGGCAATGAGATGGATGATAATGATCGTTTGGATATTTCGGAGCTTCAGCACACTCCACATGCTCTTGTACACATCCATAATGGTGTCGCGCTCCCGTGTATGGTCCTCCTTCTTGAGGAATGCCAGTCCGAGGGTCACAATCAGATAGGCCCAGCCCCAGAAGGTCAAGTATCCACCCAATGAAAGAAGTCCCTCATCGCCGGGGACATCCCGGAACCAGCGATTGGCGAAATCCTTGGAGTTGAAAGCGAGGAAGACAGTGTACGAGAGGAAGTGGCCGGCGGTCAAGCCGACGGTTTGCGCGGTCGAGGCGTAGGAGATGTTGGGTGGAGACATGAGGGTAATGGCCCATCCATCGACAGCAATATCCTGCGTAGCGCAGAATAAGACCAGCATAAACCACCAATATGTGAAATTCCAGACTCCGGCCCCGCCATTGGCTCCGGCCTCCTCCATCATCGCCCCAATGTGGCGGCCCAAATAAATCATCGCCAGACCAGCAATCACCTGAACGGGTGTGATCCAGCTCTTGCGCCGGCCAAATGTCGGGCTCCACACGGCATCAACAATAGGACTCCAGAAGAGTTTGAGGGAATATGGATAAGAGGCGAGAGAGAAAACGCCGATTTGACCGTAGGAGAGGTATGGTTTGAGGAGGAAAGGTACGGAGCCGGTGGCTAGGCCCATGGGAACGCCCTGTAGGAAGTAGAGCACGCAGAGGAGGAGGAAGTTGCGCTGATCGCTTGGCGGGAGGTTGTGGAAGCTGGTGGTGGTCATGACGGGAGTTTGAGGGACGACGGGGGGGTTCGTTATCGAGGGAAAATTGGGGACTGGCCATCACGCGAGAGGTTCGTTCGGTGGAGGATTCGGTGGATGGGGTGTCGCGCTTGCGCATTTCGATGTTGCCGTTCATGGCGCCGTTCGCATGGCCGTTATGGCCGGTTGCTACTTTCAAACTCGGTTTGGAGCGGCGTCTGGAGAGGGTGTTGTTCTTGCGTGTCATTGATTATGCGTGGATGTAGTTGGGAGATGCGATGTTGCTGTGATGAAGGTGAAGGTGAAGTGGGAGAAGGAGAGTCGGAGTGGAGTTATTTGGTTGCCGAGGGCTGTGCAGATAGTCAAGTAAAAATAGGGAGTGGTTCGCGTCGGTTGGAACCGCGTCAAGGGAGATCAGGAAGATGAACGAATGGACAATGCATGGAGGCGTGGGGAATAAAGAGTGTACACGGTGGTATGCAGGGAGTTGCTGATGTTAAAAATGTGGAGAGGCAAGCTGGCCTCTTTCAGGGACGGAGAGAGCGGAGTGGCCGAGGGGTACCGGGGCCTAACTTCCATTGATAATCATGCATTTTTTTGAGGTCCCACTCCTATCCCACTAGAGTGTGGAGACTGCTTATCGAACCCAAATGATTGGGGTCCAAGTCACACAGAGTGAGATCATCCATCGACGCGCCTGATGGGACAGTGGAGGTGGTATAAATTGAGGCTCGGGTTGATCACACTTGATACAGTCAACATGGGATTAAATGGGCTGGTCTAGGACAGTTTCAGGGCATTACTATAATACTACGCTAATAGGTAGACCTGCAACATGTTGTATTTGAATTTCGATAGATTGATTTTGGGAAATTACCACCCCATGTGAAGTATAACCCTCTTAACCACCCGAAACTCCGACGGTCAGATCTCCATTACCGTGCGCTGCTGCCATGCCTGTCGTTTCAAGTTGATCACAGTGGTCAGTCTATGATCATTCTTACAAACGCATGTCAAAAAGGATCTAACGCTCGTACCTGCAATTGCGCACGCATCACCTCCGCAAGCGGGACAGTGATCCAGCACCCACACGACAGCAGCGGCCACGTCCCAACAATAAGACGCAGTTGAGTCCTTATCATTCCACGCGAAGCCTCGGACAACGGTCCCGTGAGATCGGTACATAATTACACCTCCATAGTTCGCGGATTCAACGGAGCCACCGACCGTGCCAGGTGTACCATCCCAATTGGGCAAACATCGAGGCTCATAGAGAGGATGGAGAGTTGATTTATTCTCTGGGAAAAAAAAGACTGTTATACTTGGTGTAGCCTTGACAAAGTAAAGATACCTTGAGCACTCTGCTCCTCAATGGAAAAGTTCTATATCCGTTTTAGAATGGTATTATCTACATAGAAGCTCACTATCTGAAATCATATACCGTAGTATTAATGTAATTAGCTTCAACTAGGGTCGCAGTGCTTTAGCTCATAGCGAGTAGGGGGGAGGAGGCAAATAATGCCCAAAAAAGGGCGTTTTGGGCCATGTTGTCTAAACATAAGAAGACGAATTCAAATGACGACTGAAACTCGAAGAGGAAATTTGATCACAGCTTGTTGGCTTTTAGGGTGTTTAGTAGCAAATGACAACCAATCGATGTAGAACTTGAAGGCCTCCAGGGCTGGTGATGATTGCATCTTTAGAGTACCTTAAAGACAATGATTTCTCTGCAATTTGCGGCCATCATGTGGCCTCTTTTAATAACCAGCACTTAGTATTACAAAAAATTTGATATTTCCCGTTGATTCATCAATTTGAACCACGCTACTTTATACCTAGGTAACCTTGGAAATCGCCGACCATTGCCGTCATCTGTGGAACTACGATCAAATTTAAATACACCCACAATCGTGTCAATACAGATAGATGTTCTTTAAGTACTGATCTTTTACCTAGTCAACTTATAGCTAAACATTCCTCAATTTACGGGTTGTAACTGAAGGTCATTGGTTTATTGAGTCAATGCAAGCCCTTATATCGCGCCGTGCATGTTATAGTACTTTGCCGAATCGTCATACCCTTTATTAGAAACTAACTTCTCATCCAAAGCAGAGAACATAGGCTAATTCAATGTTACTTATGATTAGAAGCCCAAAGTGACACGTGTAAAGTCTCCCAATATTGCCCGTATCCGTGGCCAACAGGGCATCAAGCATTTGACAATTCACTGCCAACTGAACAGGCATTCCTCGGCAATAATGAGTTTTACAGCATGTGGTGATTTGGAACTACGTATTATCAATGAAAGCATCAAACCGGAGAAAGGGATAGACCCGAAAGATATACGGCATTGAATCTCCGTCTGTGGTGAGCCAGATAAATCAACGGAATGATTGAACTCCAAGTGATGAAGAAGAACCAAAAAGAGAAATGCGAAGTAAGGAATCTTGTGACACCCATGAACACCTCAAGTCATCCACTGACAAACTACTAGCAGTCAACACTCAGTGGAACCTGGAGGAGAGACAAAAGAACACAGAAAACGTGCCGAGTCTGCATTGCCATTAGAGAAGCACAGTTGTCTGAGCTAATTTACTGGTAAAATTGGGCAATAGGAAAAATATAGGCGAGAAAAATAGTTGATTGGATTTGGAAGATAAAAAAGATTTCTGTTCACTGTCATCCCATGGCGTGTATTCAACTAGCAGCAACTAAGGATCATAACCATGAAATAGTAGTGGAATCATGGTGACAATGAGGCACCGGCGCCGTCTTCCACCTAGGCGATGTTTTCTCATCCTCCAAGCTAACTACAGGCTTCAAGATATCAAAAATTCCCTTATCCCCTTTAAAGGAAACTGGCCTCAAAAATGTCAGGGAATACCCTCTTCCAGCCATCTACTGCAACTTGCAGAAGCTCGAAAACAAACATAGAAGGGTCCATTGGTGCCCATTGAAACTTTTTGTAGACTTAATCGACAACTTCAGGATTGTAAAGGCTAATTTCTGGTTTTAGAGGATAAGCTGTAGCCACTGTAAGTAAGGCAAAAATATGGTAAGAGCCTTCGTTTTAGGTATGATCGTAGATTGCTATTAAAGCACTAAGGGCACTAATCAAATTAGTTATTATATCCAGAATAGGGAATACAGGTAAAATACTTTAACTGTCCGTATAACTTATCAATTTTACTATAATATAGGATACTCCTAATACTATATCTCCAGTCTGTTGCTATCCAGGCCAGTTATAGAAGGATCAATATATACAATACCTTTGTCTCTTTTTCCTATGAGTTTAAGAAGATTAGATAGACTATAACTATTTTTTACTATTATACTTAGTTAGTACCCCTAGATAAAAATATCAGTATTATCAATTAAGTAAAGAAACTTTACTAAATTATTATCTTTTATAAAGTTAATATTAATTATCTAGATTCTATTATTTAAAGTAGTCTAAAAAGACTTTTTAGATAAGTACTATTTTTTAATAAAAAGAACAGAATAAAAGAAAGAAAATATATATTAAGATTATAGAGTTAGCTATAGTTTACCTGAATAATATTAGTACTTAGTATAGTAAGTATATTATCTATAACTAGTCTAGTAATAATATAAACTAATTCTATAATCTTTATTCTAAAAAGTAGTCTACTATTACTTTAGAGTTAAGAGAGTAGTATAGAAAGAGTTATAATTATATAAGACTAAAGCTTATAGTTTATAAGTAGATACTTAGATAAATATTTCCTTATTTATATCTAATACTATCTATTAAGTATATAGCTAATATTTCTACAAAACTCTAGCCTAATATTCATTATTTCCAATTCATTTATACTAAAGTATTAAATATATTAGCTGATAAGATTATAAGTATCTTTCAGCGTCTCATATAGCGTATCAGGATCTAAACTAATTACTTAGAGAACTAGATCTGAATTAGAAGATCCGTAAAGCTAATACCAGACTCCTAGTGTCTTAGTGGGATAATTTACCGTGGTTCAGGCTCAAAGAGATATTCCGGAAGCTCCCTTTTCAAAATCAACTTTGAAAAATTCCTTCATTTTCCCGGCATCGACGATTGCTTTTATGTTCATTCTATTCCACTGGAATAACCCAACTGTGCTAAGCCAGAAAGCAGTATGATCGGTATTGATTCTCACTTGGCGATTATTATCTTTTCCATCCCTTTCTTCAAGTATTTCATTGGCAACAATACCACACAGGGCATGTAGAGCAGCTGCAACTGCAGTGGCCTTGATCGGACCGGGAGTGATGGGGTCTGAACCTCCTTCAGAGGTCATAGTACTCAGAGAATCCTGGGACTGAGTGAAGCCAGGGGTAGATTTGGCAATGAGAGACAATATACAGCGGGAATCGGTAGGAATATCCATATACTCCTCGTTCATGAAGGACCCGGGACCATAGGTTTCGAAACTGGGGATTGTTTGATGCATTGAGAGTGCTGATAGAACTAGATATTATTTCAAGAGACAGGATGCTGGGTCATGGGACGTATTCTTATAGGGCAATTTGATACTGGTGTGACCATATGCAACTTGTTTGCGATTACCCGAAAAACCTTCCATGTGGGGTCAAAACCCCCTTGTTCTCATTTTTCCTGAACAGGAAACATAGGATTTTCCTAATTCCACTCCTGTAGCAGGGAGTGATGTGGGAAGTATTGCAATATTTCCCATTCTTCAATTCCAGATTTTTGAAATTCGGTTTCGATCCCTCACGTTGAAAACTTCCAGCCATACTGTGAGCTTCCCAGAAAATACTGCCAGCAATGGTATTACCACCCCGTATGAGAGATCATAACAAATCTAAACAACATGTCATTTCCTGTCACATTTGGAAGTCATTAGAGCTTTTGCCAGTGCTATTATGCGGAATAGATGACGAGTTACCATTTTTGGTATATTTCATAATGCGGATTATTATAAGACCAAACTAACCCCACAAGAATCTTCGGGATTTATTGGTTATTGGGGAGGGTGGAGGCTTAGCATTCAAGTCATAGGAAAGCCCCGCCCAATGATCGGCATTTTGATCTCCACATCATCACGATCCTCGCGAGTGTATTATCAGAATGGGAAATATGTGGCAAATGTTTGTAAAAAGGCATCGTAGCTGCTAGTCACTTTGAATCTGAGAGCGGGGGAGCTTAAATGTGGTGATTGACATTCACTTAAAATTGCAAAAAGCAAAATTTACCGAATATAGTAGGAAGGAATGGAATTTGGTCCCGTTCATTGAAAACCCGCCTTGGCCAGTCCTCCCAAAAAACACCACTGTTTTGAAGAACATTTCTTTAAATCGATTGCGAACTAGACGTCTTCTGAGTCGGTCATACAAATGAGGGAGCCTCAACAACCTCTCAGAAACACAACAGGTCTTGTAATTCGCTGGAAAAACCTTATATTCGAATACTGCCAGCACAATTCAATAAATTCTATTTAATGGTCCATCCACAGCATTCGAGAGACTACCCAAGAGTCGTGCCCGTGGGCGCTTCGTGAAAGTATATCATGTAGTCAGCAGGCGAGTCAGTAGTGCTAGGTCTATGAGCTGCAGAGGCATGGGGATCCGCGAGCTTAGCCCGATCAAACCTCTGAAGCATACGAGTAATGAGGTACCCCGCTTCGGCAAGTGCGGATTGTTGCCCAAGGCATATGCGAGGTCCGCCGCTGAAAGAGAGGTATGCCCAAGTGGACTTTTGATCGGCCCAGCGATCGGGGTCAAAGTTGTTGGCGTCTGGCCCCCAGAACTCGCGCAGAGTGTGGGTTATATGGGCGTAGAAGATAACGACCTGCCCTTCCTTAAGGAAAATTGGCGATTGCTCATCCGATCCTCCGCCTAGAGGCAATTTTGTGTCTTGCGTCGCTTTGCGGCTATTGATAGCAATGGGAGGGTAGAGCCGAAGAACCTCTTTCATAACAAATTGAAGATATCTGCATGAATTCAATCTCTCAAAAGTAATTTGATTGGCTTGGTCATCAGACCCGACGTGTGTGATGATATGCGACCGCAGTTTGTTGTAAATTTCTGGATGCTTCGCCAGCAGCCAGAATGTCCAGCTCATAAGACTCGTTGTAGTGTCACGGCTGGCTATCAGAATATTTAACAACTGGTTCCTCAGCTCGGTTGGATCTTCCGTCTTCTTGAATAAAGCGTTCAAAAAGCCGGAGTCCTGCTTGGATTCCAGCTCACGGTTTTCTTGTTGTCGCGTTCTCTGTACATCGCCCTCGATACAGAGATTTATGAACCGATGGATGTCCTTGATATTTTTTTTTTGAAAGCTCTTCGGATTATGCAGCCAGTATAAGTCTAGCAGACTGAAGCGCTTCTGTAGATGCTGTGTTGCTTCATCGAGGTTCTTAGCCAGATCTTGCGATGTGAAAGATTTGGTAGGTTTTGCGCTCAAAATTTGCAGTGAAGAGGAAGACTGCGAGTGTACAGTTGTTTTGAAGAGGAGCTCGGTAGAAAACTCGAGCGTAAACTGAAACAGCATCTGAGTAATATTAACCGGATTTGTCCAACCATCTTTATTATTTGGCAGTTGCCGAAACAAGTTTTGCGTATGCTTCTCCTCCAATTCAACGTCAACCATTTGAGCCCTCACAAACAGAGGGCGCAGCATTGCTCTATTGTGTTCCCTAAGAGATATTAGCCGGACCATAATTAATCTCAACAGCTGTCAGGCATTTTTCACCTACCAGGTCTTGCCATCGGTTGCCGAGATTCCATTTCCTATCAATGGGAAAAGCACCCCACGGCGCATTTTCCCCAATTCAAAGTCACCAAATTGAGTGACCATCATCGCTTGGATGTTTTTTGGCTCGACAGTGTGGATGATTGTCGACCCTAAAATGCTTGTTTCAAAGGTCCGCCGCTTTTCCTCAAGAAACATTGCTCTGAGGTTTTGCAGAAGGTGCCCATTTCCATCCCCCTTTACTAGGTGCAGCAACTGGCCCAGGCCTAAAGGAAAACGGTTCTTGCGCAAATGTGTCTGCTGGCAGCCAAGATATTTTGCCTTTTGATGTCTAGCCGTGACCTTCAAGTACTCGTATAATCCGTAGCAAAACGAAATGGATACTAAAGAGGTAACGAGGATATACATCGTATATATCGGCGATAGTACTACTAGTACTAGTCATAGGTTAGTAGTAATGGCAATAGAGTTGAACCTGGGAGGGCAAAGGCATCATTGACAAGACGCGGTGAAGCCGGGTGAATCGGAGCTTCCAGCATAGGAGATAGAGCATCCTTATAAGTTCTTAACTAATTTAGATATGTACACAAATAACAGTTCATCGTAGCGGACCTAGAGTATATACACCAATAGATGAGCGAGCTTCTCTCCCAAGACAAAGGCATATATGTGGGTGATTTGACATTCTAAATCATTTCCTCGGCTAACTAAGTCTCCCTCCTCTATAATTTGGTATTTACATACCTTCTACCGTTAAAATAGCCCGCGATGCAGAGCCTGAAAATTGGAAAAGTCAGCATGGAAGGATATACAAAATACCTGGGCGTATCAACGCAGAGAAGGTCGTTCCCCTGAATTTTTGGGATTTCAAAGGAAGATCTCTAATTACAGGTAGGCAAATACACCTCTTGAATAATGATAGACTAACCCAGCTTAGTATCTGCACATCACAAGGTCAGAGCTGGACTTTTTAATACAGTTGCATCTCACATAAATCGGGTAGTTGATATCATTGAACTTCCATTCCAGCCATCGACACCTCAACGAAGAGACAAAGCAGAGGGATTAGCTTATTCGGCTTAGAGAGAAATTCCGGGCCTAGGAATGAAACAGAGAGTCAAACTCAATTCTAAAATGTGAAGGTTGAACAGAAAATACATAAAAATTTAATAGATAGGTTCTTTTCTGCAGAATTTGACGATAAAATCTTCCTCCTCATCGTTTGGGGTCAGAGTCAGAAACAGAAAGAGTACAAATCGAGTTGTTGATAGCCTTCTATTTCTTCACTATATCACAGATTAACAGGTAGGGGGAAAGATATATATCTCAGAAATCTGGGGATCAACGGGTAGACTTTTCACTGTACAGAATGAAGCCTGAAGTCAATAAAATTTTATGCCTTGCAGTCATTCAATACAATGGATGTACTATTTGCTTTACAAAGGGTGAATAGTTTTCGAGCACATGGCATGGCCCATACAATCGTGATACGATGCCGATGTTTACACCATTTTTTATTACGGCTATAAGATACTGCCAAGGATGTGGATTAAGGGTAGAGTACTGTACTGCTGGCTTTTCATCTACGTGTGATGCAAAAGCGCATTTGTTGTTACCTGAGCTCTTATTCAGAGACTGTCGAGGCTCTTTTTCCTTGCCTAGAGAATCTGTTTGCTCGTACTTGAACATCAAACAATGCCTGCTAATAGTAAATTTCAAAAAGTAGGCACCGTACTACGGAAGGTGATAACCAGAACCTTTAAAGTAAAGTCATCTATTAGAATAAACATATAAGATGCATGGATCACACTAGCCTAGACGCGTTGAACCGCCCATACACATGAGTAGCTCTTATGCACTATTTAGAAGAGTTCAGTCAATGCACCTATTTACCCACGAGTAATTCAGTCATTTGACACAAACTCGAAAAAGAAAGGCAGATAAAGTATACCAATTCCGAAAGAGGGGATACCGTGTTCTATCGTACGAACTGCTCTGTCGGGAGAACGAGGACTGCATACGATATCTTGAAAGAAGGGAGAACCCGTGGTCTATCGTACGAACGAGGACATCGGAGGATCGTCTACATCGTGGGTATCTAAAAGAGCTTCGAGGTACATAAAAATGATTCAAGAGCACCACAAACTAAAATATCGATCACGTTCGCTAATAGTTACAATGGAAGATCTCTAACAAGTCAAATGTCCTGGCACCCTTAGGCAAATTCAAAGCAAGATGTAGAAACTGCCACTGTCATTCGATTATCTCGTAAGAGTCCACGTTGAAGGAAAAGTTTGATGCTACACTTGGCAGCTACTTCAATGGCGTCCTTGAAATCCCTGTAGTCTCGTGCCCGAGGGTCCTGGGAAATACGCTTGACGACCTCGTTATGACCGTCCCGAGCTGCAACGCATAATGCTGTCTCTCCACTGCAATCCCGAGAAGCTACATCCTAGGGCCGCAGCATGGGTTCCTAGGAATGCTGCCACTGGCTCCTAGGAGCCAGAACGTATCTCCCAGGGCGCTTTTTTACCTAGATCATTTTTTGGGCCATCCTTGTTCAACGTGTTACTTTACCCATCATCGCTACGTATCTTTCCTCTGGCGTTACTTTAGTCTTTGGCTGCGGCGCTGCTGGGCTCGGCGTTACTTTTGGGACGGCGGGCGCGTTATGTGGATCGTTTCGACAAACCGACGCCTACATGTTACGCGTTGGCTGACTGGTCACTCGATTAGTGGCTGTAAGTTGGTAAACGTACCTTGTTGTCCAGTTTTGTTTGAGACGGCGAATCAGAGGCTAATTCCGGCAGTTCATCGCGTGATCTGATCCTGCATTCCCTTCCTAGGAACGGTTGGCTCTCGGTGGCCCATCTATAGGTTGCGGCCCCTCATGTCGCAGGGTCCGTAACACTAAGGCGCTGGAAACGGTTCCTTCCAGTCAGCCCTGATTTCGTATTCTCCCGCTAGACATTCTGCGAAGAGTCTTAGTCCTGACAAAATTCTTTATATTGATAATGACCGAGTAGAAGCGGGTGCAATAGTGTATTTCAGGAACGCTCCTGATCTTTACGATGACGCTGAAGACATCGCGAGACCACCTCGCGTGCGTTGCAAGTGGGGTAGGCTAGAATTAACGCCTAGAGGAGCTGCGTCACCTAAAGAATGACCAGAATTTATTTGCTGATTGCCTTCAAATGTGTGTTACCTGTCTTTATACAAACATCTTGAACTAGCGGTCGACAAGAAAGTGCTATGCACTCGCCGTCGCTGTGATACAACCTGAGCCTTAAAGCTGCCCGCCTAAATAAAAAATACATAGGTGTATAGTCGTTTCCTTGACGACCATGTACTATTAGACAATCAACATGACTACCGCAGCCATAATACCACCAACATACACAGCGCCGCGGGTAGTAACTGGGGCCGCGTTCTTGGTAGGGCTGGTAGTAGGACCGCTGCTGCTGCCTCCGGAGCCTGAGCTTGATGCCGCCGTGGCACTTGCGCCAACCAACTCGGTAGCTGACGCGCTGTTACTACTGGGCTGAGAGCTAGCGGTCTGCGATACGGCCGCTGATTTAGATGCGGCCGAAACGCGCTCCGAATAATCCGATGCTGTGACGGGGACCTTATCAATGCACTGCTGAGAAAGGGATACCCTCTTCTGAATGTGGCTCGCCATGGTAGAGCAGAAAGGAAAGCAACTGTCCATCACGTCGCCGCCGATGATATCACCACCGTTGCCCGCGTCGAATGGCATGACGGAATCGTGCACGCAGCAGTAGCCATCGTTATTATTAACGGTAATCGAGCCGTAGCAACAGTAGACTTTGTCTTGGTTGTTCAATTGGGTTTGGGCCGTACTCCAGCCGTTCGGACACTCGTTCTAGAAGACTAATGTTAGCAACGGTGCCATGACGGCCCTGAAGCAAGAAAAAGCCTGTAGGTGCTGTTCAGCACATTAAACCTGGAACGTACTCCGGAAAGGCTGAGGGTAGCACCGCGAACAGCATGCACTAGCAGGATGCTCGAAGCAATAGCGAATGTCAGACGAGTCATTGCGTAGAGTGGTACGATTTTCTTGGGTGTTGATTGATAGTCGGCGATTACTGGGTAGGTTAGACCTAGATATTTCGGAAAATAGAGAATGCTTCACTGACGCACCGAGAGGTTTGCAGAATTTGCATACTCTCGGTGCCTAAATATATTCCGGCCCTGCCCCGGGGGGGGTTTCATAATTAAGAGAGTCTTGGCGAGGGGGGGAGGCTTATTTTTCGCAAAGCCTACTCTTTCAGCGTTCGGTGGTGGATATTTTCTCGTACCGGACCATAAAGGAGAAACTTTATTCATCCCAGTATGGTAAGCATTGCGAGTCAAAAAGAGGCTTAGCCGCACTGCGCATTCGAGGCTAAACTGTTCTGAGTAAGATTTCTGAAACTTAACCCCACTATATTACGCTTTCCACCAATTATGTCCGCGATACGGTATATCCCGCTACTTATGTGTCAAGGCTGAGAACAGTCCTTGGAATACTTTGTTACCTGATATTTTATACGAATCTACTCCTTGCATATAAGAATGACGCTGACTTCGCTGTTTAATATTTTGGTTCTGTTAAACTTGGTTTACTATCAAGTTGAATATTCTTTTACCTTGCAAGCGGGTTGCCGCTAATTGTCGGGGCCATGATTTTGATCTATAAGCAGATCAAGAAGCGCAATGAGAGGAAGAGATTAGGGGCTCAGCGGTTGGAGTCTCAACCTCAGGGACAAGAGGAGTTGGCAGTTATTAATGGTGAAAATACTGTTACCGAGGCAGCAGGCGAGAAGAAAGAATTGTCACCAGAGGAGAAGACCGAAAAGAAACGCAAGAGAATCTACCGATTTAAGATTGTTCTTGGCTTATTCGGTCCTTTCTGTCTTCAGTCTTTGGATACCACAATTATTGCATCTGCATTACCATATATTGCAACTGATTTCAGTATGTTATTTCCTTCTTGCGAACCGGGGAACTTTCTTCTTGGTCTGAATATGGACTGACCAAAATTTGTATCGCAGATCAAATCAGCCAGTTGAATTGGATCATTTCATCTTTTAATCTCACATCCGCCGCATCTTTATTTTTCTGGGCTCAGCTTGCAGACCTATTCGGCAGACATTGGACACTTCAATCTGCTATCTTCGTCATGGTAATCGGTTCAGCCATTTGTACCGGATCCCCAACCTCAAAATTCAGTGTCCTTCTCCTCGGTCGTGCCATACAAGGAGTCGGCGCCGCCGGAGTCAACATATCTGTCCACATAATTCTCGCAGATGGCGTCTCTTTATCTGAGTTCGCCATCAACTGGACTATCTTCGCCATGGTATCGGGCGTAGGCTTCAGTATCGGTCCCGTCATCGGCGGATACCTAACGACTGCCTCGTGGCGCTGGTGCTTCGCCATTAATCTTCCTATCGGCGTGGTAGCCATGATTGTGGTTGGTATTATCCTGCGCAAGGACCTCAAGGGCCCGTCACCATTACCACAGACCGATGGCTTGAATCTGTCAACCGCACCAGGACGCTTCGTCGCTCGCATTCTGACTATTGATTTTGGAGGCCAGATGCTGTTCCTTTGGGGATTTGGTCTGCTTATCCTTGCTTTCACTTGGGCTGGTGGTAATTATTCTTGGAACTCGGCTGCTGTCCTGGCGCCTATTATTATTGGTGCTGTTTTTGCTATTGGATGGGTTGTATATGAACGGCTTATGGTTCCTGGTGCTTTTATGGCGCAGGCTTTGCCGCGTCAGAAGGCTATGATGCCTTGGGAGCTTTTCAGGCAAAGGGATATCTGTCTACTCTTTCTGATCAATTTCTCGATGGGTGTCTCCATGTTTGCGGTTATGTATTTCATGGATCTGTACTTTGATCTTGTGGAAGGGCAAAGCTCTAGTACAGCTGGAACTTCGCTGCTTTATTTCCTTCCTGGCTTGGGTGGTAAGTAGATCTCTTCCCTGACTTCAATCGTTCCCCTTGAAAAAAGCTAAAAGCTTCATCACAGCTGGTGCGTACGGAGCCATGTTTTCATCCAACGTTTGGCCACGCCAAACTCTTCCAACACTCGTCCTAGGCAGTCTCACTTCTGCTGTCGGGATCACCGTCTTAGCATACGCCGTACACGCCGCCAAAACAAGCGTTATCTACGGTATGATGGCGCTTGTCGGATTTGGTATCGGAAGCCGCATGAACCCTGCTTCGTTGCACGGGCTAGCATATTTCCCCACTATGACGGCCCAGATCAGCAGTTTAGTTTCATTTGCGCTTCCTTTCGGCGGTCTGGTAGGTTTGACTATAATGTCGACTGTCTTTACGAATACAAGTGGTAAAGCCGAAATGGATCCAAGGGGCGGTATTATGTGGGCGTTTATTGCTATGATACCGTTTATGTGGATTGCTGTGGTACTGACTACGTTCTTGGGAAATGTATGGATATTGAAGGAGGGTGGACATGAGGTTGTCCGTGGTGCTTATCTTTGGAGTTTTGTTACTCGCAAGAAACTTGTTAGGGAGAGACGAGATCGTGGACTGAAGGAAGAGCCTGTTGGTCAGGAGAGGAAAGATGTGAATGATGCTGAGATGGGTCATGTCGGCGCTGGTGCGAGGAGCACTGATAAATGAACAAGCATTTATCTATTATATGAACTAATTTAATTATTATATTCGAAATAAACATCAGTGAATAAATTTAGATTCATTTCTCATTACTTTCCTCCAGAATGGTCACCTGAAATAAGATTGCTTACAGTAAGATGAAGTGGATATCTTATATAGATAGGAAAAAGGTAAACCAGAAACAAAAGCAATCACTCGAATAATCCTACTCCCCGTTTGGTGGGTCTGGATCACCTCTGGCGAGGACTGACAAGACCATAGTGCCAACAACACCCCGACTTGTCACAAAATGGCCCGGAATCTTGATTCCTGGCAGCGTGAAGACACTTTCCACATAATACGTAGTAGGAGGAGACTCCCCACATCTCAAATTGCCAAGGTAGCGGAGTGTAATGAGCGTTCTGTCACTAACATACGCAAGCCCCCCATGTCCCTGCCGGTCGGCCATCAACCATCACCGAAGTGATGCTGGACGCTCTTTGTAACCATATTGCAGAGAAGCCCGGCCTCTATGTCGAGAAGATAGCTATTTCTCTACGGGATGAGTTCAACGTACTTCCTTCATCATCCAGCATCAAACGTGCACTTTCCCGGGCTGGATGGACGAAAGGGAAAGCACAGTAGAAGAAAAAGAACAAAACCCCCAACAGATTCCTATCAGTATAAACCATCCGAGTTCCGTTTTTATCACCTGATTTTTGTTGATAAATGTGGATGTGACAAACGGGTTGGACATAGTCGCACGGGTTGGTCTCCGCTCGGCGTGATGCCAGTCCAAGTATCTAAGTTTCATTGGGGTTAACGCTACCAGATACTACCAGCTTATACTCAAGATGGCGTCATTTTGTCTCGTATTTTCAAAGGTTCAATTGATGCTGCGTTCTTCGAATCGTTTATTGAGCAGCTTCTCCAACACTGTGAGCGGTGGCCGGAGCCAATATCCGTGCTTGTTATAGATAACGCGTCTTTCCTCCACTCCGACCGGATCAAACAGTTGTGTTCTGGCGCAAGTGTCAAGTAACTCTTCTTGCCCCCTAATCCGCCGGATTTCAACCCCATTGAGGGATTTTTCGCGGAGCCGAAGGGTTACATAAAAGGGTTGGCGGGCATATGAAGAAGACTCGAAGAGAAATTCTGAAAGCTCCCTTTTCAAAATCAACTTTGAAAAATTCCTTCGTTTTCCCGGAATTGACGATTTCTTTCATGTCGATTCCATTCTACTGGAATAACCCAACTGTGCCAAGCCAGAAAGCAGCATGATCAGTATTAATTTTTAGTTGGCGATTATCATCTTTTATGAGACCGGATCTGTTCGCATGGCTTATGGTGAATGGGAGCCAGGGGTACTTGATGAAAAGGACATTGCAAATGGCCGTGAGCCTGAGCCAGAGGAGGAGCCCCTTGAGGGGTGTACCTGTACCCTACACGATGTCGGTTGGATGAAAATGTCCTGGCGTTGGGTAGTACTGCCTGGATTCCACAAGATGCGGGATTGGGATGCCTGGGAGACTTATTTTACTCGTCCTCAAGAGATTGGAGGCATTGATTGATTGTTTAATGCATTATACTTTGTGTATTAGCTATATATAAGTCCATTAACTAGTGTTCCAAGGTTTATAGCGAGATGATTCCCCTTGATAATTCCAAGGTTCAGGTCATTAACTTTCAGCTTATTCTAGAGAGATGTTGAACAGATCACACTTGATTTTTGTATATTTGATCTGATTCATAGTCATTACTATCTCCTTCATTAATTTTCTTCTCTCAGATTACCCATTCTTTCCAAGGTTTTCTTAGTATGAATATCCACCGGCAGGTGTATCAAAATTACCTAGACATTCCTCAAGTTTGAGATCACAGTCCCACCAAATATGCTTCTTGTCTTCAACTCAAAGCTTCCGCTTCATTGCTGTACTACTAGTATCACCCTGGTAGCTCACTTCGTGTAAAGGTATCCGACGGAAGCTCGGACATGTTGGTCGCCTCGTGTTTTCCGTCCGCTTCAAATAGTATATTTTGAGAACTATCACTTTCATTCGGCTTCTTTGAACCAAAATCCGGTGAATCTTGCGGCTCCGGAGGAACCTGAAAGTTTCCCTTTTTCTTGACCCGATAGAGGACTGACAAGCCCACTATCCCCATAATCACGGCGACAGCACAGCCTATTCCAATCCCCACTTTTGCACCAGTGCTGAGGCCTCTATCATAGTTATCATTGCTGCTTGAGACCCGGCCCGTATCTGCAGTTGCAGTTGCCTCCGAGCCCAATGCTCGAGTTGTTCCTGGCACTAGGAAGCTAGTTCCTGTACCGGTGGATTCTGTTGTCGATGGGGTAGTACTGCTGTGACCTGAAGTCGGGTGACGGTCAGAACTGCCGGAGCTTGACGTATCGCTGGTATTTGTTGACATTCCGGTCATGGTGATTTGGAAGCTCCCGGTTTCCCAGTAGTTATTAGCGTAGATGAACCGAAGATAATAGCCTTCGGCTAGCTGAAATTGGGTGTCTATCGTCAATTCACCCAGTGTGATATTGAGATCGTCGTAAACATGTTCCGGAGACTCGTTCATTTTGTGGATTGGGATAAATTGAATCGTAAGAGGGAATACTGTCGAGTCGGAAGAGTTATAAGACCAAGTTGTGGTAAAGCCATTGTAAACATTCACAACGTCGCCCTTCTCTGGATAGGTTATCTGAAAGGCTGGTAAAAGGTGAAAGTCAGGGGGGGTTTGCAAGTAAATATCCTGGAAGGGTAGACTTACCATTGCTTTGACAGACATTCAGGGCAATCGCAAGGAGCAACAGTGATTTGAACATGAGGGTGGTTTTTCTTTTCACATAAAATGTCAGATAGCAGTATTCAGCCTCCGGATATCAGCGTGAGGATAGGCTTGGGTAAACTTTTTCCAAGCAATCCATAGACACAAAAACAATTGGGGGCAATGGCTATGACTGTTCTTGGGGGAGACCAGGGGCAGACCTAACACGGTTGTTGCGCAAAAAGGCAATTGTCCGACGCGCTAGTACACTCCTTGGCCGCAGCAATCCGCAACCCACTACCCCATCTTTTGGAGTGGTAATATAACGAAACCGAACCAGAGGCCTCGCAGGCTAGTTGGCATGGCTTTGCTTTGATAGGCGCCGCAACACCATAAACTCAGGACAAATATAGGTAGTGTAGAAAGCGAGACACAGATAAATGCGGTCAGAGGGTGAAGGTACAAGAAAGTCGCACAAATCTACGGATGGCGACATGTATTATGCCATTGTGTCCATATACAAAAGGTTGTAAATATGACACTAGTGTCGACAGGGGTCGGGCCGCTCGGGAACTTTTCAAGGACCCTAGATTGTATTTCCGATCATCAGTTGGCTGGGACTCTACCTCGGCTCCAGTAGAACGCTAAGCAAGCTAGTTCTGCATTAGGGTGACCCAACCATGTTGTATTGTACTAGTGGTTTAACTGAGAGGGTTAGTGCCACAGCGGTGATAATTACCCGCTTACGGCGATCGCGAACGGCAATCAACTAAATATTCAAATCTTCGCCTTTCTTGGTCAGTGAGTAAACTTGAGAGACGCGAAGATAACTTGCATGATGAAGAGTCATTTCCCCCAGATATAGAATTAACTACTTCTCATTCCAAGGTTTCTGGCAGATGAGACCGGCCAGTGATTGCGCTTTTCCTATCTAGGAAGGGATCTGCCCAGAGCCTAATGCAACAGGGATGTGAGATGATTGCCCAGGCAATTAAATCTCCACGGGCTGTACGGAGTACCTAGGTATGTATAGGCCCCTTTTGCTAAAGTTAGTGCTCAAAATGAAGACCGCTCGCTACATTGTACCATTGTTACCTTTTCGGGATCTGAAGCCTCAAGCAATCCTCACACAGCTCGACTAGCTTAAATAATGAGGGGACGATCATGTACTATCTTATTTTGAGTGAATCAGAAGAGATTCTCTTATAAATTTATTGCATTGTATAATTTTTATAGGGAGCATACTACTTAGGCCGGTCGCTTTATTAGCTTTTGTTCAATTCTGTGAGAGTCTATATCAAAATTGGACCAACTCTACTACACCCACCCAGGCCAACAGCAGGATTTGGATGCTCAATTTCTATTATGGAGCTTTTATCTCGGCTTGCTAGAGTCTATGCTATATATAGTTAAGCTTTGGGCGAATTAACTTATCTGTCATGTGTATACTAGTATTCAGCCTGGCGCTTAAATGATGAAACGCATACACGTATCGAAAGCATCCATGGATGATGAGCTCTGTTTGTATTATTCAACATGCCGGGTACTCTCTTTGATCTGCCAGATTATGAAACTGATAACAGGAAAATATGACAATATTCTGTAGGAGTAGGAGGCTCATTTTGAGGAAGAGAGGCTTCCAAGGTTAAAGAGTAGGCATGGTAAAGGTTTTTTTGCTAGTAGACCAAAAATTATAAGATAGGCCCCTGGCACCTACTACTAATTAGTAGTAAGTCTATCTTATTTGAAGGGATTTGATGGTCAATACTACTAGCAGTGGTATATACTTAGGTATAGTAGGGACTCAGCTGGGAACTACCTAGTAGGTATCTGAGATAGAAATGCTGCCCAGGTGATCCTCGAACTTGAAGATCTAAACCACCCGGGCTGTGAGGACTCGAATATTGAAATATCGTAGAATATTGACGAAAAGTAACAAAACTAAAGAAGAGAAGAAGAGAGAGAGAGCTCTCATCGCAACTATTGTACATGGACTGATGTCTAAGCATGTGACGTATCAGGTGACTCAGGCAACAGCGGCCAGGTTCGTCACACGGGCAAGATACTGTCAAAAGTGGTATATTTTAGCTATAACTTGGATAAGGCGATATGATTAAACGGCTGCCCTAGATAGTTCTGACTAGGTATATTTAGATATTCTGGGAAGAATAAGGAAGGGTAACCTAACTTGAAGTTATCGAAATACTATACTAAGAGCAAATAATCAGATTTATAATAGAGTAGTATTACCTAAGTGGTATTTTCCAGTCTTTCTAACGTCCCAAGAGTATCTAGGTATTTTCTCCTTCAGGGCTTTCTGCATTATTTCATCGGGTTACATATCTAGTAGGTACTTATTAAAGACCTCTGACTCGGAGTCGGGATACATACTGTAAAGGACTCAGATGCTCAGAAAGATAGCAGTAGTATTGAAAGAAGGTATTAAGCTGAGAGAGAAGAAGAAAAGAAAAAGGAGAGAAGCTCCTATCGCAACTATCTACACAAGAGCGGCTGCCTGTGTCACGTGCTCAGGCACCGAGAGAGCTTCGATCGCTACACATACCTAGGTACTATATACAGAAGATATACTACTTAAATAAACAAGAGGCGGCCTGGTCATATTTTACACTTTTAATCAAGGAATAACTTGACGTTATTCAAGTTGTTAACATTCTCTTTATAATCTATATCGAATAGTATTAGAAGTGAACTGTAGGAGGTACCTAGGTAACTTTAAGAACAGTTTTATTATTGATCAAAGGTGTAGGGGCTTCCTATAAATATTTCTTTGTTTGAAATCAACTATGTTTAGTCAAATAGCTGTCTGCGGGTCTTTCTGCACATTTTTGCAAGAAGCGATCATTATTCTTCGGGAAAAAAAGATCTCTCTACCGAGACAGATATGCCAGCAGTAGAATACCATCTGCTGTTTAAAGCAGAATATGTTAGCTTAGAATGCTGTTAAGGACTGTAATAAATTTGGATATTATCATCCAAGAGAACCGGCGTCGTTCAATTATTGTCTTTAGATACTGTGGAGATGCTGGTCGGTTTAGAGAAGGTGGCGCACTTGTCCGTGCAGCAGCCTCCACCAGCCAAACTTTATCCAATGTATCTGAAATCAAATAAATGACTAGCAAGCGACAATAATGAACACACCTTTTTAGACCAGCCATAATGGTGCAAAGTTACCCATCGGACGGACCCTGATTTTCCAAGAGAAAGCCAAGAAAGCCAAGCCGCCGTCTCCTAGATACAAAGGCTCCTTGACCTCCTAGCGAATCAGATAGACCAAAGCTTCGTATTCAGAAGAGTAGTCACAAAAATTAAAAAGGGAGCGTGGTCCCCCGCGATGCGGACTCCAGCTCTTAGATTTTCATTTCACTTCTGCGATAAGTGGGAAACTCCAGTCCGATTAGTTGGTGACAGCCGACAATCGCAATGCTTCGCGCCGCAACGCTATTGCAGCTACTGCTGCTCTTCGCAACCGAGGTTCTGAGCAAAGCGGATATAAATTACGATCCAGATGAGAATTACCGGCCGCGTAACGTGACAGGTTTGGATTATTTCTATTATCCATGGATTGGCTCGTACGCTCAACTAGCATCCCCAGACCACGCAGACTGCACACTAAGAATCAGTTTATAGGTACTACAATGGTAGTGCCGTGTTCACCATCTCCGGAGTCGAGCGTCGAGACTTCCGCACCGATTCCGAGATCGAAGAGGAGGGGGAGTTGAAACTCTGCAAGCAGTTGGAGAATATCACGTATACGTGGTCGTATCCAGCAATATTAGCGATCACAGAGACAGAGCCGGAAGAGGAGCTACCCGGGAACACAAACCCATTTGATGTTTCGATATTCACCTCATACTCGAACTTCACGCGGTATTTTAGCGATGAGATGGATGCTGGCAGCGACATACCGATTCTGGATATGCCCTTTATATTTGAGTCGATTGAGTTATCGTAAGTATCTACCTCTCTCATAAGCAGTGATATTTTTGGCGGCTGGCTGATTTGTCACAGGCGTCATTCATACTACACGAGTAGAGACACAAAGCAAGATTTTAACCTGACTGTCGCCGAGGGTACTGGAAATGGGCTTCCTTTTCGAGTGACAGGGAGCTCGGAGCTAGAGCGGAACCCACTTCGTACTTTACAGGCGAATATGTCGACTTGCACCCGTACCGAGGGGTGGTGGGCTTTCAGTCCCATTCCACTCGGTATCAAGCTTGACGACGTTAGCGGCACGACAAACCCGACCGTGCAGCTGACCTTTGACGACTCTTCAGCAAGTTTCAGTCTTCAATCGTGGGCTGTCGCGAATACTTTGAACGAAGAGGAAGAGGAGACGCCAAGCATTTCCGCTAGATTGACGATCGAGTTCTTGGGGAGGATTGATGCTGCGCGCTCGGATGTCTTAAACAAAGGAACCCCAGTGACATGGACACCGAGCCTGGGGTTCGGGAATAATTCTCTGAATTTGGATTTTTTTGAATCCAGTGCGCTTGCCGCAGCTGGAGTGAATATTCGTCATATGTGGAGCATTATGGGCCCTGTTTTCGTATACATCTTGATATGAATACAAAATAATATACCCTATCGTAGCCTGCTGTGAATGCCTAACGCCGAGAAACAATACCTGTCGGCGTAGAATGCATGTTAAGACGCTGTCAACTATAGCTATGGGTGATGAGGAACTAATCAAAAAGAGCGGTGGAAAATCACTCACGTTCTGTAAACTAGGCGTAAAAAGTGAGTTCTAACTTTCGGTTTTGGGGGACATAAAATGTTATCAGAGGCAGGTTCCAACGTTCTTATAGTAAAGCGAGAATTTCTAGGTGAATGGACGCGTGAACATTTTATCTACCTAGGTACGCAGACGGCGGAGAGAGGCACGCCACTATTTGTTTACCCCGCTAGCTTGCCACCTTACCCCTGACATCAACTTCCAAGTTTATTGTTACTACACGGATTAGTAGTTTGCATCAAAACAATGGCCTAAAATAACAAGCCACAGGTCCTTCGTCTCTCCCTTTCATACCTTGACTTCTTCGATGAGACTTATGCCTCGCTCGTCAACCACCTGCTTGAGGTATCCCACGTGAAGCGTGTAAAGAATGTCACTGCCGCTATCCGTGAGCTTTCTAACGGAACCTTCAAAGCAATCATCATCACAGACCAAGGAGTTGCCGAGCCTGAAAACCGAGACGTCCTGATGAAGGTGAAAACCTATATTGAAGGCGGTGGTCTTGCCATTGTTGGCCTACACTTCCCGAAATTTATCACTCTGAGTGGGATGAACGAATTCTTTAAAGCATTTGATCTCCCTTGGAAGAGGGGTGACTATCACCGCACCAGTTTCCAGTTTGTGCCATCTAGCACCTTCCCAGCAAGCCTCAACCTTGCCTCAGTGCCCACGCCATGTAGCATGAAGGTTCTTCACATTGCGAATGCTAGAACTCAGAAAAAATCTTTGTTCCTAGTCCTGGTGCTTTGATACAGAGTTATGCTTTCAAATCGGACCCTGTGGATGAGTCACAAGCTGCTGTTACGGGGGCGAGGATCGGACGGGGTGATCTGGTGTATTGTGGGGATGTTAATGGGGAGGCTGAATCTGCTACGCTGATTATGGCACTATGTGGATTCTAGATCTGAACTCGCCATGACTTTCATACAAATAGCTGAGATTCTTGTATTTCTCAGCAAAGTCTTTCTAGAATAGGATTGATAAAACAATTTCTGGGGAGCACATTGGAGGAAGTGATGTTTTCTGCCACAAGCCAAGCAGGTCAATTTCAATAGTTGAATATCATTACTATTGAATATCGAATACATACGACCATAGGGTGTGGAGAACAGGGCTTCCCGTCCGCTCAGCCGTACTTAAGCCACACGCCGGCAGGTTAGTAGTATGGTGGGTGACCACATGCGAATCCCTGCTGTTGTATGTCCGTGTTCACCCATTTCTTTTTGATTCGTCGGGCAAGTGCCCTTGCCGCTTTACCCTTCAGTCTGTTCAGCCCTTCCCCTGAACGCCCTGAAGACCCCTGCACGGATGACGTGGCCACTCGGCTAAACCTGCCGTATTGTTTATTATCACGTAAACCCCTCTCACATTCATTGCCTTGCTATAGTCTAATGATGACACGAAGGTCATGTGTCATCGCTACCATCCGCCCACTCCCCCGAACTACTAAACCCCGTAAGCGCCAGATCGGCCTGGCGTTCAATTTCTACATCAATCTATAGATAGAATATGAATTAATAGATCCCTTCGTCTTCTCCTCCACATGTCCCCATTTCGGCATAAGGACTTTTCCGAGCCAAACTGCCTTCCTTCTTACCGACCTATCCATATTCCGGTATTTCCATATGAAAAGTCCCTGTTGAACAGGGAGCAGATTATCAATTCTTCTCAGCCATGAAACAGGCCTTCCAAGTTCAATGTCAAGCTGGCTGGTCATTGATTTGATCGCAATATTTAGTCGTATAAATATGGGACGGCTTAGATGTAGGCACCAAAGACATCATTTTAAATGCTTTATTTCTCTGTAGGCTAGTTCTGAGCTGTTTTCCTATTTAAAGATCGTTGCAGAAGTGGCCAATGTATGAAATTAGTTAAGCCCGAGTATTTATTCCTGCTTCACTAGGTAAGCTTGTAGTAAGTCAAAAGTGGTTTTGCTCTGGCCGAGAGGTTTCCGAGTGAAAATAACACTTGATAATATATTACTATGGTCATTTCCCATTTCAGTCTTTGAGTTTCTGACCTACAGGCGTAGCTCCTCAGCCGCCTATAATCAGCCCTGGTTTACATACAATACAGTATAAATATACTGATAAGACACTCTGTACATTCCCAAGATAGAAATATCGGAGTATCACAGTGATTACATCCGTGTCACCAGACTACATCGTACCCTAATATGTCAGTATAGTCATTATGTTCACCAGTGTTTAATGATCATATAGAAATAAAGCGATAATCATTAACGTCTTAGTCATAAACAATATATTTTTCCCTTTATATGTTAAAACCAGAAAACCGTCATGGCAGTCAAGCAACCAGACGGGCCGATTGCAGAGAGACAAGACTAACTCCTACTAGCGCTACGCATTTAGTATAAGCAAAATAGAGAACGTCAGGGGACGTAAAAAGATCGTAAAAAGATGTGCGACTCAGAAAGAGGAGAAAATATCTCTTATTATTTGGGACTACTCGCGAAGCATATATCCGTAGTCTTCCCAGGAGGCCTCAGGCCCGAGGCGCTGACCACGTAGCTAATAGTATTTGTGTAACCTCCATTACAATATTTACATAAATTCTACACAATCTGAATAAAAAGGACATTGCTGCTGAGACATTAGCATTTGCAGGCTCTTATGAATTCAATGAGCAGTACCGAGATCTCCTGAAGTGTGGCGCGATAAGGTCTTCAGCTAGGCACAAGCCTGACAAGGGAATAGGATGATGAAGGTCAGTGACCGAATCATTGAGTCTCATCAGAAGGTTCAGATTCCATAAGTCGAAATTTCTTCACTGGATTGCTTGTAACGCGAGAGCCAGACCGCTTTGAAGATGACGCAATAGCACCCCTTCTTTGAAGGAGTTTGACAATATCATGATGGCCGTCCCATGAGGCGTCGATGAGAGCTTTGCGATACTGGCCGTCTTGCCTATTGACATCTGCTCCATGGTCCAAGAGAAGTTTGACAATCGCTTGATGGCCTCTTACAGAGGCGGCCAGGAGAGCATTGCCATACTCACCGCCTTGCCTATTGACATCTGCTCCCTGGTCTAAGAGGAGTTTGACAATCTCTTGATGGCCTTCCCACGAAGCAGCGTAGAGAGCATTGCTGTAGTAGCCATCTTGCATATTGACATCTGATCCCTGGTCCAAGAGAAGTTTGACAATCGCTTGATGGCCTCTTACAGAGGCGGCCTGGAGAGCATTGCCATACTCACCGCCTTGCCTATTGACATCTGCTCCCTGGCCTAAGAGGAGTTTGACAATCTCTTGATGGCCTTCCCACGAGGCGGCGTAGAGAGCATTGCTGTAGTAGCCATCTTGCATATTAACATCTGCTCCCTGGTCCAAGAGGAGTTTGACAATCTCTTGATGGTTATTTGCTGAGGCAGCTTGGAGAGCATTGCCATGGTAGCCGCCTTGCGCGTTGACGTCTGCTCTCTGGTCTAAGAGGAGTTTGGCAATCTCTTGATGGCCTTCCCATGAGGCAGCAATAAGAGCATTGTTATGCTGGCCAACTTTCGTATTGACATCTGCTCCCTGGTCTAGGAGGAGTTTGACAATTCCTTGATAGCCTCTTGCTGAGGCGGCCTGGAGAGCATTGCCATACTCACCGCCTTGCCTATTGACATCTGCTCCCTGGCCCAAGAGGAGTTTGACAATCTCTTGATGGCCTTCCCACGAGGCAGCGTAGAGAGCATTGCTATAGTAGCCATTTTGCACATTAACATCTGCTCTCTGATCTAAGAGAAGTTTAACAATCTCTTGAGAGCCTCTTAAAGAGGCAGCCTGAAGAGCATTACCATAATAGCCGCCTTGCTTATTGACATCTGCTCCCTGGTCTAAGAGAAGTTTGACAATCTCTTGATGGCCTCTCACTGAGGCAGTCTGGAGAGCACTGCCGAAGTAACCTTCTTGCGCATTGAAATCTGCTCTCTGGTCTAAGAGGAGTTTGACAATCTCTTGATGGCCTCCCCACGAGGCGGCGATGAGAGCATTGCCATAATAGCCGCCTTGCCTATTGACATCTGCTCCCTTGCCAATTAGATCCTGCGCAGAAGCTATAAGCCCAATGAAGGAAGCATAGTAGAGCCTAGAACCCTTTGGAGGACCAGGACTAGTGTCCCAACTCCTATCAGGCTGATATAAATGAGTCCACCGTTGAAATGTCGATTCCTTTTCTAGGAATAAAACAGTCATTCGAACAATATCCTCAGAAGCCTGAGCCACTGCGGCAAAGTCCGACCAAAGCTCTGCTGCGTATCTCGCCATTGGAAATTCCTCCACCATCTTGCTATTGCTACAGTTGATGTCCGTAAGATAAGTTGAGCATGTCATCGTGATAGCAATGCTGGCATTAGTAATCCCAAAGTTATTCTCATTGAGAAGGAATTCTTTGACAGAAAAGTGAGCAAGATGTAGTTCTGTATCAAAGGCATAAATAAACGTCACTAAGCTAGGACAGTAAGCCAAAATATCAGTCTCGCAGAACAATCGACGTTTGATATCAAACTTTGGTGACTCGCTTTCGATATGTGTCGCTATTACTTCTTTTGCTTCGGCTAGCTTCAGAGGTCTCTTGGAATGCACTAGGAATTGTAGAAGGCGTATTGCGTCGTTTTTTAGCTCTGTCGGTATACTTGATAGCATACGCTGGTATGTCTCATTTAGACTCAGTGGTAGAGATGCAAGAGCCTCCTCCATAGCTGCCTGGTGACGACATCGAGCCAGGCTGTCCATTTGACAAAAGGCCCACCTGAACCTAAGCAAGGAGTCAGCAATCTACTCGCATAGTGATCAAAGAAGTTATATCTCACATCCCATCCGCCCCATCACCAACTTTACTTCGGATCCCTTCAAGAAGCTCCTGAGACAAGGGCTTCTGTGTAAATTCATGCCGTTGAGAAAGCTGTGCTGTGACCCAAGACCGGATATCGGAGTTGACAGTCTTCTTATCGAACCGTAGACAGTTTTTCTGTCCTATAAGAGGGGGTATGTATTGCTGAAACTCAGATTCAGGTCGACTGGTATAAAGCAAATGGACATGAACCAACTCTGGCCAGGATACTTTTTCCTTGATCCACAGGAGAATATCATCCCGTGTTTTTGATTCATCTAATGCATCCAGGACAATAAAGACCTTCCTCTGGGCTGTAAGCATTCTTAAAACAGTATCTGAGAGTGTCTCTGTTACAGGTTGGTGGCTACCATCATTGTTTGCTTGATACAACACATCAAGGTGGGTTGCTGAGCCAGCCCCACTATGATAAAGTTGGAAAGCAAGCGACCGTAGCATATCATTTAAGGTCTGCTTCCTATTGTCGCTAAAGTCAAAGAAGAAGTAGAGGATAAGACCCTCATTTCTTTTCATGAGATAGTCAAGCACAGTGACACTGAGAACTGTTTTACCACATCCCGCAAGTCCATAGAGCCATAAATGTCGATGCGACCCTAAATGCCATGACTGGAAGACAGGGTTTTCCAGCAGCCATATGCCTGTCCTTTCATGGCGAAGTGTCCTTGCAGAGTGGGCATTTGTAGACGGATCTGGGGGACGAAGCCAGCTCCTGATCTTATTATTACAAAGATCAGACCTGATAGAATCAGTTATAGCCTTTGTTGCGACTGCCGTCTGCTGTAAGTTGTCAATCTGTTGTTGAACTACTCGTAGTCAGAACATATGCCAAGTCCTTTTTTGTAAATCCTAATCTAGCTAATAAGTGAAACAAAAACTAACCTAGCTGAAGAACTTCTACTGCCCTTTTAGTCTCCTGAACTTCTACAGCTGGCACATACGACAGAAGCTCTTTAGCATATGCAGCAGCAGTTGCCGAGGCATATCGTTGCCATCGATCATTCTTATGAGAATCGGCATAGTCACAGATGCCTCGGATTACAAGACAGGGAAAGTGATTCATCAGGCCGGCCGCTTCCATCTCAAAGCAGATGCAACCCTCACCGAGGTCAGCAGCAATGCGATCGCGTGTAGCAGCATCTTTGACAAGTGTATTACCAGATGCAATAGTCCCGTAGTGGATATCAGGGTTGGTAGTCTCTCGAGGATCACGTTGAATCTCATCAGCTGTGTCACATCCCTGACAGTCCAGGCCAGGGACATGGACATATGAAGCTTTGAAAAGTCGGTCATTGTCGAAGCCCTGGTGAGTATAGCCAGGATTCTGCTTAGATCTCTTGCCCATCTTCGGGTTCTGCTCCAGCATTACTCGAAGGTAACAGGGAATATCAGAGTTTTTCCGCTCATGACGGGCTTGAATACTGGTAAGCGCATTGAGGAGAACCGTCGGGGGTCGTCCAAGGAATCCTTTTCGCTCACACTTGCCACCCGAATTGGCCTTAATTAAGTCGTACTGACAGACGCCGCCCGTGGTATCACAGGGCTGGCTCACGACTACATCACCTAGCCGAATATCTTGATTCTCATCCGGTCGAGCGATACCGCCGCCTATGCCGACCAAGAGACCGATGCGAATAGATGGCAGAGAGGCAAGAAGGCTAGAGGCTGTGGTCGCCGCAGAGGTGGTTCCGTAGACCCCGGAGGCCAGTGCAGCAATTACGATGTTGTGCTCCCCCACGCGGCCCCATGTATAAACGTTTGTGTCGGTTTGGTGTCTAGTGAAGCCGGTTGGAGCTGCGTGTTCCTCGTCAAGCATCGCTTCTGCGGCGGCCCGCTCGATGGGAAGAGCAGCGATCCAGGCGATCGTATAGGATTGGGGGCTGTTAAGGACTTTGAGGGATGCCATGGTGCAGAGGGGATTGCGAGACTGCCAGATGAGGTTAGATGAAGGAGGCACCGAACTGCAGAATATTTTTTATCACCGTCAGTCAAAGGAGCGCAACCGTGTTAATCGTCATATAGGACTATCTAGCTGTAGATTAGGGAAGCAAACTGGAAAAGCACAAGGTCAGGGTTAGGCCACAACACCAGGCTCTCGCCAAGAACAAACTCGGGTTGGTGGCTGTGGACCATGAGCGCTTACATGCAAACCCCTCTTGCAGGCTGGACGACATGATTGGGCGTAGCCAAAGCCAAGAGACTGCCTCCCACATCGCCAGGCATTGTTGTGGGCCTGCTGGTGCTTGTCCCAGAACTGGTTTCCTGGGCGGAATGCGAGCCCCGTCGATTGCCGACACAACGGGACGTTGGTCAGGTGGCGGAAAATGAGGCTGTGGCCAAGACATTTTCTGCCTCCCAGGTGAAGACGGGGCATATTCTTAGGCTGACTAGTTATCTAGTGACCTCCAGGGCGCTAAGGCAGGGTAATAGATTGGCCGCAGGGGCCTTCTGTCGGTCCCGTTTGGGGATGAAGATTAAAACGATCGGATTCAGCGAAATTAGCCAGTCTGAAATACCAGTCGGGCCATTTTCGTAAATCCCCTCCACAATTTGATCATTAGAGGCTCTTCAAAACTTTCATGCCAAGCGGCTCCCAGAAAATGGCACGGTCCGTGGTGATCAGGAACCACTTCCCTTCTCACTAGGTTAGGAGTGGGGGCGCTAACTACGTATCACACAAGGCGTCATCTGCTCACTCCTTTGGTACTACCGGATCGTGTCTGATCACGTGATTAAATTTTGGCCAAATGGTTTCGCAGAGTGGTCACAAGGCACGTGAACTGCTCTTGCATCGAACTCTAGGGAAAGACGATACGAAAGAATCCTTATAGGTAAACGCTCAAGTTCCCAAATAATTATCATCTCACCCTTTCCTATGTTTCTTCCAGGAATTTTTCATACCTCAAGCGATTTACTCAGTAACACTGGCTGCATTTCAATGTCTATGGTTTAAGCTGGCGGTCCTGACGGTCTTGGCATCTGCCTCAGGCCTGAGCGTAGGTACCACGGCAAGTGGAAAAGCGTTTCCCCGATACCGTCAACTCCTTTCTTTGAGCGAAACATCCTCGTTGATCAGAGCTTATTCGCGGCCCTTTTCAGAGGCAATGAAGAGAGCTGTAGCCTCCAATTTACTGGGCTCATGAACGTGAAATCGTCGCCATGTTGAAGCCCCGTTCACTTCTACGAGGAGATATTACATATGATGCTGCAAAGGACAGTGACGCTAATATTCTCCACGAGTTAGGCTACAGAGATCAGAAGATCCGATTCTTTACCTACCTGTACCGAAATCGGGAGCTGATTAAGTCGCTTATTACCAGACATCTTGGTCTTGCGTCTCGAGATTTGTGTCATCTTGTGGATGTGGAGGACTGGATACATGGAAGTTTCAATGTTTGCATTCGGGCTGATATCTTTGACTCGGCAGGAGCGGTCGGGAGACAAGTGATGATTCGATTTCCTCTACCGTATAGGATTGGGGAGAATTATTGCCCTGGAAACGCGGATGAGAAAGTCCGTTGTGAAGCTGGAACCTATACATGGTTCCTGAACTCGCGGTCTTGGCGACTGCCTCAGGCCGAAGTGTACGAACTGCGGCCAGTGGAAAAGCGTTTCCCCGATACCGCCGACTCCTTTCTTTGAGCGAAACGTCCTTGTTAATCAGAGCTTATTCGCGGCCCTTTTCAGAGGCAATGAAGAGAGCTGTACCCTGCAATCTCCTGGGCTCAGGACCGTGAAATCGTCGCCATGTTGAAGCCCCGTTCACTTCTACGAGGCGATATTACATGATGCTGCAAAGGACAGTGACGCTAATATTCTCCACGAGTTAGGCTACAGAGATCAGAAGATCCGATTCTTTACCTATCTGTACCGAAATCGAGAGCTGATTAAGTCGCTTATTACCCGGCATCTTGGTCTTGTGTCTCGAGATTTGTGTCATCTTGTGAATGTGGAAGATTAGATACATGGAAGCTTTAATGTTTGCATTCGGGCTGATGTGTTCGACTCGACAGGAGCGGTCAGGAGGCAGGTGATTATTCGTTTCCCTTTGCCGTATCGAATTAGGGAGGATTCTTGCCCTGGAAATGCGGATGAGAAAGTCTGTTGTGAAGTTGGAACCTATACTTGGCTTAAAGAAAATTGCCCGACTGTCCCCATCCCCCATCTTTATGGATATGGGCTTTCGAGCGCCAAAACCGTATCACTCTCATTTATTCTACTCATAAGCCGAGCCCCCGCTTATATTATACCTAGTTCATCGAATTCAACAGCCTGCCTTTCCTCTCTCGCAACATCCAGCGTCTGCGCCGGGTGATTTTACGGACACTAGGATATCAAGTTCCATCCTTCTACGCTGAGAACCCTAGCGAATCCCATAATATTCTCGGCCAACCTTACATTATCATCGAATATGTCAGTCTATCAAGCGGCAATATGCTTTCTGCTACATGGGAGGAAGGGCGCCTTAACCCGACTCTGCGCTCCAACCTTACCATCTCACACTTTTCTATGTTTATTCTAGGATTTTTTCATACCTCTCGCGATTTACTCAGCAACACTGGCTGCGTTTCAATGGCTACTGGTTTAAGCTGGCGGTGGGCCATTCTTACAATCGAGTCGGAAGGATCAAAGCCTACATTTTTCTTGACACTAGTACCCGACGACATTCCTTCGCCAACTCACCCCTCTACCAATTATACTCATGAAGCCATGGCGCCAAGCAGTAAACGGAAACAGTCAGTGACGAAATCTTGCCGCAGCCAGGCGAAGCGCGAACGTCGGCCTTACTTGCCCAATGAGGACTACTTGCTAGTGAAGTTGAAGGAGCGAGAGAAGCTGGCATGGGACGAAATCGCAGCATATTTTCCGGGCCGCAAACCTTCATCATTACAGGTGCACTATTCTACCAAGTTAAAACACCGGTCTACCGGTTCACCTCGGCTGCGGACCGAGAAGCGTAAAAGAAAATGAACAAATAGATATTACTGTTTACGCACGAGAACAAAACCAAAGACACTCATAATTTATTCCAACAGTCCTTGATTCTGTGGTGACCGAAGCGTAGGCATCTCAGCCCCACGCCGTAAGCCCCATAAGTTTAAACGTTGACAGCATGACAACGCTGGAGGAGTAAAGCGGAAGTGAGTATGGAGGAAAGTACTCTACCCGATGATGATATGGATCCGGTAGCTAAGCGGATGTTTGGCAATAACAATTAGACCGAACCGGTATGATGATTGATAGTTACTCGAGAAGCTGGAAGACTGCTCTTTATCATTCCTTGGCTGAGTCCCATGGTAAACCAAGGGAATAAATCCTGCGCTTGGCCAACAAACACTCATCCTTTTCCTTCACTATCCATATCTCCTCAGCGAACACCACGCATGCCACTCAATACAAGGACAACAGGATAGCCCCCGAACATGAAATTCGAAATTTTCCAAGAGGCAAATCATTGCTAAGATCAGATTTCAGCACGTTGCCCGGGAATTGGTAGAGTGTCACTCACCTTGGCACTGGAAATTAGCATAGTCTGCACCTGGCGTTGACCTCCACTTCCCCGACGATATGTTTCGGTGCCGGGGATTTGCAGAAGCCACTTTTACCAGATACTGTCACAGTAGAGCCACATCTGAATGGCAATTCTCCGTACACATGATGACAAACGCTCGAGTAGTAGACGTACCAACCGCAAGTACAACTAGCTGGGTTTTGGGGGCTGGTGACTAGCCGATTGCGAACGTCAAGGCCCATTTGATTGGCTGCGATTTGTGTAGCCATATCGACCGTTGAGCCTTGGAAGAGAGAGGTATGATGTGTATACCAGCAATTTGACAAAGAGTTGAAAAGTTGATGCAGATTTGTATTAATTAAGAATGTCTAAAGAGTTTGAGCATTTCTTATATTTAATCATTGGAGTATGCGGATTATGACCAATACAATTTCAATCAACAACCACAGACTTTCGGTTCAATCCTATTTCCAGATCTCGGCGACGCCAAAGTATCAATTTCGCGCGCGGTTATCAATTCTAGTCAATGAGCTGTGACCTGTGCTGAAACTTCCAGCTCTCACCTCGTAAAACTTACTAATTGGGTCAATATTTACTGCGTTCTAGATTTTAGATTTCAGAAAGATGGACGGTAAGAATTTTCATTGGACGGGTGACTGCTGGATTTGTGGCATTTCATGCATCATTTCGCGCGCGGCAGTCACCCCTGGCCACCGATCACACTTGCACCTGAAAAGCCAAGCTTTTGGGCCAATGAGCGTTACTGTTTGAACGCTGGAGTTGTCTGCTGAGCCTACACATGCATAGAAGTAATTTGGTCGATCAGCATTTCTAATTGGACGGGGTTCCCTTTCCACCCGTTTCCACCCGGTTCACGTGATTTCGGCTTCTCAATACATAAAAAGTCCAGAAGGTACAAAACATCCTTCGTATCCGCATCGACAAAATCAGCTGCTCGCTTATATTGTCGAGCACACCTTCTACGATGAAGCCTCAAGACAGATTCTACTCTGAGGGCCAAAGCTACTTTGGACCGGGAGAAAACCCCTTGACGGAAACTCATTGCAATGTCTGGGATTGGGATCAGCTAAGGATGGTAAAGGTCAAAGGCACCGCTAAGCTCTTTCCGCCCGACGAGGATATGGAGATTCCAGTTCTGGCACAATTCGCGGACCATTTGTCACCGAAAGTTTGCGCTGTCACCGTCGACGAAGATGGACTTCTTGCGGGAGTTTCGACCGATCTGGAAGAGGATGATACTCCCTTTGTTGCATATCTTCCCATTTCTATGGCTGAGACGCTCGCCGATTGCCATACAATTCAGTACTCTAAACTCCAGGAGCTCGATCGACTCGGACCAGGAGTTGATCTCTCATTATACAAAGACGAATTCGGGATTCCTCACAGGGTTGCCTTCAAATTTAACCCTTTGGACAAGCCCCAGAGACTACGGATGGCCTGGGACGAACTCAACCTTCTTAAAAGCCTGCCATCACACCCCAATATAGTACCATTTGATCGCGTGGTGGTCGAAGATGTGGAGTCTCGGGTGATTGGATTCACAACGAAATACATTCCAGGTGGAACCCTCGACAATACAAATGTGCCTTTCCGATTTGAGTGGTTGCAACAACTTACCCAGCTCGTGGACTTTCTTAATTTGGAATTGGGGATCATGCATCAGGACATTGCACCCCGCAACCTGCTTATTGATCCGGACACAAACAAAATCCTACTCTTCGATTTCGATTGGGCAGCACATGGAAAGAACCGCTTGCTGGAAGGTCGAGATGATGTGACTGCTGTTGTATTCACACTCTATGAGCTCATTTCAAATGATGCACAATTCACGAGTATTCCTCACTGGGAACGAACCCTGGACATGGTGCAAAATATCTCGGAATGGACGTGTAATCGGGAGCTGGACTCCGACGTATCAAATTTCCGCAATTTTTTGAATGACTGGGTCACCACACGGAAATCGGACGATGACTTGGAACGATATATCAACGCACCAAGCCGGCTTACATGGCCGGACATGCCAAACGTGCCCGACTACAATGTTCCTTTCGAGCTGGGCAAAACTTCGGATGGAGAACCAATCTGGACAACCGGTCCACGATTCAGACGTATTGCAATGGAGAAAGGACAGTATTGCTTTCGCTGGGAGAGACCACCTTATAGTCAATTGTTGAACAAGGCTAGAGGTGGTCTTCAATAGTTGATGCGTGAAAGAGAGTGTACGATTATACAGAACCATGATTAGATTTCGTCAGCTGAATACCTCCCTTCAACTGGTAAAGCTCTTGAAGATACTCCTTATAATCCAGTGATGGTGAATTACGTAAAGTCGCGATATTATTGGGCGGGCCATTCTTACAATTGAGTCAGAAGGACCAAGGCCTACATTTTTCTTTACACTAGTGCCCGACAACATACCTTTGCCCCCTCGCCTCTCTACACAGTGTGCTCCTGAAATCGTGGCGCCGAGCAGCAGACGAAAGCAGCCGGTGACCAAATGCCGCGCCAGTCAGGCAAAGGACAAACGTCGGTCATACTCGGCCAATGAAAACTACCTGCTGGTGGAGTTGAAGGAGAAGAGGCTGCCATGGAGCGAAATCGAGGCACATTTTCCTAGCCGCAGACGTTCATCATTGCAGGTACATTAGTCTACTAAATTAAGGAGACGATCTACTAGTAGAACTGGCCATGGGCCGGGAATTTAAGGAAATATCCACAAACAACTATCAGTACTCACGCTCGAGAATAAAACCAAACACAACGGAGATCGCTAATTAAACACGTTGAGATAGATTTCCTCATTTCGAAATCCTAAGACGTTTTGCATTTCTGGAGTCCACTTGATATAGTCGTCTTTTTGTCGGCCCCAGTGGCTGCTTAGCCAGTCGGCATCTCAGAGTCGAACGATGAAAGTCGATAATCAAAGCACGACGGAGCTCTTCACACCAAAGTACATTTTCTTGTCTGAGGTCTTCATGGATTATACCCAGGGCTTTAATTTCTTTGTTCGACCTGTGAATCTCTCGGCGGAGGTGTGCAGTCAGCTCCATTGTGGCTGTGCTCTCACCGCCCCAACCCATAACGAGCATATGGCGGATTTGTCCAGCGCCATGAAGAAAGTAGATTTTTGCCAAGTCAATGGTTCCCAAAAAGACCGGCACGGCAGATCCTTGAATCCTGCGCAGGATTTGATATACCTGCGCTTCACGGGAAACTTCTTCCCATAGCCCCGAAGTGGTACCTTTCCCGATAACTGTGTAACCATACTTCATGCAAGTCAGTTTGAACGGGGCACCGTAGGATCCGCAACCACCAAGAGGAATACAACGCTCGATATTTTCGTCTAATTGTTTTTTGAGCGAAAGCATCAGGCCTTCAGCCGAGACAGGATGCTGAGTCGGGGCGTTTTGGCCCCGACGATGATGATCCACATTTGGACACAAGTCATCCAGGCATTTCCCGGTCTGTAGGCCGAGTAAACATCGCTGCGTGCAGAATACCGCAGCGCGGCGTCGGGATTGATCATCGCGCTCATTCCCTGACTCTTGCTGTCTATCTGATCGCCGAGTAGACGGTGAAGGCGTGACTTGACTGATCCTCCGCTTGTGGCCAGCCGTTTGGTTTGTGTCGGAACCTGACGAGTTAGGTGAGCGTGACCGTGGTCGGATCTCCGGAGGTGCACATCTAGTTTGAGATCGTGTCGGCACTCGACGGCCCTCTGAAGGACACGGTAGCGGGGACGACGGCAGTTCATAGGACGAACTGGTATCTGGACTCGAAAAATCGGGGTTTGTGCTATCGGAGTGGGGAATCTGCTCTAATTGTTTCTTCGAAATCTGCGAACGTGTGTGGTCAAAGCTGGTCTTCCAAATGGGAATATCTGGGTGTGCACGATTTCTCCATTCTTGTCCACGAACAGGTGAATGGAATGCCATTAAACAAAGACATAGCACTCTTGCAACAGAAGTTTTCGACAGATTAGAAATAAAATCGCCTTCCGGGTCCACTTCGCTGTTCGGATCACAGAAAAAATAGTAAAGCGTGGTCGGCTTGTCACGCGGAACACGAAGTAGTACCCGGGTGATCCCATTTGTAACATAGGAATATTCAAGGCCTTCTTGAATCATCACATGATATTCCTGGACAATAGCGGAGCAGACAAGCCGCTCTGCATTGTATCTCAACTTCGCTTCCTGGCCCGTGGGAATTTTATTGGACCTGACTAGATCTTTCCACAAGTCCATCGGTCGAAGGCCCATGCGGAGGGTTGCAACGGAAAGCTTATGCGGCGGCTTATACTCGACGGATACGAGGAGAGTGTTAGTGTTGCCGTCGACGCGGTGGATGCAGAACTGATCAGGCCGTGGGTGTTGTATGCTTGATATTTGACTTTCACTCGCTTGGGTTGTTTGATTCTCGTTCAGGGTATTTGTATGGTTGCTGAACTGTATTCCATCATCGAGGCCGAACTCGTTTCGAGCCGCCGGAATCTTGCACAACTCAGTAATTATGTCATGGACATGCTCTTCAACGGCAAACCGCTCGTAGGCCTCGAGCTCCTGCTCACTACTCAGTGGTTTGCGAACAAGACGTTGGACTAATCCGTCTAGCGCAAGTAAAGATGAAAACAGACGCGGTGCTTGCCTTCTTTCCGGCTGAAAGTAGCTGTAGACGGATCTGTATATTTCTGAGAGTTGCTTTGGGCAGTCGGTCCAATGTTCTAATCGGGTGGGACAGAATTTGCCTGTGGGAGAAGGTATTTGTCCGGTTGTTGAGCGAGATGGTGTCTCAACTCTCAATAAGCGGGATAGATCGTGACACCGTCGAATGTATTCCGTAAAAGTGGTAAGGCGAGTTTGCTGTTCCGCCTCTTCGCGCCGCTGTTCCGCCTGTAGGTAGAGCGACTTGTAATCTGGGGAGCTTTTATCTTCCATTAGCCTTGAGTGAGAAATGGAGAGGAGTAATAGCTCGAGACAATCACCAGTGGTCGACTCTTGATCAAGGAGACTTGTGTCAGCTGATCACGGCTTCCGGCGGAAATATTTTCCCGGACAAAACGTCACTGCAGCCAGTTGTTTGGTCAACCCATGCGGATACCAGCCCCTGTGGTGATTTCTCAGGGGCCCAGCACTACCAGCAAACGACTGTCCATATGCTCAGAAATAAGGAATAATATCCGTAGAACAGGCTAGATTACTGAGCGCTTGACCCTAAATTGTCAGATCTCTCACAGCCGATGCCGCGTGGAGCTCAGGGCTACGATGAAGATCGAAGACCGACCTGGGACAGGAAACACAGCGTCTAATGTGGGAAAATGGAGAGGGATCCTTGCGACAGTATTGTGTATTCTTTTAAAGACAGAAGTTAGGCTGGACAGGATTGATTGAGCTTTGAATCGAACTGAACGGTGGCCGATCGGACTCGACCTTTTTTCGACAGCATCCAGTCGCCTTCTCGTCGAGTCCTGATGTATCTCTCGGCTTTACGGGTGTCTGCGTCCGAGGGCGGCCCAGGCAGATGATTGGTGTAGAGAGGTCCGCGGAGAAGGGATGGAAATGGTGGAAATAAGCAATCTATCGAATCAAGCCGTGTACCATGCATGCAAAAAAAGGCAACAAAAAGCTATATAATCAATGGTTCATGACTTGGCCGCTGTACGCTGGTGCATATCCATCACATCGACGTGATTGGAGGAAGGGCCCAGTGGTGTGATAGCGAATGCATACTGGAAACCGTCATGGCTTGGCACAAACTCCAGATTCGTGCCGTGTTCTGAAAAGCCATGTGACCCAGTCCTGAGTTTGGCCCCAATCCCTCGCTCCGAAGTTCAGCGAGCAGTGTCATCCCCTCCCCTTGATATCAACATACAGACACTTTGACTATGGGCGTGCGGGAAAGTAAGGTTGTGATTGATACTCTTACTGGAGCTCATTCCTCTGCACAGGCTCAGAAAAAAGACAAAATTACGGTTGATCTGAATGGAGAGGTACGTACCGCGACCGCACTGGATCAACACCATTTGACAGCGAAGCAGTTCCTTAGATGTCTTCAAGCTCTTTGGTTTGAAATACCAATCCAGGAGAGAAGCTCAATCATCGAAATACCTGGCAAGCAAAAACGAAGTTATCGTCTACCGAGATCTCCATCGACTATCGACCATCAGCATCTCAAGCAGGAGCTTGCTCAGTGGGAAGCACACATAGAAATAGATCCGCTCCTTTTCTTCAAGTCAGGTTACTCACAGCTTGATCTTTCCCAGGATGCTCCAAAAGAAATTGACAAATATATGCGGAAGCTCAAAGACGAAAAGGGATTAAGCGCAGTGCGTTTCCGACTCTTACAAGTGGTGTACCACCGGTGCAAAGAAAGTATGGGGGTGAAGAACTTACGAGGAGCCGACGTCAAGGCTATAAAAAAGATTTTCACCGATTCAGCTTTAAGTGCAACTGAGACCGAGTACATACCTGAGTGGGTAGATCAAGGCAACAGGTTACAGAATCTTTGTCTACAAGTTGGGGCTGATGTATCAGGCGAGAACTGTCATCTTGCTAATTTGTTTTACTATGATGAAGTTAATGCTAGCATGTGAGTGTCAAGTAGATATTACCGCTGTTGTACTAATTTGTGAAGGATCAAGCGATTGCCATTGCACAAAAAGAACCAAACTGCTGAAATGGAAGACCGAAACAATCTCGTCAAGAAGATCCAGGAATACAAAAAAAAATTAGAACTGGAAGAGAGAGAGAAATTGGAGGTCTGCATTGATAGGATATTTCGTCAGATTTGGGAAAAAGTCGAGGATGTCATGTCGAAATCGAAACATTGTATGAGATTCCTTCCTCAAAATTTTGAATGATCATTTACTCACCTGATAGGCTGGGAGCTACAGCGTGTCCGAACATTCCCGGTATGCGATGGGGAAGAGCAGCAGCAGCAGCAGCAACCACAACAACCACAACCACAAAGGCAAGAGACGGAGAAACGACGAAGAGATCAACTACGGAGGGAGAAAGAATCGGAACCGAAAAAAAAGCAGAAGCGGCAGCAGAGGCATCAGCAGCGGCAGGAACAACAGCAGGAGGAGCAGCAGCAGGAGGAACAGCAGCAGGAGGAACAGCAGCAGGAGGAGCAGCAGCAGGAGGAACAGCAGCAGGAGGAACAGCAGCAGGAGGAACAGCAGCAGGAGGAACAGCAGCAGGAGGAACAGCAGCAGGAGGAACAGCAGCAGGAGGAACAGCAGCAGGAGGAACAGCAGCAGGAGGAACAGCAGCAGACACAAACGCATTTGCATAATATTGATCGACCCGGGGCTGACTTGTCGAATGACCAGTTTCTCAATATGGAGACGTGGACATTCATGCCCTGGGATATGCCCCAGGGCGGGAATTCGTTGCTAGTTTCCTCTGACACTTCACAAAATTCCCTGATGGACCCGCAACAGCCTATGATGAATGCCGGCGGGCCGTCGATTGACCAGCTCCTTGATATGGCAAACGTGGCCACCTGGGGGTTCAACTCATCGAGTACACAGATCGGATTGATAAACCCACAACAGCCCATGGTGGATTCCGACGCAACATCAATTGAACAACTCCTCGACATGGCGAATGTAACAACATGGGGCTTCAGCACGTCGTTAAATACGCCTCAGCATGGAGTACCATTGTTACCAGATCTGTCAGCTGTGCCTCCTATCAACTTAGAACAGCCCATAACTGGTACTGGCGAACCGCCAACCGCCAAAGAATCGCACCAGAATGTCCCCCAAAGCTACATAGGGACTAGCAGGCCCTCATTGAACCCCTCTATGGATTTCTTCAACTTTAGCCAAGAAGGTGAAGCACATTATAGTGAAAGGGTCACCCCCTCAACCCAGGAGGACTGGATATCTGTTTGAGAGATCAAATATTTCATAGTTATCATAATACACAATAATAATAGCCGACCTCATGACCTCATCCAGGAACTATGAATATAGCAGATCCAGAATACAACTTCGGAGCATTTGTGACTTGATATGAATACCCTTCCTCTAGGTATCCGGTTGGTTCAAGATTGATTTTTTTGGATAATGGTATAAGATATGCTTGCCTCTGTACATTAACCAGCTGCGTCGGCCTAAACCAATATAATACACGACCTGTCCACGCCTTGAGCAAGGGAAGGAAAAACTTAGTCAAGTGCCTCAGAAGTTCTTGTGATGACTTACTTGGTCAATTTGCATTTGTTTTTGTAACTGAGTGATTTTGGCCGCAAGTTGCTCTCCTCCGTAGAGTTTATTGCCATTTGTATCCTCGCGAATCACATCAGCCTGTCTTTCATCGGATCGGCTTTCCGACCAGGCTTCCGGTATCATCTCACGAATTTCGACACGAATTTTCTCCGCATCGCGGGATAGTAGCGTACGTTCCATCCGGACAGATTGGATAAGGAGGGCGAGGTAGAGGTCAACGGGCCGTAAGCTAAGAGATCCAATATTAGCAATCGAAAATTATGTTTACCATAAAACTCACCTTCACACAAAAGATTCACAGAAGGTTACAGGCGACGGCTGCGGTGAGGGGTAGAAGAAAGTTGGGCAGAAAGTCACATGACCACGAGTCCATTCCGATGCGCACCCGATCTCAAGAAGCCGACGCTGAACAGTAACAGATTGCACAGGTCAGGTCAGCCATAGCTCGGCAAACCCTCTATTTGTGTGGTAGTGAATGCCACTGTCAAATGGTGGAAAAACGCGACCTCATGAACTCGCATATCAACTAATCAGAGTTCTCGTGTTCCTTGGCGTAGAAAAACAACTAATAATCTGCGTATTGCATGGCTTGATATTTAATGAGACTGGAAGCCCATCCATTTCGCATGGCTCTATTTGCAGTATTGGATGTTATTGTTAGCCTTGAGGTCGAGGACTAGACCAATTTGCCCCTCTGTTGAGAGTTCTCTTTTTTGCTATGCTAGTCCGCATCTGTCGATTGCTCTGAGCAGTTCAAGAAACTTGACAAAAGTGGACTAGGCCCTTCACTGCAAACTTGTGGCACTATACCATTTTTGTCGATGTCGCTGAACTGTTCAGAGAAATCGAAAGAAATGGAGTCGTAGCTTTACCGCGAATAGCTACTCCATTTCTGTTAAATTTTCTACGAATTGGTGTTTTGACATTGTCATTATGTGCTATATTCTGGCTCTTTGACTTGTATTTTTTCTGTCATTGGTAGATCACTGTACTGGTATCTATTCCCATTTCCTTAGCGAAAAAAACCTCCGATTTCCAATGTCTCGAGCTTGGGCCCTCTAGAAATTTGATCATATCCACGGCAAGAGCAGAACTCCACCAACAATCCATCTTGCTCACCATCCAAACTATTCTTGAAGGATATTAACTGGAAACGTTTGATTCTCAACACAGTCTAAATCGCTGAAACAAGGTTATAACGGCGCAATTGCAAAACGATTCTTTCTCTTTCGAAAATATTTCACATAATTATTTAAGGATCCTTCATCTCCTTTCCTTGAGCTCAATTATAATCATAACTCTTTAACATTTATCGCATGCCATGGAACACCAAATCAAGATATTCATGGATAAACCTGAGCCTCAAGACACGATGAGTGACCACACGGCGTCCACTATTATAGCTGAACTTGACAGCGTGAATCTCAAGCCCGGTATGAATCTATCGCCTTCTTCGTTAGGTACTACTTCTAACGTCTTTCAGGTCAAATGGTGGTCCAAATTGTCACCCCAGAGGGAGCCAGAAGATTCATCCCTCTTCGACCAGCCCTATTTCGGGAGTGCATAGGATTCTGGAGAACTGAAACAACTTCGTTTCTACCGTATCAGATATTTATTGCTATGAGAAATATTTCACCAAAAGATGTGGAAATATCTCCAGATGGGCAGTCCATTCAGGCTGCTATGGTGGAAGATCTTCAACACCAACCCTTCAACAATTCTATGCATGGGGATTTAACTTGTCTTGCACAGCTATTGGGAAAGGAAATAACACTTCCATTGCCAGATGGCATCCCGGTACGTTCTGGCCAAGGAATCTTTTATGATGATTCTGTTCCTGGTGAATTGAAGTGCATCAAGCCTGTAGACTCCAACCCTTACGCTGTCCGAGATGGGGTTTGGCAGATTGAGGCTTATATGAGTGGATGTCGAGGAGTCAGTCGTTACACAGCTCCTCTTCAAGATCTTCGAGAATGGCTATGTAACACAGTGGCTAGAGATGGATTGATGTCATACGAATCTTTACGTGTTTCTAATTTGAGCCAGGAGGTTTGAAATTGAAGTCTCTGATTATCTGTTTCGCTCTAGAGGATACCTGTGTCAGAAAAATTTGGAAGTGTTGAAAATATAATCTTCTGGCACTAACTACCGAGATATTGGACTGCGTTCTTTTGCATGCTCTCTAGGTATAAGATCTGTCACAAGGACTTTTCAACGCCACCTGCTTTTGTCCTTCCAAAGCTATCTACCCCAAATTTCTGTAGGGCTCTCCCAGTTAGCTTCGCCCTCTATTTTAATGAATCTAGCTGCACAGCCAAACCCCATGGCTATACAGCCTTTAGAAGAAATTACCGAGAAATTACCGCCAACTTTAGGTACCCTAACACCATAGCTAATGGAATTACAAAGCATGTATGACCGGAAGGAAATCAATTAATGAGTCATGTCTTCTTGGCCAAATATGCGCACAGCTTAGAGTATTTGAAGGACCATTTCAACCATCTATTTTATGGAGAATATATGCACGCAAGCTCCATCTGAAATCACAGCTACATAGTGGAAGGGAAAGAGTCTCAAAGGGAGAATCCAAGGCTTTCCTCTTAGAGATACTAAAATCATTTTTTGTACATAATGCATGAAGATACTAGTCCTGAATACTGAACCCAACTGTAGATTGAATTACAGACACTAAACTAGGAAAAATATGGATCTGGTCTCCAGCACGACGTACTATGTAATTCAGAAAAACAGGCGTATTGCACCGTAAGGGGAATGCCGGCAGAAGGTATATAAGAAAATGATCCCAAGGCTGGTTGAACTTTATTATTTTCCACCCATCAAGCAATCTACTTTCAAAATGGCACCCGAAATCGATCTAACTTGGTCCTTCCCCCGACTCGCAAATTTCGAGCACAGTAAGCCATTGACTATTTTGATATAACTTTGTCTAGTGCTTGGAATTGACATACTTTCAGTCTTCGAGCTAAAACCAAACGGTCTTATCCCGACCCACCCACGGCTCCTAGAGGAATGCCTGACCACATTCAACTCCCACAATCATATCTTCGGTCTTGCGGATGTCTATTTCGCGATACATCTCATTGAATACGCGGGTGGTGATGACTGGGGATTCACTCTTGAATCCGACTACGCTCGCAATATTTACATTGCCATGGAAATATGCACCATGGTTCAGGAGATTGACATTGAGTCGCTTTCAAGTGGCAAGATCGCACACAATCTCAAAAAAAAGGTATATTTTCGCTCTAGTGATAGAGAGGAGTTTAGAGAGTGCATTCTGGAGGCATGTGTGCCATGGAGAGATGCTCGAGGCTCTGTTGTGGAATGGGGGATCGAGTTTCGGTTTCCTGATCCGCCTGTGGAGCGCAGGAGAGGAGACTTGAGAGTCCTTTCTGAATACTTCGCTATGAGTAATCCAAAGCTATTTGAGATGGTTTAAGGCGTAAATACTTCGTTCTATTTCTTTAGAACAAGAAACAGAGTCGTTATCCATTCAAACTGGCTTGTCAAATAACCTTTAGAGTAAGAGAAACATTTACACTACAGGTAAAGACTCTCCCATGATTGACAACCAATGATTTGAATTAATCAGCTTAAAGAAATACAGGCTATTCATGGGGATTCGAGATGGGGTCTCGGTAGTTGAGGCTTATGAAAGGATACCAAGGAGTCAGTTCTTACATTGCTCCCCACCAAGAGCTTTGAGAATGGCTTTGTCACAGAACTAACAATGGGATACTAGCATATGAATCTTGAGGCCCTTCCATTTTGAGTAAGAGGTCTTGAGAATTTGAGCCTTTGATCATTAAACTTTCTTTGATGAAGTCTTGTACTTGAAAACAGTCTGAGAAATACATTCTGACACTAATCAAGTAAAAGTTCAGAACCGAAGAGGCTTTTAGTTAGGAAATGAATGCATTGAATAGATTAAAAAGGGTTAAGCTTTACCACTCTTAGCTTTTTGCGTGTCGAAAACCAAGCTAAAGTTTTTCCCATACAGGTTCTTGCTTGCCCCAGATTTAGTGCATTTGGTTTATATAGGATCATTGATAATATATTAAACCTCTAGTGTCCATTTTCATGCTTCTTTGTATAGAATTTGAGGTAATTAACTTTTAATTGTCACTTATTCTTTGCATCTTTGAAAATATGCACCTAATACGTCAAGAGATCTTCTCATTGAATTACTTCATGATTGCGTGATAAGTTTCTACGATGGAAGTGAGGGAAATGCTTTGGAACCATTGAGAGCCCATGATGTAGTCATTCTCTTTTCGATTAGGCAATATAAATAGTTTAGCGTACAAAATTTTCGTGGGTCATGATTATCTGTTGAAAATTATCATATAAATGTGATAATCAAAGATGGAAAATCTTGTATAAAGTAACCTGGCCTTTCTACATATCGAGTTGCCTCAACATTCCGACCTTTCTTCTCAGCTTTGCTCAGCACTTTTAAATCTAGTTAGTTGTCATTCACGCCAAACGCTGAACTAAATATGTCATGTCTCACACCATGCTTGTATGATTAATGGAAAATACATATATCTTTTTAGCTAACCATGGAAACAGAAATCAACTTTTTCATTTCCTCAATCCATTTCGACTCTATCAACGCCAGCGAGAGCGTCAAAATTGTAATAAAGACATACAGCTTGCTCGAATTCCTCGCAAACATGAATCAGTCAGATCATTTCGCACCTGGTCCATCGGTGGTGGACCCGAGGAGACGGACTGGCAAGAGTTTGACAGTGCAAATCTGCTGCCGGAGGAACCTTATTGCCATATGACAGTCAAGACATCCGAGCCAGTTAGAGAAGGTCTTTTCGGCTTTCAAAGAGGTAAAACTGATACAGAAGCTAGAAAATCTGTGCTTCTCCCGGCATTACCCACACTCCCTGAAGGACCAAAAAGGCAATCTCCTTGTTACTCGCTTCCGTCAAAGTCAGGTAGGTTTTCCTACTAGTCGAACTTTTCAGATATTCTGACATATATTCTTAAAAGAAGACGTAGGGATCCCATCGAACACTATTCAGTTTCCTCCCTTTGACAGAACCCTTGGTTTATTTCCTAGACCGCCTACTCCTGTTCTGGCTCTCAATAACAGACGAGCAGATGGAGCCTCGTATTTTATTTAGTTCGACCTTTGTTACTTTCAAAATCATCCACTATGTCTTATTTTGTATACATGCAGTCTTTAACGGAGATGTCTGGTGTGGAGCTTCGAATCATCTGACCTAGTCTTTTTTCTTCTTCCACTTTAATATAAAACCTCTCAATACTCCTTATTCTGGAAAGAGAAAGAGAATTTTTGGAAAGAAGGTTAGCAAAGACACAACAATATTCACTATTCTGATTTGCATGTGTACCTGAGTGGCGGGGTAAGATGTGTCTCATTACGTCCTATTCAAACTCCTTTTGACTCTTATTGCTATAGGTCCAAATGTATAAGACCACAATGCATGATCAGGCACCTGTGCTATTAGAACGGATATGGAATCATCCACAACCTGAAAGAAATAAAAGCTTTGTACATGATCTTCTGATCAAAATTGTTGAGAGTGGATGCAGGATAAATCAGCCAGATTCGCCAGATTTTGCTTTACAGACAGGCGAGCAAGACGGGATAAGAAAACTGTAGAAAATTAGTGTTCAAAAGATCCAGGCCCTTCAGTTGAGGATTTAAACATTCTCGGTATGAGAGTTCAACCAGATGAGGCCGGGCTTGACTTGGTAACATAAGCTCTTATAGGCCTACAAGGCTCAGGTTGGTAGTCTGAGATTTTCAAATATCATGTTTACTAGGTTGTGGATCGGATACCATACTCGAGATATCATGCTGAGGAGACGTTTCCAGCCTTTCGGCCCTTTCCATACCCAGTGGCTCGATCTATAGTTCTCTTAGATATCACCCACAGAGTATGCTCCTAGATATGCCTTTACCCATAGATCCCAGTATCTTATATGAACATGGATTCGGTTATAGGCCGAATGTAACTCAATAACTTGCTTTGATTGAATCTTCGCATCAGAAAGTATGATCGCGAAAATGAATTGGGTTTAGCCCCTTCATATTTTAACCAGCTACTCAACTATAAATACTCCGATTCCTCTCTTGAAATCTTTCCTGATAAAGCTGCTTTACACTACTCCAAACATTTCTTCCACAACATCCCACAAAAAATGGAGATCCCCACAGAAAATTTTCTCTATGATTCTTCTACTACCCTACGAAAGAGGTACAGAGACTGCTGCAAGTTGATAGTCTCAGTCTTGCAGTTCACTACAAGTTCCGAGACGCACACCTTATTTGTGTTGTTATTCCAGCGCCATGATGGAGAATGGGGACTTCCCGGACAGCCCTTGGAGGAATCTGATGATACAATCCTGCGAATTGCATCACATCAGTGGTCGCATGCAACACAGTTAGCTGAACCCTTGACTGGGGATCAATTCACCAGCCGATCTTCCATCAACTTCAACAACGACAGTCTTTTGGCGGCACACTTTGGACTTATTATCAACAACGACATATCCCCAGCCCCAGAACCCGGAAGACTATGGATGGAAAATATCAAATCTCCTGTTGGCAGTGACCTATGGAAACTAGGGGATGGCTTCCGTGATTACTGTTGGTTCACAGAGGAGCAAGTCAGAACTTGTGAATATATCGAATCAGGATTAAAAGCCCACTTGAGGAATGCTTTCCTAATGGAAACGAAGCTTGTATAAGATTACGATTTTGTGGAGCCTTTTACCGTTATCATGTGCTTCCGGAGACACATTGAGATTGAACTTTATTGAATTCATATAAAAGATTGAAATACCACGATACCATGGCAATGAGATAGGGGTTTAGCCCAATGAAACCTAAAATACTGAACATAGACCAATCAGAATATCTTCATATCTTAAGCATCGATCTAAAGATCAAGTGGAAATTCTCAATCTAGCATTTCTTCATTCCCATCCACACAGTTCTATGGGTAATGCTGAAACACACCACAAGAGACAACAGATCGTTCTGGACCTGCTGGGAACTCTTCAAATCGCAAAGTGAGCTAGATATATGTTTTTTGTGGAAATATCCCGAGGTTGTGGACATGAATGGGGTTAGGGATGAACTGACTAGATTTGGTTCCACCTACAACGATCCTGTACTTTGACCCTTGCATTACATCAAGCTACACACTTGAAGTTGTGGTATGGTCGAATACCCACGTCTCTATAATAACAGGTTTCCAGAAGATAGATGTACACTATATGACAGTGTTATCAAGTAAAACCAAATAATACGGCCTAGGAAAGGCCCTAGCCATCAATGTAAGGCTCATGAGTAACAGGGCTGGTGAAACTATGACCTTACCATCAAACAAGAGACTAACTCGGTTGCACAGACCGTGCAGGGATTGTATAAACTTGAATGTGGATGGTAAATTGCATAGTGCTCTTTCAGTTGATATTCAAATCAAAGAAAAATCCCAATGGGGCATCTTTAGCACCCAGGGGAAGAAGCCGCGAGAGGTGTTTCTTAAAAGCTCAGCAATCCCAACCCAAATCGCAGTCCACCCACAGCGCGTTCATTCTCTTTGTCTTTATCATCTGAGTCTTCTCTCATCATGTCTCTGGCTACAGAAACACGCACTCTAAAGGTAAATCCTAAATCTTTGAGAAAGCTTTGCTTTTGCCCTGCTGATGAGACAGACCGTAAGAGTCTGTATACCGAACCTCTCTTTGGACATCATGACATTTATTTATCCTGAGAATCAATGCCTCTCTGGTGTGATCTTGGCGGCGGTTGGACTGAACCACGATTGTTCAACAGGACATCTGCCTGGAGGCCATATGGAGAACTCGGTCCTAGCGGATCTTGCCTTCTTCGAGGAGATGACGCCTCTAGTTCACCAGCATTTTGGGCCTTTCCTTTTACCGCTGAAGGATGTGAGCCTCGTGATTCCCCGAAAAGACCTGGATGATCCAAGGCTTCAAGTTCGTTGGAAATACTTGTTGGTACACAGCCAGTATTTGAAGCAGTCAAGATCCCGCAGAGTGATTGATGGACCCGAGGTTATTCGCAAATGGTACGCACACCGTTTGATGGAAACCTATTTCGACATGCAAGGTCGGGCATCCATGATGGTCAAGACAGCAGGCTCTGCTAAAGATCGTTGTTTCAACATCTATGCAGGCTTGTTAGAACAGCTTCCATTTTATATCTGTGACCAATTATTAGAAAAATGGACCCTGATACTCGATCCTGATTGGAAACCGCGTGAACCTCGGCCAGCTTGGTGGCCATCACACATACTATACAAACGGATCAGGTCCCTGACAAAGTCAAGTAATGAAAACCAAGAAATTTCTCAAAAGTGCAAATACTGACGGTGAAAAAAGACAAAGTCGAATTCCTAGATATTCTGTTATCTGGCAAAGCATTGGACAGCATGACCGCCTTGGACCTTGACATAGACCTGATAAATGATACTGAAGGAACCAAGGCGCATTATCAAGATATCCTGACCGATATATTAGAGATTTTCCACCTTCGGAGGATCTCACTTGGAGAATGTTAGTGACTTTTTATCAAGGCCTGTTTCGAATATCTGGATTTACCATACTAACCCGCAAGTATCTGGCTTGCATTTAGCTCAGGAGGCCTACAGATCAGACCCGACGCGACACCAACCAAAGATATATTCCCCTATTCAGGAAATCTTAATTCTAGCCCACAGCTCGGTGGAAGACCTCAAAGCATTAGGCAATGGATTTTGTATTATGTGGCAATACTACAACTGTCACGGAGAGCCACTGTGAGTATTCTCTGCCTTATTACTCACGACATGCTAATTCGAACAAAGAAATAATGCAACTTTATGTCTTGTGGCACTTGAGGAAGGAAAACTGACCGTACAGAGCGGAGAAATTCTTCCTCTACTGCAAGATCGTCAGATTGTTCAAAATATTCTTGACAATAGTCGGACCGAAATTTCCAGGCTCGTTGTTGCAAATGAGTTAGTATCATAACCCTTGAATGGATTCAGAACGAAGACTTAACTCGCAATATTATAGAGTGATGTACGATGGATCTGGACTAGTTCGATCTTATACGTGAGTCAATTAGCTAGAAATAAAAGCACCGCTAACCTTCTAGGGCATTTTCAATACACGAATCAGTCCCCAAGCCAATAGATTCGCCAACCCTCGCCGCTCGTTGCTGGGAGCTCATCCCACAGGCAATTATCAAGTATGAGGGTGTTTATCAAATTGAGCGTGGCTGGAGAATGCTGGCGGGAGTCAGCGACTAGACTTGCTGTTTTTATGAGAAATCTATTAGGGGCATCAGAGGCAGTTCTTCAAGGTCGATTAAGTGCCCAGGAAGTCCTAGATATATCTATGTAGACTTGAGAAGAAGAAGAAGTTCAAATACCGATACTTTCGTCAGTCAGCGGCCGATTATCGTCACCGCTGATTTGGAGCTCCTTTGTATTCAAGTTCTGAGCCCAAATTTCCTTCACTGAACTAGGTCACAATCTCATATACATGATTTATCCTGCAAAGGGTAAACACTCAATGTATCCTGTGATTGGAGCTCGGCAAATAGGACACTTCTTTGGCCTTTGAAGTTTATCTGTGCATGATTCGCAGAACATGTGCCCACAAGAAATCGTCACCCAGCGATCTGGCTGCTCGTAGCAGATCTTGCATTTAAAATTTCGCTTCTGTCGTTCCTGGTAAAGCTCTCCTTGGGTTTTCCGATGGCTCTTCCTCTCCTGGCGAAGTTCATCTTGGAGTACTTGGGTCCTGTCCTGCAGCTGTTGGATCTTATGGCGAACTGTCTTCCCAAGCTTCTTGAAAATGTTCTCCTGGTAGATTATTAGGCCAAGGAAAATCAGGGCATGAAAATTGTGAGAAACACTCACGAAGACAGACGTTTCATCTGTTTCGGTTCTTCTGCGTTTTCGAGATGGGGTTGTATCCCCCTCCTTGTCGACTAATGCGTCGATCATGTTCTCAAATTTCTGGTAGCTATAATCAGGACGAGCGCCAGTCCGAAGTCGTGAGCTACCTGGCTCGAGGCTTGTCGATTCCTCCTCGTCGTCTATAAGGATCGTATCGGAAGGGCTTGTCATTGTGAGTGAGGCACCACGCTCAGGGAGAAAATCGGCACGAGTCGGCTAGAGAAGAATAAAAGAGGATGTCGAGACTACACAGCCGGCTGGGCAGGGAGACCCTTTATAAAGCTCAGAGCCAACAGTAGCAGAATAAGCCCTAGAAGTTGATTGGACAGTAGCGCGAGCCTGAAAATTCGAGCTGTATTAAACGATTGGACGACAGATCCCGATAATGCAGGACTAGGTTATATACAGCATTGTATTTGACGCCATCTCGGGGCAAACAACTTAGTACCGGTTTTGCTTGGAGAATCAGCTCATCTTCCCTCCTCTGTACTACCTGTAACTGCCTTCTGCTAGATAATGATTTATGCAGAGAACGTTTATATATATGCATGTCTTTGAGAATGGGAATGAGCCGACTGCTGTTTATCACCCTATTGATTTGCTTTGAGAAATCTCGCTATCATTGTTTCAGCACGTACGTAATGATAACAGACAATCGACGCTGAGTGAACATCCTTCATCGTTCCATGAGCTCACTTCAGTCAATTACTTCTCACGAATTAAACTTAGTGGTGTTCTCTTTCTGAAGGTCATTCATAAACTTTCTCCATGTCCGACACTTTGGTCTTTTTCAGTCTTATCTCGTCCTGCAAGATTTATTGGAATAGGTGGATGAGCTTTGAATGCTTCGTATTGAATTTCCGGTGAGCAACATCGATCCTGAACCGAAAATCCAGAGCTTGGTGTATCTCGTTAAGGGCATCGCGCCTTGGAAGACCAAGAGCCCTTGTCTTTTTCGCTCAATTTCCCTCCTGTGATCGCATTCCACTGCCCTACAGTGTACGCGAGTTGGCTCTCGCATAACCACTACACTCATTGGCCATGTCGTGAAAGTATGAATAATAAGTTAAGTAGACCCACGAAATTCAAAATATTTCAATCTAAGCTGTCCTATCTCGCACCGGGTCATAGTACATTCTCTTCGGTGAGACAGCTTCTTCAGTTGGCTCTACTTCCTCATTGGCTAAGGGTCAGTGCGAACACTGTCCAGGAGATGCGAGGTATCCTCATTCATGCGGTTGTAGACGAGGATAGCTTCATCCTTGTATGTGTTAGATATGTCTCGAATTGGGGTTTTAAACGGGAGAATGATATCTATGAGACAATTAGACTCACTCGCATCGCTCGGTAATAATGTTCATGCTGTGCATCATTGGGGTTTAGACCCAGCGCTAGTATGAACTCTTCCTTAGAGACTCGAGGGCCCACAGATGCCATTTCCATATGCCCAGTGTAGTAAGGTTTTGAGTTTGTGTTGGAATGGAGCAAGGCTTCTTGGGCTTGGGCTGTACTGGACTCTTGCAGCCGGTAGTCGTGTGGAGGGCGGCAGTGTGAGTTGTCGGGAAGAACGCAACAAGTCTGGCGAGATTATATGACAGGGACGATATAGACATGTTTTTGAACGGCTGAATATCCATGGATCTCCCAGAGTACTCATATTAATCTTCTCGGGTTAAACCAATCTCAAACGGATTGTCCAGCAAAAACCCCAAACGGTCTCTACTCCAAGGCCGCGGAAGATTTGCCGTTGAGACCAAATTGAAACTATGTATTGCTTGTAAAAAGAGGCTACCAGGCGGGAAAATGAGCCAGGGGTGAACAATAAAGCCAGGAAGTCTTTGCAAGCCAAATGGGCAACCGAAATTTAACAGGCGTAGACGCATTTGCACTGAGTCCGCGAGGGAGATGTTGAGGGCCGAGCAAAGTGGATCTCCCTTGACAAACGGGACTCTCTTGGCAGAAGTGATTTATAATAGACGTCTAGGCGACATATGTACAGGAGCCCACTGTAGTGGCGATTTTATAATACTGAAAAGATAGTATTGGAAGAAAACCTACGAACACGTAGCGACTCGGGGGTATATCGAAATAGCAAAACTAAAACAAAACCACATGCTTCATTCTATTTCTACTTTTGTATCTTGCAAGGGTGGTAATTAGTTCATTCAGGGATTTTGTGCTTCAATACACATGTAAGATTCGGCTCTGTGAGGGTACAGCCGGAGTTGTACAATGTGCCCCCCCCGTTCAGACCATCTTGAATCCACCAACAACCATAATTCAACTACGTCAAACGTAAATAGGCACCAGAAGCCGAATGGATTACTGGTTAGATTAAGTACATCTATCCCTTGCATATCGCCTAATATGATAAGATACAAGTCCTGTGTTCTTACTTACTTATATAGTGGCGATGGAGAAGGCACTGTGGGGCGAACGGGTCGTCTTTTTGGGGACGGAATATACGGTTTCAGGCCATTTTGAAAGCACTCCTGGATCCTTGGCACCAAAGCCAAGTAAAATAAAACAGAGAAATGAAATCAGGCGATTGAGTGTCTTTAGACCGAATGTTTCAATGAATGTATTGAGGCGTTTGATCTCGGTTTGCTGATCGGATAGATTTGATATAGGGGATGCAGTCAGACCTTAGAACGGGTATAATGTTGGCTGGTTTCCGGATATGTCGGTATCCGTGAAGAACCCAGATCAACTCGCCAATCAGATCTACAGGTTCATATCCGTGGAGGCGTTAGGTCTTCCAATGCTTCGTCATTTTCACACAAAATATTAATACGAGCTTCATGTTGAACCAGGAAGTTATTGTCTTGAATAGCGGCCCATTTCGTATTCTTCTCAGAAGTCAGTGGCTGCCAGGGATATCTCAAAATAATACACTCTATCCATACCAAGCGGTGGCTCAGTGAAAAAGCAAAGACTTGTTTGCGATTTCATGTGACACACAAAGCCGTTTTCCGTGTCCATACGTGACAGTTTAATCTTGCGACAAGACAAAGGGTGAGGCTAGGTGTGGCTGCCCCGGAATGCTACAGTACACGCGTTGACTCCCGCAAAGTTTGCATTAGGTGTGAAGAACTCAGATTCCTGGCCTGTGATTGAATATATTGCTGGGTTCAGACACATCTATGGCGCCACTTTCAGGCAAGATATACAGAAGATGCCGGGTGGATTCTTGGTGATCACAAACTAATTCCGAAGTACATTTTCGCTAGCGAATGAGTGCGGCATCGCTTTACGAAGACCGTAAGCTAATAAATTGTCTTTTTTGCTGAGATCTTCTATAGGAAGTATCTTAGGGCTCTGGCCCAGCTATCAAAGGGTATATCGGGCCAATGGAGAGGAAAGTATCCCCCGAACTTCTTGTTGGTCTCCAAATCCAATTCTCAATTCAGTCAGTGGTTCCGGCCACCTAAGATCCACAATTCCTGGTTCGCGTGGAATAATGTCATGAGCGTGTTGGAAGCCATTGGGAATTATCTTGCTTCCATTTTGAGAATCCATGCCTGGGGTCTCAATGAAGATTCTGTCTTTTACCTGAAAGAATTATGTTGAGGCTCGCGCCCATCTACCATTCACCTCTTCTTCAAACGCGTAACACAATACGACCCGCAAAATTATATTTAGGTCAGTATCAGAACAATTGAATATTATTTGCTGCATAAGCTCTGTTCATACCTGGATAGCGAGAAAAAGACAGAGAACTTGTAACTTGTAAAAAGACCCCCCCCTCAAACGTGTATCAGGGGAAGAAGTCAACTTGTTGAAGATGTCTAAAAAGAGTCGTGTTGCAAAAAACTCACAAATCAGTGACTCCTTATTACCTGGTGCGCTCGAAATGTCCTCGTTGTGGAGCTCTCGGTTGCGCTCTGCGCTTGTCTTCTGGAGAAGCTGATATCCCTATGTTGAGCATTTTGATCTCTTTTTCAAGTTTCTTGATGAGAGCTTCGTCGGACCTTTCTTGTTGTACCGATTCCCGATGAGTAACTGGTTCACCGCGGAAGGTGCTGCGGTGATCTTTGTGAGCGTGCGAGGAGAATCCACTTTCGGTGTCGCTACTATCGCTGGTACCATATCGTGACTGATGTTTGGATGTCTTCTTTGTAAATCCTGAGGAGCGCACGGGCTCGGTATGATGTCTTCGTTTGCGAAACCTTTTGGAGCTCACCAGGCTATTGCTCTCTGTATCAAGGTCAAAATTGATGTGAAAACTATTGTCAGATTCTCTCTTCTTGAGACTAAGCAACAGGAAGGGAGCTATGCGATACACCCGGTAGTATAGGACTGCTGCCTCGGCATTGCCTGCATGGCCAAACAAGTGAATTATATCCAGCTATATGAACTAGCACTGATTCCTGTTGGATATACTGTCCCTAGTGCAAGCGACATAAATTATTTAGAGGTCCAACGTGGGCTTATTCCACACGCGGACTTTGTACACCATGGGGAACCGCCTGAAAACGATATTACGGTATGGGATGCATGTCATTAGTTGTTGATCTTTAACCTGATCAGAGCAAGCTCAAAGAGGCCGAGAATATGTACCAGCGAGTACTGCCGTCAAAAAAATTGGAATAAGTTGAAATTGCTTTCCACGACGCCTCGACAAGATTTGGGGAATTTGCACGAAGCCATACGTGTATATCAAATCTGTCATTGTTCCCAGAATTCCTCAACAAAGAAGACAAAGATGCGTTAGAAACATTGCCCATTACAGCAAACTATTGGTCCACGTCTTCATGAATGAGTCCCACGTCGTCTGCATCTTCCACTTCGTCTTGGATCCAATTTTCGAAGGCAGGTATATACCGATGCACAAGAGTCAAGGCATCGACCTGACGTAGAGAATAACTTATTAAATTATCGTCCCGGCCTCGCTCCGGTAACCAGCCATCCGCACAGAGCTGCTCCTGAATCGATTTTTCGATGTCGAAAATGCAACTTTCCGAGTCGAGAACATACTGCTCTTCCTCCCACCATGGATATGGGATTGTGGGTAAATTACAGCCTTGAGAATATTTCGCTACGGAGCAATTGTATAAGTAAAAAGTATGTTCATCTAAGCTGCCGAATAGACTCACTTTGCTCCTCAATATGGTCCCTCGCAAGCTGATGCATGAGATAGTAAGGTAATAATTTTGCGAAGACCATTCTTGTCAGAGCCATAGACCTATGCAACATTGCCTGGCCTGTCTTGCATTGGTTAGTTTTGGTACTATCTATGTCGTCTGTGAGCTGGTGTTTTACTGACCTGCCTTCTCGCGGTCGCTAGGCCCTATAGAAGACAAGCTCGGCACGGCAACGAATTAGTGGGCCATGATAAAGAATGAAGTTCGAAGGGGTAACGATAGAGAGCGAAGGAGATTTCTCAAGGCCGATAAACTGTGTGTGTTGAGGGTTGGATGAGTTGGAGATGAAGACCTATTTATGCGCAAACGCTGAGTCCGGCCCGCAGCTATACGCACATCCCAAGCATATCCATCGAGGAAGTTCGGGCACAAAGAAGATTGCAAGATTTTCCAAATCAAGCAAACACTGTCATTAGAAGACTTTCGGAGCAAACTTTGTCGCTTAGTATGGACAAAGAACTGTGGGACGAGAACTCTCTTGGGAGAGTCTAACGAAGCGAGTCCTCGCTTTGAACAAAGAAACACGAAGCTCGTGACTCGACAAGGTGGGTCGTAATAAACAACGGCCTCATTTTCTCGCGTTCGAACAAAGAAACTTGGTTTTCCAATGCTGGCGACCGGCGACAGGGTATTTGGTTGAGTTTGAGAGCTCAGGCTTTCAGGAAGGCAAAGATAACGAACATATGAAAAGAGAGAGAGGGAGGAGTGGGAGGGGGTGTCGGGTTACGTAGCGCGAAGAACAGCCCATTAACCAGCCCCATGCAAAAAGAAACATACCTTGCTATTTCTTGGTCAGTCATTTATCTTGGTACTCAGAGAGGAGTTAATATTCATTATAGCTCGTGGACCGGATCGATTGCCAAACATCAGATTCAAAAGGTCCAAAGCTAGATCTGGGCTTCGAGCACGCATGTAGCTTACTCGGGCGCGCATTAGCTTGTGGATCAAGACAATAGCGGTAAATTTGAAAGTGAAAAGAAAAATTGATTAAATGTCGCAAAGCCTCTGAATTGTATTTTCTAGAGTAAGTGAGAGATTTGTAAAGATACAGCCGTGGCCTCTCAACATAGCTCTCTGGCGCTTCGATTCTTCTACTTCATAGTTAGTAATTTCTACCGCAAAACCACGCATTTTTACAAAAAGTTGCTTCTGTTCAATCCTGGCGATTGTGTGAATGGCCAGAAGGAAGGTTGAATCTTTTTAGTTGACCTATTATCTAATTGATCAACGTGATTTTTAAATTCGACAAGTAGTTGGCCAATGCCATGCATCGCACTTTCATTGACCGTTGAAACAGGGGTCCATTGGGGAATGTTCTCCGCCCCAATACAGCAACTTCAGCCTCAAGTTGAATTAGATTAATGGCGTCGTTCAAGATACCTAAAATTCACCATCTAGTTACAAAGAAAATATTGAAAACCAAGAAATTTGACATCGGCCTACTGGCTCCAATGCAGGGATTCGAGATTTGTGGATGCCCATCAAGAAAATTTCTTTCTCTGATTATCTTTTTTAGACTTTCTTTGATGCGGAAGACCGGACAAGTTGTCCCCGAACTTTAGCGCAGCCACAGTATCAGCACTGTGCCAAATCCTGCTTGAATAGCAGCGAAAGTTAAAAATTCAACCGCTATATCGTGAGCAATTCGCCTCTGAATTACTTTTCATCTTCTTTGCATCATATTCGAACCTTCCAATATGTACTCATCACAAGCATCTGGCCATAGCAAAGAATATACTGAGATGGAGAAGGGAGCTCTAATTTACCTTCAAGTTACAAGGTCTACCGTGGTCTGAAATTGTCTATCAGTTCAACGAACGGGTCGACCTCGATCGACAGCGGACCCAGGCGGCGTTAGAGTCAAAATGGCGGCAATTGAAGCCCACAATTTTTACGTAATGGAATCTAATACCTTTCATACCGATACACATCACTAAGTTCTCCAGTTCCGCTTATGCACCAAATGAGATTTGACAGACAAAAGGAGCAATTGGAAGGGATCGTGTTATATCAATCACGCACCTAATATGGTTGGGTATTCCCCACCTTGGCTTCCTAGTCCGATAGAGCTAATGGTGCAACTTTGATAAGTTTCTTTCTGTGGAGTCTATTGAAGTACATTTTGCAAGTCCTGAAGCCATTGAATTTGTCGCATTATGAGATCAAAATCACGAAGCAAGTATCCCTTTCTTCTTTTTGAAGGACTCTGATGTAATTCCATTCCCAGAAGCTTTGCGCTTTTTAGATTCATCGCAAATGGGGCACGAGAAAGTAAGAAAGTGCGTATTTTGTTTTCCAAATGGCGAATGAAAGCCTTGCTGCACTTCAAACCATTGTATCGAGTTGGGAAAACCACTTATTTTTCGTTGAAAACTTTGTTTTCCTTGGAGAAAAATGCTGACTATATCCTTTGGCTGGCGCACAAAGAAGGAGACCTGCTTTCGATACCGACAGCACGCTGCGCAGATATTGGCGATGCTACAATCACCAATTACTTCGCTTTCAATAACAAACTGAAGGGTTGAGGTATAAAGCTCGCCAAGGGCATTGAAGACGTCCTTTGGGTTTATACGACAGCGGATCGAGCCCTGGCAATAGTAAAAGCCCCCTCGGTAGTATGAGGGTTGATCAAGTGTGAAGAAGAAATTAGATACAAGCAGTGCTGTAGCGACTTCAGTTAATTGGCAAAATGGGTTGAGGTGAATCCTTTCCTTTTGCGACTGTAGATTTTCCACGTCATCTAATCGAATGGGTGACGAGAGCTGAGTGTCAAGACGAAAATAATCCTTTCTGTGCTGTTCACTAAGACAGTTTGTCATATCACGGGAGCGGGAATGCCCATCAAGAAAATCCATAAAAGATTCCCAGAGTCGTAGAATTGAATGGCTGCTTCTTTTCATCTTACTTTTACCTTTTAGGACTTCTCCAGTGCCGAGGGAGAGGGTAATGTCATGAACCGTATTCTCAGACCAAATGCGCTTCGCTTCCCAAGTAGCGAGTTCTATTGGGTTCGGGAAGCCCAATCCACCGTCCCAGAACTCTTGATCACCGATTTTTATTGGCTTAAAAAAACTAAGAAAAGAAAGGAAGAAAGAAATCAGAGTCGTTAATAGTCAAGTTCAGTCTAGATACTCACATTGGTGCAGCGGTTGTGGCGCGGGCGCTATTATTGTTAGCTTAGTCAAGTTGACATATATATAGAGACACCAACGCTTGCCAAAGAAGAGGTTCATGAAGTATATCGTCAGGACGAACGAGCGAATATCCTAGATAGTTTAGCTGTGCATGAAGATTCTATATTGGCTTCACACCTTCTTTGCCACTCAGTGCCACAGGTCCATTGTAATTTGTCAGGATAGTGCGACTGTTACCACCTGATGTAGCAGTCACTGCCACTTTAGTCCCCTGTACAATATGAGGCACAAAGCCAAAAAATTCACAAGTCTGAAAGGTTTCCTGAAGGGCTCCCTCTAAAAGATTCTCCTTGTACATCGCGTCAGTAGTTATATAGTTCACCATTGATTTCAGTCGACCAATTAAAGACCCCGAACCGGAGAAGCACTTAGTTGCAAGTGTCTCAAATGTCGATGCATTTTCCGAAACAGGCCATTTCTGATGGAATTGCGCCAGAACGGTCAGACCTCCTAAATAACGGTCAGATTAGTCTGCTAAGTACATGGGCTACGAATCATGGCCTACCTGAGCTTGTGCCTAAAGCCAAGTCAATCAGATCGTGAAGAAGACAATTCCCTAGAAGCTTTTGGAGCTCGGTCATAAACTCCAATGGTGTCACACCTCGTGCGCCACCACCATCAATTCCCAATAATCTGACACCGGAAGTTTGAGGTCTTAGATTTACTTCCGCCCTACCGCCATCGTTAAATATACACTGAATCTCAAATCGACTTTCAGTCCTTGGAACCCCAATCCCAAACGTGGCGACGCATGTATCACATAGGGAGTGGCCGCAGCTTAGGTGACGCTCGGGATACCGTATCAAACAGCCTATACACACTTGATTACTGCAAATGGGACGAATGAAATGCTCATACTTGATCGCAGTTCTCTTATGTAGTTGCGATGAACTTGCAAGACCTTGCTCAAGTGATTCAAATAAATCTTCACAATTGCGTCGCACCTCCTCGTTCATATATCGAGTGCAAGACTCGTCATACACAGAGCTGAATGATGACGTGCAGTGGTCTTGGTAGAGGCTTTTATAAACCAAGGCGGGATCGAACACTGTATAATATGAGTAACATGTCATGGCAACGTGGAGGTACATACAGTGCATCCGTGGCGGAAATGCATCCATTATAATACTTGATGCGATAAATGATGCCGTTATGCCATATGGGACCTTATTCTTTGTAGCAAGTCTCAAGAAAGTTTGGAGAAAGTCAGTATAATTGCTGGCAATAGGGTTTGTTAGACGAGCAGCATAGACAAAGTCAAAGCCTCTAGATGTCGTAGCGACGGTATGACCGGTTGCGAGCTTAAAAAAGCCAGATATATGTAAGCCGGAAAATAAACACCGTAGATGTCGGCGGATAGCTCTCATCTCTTCAAGCTGTGCACGGATTTGAAATCGGAGCCTTTGATACCGCGCTATAGTGGAAAGATGTCTTCCAGCGAGCCGGAATATCTTGAGTGAGGAAAATATCGACCATATTCGGGATCCTAATAGGGACTCCAAGGACTTCCCAAATGTTTCCACGAGGTTATTATAAGGACCATCCTCCGAAACAATAATAAGAAGTTTAGGTCGCAGATCTAAGGGAAGAGTTGATGCACTCCCTAGCTCAACCCAGGACTGGAGGAGACTAGATAGTGAGTCTAGTGTCAGAAAATCATCTGCAAAGATACAAATCACATCGCTAAACAAGTTGACTAGTCTTGAATAGATCATATCCAGAGGAGATCTTGAATACTGAGTTGGACGCCAAGAGATGGAATGGCGTGTGGTTTCATGGCAGTTTGTGTAACTACTCTCCGTAGAAAGCTGCTCAGACGGGTCACTGTCAATGAGTAGTATAGGATACTCATTGTAAAATGACTCATTATCTACTCGAAGGTTAATATGGGCACGTTCTGTACGGCGACTAAGATTATTTCGAGGAAATAGACTCCGCAGAGCTTCATCCTTAGTCCTCTTTCCCAAGAAGAATACAAATTGAGGACACTGGGCTTCAGGCTCTGGCATATCCCGGACCAGAGTATCGAGTATATCCGATTGCTCGAGATTGATTGTGCTAGTGTTTTGTTCTTGAACAGCACGCAGCCATCCGATGTGTCGACAGGAAGCCATCATTGGGAATACCCGTAGAGGAGACAGAACGAAAAGATCCGTGAATATATTTATATTCTAGTGATCGCAAAAGTATACCAGCACCTATAATTGCAGAATAGCGACTTTGGAAGTAGAAAAACGAAATATCTAAAAATAATCCGGCTTAAGCGCCCTGTGCGAGCAGGGCTTCTAGAATCAAACATTGTTCTCGGTTCAAGGACTCTGAATGTCGTAAACTTTTATCGAGTTCCTCAAAAAGCCCAAGAATTTTGGTAATTGATTGAAGCGACGTAGTTGAGATCTCTATTCGCTTTTTGTAATGCTGACGAATCATATTGAGGAGCTCTTTCTGCTCAAGCTGGTGGCTCAAAGGATGCTTTTGAGTAGCTGTTGGGGCCTAAGACAGGACAGAAAAGTTTAGCACTCAGGTTTTACGAAGGGAGCAGCGATAAAGTGACTTGACTGGATGGATGTTGCGGTATAGCTGGCATGTTCGGCTGATAAGAAGGGGTTGAGCAGTACAAGGGGTTGAGCAGTACAAGGGGACGAAATACGAGTCCAGCAGCACTTTGTACTGTCTTTTATGTCTAACGGGCCTAGAGCTGATTATTACCTCTTCTGAAGCCACGCCCCCAGATCGAGCGCGTAATTTACAGTCTGATCGACATGGCCGGGGTTCGGGGGACTGACCCGGCGTGTGTTGAAAACACCACAGTACATATGATGGCTTGTGGGGCAACGTGTTGGTTCCACTCATTACTCGCATACATAAAAAGCCCCCACTCCAGTGGGGCGACACAGTGACTGTGCCGCCGGAGATGAGCGAGTGATGATCTTTGCTCTGAAAATCAGTGGAAAGTTAGGCTATACTATCACCGGCAGTACAACAAAGGCATCCTCCGTGGGTATATTCTCGTGGGTGGCCTTCTCGTGGGCGGCTCCCTCGTGGGTGGCCTTCTCGTGGGCGGCTCCCTCGTGGGTGGTCTTCTCGTAGGCGGCTCCCTCGTGGGCGGCTCCCCCCGTGGGCGGTCTCGTGGGCGGCATCGAAACTTCGCGGGGGCGAGCCTCGCAGGAGTTCGGTGGTTTCGCGATCGACGTCGGCTCGTCGGACGCCTTTTAGCTCGTGGGCCGGACTGGTGCCAAGAAGGTCCGAGGACGTGTCTGGACGAACATCCCATGCATTAGCTCGTGGATCTAAAGTGAAACGTGATCTACATCCCCTGCACCTTGTCACAGAAGCGCCAATGTCTCACTCCAACCTACATTAGCTCGTGGATCTAGAGCGATAACGTGATCTAATCACCCTGCGCCTTACAACAGAAGTATAAAACCGGGGAAACTTATCGAAACGGATTCTGGCGACTAGCCAACCAGGATCTTTCGTAAGTGTTATATTACGCCACAATGATATCAGTGAGGGGTGTACGAAAGGATTCACATAATTTATCTAACGCAATCTGGAAAGCAATGTACAATGTCTCCTCTTCTTTCTTCCGTTTAGCCGACCGTAGCCTTCATTTGCATTTCCTGTACTGAGTTGGAGAGCTGTAAAAGATAAGGCTGCAGCTGCTCGACGTAGCTCTCCAAGGCATTGATCGTTCTTTCGATAATTAATAACATTTATTCAAATAGTTCATTTATTGACAAACCTCTCCTTTTGAGCGATCCTGATAAATTATTTAGTATGAGAGAATAACAAATCACTTTGAGATCTTACATGTTTTCCAAATCATCAACACGATTCTGTAGGTCGACAAGTGATTGGTTTATCTCACATGTATCACTCTCATCAAGGGTTGGAGCTCGTGTCAGCTCAGGCAGGTTCTCCACTGTTGGGACTGGCTCTTCGCCAGGTGGAGCAGCCTCGGCCTCAAGCTGGAATGGATCAATGTACTGATCTAAGAATTCATTCCAGCAGAAGTCTTCCTGCTGTTCGAGTGGATATTGGAGATCAGGGAACTCAGCATTCATATCCTGGCTCCAGAGGAGAAAATGTTCGAGGTTGGTAGTAGGCTCCATAGTGTGGATTCAGATTTTTGTTGGGTGAGAATCAGGGATGTACTGTGCTTAATTTATGGCACAGTGACTGTGCCAGAGCTGCCTCTGTTTCCGGATTTATCAGGGGCGAAGATCATAAATAGAATCCATCTATCGTGGGCGATTCGCTTCCCAATCAATTTTCACCTTTTCTATACCACATTGGAGCGTTCCCACAATGTCGGTGCAAGCGCTTGGCCATAACAAAAAATACACAGGAATTGAAGAGCAAATTCTTGTCTACTTCAAGACACAATGTCTTTCCTGGCCTGAAATTTTTACAGAATACAACAAATGAGTCGATCTCGACCGGCAGAGAACACGGACAGCTTTAGAAACAAAGAGGCGACAGCTCAAGCCCGGAGTCTAAATTGGGTAATTTCCCCTCTAAAATCTTGTTTTACGCAATCGCTGATCCCTCAAGCGCGTTTCACCCCACGAACCAGAATGAAAGGGAATTGGACGGGGATCTTTACAATGTATCAAACTAGTCACATATGTGATTCAGCCATGCTGAAAGCCAGGGGGCTGTTTGTGATTACCTATTCCAGTAAAGCTTCAGAGCTGGCAATAAAGATAAATACCCCTCTTTGACCCTGCTTCTAATATCCTAAATGTTCATCTTTTCTTTCCACAATTCCTGCGATCATGCAAAATCAATCAGTACGTCTTTTTTTAAGACAATTCAGCAGAATGACTTGGCTGATAGTGTCTAGGTTACTACAGAGTATATAACCACTTCATGGGCTGTGGTCAAAGGCTTTTTCTCTCGTGAGCAGAGACTATTGGAGCATATCGCGCAGATCGAGAAATCTTTGCACCAAGCAGGATGGCAAAACCAACAGGAAAGACTTGGATATACAAATCTGCTCTCGCAATACAATGAGCTTTACGAAGGATATCAGAAGATTCTTGGCTCGTATGAGTCTCTTCTAAAGACAATTGGGGACAAGACGAGTGATACACCTCCACCATCTGCATACGAAGAACTGCGGGTTATATTCGAGAAGCCAGATCATACTGATAGTGTGGATGATCTTGATGAGGATGTGAAGCATGAGGTCAACAGTGTTTGAGTTCCTATGTACTTTGTCACTTTCCTGGACATTATCATTTCTCGGTCTTATTATGTGAAGTATGAATTTATGGCCGAGTAACATTTTCATTATTTATCTGATTGTAGCTAGCTCTCTCATTGCTGGGGTCTCTTCGTTCAACATCTGCCATTGTAATGCAATTCGTATATGGCGCCTTCGAGTTCTGTCAGGAGCTATAGTGCGAGAGCTTCTTGTATCCACATGACGCCTAGTAGATAAATGTGGAACGGTACGCGGTGGCGAGCGACGAGAAACCCGATTTTGCCTATTCCTTGGTGCAATTACTGTGTTCTGCCGAGGATGCCTCCTTCTCAATCTTTGTCTCCGCTGTGAGTCCCCGGGTAATACTCGCAAGCGCCTGCGGGCAGTTGGCCCGCGTATATGACTTTCTGGCTCGGAAGTCGCTACAGAGTCGTCCCACCACTCCCCATACGAGTTCGACGAGTTAGGAAGTTGATTTACTACCTTTTGCTCAAAGGTGAATCTCTGAACTCTCCAATCCTTAGGATACGAAAAGTTCTCAATTAATTCAGATATAAAGTCCCGGACATCTTCAAACCTTGCTGTTGAGCGAAAAATAACAGCATCCCTGACAGCAAGGGCCAGTTGCTGCCCAGCCTGAAACCAATTATTTACTGGGATACATCCATAGCCGTCTGGGTCTCCATGAATTGAGTTTATCTGGGCGTTTATGAGTTCGTTTGTGGCCTCGAGCTCTTGTTTAGCATTATGGCGCTCGTGAGATGAACCCCATAGAATCTGAGCCATTAGAGGAGATGCTTCATTCCAATGTGATAAATATCTATCCGCCAAGGAAGGATCACTATACAAGGCGGGATCCTGGGTCCAGTTTATAAATACACCATATGGACCAGAATCAGGATGACGTCTTGTTGAATAGTGGCGAAGCTGGTGAATCCGAAATTGTTCACGAGTAACAGGTAGGTATGCTGGTGGGAGGTTATCAAAGCTCTCCATAGTATATGTAGTAGTCAGAGATTTTGGAATAGAGTACTAAAGTGTGATTCTTAAATATCAGGTTCTGGAAATGCTACATTTGAACTGTGACTTCTGTAGTTTCTTATGCACAATTGCGCTTTTTGGAAAATGACCCACATAGTACTATAAGAACCAGCATCCCATTAAGTGGCCGCTAAAAAAGGGCTTCCACTCAATAAATATGCCTGCCTTTAGCCATGCGAGTGAAACTAGTGAACGCTCTGAGACTGATAACTCTAGTGATCTTTCTTCTCGGGATGTCAGTCCTATTGATGATACTCAAGGCAGCGAACCTGGCTCGCAGAGTGATAGAGAGGGAGCCGATTCAGAATCAGAAAACATCTTCTGGCGAGGGCTTGTCAACTTGAACGAGCTGCAAGCTGAGACCCAGAGGCTATATCCTGGTATATTTTCTAATGGAACAATTCTGGGTTGGCGAGGGAACGGATTCGGCTACTCTGTGATTGTTGGATATAAAACTGGGGGGACAACGATAGCTCGTGTTGAACCGTTACGAAGACGTCCGTTACCAAGCAATGATCTCCACATATCTTCCACTTGCCGTGGTAAGAGGCGAATGGACAACACTGATGAATACTGGTCAGTAGCCCAGGTTGCCTCTGTTGGTCTTATTGCATGGCGAGTAGATGCTAAATATAACGACAACCCTACTGCAATACTTCGCCCTATGCTCAAGGCCTGGTATCCGGAGACTTATATTCAAGTCTTCTGGCAGGGCGGTGGAAATTCCTGGGAGAGTCGTGGTAACTTTCGTCATATTTATTGTATGACTGATCTAGAAGCCGACATCCTGATCTATCGAATGGCAATACACCAACAAAGTGAATACGAATTTGCTCTGACTGGCCAATACCCAACATTGCCTGATGGTGGGAATATGCAAAATCTACATTGGAGGAACACAAATGCCGATGGGAAGGCACATTGGCTGACGCCCCGAGCAAGGAGTGAAACAGCAGGCAACTCTTTAAATGAGGAACGATCTAATAGATATTCTGGCCGTGCTCATTCGAGGCACAGAGGCCATACTGAGGCTGATATTGGGGAACAAGATACTGAACAAAGTTCTGCAGAATCTGATGAGGGATTTCATGAAGAATCGCATGATAATAATCATGATCATGAAATTGGACATCCCATAGACTCCAGCAATAATGGAAGTGATAGCGATAGCGATGATGATGATACTCAGCAAACACCTAGGCATCATTCAAGAAGTTCTGGCTCACGATCATGCTCACGCTCACGCTCACATTCACAAAGCTATCAGGCAGGCTTGATGCAGGACACTCCGACACCGTTATTTACACCAGCAAATCGACCTAGAGATAGAAGGAATTTATCACCGATAGATGAAGATTTTATCACTCCACAATCTCGTCCGCAACCACCAAGACATCAAACCCCTACCTCAAGCCGGAGCCATACCCCAAAATCTATATTTAGTCAAACGAGGAACGGCGAATCAACAGGAACATCAGTTGAACCGGATCGTGGAAGTAGCCAGCGAAGTAGCCGAGAGTCCAGCCAGGCAACAGCTAGATTAAACACCCATTCAAGGAGACAGGAAAAGGGATCAAGGTCTTTGCAAAGTAAGAAATCAACAAGAAGTGAAGGACCGACACCAAGGCCACACACAGAACCAAGACCCCGCAGTAATCAGCAGCAAAACGGGTTGAACTCCGAGCCTTCCTGGTCATTCAAACCAACAAAGCCTACTTTAAAGATCAACAAACTATCAGATAGTACACCAGGCCCTTCGAGATCAAGCAGCACTCCTAGCTCCTCAAAATCTAAAAACAAGGATCAAGATGATTCTAGATCGGGCAGCACTCCCGGCTCCTCAAGGTCCAAAAGGAGAGATCAAAATGATTCTAGATCGGGCAGCACTCCTGGCTCCTCGAGATCCAAGAGCAGAGATAAAGACGATTCCAGATCAAGCAGCACTCCTAGCTCTTCGGGATCCAAAAGCAAAGAAAAAGACAATTCCCAGGAACATTCCACATCTAAGGGTACTCCAGGCTCTTTCAAAGGGAAAGAGGTTACAAATGATACTTTAATTTCACAGAGTCAGGGACAAGAAAATTCAAGATCAGATAGCACACCAGGCTCCTCCAGATCAAAGGGCAAAGAACGGGAGGATGGTAAGCGGCGAGAGGATTTAAGAGCGGATGGCACACCAGGCTCCTCCAGATCAAAGGGCAAAGAACGGGAGGATGGTAAGCGGCGAGAGGATTTAAGAGCGGATGGCACACCAGGCTCCTCCAGATCAAAGGGCAAACAACGGGAGGATGGTAAGCGGAGAGAGGATTTAAGAGCGGATGGCACACCAGGCTCCTCGAAATCAAGAGGTAAGCAACCAGAATCGGGCTCTAAGCCAAAGAAAAGGACTGGTAAAGGCAAGAAATATGTAGGTGCATATCGTCGACCAAATACTCGGTCTAAAGTAGAATTTGATGTATGAAATAGTTATAGTTAACCTAAATTGACACTGATTTCATTTTCTGATATATGACTAAGAACTCTAAGATCGCCCTAGACTGATATTGAGATCCTAAGAATTAAAAACTTCAATCTGTGTCAAAAACAGTTTTCTGCTCAAGATATAAACAAACACGATTGCTAGCCGGTTGAATAAAATGGCAGTTATTTATTCTTTTATTTCTGCGAACCAATCATTACAATCACCGACTAAAGTAGCTTAGTGGGCCCTTGTGTAGAATGTTGAAAACAGAAGTCAATAATTGAATAGTCCTATTTTAGATACCCGTATATATAAAGTAGGGTTAAGGCCTGATACAAACATTATCTGCCACCTCCACTACTGTTGACAGACATAATGGAGTCTTATTATGAAGAGGAGTATCAAGCTGCAACCCCTTTGATTGCCTCTATACTATGGGGTAACCAGAGTGAGAGAAACCAACTTGTGACACAGCTAGACACCTTGAACAACCAAATATCTACAAAGAATACTGCACTCAATTTACCACCTGACGATGGGCTCATTATAACTCCGGCCTTCTCTATAGCAGCAGATCTTCTCAGTGAAGCATCAATGCAACTTCTTGACTCTGGAGAAACTGCCAAATTTTTCGAGGTCAAGAAGTATATCAATAGTACAATTGATGCATATCAATTTCCTTCTATCTGGAAGATTACTTGGAATGAGTTCCTTGACTATCACTCCCTCCACACTGGAGATGATATAGAAAGACTAAAGAAGTCTAATCCTGTTAAGGCTGTCCACGATGCTAGGGAAGCCCTTTCACCTAAACAGCTCTTTAATACTGGGCTTCAGGATAAGAGATTTTCTGAACACTCGACCAAGAAGGAATCATCGGAGGGAGAATGGTTCAGAGGAGAGTTGCCCGAGGAAGAATCACTGGAGAAAGCATCAGGAGGAGAGTCTGAGAGAGAGTCATCCGGCGAGGGATCATCAGAGCAAGAATCATCAGAGCAAGAATCAGAGAGAAAATTGTCCAACGAAGAATCGTCGGAGGGAGAATCGTCGGAGGGAGAATCATCGGAGGAAGATTCATCAGAGGATGAATCAGAGGGAGAATCGTCGGAGGGAGAATCATCGGAGGAAGATTCATCAGAGGATGAATCAGAGGGAGAATCGTCCAACGAAGAATTTTCGGAGGGAGAATCATCGGAGGAAGAATTATCAGAGGACGAATCTGAGGGAGAATTGTTTAACGAAGAATCGTCGGAGAGAGAGCTGTCCGAAGAAGAATCAGAGGAGGGGTCGGAGGAGGAAGATTTGGAGGAGGAAGATTTGGAGGAGGAAGAGCCCAGACAAACCTATAAATTTTGGCAGCAGAGTGTCCCATTAGGCTCTGCTCGTCAAAACGCCCAGCGCGAATTCAAATTTCTCCTTACTAAAGGGTTTGTCTTGGGCTCGCCCAGTGATCACATAGTTATCGTTGGGTTTACATGCCAGGGCTTTCATACAGCCCGCATAAGACCCAAGGAAAGGTATGAAGATCAACTGGGTGGCCCTTTTACAGTCTCTTCCCGAGAGGCTTTGATCGATGGTGTTGGACTGGTAGCTTGGGACACTGGGGCCTCTAGTGATACAGTTGCGGCTATTTTCCCCAAAGAAGATGCAAGCTATCCGCCTACATTTATATGGATAAAGTGGGAGAATGGAGAATGGACATGGGAATCGCGCGATGTCTTGAAAACCATCCTTAAGGATTTAACATCCTATGAAGTCGATCTTCTAATATATCATTTAGCAATTTCGCAGGAGGCTAACTTTCAAGAGAAACTTTGCGGAAAGCGACCTTGCTTTCCCTACCCTCGTATGTAGCTTCGAAATATATCGTTGATTGAGTAAAATACAGGATACAGTACAGTGATATTCGAAATTAGATTTACCTCGATATTCTCTCTTGTGATCTCGCGGCGCTCCGCTTTTCCATATCGGGTTATGTTCCCTAAGCTATGTAGCCTAGATGAATTACTGTAACAGGAGTGTCTCACACGTGCTTTCCCCCATCCGCCCAGGCCGCCCTGCGAAAAAGAGAGAACTGACCATACAGCCAAACATACAACTCCTAGTAGCTTGGACAAAAAACCTCAAGATTTACCACTATTCGAAATGGCTTCCATATTTTACATGGAAGAACAATCTCGAATCCTAACGCTCAGGCGATGTTTGAAAATCTACTCTCGCTTAATCCAGCTTATAAATCGCCCCTAGGCGTCACTTCCAAACTATTAAATATCTGACAACACTGATTCGCCATGTTCCCTGTATCGTCGGCTTAATCGGTACGCGTTCTGCTAGCCAACTATGCCATGGCCACCCATCGAAAATATTAGTAATCGACCGCTGAAGGTCTGTCCAACCCAGCTGCTCCCACAAGTAAAAGGATTCTGCCATTTCGTTCCGTCTTCTCGGACACATCAAAGCGCCACTTCTCCCGCCTTTAAGACCATAGATTCTATTATTTTCTCGCATCATCCCAACTTGCCCCATGACAACTCACCACATTCCAGCCTGCTAATATTGCTGGATGTAGCCCTCTTTGTCTCACCACGATCTGGAATAATAGGCCGCCAGGAATTCGGTGATACTCGAGCGCCTCCCTTCTTTCAACCTTGAGCCAAGACCAAATCACCTGCATTCGTCATCTACTACAATATATCATATACAAGCCTCAATATGGACTATACAGAGAAGAGGAAGGCTTTTTCTATGACCTACCGCCGGAGGTCTTGGAATTGATCGCAATGAATCTTTACCTTCCTGATTACTTACATTTCCGTGCTTTTTGCCTTAAGACATGGTCTTTGTTCGGCTGTTCGGCTCTTATACCCATTTTGAAAAATATCCAGACCCTTAAAAATGTTACATTGGAAGTACGGTGCGAGAATTGCCATTACATATCGCGAGGCCATATCTTATCTTACGCTTATCGAAAGAATGGTTCGATTCCAAAAATAGATGGTCTGGTCCAGTTTGGAGCATCTCTGAAGCACATTCCTCGTGGCGACATGATAGAGCGCGCAGCTCGTTCACCCAATTACAAAGCACTTTTAAAGTGGTTGATCGATCATGGTGCTTCTTTTCAAGATGTTCAAGGGGGTATCGATAGTCTCTGTTGCGAAGCATTCAAGCAGGGTGACTTTGAAAAACTTCGCTGGCTGTTCTCGGAAGGGGCATCTTTAAAGCACATGCCTCGTGGCGACATGATTCAGCGCGCGGCTCGCTCACCCAATTACAAAGCTCTTTTAAATTGGTTAATCGATCATGGTGCTTCTTTTCAAGATGTTCAAGGGGGTATCGATAGGCTCTGTTGTGAAGCATTCGAGCAGGGCGACTTTGAAAAATTTCGCTGGCTGTTCTCGAAAGGAGCGTCCTTAGATGTTTTGGCTGGAGTGGTATTCGATTTTTATGGTGATCACAGGCCAAGGACACGTCAAGCTTGTCGTCATCATCTATTTGCGCTGGAAAGGGCCCTCAGAGAAGGAGCAACGCCTAGTGGCTCCCATGAGGCATTGACAGCACAGCTAGAATTGCGTCGACGTAAAGGACTCAGTGACGGTTGGAGGAGATCGATCACCTAGATATACGGCTTGTGGATGTTCGTAAGACAAAGATTGGCACAGAGACCGCCTTGCTACCGCCTACTGAGTTAGTTGTATTTCCTTTATTACTTTACATGCTAGTTATCTGCTACTATTGAGACTTTAGTAGGGTAAACCTCCCCTTTTTCTGCCAAGGGCTGCAAACTTTTGCAACGACACTGTACAGTGTAAAGCCAAGAAACTGGCGGCTTTTAGACCGATGAGAAAGAAGCACATGCGAGACACGTAATTACGGTAATTTAGCATGACTCATCAGGGCTACATAGATTAAAGGGAACTTAACCCAATATGGAAAAGCGGGGTGCTGTGAGATCACAAGAGAGAATATCGAGGTAAATCTGATTTCGAATATCACTGTACGCTAGAAAAGCCGGCGACGACTCTCACCTCCTCGTGGTGCCGGCTGGGAACCTGTGAATACCTTGCCCGGATGTTATTTGCAGAGCTAAGAAGAGTCACCACCGGCCAGCACTGTCCGCTGGCTAGGGCTACGGCTGGAGCGAGAGCTCAGGGGTCAGGGGCCCTGACCCCACGCACAGGCGACAAGGGAACACTTTGAAAACCACCCGACACACGACTGCGAAACCGATCCTACAATCAGTGGACACTAGGGTCGTGGGATAGGACACCCTTGGGGTGCTCTCGGGCTGCTCTGTTGAAAGGAGGATATCGCTGGGTCTGAGAACACAGAAACGACATGGTCAAAACAAAAACGCGAACGATACGGCACGACCCAGCATGCTTGAACCCACACAGAGAACGACGAGGTACTTTGGTTAGTAGGAGGAGCAACACTGTGTTGCTTGGCTGTTCTGGGTACAGAGAGGATACAAGTGGATGAACTCCTGCGAGACACGGTCGGCCTTGTTAGAGAGATCTTGCAAGGTAGCGCGAATCAGGGTTGACAACCTGTGGGGCGCAGCATATAATGGAAGCGACGGAAGACTGGGTGGGCGGACTGCAGTACGACACTTTCTATATGGCTCGAGAGGACGGACGCGCGTGTCGGTCTACTGAGAGAATAGGAGTCTGAAGATGGCTATCGAGGATGGAGTCTTTAGGGCGGCTATGGAAGTAGGCTTAAGGTGCAAACTGGTATTGACTTACGGAACCGGCTGTACCCCGCGAAGGATGCGGAAAAGGATCGAAGGGGACGTAGGGTGGAGGGTCTATGTAGGTAGACATGCTGCCACCTCTACAATGTATTATCAGGCTTGCTTAGCTTAGGAATACAAATCAGTACTTGCAACGGTCAGCGGAGCAAGCACTCTTACTCTTGCAAGAGCAAATTTATGCGGCATGGCGTGGCCGACGGGTCTTGAGCTTGGTCAGTTTCGATGTTAAGGGAGCCTACAATGGGGTTTGCAAAGAGCGACTGCTCCAGAGAATGAAGGCACGAGGCATACCGGAGGGTCTTCTCCGCTGGGTCGAGGCATTCTGCTCGGAACGGACAGCGACTATTCAAGTCAACGGGCAAGCATCTGAGGCCCAAAGCCTCCCACAGGCGGGGCTACCTCAGGGATCACCCCTGTCCCCGATCCTCTTCCTCTTCTTCAACGCAGACCTTGTACAGCGACAGATCGATGGCCAGGGCGGAGCAATCGCGTTCGTGGATGACTTTACCGCGTGGGTGACCGGACCGACTGCGCAGAGTAACCGGCAAGGTATCGAAGCAATCATCAATGAAGCACTCAACTGGGAAGGAAGAAGTGGAGCGACTTTTGAAGCAGAGAAAACCGCGATTATACACTTCACCCCCAAGGCCCACAAATCGGACTCGGGGCCATTCACCATTAAGGGAGAGACCGTTGAACCCAGCGATCATGTCAAGATTCTTGGCGTGATAATGGATACGAGACTCAAATACAAGGAACACATCGCGAGGGCAGCATCCAAAGGCCTGGAGGCAGCGATGGAGCTTCGACGACTTCGAGGTCTAGCCCCGGCGACAGCGCGGCAGCTATTTACATCGACCGTGGCCCCGGTGGTGGACTACGCCTCCAATGTCTGGATGTACGCTTTCAAGAATAAGAATATCGGGCCGATCAACCGAGTGCAGAGGGTAGGAGCGCAAGCAATTGTCGGGATATTCCTCACAGTTGCGACCAGTGTAGCGGAGGCAGAGGCTCACATAGCCACGGTACAACACCGGCTCTGGAGACGAGCTGCGAAGATGTGGACGGACATGCATACACTACCAGCCACCAATCCCCTCCGCAGGAGTACTGCTCAGATCAAGAAATTCAGAAGATACCACCGCTCGCCATTGTATCAGGTCGCAGATGCGCTGAAGAACATTGAGATGGAAACACTGGAAACCATCAATCCATTTACATTGGCACCGTGGGAGGAACGTGTGCGGAGCGATAGTCATGATGTACCGGAGACACAGACTGAAGCGGGCGGAGTTATGCGAATTGCGGTCAGCAGTTCGGCGCGGAATAAGATGGTAGGATTTGGCGTGGCGATTGAGAAGCAGCCACCTCGGTATCGCAAACCGAGGCTGAAAACCTTCTCTGTCACAATGGGTGCAAGAACCGAGCAGAACCCATATTCTGGGGAGTTGGCAGCAATGGCATACGCCCTAAGCACCCTACCGGGACTGAAACGGTGCAGGGTGACGCTGCTCACCAGCAACAAAGCGGCGTTACTCACGCTGAAGAATCCTCAGCAACAGTCGGGCCAGGAATATATCTGCCAGATATATAAGTTGATTCGAAGGCTACAGAGACACGAAAACTGGATAGATATCCGCTGGGTCCCAACCAATGAGAAGAATCAGTTGTTAGGCCTGGCGAAGGAGCAGGCCAAAGCTGCGACACAAGAGAACACTACCCCACAAGCACAGGTCCCCCGAATGAAGTCGACCACCCTGAATGTGGCACGCTACCAAGTCACAGGCAATCAATGCTTGCCGGAGAAAGTAGGCAGGCATTCCAAACGAGTAGATGCAGCACTTCCAGGGAAACACACCCGGAAGCTGTACGATCGATTATCGTGGAAAGAAGCGAGCGTGCTGGCCCAACTTCGGACTGGCATGACAAGACTAAATGGATACCTCTATCGAATCAACGTCGCAGAGACGGATCAGTGTGCATGTGGACAAGCAAGAGAGACCGTGGAGCACTTCCTCTTTCGATGTCAGAAGTGGACCACACACCGAACGGAAATGCTGCAATGTACCCATACTCACCGAGGCAATATATCTTTTTTCCTGGGCGGAAAATCGCCTTTGGATGACCAGAACTGGACGCCGAATCTGGAAGCAGTGCGAGCTACAATACGGTTTGCAATCGCTACAGGCCGACTCGACGCCGCTTAACCATGTCGACCAACACAAATTAATCCTACCCCCACCAACTACCTTGTGCCAGAGACGGTAGATGCGCTTCAATTGCCGAAGATAGGATGTTGAACACTTGGAGAAGCGCCTTCAAGCAAGTCTACTAACTAAACACTACCCCACAAGGACCCGCTACGATATTGATATCTGAGATGACGTACACTGAAAGGAATCTTGTATGGGCTTCAAGGAGGCACAGAATTAGCCATAGCATGTATATTTAGATCAGTGATAGTTGCCCTTTCGGTTCAGCCGCCGGGCGTTAATGAATTGTGTGTGTGTGTGTGTACGCTAGAAACAGAAATACATTGGCATTCTAAGATTACACTAGCACACATCATGAAAATCTTAGTAGGTATCTCCCAGTATATTAGCTATCTCAGCCATCACGTTGTTTGCATTCTTCTGCAAATTCCTCTTGGGTGGGTAGGATTTCATACTAGAAAATATGTGAGACAATTAAACCCTAGAAACACTAGAGGCAGTGAGACAGCTTACGTCATCCGATGGCCAGATAGAGTGGATAACCCGGGTGTGGCCTCGGGTATGGCGGACAACGGTGATAGACACCCGGATTAAACCGGCCTTTCTTGCGATTTTGGAAAGAATTTTCAGAGCCATTTTTTATTAACTGCGTCTTCCATTTCCTGAGGGTACTAGTTGAATTTAAAAGGTTTCTCTGCAAAAATGTGCTTCTGTTTCGCGCCTTTTTCCCAGCGAAACGCCGACGAGACAATCAAGCGAGACGCCCACGAGTGCCCCACCTAAGCTAGTGAATATTCAATCGCAACAATATTTTCATGGGTATTATGTTTACAGGTGTGAATATTTGACTGTACAAAGATTTTCATAGGTATAATTTTTTCATGCATGAATATTATAGAATGATAATCTTACGCGCTATGGAATTTTAAGACTGTTTAATATTCTCTGGATGATAATTTTAACTTTGCTCTAAAAATATATTTCCTTAAAATTCCCCATCAAAAATATTTCACTGTGAGAATATTCTCCCTGCAAAAATTTAAGCTGGGAGGAACTTTTTGGTTCCAAAATGTTAGCGAGGCTAAATATTCTCCACCCATAAAGTTATCATCGTGATATTTTACGAATTGTTAACATTACGGATTTTGAATATTTGCAGTCTCTAAAGTTCTCCGCCAATGTCTAGTTCTGACCTGGACTGGAGGACCTCACGCAGATTGGGAAGAGCAAAGGTCAGGTTAAATAACTTAGACCTTCTCACAACTACAACTCGGACAATCAGAGAAGAGCATATTCAGGCTCTCGTTGAAAAATTCCAGTCTGAAGGCTGTACTCGTCTGAACCCCGATAATTACATCAAGGTACTTGTTAGTGAGAATTTTCCTTACAGTCTGAACGACAATGTTTTGCATGACGATGAAGTTTTGGGTCTTCCAGACGGCATTCAGCTCACCGTTCTTCATGGGAAGCATCGTATCCTTGCTGCGAAGAGATTTTTCTTTCTCTTGGACAGCTGGTGGATAGCAGACTTTTACACTGAGGGTCTATCCCAGTCACACCAAGCGACTCTCTGTGAAGAGCACCCGAATGCTCAACCATTTTGTGACGGAGACATCTATCGAAATATCCGTATGTACCAGCAGCTTAGGGATGTGGATGCTGAAATCAAATGGCGTGGAAGACTCAGTAAAACTGCGCAGCGGGAGATGCATCGTTTGGAAAAGGACTTTAAACATATCCAACGAGAATTTGACAGGCTACTCGAATTCGGAGGCTTGTGGAAATTTCTAAAAATCTCATATTTGGGCAGATGGTTGTCAATTAGATGTCAAGAGGTATCTTTGTTACAATCTTTACTTTTAATGTACCCGCTGACAGAGTTATATAGGAGATAACTCAGTATCTACGCTTCATATATGAGAAATGGCAGACTATAATGTGTGGCTATTCCGGGTCTTTCCTCGATCCACAAACTGTTTCTTTGCTCGAGACACGGATGCCATCTATCTCTTCGCATGATGAAGAGAAGATTACAGATATGATGTGGCGGCGTCAGATATTTCCCGAGCTACCATCTCAGGAATCCCGTACAGCCATTCTAGAGAAGATACTCCAGGTAAAAGGGAGGATACTATCCCTACATACTTTCACAAGAGATTTCTTCTACTTTGAAGCCTGTGCTATTGCTCTCAAACAATTACTGCCATGCTCTAAGCGCTCAATGGCTGAAGAATTTATGCGAAGTTTCTCTGGTATTAACCAAAGCCGAGGAACGTGTAAGTTCCAGGTCGGGGACTCCAAATTTGTGAGCCGGGCAGGAAGCTACGATCTATGTCCAAAGCTTGGATACCAGCAGTTATTTCTAGCAGTTATGCGCGATTTTCCAACTTTGACCAAGCTCTCACCATACAAGAACCGTGGGAAAAATATAGCGGAACGACGAGGATTTGTATCCGAAAGAGTGTATAAATTGGCGGAGATAGCATCCTATCTAGGATTTGCCAATGATCAGATTTCACAGATTCAATCGATGGGTGCAGAATCTTCATATGCAGCTGCTACTTCAGAGTATCTTGTTCAACTTCAGCCAACGGATCGATATATAGTAGATTCTCGAAGAAGAGCAGATATTGCACAATATGTTGGAGATACATTACCTCATATCAGTGTTAACAGACCCCCACATGAGAGGGCTGAAGTGAACACCAACCTTTCAGAAGCCCCAAAGAAGTCACGCTGCAGCCGTCCATCTATACAAGACTATCATAAGTACAGAGAGTATCTTTTTCTTGAAATCTTGATGGATAACAGTTTTGTGCGGCGAGCACATCCGAACTCTCTTGCTATTCAAAAAGATATCTTCTTCTCTTTTTTTGGTGATCTGAATGGTAGCCAGGAAGTTTTAAGTGAAAGTTCATTTCAAGAGAACGATTCCTCTCCTCATAACTCTTCTCCTCATCACTCTCCTCCTTATCCACCCCAAAATCAATCACCATACGAAAGTCCTTCACCGCGATATAGTCCTTCACCGACATCCCCACTACAAGAGAGCCCTACACGACAGGATGAAAGTCCCCTGCCACAGGAGAATATTATATCACCTCAGGAAGTACGGGAGACTACCCCTGATGAGCAATCCTGGGTCTCTGGCTCTATTACTACAGCTTCCAATGAAGATTCTGGCTCCAACTTTCTTGACCCTGGTTACGAATTTTCCGATGAAAGAGAGGTCCCATTTGAGTCCATTGAACGAGATATCAGACCATCAAGTTTTATACATGGACTGGTTTATGATGAAGGAAACGTAGTCTTTTACCTATTGAGCGAAAAAAGGTTTGTAAGATTCTCGATTGATGAGCCTGAGCTACCTAACTTCCGTGCAACCACAAACTGGCTGGCAAATCAAAATAATATGTTCCTCTGCTGTATATCAAACAGATGGTGTGTGGTACCGATCAGAAAGCTATACACCTCTTCTCGAAAAGCTAAACTTATTCTGGTTTGCCAAAAGCTGTGCCGAACTGGGGCTGAGCCTGGGACAATCCTCCATTTGCGCAATGGTCTCAATCGCTTTCTTGATAGAGACTATGACTATGCTACTCATAATCATGGAAGGTGAGTGGTTTGACCTTTATGATAGGTGCAACAAGGGCTCCGACTTCGGATGCGTGTGAAAGAAAGACATGCTAGCGCTATTAGCAATATTCGGATTTGATTGAACTGGCCATAGCGACCTACCTGTAGCAGAGCCTGAATTGTAACTCCATTTCGCCCAGTCTCTTTAATGAATTGGTGAATATATTGTCGCGCATCAGATAGTATGTTGGTATTGGACTCTGCATCTCCAGGTTGGAGAATCTCAGTAGCAACAATACCGACACATCTAATATCATGTTGCTCAGATCCATGATGCTGCTCTAGTAGAGAGGCTCCTATATCAGCTGTGTAGGTGAGCCCTTTGATACTAAACAGAGAGATATCTATTCAGGCACTCACCAATCTTGACTCTTCCGTCTGCTGAAAGAAAAATATTACTACAGTCAAGCCTTGTATGGCAGATTGAAAGGTCTCGATGAATATACCAAAGACCGTGCAGAGTCTTCAAGCTCGTATTTAATAATAGAATAGGTAGAACAGTGGGTATAAATATCGTACCTCTTTACAAACAAATGCGACATCAGCCTCTTTTAACGTCATCCCAGAGTGAAGCTGCTCCAGTGACACTTCCATAAGTTCATAGACTAAATAGACAACCGTAGACTCACAGAATGAGTTAACAAGATTGACAAGGTTGGGGTGACTTGTGGGAAGAAGGTTTCCCGTTTTATCAATGCCACTAGATCTGTATTGTTTGATCGCGACGATGTTTCTGGGACTATCGGACTGATGTGCAATACAGGTCTTTCCAGCAATGTTTTCGGCCATAAACTTCTGGTATTTGATCCAGGGAGATGTATTTAGGCAAAACGGTGTCTGTGCCTTTTTGGGGCACACGTAGTCTTTGACTGGTAGGCTAAGCCAAGGCCTAGGTCGTTTCTGAGGCCGGGGCTCGGAGACCTTGCTAGAATCAGGCCTCTCTTTCAGGTGTTCCGGATGATCCGTCTTTGTCAAGGGATTCTCGAGCCCGTTGGATCCATCTAGATCTTCGGCCCGAGGGAACATCGTACATCTATGGGGGTTCGCCATTGTGTACTCTCTAAGGAATCTACAGGTCTGACTTAATATTTATATATGACAATTTCTAAATTTAGCAAGATCGTCGGGCGCATATTTGCTACAATTGATTTCATTCTAAAAATATCTTAGACAACGAGCGCTAGAGTAACCAATAAAACAAATTTCATCATAACAAAGATTCCATGCTTTCCTATGCTAATTTCCGGACCGCTGCTGCTTTTATATGAACCTCCAGTACTAAATTGTGTTGCCTGTGGATGGTAGTATAAAGCAGTTATACTAGTTTCAAGCTTATTCTCGCTTGCAGTTTGAGTTCCAGCTGTTCTTGCGCTTGTTAAGCGGCTCGTCACTACAGTTGCTTGCGATGGGGTTGCTTGTGATGGAGATGCTCGCGATGGAGATGCTCGCGATGGAGATGCTCGTGATGGAGATGCTCGCGATGGAGATGCTCGCGATGGAGATGCTCGCGATGGAGAGGCTCGCGATGGAGATGCTCGCGATGGGGTTACTCGTGACAGGATTGCACGCGATATGGCTGCTTGCGATGGGGTGGTTATCGATGCTTGTATAGGGAAGTCTGCTTCTGGTGTAGGCCAAATGGGTCCAAAGCTGGAGTGATGCAAATAATTGGACCTGGGAATTGTAGTACTCGAATGTAGAGGAAACGCGGTACTACTGGAAGTGACATGTGTGTGGCTTAAAAATATACCAGGAGAATCAACTTGAATATCAGAGAGGCCATAAGCAACAAGTGCTGACCAAATGAGAAAGGTGAGAGATAGCTTCATTTTGCTGATGAACTCAACATTGAAGAAAGCTCCTCTCCCTTATATAGACAGACTAGATACAAAACAAAAGCGCAAAAGCGTAAAATAGATTAAACAGAAGAGAGACACAAAGCTGAAAATTGTAACCGCCGGATTCAACCATTTATGGTAGACTATCAGTGACTCTGCAGTCTTAGATGGGCCCGGGCTCATAGTCGTTATAGGAACGTCCATCCACTTCATATCTTTAGAGGGTAGGGGTCCCTTGACAAAAATAGTTTGAGTTGCTCTAGCATGACAAAATGCAGATGTAGTTCCTGTGAGATCACATGAGACTAAAGCAGTGCTGTGACAATTAGAGTGAAGCATTTCATGGATACGTATATCTGACTTACTTATCATTTTCATCAATATTGATGACTTGAACTGAAGTTGGTGCCCGAATGGCTGTCATACCTGCCCCACGTATACCGCAGTCGCTGGCAGGAACTGAAGAAGGGCAACGCAGAGTATAGGTCGTAGTACACACACACACAATTCATTAACGCCCGGCGGCGAAGCCGAAAGGGCAACTATCACTATTTTATCAATACATGTCCCTAGTATATGCCGTGTCTCCTTGCAGCCCATACATGGTTACTTTCTGTATATGTCATCTCAACTGTCATTATCGTGGTGGATCCTCGCGGGATAGTAATTTTGTTAGTAGGCTGGCTTGAAGGCGCTTCTTCAAGTGTTCAACATCCTATTCTCGGCAGTTGAAGCGCGTCTACCGTCTCTGGCACGAGGTGGTGGGTGGGGGTTAGTTCGGGGGGGAGGGGTTCGTTTATGTTGGTCGACATGGCTAAGTGGCGTCCAGTCGGCCCGTGGCGATTGCAAACCGTATTGAGGCTCGCACTGCTTCTAGATTCGGTGTCCAGTTCTGATCATCTGACGGCGACTTTCCGCCCAGGAAGAAGGATATATTAGGTCGTAGTACAGTAGTAGTAGTAGTAGTAGTATTCATTTACACTGACCCCTCGCCGTAGCGATATGCAGTATACGACAACTATATATCCGAGCATGTACATGTTGACTGATCCACTTCCTGACATGAACTTAGAGCCTCGTCACGGCCTGTCCTGGCCCATTGCCGTTCTCGTCATTAGGCTGCCCTTATGGCGCACGACTACAAAACCGCTGTGACGCCTCGGCGAAGTCCAGTACCGCCTGTACTGACTTCGTGCGCGAGACGGTGTCTGGTTTACCTTTCTCACCTTCTTTTGAGCCTCCCAGCAGACTCGACACGCTGTTGAGCGTGTCCCCGACTTTCTTTTTCAGTTCAACTCGCAGCTCCCGCAGCCGTGGGCATTCCATCAAGACGTGGGCGACTGTCTCCCGCGCGCCGCACTCGCATAAGTCGTCTTCGCGAAATCCGAACTGTTTCGCGTAGGGAGATAGCCAGTTGTGGCCCGTGCGTAGCTGCGTCAGCAGATATGCCCGGTTCCTGGGTAAATTCCCGTAGAGCTTTCTCGTGTATCGCGCCGGTAGATTCCCATCGATTTTTCGTAGGTGTGCGCCTTTGGTGCTTTCCTTCCACTCCTGGCCCCATTGGGCATAGATCTTACTGCGGATGAACGCATTCTCCCTCGATAGTAGCGGTCGAAAGGGGTGGGTTTTACCCGGTTTCGCGGCTTCCTTCGCAAGCCGATCCGCTGCGTCGTTCCCAACGTCCTCACAGTGTCCGGGAATCAGAGATACAGTATTTCCGGAAATCGGTGTCACCCCACGCACTCTTTCGTTGTTCCCCAGACCCTAAATGCCAAGATACACTAGACCTTATTGAGAAAGATATAAAAATAGTAATCTTCCGGTATTTTACGAATACGATCACTTACAGATATAAGTTACGTACCATGTGCTCATGTGTGTATGGCAGATACGACTTTTGCTGGAACCTTCCGTAGGGATGTTGTAATTTCGAAATTGGTCAACCCATTTCGAAATATTGAAATTTCACTTTTTTCCTTGATTTCAATTTCATTTCAAATTCTCTTGGCATTAATGAGTCAGCATTCCCTTGAGTTCGAGCAAGTCAACATGGTCAGTTCCTGCCACCTCTCGCCATGTAAGGCCGGAGAACTCAGGCATATGATTGGTCAGTAATTTGAATATCTTGCCTATCTTGGACTAGCGTCATTTCAAGATTTCATGGCCCATTTCAAATTTCATTTCAAGCAGCCAAATTTCAGCAATTTCGAAATTTTGAAATTTCATTTTGCCATCCCTAACCTTCCGGCACAATGCAAACAATTCAAACAACTCCACCAACGCTGGATCTTGCGGACCTGACAACTTGTCATCTTCTGCGTCCACACAGCGTGTCCAAGTGGCAATCCTAGCTCTTACCCGCAATCTTAGAACCTTAACAACCCCACAATCTGACTGCACGGGTCGATCTTCCAAATTCCAGAAGACCAATGATCCTGCTGATCACCATACTCAGCCAGTCAAACACATACTCCTCTTACCCTATGCGTGATGGCAGCGTCTTTGTTTCCAGCTAACGTATGATGGCACCATGAATAGGCTCCTCATTAGTATGTACTGTTTGGAGGGGATAGCTTACACTGCTTTCGATGATGATAACATCTACCAACCTCGTCTGCCCAATCTACGAGACCCGATTCCCTCGTATGCCTTTACACCTGGCCGTGAATGACCGCCATCTGCAGTATCCTCGTCACTATCTCCTTCGTCTCATTACTGGATTATGCTTTACACATTTCTAAATCACTTAGCTGCAAAATATATTGAAATGCTACATTATTGAACAGCTACTGGCGTTTTCTGGGCGAAAGGTTGTACAGAAGATTCTTAGCTACAAACGAGAAACATAATAGTTTATAGCCGGAAGCCCGCCATATAGATGTGTCTTTCCTGCAGCCTGTGCAGTAAAAAATGGACACGCTAAGCGAACGGACTAAGCTAAAACAGCTCTAAAAGTACCAAGACCCTAAAAAAGTAGCTAGCAGCCCGAACAAAATCGCAGAGAATATTACTACCGGTTTCAACAAATTGTTTGGAACCGGAGTGTTCTTTTTCTGTGATAGTAAAGATAAGGCATCTTTCGATAGCTTCATCTCAGATTGATTCCTGTTCTCCCCGAGGGGCTCAGAAGAATGTTGATTGAGGAAGTAAATCAATCGCCGTGACACCGGTCCAGTGAGTTGAGACTCATCGTCAGGTAGGCCAGACATCTCAAAGACTCCGTGCTTCTGATCTGGATTTACTCTGTGATGAAAAGGGTGCTTGAGTACACAGGAAGAACAGATATCCAGATTCGCGCAGATTCTGCATACAGAACGAGGTCCAGTGATAGGCCTCTTGCAGAAACTGCAGATAGTCTTGAACATATGAGTGACAAGGGAGCTATTATGAGAAAGACGAACTTGAAAGAGATGGCGTGCGTTGACCGTGTCATCAAGAAATAAGAAATACCGAGCTAATTGTTGCAAAGTTAACCATGCATCGTTCGGGCTGAGGTTGGGAAGATCATCGGAGAGGTTGAAGAGGGATTGTTGTACAGTTGATTCTTGAACTTCGTGAGGTGTCAATGAGAGCTGAGGAAAACGTTCACGTATCTCCCGCATCAAAGTTCCTTGCCCGAGGGCCCAGTCCATAGCATGTCTACCATAGCCGTCTGGAAGAGAAGGGTCGGCACCAAGATGAAGAAGTTTTATAGCGAAGTGAATGTGGCCAAAGTAAATAGCCAGATGGAGAGGGGTCTGCAGAAGTTTGTTGCGCTTGTTGATGAATGAAGCAATTTGCGGAAATCGAAAGAGAAGGTGAGCCATATCCTTTGAAGCTGCAATGTGAAGAGGGGTCTGATCGAGCGGATCAGCAAGGCGATGATCTGCGCCAGCTTGAAAAAGAAAGTCAATAACATCAGCATGGCCCGAGTAAATAGCTGCCAAGAGAGGCGATCCATGTTGGCCACCCTGAGCGTTGACATTGGCCCGGGCATCGAGCAGGATCCTGACAACTTCAGCACTTCCACCATATGCAGCAGCCTGGAGGGCATTGCCGTATTGACCACCCTGGGCGTTGACATCGGCATGGGCGTTGAGCAGGATCTTGACAACTTCAGCACTTCCATTAAATGCAGCGGCCTGGGGAGCATTGCCGTATTGGCCACCCTGGGCGTTGACATCGGCATGGGCATCGAGCAGGATCTTGACAACTTCAGCACTTCCTCTATATGCAGCAGCCTGGAGGGCATTGCCGTATTCACCACCCTGGGCGTTGACATCGGCCTTGGCATCGAGCAGGATCTTGACAACTTCAGCACTTCCACGCAATGCAGCAGCCTGGAGGGCATTGCCGTATTGACCACCCTGGGCGTTGACATCGGCATGGGCATCGAGCAGGATCTTGACAACTTCAGCACTTCCTCTATATGCAGCAGCCTGGAGGGCATTGCCGTATTGACCACCCTGGGCGTTGACATCGGCATGGGCATCGAGCAGGATCTTGACAACTTCAGCACTTCCTCTATATGCAGCAGCCTGGAGGGCATTGCCGTATTGACCACCCTGGGCGTTGACATCGGCATGGGCGTCGAGCAGGATCTTGACTTTCTCAGCACTTCCACCATATGCAGCAGCAGCGGCCTGGAGGGCATTGCCGTATTGACCACCCTGGGCGTTGACATCGGCATGGGCGTTGAGCAGGATCTTGACAATTTCAGCACTTCCACCATATGCAGCAGCCTGGAGGGCATTGCCGTATTGACCACCCTGGGCGTTGACATCGGCATGGGCGTTGAGCAGGATCTTGACAATTTCAGCACTTCCACCATATGCAGCAGCCTGGAGGGCATTGCCGAAATGACCACCCTGGGCGTTGACATCGGCATGGGCGTCGAGCAGGATCTTGACAACTTCAGCACTTCCACGCAATGCAGCAGCCTGGAGGGCATTGCCGTATTGACCACCCTGGGCGTTGACATCGGCATGGGCATCGAGCAGGATCTTGACAACTTCAGCACTTCCTCTATATGCAGCAGCCTGGAGGGCATTGCCGTATTCACCACCCTGGGCGTTGACATCGGCATGGGCGTTGAGCAGGATCTTGACAATTTCAGCACTTCCACCATATGCAGCAGCCTGGAGGGCATTGCCGTATTGACCACCCTGGGCGTTGACATCGGCATGGGCGTTGAGCAGGATCTTGACAATTTCAGCACTTCCATTAAATGCAGCGGCCTGGAGGGCATTGCCGTATTGACCACCCTGGGCGTTGACATCGGCATGGGCGTTGAGCAGGATCTTGACAATTTCAGCACTTCCACCATATGCAGCAGCCTGGAGGGCATTGCCGTATTGACCACCCTGGGCGTTGACATCGGCATGAGCGTCGAGCAGGATCTTGACAACTTCAGCACTTCCACGCAATGCAGCAGCCTGGAGGGCATTGCCGTATTGACCACCCTGGGCGTTGACATCGGCATGGGCGTCGAGCAGGATCTTGACTTTCTCAGCACTTCCACCATATGCAGCAGCAGCGGCCTGGAGGGCATTGCCGTATTGGCCACCCTGGGCGTTGACATCGGCCTTGGCATCGAGCAGGATCTTGACTGTCTCAGCACTTCCACCATATGCAGCAGCCTGGAGGGCATTGCCGTATTGACCACCCTGGGCGTTGACATCGGCATGAGCGTCGAGCAGGATCTTCACAATTTCAGCACTTCCATTAAATGCAGCGGCCTGGAGGGCATTGCCGTATTGACCACCCTGGGCATTGACATTCGCTCCAGCCCCGAGTAAAAGCACTACAATCGCACTGTGACCTTCTAATGAACCCTTTTGTAGCGCGCCCCCACCTCCTGTCTCAATATCCACACCCTCATCTAGAAGCCATTCGACAAATCCCAAATGTCCGCGCCTGGCCGCCTCCATTAAAGGAGTCGCTCCATCGTTGTTCTTCGCTTCTCGGTTCGCTCCTCTTTCTTGCAATATCTTGCCAGTCGTCGTGTGTCCAGCTTGCGCTGCAAAGTGTAGTGCCGTATTTCCAACTCCGTTTGTTCTCTCAATATACTCACCACCTGACAACACGGATATTATCACGTCAACCAGATTCGCAGAGGCTGCCACATGTAAAAGAGTTGTCCCTGTGGGTGGACATGCTGCGCTACGAACACCAAGACACTGGTATATTCGAACCCAAGGACCGATCATTTGTTGTAGGATGTCCTTTTCATTCTGCAGCAAGGCACCTCGAGAGCCGGCGGCTTTTTCTGCATGAATAAAGAGATTGATGGTCGCATAGTTCACAAATGGGTGATCACAGATAAGCTTCTTCTTTGAGCCCCGGAAGTTACTCATTTGTTTGTTTGAACAGATCGTGGCAAGATATACCAGACACGATCGGTAGAGAGTTCCCTGAGACTGAGAGAGAATATTGCCCATATCCACGGATCCCATGCTAGCGCTGAAGCCATGGTATAAAAGGGCCAGTCCTTTTGCCCGCAAGAAATCATTGACCGACTGGTGAACCACCTGTACAGTCTCCTTGTCATTCCCACTTGAGACTACTTCTGCCATTCCACCAGAAAGAGCCTTGACTTTTCGCTTCATATGTTCATTGCTTTCGACAAAGCCGCCAAGCTTCTCCCATCCGGTTCGAGACGGCGTTAGTTGAGCATTCTTAGCTGCCAATGCGTATCGTATTTCAACTATAGTCAAGGGTCGCTCGGCCAGGCACACCCATTGAAAGAATAGGAATGACTGCTCTCGATTCCTAGCCGTGATCACGTTGCTCAGAATATACACATAGACATTTTCCAGACCGGCTGGGACTTCGCCCAACCAATCACGGATATCGCTGATTGAGTCTCCTTCGATAAGCCTTTGCTTGATAAGAGGCATTATAAGACGGGCCCATTGGAACACACCCTTGGAATGCTCGGTCAGTTCCTCCACCAGCCCCTCTCTCATCTCTTGACTAGAAACGTCGCCGAACTCTGTCTCAAGAAGCATATCCTTGATATATGTAGCAATGTCGTCTTGATTGTGGTCTTCGACATGTATCGCTACTGTCTGGACACTTTCCACGATAGGATAGTGTCGACACGAGATGCAGACTTGAAGGGTTAGCTTCTTTTTGTCAGCACGATCAACCAGACGGTGGAAATATGCTGCAAGCTTTTCGGCGGACTCAGCCCCAGCCTCATCTAAAGCATCCACAAAAATGATCATATGCTGTTTCGTGGTTGATACCAGTATAGCAGTTGCCAATAACTCTTCAAGTATCGGTTGCGGCCACTCCCACTTACGTTCTCCATACCCAAACTGTCTACATCGTTGTTCATAGATATCGCGCACCTGAGGGCGTATGGTCGCGTCACGGTCGAAAATCTGGTTCAATAACGATCTAAGCATTCCGAGTGGTGTACGTTGCATCTCCGTGCCTCGGGCGGTAAAGAAAAAATCCAGTCGAATAATGCCAAGATTGCCGTCCTGTGATTCTTTGAATTTGTCATGTAGGAAGGCCATCAAGGTCGATTTTCCCGCGCCCGGCTTTCCTTTAACCCACAGTAGACCACAGGGCTGATTCCTCCAGGACTGATACTCGTCCAGCTCTAATATCCATTGGCAGGTATTCGTGTGGCATGGCTCGATATTATCCCTCCGATCTAGCATCTGTGGAAATGCTAGTGACCTGAGCAGCTCTGCGTCTGTGGTTAGTCAAATTGTCTTTGACTGGTACAATGTGGAGCGAACCGTTGTCTGTCTTCTGTACTGGGGTTTCCGGTCGGTCTGGGCCAAAGTGTTAGTCACCTTATTACGGCTTTTCGAGGACTGTTGACACATACCGGATGAAAAGTTGATTGTCCCGATTGTCCCATGGTTATTTCCAAGTTGGAGACCCGTGTTCGCACTACCAAAAGACATCGGGCTCATTCTGAATATTCAGTGCGTAAAATGGGGCTGCTCCAAGCCGAGCGAAAGTTCCACCTCCTGAAAGTCACCTTGTCTTTTGCCCCGCTCTCAGGTGACTGCCGGGCGCTAAACCTTGCTAGGTTGGGAGCCATGGTTCGTTGCACCACTCAGTGTGGGGATTGGGGAAGTTGACGTGAGGCCTCAGGCTGCAACTTCTCGCCTTACAGGTAATAAACAATTTTCCCGCCAATACGATAATCCGGTAATTTACGGTACGATCTAAGAACAAATGAGGCTGATATAGCTTGTCCGAAAGTAGCTTAGTGTATCTTGGCATCTAGGGTCTGGGGAACAATGGAAGAGTGCGGGGGGTGACACCGATTTCCGGAAATACTGTACTACGAGGAGGATGCTGTCGACTACTACTGTAAATGGTGACTGTATATTGTTGGTTGAATGCTCTGTAAGGCTCGGGAAGCGACGATCTACTGTACCAGAAGGACGCTCCAAAGGATGAATCCTCAGCCTCCAGATCCCAGGGCAGGCAGGAAGCCTTTCCCACCTCTCCGCCGACCGTCCTCTATCTCCAAATCCGCGACTCCCCCCACTCCGCCCGAGCTACCTGCCCCACAACGTACCGTCCAGGAGAAATTCTTTATCTCGACCACCTACTCCACCACCACGGCCAGAGCTCTGTCATTCCAAGGACAAGTGCTCAATGGTGTCACTCCGCTTCAACTGGCTCAAAACGGCTTTCACTACCAACCACATGCAAGCTTCGGTGGTCTGGCCTGCTGCTTCGCTTGTCAAAAGTTCAAACGCCTAGACAGCTTTCAATGTGTACCTTTCCAAGAGACACAGCTCCCACACTCGAGAGACTGCTTATGGCAGGCCATCTACAATGACTTGAAACAACATTCCGAAACTGCCGATACACTTACCTCCTCAACCAACGCACGCCCGCCGCCTAGATCAACTCCCCTCCATCATGCTTCTTCGAATATGCCCACTACTGTAGAGAACGACCCCTACACTCAACCTCCATACACCATCACCACCACCCCAGAACCTCAACTACCTCCAACCTCCCACGCTCCGCAGCCCCATCAAACGATACCCTCCGTCACTTCCTCACACCAAAACCAACAGAAAACCTATGCTTCCGTCCTCCGACGTCCCGCCACATCTATACCGCTACCGAATCCCCCAGTACAAAAACCTACTCTCCCCGCCAATCCCATACTCACCATTGACGATCTTCACCGCCGTTTTCACAATAAACTGTCACCGTTCCAGGTCGAGAATAAGTCAAGCCAACGCTCAATTAAACGAAGTCGGAAAAGTGCATCTGCCACACAGTCACTGTCTAAATTCTTAGCTTCTACTTTGCCCGCTTTCTCGCGGTTCCTAACAGAGATGCAGCCAAAATCGGATACTTGTTATCCGTCTCATCCGCAATTCTACTATAGCCGCGCCATGAGGGCAGCCTAATGACGAGAACGGCAATGGGCCAGGACAGGCCGTGACGAGGCTCTAAGTTCATGTCAGGAAGTGGATCACCCTACGTGTACATGCTCGGATATATAGTTGTCGTATACTGCATATCGCTTCGGCGAGTTGATTATAAACCTCACCCACTAGGCTGAGAACGGATTCGTTTTTGGTCTAGTTGGGTAAAACAACTGGTTATGAGCCCGGATTGCGCGACCTTTGAGCGCACAGGTTCGATTCTCACAGATTGCGTCCTTAAGCATCCAGAGCCAACAGCAGAAGCCCTATGATTGGGCCACACAGCCAGGCAGCAGCAGAGCTTCAAGTGCACGTCCCCAGCCTTGTGTCTAAGGTTTACGGGGGAGAGTTGATTATAAACCTCACCCACTAGGCTGAGAACGGATTCGTTTTTGGTCTAGTTGGGTAAAACAACTCGGCGAGGGGTCAGTGTAAATGAATACTACTACTACTACTACTACTACTACTACTACTGTACTACGAGAGATCATTGGAACTGCGTTGCGGTCGATAGTACTGCGATATAAAACGTTGTTGTGTTGTGTGCCGAACGGGAACTAACCCCGGACCGATGGCGGACCCACCCGCGGGAGGGCCCGAGATCACGCCCACAAACACCCAGGAAACCACCAATTTCTCGGTCGAGGATTTCCAGCCTAGGGTGACCAACATCCCAACGCGAGCCACTAGAAAGAGGGGACGACTAAACGAGAGCTATGCTCCTGAAGAGGGCACCGGCCGGATCACCACCAGGGAAGTGTGGAAACTAATCGACGAACTGAAGGACACCATCCGCTACCAAACCGCGACCATAGCAGCTACTCAGAGCGAGCTCCAGGAGATCAAGCACAACCAGAACATCCTTCAGGAACAGAACGAAAAGCTACACGATGAAGTGAAGGCGCTGCGAGCGCAGGTTGAAAAAGCCCCAGCGGCGCTACCGACGAAGACCTGGGCGGCAGTTGCAGCCCGCAGTGACAATGCCACCCCCTTGCCGAACCACCAACGACCCGAGAGAGACGACCACTGTATCCGAATTAGCACCCAGCGGACTTTTGTCGATCCAAGAGATAATGAAACCAGCGACGGAAACGCCTTCGGACGATATCTCCCCACCGAGGTCGCCAACGACCACATCCGCTCGGCACTGTGGAACGACGCTGCAACCCAAGACGCTCAAGTGGCGGGCATCGGCACCACCAAGACTGGCTATCTTATTCGTTTCAAAGACTTGGAGTCGGCAGAGGCGGCCCGCAACAACACTGAGTGGCTGCACAAACTGGGTAACAACACGAAGCTAGTCAAACCACGGTTCGGAGTGGTAGTCCACCGCACCCCCACCGAGGAATTCGACCTGGAGACAGGTGCCACACAGGCAGCGGAAAAGATCGTCAGTGAGAACAGCCTGGCGGAACAAGGTTTCCACATCGAGGAATTGGCATGGATGAAAGCGAGGGATAAGACCCTCGGGAAATTCGCGTCGCTAGGGATCTGGTTCGACTCCGCAGAGGGGGCAGAACACATGCTTCGCAATGGCTTTTTGGTGAACGGACACTATATCCCCCACGTGGAACAACGCGAGATCAAGAAAAAGAGATGTTTCCGGTGTCAACGGTTCGGACACCTAGCATGGACGTGCAAGGAAACGCCGCGATGCGGACACTGTGCTGGGCAGCACGAACGAGAAAGATGCCCACCGGGAGTGAGAGCCCGATGCCTCGACTGCAGCGGCGAGCACCCTACCGGCGATCGACAATGCCCTAGCCCATCGACCCTCTCTCCCGTCCAATGCTAGAGAAAAACCTTCGCGTACTACAGTTGAACATGATGAAATCAGCACCGAGAATGGAAGCGCTGATCAACGACCATCAGAGCCAAGAGCTAGATATTCTCCTGATCCAGGAACCGTCGATCACCACCTATCGCACCCACGTAAACCACAGTGCCTGGCGACTCTACCGACCTACTACACAACTCGATGCAGTTCGATTCCGCAGTCTGGTCTACGTCAACAGACGAATCTCTACATCTTCACACCGCCAGATACTATGCGATCACCCAGATGTTGCAGCCATCAAGATCTGGACAGCTAACTCCCAAATACTTCTCTTTTCTATATATATACCACCAGCACCACTGTTCACCGGCGATGATGGCTCAGGATTACCAGCTCTCGCTGCGATTCAAGGCTCCATCACAGCAGCCACACAAAATGAGCAGCACCCGACCACCATCATCATTTCCGGTGACTTTAACCGACACCACCCTATGTGGGGCGGCAACCACATCGAACCCAGGTTTATCGAAGATGCTAGCGACCTGATCGACTTCCTCCAGACCTACAACCTCCACAGCTGCCTGCCTCGCGGGACAGCGACTTACTGGGCCCTGAACAACCCAGGGCAAAACTCAACCATTGACCAAACAGTCACAGACAACCCAGAGCTGCTGGTCAAATGCCACCTGTATCACGAGAACTACGGATCCGACCACCGCGCCACCTATTCAGAATGGAACCTCCAACCTCAAAGCACACCGGGGACAAAGACGAAGAAGGCATATGAACGCGCGGACTGGGCCAGGATTGGCGATGAGATCGTCCAACAGATGAGCCCTTGGAAAGATATTAGGACCCGACCGACTCTCGATCGAGTCGTCCAGCAACTTACATCTGCAACAGCGCAGGCGGTGGACCGATTTACACCCGACACCCGTCCAACGCCGTACTCCAAACGGTGGTTCACACCGGAGCTTAAAGCCCAACAGGTCGAAGTCAACCGACTACGCAGGAGCTGGCAAGCGAGCTGTGCGGAGCTCGGGCGAGATCACGCCAACAGTAAAGCCGCCTACCGGACCATGCAACAGAAGCGGAGAGCATGGACCCGGACCATCGAGAAAACCAAAGCTTCACACTGGAAACAGTTCCTCGACGAAGCGGGCGAAGGGAAGCTCTGGAAAGCGGCGACCTACATGAAACCTCGAGAAACATGGGGCTGCATCCCAGTACTACGAGTCGGCTCTGAGGAGCTCGCCCAGAACGAGGACAAAGCGAAGGCCTTCCTTGACTCATTCTTCCCCGCGATGAACACACCTGACCCAAGCCCAGCACCTGCACCACAGTCAGAACTCCCGTGGCACCCGATCACCGAGGTCGAGATCGAGCGATCGCTGAAGGCGGCGAAAGGAAACACTGCGCCAGGGGAAGACAATTTACCGATGCTGGTCTGGAAGAAGCTTTGGACACACCTGAAAACCATCATTACCAACGTCTTCAAGGCGTGTGTTGAATTAACATATCACCCAAAGCAATGGCGCAACGCGAAGATCATTGTGTTGCGGAAGCCAGGCAAGCCAGATTACTCCGTTCCCGGCGCCTACCGACCAATCTCGTTATTGAACACCCTAGGCAAGCTCCTTGAAGCAGTGATGGCCCGCCGGCTATCCCACCTCGCAGAGAAATATAATCTGCTGCCGAATAGCCAGTTCGGCGGCCGACCGGGCAGAACCACTGAACAAGCCCTTCTGGTGCTATCCAGTGCGATAGACAAGGCGTGGTACAAACATAAGGTGGTAACACTCATCTCATTCGACCTTAAAGGTGCCTTCAACGGAGTAAACCAAATCAGCCTAGACGCCTCCCTGCAGGGGAGAGGGATTCCAACGACTGCAAGGAAGTGGATTACAAGCTTCATGAGTGACCGGCACGCCAACATCGGATTCGACGACTTCCGTACCAACACAGAACCACTGGTCAACGCAGGCCTAGCACAAGGGTCGCCGCTTTCTCCTATCCTGTTTGCATTCTTCAACGCGGATCTGGTGGACCAGCCCGTCGACTCCCACGGAGGCGCATCGGCGTTCATTGACGACTACTTCCGATGGCGAGTCAGCAGCTCAACCGAGGAAAACCTAGCCAAAATACAGACCGAAGATGTGCCACGCATCGAGGAGTGGGCCCGACGGACCGGATCCTGCTTCGCGGCGGAGAAGACTGAGCTCATCCACCTGACCAGAAAGAAAAGAGCACACCCGGGAGGAAACATCACCTTCGATGGAACGAATGTCAAGCCGTCATCCACAGCCAAGCTGCTGGGAGTGGTGTTCGACCAAGGACTCCGCTGGAAAGAGCACGTTCAGCAGGCCATCAAACGCGCCACGAAGACGACCATCGCTTTGAACGGACTACGACACCTGCGGCCTGAGCAAATACGACAGCTCTACCAAGCGTGTGTTATGCCGGTCGTGGACTATGCATCAACGGTCTGGCACGACCCGCTTCGAGACAAGACCCATTTACGCCACTTGAACACAGTACAGAGAACGGTGTTGATTCGGATTCTGTCAGCCTTTCGAACAGTAGCCACCACAACGCTCGAAGTGGAAGCCCATATACTTCCCACACATCTCCGCCTTCGCCATCGAGCACAGCGCACCATTGCGAGACTACACACACTACCACGGGACCATCCTATTTGGGGAGCACTATCACGTGCCCAGAAGCGCAGGAACAATATCGGATCATGTGCACGCTTTCCCCTGGCGGAAGCGTTGAAAACCATGGATGTTGACAGGCTCAACGAGCTCGAAACGATCGATGCCCGACCATTGGCCCCGTGGCGTCTCGACCCTTTTGCGGAGGTCGAACTCGAACCCGATCGGGAAATCGCGAGAAAGAGAGCAGGGTCAACGAGAGACACTTCGGACATCGTCGTCTACTCAGACGCCTCTGGGCGTGAGGGTCATCTGGGGTCGGCCATCGTCACACTCAACGATGGCGATGAGATCTTAGAATCTCAACAGATCCAGGTGGGGCCAATGGACCGGTGGTCGGTCCATGTCGCAGAACTCATAGGCATATTCAACGCGGTGAACCTGGTGTTCAAGTTAGCCCACCAACGCCCAACAGTCGGAAAATGCAGGCACACGACCGCAACAATACTCTGTGACAGCAGATCAGCTCTACAAGCAATTCAAAACGCGAGGAACAAATCAGGCCAGCGAGTCGTCCATGCAATCATACAGGCAGCCTCTGAGGTTCAGACAGCGAAGGTCAGACTGCGTCTCCAGTGGATTCCCGGACACTGTGAGGACGTTGGGAACGACGCAGCGGATCGGCTTGCGAAGGAAGCCGCGAAACCGGGTAAAACCCACCCCTTTCGACCGCTACTATCGAGGGAGAATGCGTTCATCCGCAGTAAGATCTATGCCCAATGGGGCCAGGAGTGGAAGGAAAGCACCAAAGGCGCACACCTACGAAAAATCGATGGGAATCTACCGGCGCGATACACGAGAAAGCTCTACGGGAATTTACCCAGGAACCGGGCATATCTGCTGACGCAGCTACGCACGGGCCACAACTGGCTATCTCCCTACGCGAAACAGTTCGGATTTCGCGAAGACGACTTATGCGAGTGCGGCGCGCGGGAGACAGTCGCCCACGTCTTGATGGAATGCCCACGGCTGCGGGAGCTGCGAGTTGAACTGAAAAAGAAAGTCGGGGACACGCTCAACAGCGTGTCGAGTCTGCTGGGAGGCTCAAAAGAAGGTGAGAAAGGTAAACCAGACACCGTCTCGCGCACGAAGTCAGTACAGGCGGTACTGGACTTCGCCGAGGCGTCACAGCGGTTTTGTAGTCGTGCGCCATAAGGGCAGCCTAATGACGAGAACGGCAATGGGCCAGGACAGGCCGTGACGAGGCTCTAAGTTCATGTCAGGAAGTGGATCAGTCAACATGTACATGCTCGGATATATAGTTGTCGTATACTGCATATCGCTACGGCGAGGGGTCAGTGTAAATGAATACTACTACTACTACTACTACTGTATCTCTGATCTTTCTCTCAATCAGAATCATAATTGGTATGGAATAGATTATAATCTTACCTGATTCAGAACACTAGCCTGTAACTCATGGCCCTGAAAGCCTGGCAGAAGCAATCTAGCTGTCTCCATTTTGATCAATCGTCGAGATGAGGATAAGGTACAAATCTAGCGAGTCAATTGTGCCAATAATAGTATACATAGCCTACGATTGTATTGTGAGTATCTAAGTAATTCGTGGGCGACACGCCAACGAGATCTTTAGTGACCAACATGTGACCGACTGAGAGGGGTCACATAGCCCCACTATTCGTGGGCGACACGCCAACGAGATCGTCAGTGACCAACAAGTGATCGACTGAGTGGAGTCACCTAGCCCCACTTTTCGTAGGCGGCTCGCTGACGAGATCATCAGGGACTGACCGACTATGTGATAATCCACAACTAAACATATCCAAAAGTATCCTAGTACATTAAGAATAAAGTACGCACCTTGATGCTTCTCAATAGAGGAATTTTCTGCATAATACCTTAATAATTATGTCCACGCCTGCAAATAGACGAAGAGCTATGGAGCGACACAATTGTCGACTACAACTTGCCTTACATATTAGTAAGATCCCTGTTTGTTGGTATCTTTAGTTTGCGTAGCTGAATGAGGTATTTAGAAGAAAGATTAGGATTGCAAGTTGAGCCGTCAAATATTCGTCTACAGCCAGTTGAAAAAGACGGATATGACTGGAAGTTTGACGTTCCGCAGAGCTATCTTTTCAAAAAGCCGCTTAGTGATCTTTCAACCAACATGTATCTTGAACTCCTAGAGCATCTCAAGATTGGTAATATTCATGCTATCGCCAAGAAATCTGCTCATGACTGTGCAAGCAAATTAGTAGTTGAGCGGCTGCAAGAGGAGATCCAAGATCTTAAAACAAAATTACAAAGGTCTCAAAAGTTGAACGCTGCTCAACAGCTCGAAATCCAGCGGCTACATTACTCAAATTTGGAATATGTGGACCAACATCAGAAGATGAGTGAAGGTCATCGAAAGGCTAAACTTCGGATTCAACAGTTTTTGGAAATGATGAACAATATGATTGAGTAGTTTAATACATTGATTGAAAGCTACCTTTACAGTATTAAAACACCGAGAAGTCCTTTCCTTTCGTATCATCCAAAGAGATTCCTAATGTTTGTAGATGTTTACTTTCAGAAATAGTCAACTTTTCTGATACTCCATGCAAACTCTCTTGTATCATTAGGCCAGCATCCTGGACGTTGTATGCTAGCTCTAGAAAGCTGGTATCTCTGGTGCATCGAGAGGCTGCTTTCATGAGTGCTCCTCTAAGAAGCTGATAAACATCTCGCGTGTCATTAAAGAGCTTCATAAGGACTTTCTGAGCCTCCTGGTGGAGTGCCACTTCCTGACGTAGACGCCCTATCTCAAACTGGAGTTCCTCCAGGGATAGTGATCTTTCATTTTTAGAGATTTGAAGAAAGATCGGAAGACGTTCAGTATTCACAGTCTTGCCGCCATTTTGTAGGATAATGTGGTCTAACCGTGTGAGTTCGGTCATTTCAGAAGATAGTTCATTCTGCATGGTTGCTGGCTAGATCTAAGACGGTGGGACAGTAGCTCTTATATTTACAAATAGTGGTCCGAGAAAGCGGCTCGCCAACGATTGACCCACTTATCACGCCCGGAACGTTGGAGGGGTCAAGGGGGGCGCCTGAGGACGTGCTGCTGGAGTCCGCGGACGCAAAGGGTAAAACCTCTCAAAATCGTCATTTGTGTTTGTAGCAGGGTACTGGATCGCCTGTTTTTTTATCATTTAGTAACATTCTAGAAGCAAGCCCATTTTGTGTGGGGCCTACCTGATCTAGAAATGGTATGTGATCATCTGTTTTATAAATCCATTGTCGATCAGAGTCATCTACTAGAACGACAATTGCTCTAAGTCGAAACATACGGCACAGTTGTCGAACTTTGCGAAATACCGTCTTTCGACGTCGGTCAGGAGTTCGTAAGGTTTGAATCTCGTCCATAGTCGTGGAAAATAAAAGTAGGCTTCAAAAGCTACTTTCTGGGAACTTATGCTGCCTCTTTATATGCCTTTGTTATCTAAGAATAGACTGAGTTCCCTAACCGCGCGAGACACTGGCGATACGCCAACGGTTCAATCTCTACCCAGCTCCATATTAGGATAGACATTCCCGCCCTAATATTTTCAGTAGACAAAAATGGCTTTCCACAATCCTCTGAACATCTATTTCATCATCTTGGGAGGGACTCTCCTTTTAATGTCACTGTACCGACTCTATATCATTTTCTCTCGTTGCTTCGCATGGAGAATACGGTTTTTCCTGTTCAAATATTGTTTTTATCCGCTGGTTTTCGGCAAAAGATCGAGAGCGTGGGTATTTTTCCAGCTCATATATTGGAGCGGAACATTCCTTTGTGATTTTCTGGCGACTCATGGGTTAAGAGACATTGGGAATCGCGCTGCTAATATCGCCATCGTCAGCCTAATACTATTAGTTATCAGCGGCCGTCCTGCCCTCATAGCAGATATTTTAGGTATATCCCTCTTCTCCTATATTGAGATCTATCGCACTGTGGCATGTATGGCTCTTGTGCAAGCTGCGATACATATTGGGGTATCGATTCATGCAGCTGGATGGCATCCAAAGACTAGACTTCAGATCTATGGCTTGTTGGTAGGTAAAGACCTCATGAATTGTACTCCGCTAACCATAATTTGCAGGCGGCATCGGGAATCGCTGTTTGCGCTCTTAATACACTTGCGTGGAAGTGGATACAGCGAATACTATCTATGATAAACTTTCCAGCATCACTCTTATTGCTGCTTGCCGTCTGGAGACATACGAAGAACTCTCATCTTACCCAGATTTATGCTCTAACTGGCAGTGTTTTGTTTATTGTGGTATTTTTTTTATCGTTTGACCTTACTGATTTTTCGAAATCTTGGGCATTATAAATTAGGCACACGTGGAAGAGTCATGTTAATACCAAAATCCAACGCAATTTGGATCGTCGTTCCCATCAATAGGCCTTTCAAGATTCGACCAGGGTCATTTCTATATTTGTGGATACCTGGAGCAAGCTTTTTTTCTGGTCTTCGAACTCATCCCTATCAGATCGCCTGGTGGCAAACTGATCATGATAGGAGACTGGAAACTGTCACATGTCTTATTCAGAATACAAATACCTTCACCCGCAGACTAGCTAGGCACTTTAATAGCAGTCTGCTTGTCTGGATAGATGGTCCATATGGAACAGACCTGGAGCTTGACAAGTATGATCAGGTACTGCTAATTGCAACTGGCATTGGGATCGCATCACAGCTGTCATACCTTCGTCTTCTTGTGGAGAAGAGCCTACCAGGGAAGCGAAAGCGGGATATTTTTGTTGCATGGGAGATAGAGCATCCTTGTACGTTCTTATCCGATCGAAATTTGTACATAAGTAACAGTTCATCACAGCGGATCTGGAGTATGTCCACCAATGGATGAGCGAGCTCCTCTCCCATGACAAAGGCATCTATGTGGGTGATTCGATATTCTTACATTTCCCCAGCTAACTGATTCTCAGAATCTGCAATTTGGTATTTATATACCTTCCACCGTTGAACTGGCCCGCGATGCAGAACCAGAAAATTGGAAAAGTCAGCATGGAAGGATATTCAAAATACCTGGACGCATCAACGCAGAGAAGGTCATTCCCCAGAACTTTTGGGACTTCAAAGGAAGATCTCTGATAACAGGTATGCGGGTTTAACCCTTGTATAACGGTAGGCTAACCCACTTCAGTATCTGCGCAGCACAAGATCAGATCTAAACTTTCCAATATAGTAGCCTCTCGCATGAATAAGGTAGTTGATATTATTGAATTGCCATTCCAGCCTGTGTCTCAACGGCACAAAAGAGCGGACAGTTCAAATGGCTCAGTCTAAGAAGAGAGAAGGTTTAGTCCATATATTGAACTGAGGTTCAAATTCTGCTATCTCACTGGCAGTGTGTCTTAAGCTCGGCTTAATCATCTATCTCATATCTGCATAGGTTGAGACCTGAATGATGTTATGAAATGTTATCACATTTTACCAGACATGGGAGATTTCAAGAGCAATTGTCAAAGCATAGACAAGGGAATGGGATATAACATGGTACAGTGGTTTTCGAAATTAGCTTTATCGCTACACTGTTACGATTTGGTTCCCAAGAAATAACCTCGAGATAAGCTGTCGACTCTGGTGATATCTGTATTGGCTCGTACTGGTTCTGGCCTATTGAGGGTCGAATGGTTGGTTCTGATTATTCTTCTGTCTAAAAGAGTGTATATCCCACAATATTGTTGAAATGTGTTCGCGGTGATCTATGTGATCTATCAAATCTATGCTGCATGTTACGATACAGTTCTTTCCGACATGGCCCGATTTACCATACATATGCTATGGCAATTTGGGCAGGGGCTGAAAACACACTAACGCTGAGATAGTGGTAATTTACCCCATCTCAGGTTGACATAAGCTAATCCGTTTCCGTTTACCGCTTCATAATTTGGGCAGAATTGCTTTCATAGTAACCCTGTCATCACTAGGAAATCACTGTTATAGTCTTTAATATTATATGGAAGCTTGTAGAAACGTCTTTGTAGATCTAGCGCCTTTGTACAGTATTTGAATGAACGCTTACCGTATTTTTTTCGCTGTGGGCTAGTCTCCCCGGACTTGTCAGGGGCAAGTGGTCGGTGCCAAGGTTCAGCGCCCGACGGTCACCTGAGAGCGGGGCAAAGGATAACCTTGCGTTTTCAGGAGGATGACCTTTTGCTCAACTGATAGCACCACAATTATATGCACTGAATATCCAGCATGAGCTCTACATCTTTTGGTAGCGCAAACGCGGGGTTTCAGCTTGTAAATAATCATGGGACAATCAACCTTTCATCCGGTGTGTATCAAAGTCCTTCGAAAGCCATCATAAACTGATTAACACATTTACGTCTAGACCAACCGGATCACTCACAGCAGAGGACAGACAACGGTTCGCTCCACCCCGCACTGGTCAAAGATGATCTGACTCACCATAGACGCAGAGCTGCTCAGGTCACTGGCATTCCGACAGATGCTAGATCGGAGGGACAATATCGAGCCATGTCACACTAATACCTGCCAATGGATTTTGGAGCTGGACAAGTACCAGTCGTGGAGAAATCAGTCTTGTGGTCTATTATGGATTAAGGGCAAGCCGGGTGCAGGTAAATCGACTTTGATGGCTTTCCTGCACGACAGACTCAAAGAATCACTAGACGGCAGCCCGGGTATTATTCGACTCAACTTTTTCTTTACCGCTCGAGGCACTGAGCTGCAGCGTACACCGCTAGGGATGCTGAGATCATTACTGAACCAAATTTTTGACCTCGACGTGACCATACGCCCTCTGGTGCGCGAGGTTTATAACCAAAGATGTAGGCTGTTTGGATACGGGGAACGCCAGTGGGAATGGCCACAAGCAATTCTGGAGGAGTTGTTGGCAAGTTCCATTCTATCATCAGCCAACAAACAGCATGTGACTATATTTGTGGATGCTCTGGATGAGGCCGGGTCTGAAACCGCTCAGCAGCTAGCATTATATTTCCATCGGCTTGTTGACCGCGCTAAAAAGAAGAAGTTAGCCCTCCAAGTCTGTATCTCATGTCGACACTACCCTATCATGGAAAGCGCTCGGGCCATGGAGATACATGTCGAAGATCATAATCAAGACGATATTGCTATATATATGAAGGACACGCTTCTTGGTATGGAGGCTGGAGATGATCATAGTCAAGAGATGAGAGACGTGCTGGTAGAGGGATTGATCCAGGATGCCAATGGGGTGTTTCAATGGGCCCATCTCATAATGCCCCTGATCAAACAGAGAATCCTCGAGAGGGGAGTCGATTGACGATATTCGTTCTTGGCTGCGCGAGGTTCCAGCCGGCCTGGAAGATGTCTATGTTTATATTCTGAATAACGTGATCGCGGCTCGGAATCGGGATCAGTCATTCCTGTTCTTTCAATGGGTGTGTTTGGCCGAACGACCCTTGACTGTTACAGAAATGCGATATGCATTGGCGGCTGAGGATGCCAAGAAAATTCCTTTTCCAAGGGAATGGGAGAAGGTCCAGGGCTTTGTCGAAAGCAATGAACGCATGGAACGAAGAATCAAGACGCTTGCTGGTGGACTAGCTGAATTAGTCTCAGGTCGTGATCATGAGAAGACTGTACAGGTAGTACACCAGTCAGTCAATGATTTTTTGCGCACAAAAGGACTGGCCCTATTATTCACCAGCATCAGCACTAGCACAAAATCTTTTAACATGACCAACATTCTTTTTCAATGCCAGGCAAGTCTCTACAAATCCTGTCTGGTATATCTTGCTGTCGTGTCTTCAAATAGAAAGATGAGTGATTTAGGACCAGAATATGGCCTTGATGGGCGTCACCCATTTCTAAAATACACAACTACCAACCTGTTTGTTCATGCCGAAAAGGCTGGTGACGCTCGAGCTGGCTTTCTGAAGAATGAAATAGACATTCTTAAAGAAATCATCAGTCCTTGGGGTCAGATCTATCAGTATCTTCACGGGCTTGACAAGGAATGCCCAGCTATGGGTACAACAGTATTACATATGGCTGCTGCTGCCAACTTGACTGATCTCATAGAATCGTTGTTGTCAGGCGGTGAGGATATAGGGAGGAAAGACGAGAGTGGAAATACAGCGTTGCATTTCGCAGCACGAGCGGGACACTTGACGGTCGGCAAAATGCTTCAAGAGAGAGGAGCAAGCCACGAAACAAAAAACAATAAAAGCGCAACACCTTTGATAGAGGCGGCCAGCTGTGGACATTCTGGGTTTGTCGAATGGCTTCTAAATGAGGGTGTGGAACTTGAGACAGGAGATGGCGGTGCGCTACAAGCAGCTTCCTTCACTGGACATAACGCGATTGTGGAAACACTGATCGGAGCTGGAGCAAAAGTCAATGCCCAGGGTGGTCATCATGGCAATGCACTTCAAGCTGCTGCAAAGGGAGGAAATGCTGAGACAGTCAAGATCCTGCTCGATGCTCAAGCCGATGTCCATGCCCGGGGTGGTGAATACGGTAATGCACTACAGGCTGCTGCTGCTGCATATCGAGGAAGTGCTGAGACAGTCAAGATCCTGCTCGATGCTCAAGCCGATGTCAATGCTCAGGGTGGTATATTCGGCAATGCACTACAGGCCGCTGCATATCGAGGAAGTGCTGAGACAGTCAAGATCCTGCTCGATGCTCAAGCCGATGTGAATACTCAGGGTGGTAAATTCGGCAATGCACTACAGGCCGCTGCATATGATGGGAGTGCTGAGACAGTTAAGATCCTGCTCGATGCTCAAGCCGATGTCCATGCTCAGGGTGGTGAATTCGGCAATGCACTACAGGCCGCTGCATATGATGGAAGTGCTGAGACAGTTAAGATCCTGCTTAACGCTCAAGCCGATGTCAATGCTCAGGGTGGTAAATTCGGCAATGCACTACAGGCCGCTGCATATCGAGGAAGTGCTGAGACAGTTAAGATCCTGCTTAACGCTCAAGCCGATGTCAATACTCAGGGTGGTAAATTCGGCAATGCACTACAGGCCGCTGCATATCGAGGAAGTGCTGAGAAAGTCAAGATCCTGCTCGATGCCAAGGCCGATGTCAACGCCCAGGGTGGTCAATACGGCAATGCCCTCCAGGCCGCTGCTACTGCATATGCTGGAAGTGCTGAGACAGTTAAGATCCTGCTCGATGCCCATGCCGATGTCAACGCCCAGGGTGGTGAATACGGCAATGCTCTACAGGCCGCTGCATTGCGTGGAGGTGCTGAGAAAGTCAAGATCCTGCTCGATGCTCAAGCTGATGTCCATGCTCAGGGCGGTGAATACGGCAATGCACTACAGGCCGCTGCATATCAAGGAAGTGCTGAGACAGTCAAGATCCTGCTCGATGCTCAAGCCGATGTCAATGCTCAGGGTGGTATATTCGGCAATGCACTACAGGCCGCTGCATATCGAGGAAGTGCTGAGAAAGTCAAAATCCTGCTCGGCGCTCAAGCCGATGTCAATACTCAGGGTGGTAAATTCGGCAATGCACTACAGGCCGCTGCATATCGAGGAAGTGCTGAGAAAGTCAAGATCCTGCTCGATGCCAAGGCCGATGTCAACGCCCAGGGTGGTCAATACGGCAATGCCCTCCAGGCCGCTGCTACTGCATATGCTGGAAGTGCTGAGACAGTTAAGATCCTGCTCGATGCCCATGCCGATGTCAACGCCCAGGGTGGTGAATACGGCAATGCTCTACAGGCCGCTGCATTGCGTGGAGGTGCTGAGAAAGTCAAGATCCTGCTCGATGCTCAAGCTGATGTCCATGCTCAGGGCGGTGAATACGGCAATGCACTACAGGCCGCTGCATATCAAGGAAGTGCTGAGACAGTCAAGATCCTGCTCGATGCTCAAGCCGATGTCAATGCTCAGGGTGGTATATTCGGCAATGCACTACAGGCCGCTGCATATCGAGGAAGTGCTGAGACAGTCAAGATCCTGCTCGGCGCTCAAGCCGATGTCAATACTCAGGGTGGTATATTCGGCAATGCACTACAGGCCGCTGCATATCGAGGAAGTGCTGAGAAAGTCAAAATCCTGCTCGGCGCTCAAGCCGATGTCAATGCCCGGGGCGGTAGATACGGATCACCTCTTTTAGCAGCCATTCATTCGGGCTATACCAATGCTATTGAAATTCTGCTTCACACTGGTGCAGATGTTTTCCTCTCAGATGAACTCGATCACACTCCTCTTCACATTGCAGCTTCAAGAGATATGGTCCATGTTCTCTTTCGGTTTCCGCAACTTGCCTCACCTATAAACCAGCAAAATAGGCTCCTAGAAACCCCTCTTCATCTAGCTATCTGCCTCGGCCATATCAAGTTTGCTATAAGACTTCTTCATATTGGTGCTGACCCTTCTCTTCCAGACAGCTATGGCAGGCATGCCATGGACTGGGCACTTGGACACAGAGGTTTGATGCAGGAAATACATGAACGTTGTCCTTGTCTTACATTAACACCTCATGAAATTCAAGAATCAACTACTCTTCGATCACTCTTCCATCTCTCTGATATCATTCCTCGGCTCGGACTCAAATATCCATGGCCGATTTTGCAACAATTAGCTCGCTATTTCTTATTTCTTAACAACACAAACAACGCACGCATCTTATTTCAGGTTCACCTTACTCAGAATACCCTCTTTTCCACTGATGTTTGCAACGCCACCTGCAAATTCTGTAATATGCCCATTACTGGGACTCGCTTTGTGTGCAAAATCTGCGCCCATATGGATCTCTGCTCTTCCTGCGTACGGCAGTATCCTTTTCATAGCAGATTGCATCCAACCCAGAAACATGAAGTCTTTCAAGTGCCTGAAATGTATGACAACAGGTCTCAATTCACTGGACCAGGATCAGAACGGTTGACATCTTCACTTGGCTATCTCATCGATGGGCCTCTTATGAAAAACACCTGCCAATCAGAGATAGAGCCACCAGATGATTCTTCATATTCTCTGGAACAGAAACAGGAGGCTTTGGTTCCAAGGACTACGTTAGGGCTGGTAATCCTTTTCTCTGCAATCTCATTTGGGGTACTAGCTACGTTCCTATAGCTTTACTAGACACCAAAAAATAGAGAAAGCACTTCATATAAGTTCATCAACTTTGGATAAAGACACCCAGAAACTGTTCACAACAGAAATCGCTGCTTTTGAAAGCTACTTACGTACATGAATCATGCTTTCTTTTCTTGGATGATGCTTTTCCCAGGGTCCAGCAATGAGCGTCCATAAGATGATGAATTAGAAGCTCTTGACTCTTGAGATTTAGTTGACAAGCGGGGTGCTTGCATTCAAATCTTGTCAATCCTATAACATGAGATTGAATATGAGCATACCATTCAGAGCGGCTTGTGGCATATTGGGTCATTCTTTTTGATAGACCTAGATGCTTATTTCCAAGACAAAAGGGACAAAGTCCTGCTTTAATAGGAGCATTGCGAAACATAAGTGGATCACAGCGAAGAAGCGTGTCTGGTAGCTGCAAATGCTCAGAACAATGAAACTCCCATTCTCCCGGGTCTGTGAACCAAGTGTCACATTCGAAACACATTTCCGTAAATTCTAGCTTGCTATGGCAACGGTAGTGGGATTTATTGCATCGATAAAGGTGAAGCCATTGTCTGTGGGGTAAAAAGCTACAACAGTTAGCCAAGCTAATTACGGAGTATATCTGTAAACACTCACTCCTTGATTAGGGCTCCACAGTGACATTTCCCTCCTAATGGCTTAAGGGGCTCGCGATACGCAATCGGTGAATCCTCTAAACAGATTGATTCGAGAGCTCGGAGTGCCTGACGATCATCAGTTTCACGAAGCGAATCTTTCCTCGGGAGGATATCAGCAAAGAGACGTCTATTAGGCATGACACGTCGGCCGTAGTGGAAGAGAGTTTCCGTCCGAATATTACTTATCGTCGAGTCCTTCTTGCTGTGCTCACGAATTTGATCGACAACCACTTTAAGAAGCTTCTTCTTCACCCCATATAGAGATCTTTGGCGCTTCTGTATTTCACTTTTCTATTGTGCATCCGAGATAGCTGACAGATGGTCATTAAGATCCCGTAATTCACTGTCTAATTCACGGATATCATCTCGGTTTTCGAATTCAAGCTGTGCCTTTGCAGGTAGATATTAGCAAGCGTCAAAGCTTTGATATATTCCCATACCACGCCGGTTCTGGATATGCCCCTCACGACTTGCAATTCCGAGAAAGTTAGCAGGCCTATCGATCTCACTCAAAGGATGGGCATATGATCTTCCAAACGTCTCTCGTTTCATCTGGCCAGCAAATTTCATTCTTGCTGTCTCGGTATGCTTCTTGTCTTTGAATACGTCAGCAGTACCTCAGCAGGAATCTCGGTATGATACAAGGTACATACCTGCTTCCATAAGTGCCCATCTTCGACAGCCCCGAATCGTAACATTTTGGCTGTACCCGCTACGGTACCCCAAGGCGACAATTCTCTTGCCAAAGGAATACGCACCCCAAGCTTTACTGGTCCTTTTTGCAACCCTTAAATCCGTGAACAGGCGGAAATGGGGGTATCAAGTGCTTCTTGCTTGAACCGAATGACCTCCAAGATATTGTTCTGTCGTCCCGTTGGTATTGACTGCATGCAGAATCGCACTGACAGATTAATCTTCCTCAATTTCTTCATCTTCCACTGTCAGAGGCAAAAGGAACGTTAGAAGACTCAGCTTTAGAGACATATGCTCTGTGTATGATTCGTAGAAGGCATGAATGGGAATTTGCCGTTCATTCTTCCTGTGGTAGCTCTTGACGTATTCTCTTTCGTATGTCAAGACAAGCATTGGCTCTTTATCCACAACTTGAAAGATTGGAGTCAAACGTAAAGATTTGTTGATTCTTCTGCCTTATGTATATACTATTGCAGATCTCTAGATCACTCGAATGGGAGGGTACCTGAAACACCATTTTAGACATCAATTAGTTGTGCTGATATTTCAGAGACTGATGTGCTTGCTCTCAATATGCCAATGAAGATGCGCTCGTCTTTATGATGAGCGTAAAACTAGGATTCGAGAAGGGAAAATCGGTGTTGTCTTTAGTGAAAGCAAGTATGGAATTTAATAGGCTATGGGCTGTCTGAATCACGTTTTCTTTTCTTGGATGAAGATTTTCTTGGGGTCCAGCAATGAATATCCATGAGGTGATAGATCAAATGCTCTCTGGTATCAAACTGAAGCTGGCAAGCTGGATGCCGACATCGGAAATTGGTCAAATGAGCCAAATGAAATTCAATATGCTGGTACCATTCCGCGCCACTCGTAATAAATTGAGTCATTCTTTTCGAGGGAGTGAAATGTTTGTTTCCAAGACAAAAAGGGCAAAATCCGGCTTTGATGGGAGCATTTCGAAACATTAGCAGATCGCAACGGAGAAGCAGATCCGGTTGTTCAAGATGCTCGAAACAATGAAGCTCCCACTCCCCGGGGTCTGTGAGCCAGATATCACACTCAAAACACATTTCTGCAAATTGAAGCTTACTATGGCGACGGTGGTATGTCTTATTGCACCTATAGAGATGAAGCCATTGTCTATGAGGTATAAAGCTATGAATGTTAGTCTAGTTGATACAGGAGCAACGTGTTAATCACTCACTCATTGATATCGGCTCCACAACGACATTTTCCTTCCAAGGGCCTAAGAGAATCACGATAGACAATTGGCGAGTTCTCTGAACATATTGATTCCAGCGCTTTCAGTGCTTGGCGGCCACCACACTCACGTAACGAGACTTTTCTCGGAAGAAGTCTGGCAAGAATGTCTCTATTGGGCATAACGCGGCGGCGGTAGTGGAAGAGAGTCTCTGTCCTGGTATTGCTGGTAGTCGACCCTTTCTTACTGTTGTCGCGTATTTGTTTGACTGCTTCTCTATAAAGCTGTTTCTTTCTGTCGTACACAGATCTTTGGCGCTTCTGTATTTCTTTTCTGCCTTGCACATCGGAAAGAGCTGACAAATGGTCGGCAAGATCCCACAACTCACTGTCCAATTCTCGGATGTCTTTTCTGCTTTCGAATTCAAATTGTTCCTTTGCAGGTAGATATTGGCAAGCGTCAAAGCTTTGGTATATCCCCATGCCGCGTCGGTTCCTAATGTGCTCTTCGCGGCTTGCAATTCCAAGAAAGTTGGCAGGCCCATCAATCTCGCTCAGCGGATGGGCATATGATCTTCCAAACGTCTCTCGTTTCATCTGGCCAGCAAATTTCATTCTTGCTGTCTCGGTATGCTTCTTGTCTTTGAATACGTCAGCAGTACCTCAGCAGGAATCTCGGTATGATACAAGGTACATACCTGCTTCCATAAGTGCCCATCTTCGACAGCCCCGAATCGTAACATTTTGGCTGTACCCGCTACGAAAGCCCAAGGCTACAATGCTCTTACCAAAGGAATCCGCTCCCCGAGCTCTACTGGCACTTTTTGCAACTCCCAAGTCGGTATATTGGCGGAAGACGGGGGTGCCAAGCGCTTCTTGCTTGAATTGTATTACCTCCAGTACATTATTCTGTGTGGGGCCTGTTCCATAGGTACTCGCTGCATCCAGAAGCGCACCGACAGATGAATAATTCTCGATTGCTTTATCTGCCATCGCTAAAGGCAAGAAGAACGTGAGAAGGTTCAACATTAGAGGCATGTGCTCCGTGTATGATTCGTAAAATGCGTGGATAGGAATTTGCCACTCATTCTTCCTGTGGTAGCCCTTGACAAACTCTCTTTCATAGGTCAACACAAGCATTGGCTCTTTATCCACGACCTCGATGGTGAGTGTGAAGTGCTGTTTGCGTGAGATGGTTGCAATCGGTCGTCGGGGTTGCTCGAACTCACCTTGTAGCAGGCAGCCATAGTGCGGGCCTCAAGTATCTTGTCCGAATCTTCTTCGTCACGCTGTCTGGCCGACCTCCGCCGTGCAGTCGACTCGTGAACTTCTCCTGTTCTTGCGGAGGTAAAGCAATAGAGTAGCATCGCAGCACTAAGCTGGACCCGGGATCGATCCGGGGGGGTAGCCGCGATATTCAAGCGAATCTCGACACCAGAGTTGTGTCATTACTATCATCAGATCGTTTGGGGAAAATGCATTCTTTTTCATCTCCGCGGTGGACAGATAAGGCCTCAGATCGCCACTGATATACTGCCACAGGGTTAGTCAAAATATGCCTTCCGGTTCAAGGCGGTTCAGACCTCTTTGAGTGTGGCGGAATGCTCTGTAGTGAAGATAAAATCTCTGAATTTCCGCATTCCCGCCTGGAAGTCTCGACGGAATCCCTGCAGCGTCTCCAAAGTGGGCTTCTCTTCGATGCGACCATGTTTGTTCAGGGCTATCCAGAGCAAGAACCCTTTGCTTGTTTGAAGGTTCGGCGGATTTTGAGATGTAGGGTGCAACTCGATGAAACTGGATCGTTAGCCAGACATAGAGCCGCTGAGGAACGGATGCCTCACATGTCAAATAGATTCAAGGCCTCCTTGTAGTCTCTTTCTGTTCGCGGCAGTACCGCACGGGCAATCTCCTTGTTGTCGATGCTGTCAAGATCGATCAAGAGATACTCGCTCTTTTTGTTCCTCATGGTGGAGAGCAGCGAAGAGTCGACCGAGTGAGGGATCAATAGCAGCAGCCAGGTGAAGAGGTGAAGAGGGCCCGGTGAAGAAGAGCGAAAACCGTTCATTTTATCCCTCGTCTGCACTCTATCACCTCGTCAAATCTTTCCCTGCCGGAATTCACAAAGGCGACTTTTGCATGTCAGTTCCGGCCCTTCAGGTGAAGGGCTGAAGGGGCGCCCCGCTAGGGCGGCGGGCCGCCTAGGACAGACTCGTGGGCGCTAGGTGACCACCGCCATACAATATCTGTTGTATGTTTTTGTTCACCCGTTTTTTTTTTGTTCCTTGGGTTCAGTGTCCTTGCCGCCCTACCACTTGAACCCCCCTAAACGGATGGCGTAGCCCTTCGGCTAGACTTTCCCTTCCCACCCCTTCCCACTCACCTCCTGCTGGCCCTCTCAACCAAAATTTGCTTCTATAGTAAGTTGAACTGGATACCAGAGTGGGCCAATAAACACGGAGCCGTTATTAAATCCGTGGATATCATATTCACCATGCTCTGGGTGAGACTATTGGATCATGCTTGTCGCCGTTCTGCGGGATCTCGATTCGCTGGCGTACAATCTACTGGAGCTCCTCGAAAAGGCCATTTTGAAATGAGAAGATCCTTTTGAATAATGCGCTTGTCTCTTGTGAACCATGGGTAATTGTGTCTTCGATGTATAACTGATGTTGAACTTACCAAATCACATTTATTGTAACAACAATCACAGCTTTCCTATAATATACACATCTGTAAAAGTTTCCGTGTTCAAGTATCTTAACTCCAGCTTCTTCAAAAAGATCTTCACTCACCGATTTCATGCACTCTTCCTCAGATTTAAACCACAGCAGCTTCAGATAACATCAATGAAAACCTTATACGACTGTTAGCAATTAGCGTGAGTGGAACCGTATGCCTCAAGGTGGCAAATTCTCCATTTTTCTCTTCTTATCTAAAGGAAAAAGGGACGACCTATAGTCCAGAATATGCGGCTGTTAGCAATTAGTATACTATGGACTTGACTAAGAAGGAAGTGACTTAAAGAACTCAGAAAGAAAGATCGAACTTACAGTCTCTAGATAATACAGGCTTGATGTGTAATGAGCATGTGGTGTCTCTCATTTGAGTAAAGAATCTTTGTTTCAAGTATCAGAATGAAATTTGTAGCTCAAAGTGACTATACATATATTTCCCGCGATAACTCCAGGAAGGTTTAGCTGGAAAAGGTGGAGTGAAAGATCGGTGTATGGAGTCAAACCTACTGCATTGTCAGCTGCTCCCGAAGCAGTCTCTCAGTATGCAGTTGAAAGAAATTTAATTTGACTGGAACCTGTAGTTCGAAATGGGAGTCACTGCCATCCACTTCTTTTCTACTTATTAAATCTTGCTTGTGGCCTGCTTCAAAAGCAAATATTACTACTTTTTCATTGGTCTTGAATATTTGTAGTAAGAAATAGCCGAGAAGATACCAGTGGATAGGACATTGTTAAGAGTATATTTAGTCGAATAGCTACGCAATAGCCTAGCTACAGTATAGGATCTTCATTTGTCTCGATTTTCCAGCTGCATGCGGTGGCCTTGAAGACTTTGAAAGAATCTTGAATGGTCATGCATGAAGGATCGAAACTAAGAGAATAGGTGAAACCAAACATTCAATCAAATATTGCTCGTTAGGCAACAAGCAACTGATCCGCCTTATGAAGTTCTTCCATCTTGTGACCAACTAGGAAAGATTCCAGATCTACCACTTCCACAGCTGGATATCTGTTGTTGTCAAGATTGTCTCCCAGATACGCCTTCCCGTTGGTGCACCAATAGGCGAAACATCTAGTTCGACTCATTAGTTTTGCTTTGAGAAATTGGCAACAAAATAATTGAGACATACGCGGGTACCCATCTCGCTAAGTCATTAGGATCTCTGTTGAATGCCTCTTCTACGGCCCCATAAAGCTCCTCAATGGATCCAAGCCGGTCAATACGCATCTGACAGCCATAGACTCGATCGAAGGTCTCCTTGATTTCCTCGGAGCTCTTCCGATCGCCACAGACTTTTAAATATGTCAGCTTTACTCATTCCTCGATTAGGTGTGGCAGAAAAGGTGGTTTCATCTCACATCGCAAAAACCCAACCGCGTTTCTGTCAAGAGCCACTGCTGCAGTGTAGGCGGCAGCTGTAGGAAAAGTCGTCAATTCCCATTTCTCGTCACCATTTCCCCAAACCGAGAGGGAACGAGTCTCAGGTCTCCAGATACCGAAGAATGCGCTCCAGAATGTTTCCATGAGCCCACCAGTGAGGATATGTACTCCAGCCACATTCTTCGACTTGAGATACTCTCTGATAATCATGGCAGACTCCTTTGGGAACAAAGCTCCTGGAGGAACCTTGGTAAAGTCCACTGCAAAGTCACCGGCGATGTACCTGGGAACCTTTTCTTCCTCACATGCATCAATCAGAAGCTGTTGCCCTTGTGTCATGACCTCTGGCCCCCCAAAGTAGCAACAGATCACTACATCTGAACCTCGCACAAAGTTCCTGATACTGTTGTAGTCATCAAACTCGCCTGTAATTATATCGATTCTATCAGAATCGATAATACTCTTGGGTAGCTTTTGGGGACTCCGGCAGTATCCTCGAATAGTGACTTCAGGGTGAGGTTGCAGTGCTTTGATGATGCACTGGGAAAACTTCCCAGTCACACCCGCGATAGCCACGGTTGGTGCCATTTTGTTTTGTGAGTGGAATGTGTCTGGAAAGAAAAGATGAAGGAATTTCGGAAGTATTGAGACTAGATATAGGATGAATAGAGGGATGGTCAGTAGTAGAATCAGTCCCTCTGTGTCCGCACGGCGGGATCATTCTATATTTCTTCCCACTTCGTCTTGGATGCTTATAAATGGAGATGGATCTCGGCGCTGCCGGGCTTAATTCGCGAGAATCACCACCAGAATTGGCCGACTATGATGTGGTTCATTACTGGTGTTCAGTACAGGAAATTGCAAATTCCACGGTAATGAAACTAGAGACCCACAATTGGACTCTCGAGCCTGATGTCAATTAAAGATTTCCCACTCTGGCTTTCAATCAACATCACTCAGGATCAGAAATATTATTATAAGTAATGATTCAGGAATTTTCGATGTAATGCAAAATACTATTTTCCCAAAATTACAAGATGGGCTTGAAAATTACGCGAGCCACTGGAAGGAATAACCGTGGAACGCTAATGCGGCCGACTGACAGGCTCCACTGAGCTTAAAATCACTCGGCCAATCGGTCTAACAGAACCACGAGGCTCGCAGTTTCTTAGCTTCGAAATTCACGACAGTAATTAGTGTTAGCACAGCCTATGGAGGTGTTGATGAAAGGATACGTCATTGGATCGCCTGAACTACGCGGATTTAACTTAAAGCCGCTTGAGGGATTTGACAACGGGCGAAGAACAATGGCTCCACTTGACTAAGCCTCCTGCGATAGAAAATAGGAAATAGGAACTTACGTTCCAGTATTTTTGAGATTGAGTGGAGGCAGTATTAGCAATGGAAACTTTAATCAATAGAAGATATCGACCAGCCAAGTGACCTGCCTGACGGGAGAAACGCTTGGAAGTATAAAAAGCCTATACTCCACGGAGCGGGTAGTCTCCGAGTTTCTACACCCCCCCAATCTCAGAACAAAGCAAACTGTTGACCTTCCAGACACTATGGAGTCAATTGGGACCATTTGGACTTACATGCCCAACCCTCGGGTCATGAAGGTGCGTTCGATAGCGATGTGTCCTTTCACATGAGCGTCCGTCAATTAACTTCACATGATAGATTCAAGCTGCCGCTGCTCTAAATGAAAGGACCGTCGAAATTTCTCCCGATTTTGTGATGGGTGAGACCAACAAGTCACCAGAATTCCTGAACTATTTTCCTCTAGGCCAAGTGCCAGCATTCAAGAGCAAAAGCGGACTCACTCTGTTCGAATCGGACGCAATTGCCCAGTATATCGCGCTGAGTGGCCCGGCAAGCAAACAGTTGCTCGGAGTAGACGCAGAGGAGAGCGCAATTATCCGCCAGTGGATTGGATTTGCGGACCATAGCATTTTTGCTCCTCTCCAGAATATGATTCTTTGGCGCTATGGAATGACGGCCTACGACGAAAAGCTCGAGGCTGCTTCTCTTGCTACTTTGACGACTTCTCTTCTGGTCTTGGAGAAGCGTCTTAAAGGTCGTCAGTATTTGGCTACGGATATTTTGGACTTGGCCGACCTCTCTGTTGCCGCAGCTCTGTACTGGGGGTTTAGTCAGGTTATTGACAAGAAGATGAGAGAAAGATACCCCTTGACCGTTGGATGGTACCTGAGGGTGATCGAGCAGGAGAAAGTGAAAGCTGCATTTGGCGAAACAGTTTTCATTGAAGTTAGAAAAACTGGCTCGCCGTAGGTACCTGAATAATTGAGGAGGTGGCTTGGTTCGGATGATACGCATGTATTTGTATAGTAGAAGATGGATAAAATGACTCTCTTATGCAAAAGGATTTCAATTCATAATTCTAGATGCTTAGGCTCGTTCAACTCCAGAAGCTCTCTCAGAAGCCTGCCTTGCTAGCTCGACATACAACGGGACCGGGCTGTACATTCCATCTATTCAGGGGAAGAGCCCTGCTATCTTGCCCCAATTGAACGTGGACAGAGTATTGAGTACCCCAGTAGCTAAGAATCTTATGGTTTCCTCGAGAATCAAATTGCTGTTCTTGCTTATTCGATTTCTTCATTCACTTGGGAATCGAAGAGAAAGTCACACGAGGGGTTAAGAAGGACGTTACAAAAAATACCAAATGCAGTTTCAAATACGATTGTCCTCAGTTATTCTAGACGGTCGAATCCACCGTTCGAGCTCAAAGAGCGATGACCACCTTCTTAGCGGATACACCCTTCTTTTGTATATCGAGACCATACTGGATGTCTTGAAGTCCATTGCCAACGACAACAGGCTCTGGCTTGGGCTTGAAAGTTCCGTTTGCCAAAGCCTCTGGGACGTATTTACCCCAAATCCACTCACCAATATCGCAGTGAGGGTCTTGAATGATGGAGTAGGCAAGCACTGTAACAAAGATGACCTCATCAGCTCTGAAATGAAGATGAAAATTGAGTTGATATAAAACCTACCGTACTTTGGAGCGAATCGCTCAGTTGGCTTGTCATAGGGCAGGACGCTGGCAACATTTACCGTCACGTTCAACCCATCCAGAATTGTCGAGATCGCTTTAAAGCTGACATCCTCCGAGATAGCATCGTAGACCCCGACAAATTTGGTATTCGCAAGTGCATTGACTATGTCTTGCACAACATTTGAGGACCTATAGTCGAAAACGGCGTGTGCACCCAGAGACTTGACGAAGTCGTGATTAGCCGCCGATGCAGTAGTCAGGACAGTCAAGCCCGAGGCCACTGCAAGCTGAATTGAAGTTGCACCAACCGAAGATGCACCACCCCATATAAGGATCGTTTGACCTGTCGCTTTAGCACCTCCAACTACAGGCAAGGGCAGTCCGAGGTAATCCTTCCGATAAAGACCTGCGCAGGCCGTTGAGGTCGCCAACGGCAGTACAGAGCCCTCTTCAAAGGTCAATCCATCAGGCAATTCAGCTACGAGAGCCTCGGTAACAACCGTATATAGCTGAAATGCTGCATTGGCAGGGTCTTGAGTCATGAGGCTATTGCAGTGACTGTAGTGAGACATTAGATCAGCACTTAACTTACAAATACAATACAGACCGTGGCGATAGGAACCTACGCAATGACTCGCTGCCCCTTCCTGTATCGCGTTACACCGGGGCCAATATCTTCGACAATTCCAGCGGCATCCTCGCCTAAAATGAAAGGATATTTGTCAAGGTAGCGACCTAGACTCCTGTATCACACAGTTAAGGAGGATATCTCTTTGATGAGAGACGGGGGTATCTTACTGAATCTTCCAGTCAACAGGATTCTTGGGAAGCTGTTAATCAAATAATCGTATAAAGTCTAAAGGCTTGGAATTTTTAACTCACAATAGCAACGGCCGCATTTTTGATCACAATATGGCCTGGACCTGGCTTGGGCTTAGGCGCAGACTTGACCGTGAAAGGATATGCTGCAGGTGCAGTGATCCAGGCTGCTTCATTCTTTGCCATGTTGTGGAATCTCACTTGCTAGTGATGAAGGAATAGACTAAAACTCGCGAAGGTGAAGGGCTTTATGATATTCGTGACTGTCCGACGAGGAGAGGACGGGAATATCTCTCTACTTATATCCCCTCCCTTGATGCATGTAAAAAGTCGATGACACATGCTCCTCGCCCTCGCCTTTTCCCAAGCACCGGAGTAAAGGTTCCATGGGTGAAACGCACAACTTACGAAACGCATCGGTATTACAAGTATTTGCGGATCTTTTCGCCGCCCCAAAGTCGGGATGGAATGACTAATTGGCACCTTCGGACTTTACGATCGTAAGGCCGCGGAGTGGATCTGAAGCCCCCACCACTAGAAACACTAGAAACAAGATTACTTGCTCCAAGACAACGTGGACTTCTCTTGAGTCCTCGTCTCCAATCACTTACATCGACTTGAATTTAAGGACCCAGAAAGTAAGTTGATTAATCCTTCACAGCCATTCTCTCTGGACGTCCTGAACCATAATCGAAGACTACTCCCCTCTTTAGCCTCCATGGCCAAATATGGCCAAATATCTCCACCCAGTCATGCCTTCAATCAGAGATTTCACGGTTCTTGTCATCGGCGGCTGTTCTGGAATTAACTATGGAGTTGCAGAAAAGGCCCTCCCCGAGCATGCAAAGGTGCACATCGCATCTTCGAATGTTTCCCGAGTCTAGGAAAGTACCAAAACCTTGCAAGTCAAGTTTCCCAAAGCTATTATTGCTGGGCATGTCTGCGACCTTGCCCATTACGGCGTGGAATAGATTTCGAGCAACTACTGAATACTATTGGACCGCTTACCACATCGTATTTACCGCCGGCGACAATCTCCCTGTTCGATCTCTGGATACCATCGACTTGGAGGCGATCCACAGAGCGGGCCATGTTCGTTTGGCAGCTCTCTTCTGCTTACCAAATTAGCGCCTTGCTCCCTCAACCCGGACTATGGATCATCGACCACTCTGACCACGGGCTCGGGCTCTCAAAAGCCGTTTCCGAACTGGTCATTGATCGCTGGGTATCTGACGGGCCTGCATGGGATGGTGCGTAACCTCACGCTAGACCTGAAACCGAGCAGGGTGAACCTCATGCGGTTGATAATCCTCTCTGGGGATCCGCTAGTGTGTCCGAAGAAATGAAAAACACCACTGCCTTGCACAAATTTGGCACAATGAGGATGCTGCGGGGGCCTATGTTTATCTCATAAAAGACAAATGCTACAGGTGATTATGTCAGTACCAATGCTGGATCACTTCTGCTTTAGAGGATATTGATACTATGCTCTCTGTCAAATAATGCTGCGTCCGTCCGACATTTCATGTAACACCAAATAGTATCTCTCATATCACGACCACATACAAAGATACGTATTCACTTGAGCTTTGCAAGTTACGAGAAATGAGAGAGCCAGTATTTTACCTCAGATGGCCTTGTAAGCAAACCATAGCAGACCCGCAATTATCGCCGTGTTTTAAAACCGTCAAAACACTCTTGTATGACCAAGTGAAAAATACCTCAAATACCCAGATGTTTCTTGTATAGTATTCAAGATGTCCTATCCCCCCCCCGGCTTCTTCGCACATCTTATTCATTATCTTTCTTCACACCAGACTCTTTCCACACCAGACTCTTTTCAAACCATACTCTTTTACCATTACCTCCAGCGATATGACTCAGAATCGTGCCGCTTGGATTATGGCTGCCGGAGTCAAGCCTTTTGTCATAGACAAGGCCCCAATATGCAAGCCAGGGGTTGGAGGGATTCTAATTAAGGCCCATGCCGTTGCAGTGGTCAGTTTCGAAGCTCTGCAGCAACAACAAAATGAAAAAGATTGACCTCTCATATTGACAATAGAATCCTGTAAACTGGAAAATCCAGTAAGTTTAGTCTCTCAATGGTATTCAACGCTTGGGCATGGCGAAGCATCACTTTAATATGACTATTAGAGATTCCGGTCGCTATCTTAACAACTGTCCGATTATCCTCGGTAGGGATGCAGCAGGGACTGTAGAGGAAGTGGGCGAAGGCGTCCCTAGGTTTTCCAAGGGACAGAACGTAGTTACGAGAGTGCCAGGTTGAATCCATCCACGATAAATTATTAATGGCTTTTCCAGGCATTTAAATAGCCCCAAGTCGGCCAACTTTGCTAATACGGCCTATCAACTTTTCCCTCTGGCTTTAGAGCGGCTCGCAGCACCCCTTCCGCCAAGCAACTTGCGCGGTCTATTTCTACGATTGCAGTGCATGCTGCGAAACTCCGACAGACTGGTTTCGTCCGGCATACAGTAAGTTGCGGAAAATCACTCATTGCCATCCTATTTGAATTAACTCAATCTCTAGTCTCCTCATATGGCATTGCCTTCCCTCCGAATGAGAGCATCGGTGATGCTGTTTGGGGAAGATTTGTGCCCAAGGCGTTAGCGAGTGGCCTTTTCAAAGCCAAACCCGATCCATTGGTTGTTGGTCATTGGCTGAAGAGTATTCAAGATGGCTTTGACAGGCAGAAGCAGGTGTCTCCGCTCAGTAGATTGTCATTACGCTATAAACCGGCTTATGGTAGCTATCTTTAAACTTTTGTATGCTGACCTATCATTTAATAAAATCGCGGTCGTAATTCTTTGTCTATAGAATTGGGGGCACGATTCGCATGTGTACGTATGGTAAATACCTCCTGCGGGAACTCCACCAGACAGACGCTGAAGGATATTTAAATGACATGTATTGTCGAAGGAATCGTAGGTGGGGGCCAAGGCGGTGGATAATCGTTCCGTAAAGCTTTTCAATAGTCTGAAGTGGCGCGGGCACATTAATAGCCTGCAGTTGCCACAAACCAGATAAATATTTCCTAGACTCATTCTCCGCACGTTCAGAACCGCATCACTGCAGAATTTTGTGACGACTGCATAGCAGAGCATCAATAATGAACACCCACGAAATCAGCTTAACAGGCTTGTCTCAGAATCCAGTGGCCAGACCAGGAGAAGATTGGTCCGGCAAGGCTGATAAGAAGGAGAGAAAGAAACTTCAAGATCGGATTAACCAACGAATTAGTCGTCAGTTCCCTCACGATGATTACAGCTCAATGCATTGGCTGACTTTCAGCATCGCGGATCATGGGTTTAGGCCAGCGTAAAAAAGCTGGGTACTGGCATCGCGAGATTAGTTTACAAGATCCAAAAGCTGGAGCAAAGGCACGCTTGGCTTCCCAAGGGCTGTTGGAAGGACAAGATAGCTCATGGCAGTACTCTGCTGGTCATATCCTCGCCACGCGTCCACCTAAGTCTATGGACATCAGCTCATTCACGGCTTGCGAGCCCGACTCGGAACGGACCGAACAGTTCATGCTTCATTTTTCCACTTGGATGCATAGAGAGTCTCTCAGATGCTCCCCTCGCACGGAGAATCTCCTGAGCTTGATACAGTTCAATATGACACGCTCACTAGTGGCGAATGCAAAGATCCTTGGCTTTACGACGCGACTGATGGCCCGGCAAGCCCGATCCCCCTTGGCTTCCACGGGCGTCGACTCGAAATTTATCGACTCTTTGCCTCCCAGCCTGCAGCCAACTATTTTTCAACTGACGATTCCACACCATCCATGGATTGATCTCTTACCCGTACCCGAGCTGCGTAATAATCTTCTCAGTCAAGATCCGAAAACATACGATGCAGTCCAACTTTGTCGCGATATGAGAGGCTTTCAGCAAGTGACCGATGGAAAGGGTGGTGTTGCTATATGGGGACAGCCGTGGGACCCGCAGTGCTGGGAGGTTTCTCCAGCCTTTGCACAGAAATGGCCATGGGTCGTGCAAGGTTGCCAGGGTTTACTTGCATCGACTAACCACTGGCGGGCCATCCGAGATGAACAACCCTTGGATCTTTGGCGCGACAATAGTCTCGGTCAGGGTGACATGCAGAGCTGAGGAGCCTTGACAGGAGCGATGAATGGAAATTGCTCGTCGAAGGGCAGGCATTTCAGAGGATTCAAAGTAGAAGTCTGGCGACCGTCTGGTATCAGCGGCCGCGTCGTTTCGCAGAGAAGGAAGGGCAACCTCGCCCTGGTAAAGGCCTGTAGGATCAACACCTGAAGCCAGGAGAGATTTCACGCACTTGCCCCAGCCTTCGGCGGTCGCACTGCTTAAGTCCACGGCCGCCAGACTTTTGATCTGTAACTCCATCGTCGTTGAGACAGTAAGTGCTGGTAGTCCCTCAAAAATCGATCGGACTTGGTGCATATTGGGGACAGATGGGACATCAAAAATGATGGAACGGGGACCTCGATGCTGGTTCAACATCACAAGGGGCCCAGCCCAGGTTGAACTTCATGGCCCCCGATCCCATCCCACATGCAGGTGCCGGCACGCAAAGGACCACGGTGACGGAGTTCCAACTTCCGGCTCAGTAATTACTTCCTTATCTGCATGATTCTCGCGTGGTGAAGAACCGGCAGTACCCGTATCTGGTGTCAAGGTGCGAGCAGGAAAGGAAAACCATTGCGCTGCAGGCAGACCAGACCCTAACAAGCCTCTTACAAAAATTACTATTTTACGGACCCTTCGCGGATAAGGGGCCGGTTAGGGGCAATTCCCACTAGGCAAAGGATACTAGCACGGCATAACTATTACCTAGCTTAGGGTCTTGGGTGGCGCTGAAACAGTGTTCCTAGATATTCAGCAATTTATCAGGCAGGCCACGCCACGCCGACACCCCTTTGCTAGACTGGGTAGTTTGGACGAATGTATTTCTTTTTCGTATCCGAGGGTTTGCCCATAATAGTCATTTAGATTCCTCCAACCGCATAAAGAGTGAGTGAGGCTCTGTTCTGTGATGATGTTACAATTAATACGGACACCGCTTATATAGATTTGGTCCGACCAATCGCATAATTTATTAACTGGGTGACGGTTGAGAACCTGCACAGTCTAGCTATAGTTTTACTGAAAGATATAGTGTACTAGCGCGACGCTATCATGCGTTCTGACTTTTGATCACATCAAAGGAGACGGGGGTCGTTTAATAAATGATCTGCGTTAAGGCCATCCTTGGTGGTAGGGCCGAGACACAATTTTTGAGTGTGTATGGTCAAGGCGATTTCGTAAATCGCTGTAAGACGAGCCTAAAGCAACTAATTTACAGAGACGCACCTGTAATAGCGAAAAAGGTAGCAAGAGGACCCCACACGCAGCTGGAGACTCGTAGAGCGATGGCAGCACCAGCCTAAACGATAGCAGTGCTCGAGTTGGTTTTGGTAACCTTGCCAGTGCTGCAGTTACGGTTCTTGAAAAGAGTGGCAGTGTCGAGAACACTGCCGTTGTTGCTGGCGATAAAATCATGGGACATGTGGGTGCAGTTGTGGAAAGTCAGCTTAGACCAGCCGTAAGTAGCATTCGAAGTGTCAAGACCGAAGCGGCTGTAGTTCTTGCGGGCGGTATCAAGGGCATCGAGGCCATCGTAGTGACCGGCGGCACCATTGGTGATATACCAAGGAGCCGTAGGGTTATTGAGCTCGGCAGTGTCGTAGACGTTGTTGTTAATGGGAGCCTGACGCTCGTAGACGTGGGAGTGGCCGGAGAGTACCAGATCAACGCTGTGTTTGAGGAACAGCGGCTCAAAAACGTCCTTACAGGACCAACAGATGGTGCCTGACGCGTTAGCATGGCTGATATACCACGGGCGGTGGCCGGCGACAATGACCCAGGGAGTTTTGGCGCGGTTGACGGCGGCCAGGTCGGCTTCGAGCCACTTAGTCTGCGCATCCATTGTGGCATTGACGGGGTCAGCGTTCATGCCTTCAGACCCCCCAACTTCGTCGTTACCGATCAGGCCGTGACCGAGGTCGGTCTCAGTGTCGAGCTGAATAAAGTGCACCATGCCGCTGTCAAACGAATACCAGAAGTTTCCGGTGCCACCCGAGATGTCACTCGGCATGCGGAAGTGGTTCTTGTAGCCGGTGAAGTTGGTCTGACCCACGACGCAGATGTCAGCTGTATAAGTAATGTTATGGACCTTGTCGGTGGTGCCGCCGTTATCGCACGTAGCTTCGTGGTTGCCAGGGCCCACCATGTAGGGCTTGGTGGCGGTAACTGCCATCATCTGGTCGTAGTAGTCATTGAGGATGGCCTCGTAAACCGTGTGGCCTTCTTCAATGGTGGTGTTTGGCAGGAAACCCTGAATTTCCTCTTTAAGCCAGTAGTCCGCATACGCAATGTCACCAGGGTGCCAAATAAAGTCGAAATCGTCCCGGTATTTGGTCAGTGACTCGATGGTGTTGGTCTCTCCGGGCTTTAGGATGTTCTGGGGTTTGACACCCGTGCCAGCGCTAGTAGTCAGGCCCCGGGTGCCCATGGTCCCGAGGTCGACAACGACCGCGATAGAGAAGGGGGTCTTGTCGCCGGCCACCCTGCTGGTGGTGAAGTTGTAGGGCACTGACGAGTGGGAGTCGGCCAAATGGGCGGGCAGGTAGAAGTAGGTGGTGTCAGGAGATAGGCCTGTGAGAAGGACATGGTTGTTAAAAGTCAGCGAGGTCGGGTAGGTAACCGAAATCTTCGATGAGGCCGTCTCGTTGAGGTTGCTGGCCGAGAGGCCAAAGTGAACTGTAGGCTTGCCGAGCTTGTGGAATGTATTCCACGATACCATCATGCCGTTGTCGCCATGGTACGCGAGACGGATCTGCGAATTAATGGTGGTGGTGACGTTGGTCGCTGCAAACGCTAGCTGGGCGATAGCTGCCACTGAGGCTGCGAGCTTGAATTGACTGGCAAAGATCATGGCGACGGAGGTCCCTCTGTGTCGCTGTTTGGAGGTTTCTCAGGGATGTCGGGTCGTTTCTTTTCTGTCCCACGTTCTCCTATAAAACCATCCGGCAGGCAGCGGGCTACCTTAATAGCCCGAGAACGTGAAGGTGGATGGCGGGCGAGCAGACTTGCACTTCCAAGGAACGAATCAGTCTCCACGCTTATCCAAAGCACATGGCCTGCTTGGGCAGCGTGGATGGATGCAACTCTATCGGTAGTTCCGCCAATCATAACTGTCGGGTGACTCTGTGCGACGCCATAAAGGACAAGCCTGATGAAGCAAGCCTTGGCCGAACTTTTGGTTGAACATCATTCACCATGTGGGTGATTTGGGGGATTCCGTTGGACAGCTCCCGTTGGCCGTAGTGGCGGTCCCGCCAGGGACCAAAGCTTAGTCAAAGCTTAGTCTGCCGTCGGCTCGGCTTATCTCCGCCGGATCCACAATTTGAACACAGAGTCTTATACTGACCTAGGACATCTCTACAAAGAAATTTCAAAGGAGGTTGCTCAATTCTTACTTAAACGCGGTACAGATCCTTAGTTAAATGGTAATACATCAAAGGAAGCAGAGAGACGTGGGAATGAAAGGGTCCTTTCAATACTGAAAGATTGGATGGAGGTGCATTCCAAAACTTCTCCTGCTATATAGTCAACTTTGAATAATTGGCGTTATAACACATTTGAATAAATCATCGTCTCAGAAGGAGATGACTGATATTTCAAAAAAAAAAAAGAAAAAAAAAGGAGAAAAACTTAGTAGGGGAGATCTGTTGAGAGGGATCCCATATAGAGGCAGCGTTCGGTAGCATTCCACGAAAGCAATAAGCCTGAGGAGAGGTGAAGAAGAAGAAATGAAAGCTAGATACCCATAGATGGTGCCGGATTAGGTGCGCTCCGATCCAGACATTAACACAATACACGGTCGCAGATATTTTCGATTCGAACTGCGAATCATGTGCCCAAAGATATACAACACCTGCTCCGCTGAAAAGGACCAGTGCAGCGGTCTCACGACAAAGGGTGCTTCCCACCCGTTCTCACCCTGTAAATTGCACATTCACAATTGTCCGAGTCGCGCGACGCTATGGCGGCCCTTTATAATCACTATCCTTAATGCATCTCATATGGCCCCCTTCCCAGCTCTCTCAAGTACATACGACCATAGGGTGTGGAGAACAGGGCTTCCCGTCCGCTCAGCCATACTTAAGCTACATACTAAACGCAGTCAATAACTGAAGAGCCCTGGACCTTAAATTAGCGTCAAATTCTGTGTTAAAGTGAGTGTGGGTGATATGGGTGAGAACAGGGTGAGAGGGGTGAGAACAGGGTGAGAGGGGTGAGAACAGGGTGAGAGGGGTGAGAACAGGGTGAGAGGGGTGAGAATAACCACTGCGATGCGTAATGCTACATAATCAAAGTCCAAGGGCGCGAGTCCAGTCTACTATTCCTGAATTCTTTTTTACCTAGCTATTCGACCGAAGATGCTCCCAGAAGAAATGAAAAGTAAGCTGGACGAGAGGCAGGCACGTACCGTATTACTAGACCTGGCACTCACCCGCGGGTAATCTGTTGAAATAGGCTAGTTATAGCCCAAAGTCTCAGTTGTCTATGTTCTGCCCGATTAATCTACTTACAGAAAAGTTTATGTAAAATTGCTCACTATCTGGCTATCGGGCAAAAGTCCTCCAGTCTATATGAAACGGAAATATTATCTTAGAAGGCTATCTGATAAATAATAAAGCACTAACAAGCATACCAACTCTTCTCTATTACAGGCCTCCTGCTATTCTTCTTAGCTACAATTCCTATATCTATGGCTCAAGATGAAACCGTTCATATAGCGGTGGGAAAATTTAGTGGAGCGGGACTCCAGAGACTCATAGATGATGCCAAGAAACACGGAGGATCTCAGGCACCAGGTACCGCCATATGTACTTTGTCCGCCTTCCTTCTAGAACAAATCTGCCGTAAGAATCCTCCCAAGTATACGTCTTGAAAAGACTTCTAACTTGAAGCATGCTGAGTTGGTCCAGACGGAACAACCTGTCGACTTGCTCCTGAGGAATTGCATTTTATCTGCCCTTGAGAACTTGGTTCGGGGAAACTACCATCATTATATCTTTATTTTCTTGTCTTCGTTCCGAGAAACTTGGAATGATAATTGAGAGTTGTATGTGAAATAGCAGAAGTGGGGTCGCACTGGAACAAACAGCTGTTACTAGTCATAGTCGTGGTGAATATTATACATTCATTTAAGACAAGTTATACGCCAATATGGTTTCATGGCATTGATATACTACTTGAGAATTACTTCATTTTGAGATTCATTGATTTTTGGTTCAAAATACATGTAGAATTTCCCCCTCCATTTAAGAGTATCACTTTTCCTGAGTCAGTTCCGTCTTCCTCCAAGGTCGTCCGAGAGAATCACTAAACAGCGGATCATATCTAGAAAAGTGATCATCAGTGTGAGTACATATGACTCGTAATTCTTGAAGCCCCAGACCTTCCGTGTTAGTTATTCTTCACTATCTACATGGTTAACCGACAGTGAGCTTCTTCCTCCAGATCTTCTATTATCACTTACCTTCTTTCTCCATCTTCATCATTCCTCTCTTTTCAATACATTTTTCTCAATCACTGAGTAGCGACCGAGTATACATCGATCAATACTACTATCTTTCTGGGTCTATCCTCTCAACCCGAAACAATTTTTTCTCTCCCTACGCTCAAGAAAGCTGACTGGGAGAGTATCAAGTTCGCTAACATCCGTCTACCTCAATCTCACATCCGACAAACGATACTCATCGATCACCTATCTTCTATCATCACATCTTTTCTGACAATGGCGGTAAGTGCCTAAACTAGCCCAAATCGATTGAACTAGCTTGCTTATAAAGCATATAGTATCGTGCCGACCCAGGAGTGGCATCCTATGTCTTGAGCATAGGACAGCGCAACACAAGGGAAGTAGTCGTCGATTCCTTGTGGCAAAGGATCTTGCAGATAAGTTTCCCCTACCAACAAAACTATCTACATGAAAGAGAAGAATACTCTCACCAACATTCGCTCTCCAGAGCAAATGTTACCCTAGCAACTCTGCAAAACGCAGTACGCCGAAAGGTGCTTGTGGTAGAGTGCAAAAAGAGCCCGAACAATATATCGGGGTTTGCTCCCCCAGGAGTATGGGAAGGGGCCAAAGTTCAGCTCAGGAACTTTTTGCTAAGCTATCGACAAACTCAAGAGCCGTTGGGTTGCGGATTATACGCGATTGTTGGAGTTGGCAAATTTGCCAATATCTATCTTCTTGAAAACGGTTCTGATGATCTCGAGGAATTCGGGAACAATTTGGCAGCCTTGAATATTGACAGAGACGCAAATCAAGTTGAGGCCATACTTACAGAGATGAAAGAGGAAATTGAAAATGCATTGTGAAGCGCGCGAAGTAGCTTTTTTTATTATTGTTATTCATATCATTATGATGAGCTAGGATTTAGGGTTCAGTCCTCCATAGCGCCCATTTAGGTCGCTGTTTGTCCAGATAGTTTCATCTATCATCTTCTTTTCTCCTTTCAGTGTGGATATAGCCTCTAGTATAAAGTATCCAATATACTAGAGGAATTCTTTTTACTTTCGTTTTTAAAAACATATTCAGATCTTTCAAAATTTCCTCAACATGATTTCTCTACTAAATTTTTGAAACGCTATGAGATATTATAGATTTTTTGGTCATTCCTATACATTGACAATATGGAGGCCGTTACTAGACTCGTTAAATCACAATAAATCGTTATCCTCGAGAAAGATATTGTAAAGTCAAATCATATTAATTTTCATCAACAGAACTACAAAGTCATAGGTAATGTCTAATTAATTAATTTGATCTGAAAATAGAAGGAAATTTGAACATAACCTTTGGATTAGCTTTCTCTTCCGAATCATTGGTAGATTCTTTCTTTCAACACATATCGGGCTCGGAAAAAGCGAAGAGATAAAATTGTTCTTGAAAGCACAAATAGAAACCCTATATTATCGGGCCTGTCTGTATTGAGGTCTCACGCTGATCATATATCGATAATTTTCATCTGGAGTTTCCAGGCTTGTATTGATGGAATTTATAGCTTTTCTTTTTTTTTTTTAGTGAAGGAATCGGACTTTTCTATTAATCAACAACCAAAAGTTAGACGAAGGCCTTTATTGTTTATTTTTAGAGGCATCAACATGGGGAGGAACCACTTGGCCACCAATAAGGAAGCTGATTCCTGATCAAATGAGTTTGTAAGATTAATTATACACTCTCATATCTAACGCTTGGAACAAAAATAGAGATACTTGAATTTGATTTCACTTGTTGCTTGGACTTCAAATAGTTGCATATATGCAGTTTTCCACCTGACATTAGGTTTCTTTTACAATAAGCTTGTTCTCTGTCGATATTAAATCTACAATCATAGTGTCATTCTATTATTAACGTTCCAGGATACTAAAGAAAGTAGGTATTTTGATGCAATCGAAACAAATGAAGTTATTCAGATACAGGCAACCTGCGGCATTTGTAATTGCAGCCTCTGGCTTCAGGATTAGGAACGGCCTCAGGCTGTCACATGGAGTTCATAAGATCACCAAGATCTATTAGATTTCAGTACTTACGAGAATTGAATTTGCAATAATTGTTGCAATTACTTTCTGAACAGCTTTTAGAATTTCCTAAACTAGGCTTTTCAATCTAATTTGGGAACCTTTCGTACTTTCGATATGAATTAGAAAATTAGATAAGTGATGTAGGGAGAGTTTAGGATGTATCAAAATATTTATTTATGTTTACGCCCGACGGCAATATCTTTCAAGTCGGGCTAGTGGCGTCGACCTAGAAAGTAGGCTTGTTTAGTTCGAAGAGTCGCGTAGAGTAGATATGGCTGATTCATCTCATGACGTGGGAGCTGATGATGCAACGCTGATGGGCATACCTGGCCGTTGGCATAATAATTACGCTTTGTCCGCAGCTTCGACATGTCGAAATCCAAAATACACCCCGTCCAACTATCTGAAAATTTCTTCCTTCTTTTATTTTTTATCGAAGACGAGGCTTGTGTCTTTCGCGTCCCTCAAATATCAATCAAAATGCAGGTTCCCCCGCAATGCTGTGCATTGTGTGCACGGCAAAATCCAATAGATGATTTGAAGAATAGTCAGTATATATTATCACAGACATTGAAATCACAGCTGATGGTACCAGTCCAAATATTTGGACCACAAGAGTCCACGGTCATCTTCGGTATGTTTGATGATATTATTCAGACAGGTTATCTTAATTAACCCCAGTAATGCAGAGAGCGAGCTTTTCGTTCATGATTTCTGCTGGAAAAGGCTACTAAAGCATTTTAAAAGGCCACCCAACTTTGGTAAATTGATTGAAGTACTACAAGAGATACCTACGCCAAATTACAGAGAAAGTAAGAAGATCTCACCAACTCTCTCAGCATTTTGACTTTTACCCGTTTGACACATACTTCCAGGATGCAAGGCGAGAAACCGCATATCAGGAATCAAATCGTTGAAGAATATACAAATGGAAAGGCTTCTCCGTCCGCGTAGAAGCCAAGCTTGCATTCCAAGCTTGAGAAGACACTGCGGGAAAGTCGATTCCCAAAAGGAGTCTCAAGATTGTTTCCAGATCCTTCCGCTGGAAATTCGATTCAACATCGCTCAATACATACCAACCCCTGATTTCTTTAGTCTCAGACTTTCATCTAAAGCCATGGTTACTTTATTCGAAAGCCCACAATTTTGGAGAACAAGATTTTCTCTAGATGGAAAACAAGGCTATTTCAGTTATCTAGAAGCGGAGAACTTTCAAGACTGGAGACTCTTATATCGGTATACTCAATCATCAAAGTTTGAATTGCCGCTTATATTGAATGACTGGAAAAGACAATGGCTTGTGAATGAGAATTTACGAGATCGATATATGATGTTTGAAGATCCAAACTGTCCTTTGACGGACAGCAGCTCACCACTAGAAGTTGAAGCTCCCGATGGGAGTTTTCGCTGGGAAAGAATTAAACCACATTGCATGGTGCGAAAAAGGGAATATCTGCAATTTGATGATTATTCCCATATCATATCTCTGCCTAAATCCAAATTTGGTGCGCTTCATTGTGGTAGATGTGGACAGCAAGGGTGTTTTACAAAAACACATGCAATTCGGGTCTCTTATCCGATTTTGAAGATTGCGGTTTCTGTTCTCGTTGAGGATAGACGGACATATATATGCGGTTTCGATTTGATCCACGGATCAAATATCACAGATACACAATTCGGCTACAGAATCCCTGGAAAACAAGTGACATTGGATCTTCATGGTCAAATTTTGCAGGGATTCCAGGTCGCGAGGAGTGGCCTCGCCATTATCGCCATTCGCCCGTTGACAGTTACCGGTGAAGATGGCTTTTACAGTTGGATCGGTGATCCTAGATATGGAGTTAATAAAAGCGTGTGTCTGGGTTTAAATGAGGATATCGCAGCCATTTTGGGGGATTTTCAGGTGAGCTTATGACTTGGATTTTGCTCTTCAAAAAGGAAAAAAAGCATATATGAGTTTTTCAGAGCTGACAAGTATTGACACCTAGGATCGTAAATTGGTAGGACTTGCAATACGCTCAAGATCCAAATCCAATATCGACCACTCATGATATTCTCTCCCTATACTAAAGCTTTTAGCCGTTGGGATGCATACAAGAATCGGATAATCTTCTTATGACTGGTGTTATTTTTTGGCCAGAATGATTGCTTGCTCTATTCAGTACTCGCAGTATTTTTGCTAATTTCCGTGGATCGCTTGATTATCTTCTTCTTTTATCTTCCTCTTGGTAGTCCAAAAATGATTGATAAACTCCAGAAACATCGAAAATAGGCGCGTTTCACTCATGTTTTCTTTGTCCCCTAGAGAAAACAGAATGGAGCATCTCGAGCGATAATACATAGTCACGTAGCTGTCCCCTCTGAACCAGTTCCGGACATTGACAAGACCGTTTATGCTCATGCTGGCGGTAGTTTCTTAGTCCGCCAGGGTCATAGAGCCGACACTATTCCCATAGTGGAATACGTGACTTACTTGGCTCGAATCCTTCTTCTTGCCTATGGGTCCTAGATCCGGCATGGCCTCCTGTACCCCGTGATTCGGTCCAGGGGGAAATCCGGGGCGATTCTAGTAACGGAAACCTGGGGTATATGCGCTCGGTGTAGCCTTACTAGCTCTCTTGGCATGACAGGGAGGCTTGGCTACTTTCAAGCTCAATGCCGAGGCTTTCAACTGAGCATTATGCGTTTTATCCGGAAGCCGGAAGCCAATGTTTTCATCTCGACAATATGACGACCTCGAAGGAAATCGACGCTTCAGAATCCGGCCTAGGAAAGGAAGTCGTAGATAGCCGTATTGAATATGCAAACTCCCTCAAAATTGCAGATGTGAAAGGTGACTACTCTGGTGCGACAGCTAAGACTGATGCTAGGGAGATTACTCTTCCAACCCATCCCTCCGTGACACCGGGTCACCTACGTATCCATTCTCGATATAGTATCGTGAACCCCTTCCCTGGGTAGCGATTTACCAAGATTAAGTCTCACATTACGACTTATAGAGCTCAAATAGAATCAATATTGCCTTCCTTACTAAAGGTTAGGGGGGGTGAATTGGCTAAATAGTAGGGCGGCAAGGGCAATTTTCTCGACGAGTAAAAATGAGTACGTGAATACGAACATACAGGACAACAGCAGGAATTCGCATATGGTCACCGACCTTCTCAAGTGAGATAGCTCGTCGGTTCATTGATTGGCTATTAAATAGGTTGTTAACTATTGTAATGGGGATCTCCGCTCTCAACATCAGTATCCTGGAGTCATGTGGCTGAAGCCTTAGCAACAAGGCCATCGTTTTGTTTCGTGAAGTTAAGTAGCGCTCGTTTCATAATATCAAGAACAATCAGGCATGTTCCCCCTCATGAAATGTTCTACTGAGGCTGCTGAGGTTGCGGTGTCGATATACTGCTCATGAAAGGTTCAGTTATTCGTTCTATCGTTCCTCTCTAGTGTCTCGCTTTGTCTACGACTCTCCTGTATTCTGTGAGTGTGGTGATTTTGGTCCTCTTGCAATCGACCCGTCTTTTTGACAGACTGCCAGCGCGCATTCCCATCTTTCACTATATATTACTCTTTAGTAAGGCAAATTCAGCAAAAAGGCAATCAACAATCCCTCTTTCAAGCTCACCTTGTCTATATTCAGCGATACGTACAGAAACTTGCAACCCTAAAAGAGCTTTCCAGAGAGAATTCGAAACGTGTCCTTAGAATTTCTGTCTAGAAAGGCTCGCTGTGTGCGCTAGGCCTACGATCGCTTTATTATATTCCTAAACAGATGCTAAGCGACCGAGGGTTTTAGGGGGGAGGCTTTGGCCCAATATTACTGAAAGCCAGCTCAGCTGGAAGGGGCCAAATGTAGATCACTCGTACTCACTCGTACTGACCCGTACTCACCCTGTTGTCACCCCATTCTCACCCCAAATATAACACACTCACCCTAATCCCCCGAGTCGCGCGACGCTAAAGCGACGCTCACCCCATTCTCACCCGGGGGGGCACCCACCGACCTATTGTCTGTGTTTTAGCCACATACCGGCAGTGTAGTAGTATGGTAGGTGACCATGTTCGAAGGTCTGTATACATCAATTCACGCTCGTTTTCTTTCTCTGATTTTCAATTACAGCAGCTCTTAGTTTTCTCCCAGACTGTCTCAAGCACATACGACCATAGGGTGTGGAGAACAGGGCTTCCCGTCCGCTCAGCCGTACTTAAGCCACACGCCGGCAGGTTAGTAGTATGGTGGGTGACCACATGCGAATCCCTACTGTTGTATGTTTTTATTTTTGCTTTTATATTTTTGCTGACCGACTACTTGATCTTTTCGGCTCTTTACCTGGCTGGATACCTTCAATTCCCTGCCTTAAGGTACAGATGACGTCCAGCCTCACTCCCTTTTTCAACTACATACCGTCCACTGCACCTTTCAAATATGGCAAGAACGACTCAGACTGCATTGAATCCATCCGACAATAGGCCAGAGGATGGTTATATTTACCCACTCCAAGTCTTCAGCACGTCATTCATCCAGCCAGAGGAGCTCAACAAGTTGTATCAATATTTCCGCTTGGATCTCGGCTTTTGCCGTATTCAGATATGAAAAAGATCTAACACCCGAGGAGGCGACGTTTTCGATCGACACTATAGAATTTATTGGCTTCATTTCAATTATAATAGACTCGTTCAGTGCAAGGTTGCTTACCTATGGTATGGTCAGCTCAAATTACCTGTGCCTGCGGTCGCTGGGTGACCATCTTACACCCCAGTGATCTCACAGATATCATCTACCCTTAAATCCATGGATGCACGATATTTTACCTCCATCCCGAATGATACGCAGACTTCCGAGCCATGATAACCTAGGGTATGCATCGAGTTAAAAACTAGCTTCTCACGAGTCTATCGAGGATGGATGCCATACTCGTCTCCTCAGACTGCTTCGACAAAGAACACATATTTTTTTACTTAGGTACCGGACATTAATCGGCGATCCGGAGACTCCTTTTTGGAACTTTCAAATCAACCTCCTATTTTGCGCCATTCTAGATTTATGGGATATGAAATTAGGCCCTGGGGCCCTACTGCGAAATCAGGTCGCAAATACAATATGATCGACCCATAGTCTATGAGACAGATCAACACCAGCTTTGACATTGCCAAATGAAACTCCTTGATGATAAAGATCATCTGCGAAACAACGTGGATGGTGTCGCTTTCATACGGAATGAAGAGTAACGGAAACAAGGAAGGAATGGAACAAGGAGAAATGTTTATGGGATCTAGAGATGAGGTTAGACTGATGTGCGATAAAAGCTGTCTGTCATTGAGCTTTCCAGCATAATGGGGGCCTTTCTCGTGAACTTAAAAGTAGTTGCAAGATCGTCATAAACTTTCTTTCTCGCCTGAAATCTAATCGGGGTCTATCTGGATCTACAGCAGATCAACAAGCTAGCATGAAAGAAATCGAAATGACAACTTGCACCGTCCCAAAAGAACACCAATTGATATCAGGTCGAACAGAAAATCAAAGTCAAACTTCCGCGGGTGACGTGCACCTTCTACTTCCTTGTACTGGCACTGTTACTTCCCCGCCTGAGCATCTGATCCGGCCCAGCTCCGAGGTCCGCCACTCTCTGGGAGGTCTAGACGTCGTCAGCAACGGTCCAATCGGTCTCACCCAAGATCAGATGCCCGAATACCACTGGACAGTGGTTTCTTCGAAGCGAGCTGCACCAAGGAAACCGGCCAGCATTGGAGATCGACGGCCAAGAGGGGTCAAGCATTGAAGTTATATGCTGCTGACCCCAGTGTCTACCCACTGGCACCAGAATAGTAGTCTGTCTACTGCAAATTCTTCAAATTCTTCCTTCTCAAAACTCAAGATACACTACATCTTCCAATTTGAAGATAGTATCCACCACAATGAAATTCACGACAGCGCTTCTCTGCCTCGCAGCAACAGCCTGGGGCGCCGAACCCCAACGACGAGATGCCACAACAGAGAGCGGCTACAATGTTGCTTCTTTATCGAGTCAACTGTGCGACCCCAAATCCCACCACTACATCAATTATTGAAAATTTGCTTATTACCTTTCCTTCCAGCGAGCACCTCACCGCAAACGCAACCAGCGGCGCAAATTTCGCCAACATCTCCCCACCCCGAAATCGCTTATCGGCGAAATCATCTCAGCGGTCCCAATGACCGTCCTCTGGGAATTAATCGATCAAGAATCCCGCCGCTCGCTGGCTAGCGAGTTCAGCGCGGGCACGACTCCAGCCTGGTACAGCAGTCTACCGTCCGACGTGAAAAGTTACATGTCCGTCGTGCGATCGCAGGTCAAGGCGGGCGTTCTTACGCAGACACCCACACCTACGGCCACGGGGACAGCGACAGGCTCGCAGACCGGGACGGGCACGGCGGCGGCGACGGGATCGACTTCGACTTCGAAAGGGCTGGCGGCGCAGCCTACTGCAATTACGGCGGTGGTCGGGGCGCTGGGTGTTCTCGGCTTGGCCCTAGCACTGTAGCTGCAAAGTAGTGCGGTGCAGTGCAGTGCAGTAGCGCGGTGGGGCCAGCACGAATTCACATTTGAGGCTTTTAGTTCTCAATTTTCCTGCTTGATGATAAGGACTCTATGCTACGGACTTGATTTCCGGGCAGTTTCAGTTTTAGTTTCAATTTCAGTACAGCTGGAAAATGAGATAGTTGAGGTAGTTGCAGATAGACAATGCAATGAGACATGACATCAAGACTTGGATACTTCGTAGCTATGGAAATTTCATCCTCTCTAGCCTCAAAAGTGCCTGTTCCTGTTCCACGGGCCCTGCGTCTGTGGCGCTCCACTTCCCCTCATTTTTCAGCCTCGGTTTGAGTCTACTCGAGGCGTATAGAGTACGAAGTCTTACCCCATCCTCTGCTTAACGGAGTATACTCATTCACCGAATCTCATGCGATTCAATTGTTCAACCGAATAGATTAAATGCGGGATCCTGATCATGATCGTGATAGTATCAAGAATTCTCAGCTCCACCCTAATACTACCATTGACCAAATCTGCACTCAGTACGAAGATCGCTACTCAAGACGACCCGAGCTCCGGTGTCACATGGGGCTGGCCGGTCCGAGGGGGTCCCTCACGAACCACTCAGGGCGCCCAACGCCACTTACCTTCTCCACTTCACCAGGGAAAGTGGTTCTGGAGAGCCGATCTTGTCCCCTTTCGTTGCTATCTGGGGTGAGACCGTGGGATGCGGGGATCGCCTCTCGCCTTCCAGGATTTCTCTCCGCCGGGATTAGGTAGGTCATAGAGAGGAGGCATCACATACCGTTTTCTCGCCTCGTCTATCCTCTCCTCTTAATCTCACTCTCACATGGAAGAGCTCACCACGGAAACTTACATTACTAGCAATGATCGACCTCGGCGAGACATTGGGTTCCGCGATCGTGCATCGTCCACTCCAATCCTGTGATGTGGCCCATCACATTGGGCGGAGCCTCGGGGCTTTATTTGGATTTTTCAGCCAGTCAATGGGTGGATTCCGCCATTTTGGTCGGCCTTTGCTGGATCGCTAACGTTCTCACGAATCTGATCTCGTCCCGAGCGTTGTAGTAGCTGGAGAGTTTCCAAGGTCTAGATGCCGCGGGGTGGCTTGTCTTAGTTCAAAGTCTTCCCTCGTGTAGTGCTTCTGATGCTCCAACTCGCTTATATGGGCGGCGGGGGAGGACAGGGTGCAGGAGCTAGTAGACTTGCTTCTTTTTTCTTTTAATCTTTTATCATTGTATATCATCAAATCCATTCTCTTCTCCTCTTCCTTTCTTGCGCAACTTCACAATCACCCTTCATCATGCGTCTCACTACCTTTCTCCTTCCTCTCGCCGCTGCTCCACTGGCTTTCGCGGCTCCAGAGCCCAACCCTGTTGCTCCTCGCGCACCCGCCTCCACTGGTCTTCTCTCAGAGTTGCCAGGCATTCTAGATGGTGTGCAAGAGCTGCTGAGCAAGGATACCATCAACAACCTCGAGGTTATTGTTAGCGGTGCTGCCAAGCTGCTTTCATCCAGCAATATCGATGTCCTGCAGGATATTCTGACCAACGCCCACTCCCTTCTCACAAAGGAGTTTGTTGATAACACAACGACTCTGATCGGCGATGCTACTCCGGTGGGTACCTCTAGTAATGCTGATCTTCGTGTCTGAAGTCCATACTGACGAATATTCTTCTTGAATCTAGCTTGTGGAGGATGTGTCGAAGCTGCTGGGCGGAGTGCTTGGAACACTATAGAGCATCTGGGCATGAGAAACAACTTCCATTACTAGTAGCGGCTGGCAGTCGATGATTTTCTTTGATTACTAGTACATATCATGATGGTAAACGAATTCAACGAGGGATAAATATATGCAATTTCCTTATAACAAAAGAAAAAAACCCTCATCCACGTATCCGAGTCAAGGCACAGAGCGTATCTCATAGCATAGCATGGGTATATACAAAAAAAGACATTATAGTAGATCAATCGCGACTTGAACTAGAAGTATCCCAAATCCACCAAATAAACTCCCTCTCCTCAGCACAACATCTCAAACAACATTCAACTTCCCACGCAGCTTATCCTGATAATAGCGCAGCGGATACCCACGCCATTTATTCGGCATAGCCGGGTAAACCGCCACGGAGAACCCCATCCAGGTCCGATAGAGCGTACGAGTACTAGTAGTCGACTTGAGCCCATAAGAATCCCGCAGGTTCGGCGGGAGCATCTCGATCGTGACGGCGCGCAGAAACGGCTTCATATTCTGCACCCACTTGGGCATATCGGTCGACTCGCGCAGGTCCTTTGCGAATTGCGCCGCATCGGTGGAGACGGTCAACTTGCCGACCTGATCATCCCAGTACGACCAGAACGCCTGGCGGGTCTCGGGCCAGGTGCCCGTAGGCACGCCCATGCAGTTCATCAGCAGGCCGAACTCGCTGTAGGCGCGCTGGGCAGTCTGGTAGTCAACTCTACCGTAGACGCGCTGATAGAAGTCGGTCGCGGTGGCGTAGAGGGTTGCTGCCATCCATTTTTGCAGCGTGGGGTGGTGGGCGAAGCGATTGTTGCGCCCGCCGCCGAGACCGGGCGCTTCTTCGCGCTGGAAGAGGTCTAGGAGGATTTTGCGCTCGTCGCGTGTGCCGAAGACGAATGTGGAGATGTAGCCTAGATGGGCTTGGAGAGCGTCGAGGAGCTCTGTCGCTAGTGTTTTGGGGCTGCTGTTGTCGTTTTCGACTTCGCGGATGGCGGGGAGGGCTGCTTGGAGGAGCAGAGCTGCGCCTGATCCGGCAAAGAGGATGCCCTCTTGAAGCATTTGAGGGAGAATTTCTAGTTGCTCTAGGGCGTGTAGACGTCCTGAGCTGCTGGCGACGGGGACATCGTGGTCATGGGAGACATCGGGCTTCTCATCCAAAGGGGATGGGGGGGGGTGGAAGAGGAGGACATGGTGATATCTAGGTATGGATGTATGAATATAAGGGAGAAGAACAGAGGATGTTCCAAATAATCAAAATGATCAAACTTCCAACAAAGACAACGTCAGTCCGGGGAAGAAAAGCTGATTAAATCCAGCAAGACTTCATTCCACCCCGCAAATCCACTGCGCATCATCCACCTTCCTCCACTTCTAAACCACCAGGAAACTTTCTCGGATTTGTGACCAACATTGATCACCGACCCATGTGAACTGCCCCTATTTCTTCTCATGTCAGCCGCGGTTCGTAAGAGATCGCCATCTCCTGCGCTGATCCCTGCTCTGCTCGTGCGCCACTAACTCCAGTCCAGCTCGTGGATCTTGGCCAAGAAGAGCAACGTTGCTCCGAACGAACCCCACCGTCCCACTCCGCCAGGGGCTTTTGTTTTTTGGTTCTGTTTCCCCGATATTTTCGGAGCTCGTCATGGAAGGGAACATGGATTGGGCTTATTTCGCTTGCCCGGTCATTCGGTAGCACTACGGGTTACTCCATACAAGCGAGATCCAAAGGGTCACACCCCGCGGACTGCCAATTTCCCCCGGATGCAAAAAAGACTTGACCCCATCCTCCCCGAGAAAATACTAATATAGTCGCGGGAGGTCCCGGTCCACATCGTCTTCTGGTCTTCCTTCTCCGCTGTTGCGCTGGGTGGTATTTCCTTCAATTCGTGTTGGTTGCGTTTACTTTCGACATCCTCCTCCCCCGTCTTCCCTCCCTTCTCAATTCCATCATGGGCAAGACTGAAGGTGATCGGCCAGCTTATTTGAGCTCCGATGACGCCAAATACTCCCTCGGTGTTCATCGAGGACCCATGCCCCCCGCGGGTCTAGATGATACCGCCAAACTTGAGCAGGTCGAGTCTGCCGGTGGCTTGTCGCTGGCCACGACGCGGACGCGCAGAGAGCGTCTATCACGCCATTGGAAGCGATTCTGGTGCTGTTATCTCATTGGAAATGTGATTTTCCTCGCCATTTTCCTGCCAGTCTTGTAAGTTATACACTTGGGTTATACGCGGGATTAAGATTCTACCCTATTAAACGCGTCAATTGCACCTTTCTTCCCTCTGTGATCGCGTTTACTGACCATCCATTCCCAGCTTCCTCGTCGCGATCCCCGCTATCTCTCAACTTGTTGTCAACAAGTCAGACCTCGTGCTGGTCAAGGCATCCGTCTTGAACCCACAGCCGGACTCAATCCAGTTGACTCTGCAATCGGCGTTGAATTTGAAAATCGCCCTGCCGGTCCGCATTGAGCCCATTAACTTGAATCTCTTCGTGCGCGATAATGGCGCCGATAGGCCATGGTCCAATGTCACGATTCCAGGCATGACCATCAAGGGAAACACCACCTTGGGTGTCGAGAATATGCACCGTCCACTTATCGACCAGGACACCTGGGTTGACTACGTTCACTCCGTCGTGTTCAACAAGGAATCAACCCTGTCTCTCAAGGGCACGACTAATTCCTATCTGGGAGTCCTAAAGTCGAAGGTCACCATGGACAAAGACGTGACTTCGCCGAGTAAGTCTATAAAAACCACTCAACCACTTTACTCATTTCAATCGGCCAATCACTAACCTTCGCATAGCCCTCGACTCCTTCAAGGAGTTCGCACTGTCGGACAGCCAACTGGTCATCCCTCCCCAAGCCGACGGCACAAACCTCATCGGTAACGCCTCGCTCCCCAACCCATCAGTTCTAACCCTCGACATCGGCACCCTGGTCCTCGACATCTACAGCGGCGACCTGAACCTCGGCAACGCGACCCTGAAAGACGTAACCCTCTACCCAGGCGCCAACACATTCCCCGTGAAAGCCCAACTGGACCTCAAAACCGCAATCTCGCACCTAAAAGAGCTCCTCAAGGACCAAGGCGCCTCCCTCCTCTCAAATGGCAGTCTTTCCCTAAAGACTGTCACGCGCACCGTAACCTGGAACGGCACCCGAGTCCCCTACTACACGAAAGTGATGTCGGAACTCCCGCTAATGGCCAGCGTGCCCCTCCTCGACACGGTGAAAAACACCATCCACGGCCTCGTCGGCTCAAACGGCAAACTGAACCTAACCAGCATCCTGAACGCGAATTCCAGCAGCGGCACGGGTGTCCTCTCGGCGTTGGAAGACGAGTTCGCGAATAAGGAAAAGCGCGGTCTTCTCGCTGACGCGTTGAAGGAGAATGTTCATGTTAGGAATCTTTTCGAAGACGAACATCCTGTCAAGCGCGATTTGATTATCGATACTATGGCTGGGATGTACATGAAGGCATAGGCGATGCGATGCGATGCGATGCGATGCGATGCGATGCTAACGCCCAAACGGAACGGTCGATCCCTTACTCTAATACCGGACGTACCTGACGCCGACACGACACGATTGTGATTGCGACACTTGATTTTCGATTCCCCGGGCGGTGATCCTTTTTGTTTCTTTTTTTTTGAAACCTTCTTCCGAACAAAAGAGGGGCGGAGTTACGGGTTTCCTTTTTTTTTGGTTATATTTGTTCATACACGGCTGAGCCGACTCGACGGATAGAACCTAGATCACGACTTTGTCGTGTAGATTAGATAGAGGTTGAGTTGGCCGGTTCCTAGAAGCTATCTAGAATAATACATAAATTTTACGACGGAAGTGGTTCCCCTGGTGCCAGGCTGTGCGAGTTTCCAACCCTACTAGTAGTCAGTACTTAGTAGGTACTATTGATAGATAGGAAGGAAGTCGCAATACATTTAAATTACAATCCACTGGTAAAAAGTGTAAAGCAAAAACTCCGCGTAGATCAAATAGATTTAAGCTTAAGCTCAAATTTGACACTAGTGTCCGAGTCCCGAGTTTCATCTTATGCAGGGGGGGCCAGGCTCGCTCCACCGGCCCTCTGCATGGCAGTTGCCCAGACCGGGGTCAATCCGTGACATGGCCGGATGGCTGCTGACGGCCGTTTCGGTCTCAGGCTCGCGGGGATTATTTCGCTCTAGTTAGAATTGGAATTTTTTGGGCTGGTGCGTACCTATGTGGACGGTACATATGTACTGTGTCATATCATATTTGAATATGACCGAGGCTGTGGTTGCTAGTCCGATGATCGCCCGGATTGAAATTCGGAGATTCGATTTGATTCGATTCGTTCAGTTGCAGTGCGGCCTAATTGTCGGAGCAACGAGTTGGATGCGCCAAGGTGTACCTTTTCACGCGTGACTTGGCGGGGTTTGATTTGCGGGTTGTCTCGACTCGGACTATGCCTACATACACATACAGGGACGGGGGAAAGAATTGCGAGAAATGGAAACAGGAAAATATCTTCGGAGTACGTGTATGTATTGATTTGGGTGGTTGTAGTTAGGCTCGACTAGACTAGACTAGACTAGCTGAGTAGTCGTAAGTTACCAGTTTACTATGCAATGCTCGTTCTACGCTCATCGCAGCCAATATCCACGACCAATGGCCTGATAAAGAGGTCTGGCCTCGCGTATAAGTGAGCCACTAGACGCAGGCCCAGGGCCAGGAATATCGACAGGGAAAATATCCCCCGTAATCGGCGTTTTCAACGAGCGGAGGGAAGGAAGATTAGGGAATCGGATCTTGGGATCAAAGCTGATCAGAATCAAAGCTTGGTTACCAAGCGGCAGACCCCGGGGAAGAGATGGAGTATAGAAGAGAACGCTCGTCGGAAATAGCATGTACGGATCCGGCGCGAGTGTCGGGGCAAAGCAGGTGGGTGAGTTCACTCGGTGAGTCTTCTGCAGGCCAGAGGTGAACGCCCCGGCAGGAGAAACGTTCTTCTGATCCCTCGACTGGGCGACCGTCGGCTTCGGTCTGGGTGTGCTTGAATAACAGGCCGGTTTCTTCTTCGTCGATGGGACACTTGCGTTTGCGTGAGACTGTTCGTAGGCGAATCCGGTCGCGAGATCGGAGCCCGTCTGCCTCCGGGGCAGGATCGTTGACTAGATCTATAAATGTTGCCGCAGATAAGTGGTAGCTGCGGTATTTGGTGCGCGCGGCAATAAATTCTTGTCTGCTGTTTTGGTCATGCTCGTATTCGGCATGATAGTTGCGGCGTAGCCGCTTTTCAGGCCGCTCATCAAAGGATTGGCCATGTGTGTCATGATCTGAGGTATTTTTAACATTATCATTCTGGACCTCGTTATTGTTCTGATCTTCGTCCTCGTTGTCAGTCACCCATGGTGAACGTCTTAATTCTGCTTCGGCTGCTTCTGTTGGCGTCGGAAGAGGCTGGATATAGGTTGTTCGGTGATTCTCGCTCTTGCCATGACGCCATTCCCGGCGACATTCGATGATCACTGGATTACCAGTTTCCTCATCGGTACGGATCGACAAGTCTGTCCACATCTCATTGATGGGACCTTCGCGGTGTTCACGGCGCCAGATACGGTCATTCCACTGTTGACTCTCCTGCCGGGGAGCATGACAGAACCAATGGTAGAAAGAAGAGAAGCGCTCGTCATCATTTGACGCGACTTGTGTAGAGACGGCATATAGATGTTCCTTATACATCTCGAAGCATAGCGTCTGGCCTAGATCGCCGTCGACTACACGGTCCAATGGAACATCGATCTTCTCCAGTGTAACAAGATCCACACCCCAGACCGACCAGACACCGTCGGAGTTAGCAGCAGAGGCTGTAAAACATCCATACCACATATACGAGCGACTATTTCGCACAAAGATGGGAACATTAGAGGGCACAACCGCCTGCAGAAGTAAGCGTCTTCGTCTAGTATGGCCGGGATGGCGTTCCATGTCAATGGCCAGTAAGCTATCACCCAAAGCATTATCGTTGATCACACGTAAGATGACAATACCGTCATGATAGTGGATCAGTTTGACCCGTTCGGCAGCATCCCTGTCCATTGGGCTGGATTCCAAGCGACGAAGAACATCGTGGAGATTGAGGACACGTTCACGCTGGGCTGCCCGATGAACGTCCAGCAGACGAATTTCCTGCCCGACCCGATAGCAAAGTACGCCTTGTTGATAAAGAAAATCGGAGGCATAGGCCAAGACAGAAACGGAGTAAGGGGTGGCCGTGGCGACCGCCTCGTTGATGTCAAAGCGATGGGAGACAGCCTTGCGATAACCGGCCTGAGCCTGCAAGGCTATGGAGCCTTCCTTGCTATATCGTAGGACATTCTGCCGATCATAGTTAGTTATTGGCCAAGCCATGCGTCGTTTTGGCCCCCTTAAAGTGGGGGAAGGGTAAAGAGGGGATAGAGTGAGGCTTAGCTCGGCTGGCTTACCTCGACGGTTTTTCTCGCGATGAGCTCGCTTTGCATGGAATCATAGATGATACGATTGGTACGACTGAGATGAATACAATCACGGTCGTCCAGCGAGGTTGCGATCTGGTAGAACACATCAAAAGGGAGGTTATCCAGCCGCTGTGGCGGCATGGCGGGAGAGAAGGAGGCGCAGTTAACAGCGCATAATGGGGAGGGAGGCGGAGTAAGTATAAAGGAAGAGAATAGGGGAATTGGAGAAGGGAGGGGAAAATAGAATTGTAGGGAATGGAAATAAAATTGGAGGGAGTTGAGGGCGACTTTAATGGAGGGGGGGAGTGTAGAAGAGGAGTCGAAGAGGAGTCCAGAAAGTGTACGAAGGTAGAGCCGCATCACACCGTAACTCCCTGCTTGTACGGACTGCTTTTGTCCCCCCCCAGAGCCTCATCTCCTTCACAGCCCCCTTGCGTTCGCACAATGCTTTCGTATACGATAACCATCTCCTCGATTTGGATTCGGTCACGCCATCGATACCATCAGTGGATCCCCTCGTATAAACTCGAAGGCAAAAACAAAATGAGGCTCTTTGGCTTCTGTTGGGCCTCCTTCCAGGCCTTCCTTGAAGCCTGACTGGCTATGCCATCCACACCCCCGACCTTCGCTTTGACATTTCAATTTCGATCGGCCCCAAATTCCGGGTTTCCACAGATCTGAAATTTCCCCTATCAAAAATTCACTCAAGTCGAAATTGTTGAGCCTCATCGGATGACGACGGCTAGTCTAGGAGTCTTCCTGGTAAAGCGTCACGGAGAACATTGAGGCTCTGCCCCCGCCGATCGCCGCTGCAGAAGCTGAAGAGTCCCTCGTTTCTCTTCCTTATTCAGCATCAGATGTACCATGCATGATGCATGCGTTTATCATCCCCTTCCCCTCTTTCTCTCTCTTTCCCATTCCCTTATTCCCATTCCCTTCCCCGATCTCGGCGATGGCCTCGGCTGACGTGATACACTCACGCTGCTACAATGACACAATGACTCGAGTTCTCTGCCTTGGATAAGACAAGACAAGACAAGACTAACCCGAATGGAGTTCACTAAATACTGCTACTACTAATAATACTGCTACTAACGGAGTACTAGTACTAACTGTTTCTAGTGGACTCCGACTCCGACTCCGCCCTCACGTGGCCTTTAACAGTGTTGCCTGCAGCCCTACCGGCGTCCTCGGTCAATTTCCACGGTTCGCCTCCAGGGCGTCGCGGCTTTCCATTCAAGTTTATTGACTCGGACTTTGGAATTAGCTTGGATGCAATAACAAATCACTTTTGACACTTACCATTTTCTTCTCTTTTCTTCTCTTCTTTCGTCTTCTCCTAATTCCCTCGCCCACCACTGGACGCCTTGCCCTTCATCCGATCTGCACTGACCCACCTCAGCCAGCCCCCCCAGGCTTCGAGAAAATTCATTCTCTTCTTCGATTCTTCCCTCGCGAAAGAACTTCATATCTTTTTAATCCGGTCGCTTCAATCTCTCCAATGTGGTATCAAGGTCAAGGTCCACCTCCTCCAGGCCCTCCCCCAGGCCCTCCGCCGCCCTGGGGATATCAACAGCCTCCTCCTTCGCAATGGTCCCCGCATCCCCCGCCTCAGCCCTACGGTGGTGGTCCATACCAAGGACATCAGCGGCCTCATTCTTACTCTAACCCGCCTCCCCTGTCCCAGGGGCCTATCCTCCAGGGCCATACGCTCATCACACCCCGTCCCCTCAGCCCTATGGACACAGTCCCTCACCACAGCCCCCCTCGGTCTTATGGTCACGCTCCCTCTCCGCAACCGTATGGCCATGCTCCCTCACCACAGCCTCCTCGGCCCTACGGACACCAGTCCTACCCATCGCAGCCAAACCTTGCTGTCCACCAACCTGGTAAAGACCACTCCCTTTCGTCTCCGGGTTCATCTCCCCCGCCTAGAAGAACTCTAGTCTAATTAGCTCCTCCCAGGTGCGCCCCGCGCAAATTCGCCGAACTTGCCGCCTCCGCCGCCGCAGGCTCTGCAGCATTTCGGTCACGGGGCACCATCCAACTACCAATTCCAGTACTCCGCATGTACCGGTCGCCGCCGGGCGCTACTGATCGGCATTAACTACTTCGGGCAGCCAAACGCGCTCAAGGGCTGCATCAACGATGTCACCAACATGTCGACTTTCCTGCACGAGCGCTTTGGCTACCGCCGAGAGGATATGGTCATCCTCACCGACGACCAGAAGAATCCGATGAGTCTTCCGACCAAGGCCAATATCCTGCGGGCCATGCAGTGGCTCGTTCGCGACGCCCAGCCCCACGACTCTCTCTTCGTCCACTTCTCCGGTCACGGCGGCCGCACTCCCGACTTGGACGGCGATGAGGACGATGGCTTCGATGACGTGATCTACCCACTTGACTACCGCACCACGGGGCACATTGTTGACGATGATATGCACGCCATCATGGTGCGACCGCTGCGTCCTGGTGTTCGTCTGACGGCGATCTTCGACTCATGCCATTCCGGTACTGCTCTCGACCTGCCATATGTTTACTCGACCCAGGGCATCCTGAAGGAGCCCAACTTGGCCAAGGAAGCTGCCCAGGATCTATTCAGTGCCATCGGTTCCTACGGACAGGGCGATCTGTCGAGTGTTGCGTCGACAGCGATTAACTTCTTCAAAAAGGCCGCGAATGGAGGACAGGCCCGCGAGCGCACTCTTCAAACCAAGACCTCACCGGCGGACGTGGTGATGTTCTCCGGGTCCAAGGATACGCAAACATCGTAAGTCATAGTAATCCTGTTGACTAAAGATATATTTAGTAATCGTACATGATGGACGATTGACTGACCAATGACAGGGCGGATACCTTCCAAGACGGCCAGGCGCGAGGAGCCTTGAGTTGGGCGTTCATTAAATCGCTAAAGCAGTGGCCACAGCAGAACTATCTGCAGCTGCTTAATACGATCCGAGCGGAGCTAGAGGGCAAATATACGCAAAAGCCGCAGCTGAGCTGCAGCCATCCCCTTGGTAAGTTGAACTGCCGTGCAACGGACGGGACATCGGGCTGACAGATCCGGCAGATACAAACCTGCGCTTTGTGATGTGAGATCATGATCATGATCAAGATTTCCAATTCTTACAGGGCATTCCATCATCCCAGCATTAGCATTAGCCCCCACAGCGCCAGCATTATCACCATCCAGCATTGTAGTTTAGAAACGAGCGCCAACGAGCAACGATTCATGTTCATTTCCTTTTCGCTTTCGTTCCCATTCCTCCACCGCGGGGATCTCCACCTGTAATACCCGTAACACGCACTCCACCACCTCCTTGGTGTGTGTGCATCAAAGCAAGGCTGTGGTTTGTCAGGCGCTCGGCCCCATCCCCACCCTAAACACTGGCACTGGCACAACTTGGAACTCCAGCGCTCGAAGGAATGCAATCCCAAGACATCGGCATTAAAAAAGCCAAGAAACCCTAGCCACCGCAGACTAAACTGCCCCCTGGTGATCTTACCCGTGATCCGACATCCGTACCCCGTCCATACGAGCAATAACACCATCAGGGCCGTTCAATCTCCCACGCACGAACTTCCACCCCACCCACTTCGACCCTGAGCTCAAATTTGCTGTGGCTGCGGCGAGCGGAGGCCGCATTGTCCGACGCTAGTTGGGTGGAAAATATCGCGCGATCCTATTTCCCCCCCTGAGGTCGGAATCGGGCCAATCAGCGGTCGACGGCAGAAGATCGCAGGTGGGAACCGGTGGATGCGCTTCCTTTCTTTTCGGGGGGGGAGGCCCACGGTTTTGTTCGGAGCTGAGTGAAGTGAAAGGAACGGGAGAGAAGAGATGGGAAAAAAAAAACGGGGATGGAGTGCGTGGTGGGTGGGTGGATGGAGCTAGGGAAGTAGAATTACAACCAAACCACGCCATGGATGGATTGAATCGCGCGTACTCTGTGTCAGATTTAAGACATCTGATAAAGTGGTGTCCGGAGTATAGTGTTGGTTACCGAGTAGTAGGTAGAGTATTCACTTGGACCCTGGTATGGTAGTATCTGAGGTTGAGGTAGAAAAGGAAGATCTGATAGCAATCTAGGGATATACTAGTAGATCACTAGGTAGTAATAGTGATAGTCGCAAGCCATGAGACAGACTATCATATTGCAATGCAGTACTCCGGACTCTGTAGTAATATTCGTAAATAGTACGGAGTAATAATAATAATAATGAATAATACCCATCTGAAACACATTACATCGTGTTACACGGGCCGGCGCCTGGTAGCTTGAGACTAACTACGATGTCTTGATCCACTTGGTCCTTTTGGGAATGTCGACTCTTTCTTACTCTGCTCGGCGCTTTTTGCTCATATTCTTTTCTGTCTGCACAGCTGTTCCTCTATTCTGGTTCTTCCTTCTTACATACCACTCCTCCCCTAGGGCTGCCACCATCACTATGCTGTCCTCCAACTCCTCCTACTCCTACTCCTCCAGTGTCTCATCCTCCGACCCTCATCTTCCCTACTCCTCTCAACAAGCCTCTACGGTCTCTCTCCCCACTCAACAACCGCGCCGCACTCCCATGGCTGTAAAGTACCCGCGATTCTACGCTACCCCAATCGACATCGACGACGGTCCCAGCACCCCAGTAGAAGTCTACGGCTTTGAACAGCGCGAACCCTCCATAATGGAAAAGCCCGGCATGCTCCGCCGAGTCTCCTACGCCCTCGACGACATCAAAGAGGACTTCTCCCTAAACCTCGACCCCGCCCGTTCAACCGCCAACAAAATCAAGCGCCGCTCAACCCTGCGCTTCGACGCCAACTTCAATCCGGACCAGCGGCCCGCAACGGGTACTCAAGCACACCCTCGACCCCCGCGGTCGCGCCCTGTGTCCATTATGTCCGTTGACCCTCGTCCTGCGCCGCCGCAGCGCAGTCTGAGCCGCCGTCTCTCGCGCAAATTATCCTTCTTGTCGAGCAAGGGCTCCTACGGCAAGAATGCTAGCATCTCTTCGCCGAATTTGATCGGCTCGTCTACCCAGTATGCTAGTCGCAGTCAGACCACTTTCATTTAATTACGGGGTCTGGGTCTGGTGGGGTCCCGGACGAGGACCTTGCGACATTCAATTTGAAACGAAAGAAAAGCAACCCCCCCCGCCCAAAAATCTTGGAAAGGGAGAGAGAGAGAAAGAGAGATCCAGAACGGTTCTACTCTACTCTACTCTCGACTCGACGAGTCTGGTCTTTTCAGTCGCAACGCAACGCTCACCGAAAAAAAAATTATTGCGACTTGGTATGTAACTGACGTTGCCGATCTCCCCGCTGCAGCGACGATCGATCCAATATATACACATCCCGCATATGGAGTTTGGTTTTTGGTTTTCAAGGGTTGGTTTTAGGCCTGGGTGCCTATTTTTCTTATTTTGCTGTGACTTAATCATTCCATTCCCTCCTTTGTCATATATCCACGGCACGTTCATACGCCTCACTGCGTCGGCATTTGTATTTACCTGACCCGCGTTTTTGTTTTTATCTCTGTTTTCTGGTTTCTGGTTCTATTACATGGACTTCTTTAATACTGGGATTGTCGCGCATAGCTTGGCGTTTGGGAAAAATCAAATCAAATCAAATCAAATCAAATCCACCACAAAGCATGAACATAATTACTACTAGTAGTACTCCGTACATAGATTCAACATCCGATCTATCGCAATAAGCATAAAGTCTGCCCTTGACGACGCCTTCCGCGTAACTGCAGGCGTAATTGGCTGTTCCCAACGCCACACCGGCAACGGGCGTCGCCCAAGCCTCAACGAATGACCCGGGTGGATCGTCGTGCGTCAGCCAACTCGACATTTTCGGTATTAGTCCTGTAGCTAAAAATAGTTGATCTCAGCCTGTCCCGGAAACCTATCCATACATATCGAGGACATTGCCTTCTGCCTTGACCTTGGATCGGTCGTAGCGCTGCAACGGTCGCAAATTTAAGAGACACACTGCCAGTGTCATTTATCTACGCCACCTGAGTCAGTCACGCTATTCAAGGTGCTGCTCCAGGTCGCTGTTGGTAACTATTTTCTCCCCCCTCCCCACTATGTACATATGTACTGTACTGTATGTGCTCCTTGCATCACTGCATGAGCATTGCAGATCAACGCTCGCTTTTGCGACTCCACTCTCTCCACATCCCGTTAGACTCGGGGATCTTTCAAGTTGCTACCGGTCTGATTCTAATTCTGATTCCGATCTGGAGTGATGGGGGAAATTATTTCCTGCAGGTCGGGCTGAGGTGAGATGAGATGAGATGAGCCGTTTGATGACGCCTTGCTGCTCGCCCACATGAGGCTATTAGTTGACGAGTCAGGTGACGTGATACGCGATACATACTAGTATTACATACACCGCTAGAATTCGGGGTTGTAGCTCATTATTGCGAATATATTTGGGAGATATCGCATTATTGAAAGCACATTGGGTGGGAATCATGGTAAGATTGAGATAGGGGAGGCTTCTAGTCTACTCCAGGGCTGTGGGCACTCTCTTGCCTGTCTTGTCATGAAGTACTACCGCGGTACTCCGTAGTCTCATACTACTTCTCCCTTAGGATCCATTTGGCATGATGGATCTCATTGATCGAAATAATCCCGGTGTGGGAACGGTGACAATTGCAGAGGAGTCTCCTCAATTTACACTTACCTAGATCTTCATGTTGGAATGGTGCTAGTAGTACTAGTACCTGGGTATTCTACATCTCCAATGAAACTTTGAAGAGCCCTGGAGCAAACAATTCCGTGGTCTGGGCTCAAGTTTCTTTCACCTGCCAGTCAACCAAGTCCGCCTGAGGAGTCACCCCCGCCAAATATAAAATATTAAACTATTTGAGAGCGAGGACAAAGAAAGACACAGCAAACCCATTCCTCTCCAACAAACCTTCAAACGAACCACCCCTCTTCAATCATGAACCCACTTAAGATAACACTCGCAGGCAACGCAAGAGTTCGACGCCAACCCGAACGAGGCATCCTCAACTTCTACGTCTTCAACGAAGGCGAAGACCGAGAAGACGTCATCGAAAAAGTAACAGAAACATCCAACGAGATCAGCGACGTCTTCAAGCAACTCTCGCCAAAAGACGAAGCAGGTAACACAGTCGCCGATGCACCCGTGACAGTGTTCTCAGCAACCTCTCTCCGCACTTGGTCGGACCCCGACACCTGGAAAGAAGCCATGCGGGACGCGGTCCACAAGGCGAATGAATACTCGGATATCATCGGGCGCAAGGTCGTCGCGGTGGCTATCTACGATGGCGAAGGTAGGGTGTCGGAGCCTCAGTATTTTCGAGGGGTGTCGGGTTTGCAACAGCACATGCAAAGTATTGCGGGCGCCTTTGGTGGCAGAAGCAGGTATGCTGCCTGGTCAGTCTATCAAACCTCTGGACTTGAGTCCGCAATTGATTGATCACTCGAGCTTTGTTAATGTTGATCTTGAAGCTACGGCTTGAAATGGGTGTTGGGCGTGTATTGCTTTGTGGTTGGAAGATTGTATTATTGCTTGAGACTGCTCTCTACTTTTTTAGTTTCAAAGGGAGGTTCGTTTCCATTGGATCTTATGACTTGTAGCACAGCTAGTGGAGGACTGCTGATGCACATTTGCTGATAGCAGGGACAATCACTTTTGGTCATGCACGAAGGTGAGTTGATTTCGAAACCAGACACGAAAAAGCGAGACCTTGGAAAATGAAAGAGAGAGAGCCTCGGGAGGAGGGAATATGGTATACCGCAGTAGTGATAGTGTCATGAAAGGCACACATAACTCGGAGTGAATGAGATAAGAAGCAGGAAAATACTGCTAGTATTCCTAGTGGATAGTGCTTTTCGTATGAGGAGACTGATCCCACAGATGTTGCTACTTGTAGAATCGTACCGGTGGGTCCCATAGGTACTGTGTGCTTAGGGTAGGCGGTCAGGCCACACCGTCTGAGGGTATACAGTATCCACAGGTGACATCAATCACTTCGATCGCATCCCAATCAATCGCAAGAGACTACACCGATTGCCGATCCACTGCCAGATCCAACCATGAATCATCCGACAGCTCCTATGTTCCTCCCGCAGTCTAACAATTCTTTATCAGCCACTAATCAATATATGCCAAGCGGAGTCAGAGGTATCAGACGTGTTGAATTTCACGCAACAAGCCGGAGCAATTGAAGAGATGGGAGGATGCGTGGGATACGGTGGGAGACATCTAGATCTGGCACCCGAGGGCGTATGTCGATCGTCGTGCGAGTATGCATGGCAGTGGAGTATACATACATAAACAGAAAGAGAGCGGCAATGATCAGGTGATTGTACTGGGCCTCGCACACAATACACATACCTTTCTACATCTTCTTCATCTATCAACCTGGATGACTCCTAGAAGCCGCCTTCGAAGCTATCCACCGACCCACTATGCCAACCCCCAAACCTTGACATTCCCCGCGTCATGACCCTCACCAGCAAACAGCGTCTGACGGAGGCACAAATCACTACCATCTCAGGCCGCCTGACCTGCGCGAATCTCACCGAGCCCGAGACCGATGATACGGGACGGCACATTGAGAACTGTGCTGGGAACCGTATCGGTGGTTACCATCGATCGCCCCATCCCGCGGAAGTCGGAGATTCCGACTGCAGCCAGCTCTTTCAATGAGCTATACGGGCGTTTCTTCAATGATGTCGGTGGCTTCTGAGACTCTCTGAGGGAGGCCAAGGCTCTTGTCTTCGGGGGCATAGCCCTACAGTTTTTCTCTGGTTAACGGTGGCCTGAATCGGACCTTGATATCTGTATGGATATAGCCACCCTCGCTGGGGTAAATACGATGGGTGGCATACCATTTGCAGCTACCTTAAGAAGAAAGGCTTCATCAATGTCACTAAAACCGACTGGGGACATGGGGAGAAGGGCAATCAAAGCACATCTTCTCCAGGTTACCTAGTGGACTTCTTTGAAAAGGGCACCGGCGCCAATGTACAGTGATTACAGGTCATGCGAACTGAAGGTGATGCACTGCAGTTCATTTAGCACACCTTCCATAGTTCGGTGGTCTGTAATGTCCTCACAGCGGATGAAGCGCTTTTTTATATCCGCTCGCAAGTCTTCAGCAGAAGCTTAGCCATGCCTTCAATTCGCAGCCACCGGATCCTAAGCAGATAGGCTGCATCCAGAAGTACGAAGAACGTGGCTGAAAGTATGCTGGCTGGTCGTCTAAAACAGACCCAGGGGACAAAGAGTACTACAAACGGAGGTTCTTCGATAGCCTGACTATGTGTGTGAAGCTAGGCAACATGGCGAGGAGAAGAGGGAGCGGTGCCGAGAGACTTGTAGCGCAGCAAGGGCGCAAGGGCGCAAGAATGCCGACTCGAGATACAGACCCTGCTATGCTAAACTATTGATGGCGGTGATCAATACATGGAGCAGGAAGCTGTATGCTGCCTAGGTAGAAAACGCTGGTGACAGTACATACCTAGGTACTAGAAATCCCACGTTGGTGTAAATAGATAAGAACTTGAAAATACTAGTAGTACTATACCTCGGTATTACTGACAGTGCAGGTCGGATATCATACTAGTAGATGGTAACATCCTCCCCGGGAGACTCAGATCAATCCGCAACCGATGAACTATCCAGGTGGTTGTCCCGCGTGCGGAGTGAGGCTCGGAAGGCGGAATGGCTGCCTGGATGGTGCCTGAGGCCTACCACCCAACAGGGGATGGGAATTTTCTCTGGAATGCGGTCAACTTCCTTCACCAAATGTCATGAAATAACACCATAGGGACTTTCTCGATTATCATTCTCTTTGCTTTCTCGAAGCCATATTGAAGATGGCGTCAGATCATTCTCAAGGTCCTGCGTCAGACTTAACTTCGAAACCAAAATTTCAACAAAAGCAACGCATAAGTCACACAAAATCGCGAGGTGGCTGCTACGCCTGCAAGAATCGTCACGTTAAGGTACCGAGGATCACATGATGTTTGGCAGGTATTGTGGCTAATCCTGCCAGTGTGATGAAGCGCGACCAGTGTGTGGGGCATGCTCTGTCCGACTTGATGAATGTGTGTTCCCTGATCCAATCACTACACGCGCATCAACTCGGAGGGGGGCGGCTCCTTATGCTCGATCTTCGAGCTCCTGCCCGCAAAGCTCCCAGGGGCTACAAATCCGGCCTCTGGATTTCAATGCTTCCTTTGTCGAAACTGCTCAACCGCACGGAGTGAAGGGCAGCTTGAATTTGCAAGATCTCAAACTCCTGCAGCATTATATTTTGCATACCTCAAGACGGATTACTCTCGGTCCTGATAAAGCTTTAGTGTGGGAGCGTGTCATTCCTGATATAGCCTCTGGAGCAGAGTATCTGATGCATTTGCTTCTAGCGTTGGCCGGACTCGACATGCTGACAGCCCACTCGAAAAATCCCAGTCTCAATGAGGATAACGGCTCATTGACCCAGGTGGTCATCAGTCACCATCAAAAAGGGTTAGAGGGATTTCAGCAAGAAATTCAATCGCATCAAGAATCAAACTCCGAAAATTTGTTGACTGGGTCATTTTTAATCAATTCATTTGCATTTGTGTCTCTTCAGGTGGGGGATCTGGCTCCTGAGGACACTTGGTGCCCTTTTGTGCCGATCGATAGCTCGCATGGCGCTCAAAAAACCCCCGAATGGCCTCGATCTCAATGGCTCAATCTAGTACGAGTCTCGTTCTCAATCGGGAAACAATATTGGATGCATCTCCGAAGAAGCCGACTGAGGTCATTATTGGTCTTCAATAAAGCTAATGATGACTGGAAACACTTTATAGCGGAGTTGACCCCGAGTCCTCCAATGGACTTATCTCAAGGTGCTATATCGGCGAGATTCTCCGTATTTTCATCAAATGCCGTACAAGCTATATGTGATCTCCGAGCATTCTCAAGCACGCTGAAAGCGACCATCACACCGCATTTTGATGATGACAATTCACGTTTCTCCGCCACCCCTGATTCCGGCTCAGGTGCGATGAAACCAACATACTGCCAAGATCAAGATGCCGCTATTGATGTTGTGGAAACGATGTTCATGCGCATCTTATACGTCCTTTCCTTATATCGAACTGGAGCGCAATCTTCCCCAGAGCTCGAAATTCAGTCTGAGATCGAGGACACAGCAATAGCATCATGGCCAACTCTTGTTGAAAGTGGATTCATTTCATCATTAGACTCGACGATTCCCTTTGATTCAGTTCAAGGACTATCATTGGCTATTCTCGCACATCTTTACCTAACCCTTGCCCTACTTGACAAGATATGGCTTTTTGGTGCTACTTTTGATTCAGAGATCAGAAAGATTGCTACTATAATCAATCAAAGCGGGAATGATGGGATTGTCGCACTGATGAAATGGCCCATGCTTGTTGTTAAGCAGCCTCATTCCAAGGTTTGAGTGTCTCTTGGTAGTGTTCTCAAAATGGTCAGCCTTCACGCTGTTTATCGGTTAATGCCCAGGTGATAGAGTTTGAGCGTAATTTATCGTTAATCTATTCCAAGGATTCACTTCTTCTTATAATAAACGGCGAATCGGATCATGAATGGAATCGATTTTTCTTCCCAGGGGGGTTTCTTTATTATCTAAACCGGGTACCATCCAAAGTTTGATTCGGATCATATATCTGGTCAAAACTTGAAGAATCATTTCCTGAGAGCCTGGTCAGTGTAATCTACTTATGGTTTTCTTACTAGTAGGATTTATTGAAGTAATTGACATGATATCTAGCTAGGTACTCATGGGGTCAATTTACGAACTTGAAACTAAAGATGAAGTAGTAGTATAAACTGTCATAAAGCTTAGTATATTGGAGGTTCGCTTAATGATCCACTGATCAAACAGGACCCATTTGTGCTTCTTGCATTTGATCCCCCAATTGGTGACGGCCGTTTTTCGAGGATGGAGTTAAAACCGTGCACGGGTGAAACACGTTCATCGCGACCATCGCAAAAAGCATTAAAGTGGCGTCAAAAACATACATGAATGCCTCATGACTAATCAAATAGCCATCATTTCCCTGTGCGTATTCCACAAGACGGAAGACAGACCTCACCAGAATCAAGATACTGGCAAAGTATAGCCCCCAAAGGACATTTTCCCAGCTACGAACAGGTCTCCCGCGATGATCCCGTTGAACTCCGATAATTTGCTGCGCTTGTTTTGAGCGAATCCGAATGTGAAAGACGACAGATGTGATCACGAAGACGGTAAAGAAGAGAAGTTGCACACAGAGACCGCCGATCGTGACATTTTCGCCTGTCGTCATTGCACTTAATGTGCCGCTTGCCATGATTCCTCCGCCTAGAAGAAAACTGTTAGTGATACTTTGAAGTTACCTAGGTAGAGAAACCATATGCCACATACCTGCTGCCTGCATCACGAATGCAATTACATCGCCCGTAACAAAAATAATTGTTAGCCACCGCAAGGGCACTATACTGTAACTTTCTGCACCAAGATGCGCGATGAGCCTCCCCAGGACCATGTAAATAGATACGGCGTAAAGTGGAGGTGCCAATAGAATGAGGAGAGTTTGGATCGAATAGATAGGTATGCTTTTCGGATTCGAATGTGCCACGGCGCGCGCAATATAGCCGATTATCTGAACTGTTTTTATACGATTAGAACCCAAGAATCGAGATGTCAAGGAGGTGATTTTAATCTCACAGATTCCACCCAGAACGAACGCAGTAAAGTACCAAGACCGGCTTCTTATAAGCTGGTAGAGATGATAGGCAGTCGTTAAGGTAAACAAAGCAACAAAGATAACAGCACCAACGATTGAAGGAGTGTATCTGTAGAGTTGAAACTCATAGTATTGCCCACTTGGGTCGCTCATGGTCGATCGCGGCTTAAATTAGATTGGGAACCGTAATGAATGAAAATCGACTAAGTATGCGAATGTTGCGAAAGATCGATCTTGTAATGACAGAAACTTAGGGATTGGAAAACTTTTGTATTAAATCTTAAGTCCATAATCATATAGCAGATTTTCGCCCCTGGGCACTGCTACCAAGGACAGACTAATAAAATTTTAGTCCCGGCCTGCCAAATGCGGATTAGAGTTGAGAAGATCGGAAACGCGAAGATACGGGAACGCGAGAATGCGGGAATACGAGAATGCGAACTTGAACCTTGGAAGCCAATCAATTTATAGATTCTTGGTGGGTCCTTATAAGCCACTATTCCTTGTGGGGCCACGCCAAAATTCTGATTTTGTATTTTCAGGGTTAGAAAGTTGAGGGGATATTTTGTAGATAGTGGATAAACAACGGCATAAACTATCGATTCTATCTACCGACCTCGGTACTCAATATGAGTGCCTTTCCTACTACCAATCCATCGTTACGCTGGACTACTCACAAATTCAATATCGAGAAGCAATGCCATCCATGGATCCGATCAAAGTGCGATCTGACTCCCTTCCGTCGTCCATATTCTAGAATTCCGAATTTCTGGTAGTCCGCTAAGAGTTTTGGGAGTTTTACCTGGGGACCTAGTCACACACCAACGCATGGTGATGTTTGTATAGCCCCCTACGTGGCGTATCGAATTTAGAATCATGAAACCCAATGGTCTTTCACAAGAGGAAGTACCATCTTATCTTCATTGTCTAAGTAACCATGGCGCCCACTAATGGAAACCTTACAGAAACCGGTATCTCAGTTTTGTAGAATCATTATCAATATCATGAAGTTGGTAACGATGAATTATGCTAACTGGAGGATTGGAAAGAGTGTCAAGCTTAAGATGCAAGAGTGGTAAGTTCTAAGTTCTACTTTCCTGCACACGCAAGCGCACAGTTTTGAGATGGGGATCTATATCATCCAACTCAAATGTAGGAACTTATATGAGGCCTCACTTTCGGCTTTTTTTAAATCGTAGATCGGCGGAATCTGGTAATTAACCATTATATCGGGTATAGAATTTACTGAGATAGATCCAAACTGAAATGAAAAACTAGAATTTCTATTACTCGAACAGCTATATCCTTTCGTTGAGGGCTACCCAACTCCCATTATCCTGTTGCATTGATTCTCCAAGCCCCGAAGGGAAGACATTACCCGCATGAACAAAGTGAAACATCAATTGCACAATACACATTGGCACAGCGTCGAAAATGTACATGTAAATTTCATGACTTGCAAGATAGCCGCTGTTTCCTTGTGAAAATTCAACGATGCGATAGACGCATCTCAAAATGATAATGACAGCAGCTCCGAATAAGAGCTTCATCAAAGACTTCCAGGTGTGCTTTCCATATGCTGGAGTAGTGTATAGCTTAGCAGAAGATTGCATTCGCTTCCAAAACACCAAGGAAATAGCTAAAAACAAACTGAAAAATAGGAGTTGACAAAACAACCCGACGAGCATGATTTTCTGACCGAGATTGGCCATGTCAGGTTGAGCCATCATACCACCACCGCCAGCTTGCATGAAGAATGATATAACATCTCCGAAAACAAATATTTTTGTAACACGATCAGGTCGAATCATGCTTGCGTCAGGCGAGTGGACAAAATTGACTATCCGACCATAGATCATATAGATTGTTGCGGCGTATAGAGAGGGCGGTAAGATGATAAAGAGCGATTGTATAATATAAGGTCCAAGTTCAAGTGGTGACTTTGCCGAGATGTAGCGAGCGATGTATCCAACAGTCATCACTGAGATTTGTTAATAGTAAACCAGGTGCAAGTTGGGGTATACGTACTTATGGCACCAGTTATCAATGGAATATAGAACCATGTCCTTTTCTTTATCATCACTATGAGATGATAGATGGCACTGACTCCAAACAGGGCAGCCATTACTATGGTTGCGCTTTGATTTGGCTTGTATTCGTAGATTCCATTGTCACTGATAGTATCGTTGTTTGCCATAACTGAGGGATTTTGAAATATAGTAACTGCTCCTTTTTGGAAATGAGGGTTTAGCGAAGATATTTATACCCCCGTCTTCCAAGTCTCTGTTGCTAGGGTTCGAGAGTGGAACTTGAAGGCGAACAAAAATAAAATGCAAAAGCGGTCAAGTGGCCCAATAATCAAGAGAAGAGAAAAAGGTGAAACAGGTGAAACAGGACACGCATTGATACTAGGTAGCTCGGTGCCTGTGGATACCTAGCGATAGTTTTAGGCTCCATGATTACTTTTATTCTAGAGACTATAAGGTATCATGCCCGGGCGGAAACGAATTGATTTATCCTCGGGAAGTACTAGGATTTCATACACCATGTTCTGCAAAGTGTCTTAATGGCAATCATTCCAGCAGCTAAAGAACGTGAGAGTCTTCATAATTCTTAAAGATGGGGAAGTAGAGAAATTGGCTGTGTATACGTTTCGTCAATATCGAGTGCCGACGGAAGCTTCCCGAGCTGTGTGGGTCTATAGCATTTGGTCTGGCGACAACTTTAAAAATTCAAGAGTGGGTCCAGACACTCAATACGAGAATCCGAGAGTATTGCCGGCGATTTACCGATCCATGAGTGGATAAACATGCCCCTGAATTCTCAAGCGCTTGGTATTTTACTGTCAACTAAGAGACAGATTTGCCAAATTCGATATGTAATATGATAGTATAAAATACGGCCTTTATTTCCTCCATTTGAGTATTTCACATTGTCATTTTGTAAATAAGGCATGGCTACAACTTCCGCTTTTCAAGCATATGCCCTTATGGCAACGCAGGAAGAATGGATAGGCTACCATATGAAAAGTAATACTCTAATTGCGCCGCTCCCGTAATGGAAGATGGATGTCTTTAATTGCAAAATATTGTTTGTTCCTCCACTAATTCTGCAGGATGCGAATGAGCTTACGCCGTAGGTTGACGAGAATATGGAGGCAATAGTATGTGATAGGGCAGAGAGTATCATAATGAAACTGGAGAATGGTCCCACTTCCAAGGTTGTATTAGTACATCCTCGTATCATCTATTCTTCTGATTTGCTTAAACCCATTCAAGTCAATCTACACAAGCTTTTAATGGTCGATGTAGAGCAAATAGCTATCATAAAAACCTGTTACAATGGTTGATTAGAATAAGCCATATTCTTCTGCCTGTCTATTTTCCCATCTCATTTGTGAATTTACTAGCTATATAATCGTGATACTCACCCCTTATGGGCGTACTAGTACTTGAGCCCAAACACTATTAGCTCGCGCTTCTATAAATGTCTACATGACTCACGGACCGCCATTACAATCCAAATAAGCAATCTAGATCAAGAGACTCGGAATCAAATCAAATTCATATTTAAGAGCTCGAAGTATAGGGAAAACAGGTATGATTTGATTATGTCAATCGATCATGTTACTTTCCAAATGCGGAATCGGCCCACCCATACTTGAGCCATCCGTACTTTCCTATTTGAAAACCGATTTTTACCTTCTTCTCCATCGTTAGGTGTTCCAACCTTCTTCCTTCATCTTCCACCACATTATTCCCTTCTCTCATCCTGTAATCGGACCCCTTCACGATGGATGATTTACGGCGTGCCATCCAACACTCTAGTGAAGACTTGCCTATCTCTGCGACATCCGCGCTTCGTGCAAATATCAACCTGATGAATCGGCTATCTACGATCCGTGACCAACACCACAATGAATCCGTCATCAACGACTTAGATCTTCATGAGTGCTCCTCGCCCGACACCATCTTGTACCGGGTTCTCACTCCTGAACCCTGTTCGAATACGGCCTCCCCTTTTGCTCACTTCCAACAGACCCAGCAGTCTTTACCATTTGTCGAATATCGCGTCATTGAATTTGGACAATGCGGGGTGGTATTCGAAATGCCTGGATAAGGAAACGTCCTGAAATTCGCCAAAGTTTCGTACGAAGACGCGCTCTGGGACGACTTGAAAGCACACTTACGCGTAAAGGAAGCTTTTGAGAACCCTCAAAATAATGCCATTCACTGCGGTGTTCCCAAACCCTTTAATTACATCCCCAAAACGAACAACACATGGTGGGAACGTAATATGAGCTTTTTCCCGACTGTCCACGATTCTATCACACTGCCCGCCATGACTCTGGCTTCAGAACGAACTCCTCCTCTTCCAACAATCGCGCGCGAAGCACTGATAAATAATCAATGTGCAGCCGAATATCGTCAATTTGCCGCTGCCAACCCCACGAATCGGGACTGCTTAGCTCGCAAATATTTGTGTCGTCGCCATATGAAAACAACCCCTTCCCCGAACCTCACACTTCGAAACTTCAATCTCCATTTGGACCAGATGATTGAACTCAAATACCCTATAGGCAATCTAGCTACGGCCATAGGTGAAGCACTGGCTGTCATTCATCGGTTGGCTAACGTGGATGCCTACGATATCGAATTTGTTCTCGGCAGTGAAACAGACAGCAGATACAAACATAATGTTCTTTCAACTCTCAAACCGAGTTCTGATCAAGTGGTAGCTATGCCAATGTATACAGATATCGAGCATCTTCTAGCTGTCAAATCTGAACGACATGCAACACGCTTGTGGGTCTTTGATTTCAACCTTTGCCACATTTGGTACCAAGATACAGGCATAAACCATCCCGAATCACTTATCACCCATCTTGTTGAGGCATTTTCCGAGGATGATCCTTACTATCCCCTACCACTCATGGAAAACGCCCTGGAACACGGATTATGGGACATGTTTAGCAATAGTCACATTAGAAAGGCTAGTGAAGCTCTTCAGGCAAGGGACCCACGGCTAGCTTGTCTTCCACAGAAGTTCATTGATGGCTGTCTCGCGGGAGATGGAGAGTCTCCGGAAGGGAATTGGTCATGGTCACCGTGAAATGAAGCAGTGATGGAGAAAGGAAAAAAGCTCTGGAATTATGTGATTGAGGTCTTTCTTCGCTCGTTCACCTTCAATATGATGATTTCCGTTCGTTGCTACTGTTTTCAAGGTTTAAAAATATCAACTCGTAGCATTCACACTGAAACTTGAACCCTTCTAGAGAGATTCCTCGCCGTCCCTGCCAGTTCCAGTGCTCCATTCCACATGGTCGGTAAGCACCGGTTGATCAATGTCCTTAACTGCAGCAGTTCGCTTGATTTCAGCCTCTTCATGATCAACGTATCTCTGTGGCCGACCTCTGCAAACTGCCTCACGATCCCCAACCACAATGAGAGACGGTTTTGTCCGATAATAAGCATCAATGTCTTCAAGACTCCGATTGGCTGTAAAATGTCAGTGTCATATTCGAGCAAATAAATCAAAGGGTAGGTTGAAAGACCTGTTTCTGGATAAAGAAAGTATATGATGGGCAAGAACAGAAAGTTGGTCACTGTCCACACAATCCAAAATCTCCAGCCAATATTTTGAATCCCTATGGGGGTTATTTCCACAATTATGAAATTAGTGAGCCTGTGATTTTGGTGAGAAACCTCCTGAGAATCATTGAGAGTTTCATTCTCTTACCAGTCAGTTCCGGTGGCGATTGCTGCGCCCTTGGTTCTCATGGGCAGAGAGTTGATTTCTGTCGGATACAGCCAAGGAACGCCCAGCATTCCAACACCAAAGCTCGCGTGGAATAGGAATATAAAAGCAACCGAAGCAGATCCATATGAGTCATTGTCCGGGTACATGTCTGTATAACGAAGCAAAATGGTGATTGCTAGAAAACACACAAATTGACTGAATGTTGAAAGGAGCATCAACCCTCGGCGTCCCATTCGTTCAACTAAAAGGACAGCGAGTCCCGAAAAGAAGAAGTATGAGATGGCGTTACAAGCGGTTAGCAAGCGTGCCATCTCGTCCGAAAATCCCACGGAGCCTTTGAGCACAGTCGGCAGATAGTAAGACATGATGTTGATGCCCCCAAATTGCTGCATAAATTGACTGCCGGCGCCAAGGAGAAGGCGACGAAGTGTGTTTGTGTCACTTGGTTTCTTCTTTAACAGATCCCGCCATCGAACCGAATTGTCACGTTCGTATTCGATGGTGAAGTTGATTTCATTGCGCTGTGCAATGACAAAAGGATCGTTTAGTGATTTGGCCTCCAAGCAACTGATCACCTCCACAGCCTCATCCTCCTTGCCATGCGCCAAAAGCCATCTAGCGGTGTTTCAAAATTAGCTTTTTGCAAATTCCTTAGTAAAACCCACATACCGAGGTGACTCTGGAAGCCAAGGGGTGGTGGACCACAAAATAAAGAGGAACAAAAATTGCAATGCAAGTGGGAGTCTCCAGGCAATGGCACCGCCTGCAAAAGATAAGCCATAGTTAACCCAATTCACAAAGGCGTAGCCGGCAATATTCATCATCATTTCGAGGATTACTAGCTTTCCACGCCATTTGAGTTGCGAAGTTTCTGCGAGAATAGGTTGTTAGTCTCTTGGCGAAGCTCAATCGTTCAAAGAAATTACCGGTTTGCCACACAGGGGCTGTCGCAGTGTTGACGCCATTTCCAATTCTGAGAGCCAGGTTGTGAGATGAATAATCAATCTCGTTCGAGATATTTTGAAACACAACTCACCCTGATATGATGCGCCCCACAAACATTTGCGCCAAGCTGAAAGATGTCGCTTGTAGAACGGCCCCAACAGCCATGATAGTGGTTCCCGCCAAAACAGTCTTCTTTCGACCTAGAACTTCACCCATTGTGAAAGCTAGAATAGCCCCAAGAAAACAACCGACATCGTAGATTGCTGTTACAGTGGACAAGGTTTTCGTTTTGGTCGGCCCGACGAGGTCATGAATTTCGAGGAAGTCTTGTGTGATGACCACGCCGCTAAAAACGCCTTGATCGTAACCGAAGAGGGTCATATCTGTTGCGCAGGCAACCTGGAAGGTCCGTTCATCAGTGCTTGATTGATTGCGAAGGAGGATTGGATGTCAAAGACATACCGTCACCCAAAAAGTCAGCCATCCTCCGGTCAGTCCGAAGTAAGGCCGACTCTTTTTCCCCGCTGCCTTTGTCATTATCAGAGAACAATAATACTGGTATTATGTGTGGTGTGTATTCAATGGAAACAAAGAATATATTCAGAGAATCCGCCCGGGCGCAAGGTATCCGTGGATTGTAAGCAAAACAAGACGCAAACATAAATCAGGCCACCGGAGTAGGGGTGCAGCCATGTTTATACTGACCCAAATGCAGGACACTATCATACAAGGACAATCACTGCGAGTCCGGCTAAATCAAGTTTGACCTTCTTGACACCTCACTTGCAGAAACACAATGAGGGGAAGCCAGAGGCGGCAATGTAAGCGAATCCTTGCTCGAAACCGACGCCCAGCGATCACCAACTCGACCGCCTAATATGCCATTTATAGGATAGTATGTTTTCTTCGCAGCCTTTGGAGCGATGATTGGTAGGACGATCGTCTCGTGCCGCACTTTAACCGGTCACATTCCGTCATTGCGTGGGGGGGACGTAGGCGGGGAGGAGTGGGGAGAGAGTGGGGAAATCCGGGGAAAGTCCCAAGGCTGTATGCCCAGTTCAACGGACTGGGATACGATAAACAGAAATGACAGATGGGAGCCAAAAAAAAGTCTGGAAGTTCTCGGATATTTAGAAGAGAGTGAATAGCGTTGAACATACGGCCCGAAGATTGTGGACGCAGAAAATCAGATCTAGACTGTATGTGTTTCAACCATGGTGTTTTAAGAATTTTCAAGACTGCTGCAGCTAATAGGAACGTGAGTCTGATATTCTGAGAGGAAGAGAGATGGATGTTTTTAAAGCCAAGGGTGAAATTACTGCCAGATCTTCGGTGCGTTCCCAAACCCACATCAGCAGATGAGATGTTAGCAGTGGTAGATACCTAGCGAAGGTGAGAAAGTAGAATTCTGGCCATCTATTGTAGTTCGTGGTAACACACATCCAGCATCTTTTCTAAATAGACAGATAGGGTATTCAGATAGCCAAATGGGGTGTCCGCTTAGTAGTGCCCCAATACTGTCTTTAATATCGCCATTGTATGTAACTCTGGAGAGTAATTGAATGGTGGACTTCAAATGCAACAAAAACGCCTAAAGAAGTGGGTGATATGAGTAGGATGATCGCCCAAATCCACGAATTCCAGCCGAGGAAGACAATATGTAGCCCCGCCAACTTGTTCTTGTCGCTAACGGATTTAGTATAACCAAAAAGTGGTTTGTAACTTGAAAGGCTTGAATTCCGGACGGTCGCCCTGCTTTTGTGCACACTTTACGAATGCCGGCCATTTTTCCTAATTGGGTATCTGATCGGCACACCTGGTACGATGCTAACTTTTCAAAGGTTCAATTGGAGAGGAACATAATGTATTGAGCACCTACAGTGAACAAAGAATTCTGAAGACTGACATGAAGATTTAATTCAAAATAAATACTCATAGCTTCATGATTCTTAGCGCCAGTCGGGAAGCGCCGTGGTTTCACCTGCCTAGGTGGTTTTAAGAGATAGTGCTTGGCATCAAACACCCTAGAGGTATTATGATATTTCTTTGAAGCAAGGGGCTTAGTTTAATTGATTTTCTTTTCCGTTTCGGAAGTTCTTGTTTGATAAATTATCAAATTTCTACTCGCTGCCTTACATTAGTGTACATTCACAGCAAATGATCCATACCGACTGGTGCTGAGAATGCATCTATAGTGTTTTTCTATCTTTGCCGGTCATTAATTAGACTGATTTCCGCTAAATTCATAGTGTAAAATCCAAATATCTGCGAGAAGAACTGTCATTGGTAGTAGCTCTTCTTTCGCACAACTCGGAAATATCGTCGGAGTTATATCGGCTAAACAAACTTGAATCAGACAACGGCTCATAAATCCATCGGATGTCGATCAAAATATTTCCCACCAGTCTGGTACATAGCAGCAAAAAGTCTCTTTGTACCAGGAAGAATTGAGTTTCCAGGAATGATGCTGGTGTTTTAGACAATGGCCGTATGCCAAGCGTAGAATCGTTTCATACTTGCACAGCCTCCCTGTTGTGGATTGATCGATCTACCAATCGCAGGGAAGTACTAGCCCTGATGATACCTCTGACAGCTTCTTGCGAGTAAAGATCATCATAGCCAAGGAATCCCTGTTATTGACTGTCTTGAGAGGCTAGCTTGTAGTTTGGGAGTAACTCGTCGAGCGAACCTTTGATTGAAGACATGTGAATTTTTAGTTACAAGATGGGCGGGTGATGTAGACAAAAAGATACCCCATGAAGGATTTAATGGAACAATAACTCATGTGCTAAATAGATAATTAAAGGTTGAAATAGAGAATAGTCGATAGATCCCGCTATGGAAGCAGGTACCGGCCCTGAAACTGTTTATGGAAAAGGAGTATAACTGCCAAGATGATGATTTTCTCCTGACTGTCTCATCATGATATCAAGCCGTATATTAATCCAGCCGAAGGGTATAAAATGAAGACAGAAGAAGGGTCTGTATATGGCTCAGCCAGCTTCTTCTATTCTTCAAAATCTTCCACTACAAAATATTGATTCCCTCCATCATGTACAACAAGGCGATTTTTCTGTCTCTGGTTTCCACCGCCCTGGCCCTTCATGGCTCCTCTCATTCCCATCTAGAAAAGCGCTTTACTTTTCCAATTCCCTCATCCAAAGGAAGTGTGACCCTGGATGAACCCAAGGTCATCAGTGGAAATATGACATTCGATGGCGGTATGAAGACATACGGCCGCGGGGTTGAGTGTACTGAGGGAGAGGGTGGTGACAAAGACGCTGTCTTCTGGATCCAGAATGGAGGAACTCTGAAGAATGTCATCATCGGCTCCGATCAACTGGAAGGAGTGCACTGTATGGGCGCCTGCACGATCGAGAATGTTTGGTGGGAGGCCGTGTGCGAAGGTACTATATTCCCAAGAGATGAATGAAAAAAAAAAATCAACTAACATGAATCTCTTCATAGACGCATTGTCCTTGAAGACAGGGTCCGGCCCTTTCAATGTCATCGGAGGTGGTGCGCAGGGCGCCGAGGACAAGGTCATTCAACACAATGGCCCTGGCACCGTGAACATCCAGGGGTTCACCGCATACAACTTTGGAAAACTCTATCGCTCCTGTGGAAACTGCGACGAAATGTATGAGCGTCATGTAACCATTTCCGGGGTTACTGCTGTCAAAGGCAGTGTTCTAGCTGGCATCAACAGCAACTATGGCGATACCGCGACTATCCGAAGCAATGTGTGCGCAACCGAAGTCGACACAATTTGCCAGGAGTACGAGGGTAATGACTCTGGTGAAGAGGTAAGTGAAGATCTCGACACACTTTCTCTAATTGTTTCGGAAAACTGATCTAAAAATGTTCAACAGCCCCCTGAGAGCTCCTCTGGCCCTAGCTCTGCATGTAAATACACGGAGTCTCTTCCTGCTTGCTAGATCAAGTACAAGACTCTGGTGATCTTCATCCAGTGACGCTAGCGAGATCAAACATACAGTCCCTTGCTACGCCGAATTGTGTACTTGTGGGAATTTTCGACGAAGAACTACCAGTAGTTAGTGCGCAGTTCCATACATGCCTTACTATCCGTGGAATTTGGCTACCAATCTCCTGCGCTCGTTAGGGACACCCACAAAACCCATCAAAAACCTGTCGGGGAATTCGCCACTCATTTCAAATACAGCCTGAAATCTATAAAAGCTTCTGGTTCCCAAATTCCGCATATGTAGCAATTGATTAGTATTCAAAGACCGTACGGTCTGACCCTCGGAGGGAGATACCGAAGGAGCTCTTGAAATCTTTAGGATAGTGATTCGGGATAAGATGTCAAATTATGGACTTTCGAAAGCTAAGCTGGTGCTAAAAACTTGACACAGTCAATCCAATGACATATTAGGCATGATTACTTTCCCTCCACGGTAACATCCGGCCCCCCCGAATTTCCCATTAAGGGTAAAAGTAAGAAGCCTCCCACTCTTAATTTCCTCCTTGCGGCTCTCAAGCTCTTCAACATTCCAACAAACATTGAAATACTTCCCCGACAAAAACGACCTATCACCAGTAGCCAACCAAACGGCCGTGCCTCCAGAGAGCTCCGGAGTGTCTCCAATAAAAGGCGCGAGCCAAGGCACACTGTGCGCCATATTAGTTGCCACCACACCCGGGTCCAGATTGACGGAAGTGATGGTGGGATGCTCCATGGCTAAAAACTGCGTGAATTTGGACACGGCCAGTTTCGATGGAGAATATGAGCTCATTCCAGGCGGAACGCCCTGAGATGCCGTCGAAATCACATTGATGATCGTTGTAGGTGCTGATGGAACCTCTCCTACGTGCTTGAGAAAGGCTTTCGTTGCGATGAATGTTCCTTTGACGTTTATTTCCTGCGTCCCTCCGGGTCAGCCGTGTGCAAATTACGTCGGGATTTTTAGCTCTACCAGTTAGGCTGGTATAACTCACCTGGGTTTTCCACCAGGATTCCACGTCAGTGTTGACGATTGTGTCGAGTTTTACGAGTTGCCCCGCATTGTTGATGAGCACCTGTGGCACGCCTAGCTTCTCCACCGCTGTCTCGAAAGCTTTGTTCATGCCTGCCTCGTCAGTGACGTCAACCGGAATTGACAAAACTTTCGTCGAGGGATTTATCTCATTGACCAGTCTCTCTGTCTCGGTCAGACCCTCGCTCGATCGGCCGAGGAGAACTAGGGCGGCGGCATTGGCACGGGCAAAGGATACGGCGAAGCCCTGTTCACATATCAGCGTGATGAAGTTTTTTTTGGAAGGTTTACTCACCAACTGTCCTATTCCGCGACTAGCTCCAGTGATAAAAATCACTTTGCCCTCCTGAGATAACTCCGGGCGAGTAGGGTCGACGGCAGGGTACACGTCACGATAGTTCTTTCTTGTGAAAGCGATTTCTTTGACTGCGCAGTCAGGGTCAAATTCGAGGGTGGCCATGGCGAATTGAATATGGCAAGGTATTATGCGAGTCTGGATAGCAATATGGTTTAATTAGTATATATTGGAAGACTTGAAGGAGGAGGAGAAGTGGAAGTGGAGTGTCAGTTGGGGTGTCGTATTTATAGGTGCCGAGAAAAGCCCTAACTCATCTCACCCTCGAGTGGGGGCCAATCTGAACAACAACTTGAACATTTGATAGTTCAGCCAAGGCTTCATCTCCTTGAAACCGATCTAATAAATAGTCTAAAAAGGGGTCTGGAATAGTGAAAGGGAACCATAACAGGCATTTATCTTCATCAAATCATCATGTGGTCAAAGATTACCACTATTCAAGAAACGGCGGCCTGGACTATTCATCCGAAGAGGACCTTCGAATAACTTGCTAGTAAGTTTGAAAGAGGAGGAGCTGTCAAAATAGATGGGAGACAGTTTAGCATTAGGAGGGGCCCCAAATTGGTCGCAAGGTGTTAGGAGGTGAGCCAAGTAAACGACTCGGAGTGACCCCTTGAACTAATTACCTGCAACGGAGGGCCTTAAGCGCGGAAAATAGTCAGATGGTAGCCGCCCTGGCGGGAAGTAGGTGAGGCTCCCGCGCTGTAGTGTCACGCGGCTTGGTGAGCAGGGTGAATGTGACTTAAAGTTCAAGTTCAACTTGGTGTTCGAGTTGGAATTCGAGAATAATCGCTCGGCTGGACCGGGGGTAGTCTGGTGGAGGCAGGACGTCCATGGTGGATAGGGTGAGAGAATCACTGTCGAACTTACTTCGGGGCTTCAATGAAGCGGGAGGTATGTACTCAGGAAGCTCAACCCCTGGTTGTGATTCTATAACCCGTTCTCTGCTCTTAATACAGAAAGCCCGTTGCAATGGATAAACTCTTGGAGGGTGTTGTGGGAAATAATCAAGCGTTTTTAGAAAGTATCATGATGTTTAAGTTACCTTTACAATTATTTATGCCCAACAAACCAAAAATAACATGGTGGCTCGTGTCTTCAGACATGAGATTTCTGCCGGTGGTCACTTTAAAACACCGCTTCCAACATTTACTGCTCAATATTCATCTGTCAAGTTGCTATATCTAGCAGTAACTCATGATATTTAAGTGGCTTCTTTCTTAAGCGTTCAAATTCGAGCTCTAAGTTCCCAATTTCCCAGAATATTAACACAATTAGTGTCATCAAGATGACATCACCAATCAGCCATTGCTAGTAGCAATTGATCTATCAATTCAAATAATTTTTCTATCATATCCCATTACCTTCAATTTTGAAACCTCTACCAAAAGATGGCAGCTCCGACTTCAACCCCACCAATAAGTGACCCTCCCACGCCAAACGACGATGACAGTCCCGGCAGCATACACTCAATCTACCCGACTCTACTCGACGAACAAGAAGACCCACTAGAAGAAGGAGTCACAGATAATATAGTGGCGCTATCTGCACAATACGCCAGTGGTGGACCTAGATACAACGCAGTGAAGACCCATAAAGGAACACTTTATAGCGGGATCGCAGTCGGAAGTTCGCACACATGAACCTACGAACCGGGAACATGGAAAGAAACAAAAGAAGGGCCCGATCGCTGGAGAATCGATTACTAGACTAAGAAGTTACGCGCGCGTAATGCGCCGAAGGGAGTGGCGCGCCTGTTGGCACGGAGTATTACTGGTTGATTATTGGACATCAGGTGCGTCTGGCGATTTTCTGAAAGAAAAAAGGGAGCCACCTTAGGCTTCGGACTGAGAAAGGACTCGTAGTGACTATCGGCATCACTATCACTAACCAATTGAGTGCATAGCATGTGCGCAAACTCGACGCGAATTGCTACCAACTACGCCTAACAGGATCGAGTATAAATTGGCGCATAAATCGGTGACATCGCCTCTTGGTCGATTCCCACGGTGCGGGAGCAGCGGGAGCGCGAAGTTGAAATACTACGGGATGTGCGGCGTCGAGTGCATGGTCTTCCGCCTGTTTTAGCTCGTGAAAGGGTCCAGGTGGAGCAGAAGGAGAAGGGACAATTGAGACTCGACTCGTTGTTTAAGCCGATTGTCGGACCGGATACTGTGTCAGAAAAGAAACCAGTGTCCGCGAAGAGAAAATGCGCATAGATTACCAATGTTATCGCATCGGCTACTGCATACGAAATGGGAATGAAAGGGGTAGATAAAGTAGAATTGAGATTCAATGTCTTTCGCGTATATAGGTGGTATAAAGTAGGGCTCTAAATCAAAAACCAAAAGAGGAAATACTAGTCCAAAACTCCCTCAAAGAGAACGCCAAAAGTCGGGGTACTTGTAGGTGGGTGGGTGGTGGGTGGGTGGTGGGTGGTCGACTTCAAGAAGCAAGCCCTCCTCGGCATAATCGTGGCCGCGGCCATTCGCCGAGGGAATCTGTGCCCGCCCACCCCACCAACCTAGACGATCACCGTATGAAACGCCAAAAGAGACCATCCCTCGAAGGTCCCAAGCCAAATTCTATTGGATCCAGTCCAACTCGTTAGTAACTGCGCATGCCAAGCCAATCACGCTGTGTCGTCATGTTCAGCCTGGGATCAGATCTGGCCCGCTCTGCAGGCACCGAGGCACCGAATCACATGTGCTGACTGATAAGATCTCATACTCATAGGGTTACACTCTCGAGATCTCGCATGACGATGGACATCTGCGCGCGCTTCGCCGCCTCCGCAACGAGACTGAAGTCCTGCAGGAATGGTGCTGTCGCCGTCGGACCTCCTAGCCCGTTGCCTCCTGCCTGCGGAAGGACATCCGCGGGTTGAGTGGCGGGTGGCACGTCCGATCGTGGCTGTGATTCGGAATTATGTCCCTGAGGCGCGAGTGGTATCCCAGCCGGGTGCGAGGTGTTGCCGAGGGCCTGGGCGAAGGGTTGTGTCTGAGACATGGTGGACTCGGCAGCGCAGGCGGAGATGGGGTGGGAGGCTGCTGCGAAGGGCTGGGTAGTCGAATTAGAGGGATGAGGATTGAATGGGTTCGCAGGGTGTGAGATGGTAGAGTTGAGAGTGGAAGAAGGAGCGAGAGTTGAGGTTGGAGAGATGAAAGTCGCAGGCTGAGCGGGGGCCTGAGGGGTATGGGCTGATCGAAGAGGGTCCATCTTGCGATGCAAATGCAGATGCGGATACCGAAGCAGAAGCAGAAACAAGCGCGAGAGTTCAGGAAATCCCTTTGAAGTGGTTGGGGATATATTGACGCGTGGGAGTGAACAAAGGTATGCAGGATCGAGGGATCCGCGATGACCGAATCGAAGCCACTGTAGAGAGATCGAAGCGTCAGGGCCCCACGGATGAGGGGATGGCAAGGGACTCGGTATAAAGGAATCCGAGCGCTCAAATAAAGCCAGACTAGAGAGTGAGCCTGGGGAGGAGCGCAAATAGGGGAGTGGTGAAGGAATTTGGGGGGGAAGGAGGAGAGACAAAGGTAGGAAAAGAAAAGAAAAGACGTGATGGGTCGAAAAAGGAAAAGAAGAGAGGAGTTCGCCGATCCCGATAATTACCCGTGTAATACGAGGGTATCTCCACGCCTCTCCACATCAATTTGTGTGTCAATGTGGCAAATTACTGTAATTACCGTATCGGAGTACGCCTCGGCATGTCGAGTCGAGTCGAGTGTCTCATAGACAAAAACAAAGACAATCTAGATAAATATAGGATAGGTCATAACTATGATATTTCATTTTTGTATTCTATATTCTACAACTCAGATTCCACTTCTCGATTGACATTTTCCTCCAAGGTTGCATTCTACCATAATCGGCCATTGATTTAGTGCACGTAGTATACAACTGTCCACGTGATTGGCCATCACTTTTCAGCTCTCAATACAATAAAGTCTATGCAACTGGACGATCCACACAGGACCGTATGTACAGTATGAGCGGAGTACTCCGTACAGCTCTGGCTTCCCCAGTGAACAGCCAGCTATCCTCAGGTAATCATTCAAGGTCAGTGATCCGGAGGTTCATCGCGCGAATCACGAATATGAAATCCTGTCTGCCTGATATATCAGGCCAATATACCCCACTGATAAGGCGATAATCAGCTAATAATTTTTGATCCGATCAATTTAGAGTCGACCTTTTGGAGGGGTAATTGGACTATCACTAGCCACCACCACCACTACTACTCCCATCACCACCATTATGGCCGAGGAAGACTTCTCCACTGGGGACATGTTCCAGGACCCAGAAGGGTTCTATCCCGATGAGCCAGAACCCACCTTCGCCGAGCACACTATGTTGTCCGGCAAGACAGTTCGCGTGCGACTCGTGGGCAGCCACCCACTTTACGTAGGCCAATTGGCCCAATTACCCTGATGACCGATCAATTAACCTAACTGTGATCTTTTCTCTCAGGGAAACCTCCTCTGGAACGCCGGCCGTACCAGCGCACACTACATCGAAGAACGAACCGAAGACCTCATCCGAGGCAAAGACATCCTTGAGATCGGCGCCGCAGCAGGCGTCCCCAGTATCGTCAGCGCCATCCAGGGCGCCAACACCGTCGTTTTGACCGACTACCCGGATCTCGACCTGGTACAGAATATGCAACACAATGCGGATCTAGCAGTCGACCAGATCCCCAAGGGCCCCGACAACCGGAATCCGCTACATGTCGACGGTTACCAATGGGGCAAACCGGTGGAACCCCTCCTTGAATGCATCCCTCCTTTGGCTGATGGCTCGAGAGCCACGGGCTTCGACGTGCTTATCATGGCCGATGTCATTTACAGTTATCCCGAGCACGGCAATCTGGTCAAGACTATGCAAATGACGCTCAAGAAGACCGCCGAGGCTGTCGCGCTGGTCATTTTCACGCCATATCAGCCTTGGCTGTTGTCTCAGACTGAGAAGTTCTTTCCCCTGGCGGAAGCGGGCGGGTTCATTGTAACTAAGATTTTTGAGAAATTGATGGGTGAAGTCCTCTTTGAAGATGATCCTGGTGTAAGTGAATTGATCTCTTCCAGGTACGATATGTACGCGATCGCATGCTGACTACGACATACAGGATGAGAAGCTTCGCAGGACAGTTTTTGGATATGAGCTTCGCTGGTCGCCTGAGCGATTGGCTGAAGCCCCGAAAAGCGCTTGATTTGAAATTAGATTTGATACCCTCGCATTGCATAAAGTATATAGACATCTAGGCATAGTTCCGATCAACTGACACGGTGCGGAATGCTTGAGATGAAATTTCAAAAGTAGTCTTCTTATGCTAATTGTGCACGGTACAATTAGTACTTCGCTGATCACTCATATCTGATAATAGAGCCTTGGAACCTCGTGCCAAAGCTACTACTGCGCTTTTTGCGCTTGCCCAGTATTAGGCAGCTGGTCTTCATGTATAGCCATCGACATCCTTGGGACAACGTGACACTGGCACCAGTTCTCCACCACAATACCTAGGTACCCAGGTATGTAGCTTCCCTGCACGCTTTATTCCCTCAGGCTTGGCTTGAGGATGGGCTTGGGGGGGATTCCTGCGCTTGGGGGTAGTCCGTGGATTTCTGAGTGGCGTTTTGTCAGCGCCATCCTCATCGGAATCGTTCCCATCAGAGTCATCATCAGGAGGAAGGACACAAGAAGTAAAGTCCCTCCGCTCCTAAATACAAGAACCATGTCTACCCTGTGTGATGCAACTGATGTATTCCTTCTCGTCTTCGAGTACAGCGATCCAATCCGCGGTCTCTTCGCAGAGATTACCGCAATAAGACGCCCCCAAGGCACATTTCTCCCTGGTCCCGGCCCTCGACTGACCACGTACTTCAACCCACGGTATAGGGTTTTCGACATAAAGATGTCGCTTGTAAGACTGCAAAATTTCTCTGTCATCATTTGACAAGATTCCAAGGTTGGAAATTTTGCCGACAAGACTGGGATCTCACGACTTCAAAGCTTGATATGCACAATCTGACCTTTATAGCCCTGGAGTGTCAAGCTTTTGAGGCAGGGTGTGGATTGGATCGAGTTCCTGTGGCCCTTCAAGCTGTAATATCTCCAGTAATCCACTGTAATCCAATCTCGAAATTCCTGCTCGATGGGCCCATATCCCTAGATTCCGAAGTCTGAAGCATTATCAGTGCGGGTGTATATATGGCGTGGCACCATCTATCATACAGTGCCAGGACTGGGAGAAAGAAATCCGCGGCCATCGCCGGAAGTGGCGCGTTGTTCAGTGAACTTAACACGAAGATGTCTCCCACATACTCGGCCGTCAAGCCATAGTATCAATTTACTTCTCTCTTGAATGTATCTGGTCGAAAGCGTGTTGCAGTTCTTCGATATGGGTGTGAAAGTTTGAAGGATGACAAGCGAAAAGGCGGAGAACCTTGGAGTTTGCCTACTATTAGTATTATTACTAGGTACTACTATAAATGGAAGGTGTCGTCGAGCTTGAAGCCCGCCCAGGTGGGGTGTAAACATTGGAAGGGGAGGAAGGGGCCTTGAAGATAGTACCTATTTAGTAGTTACTATTTAGATCAACACAGTAGTATTTAAATAATTGCCAAAATGCGTGCCCAAGAGCATGTAATTAAATATAGTACCTAAGCACGTTAAATGTTTCGACACCAACTAGTATTTATACTTAGAAAACAAAGGTATCCGCAGAGACAAAGAAACGTCTGTCATGGAACTGGAGATTAGTCAAAAAGTGCCAATGAGGGTATAGAGGGCAAACCAACGCCATAAAGCGATCTACCATAACAAACCCAAGCGAGCACTTAGTAAATTATCAAACTGAACACACGAAAATAGCAATAGACTTAAAATGCTGTATATAATACAATAAGATTGTGGCAACGATATTCTTTACCCATAGGGTAATCATACTATCTAAGTGGGTCACATGCCTAGCCTCAACCCCGCGGAAAAAAAAGTTCGCCGCTACAACTCCGCAACAGCCCACCATGCCAGTAAGAACGCCCACCTGTGACAGTTGAACCTTAAATTGACACACTTGCAGCTCGTTATTCTCACCGGCTATCCCTGCTCCGGTCTCAGCTATCGCGCAAATCAACTTGCGTCCCTACTCGAGAAAGCGCAAGATGAGATCTTCGCGGCCACTGACGCAGAGTCGCCCGCATCCCTAAAATTCCGGTACAAGATCCACGTCGTTTCGTCGCACGATAACAGTTCGTACCCCCGTACTGTCTACGATCATGCTAGAACGGAGAAGGAGGCTCGCGGTGTCGCATATGCGCGTGCGAAGCGTGTGGTGGCCAAGGACAGCATTGTGATCCTGGACGGCATGAACTACATCAAAGGGTGGCGGTATCAGCTTTGGTGTGAGAGTAAGGCGGCGGGGACTTCGTGCTGTGTGGTAAGACACCAGGTTCTATATAAGTCGAGAGGGTATACAATGGCTAACTGAAGTACGTCTAGGTGCACGTTGGTACTCCCGTTGACCAGTGTGTCGCGAACAACAAGGCTCGCCTGGATCGGGATGCAGCCCAGCAAAAGGATACTTCGTCAACAGCGCAACCGGATCCATCAAGCGACAATACTGCCCCGGCCCAATCATCAGACACCGAGCAAGCCTATGCACCCGAACTCCTCGACAACCTCATCTTCCGCTACGAAGAACCAAGCACACACAGCCGCTGGGACAAACCCCTCTTCACAGTCCCCTGGGAAGATGCCGACCCCCCCGGTAGCCGATATCTTCCACGCCCTTACCGGCGTAGTCCTCCCCTCCGCCGAGGTCCCCGTCGTAACACCCGTCTCCAACCTCATCGACTCCCTCGCCTCAACCAACCTCTCCTCCGCCGCCAGCACAACGACCACAGCGCGAACCTTCACCCGCGGATCCTCCATCCGGCCTAGAATCGTCGCGCACCAAGCCACAACCCAAGCCGCAGTCACAGACCCAGGCGCCCTCTACGCGATGGAGAAACGCACGACGGCTATCGTCAACGCAATCCGTGCCTTCACCCAATCCAACCCCTCCGCCGAGGAAGCTCTTGCCAAGACTGAAAACCCGCACGGCATTGCGATCGATGTTCCCGAAGCTTCAATCCCCATTCTTATACCCGTACACGTCGCCACGAGCGGGACGACGGATGAATTGGCCGGTGCGGGTGGAGTTCTCGCGGCGCCGAAGCTACAGCGCCTGCGGAGGCAGTGGATTAGTTTGAATCGGAGGTATCTTAGTCACGGTCATGGTGAAAAGCAGGGTGGTTTGGCAGCCGATCAAGTTGGGGATGCATTTGTGCGGTTTTTGAATAGTAGTATTGGAGGTGAGGATGGAGAAGCATAGATGGAGACCTGGACGCATCTTCGAATGTTGGCGAAGGAAAAATGCCACATTCCAAGGTTGCACATCCTGTTGATAAGAGCTATTGAGATATGATTAATGAGCTTATGATATAAATCTGTAGTCATATAAAGTATTACTCCATCATGATCTCAAACGTTGTAACAGATGGGACTGTTGTCTTTTTCTCATCTACACCTGGGCATAGTAACTGAATGGAGGTCCAACCTTGGAAAGGAAACGATGTAGCAGCTGTATACAAATCTGTAGAATACTGGACAATTCATCGGTTAAATTGGGAAAAGAGTCTATCCTGACATCGTAGCTCTGAATGGTCTAGGGATTTTGGCTCTGCCCGTTTGGGGGGAAGAGTGGTTAGGTTGATTAATGAAACGCTGGCAGCTGCCTTGAACCACCTTTCTGCCGTTTTTGTTTTTTTGTCCAGGTCAGAAGATCGATTCCAGCACTTGGCATTCTTTTCTCTCCTTTCTTTTCTTGGGATTCTTGTTGGTTGTGGTTGCCTTCTGTACTTTCAAAGTGAATTGTGCCTTCCACCTCTACTCTGTTTGTTGTCTCCATTTTTATGTGGGTCTGTACGGTTGTCTCGATCCTATACGATCCTATTGGATCGACACTGTACCCTAGAGATTAAATACACCATAGAACGTAGTCAATCACAAAAACACACAGTACGGGATCTCTCAAAAGCTTGGAATGGAAATGCCACCCAAATTACCTTTTACTAATGACCTTTGATGGTAACAATTGGAGATTTTTGTAGTAATGCAACTATATGAGCAAGAGGGAACCCCGAGATGTGTCCAATGATTGGAGATATTTAGAGAAACACTCTGATATCGAAGCGGCTGATGAGCACTGATTACTGGCGCTCATACTCGTACACAACTTCAAGTTTCTGCCATTTTCTTACTACTGCATGTACTCATGCATCTTTTTTGTGGCAAACAAGAAGAAGCTGCAGTTACCGACTGCAGCTCTACAAGCGACGCTAATGCAATTTCGTCGATTCTATCACTCTCTGTCTGCATGAGTGTTCCAGGAATAACCAATAGAGGTAGAACACATAGTCATCACTGCTTCTATGTATATATGTACTCCCTAGATGCACATGAGGTGTTTCCAATGAGTAAACCTCACAAGACCATCATTCAAGTCTTTTAATATCCACAATGGCCTCTTTTCCAGGGTTCCTACGCCCTAGTTCACTCCAGTCTCGCCATCGCCATAATTCAAACTCAGAATGGAGAGCTCCTTTGGGAGGTAGGGATTCCACTGTTCTCTTGTTATGATCAGAGTCTGACAATACAAAGATACCTTCTCTCGCGTTTGTGCACTTTCATAGTGGGTGCTGAAAAGAAGGAAATTGTCGTTCATTCTTCTGCTCTAGCGGAGCTTTCCCCAATTCTCAACGCTCTTATGAACGGTGAAATGCTCGAGGCCAAAACGAGCCGTGTTGACTGGTCAGAGGTCGTCGATGTTGACACCTTTGCTCGATTATGTGAATTCGCTTATTTCAAAGACTACACACCCCCTTCATCCCGTCTGGTGGAAGATCGAAGTCCCCCGGAAGCCAAAAAGCCAAGCAAGAAGAAAAAGAAATACAAATCTCGACACTCGACTGTGAACTTGGATGCCGAGGCTGCACCCGAGGCTGCACCCGAGCCTGAACCCGAGCCTGAAGATTGGCCTGAACCCGAACCGTCGGAACCACCCCCGCCCGATGACCCAGAAATCATGTACAAGGAGCGAAGTGTTGACACTGAACAACTACAAGACACATTCGCAAGGAATCTAGTCCTTTCAGGTCCAGTGTTTGAAGTGCACGAAACAATTTCAAGTAATTTTTCTTTTATTTTCATAATATCTTTTGGTATTTTGAAGGGGTGATGGAACGCAGTGCAAAACAAACAAGCAGAACAAAAAGCAAAACAAAAAACAAAGCACTCTATAAATCCAAACTCCATCCAATCCTCCTTTTCTACTGTCGATATTCCATATTTCATAAATGAGATACATCAATGAGATCGGTGACTGATGCACCTGATCTTCAAAATCTGACCTCCCCAGAGGCACTATACTGCCCTGCAGCAAGTACTCCGAGTCTCCATTTCCAGGGTTTAGCCAGAAGTTTTAAGGGCAATTTCAGAGATTCCTTGAAATCCTGCATGTCATGCTATGAAGTGCCCGGCTCCATTGCATGTGTAGCGCTGCCTTTGTGGATCCTTTGGGGGATAAGAATAACCGTGATGCATGGTCGCCTTCCTTGGCCTGGTTGGTCTATGTGGGGTTGAACCGGAGGGGAGAAGGAAGGGAGTGTGGTGGTATCTCTTGGGCGAAAAGAACTTGCAAGTAAACTTGCAATTGCTAATCAAGCCCTTGACGGTGACAATGAGAGTGGCTTGGCCATCCAGGTGTTGAAATATCACGGCAGTCAGCGCGTCCATTGATTCCACGGTGGGTAAGTTTAAAATGGTCCTCGCGGGGTCCTGAGAAAATCCTTCACTGTGTCATCTTTTTCGAATGTTCGAAAAGGATTCACAGGATTCTCGATCTCTCTTCACGCGGGCAAGGGCAGTCCGTGCTGCATCTGAGAAACCTGGCTCGCGTCGAGTTGGCGGTAGCTGAGTCCAAGGGTGAAAAGCTCATTGAGGGTGGCATTGACCTGGTCGTGGGTGGACATGTCTTGCGGGGTCATCTTTCCAACATGTTCAAGGAGACGTGCGTGGCACTGGTAGAAGTTCCGTTCGGCAGCCTGCAGGCGCTGTCCATACTGGGCAGTGGCTTGGTTGGCCTTGGTCGGCCCGTGGGAGTGGACGGAGCGGGTGCGCTTCATAGTGGGTGCTGGGGTAGGGCCGGTGACTCCACGTCTCTTGCGGCTGGCAGCTTCCTTCTTCTTGGCCGGGGCGGCAGTGGGGGAGGTCTCTGGGGAGCTAAGACGCTCAGAGGACTGGTAGTCGTGCACACGACGCATGTGGTCGAACAGGTTCCATCTACGGGGAAATCCATTTCCAGGGGAGGATCGTTCGCATCCCTCCCATAGGCAGAGGTGAGGGTTGTCTCCATGGCCATGTAATCCGTGGGCTTCGCGCTCATGGCGAAACAAGCACGCGTTGGAAGAAAAGCGCAATTGGGTATCCAGGCATGAAGGGACCTTGCAGCGGTAGGGCTTCAGGTGGGAATCCAGATATTTGCTAGAGGCGGCCTGTTAGCGATACTTTCATAGCTATGATGTGCCAAAAGGCAGGATAAGGGAACTTGCTGGTAAGCGCATTTTTGCGTTGTGGCGGGGTGGTTGCATGGCTTCTCTTCAGCGGCGAAGGGGCAGTAGTACTTTCCGTCACTTTGGGTGGGCATGGAATAGTAGGGATGCTCTCGCGGGCTACGAGACTCGGAACCTTCCTTGGATCTCTGTCGGGTTGGCTCTCGGAGGGGTGGGAAAAGATCCGCTTCCTGCTTGACCTGGGATTGGGAGCCATTTGGGAGCGCACCTCGGCGTGCAGGCTTGGAGGGTCTCATAGTCCTGTTAGGAAGGGGGTTAGATACTTTTTTCTTCTTTTTAAGTGTTGTCTATCGCATGACACTTTGATTGACCTACCTGTTGGGGTCCTTTTCGCTGAGAGGAGGGGTAGGGAACAGAGGCTCGGCAGGGTTGATTCCGTGGGCCATTGGCGATGTAGTGTAGTCTCCAAGGAGAGTCTCATCAGGTGCAAGATATGAAGGAAATCCAGGATGGGAGCAAGAAGAAGTAACAGAAAGATCATGACTAGCTTCCGTCAGAGGCGGAGAGACAGGGACAGTCTGGAAAATGCTGGATGACAGTTGATCAAGGCTAGTTCCGGGGTAGCCATCAGGCATCATAGTATTCCATGGCTCGTGGCTAGAAATGAAATGGCCATCCTCAGTGTGGGAACTGTGTGCAACAGAGAGAGCATCATCCGGTGTGCTCGACTGTACATAGACATCATTATCCATGGAAGAAAGATCCACAAAGGAATAAATATCCCGCGGTAGCTCATTATGATCATGCAGGTCTGTGACTGCTGGGAAGTCCACGCCTGTGTACATCACATCATGTGGTCCGACCGTGGGGGTCATGAGTTGGGAAGGCATTTGGAAAGCAAGCATTTGCATGTGAGGGGAATCCTTGGAAGACATGGCCTGGTCGAGGGAGTCTGATGTGTTCATGTTCCAGTCTTTAATGTCCTGGTGGTTTCCATGGGTAATTGAGCACAAAGACGAAGTGTCATGGCTCGACAATTCATCATCCTGGAGTGTTCTTGGGGCCATATTTGACATTCCTGAAACCATGGAGGCATGTCTGGGTTGTGAAAGAGAGAGCCTCTCGGGCTCGTTGCTAGTCCTGGGAGACATTGTGAAATGTGTGTTGTGTAAAGCACTATAGAAGCATCATCAAGTCAGTAATCTTACACGTTTGGACAACAATAAACAAAAGAAAAAACACAAAAAGCAATTAAAGAGCTAGCTCCGGGGTCCAGAGTTCGAAAACCTGCCAGTCATTAGCGAAAGCCAGCAGTGCGCAGGCGTTAAATTTGGACGCACCAAAATATTGTGGAAGAAACAATAATCCAGATGAGGGAGGTCGTCAAGAGTCCTTTGGAGATTCAGGGTAAACGCAGCGCGTGTGGGGTCCATTTTGAAATTAGGTGAGTCTGTTGCCAGTAGTAGGGAAGGGTTGAGTCCAGTTCACGTATTGTCAAAGCTACAGTATGGTCGAAGCAAGATGATCCAGGATATTGTCCAGAGTTTTAAGAAAGCATTATTTCTTAATTCGGCCAGAAGCCATTGTGACAAGTCGGATCCATTTTAAGTCAGTGGGCCAGGATGTCCAGAAGCGGACGCTTCAAATTCGTATCTCGAGAGAGACCGAACGGTCTCAACGAGGTCCAGGGTAAGTTCCATTGGCTTGGTTGTGGTTCACGGCTGGTGATCAAGAATTCCATAGGTAGATAATTATAGTTCCTTAGGCTCAGATGGTAAGATATCCAGGATAGTGGGGTCCAGTAGAAGCAGTAGCAGGAAATCCAGGGAGTAGTAGCAAGAAGCAAGCAGTCCATCCACTCAACTTCAGGATTGAAGTGAGGATTCGGGATCCATGGGTCAGGTTAAGTCAGGTCAGGCTAGGCCAGAGTCAAGAGAGAAATCAATCCAGGGAGAATGTCCAGTGGGAGGAGTATCGAGTGAGTGTGCAATCATTAAACAACACTCATGAGTCCAGCTCGGTCAGCGGGTCGCTAACGAGCATCCATGGCAAAGAAGACATTATTCTTTGGAGTTGCCAAGAGTTGGCAGCAGCAGTAGCAGCATCCAGCTAGATCAACGGATCTAGCTTTAGGTTCCAGGGGTCCATGGGAATAAATTGAGGTTGTCGAATTCCAGGGATATAGATTGACAATTGTCGATAGGTACAGGTCCAGTTGTATAGATCCGTGGGAAGAGCAAGCGGAAGAACAAAAAGAACAAAAGACAATGCGCATAGGAAAATATAATGAAAAGGTGACGGGGACTACCTGATGTGTTTCGTATGAATGCAGACTCAAAAGAAGTCTGGAAAAAAGCAAAGCAAAGTCCAGTTCCGGAAGAAGTGGCAGAGAGTAGTCCTTCGGGCAAGATAAACCAGGGCAAAAGGATTGGTTAAAAGGCAAGATAGTTGTCCGAGGGTCCAGGGACTGAGTGGCGAATAGGGGTATATGTGTATAGTGCAGATTGGTAGCAGGACTAAGGTCGTCTTGTTGTAGATGATCGCAAGAGAGAAAGGGGTATCCTGAGTTGGGAGAGAGAAAAGAAGAAGACGAGAGGTTCGGGGGGGGGATCAGCAGCCTTTTTACAAGCGGCCGGAGCCCACGCGGGCGGGTTCAGGAGAGTTCAGGAGCGAGTGGGGCCTATCAAAGCGTGTGCCAAATTTGCATAGTGCAGCGGTGACCTGCCCTGCTGGCACCAGCGAGGAGCCAGTATTTAGTCGAGGGTGATGGCATCTGCATGCTGGAGTTTGTGTTGGCGGCATCCGAGTGGATCAGAGGAGAGGGTGTTTGTAGCGGTGAGACGAGACCCGCGTCTAGTGGACTTGGCGTTGCACTTGTATGATGATGATTGGTTCGATGCCAGGGCTGACGCTGCAGGATGATGGCCATTTGAAACGATCGGCATGTACTCTTCGTGTGCTGATGGGGATTGTGTGGTGGAGAGTCGTCCACGTCGGGGTGATACGGAAGAGAGGTTGCAGTCAGGTGCAGCAGGTGATGTGGTGATGTGGTGATGTACTCCTCCGTACGGAATACACTACACGGTACTTACAGGGTACAGTTACTCCGTACAGGTGATTGAGAACCAGACTGGCATTCGCACTCATTTTGATTTGCATTCGTATTTACTAAAACTAGAACTACGTCTGGAATGACGCCATGAAGGCGGGCCGGGGCGAGACCCACGTTGGGCAGCAATGCAGAAACACTCGGAGATTGGGCGTCTGGATCATTTATCTGTTAGCCAATGATCCTTCATCAAATGTTTGAAGAGTTTTCCAGAAACAAGTGGAGAGAGTCAGAAAAGAAAGATGGATAAAGGTTGTCGTTCAGCAATCCGAAGATCTTCAGTTGAACTATGCTTTGGTAGGTTTGTTCATCATCCAGGTTGAGCTTAAGCTTGACTTGAGCTCGAAGCTCAACCTTGAGGGGGAGGGTTGTGCGTATGACGGGATTCAAATGAGACAGGGGGGTGTGCTTACCAGGTGGGGCAGCTAGAGTCGGTGATTGCTGGAGGTCAGTGGTCGGCGAGATGTTCCATATTCATGTCCATCATTAGGACGATTGGATGAAGGAGAAAGTTGTAAAAAGTGAAAAGTGAGGCGCCGGTTTTGTGTGTGAGGGTTATGTCAGCATGGCTTGGCTTGGCATAGAGTGGGCACTTTCACACTAATCCCAGAAGGGTAGTCACTCCACACTCTACATACACTTCACCTCCATGCACATGCACACACTTCAATATGAACTGGACTGGGGGCCAATTACGTCGCCATTCCGATCGCAAGGGAATCCTCTCTCAAACTCAGAGACAAAACTTTGCCAAGTCCCGCCAACGTGCCAATGACCGAGAGTCTCGCCAGCCTATTTCCTTCCCGGGCTTTCTTAATCTGAGGGACGAGCTCATAATAGACGAGGGCATCCAAGTGGTCGAGGAAAAGCAAGACAAGTCAGTCATGATATCGGAGCTATCTTTTTGACACTATTGTGCTGTTTTGCTTTACCTTGTCTTACCCTGCCTTGCCCTCTTGGCTCTCCACTCGCATATACTAACATTCCAACCAGCTCCAGTCCACCGCTCAACACTCCTCTTCACAACCCCTCCAAGCACCGGTTTCTGCAAATTCCCGACTGGGCTGCTGTGTCTTTGTCCCGCCCACTTAACATCAAATTCACCCCGGTCGAGGAATTCGAACGGTTTGGCAAACGCCGTAAACTAAACGACGTTGACCGCCAGCGTCTGTCCACTGCCGACGGAAGACTGATCCAAGCCCTCTTTCGTTCCCGTAGGAATGCTCGACAGTTTTCTTCTGAACGAGATGCATTTGCATCAGACCAGATCCAGATACAAATTGATTGCCAGCCGACCGATCTGCACCAACAGTCCAATATCAGTCCTGAAATAACGCCAAGCCATCGATCATCGCAGTCCATTATTCTCGGCCAGAGTATTCCCGCAGTGCCCCATTCTTCTTCCCATTATCATCAACAGGTCAAACCAAAAACCGTATGGCAAGGACTCAGTAGTCTTCGCTCCGGCTTCGATTGCCCTGCCAATGCCTCAAGGGCCCCCTCGACAATTCCAGAAACAATCATACTACAAGATGATATGGAATTCACAACTCCATCCGGGGTCACTAGCCGAGATCGACAATTTCACAATATCAACAGCCAACATACAAAATCAACTCAGCGAATCAGGCAGACTCTCACCCCTCCCAGACCAACCAATCCGAATCTACCAAGACATTTCGCCATCGACGACCAAGTGCTCACGGAGCAAAGAGATCAGGATAGCTACTTGAATACTAATCAGCACGATATTTCCAGATCACCAAGTCTCGTGTCGACCTTGATCGCGTTCCCTCTAAATGAGGCTCGGATACACTCGACTCAGAATGCCTCAAGCTGGCGACCGGAGCCTCGTCTTATGGACACTCCAATTACAAACCATCCATCCCACGATACTGATTTTGAAGGTCCTCCCGAACCTAAAGGAGTGAGAGTATTTGGCCAACTTTTCCGTATGAACACAGATGCTGGAATTAGCATGTTCTAGATAGTGCTGTGAGAAGTACCTATTTTTGTGGCCGCAAAGGATCTCCAACACGACATTCAATATCTGATGGACCAGTCCTCTATCGACCATGATAAATATAGATACGTCAACAATGCCCAATAAAATGCCAATATATGAGCATGACTTATAGCCATACTAGTGTTAGTCTGTCGTCCTTTTGTATCAATTGAAAATAGAAAACTACTAGCAGTCCTGCTAGTGCTAGTTCATCCGCATAGTTTGGATCTCCGCTCAACCCAAGGTTAGCCCTGGCACGTGCCGATCGGCCCCCCCAGATAAGTTCCAACGGGGCTCCACCTGACGACATCGACCATTCAAGTTCCAAGCTTCTCCCAACCTCCACCTCCACTAAAATCCATCCATCCATCACCTCACTTGACATCACCACCATGCTACGACTAATCCCAATCATAGCTTCGCTAGCCACAGGCGCCATCAGCGCCGCAGTACCTACAGACACAACCCTCCAACTCCCCCTCGTAATCTGGCACGGCCTAGGCGACGACTTCGAACGCGACGGCCTCCAATCCGTCGCAGACCTAGCAAAAACCACAAACCCAGACACATACGTCCACATAATCCGGCTATCCGACACAGGAAGCGGTGACCGACAAGCAACCTTCTTCGGCAATCTAACCGAGCAACTCGAAACCGTCTGCGCCCAACTATCCTCGGAACCAATCCTCAAATCCGCCCCAGCCATCAACGCCCTCGGCTTCTCGCAAGGAGGCCAGTTCCTCCGCGGCTACATCGAGCGCTGCAACAGCCCACCCGTCCACAACCTCGTCACATTCGGCAGCCAGCACAACGGGATCTCGGAATTCCAAGACTGCAAAACGGGCGATTGGATATGCAACGGCGCCGAAGTCCTCCTCCGCTCAGGCCAGTGGACGGATTTCGTCCAGAGCCACCTTGTCCCCGCGCAGTATTTCCGCGACCCGGAGGATATGCAGAACTACCTCGAGCACAGCAATTTTCTCGCGGATATCAATAATGAGCGCGAGTTCAAGAATACGTCGTATAAGAAGAGGCTGGGGAGTCTGAATCGGTTCGCGATGTACATGTTCGATGAGGACACTGTTGCCGTGCCGAAGGAGAGTGCGCTGTTCGCTGAGGTGAATCTTACCAGTGGGGCTGTGGTGCCGTTGCAGGAGCGCGCGCTTTATAAGGAGGATTGGCTTGGGCTGAAGGGTTTGGATGAGCAGGGGAGACTGGATTTTAAGTCTGTGCCTGGTCAGCATATGCAGTTGACTGATAAGATTCTGGAGAGGACTTTCAAGGAGTATTTTGGTCGGGTGCAGGGTTCGGAGTTGCGGGTGCAGGATGAACAGCCTGAGATGGAGAGTTCTGGTGATGAGACGGGTTCGAAGGCCCCGGGCTTGTTGGCTCAGATGCAGCCGGGCTTTTGATTGGGGTGGCCCTCTTTCTTTATCCATCATGGCATCCAACTGATTAATTTTAGCGATATCTCGTTTTTGTATTGTTTATTTTGCTGGGAACTGGGAGTGGACTCGATGGCGAGTTCCACATTTTCGGATATCTGTACAATGTATGGCACAGTAGCTATACCTCTAGGGCTTCGGTTTCCTAGATATATCTATTCAAACTGGCAATTGATCCTTCTTACCTACGCCTGCATCCATAGAGACTTCAGCATCGTCTATTTTAAGTCTACCGACAATGTAGCTAGATACAGAACCCGCATTAAGCAGAAACCAGCAGCAAATAAAGAGACGGGTTATCAAGAATAAAGGATATGCACGAAGAGAGAGATAAAGGAAATAAGACGTAGATGGTAGAAGACCAGGTAGCGGGCTGGGATGAATAAGTGAACGAAGAAAGAAGGGAAAAGAAAAGCAGGCAGTGGGCAAAGACATGAGACTGCTCGATCCAGAGACGAGTCCAAGTGGGTAATTCCTCGCATTACAAGAGCCAGAATGAAAAATTATAAACATGTACAAAACAGGGCGAGAGGAAACGAAATGCGGAGCGTGCAAGGTATTCGGCGAATTGAACGCCGGGTTCGACTGTACAAGGGGACGGGCTTGCAAGAGAGGAAAAGAAAAGAAACAAAGGTATTTTAGTAGGGGGGGTCGTCCGATGCCACCACCACTGACGTGCCGCCTGCTGCTATAGCCACCGCCCACCAGGGACTTGGAGGCAGGGGCCGCGGTTGCTGGGCGATCTCCGTTTGCCAGTATGCTGCCATCTGGCGAGAGATAGCCGTCCAGAATGCGTCTCAGATGGTCTTTCTGGGCATGGTCGAGGGAATCGGTGCCGTTGGTCTCGGCACCGCGGAATACTTCTGAGATGCCGGCGGCTAGGTTGTTGTTGGATCGACTTTTGTTGCGGGTCAGGTTTGCGTTTCGAGAGTTTGGTCCCGACTTACTCTGGACCGAGGACTGGCGCGAGACATCGGGGGCAGTGGATGGTCGATCGATTGAGATCAGTGACCGTTGCGAGTCATTCGGAAAGCCACCGGGGATATGCAGAGTCGAGGGGATGGGGGGAACCGGCGGGATATCTTCATCGGAGTTCACCCGGCTGAGAGTGGGACCATTATTATCTCGTATGTGCTTGTCTCCCGAGAGAGCAATTTCTGACGCCGATGCTCGTGGTGTTTCTACACCCTCTTCTTCGGGAGTTTGGTCTCCATCTTGTTGGAATCCTTCGCCATCTACCTCGGAAACGGAGAATGAGGCACTAACCATGCTCTCGCTACCAGAGGAAATGACACTCTCATTCGAGGCATCGAGCTGACCACGCAGTGGGCTGAGTTTTCGGGGCTGAGAGTCGTGATTCACCGATAACACTCGACGCAGCTCAGTGACACGAACGGGAGACCCTCTAGTGGAGCTAGGCTCCGAAGTAAGCGATATTTCGGGGACGCTCGTGCGACGGTGTTTATTCGAAGCTGAGCCTGCAGGAGAGCCATTTGCGACGCCATTGCCCTGACTGGCACGAGCCATGGTACCTCCGCGCGAGCCGCTGATAGATAGAGTCTTGATGCTTTCCTTTTCCACGGCAGCAAGACAGGATTCACGGGACCAAGATGAGAGCATTTGCTCCTTGACGGGTGGCGGGAGACCGCTGTCTGGCTGAGTTTGCGCTGCAACTGAGGCATGGTTGAGGACCGGGAAGCTGAAGCCCCTTGCGGGAGGGGAGGTCGGGGGACTCTGTGGCGGGGAGGAGATTGATTGACGGTATGCTTCGTCAATCCCATTAACAAGATCATCGACGTTTCGGAAAGGCGTCAGCGTGACCGATGGCGCTGACTCGTCGTGGATAGGCACTTGATCATCCACGGCGATACCATCTAGAGTAGTCGGGGGCAATTTAATCTTAGAGAAATATTGACTCTTGCTTTGCCTCTTCTCGATCTCGTTGCGAATCTCGACTCCGGCATGAGTGGATTCGAGATTGAACTTCTCTGACACTGCCGAGAGATACCCAAGAACCAGGCTACCGACATTGACACGGGCTGCGAAGCTGCCCAGGTCCACGGAAGTGAACAGGTCCTCCTGTAGTTTTAGTACCATGGGGAGCCCATATTGTACCGCATTCACTCCAAGATTCTCAACAAGGCTTGTCAGGAGGAGATGAAGGATAAGGATGTCAGACTCGATGGTCGGCTTTTCGAGAGCAGCATCATAGATAGCTAGGTGCAGCAAACGAAGGAATGTTGACTGTGCAGCGAGGGCCACCTTCTCTCGTTGGTTACCCGGAGCTGAGGTGCTACGCCGATTCAACTTGTCCGGCTGCTCGGTCTCGCGTTTTGATGTCGGCTTAATGTACTTCGGGATATCCACTCGTACCTTGAGATCGCGCTCGTTCGTCTCAAGCGAGAGCCAAGTTAGAAAAGCATCCGCATACGCACGGCGAACTTGATGATCGGAGTCCCGTAGAAGGCCTTGTGTCCCTTCCCAAATGTGGATGCCCGCCTGATTCCTGGAATCGGAGGCACTTGACGTGCTTGGTGTTCTCAGAGTAGAAACCACTAGAATGGCCTTGATGGCACGTAGCGCAGTTACCTTGGCGGCAGAATGAGAGAAACTCTCTGCCTGGGTCTTCTCTCCAGTAATATCTCCTGTTTGAGCTGTGTCGGTGGTGGGAGATACACCTGTTTCGTGAACCGTAGCTAAAGAAGACTGCGCAGCACTATCGATATTTGCGGAGGGCTTGAAGCGCTTCAGAATTGCGCGTATCATATCCGCGACCTGGTCCCCGTAATATATGTGAGTTGCCAGATCACCAATACAGTGCTCTAACAAGGTGAGAAGGCTTCTCCTTTTGGGGAGAGATGGACACGCCCGCGTCGCCCTGATATTCCTCGTTCTTTTCTTGGCTTACACCGCTAGTTTGATTGGCAGGTGATAGAACAGCGGTAATGTAGTGAATCAGGCCAAAAAGGACATCCATAACACTCAATCCAATCATGTTAACTGATGATTTGAGTAGCCAGTCCACCACAGAGAGAATGGTGAAAGACGAATACAAGGCATCCTCCGTTGGCTTCATATCGTGAAGGATGTCCATTGCAGCCACCAAAATGACAAATCGCACCTGAACCGGGCACCAGTTTGCAATCAACTCAATAAGAGAAGTGGCCCAGTTCCCGCCGTTCTTCCCAGTGCTGGATTCACCCCGAGTAGCCTGTGGAAATCGTTTGCCGGCAATGAATTGTAGAGTGACGGATGCCGCAAGGCGAATCTGGCCGCGGTTGCTTCCAGATATGATTATTTTCTCCAGGCAGCGGAGTGCCAGCAGCCGCGCATCCATCTCTGCCTTTTTATCGGCGTCGGCGGTTGACTGTGCGGCGGATGTAGGATCACCTTCAACTGTGTCCACCGTATGAACCGTTGTAACACTCATTCGGCGGGGTGGTCGAGTACCATCATTTTCAATCTTCTCGGAATCAAGATACATCTGCTTCAGCTGTATCAAGACATCTTCGTTTTCCGAGTAGAGATTTTCCAAGATCACAGGTAAAATGAGCTGCAAAGATGTCCCTCCATCGGCGGCAAGGCTCTCCGAGCTGACGACACCTTTGATCGCGCGCAGACCGGCATTTCTCCACCGAATCGCAACCGGAAGGCTAACCTTAGTCGGGGAGTACGTTGAGGAGGCTGGATCAGCGAAACTGGCGTATGCCTTCACGACTTCACGATATTGTTGGGCAAGAGTCTGTTCCGCGGCGATAATTGCGATATCTTGATGCTGACAGAAGGTCTCGAATGTCGCAACGGAGTCCTCGACCATGGAAATATCGTTCGATCGCAATACGGTTTCGATAACGGTTAAGACGAAGCGCGCGTAGATGGGCAGGTCGCGCGGGCATTTTTCAATGAGCGCAGTGAGGATGTGAAGCGCGACTTGAACATTCCTATTTGCCATTGGCTGTCAGTTCCTTACATCGTGCATGTGCGCGAGACCGCTCAATATCCCCATGAAGATCCTTTCACTCACCCTAATCTGCGTCTCCAGACGTCTTTGGAGACTCGTTTCGTGAGAAAAGCCCCGACCTTGGTCAGCTTGCTGCGACGCGTGCTCAGGTAATACAGCAGATATGAGAGCTCGCTCGGGTTCGGCTTGACTTCGACCACACCCTTTTGGTATTGCGGATAGCATTTCAGCGTTAGGACCTGATGTCTTGGTCGACAGGCCTGGCGAACGGAGGCCATGGGGAACGGTATGGATGCCTCCCCGGGGGCAAGAGTCCGCGGAGGCGCGGGGAGGGTGGATCGAACGGAGGTGGAGGGATGGGAGGTGTATTCGAATGGTTGCGCAAAGGATTGGATTAGAGCCCAAATATGGCCACAAAGAGGGGAGAGCGATCAATGGAAAACGTTCGGGGCCACGGTGGACGAGAACGGGGCTGTCTGATCAGGTCGTCGATCACCACCAGGGGAAAAGGGTGGGGCTTTCAACTCCGCCGCACTGGAAGTAACCCCAGGGCAATTAAATGCTAGGAACAGGCGAGGAGGGGTGGACTGAACCACCTGAGAATTAAAAGCCGGGGGATCCGGCGATGGTAGGAGGGTGATTTTGTTGGAACCAAAGTCAAAAGAAGCAGAGAGAAAAAAGAAGGTTGGGGGAGCTCCGAGCGGGCACGATGACAATGACGATGACAGGTCACCAATAGTACTTGGTTTTTAACATTTTCTACACTAAGCTCTACATAGTAAGAAGGGACCCGGTCAGGCTGGAAATTTTAGGGAATATTGGGTAATTGGATTTCTCTTGAAGATGGGGCTCCAACGATTAATTGCCTCGGAGGGGACCACCTCGCTGAATGCGGCCATCAGCTCTTCTTTCTCTCACATTTCCCAACAGGACGCTTGGTCCTTTGGAACCCCGCAAATACCTTCAAGGAACCTGCGGGCGCATCGAGTCGGCTTTTAACATGGGGTTCCTGGACTTGAACCAGTCTCGTTCCTGTGTGTTTGATCGACAATCCCTTTCCGGGCCCGATCGGCCTGATACCTCGGTCGCACATGAAGCACGCTCCCCTCTATCGCATAGTTATCATGGTTGTGATTGTGTTGTGAAATGCCGAGTAAGTTGGCAGTAGCCCTTGTTCCTCACGCGTGGCTGATATGGCACTGTAGGTCCTTCTTTCCCGTATTTTGGCTGGGGAGGGGTCCGGTGGTTGTAGAAATAAGCAAGTCCTTGATGTCGCACACACGATCAGGTCTTGGTACCATTTTGGTCCTCTTGCGGCTCAGCATTTTGGCCTGTAGCATCACCGTCGATAGCCTCAGCTGCAGCGGGGTCATTGGGCACACCCAGACCGGCAAGTCCTTCAATGACCTGAGGTAAGATGATCTCACGGCGGAACCTGTCCTCCTGGAGCAAACGGAGTGCGCGCAGGGTTGGACCAGGGTGAGTCAAGAACTGCGAATATTCCGAGGTCTTCCAGTATGAGTAGAGGTATGCGAGGTATGCGGTGAATGCCTGTGCATCGGGGGCAGAGGAGGATTCGTCGTCATCATCGGCGCGCGAGATTCCAAGGAGACTCGGATAGCTGACTGCAAGGTGGGACAAGTAATAGGGATTGGCGAGGGAGGAAACAAACTCGAGTTCCAGAGTAAACCGAGGGTTCGTCAGGGTGGGAGGAGGGCGCACAGGCTGGTCAGGTTCCGGCTCCATGTTCATGTTGGTAAGGTTGAAGCTCGTTGAATGAAAGAGTGAAGCTCTCGGCAGCCGCAGGCGCAGGCGGAAAGGGCGGGCCCTTGCACTCAATTGTACTCCTAGTTACTATTTAGTTAGTACACTACGCTATATTACACTACTACGCATAAAATTGATAGACAATCCAGAAAGGTAAGCTTGGAATTCAAATTCAAATTGAAAGGCTACTAATTTCCAACCTGTGTCTGGTTGCAATGTCATTGTACGTACGGAGTATACATAGTCTTATTTCCTCCTTTTTACCAAGTTTATGCTATAGTGTCATAACATTACAATTACATCAATCAAGGCAGTTTGGCCGAGTGGTCTAAGGCGATTGACTAGAAATCAATTCTCTTCGGAGGCGGCGGTTCAAATCCGCCAGCTGTCGGTTTATTTTTTTGGATTTTTTTTTCCCTTTCCGTTTTCTCACACTTGACTGCAGACACGTTTAATAGCACCTTATTTATTCACCTCGGGGGGTGGTTCGTTTTTGCGTACCAAAATAGTGTCGAAATTATTTTTGGAAGCATACTAGTAGAATTCGAGCCAAAGTTCTCAATTGTTTGACATTTCCTCATAGCATAACATGCCTGCATTACTAAGTTTTATTGCGATTTCGGTACAAACCCCCTTTTTTTATTCAATGACTTCGTCAAAATGTCCAAGTGGTCAAGAGCCAAGTCAATAGTTGGCCTATGACATCACACACCACCCAGTTTCCTTTATGGAAGGCTGCGATTTGATCCCAAACTTGAGCTTCTCGTACTTGATCTTCTCGAACGCACTTGAAGGTCCCCAGATATCCACTATGCCTTCAAAATATCCAGAAGCTGCACCCCCATGAGCAAGTTCGAACTCAACACATCGCTTGCCCTCCTTCACCTTTTCCCACTTTCCTCCAAGATCCAGGTGTGAGGCATCAGGAACCGGGATTTTCATCACTGGGAGGTATATTTTGGGTCTTCCTGTCCTCTCACATTTGATTTTGTCCACCTCTATAAAGCCACGAGGGCTACGAGGCTCACTAGGATCCAATTTCCTTTGCCTGTACCGCCTGATAAACACATCTTCCTTCAGCTGAACATATTTTCTATCTTCAGACAGCCCGGACTCGGAGTTTGCTGTGCATCCCGATGAACTTGAGCTGCAGATAATCTCATCTGTCGTAGCACTATATTCCAGCCTCGGTAAATCTTCGTAGATGTCACTGGCGAAGAAAAGGCTCAGGGGCAAGACTCCACCGTGGACGACCCTTTCAGGCCATGACAAATGTGGATAATTGGGGTCCTCAACCTTGGGTACAAGAAAGAGTTCCCACTGATACACCTTCAGCAAAGGCTTGAAAAAATCATTCTTCACCTCTCGTAGATGCTTTTCTTGCTGCTGAGGGGTTGTATCGGGGTCGTAGTTGTACACGGGGTCCTTATTGTCTTCCAGAGTGAGATCCAGCGCACCTAGAAGAGCCCAGCATTTGTCTTCTTCCATTCCAAACCTCCTGCTCGCTACGCCTGACAGTAGATAGAGTGCCGTCGGCTGTCCCGGCCAGTAGCAAACTAGCCCAGAGCGTATCAAGTCGGTTAAAAGTTCAGACGTATACACATACTTCCCTCGAGAACGTTCATCGCTCGGACCGAGATAATCGATCGCTTGTTTCACTTTTTCAGACACTCCTTGGGGCATGTCCCGAGAGGAAGTCCAGCCTTCGCTATACCTGAAGAACGCGCTAGCGATATCATCCGCAAGGCCTGTAGCGGGAAGTGACAGTTGGTCCACCATAACGTAGCTCTGGTGAGAGTTTTCAGGCGAATAATTTAAGAGTTTTTGACTTCCGCTATAAGTCTGCGCTGGGAATATGAAATCTCTAGGAAGACCTTCGCCGTGGTAATCCCTCAGGATTGACTGTTGTAGCAACACTCCTTCTTGTAGTGTCCATCCAGAGGTAAGCCACGGCTCTGACTCCTGGATATACTGAAGGTATATATGGATATCATTCAGAGTGTCCTCGAAAGTCTCATGCGCGAAGCCTGCCCTCAAGAATGTTTGTAATCTAAGCGAATCACCATCGCTCCATGTCGTGCAATGTAACCAAACAAAGCCCTCGGTGGCTTTCTGATAGATTTTCCTTGAGATCATGATCCGATTAGTACGGGCCTATAACCTTCCTGATAGAGGGGGACTTACAATTGCTTTGCAACCTCTTGGCCTTTCACTCGGTTGAGGCTTTCTGGCAATGTGATAACCTTGTTCCGCTGTCCCTGAGGAACACACATCCAGTCCCACCAGATAAATCGCGTTCTCAGGCATTTTTGCAAGACTTTGCACACGTGGGATAACCTAAGCCCTTCCACTGTGGGAATCTTCCAAGGCAGTTCTGTTATCTCTCCATTGGCATGGTATTCGGGTGCATTCTCAACTGGTACATCAAAATCTGCCCATTTACCCCATGTGTATGAAACAATGCCGTATCCTTCGCGTTCAATTAGGTCTTTAACATCTTCGTACGGAAAGACCGTCCAGTTTTCAAGATCTAGAAGCCATCGAGGATGGTTCGGGTCTTGATCAGGTACATAAGGTTGACTGCTCATTTTTGAGGCGAGTTTAGCTATACCCTGGAGTTTCAAGATATTTATCGAGCGCGATCGTGGCCTTCTGTCTTTTTATTGTAGAGATGATTTATTAATATGGGGAGGGAAGGAGCCTGGAGAACTAGTACGGAGTACCTACATGCGATATCCAATAGCGCCACGCAATGATATCATGATCATTTATCTGTAAGGTAGATTAATTAATTTTCAGTTTAGGTGTTACTTGTTTCCAGTACTTTTGTCCTGTGATAAAATATTTTGCTGCAATCCATGACACGTTCAAGTTGGCTTCGGTCTATGACGTGATGTTCTCAGCTCTTGTCGGTGTCCATGGCTTGAGACAATATACTCCCTCTGGTTCAATGGTTGACCGAATTTCAATTTGCAAGAATTTACATTCAACTTCGTGCAAATTGCGTTCGGTTTCAGGCTCAAAGTGACTGGAACTTGCGAGCCGAACAACATGCGGGCCGAACGGTCCACGCCGGCGGGCGCAGCCATGGTACTAGCTGTATGTGGATCTTGGGACTTACTCAACAATCAACCTTGGGTTTTGATATTCCAACTTCTCTTAACATTGATGAGGCAAAATAGCTATTTCCAATTTCCACGTCTTATGCAACCTTGGAAGAGTTTTGTTCACTGCAAAGCATAGCTCATAATATGAGCACTTTCTTATGTACCATAACAAAAGCCATGCACCCACCCCTCGACCGATCGAACTGCCGCAAAATGATACAATATACCTAACACAAAACCAGCTTTCAGGCTCCTCATATCACTACTATGCTGTTCAAGCTCACATCAATTGCGCTGATCTTCTATGTTTTATCATCCGTCGACGCTTTCGGCCTCTACGGCGGTTACGAACGCATGTTCTACTATTATGCTCATCTGGCCGATGCGAAGGTCCACGGTGGAAAAGCCCAGATGATCGCAGCTGGATGCAGAAAGAGCGGCATTTGCGATTTTAATGGGTTTATCCAGTTTGTCAATGAGCTGGAAAGGAGTCCCGGGCTCAAGAAAGCACCCGATCGCAATATCCACGAGGCAGCCCAAGATCTCAATGAGCGGCACCTAACCGGAGAATACAACATCAAAAGAGTATATAGTGAGGCTGATGATTTTGCTAGGCTATTTGAGGAGGTAAGGAGAAGGTCTTTGTCAATATTTACGAGGGATGCCATCTAATTTGTATAGGTTTCTTGTTTTCTGGACGCCAATAAGCCACATGAGCTGGATGAAATCTGGGATTCTGCGCGTGCATCAATCGAGAGTGTCTGTTTCCTCCGAAAGCTCGGATTCTCAGATAAACTTAAGGCTTTTCTGGTACTAAATAACATAGAGCCAGTTCTTAAACCAGAATATTTCAATTGCGAAGGGAAAAGCCTGGTTGACGAAAATGCCACGATTTCAAAATACGGCTCTACAACAAGTGTCAAGAATGTGTTTCAAAAGTTCCACAATGACGAGAAGAGTCACGAAGCAAATTTCAAGTGTGCCTGTTGGGCAGCTGTGAGACTACAACTACACCGGACACGACCCTCATCTCTGGCAGGTGATGTTTTTCAAGTTCAATCCGACTATGATGAGGAATGCTGGCAGCACGACCTTTGTCTTAAGCAGAATCTTAAGCTTGAAGAGCAGATTGGTGGCCACTCAGAGTCATATAGATGCAAAGAATTATGAACTATTCAATCCATTGTGAGACCTACAATACCATGAGCAACAAAAGGTATTAGGTCCTGTCAGAGCAGCCCGAACCTCCACAGCGGCTTGGGATCCAGTGCTTCCTGTTGATTCCGTTTGCTTTTTGAAGTAGTCTACCTTGAGTCTTCTCCAAATCTTAATACTTTAGGCCCTGTGCATAATATTTCGATTCACGAGATACCAGATAAAATCGCAATATCCAATGTCTGATCCGACCCGGCCAGAATGTTGCAGTTCCATTACTCGTGGACCCATGGGCCAGAAATAATTGAATTTGGAGCAAGATTTAGTTCATCGGGATCTCTTAAGTTCATTTGGTAGCATCATAGAACCGAGAGAAGATCAACATCCATGGATTTGAAGTGTATGAATCATATACAATAACCTGGACTTTATACCTAGGTATGATAACCAGGATGAGTATCATGTAGATGAAAGTGAATGACAGCTCGATCTCATGATAACAAAAGTGTGCTCTAGAACATTCTCGTACCTAAAAGCTAGAATCAATAAATCATGCGTAGAAGCTGTAAATAATGTCTTTCTCTCTCTCTCTCTCTCCAGATTACAAACTTTCCAAATCCATTTTTCGACCAATTTCGCTTCTTTCATCAACATGGCTTGGTTTAGTTCCATTGTTAATGGAGTTGGCAGTGCAGCAAATTGGCTCTTGTCCAACTCTGGTCTAGTTGGAAAGGTCCTAAGCACTGTTGGTACTGTCGCTCAGGGTAATTTACCAAGCACAGTGACCACTGAGGGTTTTGTTATGGTGGAGAATGGTGGAATCACCGCGGAGGACTGTGATTGTGGGGGTGACTTGGCCCAAACATTCAAGTACGCAACCAGGAAGCTTGAGAGGGCTGCACAGGAGGGAGAAAAAGCACCAAAAATGCCCATTCGGGGATCCCAGGACAGTGCGATTCTGTCCGGATTGTGGACAAACCCAGGTCTCACAATCGACGGCACCGCAACTCCTGAAATGTATAGAGACATGGGAAAATTCTTGGCGGAAAACAATATCCCCACGGAACTGAAGACGACCAACAAGGATGGCACTGGCACGTTGGACGTGTCCCAGACAATATGCGACTCAATCTTCGCGGATGCCCCTGGCATCCCGGAATCTAGTGAAGTCGAGGCTGTTGCTGTCAAGGTAGCAGAGTTCGAGATTCCAGGTGATGGGTGTACGATTTCCGGCTCTCACGCTTACTATTCTATCCCGTTGGGTAAGCGCAATTATGGACCACAGTGTGATGACCAGGCATGGCATGGAGCCGTCCGAGTGACGAGAACCAGCACTGCGGCATTCGACATTGAACATCGAAAGCAGATGAAAGAGAACTTTTATGTCGCTCAAACTGTTGAAACTGCGGGTACTGGACCGAGATGGGTCGTTACTTGCCAGGTGAATTGGAGAACAATCTCACTCGCCAAACGTGCTCGGGAGAAGGTGAAGGCAGAACTTTTGGAATATCATCCTACCTACCAGCTTCTGTATTCTGCGGTTACCGGTCAGAATCAGACAATCAAAATCCGAGCACCCGAAGGAGTTACGCCAGCCAGTGTACGCGCTATCCTTAACCAGGTTGTCACCAATGCCGCGAAAAGTGTGACACAAGGTGCAAGTCAGATTCTCAACGGCGAACCTCTCTCAGATAGCATGCTCTCTTCTCAAGTCCGCTCTGTTCTTAATCTTGTTGTTTCTGAAACAGAGAGAAAATTGACTGGCCAAATCGAGAAGCCTGAAATGGATTCCACACTTCAAACTCCAGAAGTTACCGTGACGAATTCAACCTTGGTTACTTGAACTATGCGCCAGGCAAATCAATTAATCGCCTGGGCAGTTGAAAAGGATTTTCTGGGTATTGTGAGCAATACTATTTCACTATCGCGCATGTACTTCGTTCAAGATCAATGGGCAATGCCAACCGATATCCGTACTATCCATAGATTCATGGGTTCAATTTTCAAATATACTACCTACCATCTTCAAAAGTTACGACTTAAACTTACTAAGTTATCTTATATTATTGGCAATAAGTATTCTATACTACCTAATGTAATGGGGATTCTCGCTCTTCAACAGTAGGGATCCCGTGACGTGGCACCTCAGCAACAAGGTGTCCCTTCTGATGGAAAAGATATGTAGCGCGCAGTTCTAGTTCGACAATCATCCAATCATTCTTCCTCATGAACCACCCCTACGATCACTACTATTTGGCTTTCTAGGATATAAGTCCAATTATTTTAGTACTGGACAAGCCTATCTGCCTGCACAATACTGCGCTTTGCTTAATTCATGCACCCTGCGGGTGTGCTGGTTTTTTTTCTCTGCGATCGACCCGTCTGCTTACGCAGACAGCCAGCGTGCGATTCTCATCTTTCACTGGGTATCTTTGAAAGACTCGGATGCCCCCAAACCTGCATCTGTACTAGTAATACATAGTTATATACCTAGGTACCACCTGGGCATGTAAATTCAAGTTGAAGCTTTCCTGACGGTAAAATGTAGTAAACTTCCAGTCGGATTCATGTGTATTATCTGAAGTCCTTTCACAGTTCAATGTTGTTCTGCCCAGGTGGTCTGTGGGCTTCCCACTCTCTACTTACAAGTTATTTCGGATTTGAATATCTGAAAGAGAGATCCACAGACACGCCTCTTGCCCAGGTGCCGCAGAATCCTTTGGATGGCGTCTAGATGGTGATGTCACAAGGGCCTTCAACTTTCAGGTATTTATGCGCATCTATAGGAGTGCCGGTGCGTCATATGACGTATTTGACTGGCTTATAATATTACGAAAACGATAGGAATATCAGAACAACTGTCCATGCCATGATATGTAGTAAAATGATATTATTAAATTGAATACTCGCGCCTTGTCTTGACTGGCAGCTTCCCTGACACATGTTTAGTCTGTCACTAAATGTGCCCAGGTGCTACACATAGTACATATTATCGAGTTGCAGCATCGAAACTTTCTGAAAGCTACATAACCTCCTAACTCGCCAAGCTGAGATTGAACCAGATGGCACTGGATCCTGCCTTCATTCAAAAGTTCGAGGGCCACTTTCAGGCTGTGAAATCTGTTGTGATTTCCTCCAATGGCCACTACATGGCATCGGGCTCTGATGATACAACTATCAGAATTTGGGATCCCGTTGACGGCAAATGTCTCAGGGTTCTAGAAGGCCATGGCTATGCGGTTAATTCGGTCGCTTTCTCGCCGTTTAGCGACAAAGTGGCCTCAGTATCGAATGACGAAACCGTGAAGATCTGGGATGTCAAAACCGGCAACTGTCTGCAAACTCTACAACTCTCTTGTGAAGGCTATTCGGTTGCCTTCTCGTCTAATGCTACATATTTGGCATCAGCTATGAAAAGTTCAATCATGGTATGGAGTCTTACCAATGACACCTACACCTTTCTCAGGTCACTCGAAGGGCATAATGGGCCAATTTATTGTGTTGCCTTTTTTACAGATGATCCCGAATCCGGACTTGCATCAGGCTCCGATGATAAAACTATAAGGATCTGGGATGTCGCAGAGAACACCTGTCACTATATACTCAAAGGACATAGCAAGCGTGTCTACTCGCTTGCATTTCCCCCGAATGATGAGACTGTCGTCTCCTGTTCAATGGATCAAACGATCAAAATATGGGATTCAGACTCTACCGGCTCTGTCGGATGTCTCTCAACGCTAACGGGGCATAAGGACTGGGTCCTGTCGGTAGCTGTTGTTTCCCAATCCCGAAAAGGTTTATGTGGCATCGGCTTCAAGGGATAAAACTGTCAAGATATGGGATCTTGAAGACGCTGAAAACCCGAGATGTATCCATACTTTCAGCGGACATCACGACTGGGTAACAACGATATACCCCTCGGCTGATGGTCAAGTTGTTGTATCAGGGTCAGATGACAATACTATCATAGCCTGGCGTATTATAGTTGATGAGGATGAGGGAGGAGATGATGCATGAAAAGATGATGACATTGATACAATCGCATGCTTGTAAGAATACAAATTAAAAGCCATGTAAGCACGCAAAGGCATTCTGACAAGCCCGAGGCATACCAGTCTAAATACTAGGGGATAGAGGACTGCTACAGTGGACGGCGGATTAAAGGATGATGAAAGGTGTTGACGGTAGAGACAGAAGAGAGAGGCTGATATTTAGTTATAGGTCGTTCTGTAGATACCTGAGGCATACTCATTTATAAGGCTCCATCGCCTAAATACCAGCCAAAAGATCCCCCAAAAAGAGACATCAATATACAAAATATATACAAAAGACAGGTAAACATAGGCAAGAAGTCTCAAAAATTCTCATTTGACAACATGAACAGTTCTAACCCCTATCGCTTACTGGTTCATCAACATTGTAACCTCCTCGTGCCTTATTGTATCTCTGGTATAGGCCATGTTCCCTAAGCAGTTTCTTTGACTGATAGATATAGGCAAAAACAGAAGAAAATAGAGGATCTTTGTAGTCAAATAACAACTTCAATTAAGTCAACTTATTCCTCATGACTCCTGTTGAAAAATATTGAAAGGATAAAGAACTTGATGGCTCTGGGACCCAGGGCTTTCGATTTTCAATATTTTGACCCCGGTCATTATCGATATTGAATCTGCCCCCATGATTACTACTGAAAGAGATGAGGGCAACGTGATGAAAAAGGATAGAATGTAAATCAAAGGACCCTGGAAAGAGCCAGGCCATATTTGGCACTCGTTATGCGTATCCTCTGCATGTTTTCTATCTTCTTTGCCCTCAGCTTACGAAACCACTTGGATATGATCACCCTGTACTAATAAACATTCGGTACTTTGGACCCAGGCAGCTCATGGTAGACCGGCTTGATCTGAGTATTGTGGCCATCTAGCTCATTTTCACCTGAGCTGTTCTCATGGCACCCACTACCGCCACTGCTTCCATTATTTCGACTCGCAGTTAGACCACTGCTGTCATTCAGCGTGTCTGGAGACCAGAATGCTGACTGTGGGAGAGAATCGTGTTCATCATGCAAGGAAGACTCGGGAGGACCACCGTTATGTACGGGCCCAGTCAGAACAGATACGTTCGGCCTGGGATCGATCGCCTTATTTCTGGATTTCTGTCGGTGCCGACGAATGTAGAAGAGTAATATGCCCAAAAGAAGGAAGAATCCAACTACTGCACCAACTGCAATACCGGCAACTTTCCCCCGACTCAGGCTTGAAGAGCTTCCGGAGCTGCTCCCACCAGAAGAGCATCCGCTTCCTGAGCATTCGGAAGAACCAGCATCTTTGGACATAATTTCAACAATATCCTCTTGGGAATCTTCTTCCCAGGAGCAAGCGGATACATTGAAAACGCCGCGCTCATAATCGGTCGATAGATACCTAAATATGAACTTAGAAAATGTGCTCTACGATGGGAACTTGAAATTTCAACTCACGCTTCTTGCAGGAATACTCGACCCAGGGTGTATTGAGTCGAGTTGGCCGCCCGCTTCAATGGGAAGTAGTAGCTGCTGTTATCGACCAGAGGAGGCTTCGCGGTCAGAGCGAATGCTTCATATGGTAGAGTGATTACGACGGCATCTCCCCCAGTTCCCACATCAGATAGCCGAAAAGTCACTTCAGCCTCTGAGTTGAGCAATTCGGTATTCTGAGTGTCATTCACCAGATACAAACCGGAGTCATTATCCATAGTTAAGCCAAACGCTTTCTCAAATTCATTACAGACGCTGTCGGGCAGCCACAGATTTGGGTCGGTCGAGTCAATAAAAATGTCAATCGGATTGGATAGTAATATCGAAGAGGTTGATCCGCTGTAGCTGATTGACTGTAGGTAAACGACGAGATCGCGTGTGATGTCGTCCGCCATGGTAAATGAAACAGAGTTTGAGGTAAATCGCGATTGATCGTAGCCAGAGAAAATGAGTTGGCCATAAACCTGCTTCAGACCTGATAAAAATGAATTCAATAGATCAGCCAAGAGTTTTCATAGGCCCGGGACTCGGAAGCATTCTCACGATATTTAGCGCCAGCGGTATAGCTCCAACTCAAACTTGGAATCATGCTTTGGTCTTTGAGAGTTGTGAAGAATGAAGGTGATGAAGAATTTCCCAAGGTACTGAGGTTGACTTGTTGAGGATTGAGACCCAATATTCCCCTGCAAAAGGGTACCGTTAGCAATTCATCTTTCAATATGAGAATTCAATGAGATTATTACAGGTAGAAGGGCTCAGGAGTTGCAATTCCGGCAAGGGTCTGGTTCTCGAGCTTTGGTCCATTCAAACTGAGGCCTATATCATCCGTCGCAAATTCGGATCTTTGGGAGTATCCCAGATTGGCCTCCAGACCAACGCCGTTGTTGTTGATATTGAAGATGCCAAGCTCATTCCAACTGGAAGATTTGTTGGACGTAAACAAATCACCTCTTGATGATGCGCAATTTGATGGTGCATTGGCGAAAACTGAGTCGGAACAGCCATATTCAGATAACACCACCATAGACTCCGGAGAGGCCGTTGATACTAAAACTCTAACATATTGCTCCGGGGTACCTACTCGAAGAAAGAAGCTACTCCATGGACCATCATTACCATCACTAGACATAAATTAGTGAGCAAAACAATCAGTAGAGAGATTTGGGTGAATAGTTACAAGTATTGACTGGGCGAAACAACGATAGGAGACGAGGAGCGTGCGGAAAGTGATGATGCCCAGCGTTGCGGCTCCCAAGACATTATCAAAGCCAGCAGAAGGACCAAAATGGCCGAGTACATGCTGGCAAGCCGCGGAATTGCACGTTCAAAAAAGTAGTTTCGATTTAGCAGGCAGTCAGTATGTGGCTAGTGAATGAAGATTGAGCCGGCCTCATGTGCCTTTTCGCGGGGAAACAGAACAACTATCCACCATGATCCTGCAGGTCCCTTGTGGGTATTTTTGGGACAAATTTAATAGCAATTGACTTGATGTGATCGCTCGCCAGGTCACAAATGCCGGTGGGAGCATATTCGCTCTCGTTCTCGCACGGACAAAACATAAACAAAAACCGGCTGACAGCCGTCCCAAAACCTGCTCCACTGCATGCTTTTGGTCTAATCAGGGACCGCGACCGGGATTGATGCAGATCGAACCGACCACGTTCCTCTCGGACCTTACTGTTCCTGGCTAAGACGTTGAATGTCATTGCCTTTCTGAGAAAAACTTCCGTCTAGCTCAGTTATCATGACAACACTCAGCTATTATGACCACATCGAAGGTAATGACTCGTTGACAACAGGGTGCTACTTATGCTGAACACGTCATGTTATGTGATTAGTTTCCTGAGCATCTTAATCTTGTTCCTTAGGAGCGATTGTTCAAAACTTCGAGCAAGACGGAAGTTACTCTAGTATTTGTTCTCGGTTCCTCTTTTCGTTCCCTCGTCACCAAGCCTTGAATCTGCCCGATCTCGGCAGCAGTTCCTTATTGATATAGTTGAACGCGCTGCTAGAAAACCAGAGCCATGCAATCATTCAAATTCTGGTCTTTGCTTGGGCTTCTGAGTACTGGAATAGACTCTGTCAGCGCTATTCCAGGATCAGGTGTGAAATTGAACCGGGACGAGCACAGTGATGAAATTCACAGTCCTAGCTTCTGGTCCGGCGACCCGAAGACCCATGCCTATACCTGGGAGTCGAAGCAAACTTCAATTTCGCCCTCAACTACCGTTTGGTATACTGAGACCACGGTCGCACATACGACTACCACTTGTCCCCCGTCACCTGAAAATAGCACAGTGATTGTCTCCGACGTGTCGACGATATCCTGGAAACTTACAAGCACAACAACCTATTCCACAACCTTGACCTATGAGTATTCTTCTATCACAACATCACCTCCTCCTAATCCGTGTCCAACATCATGCAAAGTGTAAGCGATCTGCATATAAAACCCCATATAGCTCATATAAGTGTGCAATTCTAACTTTTCGTCCTCACAGCTCTGCTGGCACGGTCAATTTGTTCTACTGGCCAACGGATCAGCCATACGACTACCCGACAACACACTTCGATGAGCACCTCGATTATACCTTGTAAGGCCTTTCTGATATATGATCCATTCTCGAATCTTATTAACTCGTCGTTTTAACAATAGTACTTCACCATCGGTGTACATGATCGTGGACAAAATTTACGGTACAAACACCGCTGGTGACATCGTCGGCCCCTCTGGCACCAGCGTGATCTTCCCACTTGACCTTGATGAGGTCTCGACCATCGTGCCGAACATCTCAGCGACTCATCAACTTACGCTCAATGATCTCCGCACCGACTGTCCACAGACAGAGCCAGCATCTGTCATCGCAACAAAAGTGCCTGGTGGCCCTTGCGACCCGATTCTCGCAGCACCAAAGAAGGTCAAATCATGGGCGTCACCTTGCGGCGCGTGTCAAAACTTCGGACTGTTTGATCCTCCATATGCCGTTTCGCCTCTCACTGGAGGTCTGGTACCAATGACTACCACGACAGTGGAGCCCGCGCCCCAGACTACGACCACAATTGTATCTGCCACCGAGACTACCACTCCCGATGAGACCGCCGCATCTACAACATTGCATTCTACTGCTGCTGGTGTGGCAGTGACTCTGACTGAATCATTCGGCTCGATCGTAGCCACCATCCCGGTGACTGTCCTGACATCATCTAATGAAGCTTCGTCGCAATCCTCCATTGCTGCGGAGACTGCAACGGAGCCCTCCATGCAGACATCAACTGCCAATCCCACCTCTCTCGCATCCTCGTCCTCATCTTCATCTACGGGCGCGAGCCCGAGCTCTAGTATACCTGCAGCTCCTGCTGCGGCCACCAAGATCTCGGGTGGACTTGGTTGGATCATGAGTTTGATCTTGGGAATAAACATGGTGGTATTATGATATAATGTATACTAGTTTTCAAGTTCCTACTAGTAGATAAATCTTGGAAAATGCCAGTGGGCTTGCACACAGATAGTCAACAAGTAATTTTTCCTATTCCTTATCCTGAATATGCTACTCGGTAAGCAAAGTGACACTTGCTGAGCACTATAACGGAAATGAAAATCTTTTTTTGATGAACCTTGGAAGTGAATCAAGAGTTGCGTTACTGGTGCCTTGCATGCAATGGAGGAAGGTGATGAGGTAGCATGATCGCCCAGGTCTCATTGGTTGAGGTTGTGGACGCCTAGCAGTTTTCCCTAGTAAAACCTCTGCAATAGCCAAGAGTGTCGGCTCATTATACTTCGATTCTAGTGATCAAGTCGACGGGGCTGTCGACTTTGCAGGTTATGCAGCTGCATTGCAATCTCCGCATTTGAGGCGCAAACAAGCTAGTCTAGCGTGTCGGAAAAGTCATTAACAGCACCAATTATCACCGGACCCCAACGTTTCCTCCGCCTCTTTCTCACTCGTCTGCCCCACAAATTCCCCTTGAGGACCGTGCAGTTCATGCCCCTTTGGAATATCTCGCAATAACGAATATGGAAGTTTCCTCCGTCCGAGTCGAATTCCGCATCTCATTTAGGGGGTGAGTGATGGATTGGGAAGTTTGCAGCAGGAGAGGCTTAACTCCGAGCCCGCCAGACTCCCACCCTCTACCACAGAACCCTTCAAGCCCTCATTACGGAGTACTCTGGGGTAGCTTCCCCACGCTCGTGTGGATCTCCATTCTTCCGGGGTAGTCTTTTGCCCCAGTATTCTCAGAGAAATGGCCAACAGCATGGCACATGCCTCCTGCGAGGTAATTTCCTGCGTCCAGGGATACGTATCTATGAAAAGAGCGGGGTTTGGGGAGGTGCTTCAAGTTTGAAATGAAATTTCAGAAAAGCATAAATACCCCCTGGACTGCCCGAGGACGGACAAGTGAAACTGAGCAGGAGAAGTTCGAGGTATCCTAATCGTCATGAGATCAATTTCTTGGAGCCCTCGGGCATTGAGTCTAGCAACACTTGCATGCAGTATCACTACTGTAGTAGCAACCTCCTTGAAAGACGTCTGCATTGTTGACTACGTCCAGTCCAAACTCCCCGAGTCCGACTTTATTCAAGGCATTACACTTGACCCATCCTCCGTTACGACGAACATTGTTTCGAACGCATCCAATCCCACAGACGGAACATTCTTCCCTGCGGCCAGCTTTTCATACTGCAATGTGACGCTAGCATATTCCCACAATGGGCGCGGAGACCAAGTTCTCGTCAAGTACTGGCTGCCAGACCCTGCCAAATTCGAGAATCGATACCTGTCGACCGGAGGTGGAGGTTATGCCATCAATTCCGGCGAACAATCCCTTCCGGGAGGTATTATGTATGGTGCGGTTGCAGGTGCCACTGATGGTGGATTTGGAAGCTTCACGACGCAGGCAGATGCCGCGATGCTGATCAGCAATGGCACACTCGACTACGAAACACTGTATATGTTTGCATACAAAGCTCACTGGGAACTCAGCAAGATCGGCAAGCAGTTCACTCGCAACTTCTTCAACATGAAAGATGCTTCAAAGCTGTACTCATATTATCAGGGCTGCTCCGAAGGAGGCCGAGAGGGATGGAGTCAGATTCAGCGATATGGAGACGAATGGGATGGTGCAGCTATTGGAGCTCCTGCTTTCCGCTGGTCCTTCCAGCAGACTCAGCATCTATATTCCAATATTGTCACGCAGACACTCGGATATTACCCGCCCCCTTGCGAGATGGAAAAGATTATCAACGAAACCATTTCTGCTTGCGATTCCCTCGATGGGTTGGTGGACGGCGTCGTATCTCGCTCTGACCTTTGCGAATTGCATTTTGATATCTCCACTGTGGTCGGTAAGCCTTATTACTGTGCAGCCTCGGCTGCCAGCTCTGGCTATGGTAAACGCAAGAGGCAAATGGCCACAGCCGCCACGCCAGTTCAAAACGGCACTGTCTCGAAAGAGGCCGTCGAAGTTGCCAAGGAGGTCATTCGTGGTCTTCGCGATTCAAAGGGTCGGCAGGTCTATCTGTCGTATCAAACCGCCGCCGACTTCGACGACGTTACGACTCAATATAACTCGGATACTGGGAAGTGGGAGCTCGAGGTTGATCAGCTTGGCGCTGAGCACATCGCCTTACTCGTGGACAAGAATGGCACGAAGCTGTCTAATCTTGACGGTGTGACCTATGACACTCTTAAAGATTGGATGATCAGTGGAATGCAAGAATATGGTTCGACACTGCAGACCAACTGGCCTGACCTCACGCCATTCCAGCAGGCCGGTGGAAAAGTCATCCATTTCCACGGAGAGGCGGACAATTCTATCCCCACCGCTTCGAGCGTCAGATACTGGGAGTCTGTTCGCAGTATCATGTACCCTGACCTGTCTTATACGGAGGGCGCTGCCGCCCTGAAAGACTGGTACCAGCTATACATCGTCCCTGGTGCCGCTCACTGCGCCACCAACCCACTCATGCCCAATGGCCCTTTCCCTCAGACCAACCTTCAGGTACTCATAAACTGGGTTGAGAAAGATGTGAAGCCAGTAACCCTCAATGCTACCGTCCTACAGGGCGAGCATGTGGGTGAGAATCGCCAGATCTGTGGCTGGCCCCTTCGGCCAAAGTGGAAGAATGGTAAGATGCAGTGCGAGTACGACCAAGCCTCCATTGATACTTGGCATTATGACCTCAACGCTGTGCCACTGCCGGTTTACTAGAGATAAGCGGTGCAAGTGGCGAGGGAGAAGTAGAAGGGGGCAGGGATTCTCAGAGCCTAGGAGAGACTCGGGTAACAAGTGAACTTTGTTTTCGCGATGCTAGAAATTCCGAATCAGTTTAAAGAAACTACAAATGAAGAATACAACGTCAGCTGAAATTAATCTTTGCTTTGTAGTGGTTTATGGTAACCTTTAGTACGCTCGACGTTCCACAACTGATCAGGCCTCCATAGCGAGGTAGAAAAAAGCAAAAGAATTTGATTGGGAAGTCAGCTAAGAGACGAGGTTATAGGAAAGTCCGCGTGAGGTGAGGAGAGTTGCATTGTGGAAAGAGCGGCTGTTTGCGAGTGTTTGTTTCTGTATTCACTATGAAATTTCCCTAGATACCTGATAGTCGGGTGTTTGATCGTTGCTCGACTACTCTGCCTTGTTGACTTCCTCTTCTTGTGGTCATTCTTACCTTCGCATATTTCATCAACAATCCAGTCCAGGAGTGCAAGGGAGCCGCAATCTTACAAAATACAGTCCTCGCCACAGTATCCGAAGCCCTGATACTCCATAACTTTACCATATCTCCCCATTCTCTAGCCCTCGTACCTCAGAAACCACCATATCTCCTCATACGCACCGTGCTTTGGGGCATTCCAAAGGGTTCCTATGACATTGACGATTCGAAGATTGTGACGAAGCTCCAAACTAACGACGCTTTCAATACGGGGTTTCTCATCTGGTAGAGAAGGTACTCAATCTCCCAAAAGTACGAAGCCATCACAGACACATCCCAGACGTCCGACGAAGCTTACGCTCAGTACGAGGCCCTGTCAAATGTCCAACAGCTTGAAGACAAATAAGGCAGACTTGAGGCCTTTGAAGCAACACAAAAAGTTCCAGACCGAAAATCGAACGAATATGGGGAGGCCAGATATTGTGAACGAGTCCAAGCATCAACAGCTCCCGACTGCTGATCAGGACAACCGGACTTTCCTCTACACGACTGAGGACATTTTCAACCGTCAATCCCCCGGATACGCCCTGTCGGACGAAAAGCGCGCTGATTTTGGGCACATGATAATGAGTCTGAAAGAAGCTTCCTCCGCGCTGCCTCGAGATATTCGCAACCGCATTCCCCCGAAAACACCCTGCCGGACGAAAAGAGTGTTGGAGGTAGACAACTTGAAGGTAGCGACTCGGAGAGATCAACTGGCTTCAAAAAAAAGGATAAACCCGCCATCGACGAAGAATCTGTCATCAAGGCAACGAAGCACGCAAGAAGCTTCAAACGCCTCTTCGAGCAGGTCCCAACCGACGTTCTGCAGTGGTGGCCCGAGCTATGTGCACTCGAAGTATCGGCCTTGAGAGGGAAGGACATCTTGCATCGCAACCCTCATCTGTTGGACTCAGGAGTTCTGTCCCAAGATATTCTCATCATCTTCCGTGAACTTAGGGAGATACATCTGGAAAGCTCTGCAAGGTCAGTTGACATACTATGTGAACTTGAACTGGAAGAAGCCGAAGCGACGAGTCTTTGAGTCGTTGATTACCCCTGAACAGTTATCGTCCTCTCTCTACTCACCTTTCTCTTTCGACGACTTGTTTTTAATGCATCATGCTCTTCCTCAAGGGGATTTGAGGGGATCTTGTGCGCGCTTTTCTTTTTCACGTCGTCCCACATGGCCTCGAGGTTCTTCATCAAGCAATCTGATGCTATCTTTTCCGCATTTCTCAAGCGGTAATTTCTTTTCTGATATGCTTTTCCTTTTATTTCTCCGAGTCTCTATTTCTTCCCACTTATGAGCTAGTTACTTCTCTGATTTGATTTTGAATTATATTATGTGGTGCTCAAGATACCTAATACATTTCGCGTTACAATTTACCACATTTCCCCGTAGGACCTTTTCCTTTTGATTGGTATGAACATGCCATCGATGGTGGAACTCATAGGTTTCATCAGTGACCCAGGAGGGCATATGTAGCCTACCTGGGGTAGGTCATTATGTGCTTGCCATATTAGAAACTGGCGGTCATGATGTTATTGACCTTCGTACCTAGGTGATCATATTTACCAGAACAACTTCTCATATTAGGGGAAAATATAGGAAATTAGTTTTTGAGACGAAAGGTGTCTCTTAGTAAGGTAATTTAAGCAAGCCAAGGTTATCTTCGGATCCACGCCATTAAAAGAAGTGCGGGCCATGGGTGTCGGATATGACAAGTAGAGGCTCATTCCTTACGTCCCACTGCCGTCATATCGAAATTCTGATCGCTTTGTTTCAAACTTGTCTATGATTTACACGAAATTTCAGGAAAAGATACCTTTTTTCCTTCTTTTTTCGACCCGGGTCTTCCAACAGCCTAGACATATCGTTTGCCTTGAGCCGATCAGGATCCATTGCCTTCAAATTAATAGAATCTGCTTCCTTTTTTCAACTACCCAGTTCTGAAACAATGATGGATAGAGCACTCAAAGCAAGCGCTCATGAGTTCATAATCGAGTTAGTGACCAATGGCATATACTTTAAGTGAGTGTCTGTCTAAACTGCGAATATTTAGTATCCTCCCCTTATATCAGGGTCCCATTGTGAAAATTCGAATTATACCATGCAACAACGAGTACACTATTTCGAAGAGCCTTCTTTGCGCAGAATCTCCGGTATTCTCAGCAATGTCCAAAGGCGAATTCTTAGAAGCTCGACAGCTGACCGTCGATATTGGGGAAATGGAAGATGTCATCACGGTCCGAAGTGTTGAAGGACTGATTCAATGGCTTCACCTTCGTGTCGTTAATTTCGGCATAGACTCGGAGGACCTGGGAGAGCATATATCAGCTGCTATAGAGCTCGCGAAGCTCGCCGACAAATATAACATAGCTGGGCTGGAAGCCGTAATGGCTCAACATATCAAAAATATAATTATAGCCAATCCTGGTTCCAAAGCGAAATCCCCTGTGCAAAGCTTCCGATACGGAGACGCAAACGCTCACTGGCTGACGTTTGATCATATTGTCTCAGCAGCAGTCTTGCCACGAGAGCATCCAGTACGGCGACTTATAGCAGCTGCCTCTGTGAGTGGCTACCTGCAGAGTGTAGAATATAAATTATTCGCTGAAGAGACTCAAAACTGTCCTTCATTTGGGGCTGACCTCCTTCGAGAGGTAAGATTGACGTTGAATGGGACATTCTTTACTCGAGATTCTACTGCCATCTACTATAATGACCCCATCAGTGGAACAAAGATTATATCTAGAGGATTCTGATGAGAAGATGACGATACTTTCTGCAATATAATCCATGGATGCTACTAGTACTTTATCGCTATGATCTGATAGTGCTGTTTGAATTGGATACTTTGCTTGTAATTTTCGGGTTCCTTGAAGTCACACATACTGTTGGATGAGTTATCGATATTTGCCCAATCGGATATCGGCATCAATGACGACAACGACACTGCATATCCCGTGCCCCGTGCGATTGATCCAAATATCATATACGGAGAACTACTCCGCGGGCCCTGGATAAAGTTGAATCTATTTGTACTAGTGAGTGCTAGTAGTAACGGGTGTCTCGTCGGATATGCATTGCCGAGCTCGGGCCCGTCACTTGCTGCCTGTGTCGATCCCACCCACCATTACCCACAACGAGCTGGTGCGGTGAGCCCTTGAGGGATTACAATTACAATTACAATTCAGACAGCGAACCATCTGCAGTAGCCAAGGCGCAAACTTCACACAAACTATCTAAATATTGAGAACACAGCTGCTTCCCCGAGCGAACCGCAATGCATGGCGAGTTCGATCGATCACATGTACTCCGTACCATGGGCAAAAGCGCCCAGGCCAGGCACCGGAAATGCAGATGAGCATTGGGGGGGCCCGCTCTAAAATTACAGACACCTCGGGGACTCTGTACGTCATCAGGGTGCCTGCAGGTGATTTAACGCTATTGAACCCAAGTACGTGGGATATGTCGAGTACATACTCCGTACTCCGCACTTGGGGGCCGTCGTCATCAAGGATCCTGCCAAGGTGAGACCTGACGAGATAAGAGGGCGACGAGACCGCGGCGGTTGAAGCAGATCGTCCTGTCAAATACATAATATTCCGGCGGTACTGGATCTCCGGGGCCGTGCGAGATCGCGCAATTGGCGAAGCACCACACTCGCGTGTGCGCCAGCGACGGTGAATCCACATTCCGCAGACCCGAAGATGACATCAACCGGGGGGATGCTGGGAATGCGGACGTCATTCCAAACGGCTGGGGACCAAGTACTCAGTAGGTAAAAAGTAGGAAAGGACTGTGGCATCCACGATTGTCCGGATAACCAGACCCCCTGTAAGTGAAAGGCTGGCACTTTCTCATGTCTCTCGGCATCTCCTCTCAGTTAAGGGGAAAATGTAATCTGCCCGCCACCGTGGGCGCCAGTGCGGGTGGAGCCCTGTCGATCGAGGGTATTTGCCCCTGGATTCTGACCCTAATTCAAGTCTGGGGAGGTTCTGCAGGCTGACATTTAGCGTAAGAATCAAGACTCGTAATGCATATCCAACTGTACGCAGTAATGTGCATGATGAATGTGTGGCCGGGGAATCCGTATGTGAAGCTAAGAGAAGTAGAGAGGAGAGAAGTCGACAAGAGAAAGAAGAAAAGAGCGAGTCTCTCATGAAGAAGGCGGTCCTGGCCGATCGCCTCTTTACGTACGCCTTCCCCCCTCAAGTCGATCCCGTGTCCACTCCCACTTCCCTTTCTCACTCTTACTCACTTCTCTTTCTTCCCCCCCCTTGTCTTTTCTCTCTTTCTCTCTTCTCTCGAGTCGCACTTGACTGGTTCTTGTCCCTTTGCACTGCCATTAATTGCTCCTACACTCTCCGTTTCATCGTCGCTCAACCTACCCACCCCCGTTGACTCGTGCGACACCACTTACGTTTACTACCCGCTCTCTGATTGATGCAAACGCATCACTATCACTCTCCACTCGTCCTCCGTTTCATCTCACCATCATGAATGCCCCTCCAGCGTTCGGGTACCCGCCCGGCGTGTCGCTGGCACCGACAGGTGCGTAATGCTTTTTTTGATTTGCGACGAATGAACGCCCAGAGATTCGTGTGCTTCCCCTGATGGCGTTTCTTTGTTCGCCTTGCTATTTAAATGCCACCGTCGCCTCCTGATCGAAAGATTAGAAACCTTCCGATTGACGAGAAACTAACGTGAAACGATCGCCGGACAGACCAGGTCTCACCGACAGCTGCCAATTTTGGCTCCAACAATCCCTTTCGAAACCGCGCCCTGTCTCCATCTGCCGGTTCTACCAGCTCGCGCCCGGAGCGTCCTAGATCGACAAACCCATTTCTCGACGACACCGAAGCGCTCTCACCGCAATCGGCTCCTGGCATTTCGAGCGGACCCAGCATGTTCTCCCCGACCGAGAAGCCGGACGTCACTAACAATACCCGCGACCTCTTCGTATGTTCACTGTTTCGCCGATGATGCCTTGTGCTTGCGATCGATAGATTGCTAATCAGCTGTAGGAAAACCTTTCCCTCGGCTCCAAGCCCGCCACTCCTGCCACACGAGGCATTCGACCTCCTACCGATAGCGCCTCCCGTGATGCCGCCCGCGGGTCGTCCAGTCGCCCGCGTCCTCCGAGAGAGCGTCCCTCAGGGCGCCCCGAAGAGTCGCGATCAAAGGACCCGAAGGATCCTTTCGATATTTTCGCCGATCCCCCTTCCCTATCCAAGGCTGCCACTTCAGGTCCCCCCAAAAGCAGCTCTCGCAGACCCCGCCGCAACTCCGAGTCCTCTGTGATGGAGCGGGCGTCCAAGGTCTTCGACGATGACGACGAGCGCCGCCGGAGGGAGCGCCGCCACCGCGAGCGCGAACGCCAACGTGATGGCAAGTCCCGTTCCTCTCGCAAGGATCGCCGACTGGACATCATCGATAAACTGGATGTGACCAGCATTTACGGAACCGGAAGTGAGTTCTCCATCAGTCCGATTTCTCTCATCTTGCAGTATTCTGATTCAACATAGTGTTCCACCACGACGGTCCTTTCGATGCCTGCAACCCCCACCGGAACCGAAAAGGCTCCCGTGTCGCGCCCATGCAAGCATTTCCCAAAAACTCCACGAATATGGCACTGGGCGGCTCGGGCCCGAACAACTCCAATATCGATCTGAACCTCTTCCACGGTAGAATGGAAGAAGGCTACAACGATTTCGCCTCCTCTGGCCAACAACGCAGTGGCACTGAGACCGTGAGCTTCGACCCCAGATCTCTCGTGGATCCCATTCACGGATCCGAGACCGCTGGTCTCGGCACAAGCACATTCCTCGACGGTGCGCCCGCGAGTCGTTCAGCAATGGCCCGTCGCCAGAGCGAGAATGATCAAGGCCTTGCACCAGGCGGCGGTCTCGGACGGAAGAAGAGTCTGGCTCAGCGGTTACGGGGAAAGAGCGGTACTGGTCGAATGATGTCTCCCACAGAGCCAAGCTTCCCTGCGCCAGCCGCGCCCATGGGCTCAAGCCATTCCGCTTCGTCCCGCAACAACGAGCCGAACCCTTACTTCCAAGATTACGACGAGGAATATGACAAGAAGGCGGCGCGTATTCAGGAATCGCGCCTGGAGGGTGGAGGCGGTCGTCTTCGCTCTTCCAGTAGCCCCAAGCAGGCAACTGGCTTGGAACGCAAATCCACCAACGATCGTGGTTTGGACGAGAACAAGCTCAACCCGGGCGGTGGCGGATTTCTCAACCGGATGAAGAGCTTGCGCAAGCCGCGAGTTGAGCGTCGCACCAGTGATTAAGTCATCTTTTTAGGAGGATAAGACTGACAGGCGAGTTGATGAGTTGAGCTGAGCTGAGTTGAGTTGCGTTTCGTGGCAAAGAAAGGAATGGAAAGAAGGATAGACCTGCATGGTACCATCATACCCCATCCCATCCCATTCCATCCGCCTTGCACCTCCGCATACAGGCCTCCTGTCATCGCGACGCGATGTGACGCGATGCGAGGAGCCCTGGTGATATCCACATTTCCTGTCCCGGGAAAGATGAATTTGTTATTTTTCTGTAATACCCAACATTTGGGGCGCCGTCAGCGTTCTGGCGCCCAACATGGCGTTGCTCTCAGTGGAGCCGGTTGATTGATTGATCGATTTGATTCTAATTTCTTTGACCTTTCTTCCAATTTTCAATTTATTTTCGAGGGCATGGAATGCGATTGCTCTGCTGTGCAGCTTCGTTTTCCATCGCCATCCTCGTTAGCATGCCCTTTTTTTGTATTTTCTAAGCCACCTTTTTCGCCTTTATTCGTTGAATTCGACGTTTGCCTTTGCATTCAAGTTTTGGTCTTGTAGCTGTATCCCGCGAAATATTCAAGTTTCCTTCCAAGGTTTATGGATGAACTTGAAGCTGCCAGCGTCGATGTTGAAATAGCAGATTATTTACCCTGTGTCGTAACCGTGTCGTAACTAAAGTGTTCAGGCTGCCGGTGCCAAAACATGTTTACCAAGCCAGCAAAGGCATACCAATATAGTACTTTGTAGCTACCAGTACCAGTCGTAGTTAGGTACCAAAGGTGAAGATTCGGTGGCGGGAGACAAAGCTACTACATAGTACCTACTACTACGAACCAAACATGAAGCTTCCTTACTCTGCCCAGGTGGTAAAATATAAGAAATCATATTCATTCATTAAATCATGGCCTAACCAGCCAGGCCCCACCCAAACGCCACACTCAACATGCAAACAAGATGGTATTTTACTTGGAAAGAAACTCAAATCACAGAACCAACGACACGAATGCATTACTGCGCAGCCGAGGTACCCCGCGAGGCGGGGATACCCGCACGGCGCTTGGACTGCGGCTTGGGTCTCGCAAGCGTGTACCTAGGACGAAAACGTTAGCATGGATCGGCTTGAAAGAATCGCAGGTGGGTCGGGACATACTTGGCAAATGCACGGGACAGCGCCTTCTTGCAGCTGACCTTCTGGCTGCCGACGAAGGAGTCTACCGTCACGGCGATGGCGCGGTCAATATCTATCGAGGAGCAGTACTCCGACAGACGCATTTTGCAGAAGGCTTCTGCGATACGCATGATGGCTTCCAAGTGACGGACCTGTGGAAAGGGGTAATTAGTATATGGCTGCGTGCAACCCACGAGGCTTATGGGTGTATGGAGTAGGGTGGTTGACTTACTGTGATGGGGTAGGCGCCCGTAGCCAGGGACTCGCGGCGCATATCCGCGAAGAGACGGGCGATCTTGTCTTGGTCGATTTGGTACAGTTTGGGGTGGCATCGCTCGCGAGCGTAGAGGATATACTTTCGCAACAGTTCTTGGGGGATCTCGCCTTCTTTTTCGTCGTCGGAGCGCTTCTGCTCAGCTGTGCGTTTGGCGGTTTCTTCTTGGGTCAGAGGGAGACGGCGGCCGTCTCTGTCAATACGGTAGCCCTCGGTATCGATGCGGTTGTTATCCGCATCGACGAGGTCGCCAGTGTCGTTTCGCAGAGGTCGGGCTGGGTTGGCGCGGTGGTGAGATTCAATGACGAAGTTGGCGAGGCGCTCGTCTTCGGTGGGCTCGACCAGATCGCGAACCACGCACAGGATATCGAAACGGGACAGGATAGGCTCGGTCAGGTCGACGTTCTGTGCGAAGGGCTTGGTGCTGTTGTAGCGACCGCCGTTGGGATTGGCAGCGGCGACAACGGAGCAGCGAGCCTGCAGAGTTGTGACGATACCAGCCTTCGAGATAGAGATGGTCTGCTGCTCCATAGCTTCGTGGATGGAGGTACGATCCTGATCGTTCATCTTGTCGAACTCGTCAATCAGACAAGTACCGCGGTCAGCCAGCACCAGGGCACCACCTTCCAGGGTCCACTCGCTTGTCAAGGGGTCGCGGCGAACACTGGCAGTCAAACCGACAGCACTGGCACCCTGACCTGTGGCAAAGACGGCTCGGTGGGCAGTCTTCTCAACAAACTTGAGGACTTGCGACTTGGCAGTACCGGGGTCACCAAGCAACAAGACGTTGATATCACCACGGATATTCATCTTGCCTTGTGCTTGTTTGCTTACACCACCAAAGAGGGAAAGGGCCACAGCGGTCTTGACATCACTGTGTCCGTAGATACTAGGAGCCATAGAGCGAATAACCTTGTCCACAATATCGGGATCGCGCGACAGGTTGCGGATCTCGCGCTCATCCTCTTCAGTCATGTTGAAACCAGCAAGTTGGTCATGAGATTTGACGACATGGTTGGCTTCGATAATAGTGGCGAATACGGGGAATCCGTTCTTGTTGTTCAGTGAGGCGTCGTAGCTGTTGCGGTAAATACCAGTGATTTCTATCTCATCACCGGGCTTCGCCATATCGATAAGATCAGCCAAGAGAACAACTTCACGCTGGCGAGGCAGACGACCGGCAGGAACCGAGCCTGGGGACTCTTGCAGAGTCAATTTCTGGTAGTTGCGGTACACGGTCTTCTCGGTGTTGACAGTGAATGGACCGCGAGACTGACAGTTTTGACAGAAAGAGATCTTGACTTCTGCGCTAGCTTCTTGCTGGAAGGGACCCAGAGTAACACCACACTTCGAGCAGAGGAACATCACGTACTTCAGCTGAGGGAACACACCAGTACGGCGGGTGACGACACCGCTGACGCGAACCAGACAGTTGAGATGCGACTGACGCAGCTGACGGAGAGTATAGATGATGGGGACGTCAGTGATGCGGACGTGGATCTCGTTGTGGATATCGTGGTATTGGGGGTAGTGGAAGAGAGTCACGTCGAGTGCCACCTGATCGAAGACCTTGAGAACTTCGGTAGGTTCGTTGGCAAGGAAGTATGAGAGAGCGGCCTTGGTCTCGCTCAGATGGGCGTAAGATACCTCGAGCGAGGCGGAATTGATCTCACCAAGGGTCTTAATTCGGTTTCCGTAGACTGATTGACCGCTAGGATCGATGAACTCTGTCAAGAAAGCCTTGAACTCGCGGTAAATAGAGCGAAGGACCTGAGGCTGGGTGACCCAGTCGGTGATGTTGGCAGCCTTGACATCTGCCAGCTCCTCAAGAGACAGTTCTTCCATACCCTCATCGGCCATATCAATGTCCTCTCGTTCTTCATCATAGTGGTGGCGACGGCGACGGGGCTGGCGTGAAAGGTCCATCTCCAGGTCATCGTCGTCCTGCAGGAAAGCAGCGGGCATGCGGCGCCGCCTGGCAAGCTCCTGATCTCTCTTGTTCAACCGAGCATCTAGTTGGCGACGAGTGCCGGCATCGAGTTCATCGTGGTCTCCGTCGTCGTCTATGTATGCCTCATTGGCATAATGTTCTTCTTCACCATCACGATAATCCCGCTCGAAGTTGTCGCCGAACAAATCAATTCCATCCTCGTCTTCAGCCAGCTCGTCCACATCATCAATATCAGGAATGAGCTCGGCGCCTTCATCTTCATCATCATCTTCGTCGAATGGCATGGGGGGAGGGGATGAACCCAGTGCGGTCGCTGTTGATCTAGTCAATTTCCATGACCCCGCGATTTCAGGAGATAGGGGGGTTGACTCACGGCTGGATGGCGGCAATGGGGCAGGAGATGAAATATCTTCTTCTCTCTCACGCTTGCGATTGTTCGATCTCGGACCGCGGTTTGCGGCCGAGTCGCTGGCACGAAGGGGACTGTTTGAATGTTAGTCGGGCGCAAAAAAGAATTTTTATTGTGCTAGACGGATGAACACTGACTCCATATTATGTGATTAATTCAACTGGGGATATTAAGGAGTGATTGTGATGGAAAGAAATCGTGATATTGTAATGGATGGAAGGGGATCGTAATTTTCTCGAAGACCCCAGGTGGTGGAGAAGTAAAAGAAGGAAGGGGCGGGAAGAGCGTGCAGAGAGCAGAGAGAGCTGCAAAGTAAAGTGGAAAGTCGTTCAAACGCGTCGAGACACGCGACGCGTTTCAATTTAACCCAATTGGGCTGGTCACGTGTTGTGGTATACTTCCTGGGGGGTCGCAGTTGAACTTGCTAGTCCAATGCGAGATATGAATCTGGATTGAATTTCTGAGACAAGAGGCAAAAATACGGAGTAAATGCAAGAAATTGCACAGACACACTTTTGGCTGCCTCCTTGCATACAACTCCATAGGATTCACACGGTCAATGCTGCATTTGCCGACGATCGGTAAGGAAGCAAACCAGGCAAACACTTCGCGCATCGCGTTCGGGCTCGCCGCAACATCTGGGGAATCGCCGCTTTCCCAGGCTCGCCACTCGACATTGTTTTGACTTGGAACGATCAAACCTCTACATTGGGATTTCGCGAAAAGCACAATGGACTCCGCACACCCAGCCACCAACCAGCTGAAGACAGCCGAAAGCCGGCGCGAAAGCTTCGGCTCGCAAACCTCGCAGACAGCCAGAGAGTGAGCGCACCCTAACAACCGACATCGATAATCGCAACCAAATGCTAATGCTCTTCAGGTTCATTGATTCTCAAATTCAGCTCGAAGCTGACGCCCGAGAAATTCTGCCCTATGTGAGATCACCAAGACATGCATACATACCATACTTATCACCACCGAGCTGACACTGATCGATAAATAGTCCTTCGACTCATGTACCCATGACCTCGGACCATTGCGCCAGAGCCTCTTCGCTTGTCTGACCTGTAACCCCGTTCCCGACAACTCCGATGACCCGTATACTCCCGCCGCGGTCTGTTATTCGTGCTCTATCGCCTGCCACGGCGAACATACTCTCGTCGAACTTTTCAATAAGCGCGGCTTCGTTTGCGATTGCGGTACGACTCGCATGCCGACTACATCTCCCTGCACACTGCGCGAAGACCCGAAGACCGGTCGTAAAGGCGTTCACTCCCAAGAAGCCTCCCCGAACAACAAATACAACCATAATTTCCGAAACCGATTCTGTGGCTGTGGAGAGAAATATGATCCTCACCAGGAAAAAGGGACTATGTTCCAATGTTTGGGTCTTGGGACGGTTGAGACTGGGGGTTGTGGCGAGGACTGGTGGCACCCCGAGTGTCTGATCGGACTGCCGAGAGATTGGCACAAGGCCAACGGAGTCAACGGAGTTGCAAAGACAGAGCCGATTGAAGGAGGCGATGCTACTACCGATGAAAGAGCGCTCGAAGAAGAAGACGAAACACCCCTCCCGCCCGGATTCCCCGCCGAAGACGATTTTTGGCAACTTATTTGCTTCAAGTGTCTCGATTCGGCCCCGTGGCTGAAGAAGTATGCCGGAACACCGGGTTTCCTTCCACCTGTTTTTCAGAATGGTGGTTTAGAGAAGAAATCGGCCGCTGTAGATGAGACTAAAGACCCTAAGATTGAGGAGCAGAGTGAACCACCATCCGAACAAAAAGAGCAAATCGATAACCCGAAGAAGCGCAAGGCAGAAGATGACATTGACATCCAAGAAGAGCCAACAGCAAAGAAAGCCAAAGAGGAAGTAAAAGAGGAGCCCAAGACAAACCCATCTGAGCCCGTCACTATCGAGCAAGAATCCTCCAGCAAACTAGAAGCGAGAGATGAAGATGAAGATACAACCCACCAACCTCTCGCCTCAGATATCAAAATCAAACAACCACACCTCACCACAATCGAAGAAGAACCCACTTCACCCCCAAAACCAAAGCACACCTCCCTCCCCCCCCTCAGCACCAACAACCTCCTTCTCCCTCTTCCTCCAACAAGATTTCCACGACCACATCTGCCGCTGCGCAGAATGTTACCCCCACCTCGCGCCCTACCCCCAACTCCGCGAAGAAGAAGACACATACGAACCCCCGCTCTCGGACGACGGCGAAGCCAACGCAGCAGCAAGCACCGGCACGGGCAGTCTTCTCGAACGCGGCGAAGCAGCGCTCAGCAACGTCGACCGCGTGCGCGCTATCGAGGGTGCGATGATCTACAACCACCTCCGTGACAAGGTGAAGGATTTCCTGAAGCCGTTTGCCGAGAGCGGCCAGGCTGTTAGTGCGGAGGATATCAAGGGGTATTTTGAGAAACTGCGTGGTGATGAACAGGGGATTCAGGATGCTGCGGGTCAGGCGGAAGCTATGGGTGGTAATGCCGGTGGGGAAGGGGATGATGCTGGTGATAGTCGGCGTGAGCAGAATGGTAAGTTTGCTTGAAGGCTGGATGGTATTTCTTGTGCATGTTTATACTAACGGGTTTGTTAGGGTATTGATTACGTTTGCTATTAATTTTTTCATGTATGATTTTCAACTGGGGTTGTGTTTTTTTTTTAGGATGGGATGGGACGGATGGATGGGATGGGATGGATGGCGCTCTATACCTAGGTAGCGGCAATCTAAACAGTGTTTCTACCGCCCCTCAGGGAAGCTACTATTCTGCTACTTAGGGTATACAACCCCGAATTCCTTCCAAGATCCATGAATAGTACCAACAACCTTCCATAGTTGGAATTCAGGGTACTGAGTATATACTAAATTTGAGATTTTGAATCATACGGCGTACAGAAAACTTTCAAGGTTCAGAATTCGTTTGCCGAGAGCTGCAATGATCAATCATAGTAGTATGTATATCCAAAAGGTATCAAAAAGAGCATGAAATATAAAACCAGCGCCGGACATGAACATAAGTATAAATGGCAAACAACCTTATTATAACAGCACCCATCAACGACTCGGACCAGCCAACAACAATCCCACGATGCGCCTAGCCATATGCAACCACCGCAAACCCTCGAAATCATCACTCCCTAAGTCGTTTCGAGGCTCGCAGCAACGAATCATCAGGCAGACCACTTCGCTTCGTCCCCGGAAGACTACCGGAGCGAATATCGTTATCGTCCTGCGTGACGCGGCGGTGCGGGTATTTGCTCTCGATACCATCAAAGCAATCGCCACTAACAGGGCCACCATTCGTGAAATACGGATGCTGCAGCGCTTCCTCGGCCGTAATCCGCTTCGTGGGATCATACTCCAGCATCCGCGAAAGCAAATTGAAGCCATCAGTCCCCGGCGTCCCAACACTCGAACTGGACGAGTATCCGCCATTCTTGAGGCAATTCTGGTACCAGCCCTCGAGATTCGGGCCGCGGTGGTAGTGCGGCGGTTGTCGGTGCAGGACCATCGACTGCAGCTGGGTATATTCTGGCATGGAGGTGAGACCGGGCCAGGACTCTTTGCGGGGGAGGCCGAGGATTTCAACGATCTTCATCATTTGGTTGCGCTGGAAGGGGACGGTCTTCTTGCTGTCCATTTTGGCTTCTTCGCCTTTGAAGATTGGGCGGAGGGAGAGGAGTTCGGCGAAGATGCAGCCCACGGCCCACATGTCGACTGCCGGGGTGTAGTGGCGGCTTCCGAGGAGGAGTTCTGGGGCGCGGTACCAGATTGTTACGACGACTTTGTCACCGGAGAAGAGGGAGTTGAGAGGTTTGTAGAAGAGGCGGGCTAGGCCTAGGTCGCCGACGCGGATGGCGCCGCTGGATGTGACGAGGATGTTGGCTGGTTTGAGATCTCGGTGTAGGACCCAATTTGTGTGTAAGTATAGTAGTCCGTTGAGGAGCTGGAAGAGGATTGACCGGACCATCCGGGCACCAATTGGGTGTCTCTGCGGCTGGGTGTGGTGGTGGATGATCTGGAGGAGGTCGTGCTCTGTGTATTCAAAGACCATGAAAATGCATTTGTCCTCTAAAATGATTTCTTCCAGTTGGATGACATTGGCGTGAGAGAGCTCGGTGCACAGGGCCATTTCTCGAATGGCGGACTGCGACAGACCTGTATATTGGATCGTCTCTCCTTCTTTGTCTGGCTTGAACCTGAAAGGGCAGGGTTAGCCTTTTACAGTGGGTGGATGCAGATATTCATCTGGACTTACTTTTTGATCGCAAATTCGCCTTTCTGGCCATTCTTGCCGAGAGCTTTGTAAACACGGCCGTAGGTTCCGCTGCTAATGAAACCCACAATATGATATCGGTCTCGCACCCGGACTTTGCTGGTGTACCCAGAAGCTCCTGATGGACGGGCGTCATAAGTGTCTAATCGGACGAAAGGTTAGCCACATTGTTTTGGAACTCGCCACGGGATGAAATTGGAGAGAGAATAACAGCCAAGACAAATCAACGGATCTAAGCGTTCAATCGAAGACAGTCCAACGAAGCGTATATAGGATACCATACACCAGTCACCAGCGGAAATGAAATGCATGTCAGTCCCCCCCCCAAGGTCCAAAATAATACCGTAACAGAGAGAAAAAGAGCAAAAAGAGACAGGATTTGAATAGCACCAGCTATTTCAAGGGAAGAAGAAATTACCACGCGAATGGAAGCCACCAGCGGAATTGTGGAACGGAAACCCCTTTCCAAACATGATGAGGCGGGTTGGGCAAAGATCAAGATCACTTCTAGGTCCAGGTGGAAATCAAAGACAAAGAGAAGCCAGTGATATAATTACCATCGACGGTGCGTTTGAGGGGACCCGGGCCAACAGTGGCAGTCCTTCTGGAGAGCGAACCGGAAGATGGTGGGTTGGTCAGACTCATTGATGATTGGTGAGAGCGGGATGGGGGGGAAAAGTGAGGAGAAGATTACTCCATCAGGAAGGCAGTAAGTCGGGTAAATAAGTGATACGATTGCCTTTGGAGATAGGTGGAATCGAGTTACTGCTGGAGCAGTTGCTCTGATGATGTTAGGTGCTACCTTCAGGCAGTTCTTCTCAAGATTGGCTTGGCGCTTATCGGAGGCCGCCCTCGCCGATGCACGTCATCCTTCGTGGAACCTCTCTTCTTCCTTCGACAGCTCACAGCCTACAACATCATCCCCCTCTTTCCCTCCATGAACCTCTCATACTCCTAAAGATGACTGGCCAGTCGACTCCGTCGCAGGTCACCCCCTATCTAATTCTGCTGGTGTTCATCGCTACCTTGGGTCCGCTTCAATTTGGTTATCACTTGGTATGTATACAAGGCACTTCCCCACCCTACCGAGAAAAGCACTGGAAGCTGTTTACTAACATGCTTTGCCATTAGGCCGAACTGAATGCCCCTCAAGCTGTTGTCACCTGCGAAAAGAAGTCAATCAGTGCTTCCGATGTGACCTTCCATGGCCTACCGCAATGCCTTCCAATGAACCCATCTCAGTTCGGCCTGGTCTCCTCTATCTACACCATTGGAGGCTTCGTGGGAGCCCTGCTAGCTGGCCCCGTGTCCACAAAATATGGACGTCGGATAGCACTCCAAGCGACAACAATTTTCTTCATCCTGGGCCCCGTGGCTGAGACCTTCGCCCCCGCCATTCCGCTCCTGGCACTGGGTCGATTCCTGTCTGGAATTGGGTCAGGCGCAGCAATCGTGGTCGGCCCCATCTACGTTTCAGAGATTGCACCTCCCCAGTCGCGGGGATTCTTTGGAGCTTTTACACAGGTGATGACCAACGTCGGGATCTTGCTTACTCAAACACTAGGCTATTTTTGGAGCCACGACAGCCTTTGGCGGCTGATCCTTGCCGTGGCTGGCCTGATCGGGACCCTGGAGCTCCTGGGTCTGTTTATGATACCCGAGAGCCCCAAATGGCTTGCCGAGCATCAGCAGATGGGCCAGGCGCGCAAGGTCTTGCAGCGCATTCGTGGCCGGAATGCGGATATTGAAGCGGAGATGGCTAGTTGGCGGGCTACGAGCACCACGGCGAGCAATGCTGCTACTCCTACGTCCGGCGAGGAGGAATCTCTCCTCGCCCCAGCTCCGGCGAGCGAAGATGAACAAAAGCCGGCGGTCACGATGATGGAGGCAGTTCGAGATCCGTACTATCGACCGGCTATCATCGCGGTGGTTGGCATCATGGTTGCCCAGCAATTCACCGGTGTGAACAGCATTGTCATGTACAGTGTTTCGCTCTTGCAAAGTATCTTGCCCGGTACAGCGGCACTGCTGACGATCCTGATCTCCGCTATCAATCTAATCATGACGCTCGCGTGCTCACCTTTACCCGATCGGATCGGACGGAAAACCTGCCTGCTGCTCAGCATTGCGGGTATGGGTTGCAGTTCTATTCTCTTGGCACTGGGGATCTATTTCAATGTCCAGATTGCGGCGGCCATTGCGGCTCTCTTGTTTGTTGCTTCCTTTGCTGTCGGGTTGGGCCCCGTGCCCTTCATCCTGGCATCCGAACTGGTCGGCCCTGAGGCGGTTGGGGCAGCGCAGAGTTGGGCGCTGGGGGCAAACTGGATTGCCACCTTTGTGGTTGCACAGTTCTTCCCCGTTTTGAACGAAGCGCTCGGAGGCCGAGGCAAAGTGTACTGGTTATTTGCGGCGATGGCGGGAATTTTTAGTGTATTTATTCACCGTAGAATCCCGGAGACTAAAGGCAAGGCCAACGCCGACGAAGTTTGGGGACGAGTGGACCGTCGGCAGGACTAGTTAAAGCTGGGGGTCGGTCTAGGTCTAGGTTTAGGTATGCGTGTCAGTGGCTCGCTTCGCCAATCAAGTTAATGTTATTGCATCCGGATTAGTCCGTGTCTCGATCCAGCAATGCACTGCACTGCAAGTATGAGATTGTATCATGTTGGACTTGGTCGCAAGGGATATTGCGGGGTATCGTGGGGGGATGCTATACATTTGTACAGTAGTAGTTCACTATGAGAGTAAGGTATCTACCAAGAGTTGAAGAGTACAGAGTAGAGTAAAACAAGGCAGACAGTAGGCATCCATATTTCCTCATAGTGGGGACGATTTATCCAGAAATATCTCATACCTCTTAAGATGTAAATGTCTCGCCCCACGACTTTCTTTTGCTCCCGGACCTTTCCTTTCTCAACGCTTTAGGGGTCCACCGTGTCTTTCCACTCCGGACCCTGTCGATTCCATTTGCAATTCTATTTGCAATTCCTATTAGCAGATCCTTTTCCTTCACTCACCATATCTGGTACTTGTACTCGTTTACTACTCCATTCCCCAGAGTCTCCAGTTCAACTGTTGGTTCCTTGTGGACACACCAAGTCTTGGCTTTTGGATTCCCTGCGATCGACCCGAGCAGATCGTCTCCCCCGATCAAAAAAAATAAGCCTGGGGTTTCTGTTGGTCTCTTGTCGGAGAGAACGAGGGGAAAAAACAACACTAATTCCAAGCCACTCTCACCGACGACGTGGTAAACTTCAGGGGGAGCCACCCTGATCTCCCCAATCTGGAATAATCCCCAGTGCTCTTACCTCCTTTTTTTCTTTTCCCTTTCGTTTCCCCATTCTTTACAAGTTCTCTGCTTTTCTCCCCGTTCTGCTTTGCTGTCATCATCCGCCATGGTCCGCCTGCCACTCCCGCAGCGCCTCAGCTCGCACCTCTCCGCCAGAAGTGCGAGCTCGACCCCGGGACAAAGCAGGAGTACCAGTCCCTTGAGATCTAATGAATCCAAGCCTCTATTGCTCAAGGTCACCGTCATCAAGGTATGTTTCGTTTCGCCCCCAAAGGCAAACTGGGAGGTCAATGGCAATTTGCCCCTCACTCCTACACCGCGACCGCTGTTCTGACGCCATTGTTGCTGCTAGGGTCGAAATCTGGCTCCCAAGGATCGAGGTGGCACAAGTGATCCTGTAAGTACGCACTGGACACTCCGAGTTCCCCTTGTCGCTGTGTCCGGCTCTGTCCGGCCTCTGCCAATCCAACCCGCGCGATATCGCTGACAACATTCTTCCCCCGCACAGTATTTGGTGGTGACATTAGGAGACGCTAAACAGTCCACCCCAACGATATCCAAGACCTTGAACCCGGAATGGAACGTGTCATTCGAAATGCCCGTGCTGGGCGTGCCACTGTTGGAATGTATTTGCTGGGATCACGATCGATTTGGCAAGGACTACATGGGCGAGTTCGACATCGCGTTGGAGGACATCTTTCAAGATGGCAAGGTTAGCCAAGAGGTGAGTTGCAGGCAATTATGCCAATTGGACATTGGAAGTACTCCGCGGGGTGCAATGGCTGACACTCTTTGGAATCATAGCCCAAATGGTACAATCTCAAATCGAAACGAGTCTCCAGTCGCTCCACCCGAAAGAAGAAGAAGAAGGATAGCACGGTGTCAGGCGAGATCCTGCTCCAGTTCTCTCTCTCGGATCCTGCCCTCCCTGGAGCCTCGCCCACGGACACATATCGCAAGTTTAGAAACCTGGCGTGCATTGGTGAGGAGGATGACCCATTGGACCAGATCCCCGCCGCCGAGCTGGACGAACTGGACTTGGAGGACCAGGACGAGGAGACCTCCGATGAAACCGACGAAAATCAAACCAAGCCGGAGATTGTCGAGAAGCGGCGGAGGCGGTTGCGACTGGCTCGTTTGCGTCGCAAATCCTTGGCCGCCCGTGCATATCAATTCTCGGGCTCAGGGACCGGCGTTCAGGGTATCGTGTTTATGGAGATTGTCAGGGTCACTGATCTTCCCCCCGAGAAAAACGGTAAGCAAGATCGGCACTCCGTGGCAGCTTTTACAGACGAGAGTCCTCCAGAATACTGATTTGCTGCTTCGTCTAGTGACACGAACCTCATTTGACATGGACCCCTTCGTGGTCACCTCTCTCGGCAGGAAAACACTTCGAACCCCCGTCGTGCGCCACAACCTAAACCCAGTTTACCACGAGAAAATGGTCTTCCAAGTTATGCGCCACGAGAAGAACTACCTTATCAGCTTCACGGTAATGGATCGGGACAAGTTCTCGGGTAACGACTTTGTCGCTTCGGCAAGCTTCCCATTGCAATCCCTCATCCAGTCTGGTCCTGAAACCGACCCCGAGACAGGTCTGTACCATTTTGTAGAGTTGGATGAGCCTAGCCCGGCGGCAAAGTATAGTCCTCGCTTTGCCGTCAGCCCTTCGCCATCTTCATCGAATCTTTCCAAGATGAGCAGGCCTGCATTCAAGACCCGCAGCTCCTCGGCTTCTATCACACTGACCGTTGGTGACTTGGCCAACAAAGCACCTACATCTGCCCCAGACGAGTCTTCCGGCGTGGACAGCAGCAGCACTACCCTACAGATCCCAACTGCTTCGAGCGAGACAATAGCAGACCCGCTTCCCATACCGGATGAGGAGGGCCTGAGGGCGTACACGATTCCCCTGACACTTAAAAATCGAGAAAGGTGGGAAGATAAGCACTCGCCCGAACTGCATGTCAAAGCAAAGTATCTACCCTATAGTGCTTTGCGCCAGCAGTTCTGGTTGCTTATGCTCAAACAATACGACGCCGATGACAGCGGTCGTATTGATAAGGTCGAAATGACTACAATGCTTGACACATTGGGTTCCACCCTGAAAGAATCAACAATCGACAGCTTTTTCGACCGCTTCAGCGCTGAAAACGAATCCAGCGAGACCGCTGATCTCACCTTCGACCAAGCAGTGATATGCCTCGAAGACACCCTGCGCGCCCTGCAGAAAAAGAATTCCGTCTCTCCCCCTGCTGTCCCAGAGACCCCGCATGGGACCTTCATCAGTCGGAAGCCAAGAAAGTGAGGAGCAATCTAGCAGCGATGACCTCGCTTCGGAATCGAACGCCGCCATTTCGTCAACCGCTAACCCCCATGGAATAGCCGTCCCTACTTTGAATAGTGATGAGCAGCCCAGTTCGAACGAGGAAGACCTTCGCCCAGGCGATCTAGCTGATGAGAGAGGCGAGGAGCATGTCGTGGAGATCCGCGAGTGCCCACTTTGCCACCAGCCTCGTCTTTCAAAACGATCTGATGCGGACATTATCACCCATATTGCAACATGTGCCAGTCGTGACTGGCGCCAGGTCGACAATCTCGTCATGGGTGGGTTCGTGACTTCCAGTCAGGCCCAGCGCAAATGGTACTCTAAGGTCATCACGAAGATCTCCTATGGTGGTTATCGCCTTGGTGCCAATTCTGCCAACATTTTGGTTCAAGATCGTATTACCGGCCAGATTAACGAGGAGCGTATGAGTGTTTACGTCCGACTTGGAATCCGACTGCTATACAAGGGTCTCAAGAGCAAGGATATGGAGAAGAAGAGAAGTAAGTTACCCAAACACCTAGCGCAGCAAGTACCGTGCGAGAGTCTAATCGTGGCATCTCCTTAGTCCGTCGCGTTCTGCGTTCCCTTAGTGTCAAGCAGGGCCGAAAGTACGACGACCCAGCCTCGGTCTCCCAGATCAAGGACTTTATCAATTTCCATCAATTGGATATGTCCGAGGTTCTGCAACCTCTTGAAAAGTTCCGCAACTTCAACGAATTCTTCTACCGCGCATTGAAACCCGACGCTCGTCCCTGCTCCGCCCCAGATGAGCCCAAGATTGTTGTATCACCCGCCGACTGTCGCTCTGTGGTCTTTGATCGCATGGATGAGGCCACCAGCCTTTGGGTGAAGGGTCGGGAATTCTCCGTCGAAAGATTACTTGGAAATGCCTACCCTGAAGATGCGGCCCGATACCACAACGGCGCGGTGGGTGTATTCCGTCTCGCGCCGCAGGACTATCACCGCTTCCACATCCCCGTTGACGGAGTGATGGGTGAGCCGAAAACTATCGAGGGTGAGTATTACACAGTCAACCCAATGGCCATCCGCTCTGCGCTCGATGTGTATGGCGAAAATGTTCGTGTTCTTGTTCCTATTGACTCCGTTGCCCACGGCCGCGTGATGGTTATCTGCGTCGGTGCGATGATGGTCGGTAGTACGGTCATTACACGCAAGGCTGGCGAGAAGGTTTCCCGTGCAGAGGAGCTTGGTTACTTCAAGTTCGGCGGCTCTACTCTTCTCGTTTTGTTCGAGGAGGGAGTGATCAATTTCGACAAAGATTTGGCGGATAACTCCAAGGGCTCCTTGGAGACGCTGGTAAGATGCATTTCCCACCCTCAGAGTCCCCCATTTGTGATGCAAATAACTGACGCACGCCAATTTAGATTCGAGTCGGTATGTCGGTCGGGCACAGCCCTGATATTCCTCAATTTGAACCAGATATGCCCAAGGACGCAGAGAACATCACTGTCGAAGAGATGGAAGAGGCCAAGCGGCGCATTGAGGGTAGTATGTCTGCCCCCAGTGAGCCTGCCCCGATTCATGCTGCGATCCAATGATCTGCTTTTATTTTTCTCCTCTCACCTCTCACTTCTCTCTCCCTCCTCCTCCTCCCTCCCTCCACCCACCCCCCAACATCTCTCTTTGCATCAAGGGGCTAGGCTCAACCTTCTACCAGCCTTCTTCATTGAACATATTAAGATCTTTGACTCGTTTATTTCTGTTGTTTCTGTGTGATGTGCAATATTGGCGTTTTGTTTGAGGGTTCTGCACATAAGCGTTTATTTCAACATCATATGCGCAAGGCCCCTTCTGGGCTTAAAATGAATATGGAAATCCAGCATCTAAGTTACTGAACAATGAACTTCATATAAATAGAGTACTGATTAACATGGTAGTATATAGTATGCAGTTATACAGACCAGATAAAGTCTGCCCCATGGGTGCTTTCCTTTCTCGACTGTCGCCGCTTTTACGAGGGCGCTCAAGCTTAGGTTCAGTGAGTCGATGTCAGCCTGGGCTTATACTCATTAACCGCTCAATGTCCAATCAGCGTTTGTTAACTACTACGGCTCCTGGCTATTTTCAAAAACTACAATTGCAAGATCGCCTAAAACTTGAAGAGGTCCTACATAAGAGACTCTTGCCCGATCTAGCCTACCAAAGAAGCTCAGATCGTGAGAGGTTATACCAGGTAACATTTTGAAGAGAACCCACGCATCAACTACGATGCTCTGCTCACTTTGATTGGACCACAAAGCTCAAAGAGTAATGCTTTGGCGGCTTTTTCAGGATGAAAATAAGCGAAAAAGAGTTACTTTTTAGATAGCCGGAGCTTACCCCTAATAGGTGCGCTAACGTCTTGCTTAGGCATAACAGGTTCAGGTTTATAACGATGTAAAATGGACGAAAATCTTCCAAGGTTCTGGCCTTGGTGGTGATTCTTGGCATGGGCGCGATGTAAGTTCCATCCTCAAACATATTGGAATAAGCATCGGGACACTGACAATTTACTAGTGCAAGTGTTGCTGTGCTGATCCGCCTTCCAATTCTTCATTACTACCAAGATCTAGATTTCATTTGTATGCAGTTTATCCCTCGAAGAACAAAACACGAACATGCTACCAGATTTCAGACACAACATATCAAACCCCCATCTGGTCTATGATGGAAGTGACCCTCGGAATCGTTGCTGGAAGTCTTATCACACTTCGTCCTCTTTCCCGTTGGTGTCTAGATACAACGTCTAGCTACCCACGCAAGAAAGACGCATGAAGTGGACCGCAGTATCAGCTCTCGAGTCGGAGGGCCATTAGAGCAGAGAATCCAGAACACCCTCAATGGTGGCGCCCAGATATCGACCACAATGGAAGAAATGGTATCATTAGTGTGTCGTCGGCTCAAGGAAGTTTAGTCGTTACCTCGAAACGAAATAGCAGTGCGGAGTGTTTCAACCCCGCTAGCAAGGGTCCACGGGGATATCAGGTGAAAGTTGAAGAGACATTTACCATAGCCCACGAGTGAATCAAAGAATCAAAATTTTCAAGGCTGTAAGCGTCTATAGAATCTGTTGATCTTCGCGCTGGATGTTGTGTAGTAGAAGTGATGAAGTTGCATAAAGACTGTAGAGGGGCTGCCGAAAAGAGACTAGCGGCCCACGCGCGACCAAAACAACCGCGTGCCCGAATCCCTCCAACCCACCATCCCATCTGCGCTTCCCTTGCCGCCCGCAGCCACCTTGAGATTGAGACTTTGCGGGCGTGACCTGAACCTCTGCTCGCAAATGCACCCTAGGGTACTCTCACTCTCATTACTCTTGGCTTTCATCCAATCCGATCACAACACCCAGACCCCTCGAAACCAAGCCTAGCAACGGCCCCAACGGCGAATCAACAACGCGAGAAAGAGGCACAACGAGCGCACCACTCTCTGCGAGAGACAAGAACCGTTCAGCGAAGCAACGCGCATCTCGACACGCGGTGCTGATCCCACCATCAAACCCACTGGATTCCCGCGCCATTCATCTCACCCTTGTAGCAATTCGTCTTCACCACCTCCTGGCATGACCACCGCGGTCCTAGCACCCCCGTCAACAAGAATAGAGCGCCGCGAACCGCTGGCCACGATTGGAATGGCCGCTTCCCAAGCGCAATCGCGTGCGTCCGCGTCCGGCAAGACTCGAGCGCCGCGGCGAAGCACGCGCAATAGCGCGAATCAGCAGGGCCTGGAAGAAATCGCGAACGAGAGTAAGCGTAAAGCGGGTAAGTTTGCCCTGTTTGAGCGACGTTTGTTTGTATTTGAGTTGAGCAAGGAGCCAGAGCCCCGATGACTAACTCTCCGTCAATTGCGACAGGTTACGAAGATGATGAGGGATTTCAATTCGCCCGCGTACCATCCAAGAAGTCGAAACCCACTTCCACGATGGAATTAGTCCCCGAGAACCCCGCGTCCGATCTTGAAAATACACCTGTGCAATCTACGCCGAGGAGGGGACGGCCGCCGAAGAAGCGCGCGGGGGAGAGTGCGACAGCTGCGACAGCGAAGAGGAAATCAACGGAACTTCCGACCAGGCGGCCGGTGAAAGGCGCGATGTCTTCTGAACCGGATCACCGGGAGCAGCCTGAGCAGAAGAAGAAGAAACCCGGTCGTCCGTCTAAGTCGAAAACTGCGGATACGAATGGGTTCAGATCGCCCGAGCCTACTAAGGTTGCCTTGCCGGTAGCGGATACGCCAGTCATACAGCGCAATAAGGAACTGAGGGGGAAGAAATCGGGCAAAGGGCGGCGACGAATTAGTTCGGAGATGCGTGGACGGAGAGCTAGTTCTTTGATCGATTCGGGTGCCTCTAATGGTAGGTGATATTGGCCTTCCGGTGATGGTCGAGGAGAGAGAATACTGACACATTTTTTGGCGCCAGCTTTACCGCATCGAGAGGTTCGCACGGCCGACTTTTATAAACACATTGCGGACGAAGGTCTTTCGGAGCCGCGCAGGATGCGACAGCTTTTGATATGGTGTGCGACGCGTGCTTTGGGTGATAAGCCGTCAAGCTTTCATCAGGAGGACCAGAGTGCGCATCTTGCTGGTAAGTTTGTCTACTATGGAGACCTAAAAATTGGATAGACTAACTTTTCCTTCTAGCTCGTGTTATACAAGAGGATTTACAGAAAGAGTTCTCCTCCAACTCGAATCTTTCAGATTGGTTCAGTCGGGAAGAATTGCATCCAGCCTCGGTTGTGGTCAAGAAGCCGAATCCGAGGAACATACAGAACACAGAAAAGATTAAGGAGCTGGAGGAACAAATACTCAAGTGAGTATTTTCATGAGGGTTCAAATGAGGACACTAGCTAATTCTATCGAACAGGCTACAAAAAGAGAGACATGCGCTGAATGCTCTTCTCAAACAACCGCCAATCCCACGCATCGACACCGAATCAAATCCACCAACGAAGTCCCCTAGGTCCAAAAACCGGCCACAGAAGAATCCCCGCGAAGAAATCGATATATCTATCCTCGACCCCTCCCAACAAGCCCTCTACAAATTTCTCAATCCCCCCCGAATCCTCCACAGAAGAAGAATCCTCCACCTCATCAAAACCCCGACCCTCCTCCATCTCTCCTGCAGATATTTCAGCCCGCCTCTCTCGAATCACCACAGGACTCGCCCCGACACTCGACGCACTTGCAGCAGGACTCCACGATATCGAATTATACCGATCTACGGCAGATACATTCTCATCACAGGTCCTACGCATCTGCGCCCAACGTCTCGAAGAACGCGATGCGCAAAACATGCAAAAGCATCTCGCGATCGAAGGCGAGGATATCGAGACCCAATCTTCTTCGCGCGTGGCCCCGTCACAACCACGCCCGAGGCAAGATCTGGGCCTTATACTTGGAGCTCTTAGCCGGGTTGAAAGGCGATAGTATCCCCATCCGGCTTATTACTACTTCTTGAGCAGAAAGTGACGGAGACACTGGCATGTTTCCGGGGTGTTTGAAGCAAGCGGGAAGTTCTTTTTTTCTCTCTCTTCCGATTCAATCTTATTCAGCGACTTCTTTCTTTTCTGTTTTGCTTCTATTGCTATCTTTGCTTTTCTGGGTTCATTGCATGGCTATGCATGGACTGATTTGTTGATGAGCCACTCGGCTGTGCGAGCAATGGCGCAATGAGTGTCGGGCTCGGGTTCGGGTTCGGGTTCGGGCAAGGACTGAACTGGACTGGACTGAACTCAACTATGATGTTGTGCACTGCAATCGTTTCTGCAAGCGCTGGAGTTCCGGGTGTTGGGTGATGTCTAATATACCGCGCGATGGGATTCAATATGGGACGTTTTTTTTCCACTGAAGGGAGCCTGCTTTTGCGGCTTTGCATAGTAGTTAGCTTTGAATTGAGTATGGTCGATCGGCCATTGATTGAACACAATCTCCTTGGTTTTAACTGGAGTTATAGCTTGGCTTCCTGTAATTACCCAATTTTCTGTCTCTCCTGGCTACCGTGGATAATCAATTTAATCTCCAATTGGTTGCAGATACTACTATACCATAGTTACTTGTTTATGTACACTGACTCGAGCACAACACCGTGCCCCTGCAGTTGTTTCACGCTAACCCTAAACGCGTTGCCCCGCAAAAGAGGCGGCTCAACAACGGCTGACATCTTACTCTCATTCAACCTCACAGAAAATGGAAGAAGCAAAGGCTCGGAATATCCACATACAAGATGACGGTTTTGTTGCCAAGTTGTGACCACGCATCAGTCTGCTTCTCTGTTTCCCCCAACGCGTCCAAGGCACCATTTCGACCCCGAACTCACCGAGAACGCGCGAGAGCTATCAAAGCATCAAGCCCAAATGAACAAAAGCAAGACCAAGATTTCTTAAAAGATGACCCGGAGACATTTCCCGCTCCTTTGATGTTACCAGGTGACCATCTTGCCTCAGATCCTGATGCATATACCCAGAGCTTTCAAGAGTGGAAAGATGGGAAACACCGTAATCCAATCATCGCCAGCAGAAGAACAATCTATGTCGTGCAGAGTCCAGAAATCGATCCTGAAGTCGAGTTCATGCGTGAATGGAGCACACCGCTACATTCTCACAACTTCAAACGAAGAAATGATACCAAGCACCCCCAACCAAATGATATCCGAGATTACCTCGCAGCCTTCTATCGCGGCCTGGAGGTCAAGATACTATCACCTTCGGATCTATGTTTCGTATCCTGGGAACTTGATCCATCGAAACGCAAGACTGGCGAAATTCCCGAGAAAATCGGCCTCCTAATCGGCGATACGTGCCACGGCATCCGAGCCCGCCCTGCACCAGATAATATCTATAAAGCCCAGCTATATATCCCCGACCTCCTCACTTCAGCCAGGGACCTTCTCCCCTCAGACGCATACGCACTCCTCTTCCTGACAAACATCGACCTTTACGAAGACGAAACTGACATATTCACCTGCGGCCGCGCATACGGCAGTCTACGCGTCGCCGCCGTATCAACAGCCCGATACAACCCCACTCTCGACGACACCCACAATATCGACCGCCAACATTCATGGCCAGCATCTCACTGCGAAGCATACATGACTTCTCACCTCGCCCACGAGCCCAAAAGACCTCGACCCAACACCACCACACGCAGCGCGCAGATCCAATCAACCCCGCTAGACCCGCCCACCAGCCCAATGAAGCGCGCGATATCAAAATATCGATCCCTGACGCCCCTTTGGCCGCTCTCGTCGCGAAGAACAGTCGGCCCTCTGGCTCGGAAGAATATGTCGCACGGCGAGCCACGAACTAGGACACTGTTTTGGCATCGCGCATTGCGTTTATTATGCTTGTTCGATGCAGGGTAGTGCGTCTGTCTGTGAAGACGCGAGACAACCGCCTTATCTTTGTCCGGTTGATTTAGCCAAGGTTGTTTGTGCTACTTCTTCGTCGGCGGAGGGGCGGTATCGGGCTCTGCTGGCGTTTTGCGAGAGGGGTGGGCTTCGGGACTCGCTTTTTTTGCGCCTTATGCGGCTTGGATGAGGGGGAGATCAGAGGAGGGGGATCTTGGTGGGGAGTTGTAATTCGGCAAGCTTCTACTAGGAGAGTACATTTTACCCTGGGTAGGTAGTATGTGTAGAATTAATTCAAGTTGTTCAGAGTGGTGAGTCGTAATCACATTATGGACGAGTGCACAACTAAACATATAGTACTAGTAGTAATAGTAGGTATCTGACGCAATTCAAGAAAAAGCTGGCATAAAAAATATCTCACTCCCGAGTATGGTTTGATGGATACATGAGAGTGAACAAGTAGCGCGAGCACAAAGAGCAAGATCAAAAGCAAACCTTCGAAGCCAAAAAAGCAATAATATCATGAACTGTTGCCCCAATGCAGAAATAAAGGGATAGAACTAGCGATCAGCAATAACAAACCCCAAACACGCCAGCACTCATTGCTTGCTGCTGGAGATAGAGATAAAAGAGTGAGGCCTCTTTTAGAGAAAGAGAAAAGGACAAACAAAATAAACCAAGAGACCAAGCTAGATATCAAAAGAGGAAGAGACAGTGAACGCAAAAAAGGGGGCCTCGATGATTTTGGTCGTGACTCGTAGAAATCGTATCTTCTATGTATATCCGGATAAAAGTCCGAGTTTGGCGAGTCGATATAGACTTTGTCGATGAGGGACGAAGAGCGAGTTTTTTTTCTGAAAGATAAGCGAGAGACAGTAGGAAAATAAGGGTATGACAACAAGCCGCTCTCCACAGTAACTCCTCATGCTCCAGGCTCCATGACGTGAAAACTGCACCACGGAAAGTCGTTGCGTTATAGCAACGAAATAGATGAAGGGTAAAGAAAAAGAGAGAGAGAAAACAGCAAACAAGCCCCCGCCTCGGTTGCTGGAGGAATAGGGCGGCGATCGGAAATTCATGGCCAACACGATGATGTGCAAGTCCAATCATATTCCGGGATGCGAAATGTCCAAGGGGTTCAATAGGCCAAAAGACGCTAAAAGAACTGAATTTGAAAATCAAGGCAGAAAAAAGCTTAAGACAGCGTAGGTTCCAACTTAAAAGCTGAAGAGGCCGCTGCGCTTTTTACCCAAGGGGTAAACCACAAGTGCAGCCAAGAAGAGGCCTACAGTAGTACCGATGGCTACCTGAACCATCCCGTAGCCGATATCAAAGACAACACCGTAGCTTTGGCTTCTCTGTTCAGAAGCTGAAAGGTTCTTCGCAGCATCAACAAAGCCCTGCGTGCCATTGGCGACAACTGCGTAAGGGGAGCGAGTCATTTCCTCCGCGGAAGTGATACCTGAAATGAGAGACCCGCTGGCAGCGAGACCGGAGGGCACGAGAACAAATATCGCAGGCAACATGGATGCCGCAGCAAGTCCATGGCGTAATCTGCTATGAAGGTTTCCAATCACGCCTATGACAAAAGGCACCCAGGGCATTGGATACCTGGGTGTTGGAGGAAAAACGCTTGGAGCTGAAATAGCTGACCACATAGCCTGCCAGCGAGATGACCATCATCATGGGGATCTGTTTCCACTTCGCGTGATTGACGAGAGCAAGGCAGACGGTAAATATCAGGACAAATGGGAAGCGTTGAAGATATTCGTTGGTAATTGGGCTGGCCGGACAGGTATAAGCTGTTGTAGCCTGAGGGTCTAGAAGTCCATAGACGGCAGTGCCGATGGTGATTCCAAACCCAAGGAAAAGAGAGTATATGATGGCATAGACCATGCGGACAGAGCCAGCAACAATACTCCGTGATTGGAGCTCCAGACTTGCGCAGAGCACCGTGTACCCTGGTAAAATCAAGGCAATAGCTGACTGCGCCAAGGCAGAGAAGCAGAAAAGTGGTTCACCTTGGAATCTTATACTCCCAAAAGCCCGCGCCAGGAAGGAGGTCAGTACCGCGGCCGATATCTCGAATACATTCGAGTACAAACTTGATTTTGGCGAGAGAATGAGCTGTAGAACGCCGAGCAGGCAGCCAAGCAAAAATGCGATGGGTATATCGATAGGCCGGGCGTTGAACGCGAATGGGCCCACGGACGCACTCGCGCAGCCATGAGCAAAAATTAGGAAGAGAATATGAAACTTGCTCGGCCGCTTCATGGTTTCTTCTAGGCGGCTAATGGCCTCTTCAACTCCAATCACGTCATGGATCACCTCCTTGTAGGTCTCGTGTACATCGGCCAACTTTCCCAGATCAATTCCCTGACTAGACCGAACCACCTTGACCTCTGTCGTGTGGGTTGCGGCGTCATCAAAGGATATGATCATGCATCCCGGGATGTACAAGAATTGACCATCAATCTCCAGAACGCGAGCAGTCATTCGCATATATTCTTCCAGGCGATGCGTGGGTGCACCATATTTCATCAGTGCCCGACATAGCCGAATCAGGTACTTCTGTCGAGATAGAAGCTCAGCTATATGAACCGTGATACGAATTTCGTCTTCCAGGGCAGGCTTCATCCAACGTCGAGTCCCGCTCGCCGAACTGCCAGATACCGCCCCACTGCTTCGTGAACGCTTCAGCAAGCTTAGGGGGGATGTATTCTTGGACTGCGAGTTGATAGAAAGACTTGACTCATTGCCGGGCTTCTCGTACCATTTTTGGGGCCGGTGGGGTCTCCATAGAGGGTCCGGGGACATGCCCCGGCCACTCCATTCGGAGGTACTCCCTTGACGGGAGTGACCATACCGGCCCCGCCCATGGTGATCGAAATTTTGGTTGCCGGTGTTCTGATGGTCGTAAAGTTTAAGTATGGAAGAGAGGATACCTCGGCGGTATTTCGCCGGCCGCTCATTGAAGGTCTCGGAGTCACGATCCTCAGAGGAGCGGTCCTCAGATGGAGTGTCCTGACCAGAGAGCGCGCTGGGCGAGGGAGCACGGAGGCGAGTCAAAAAGGAAAAGTCTGGACGTGACATTTGTCGCACGAGGGTGTGGACGTTGAAAGGTTGCGGTATAGATTGTCCATCTACTAAGATGGCCCTGTCATTCTCGGTTAATTCGTCGAAGAGTTGTTGTTTCTCGGAGAAGCTGATCATAGGAATTTCATCTCCATCTTCAACAAACACCACCTCAGTCGGAGTCGATGGGACTGATGACACTAGGCTTGACCTAGGACTTGGCTTCGGAGAATTTTGTGGACAATTCGGAAGGGATACAGGTCGCTGGGTCCTTTCCAGGACAAAAGTTGTCGTCTGCCCTTGTCATTCGGATTAAAATTAGTCTCATTGTCCACTTCGGCTAGCGGCAAACTGGTACTGTAGTTGATCGTCAGGTCAGTGACATCTGCTGACGCGGTAGAGCTCCTATCCTCCACTGAAAACCCCCGCTGGGAATCGAGGGAAATTTTTCCCAGGAGGTGTGGAATGCTGGCGGTGGGGAGGGGTTTTTGAAGCAACATAAAGCCCCTGTGGTCCATTCGGGACACGCCCGCGGATCCAGTGGGCTGCTGGAGCTTGATCTTGTCAAATGTGGACTTGTCGCGATTGGTGTTTTTCAGAATGCTTACATTCCATTGCCTGCCCTGTGCCCCAACATCACTCGATCCCCGCTCTTGATACGCCTTTGAGCTTCGCTGTGCCTCATTGAATCGAGGCAACGATGATGTATGTGACCCAGATGATGCTTTGTGAGTTACTTCTGTTATATCAGAGGCGCCTGAGCGGCGGGTGACCGGGAGGTCGAAGTAACCTCCAGCCATTTTGTGGCGCTATTCACGTTATATGTTATTTTATTTTTCTCTCTGCAATCGTCTGATCTTCTTAGTTTGCTACAAGGCAACTGGCTAGTTCATGGCTTCGGCCAATGCTGTTGCTCAGAAAATCACTAGTGTGCAGTCTGGGTGGTAGGCTGTTTCTCCTAGCAACTGATGTCAGCTATGTGAGATCGCATTGCCCAAGAGCTCTCCCCATGCGGTATCCACATGATCTCTAAGATTGGACTCACTGGATTATCTTTGTTTAGTGAAGAAAGCTAGTAGCAAATCAAAGATGTTGGAGAAACTAGAGACCGCGGTTCAACGACAGCTTTGGCGGCAAGGAGAAGAAAATCGGGAGGAGGCTCGTTAGGAATGAGAGTTATGTCACAAGTGCATTATTAATGATCTCAAAAGCTAAGCTTGGGATAGGGAGAAGTGATATAGCAGGTCCAGTGATGTTCTCGAGTTTGGCTATTATGGAAGATGGTGAGCGCTAGCTGCGGGTGCCTCTCTATTTACACGGATAGAGGCAGGCTACAAAACGCCTGCCAAGATGGGAAAGACACGGGCCACTTAAACCCACTTTAGCAGTTGGCAAAGCCTTTGATTTGCTCTTCGAACCCTGGCATCGAGGGGGGGGGTAGGAGGCAATAAGATGGAGGGAATTCAAGCCGGTGTGGGCCAGCCAGATGCATCAGGGTCCTAGTTTTAGATTTTTGACTCGCCACGATGATAAATCACCCGCAATAATGCGGTCATGAAGCTGAGAAGCAAGTTCCGAAGTAGTCTTCAATAATCGGATTGGCTAGCTAGATCGATGACCTCGGCCACCCCTTCTCTAGGGTGGAGTGGGTATGCACCGAGATGGAGACCCGTCTTACTGGGTTTGCCACACGGATCACGGATCGACGGTCAGGATTATAGCTTATTCGAAGCTTTCCGGATCAGCATAGTGCCAGTGGTGTGTAAGTGCAAAGCTAAAATAGAAATCTAATTTTAATTTAGTTAGGTATCCGAATTCGAGTGCGGGTCAGGAGGAAGGGGGAGTGTCCAAACTCATTGAGAAAGAAACCAGCCCTAATTCAGTCGATCCTGGTTCCACGAGGAGAGGTATGAGGTACCACAAATCACAAGTCTGTACTAAATTCCTGCCCGTGGCGGAAGTAATGTGAATGTATATTGCAATGGAAACGATGTAAGGGAAGGATGTTGTGGAAGCAGAGGAAAATTTTGTTGTTTCTCACCCAGTTCATACAGCCAGCACGTCGATTGTCAATATGACTACCCTATTTCCTGGAAGGTTTAAAAATGCTTTATTTATTCCATTTGCTGACTTATTCGGATAAAAAGACTAATTGGTGTAAGATACATGACTCTCAGGGGATGTTGATGTACCGGAATACCCGTCATTTTCTCCGTGCATATACTTGCTGCGCTGTATCAGATCCAGGCTACTACAGCGAGTCTATCACACCGTCGGAAGGAACCTAAAAAAAAATTTAAAGTGTTCATCTGTCGAGAAAAACCACTATAGTTGCTTCATATTTCTCTTGCCTGCTAGGCGAGGCTGCAGGTTCTACCCGCAGCGTCGGCAATGATCGTCTAGGTCGCACTACCCGGGGAACAAATTTGTTTGCCTCATGTTCCTCAGAATTGGAGTCCTACTTCCTGCCCAGATAATTGATGCCTTATATTGTCTCTCTGGTGATCTTAGTCTGCAGGAGACCTCCCGGCAGTATCATTGTGCCACCCTTCTCCCGCAAGGGCAATTCGAATCCGGACGGAGAAAGTCGACCAATTGACAAAGTTAGCATCAAGCTTCTGCTTTCTTGGACCTGCAGTTCTGGACCTGCATACTTAAAGTCCAGAAGGAAGTGCAGAAAAAAAAATTCATTGAAGAAGGTTCTATGCTCTGATTCTGGATATCATCTATCCTTGTTTCCGCTGGGCCGCACTATGGACCGAGCTGTCGACTAAGATCGAATCAGATCTGGCGTAACATGTTGCATTTATGAATCATATGCTATTTTCCTCTGTTGTTAGGTGAAATGACTACTCTCCGTGGATAATGCAATGCAGGTCCCACTCTCCCCGTTCTACGGCAGTGTGACCACACCATCAACAGTCACACCTTTACCTTTCGCAGTCACACAGCCCCTAGCATTGGCCTACCGAGGATGACCGTCTAACATCAATATCCACAGAGACCAATATTAACAACATCTAGTCTCTATCTAGTACCAACTCCCGGCATCGTCATCGTGGCACGCATGTCTCACAGCTGTCGGCGGGTCTTGAGGACCTCAATCTGGAATCAATGTGCTCAAATTGCATCATATCTCTTGCTTTTCTTTGGGCAATCTCGAAGAAACTTATTTCCAAACTGAGTTCAGGAAGGTATGTTGGGTTACAGTCGATACTTTCTCTATAGATCAAGGTTCATAGTCTCCTGCCGCGAAAACCACGGATACCTCGGGCTTGGGTCGGTGACCCACCGATCTGATCTAGATCGAGAGTCGAACCGATGTGTCAGATATTTTTGAGCCATTTGCGAAGAATGGTCGCGATAGAACGCCAGTCATCAATTGAATCCACACAGGGAGGGTGACCATTACTTTGAGAATCCTCTAGAGCTAACATCATTGGGCCGACTCAGAACAACTAGAAAGCGACATCTCACATAGCTGCTTTCTTCAAATCTCATTACTAATGCTGCGGAGCTCGTTGATTCCAAGGTTCTAAAGAGAACTTGACTTGATCATTGCCCAGGTGCTAGTATATTTTCCAACCTTGGAATGATTTTGGTCGGCGACTACTAATACATTGATGAAGATATGGTACTCATGCTACTACTAGTAGTGCTAGAGTGAACCCTCGGAACTGGAAGAAACAGTACGGACATTCAATAAGTAGTATTATCAGCAACGGTGTTTTCAATAATGGCTCTCGTATGGCCAAAAAGTAGTGCAAACTCAAGAACTGTATTGTCTAAGCCTTGCAGTATAACACCTTAGAATCAGATACAAAATCTGCCGTTGAGCGATTAAATCGTAGTAATGACTTGAGCTTATACGAAACACTGTTCTCTCCTATTGTGCCATCGAGAGCACTGCAATCCTCTTCGAATAACATTTCAAAGTCGGAGAAACTAGATATACATCGTATATTTTTTTAAAAAAAGAACCAATACCCTCAAATTCCCGGTCCAAAAAATCCCCTAGCTTTCAAAGATCTAACAGGAAAATGAACAAATAAAAAAAGAAACTCGTCCCATGAACCAATCTATCCAGTCCCGTCGAAAAGCACCTAGCCAGGGGTCGCAATACCAGGTAGAGAGTCCTTCCTATCTAGGCCACTACATAGCATCCAAGCCGGGGGAAAGGGTGAGCTGAGCCAACGGGTCTCTGACCTCACCATACAACCCCCTCCCAGCCCAAAGTCCTGGGAAAAGTTGAACATGTCCCACTGGGAGCAATCTTGCATTGTGGCAATCTGCCGTCCAACCAATTGATCTGATCTCATGCCCAAAAGCTACCTACAGCACGGTGACAGATCTATGGCTCGATTCGATCGATGGGTGTATCTCATTCCCGCAGGAGCGTCTATCTTGTCTGACCACGTGGGACGACTGTGGGACTGATGCGATGCTTGTCTTTGTTCCTATTTTCCGGTGTTGGGGTGGTTTTGACCAGGTCCGAGTGTGGACATCTGGGTCTGCTTCAATTGTTCAGGTGTTTTCACGCATATAAATTGGGACGGACTATAATTCATTGTAGTACTAGTTGTGTAGATAGCTACAATCACTATCTACCTACTAGTAGGTAGTAGTATATACCTGGGGAGGGATAGTATAAACACTTGGGTATTATACTACTCGGTATCCTACTCGTATCTACTAGGAACCTCAGAGCACTAGGGATTTTTGGACGCTGTCGCCCTGGCAGGTGGCACATAATCGTTCATGGTATACATTACGCAGGACATAAATACGCTACTACAATCAAAACTACGACGGAGTAAAGCTCGTTTGCAGATATGCATTGCATTGGACTAGGGGGGGTGCTGGAAGTACATGACCAGATGTACGGCAGAAACCCGAAAGAACGAAGAAAAGGAAGGTGGGCACATGGCGCCACTTCCACTCCATCTCGGAGCTCGCGATGCTCGACACGAGAAATGAAGAATATGTCGCCTCAACCCCACAAGGAGGGTGGATGAGATTGACGAGACAGAAACAGGGCATGGAATATAAGGTAAAAGAAACCATGGGGGATCAAAGGAAGAGAGAGGAGAAAAGAAAAATAAATCATTGCAGACTGATCCAGGTCTTTCGTCAAACTCAAAACGTGAAAAGCTGGCGCATAATGCCAGAGCCATAAGGATAGAGGGAAAGAAAAAGGAGTGGATGGGTCTGTCTGCCCATGGACAATACATGGACCCAGGGCTGAGGCATCAAAAGAAATAGAAGAAAAAGGCCCACCCGAAGTAAGAAGGAAATGGTCATACGTCGCTGTCACATGATTTGTCGGCATTACATGGGTGTCTTGCGCTTTTCCGCGCTAGACAGCACAAGCATTGGCGTCTTGCGGCGCTCAGGTGCCTGAGTGGCGGAGCCCTGGCCGGCAACGACAGCTGCCACAGAGGGTGACGAAGCCGCCGTACTGGGAAGGGAGACGTTTTCCGCGCGCATTTCCGCAAGCTTTGATCCGAAATAGCCGTCTTCGCTAGTGGGTGTTTCGCTTTGGAAGGGACTGTCGGGAGATTTGCGCTCGCGACCAGTCTTCTCTTTGCGCTCGGATCCGATAGCACCGCTGGCGGCGGCGCGCAGACTGCCGAGACTAGGCTTGCTAGAAAGACTGCCACTGCGAACGGTCGCGTCATCGCCGTCAGAGAATGTGAACTCGTTCTCACTCGCAGGAGTGTTGGTGCCTCCACTGCTGTTATAGCCGTTGCTACGGGAGTCACCCCGGCGCTCAATTCCAGCACGAACGAGATTGTGAACGGCACGACGGCGTTGCCGGGTTGCGAAGTTCTTGCTTCCTTCGTGCTTGGAAGTTGGCTTGGCCACAAGGTCTTCGAGCGAAGGAGGTCCACGGGGCTGGCGGATGGGGTGCTCACCAGCTCGAGCTTGACCAGGTCCGAAAGTCCCAGTAGCAGGAGTGGGCGGCAGCACAGCTGATCGAGGTCCAGGTCCGATATTGGCCTTAGTTGTATCAATGCTCGTCTTCACAACAGGGTTGGAGGGAGGATTCTTGCGGTGATTGCGACGGAACGCATTCGACTCTGTAGGCGGGGAAGGTGTGCCACTAGGCGGAGATATGGGCTGCGGGAAGTACATTTGCGAAGGAAGGGATTCCGCAGGTGGGGAGATCTCGGCACGGAACTGGGGAACCTGCTGATGCTGGCCAACAGAGTAGTTGTCCGAATACGGCGAGCCGGTCTCCTCGCCACTGTTGTCCATGATATAGCTTTGCTGGCCAGTCAAAGGATTATAGACCAAGAACAAGCCTGGCTGTCCGGGTACAGCCTGCACCATAGGCTGGACGCCCTGCTGCAGCTGTTGCTGATAGAATCCCGCACCAGGCATAGCAAGCGAAGGGGCAGCCTGTTGCTGGAAAGGCATTTGCCCCAGGCTGAGGCCCTGGAACTGCTGAGCTGCGGCAGTGACACTAATCAACTGCTGCTGCAAACGCTGCTGCTGAGCTGCTAGAAAGAGATTGGTCGACATCCATTCCGCGTACATATTTTCATCCATGCCATTGTCGGTGGGTATTTCGATCGTAGGAGGCGCAAGCACCTGCTCCGGCAGGGTATACATCGGACGCTCTCGCTGTCTAGTGTTTCCTCCATGCCCGGTATGACCGCTCATTCTCTGGCCGTTGGCATAAGCGTTTTGCGGGAATCCAGCCCCAGTGGCAGTTTGAGGTACACGGTCTGAGCTTCGGTTATTGTAACCGTGGGATCGAGATTCGTCCATCCCGTTGCGTTGCTGATGTTGATAAGGAATAGTCGCAGAACGGGGAGCGGTGCGTAGACCAGCGAGGAGGTGCGAGCGACTTGTGCGCGGAGTGGACACCGAGGGCTGGGATTCGTCGATTGTAGCAACCTGAGGGGGGGACACTCAAGCGCTTAATGTGAGAGCCCTTGCCCCGGGAAGCAAAACCCGATCCTGGCACGCCGAGGGAGGGGCCATTATTGAAGTTGTTGTTGTAAGTCATCTGAGCAAGACCGCCAGCGTCCATACTCAAGGTCGTCGAGGTGAAGGCGAATGGGGAATATGTGCAAAATCTCAGGAGATTTCAGATGAGTAGTCCGTCACGGGAAATATGAAGCGTTTGGGATCAACCACAAAGCTTCGAGCCGGTTGTGAGGTGATTAGGTGATTATGCTGTCTATGACAAACAGAGGATTCCGGAACTGATCGAGCCGATCGTGAATTCGGAGATGCGTGAGGCTGAAAAAAGAGAGGAAGTAACGAAGTGGGGGTGAGAGAGAGAGGAATAGAAGAGATCGTGGAGGTGAAAGTCGCGATTTCTGATTGTAGGCACCAGTTAGTCGGATCTCTCACACAAGTGGGCAGATGAGAGGCTGGGTACGTACCACAAGCGAAAGTATGCAGGAGTGGTGAATGAGAGGCTGATTGATGCAGACCGGTAATGCAATATGCCGCTATTATCCAGCTGTACAGAAAACTGATCGTTCCTTTTGCGGGGCTTTTTTTTAATTTTTTTTCTTCCTTCCCGACGACGATCAATAAACCGAAGACGAGCGTCGAAGACGAGAAGCACCGAAGATAATTAGATGAAATACCGATGCGAGGTCTTCCGTGAGACCGAGAAGTGAAAAATAAAATGATAAAATAATCGGAATGGAGGGAAATGCGCTGCAAATCCTAGCCGAATAGAGGAAAGAGACGACGTCGACGCGGGTAGTGCAGGGAATTCGGAGCGGCGACAACACGACCAGCAACCAGTCAGGACGGAATAGCTGAGTGAGGAGAGGGTATCGAGCGAGCGCCTTGATGGAGGATATGTTGTCAACGACTGGGTGTCAAGTTAAAGGAAGATCGAAATCGAAGGTGGAAGGGAAATCGAAATCGTCGAGACTCGGCCAGACGCGAGTTAACTCTTCAGGGGCGGAACGAATCGGAATGAACTATTTGCAGGTGTAATTTTTTTGGGGTAATTTTTTGTAAGGTTTTCCCAAGGAGCTGCAGAGAATGAAAGAATGCAGGGAAGAAAAGAAAGAAGCGAAGACGAAGATTATAGAGGAAGGATGAGGAGAAGAAGAAGAGAAGGTTGAGTGTGGGGAATGGGCGAAAGAGAGGAAGTCGGGTTGCTTAAGGCACTAAGGCATCAAATAATCAAGGCGGTCAGGCAACGAGGCACACAGGCAGAAAAACAGCCCCGATTAGGATTAGCGTGAGAAAGACAGGTGATTTGGTTGGTTCGAGTGCTGCTGGAAATACTCCACATTCATACCCTTTGTCTTCATCTTCGCCTTTGTCTTTGTCTACACATACTCAATTGATCAATAATTCATCTAATCAATGAATCAATGACGCCAATTCAGCCATCACCCATCCCACAGACGCGAATCGCGCCAGCTGAAGTGAATCGATTGGTCCGAACCAACCGCCAATGACAGGCGCTTCCAGCCAGTGCTGAGTGACGAGGCTAGACCCCCCCGTCACATCGCCTGCTCATCGATTGGCTGCGGCCTTTTGGGGCGTTGCCTCCCTCGTCTCACAGCGCCCCTGGTGCCGCCGCCAAGCCGTATTGTACCCTGTCCTGCTATATTCTTTGCTCCATACAGATGGGATCTCTTATTGTTGGTGGGGGTCTTCCGAGGCTGTCCATAACGCATGTCATCCTTGCCCGGACTCTCCTTCTACACCTCTACCCTTCCTCCCGACCCAGCCTGTGCACGACAACCGACGTGGGGCGGATCGTGGTTCGGGCAAATGCAAACCGCCCATCACAGCAACCATTGGGACTAGCGTGATTATGATCTACACTCACGCCGATCCCAACGTGTCAGCCTAATTAAACAATTGGTTACCCCCCGTACGAGACACAATGTCTTGGTGTGGAGAAAACAATAGGTTTCTTTGCCCTATGTACACATACAATAATTCCTGTACAAGAAGTCCCTCACTTGGGGCCATGCGACGGTACGCCCAGTCCCGAAAGCCATTCAGAGCCTTATCAGACCACCCAACCACGAGAGAGAGAGAGAGAGAACGAAGCAAGAAGGGAAACAAGAGAAATTATCTAGCCGAGTAGAAAATTGAAATGAAATAAAAAGGAGAATGGGGTATCTGCTGGTCAAATACAACCTGACCAAGAGAGGAAGGCTTGCCAGAAGGAGAACAGACTGCGCAATGAAAGTCGTTATGGATACAAGACGGAAGAAGCCGACGAGTCGAGAAATCGGAGAGAATAGCAGACACGGTCATTCACGCATCTACAGCCACACCAGCTCCTGGAGGAAGAGTGGCTGATTCGTTCTGAGAGGGCAATCGACGGTGTTCGGGCTCGGGGGATACTCCCTTGCCATTCATCCGATCAAACTCAAGTGTCTCCGCTAGCTCAGCCGCCATGGGGTCTAACTCCTCCTCCTTGAGTCCAGTGGCGAGGGCCACCAGCTTACGGTGCACGTCGAATTTGGTACTTACACCTGCATCCGCTGTTTGCTGGGCCAGATCTTTGACCGTGCCTCGACGCGTCTTCTGCGCGGCGCACAACTCGCGTGCGAGTCGATAACGAGCCAAAAGCTCCTCCGAAGTCAGCGTGGAGGGGTCTGACTGCAGCATGTCGGGAGGAGCGCTGGTGTGCAATTGTTGTATCAGACGGGCATGCTGTGTCTGTTCAAGTAATGACTCGTAGCTAGCCCGCAATTTCTCATATCTTCCAAGTTGGTGGTTGCTGGGTTCATACTCGGCCTCCTTTGCGGTCATCGCGGCCAGTTGCCTCTGTATCTTCTGACGATCGGACTCGAGCTGGTCAAAAAGCGCCTCGGGATTCGCAATGTCATTTGAGTCTTGTTGATTAATTTTGGAATTGCCGTAGGTCACAGCAAGCTTCTTATTTGCCTCCGACATGATTGTGCTTATCTTCGTGAGCAGCTCAGACGTGACGCCAGAATCCACAGGAGGCACTATGGTATTATGGTCCGAGTTCAAGAGGTCCGCTCCGGGGCCATCCAATTGATCATTCATCATTGTCACTGATGACGGGGCCGGAGGAATATCATGTTCATTATGGCGAGAGCGTTGGGTGATGCTATTGGTCGTTTCTCCCTTCTTATTCATCAAGTCACCAGCTCGAGGGCAGTGTGTGAGAAGCATATTCACGAGACGGAAGGCACCATTGCGGGAGGCTACAAGGGCCGCTGTATCGCCGTTGTCATCCTGGCATGATAGCAGCAGATCGATCTCGTCCTGTGAACAAGTTTTGCACAGTTTGTCCAATAGGACTTCACAATAGTATCTGGAGCTCTTCCACTTGCCTTTGCTCCGGGTCGTTTCGGCAATATGGTGGAAAAGTGTTGCACCGAACCAATCACGGAACGAAATTGTGTCAAGCAAGAAGTCCAGCAGAGCCGGGAATGTGCGCTTTTCATAGTTATTTGTGAACAAGACAGCCCGAACAAGAGGCGTCTCTTCGTGAATTGACAATGCCTTGATATCGGCGCCTCGCCGAAGTAGATCTTGCACAATATCTAAATCACCCATTGAGCAAGCCCAGTGCAGAGCCGTATTTCCAGAATCATCAATGGCACGATCCACTTGAAAGTTATCGGGGGGGCTTTGGAGGGTGAATTCGTGTAGCCTGAGGAGCATCTCCCACGGTCATAAAATAGTCGAGGAGCTGATCACCATAGATGATATGCTCTTGCTCACTGATGGACATCACTGTTGCCTCGTTCATTCCGCGCTTGCGCTTCCGTCCTCCATGCTGAGACATCTGCAGCATATCTTCATCCGCAATCATGGATGAAGTTTCCATACTCGCTTGCTCAATAGACTCGTTGTCATCGAATTGGTTGTTTATCTCATATTGCTGCTGTTCCTGGGGCAAGGTTGGTGGGCCCATGCTGCGATTGGGTTGAACCACATTGAATATTTCGGTTGCTGCTGATCGATTGGTGGATTTGCGTGGTGCCCTCGGCTTTGATGGAGCTGAAGAGTGTTTCGGGGCTGGGGGCGGGCTGCGATCTCCCGCCACGTAGTCGAAGATGGGGGCAATTTTCACGAAGATATTGTTACGCTCTGCAAGTTGGCGACCTTCAGGTAGAGGGATCCATGTTCCTGCGACACAAATTGGATGAGTAAACCCAGGTCCACCAGTTCTTCCCGTTCACGGGGTGATCATACCCTGATATTTTCCATAGCCACCCTGCACCTTCTCATGAACTCCCTTTTGGACTTCTCGTTCCAGAATCCGAGTTCTCGCAGGCTTGTCAAAACCGGCCGCCTTCAGAATATGTGTTGCGTTGATCCAATCATCTCCCCTTCGTCTCATCACACTGTCACCGTCGATCTTGAGCTCGTACACCGGGACCTATCGGCAATGAATTAGCAAAGTTGAGCTGTGGCGAGAGCAAATTGAATCCCCATATACAGTATGAGTAAGAAGCGCTCAGTCACTTCACAATACGTACACTGCTGTAGGTAGCCGAGTATATCATATCCATAGTCGCCGCCATCGTGGAGGTTGATGTCTTAACCGACAATGATCAGGTAAGTTTCCGGGTCGTTATGGGGCCAGTCAGCGACCGAAACCCCTTCAGGATCGACAGGGGAATAGTATCAAGAATGCTTCAAAGCCCGACACATTGCACGCACGCAGATTAGGACCGATAGTGTAGGGACACGATTTGCGGGTGGAGCAAGGGTGGCAGAATGGCAAAATCGCGCCGGCGCGTCTTTCTGAGGAGCGACCGCGTTAAGTGGCGCTAGACCCGACCCGGACAGAACTTGATTCACGTGACCACATCGAAAGGACTCGGGTCACATGATCATCGGGAACACAGGAAGATAGCGAATCGAAGGTGCAAATCGACTACCTCGACGTGCAGCCCGATCTCCTCCACGCTCTACCCTCTACAACTCTTACAACTTGCCGAAATGACTGTCGCCGAAGCGGTCAAGAGCGCCGTCGGCCTTGGAGAGACCTCCGGTACGATTTCTGAGCCAATTGAAACCATCTCGAATCCCCGAAACCTCCGTGTCATGAAGCTGACCACCTTCTCTAGCCACCCGCCAGGAGATGTCCGAGGCTCGCCTCCCCATGCAGTACCGCGACTCATGCGCCCACCTTCTCATCCCTCTCAACCGCTGCCGGCAAGCAGAATACTACCTTCCCTGGAAGTGCGAGGTATGGAGATCTTTCCAACGGACCAATGAACACTTTTGTCCAACGCGCCCCTCTTGATCTAAACGAACGCTGACATTTTCTCTTTTTTTTTCAAAGGATGAGCGCCACTCATACGAGAAATGCCAATACGTCGAATTCAAGAAGCGCGTGGCCAAGATGGATGAGCTCCGGGCCTCGAAGGAGGGCGCCCGCAGCAACTGATTTTGCGGGGAGCTTCTGAAGCGCTTGTGTTTTGGGCGGCCGGGACTGCTGGTCAAGCAGCAGGTTATGTACATAGATGATATACCGAGACTGCTCATGAACTGCCATTTTGGCGTTGGGACTCTTCAATTCTCTATTGTCGGATGTGATGTAGTGATTCAAGTTGATCTGGTGATACTCTACTCGTGGGCCGCCATGTAATCAGATGTAAGCTGATATTACTATGATTATGTCGGATTGTAGTAAACGCCAACTAGGGGCTCGGACGGGTCAGTCCTCATAAGACAGCCAAACACACCCGCGGACAAGCTTACCCCAAGATATGATTTTAGTGATTGGTAATCTACATTTGTCACTGCCCGCATTGGTCAGGAGAGAGAGTAGCACGAGCCTCCTTGTAGGATTTCTCTTTTTTCCCTTCTGAACGTTTAGAGCGCCGATCTCAGGACGTAATAATCTGACATGCAGCCCTGACATTTAGGAAGGCTTTTGAGGTGAGTTTGGTTTTGCCTGATGTTTAGGATCAGCCCTGCCTGGCGCGCTATGCGCCCGTTTGCTGTGCTGCATGTCTGTCGTGATTTGGGCTCGGCATTTCATGAAACCTGCATCTCTTATTCGCGGGATGCAGGGGTTGTAGAATTACATGTATAGAGAGAAACACAGAAGTGCTTCAGGTTCCTCAAAGTTGGTAAAGTACTATAGAGTACTAGTTATATACCTAGGTAGTATAGAACCGGGAATTGAAATGCAAAATCAGGTGATTTGCTTAGAAATCGGCCGTTATCGCGGAGATGCCCCGCCGGGAAGTGTTGCGCCTGAAAATTCCCAGTCGAGAATTAAAAAGAACCGACCGGAACGCGGGGACTATGCGCATTGATTTCCCTCCTTAAACTTCCAAAGGCTGCTTGGATAGGCAACCGATCCTTTGCCTTTCAATCCCTCCCCTCGCACACCTACTCTCCTCCTTTTGCTGGCAGAGAGATCCCCATCCGATATCGACATGGGTCTTCTGTAAGTGCTAATTTTCCTTGATGAGACAAATTTCTATTCTTTCGCATTTCATTATATGTTTAAATTACTGACAGTTATCCACAGAGCCCTTGGAACCGCGTTGGAATGGCCGGAGGCGAAGAAAAAGGCTGGCCAAGTACGCCAGTGGGGTATTGAGGTATGTCGGATGAGGGGTTGATGAATCACCTAACCAGTGTCGGAAACAAAGCTGACAAGCCAATGCAGCAATTACTTGCTAACTGGCGCCGTGCCAGAGGCAAGGAACGAGATGCTCTTCTATGGGGTGACGAGGTGCGCGCAACCGATCCTACTTCCCCACCCACTTCATGACGGTAGATGCTAATGGTCTCGTTCTCCAACAATCTAGGTCGAATACCTCGTGGTGGCGCTCGACGATGAGGCAAAGAAAGCACGGTTATCTTTGGCCCAGGCCGAGATTCTGAAATCCCTTGCCCGTGATGAGGCCCTCTGGAAAGCTGGCGGTGCCGAGCACGGCGGCAGTGGGGACCAGTAAGTGGGATTGATAGTGATACACCCTGGAAGTTTGGACTGCCATTCTAACAGTCCCTAGTGATGGCGAAGATCCCCCTCACTTCCACCCCGAATTCGGTCGATTCATGCTGGAGGCTACACCCGGAAGTCCTTGGGGTATTGGTTTCAAAGACCTCCTGAAGGTAGAATCCAACATGAAATGGAGGTAGGTCAATTGCGGGCGTCAGCATTCCATGAGTGTTTACACTTGCTCACTTTTCTTAACAGACGAGAAGTCGCGAAAGCGCACATGGCGCCGAATGAATCTCCCATAACCCTTACGACGTTCCCCCGACTGGGCACAAAGGACGACTATATTCAGCCTTATTACCCCCCATCCGGGCCCGCTTTGCGGTCTCAATTTGTTCCTGATGAAATCGCCAACCCGCACATTCGTTTTCCAACCCTGGCGGCGAATATTCGCACCCGTAGAGGACGCAAGGTTGAATTGAATGTGCCAGTCTTCAAAGATATTAATACCCCCTCGCCATTTAAGGACCCTACCGTTAACTATGACCTCCATCAATGGCCCGAGGATGACGATGTGCGCAACGGCGCTGCTAAGGACGACCACGTCTATATGGATGCCATGGCATTTGGCATGGGTAGCTGCTGCTTGCAAATTACCTTCCAGGCCAAAAATATTCCGGAGGGCCGAAAGCTGTACGATCAACTGAGTCCATTGGGTCCGATTCTTCTTGCTCTCACGGCAGCAACTCCGATATATAAAGGTTTCCTCGTGGATACCGATGTGCGATGGAACCAGATCGTCAATGCCGTGGATGATAGAACCCCCGAAGAACTTGGTGAAGCTGTCAGTTGTTCTGGAATTGAAACAAACTATACCACAAGCTAACCCCTGGCAGCCTCTCAAAAACGATCGCTGGAGAATTCCCAAGTCTCGGTACGCTTCAAACTCTACTTACATTGCTCAAGACCCTCGACTGCGGAAGGAATATCTCGACCCAGAGCTGGTCGTGGATGAAGACATCAAGAAGCGATTAATGGAGGGTGGGATGGACGATCAGTTGGCCACTCATTTCGCCCATCTGTTCATCCGAGACCCATTAGTGATCTTCTCCGAGGATTTGGAGGAGCTTGACTTAAATAAGGGCGACCACTTCGAAAACCTCCAGTCCACCAACTGGCAGCACATGCGGTTCAAGCCTCCGCCCTCCGATAAAGACGACATCGGTTGGCGAGTAGAATTCCGCTCTATGGAGATTCAAATCACGGATTTCGAAAACGCCGCATTCAGCATCTTCATGGTCCTCATCACGCGTGCCATTCTCAGTTTCAACCTGAATTTCTACCTGCCTATTCCACGCACAACCGAGAATATGGAGACCGCACATGCTCGCAATGCTGTCCTTGATCAGAAGTTCTACTTCCGCAAAGATCCATTTGCTGAGCGAACCCCCAGGCATGCCCAGCACTCGTCTAATGGCAGTACCTTTTCTTCAACTACCTCATCGGCGGTGAACACTCCCCCGCCTTCCCCGCCCTTGGGCCCCGTCGAGTCGGAATACGAACTCATGACTATCTCCGAGATCATTAATGGCTGCTCTGATGGGGGATTCCCAGGTCTCATTCCCCTGGTGGAATCTTATCTCAACAGTGTCAACGTGGATGTTGAGACACGTTGCTTCCTAGCAACTTACCTTGACCTCATCCGCAAACGTGCTGATGGAACCCTATGGACCGGAGCCCGATGGATCCGTGAGTTTGTGAGCAAGCACCCCAGCTACAAACAGGACAGCGTTGTTTCCGAAGAGATTACCTATGACCTTGTTAAGGCGGTCGAAGAGATGACAGCCAAAGAGGGCAAAAACGACTCTATCGGCTGGGAGCTACTCCGAGGCAAAAAGAACTAAATAGACAAAATTCTTCTCTGTCTTTCATCATGCAGATAGACAGACATTCTGAACATGAAAATATATAAGGACATGAAATTAACTTGCACATATTGGCACAAGGGTCAGCCCTTGGCCACATTTGAAAACCTTGGAAGCTCTTCTGTAATTTACGTTGAATCCACACGCGCAAACACACATCAGCCAATGCCTACCTCTGTACTCCGTATACCGGCGAGGATTGGACTCGGAAAGGCTGTTTGTCAATCCGCTTGTACTACGCAAACTCATATCATGGCACCTGCTAAGACGGAGATGGTAGACCTTCTAAGATGAAGATGTAGGTCACACAAGACACAGCAAACCGGGGCCCGCTGCAACGGTAGCAGTATCCTGGATGATCCAGACCGGGCCTAGAGCGGCTGCGTAGCCTTGAAAAAGGAAAAAGCTTCTAACCGCATAAGTGAAATATTCCAGAGAACAAGAGATTCCTATCTCAAGTGCATACCAGCCCCGTAGCACGCTAGTCATGCTCCAACACTCGACTACACCTTCAGACATGAGCTGGACCATACCAGCCTCAACATACATCGTCCCGGATACGGAAATCCAGACAGAGACAGAAGCCATCATCGCCGTCACTCGGGGCTTCCTTGCCGCACTGAGTGCAAAGTCACGCGTCGACTTTGAAAAGCATTGTGTTCGCGCCGGCGGGATGACCCTCTCGCCTCCGTCACCTACAGCTCTTCGATTCTGCACAATCGGTTCGTTCATCGAGTATATGGCGACGTTGAAAGACGATATTGACGAGCGCATTTGGGATCCCGAGGTCAAGATCCACGAGGCGGGCAATCTTGCTGCGGTGTGGGCGCCATTTCGGGCAAAGATCAATGGGGTTGTGGACCATGTTGGTGTTGAACTGTTTGTACTGCATAAATTGAATGGCGAGTGGAAGGTTACTGGACTGGCGGATTCTTGTCGACGACCGACTGTCGAGGAAATGGGGATGGAGTGACGCCATCCTTGATATCTCTGAGGAAATAGGAGTACATAAACGTGGAGTTTGGGAGGAATTTTTGATTTTTGGGACAGTTTTCATTTCCTACCTAGGTAGGTTCCTTCAAGTGTGACATTTAGTACTAGTATCGAATAGCCTGATCAATAATAAATAGATTTCCGCTTCTTTTAGACATAAGTTCGTTTCCCATGTTTCGTTTCCCATGTATCATAGCACTCCTTATCCAAAATACTCACTGACAGCGAACCTCCATACCAATATTTATGATGGAGAAATTGGCGAATGAATTTGACCCTCCAGCTCAGTCCTTGTATTGCTGTTGCTCATTTCAGCAGGGTTGTAATCTCCTGGAAGTTCAACCACGCGAGTAGGTGCATTTGACGACCCTTGAGTGGATGGGACTGCATCGAGCTGTTTCTTGGTATTCACGGCCAGATTATCTTTTCCAAAAGAAGATGGTGAGATATAAGTATCTGGTGAGCCGTATCCAGAGGGTGCATATCCCACATTAGGCCCTTGGTTTTGCGAAGGTGCCCGACGGCGTTGGCCGATGAAAAACAAAATACCCCCAATTATCGCAACGCCTGCTATCACGCCGATGACGATTCCTGCAATTGTCCCACCAGATAGTCCGGTCTCAGGTCCAGACACAGACCCAGATGACGACGTACTTGTTGCTGCGGTACCGGTTGCGGGCTGTGTGGAGGTAGATGAACTCGTCGTGGTCAGTGATGAAGATGTGGTCGTCGCACTTGAATCGACTTTGAACGAATTTATTGCTGCGGAGGCATTCTTGCTGAGCATATGAGATGCCCATCCACTCGCCGGACCAGAGCAGTCACTGGTTCCGTATAAAGAAATCTCATACGGGCCCTCTTCAGAATCATACTCAAACAGCTTTCCCTTAGCATTGCTGATCCCTGTACAGGGCATGGAAGTCTTTGAATGCTCGACAAATGACGCATCCGATGAATTTCGCCAAACCAGTGTCCATGCCTCAGCTAACGGCAGTAGAGAAATCGCAATTAGCACTAGCATGAGTATCGTATGCTGCATTGTGAGTTTACAGCAAGAGCTGAGGAGAGAACGAAGCAAAGATAAACTTTGCTGCATTGCTGCGCGGGGAGCCTGCCAGAGCCCTTTATGTCACTCCGATGATGTGCAAGGGGGATATGGTTTAACGAAACCTCGTATTCTGTGTGCATCGTGTTGATCCAGCTGAACGACTGAGCATGTAAGTGGGCAAGTGAATCCCTTGGCGCGTCCGATCCCTACTAATTTTGGTAAGTGATCTGCGCCCGTCTGCAGGGCTCAAAAGCATCTTGGATAAAGTCAGAACGAGGTGTCTTTTTGTGGGTCCTTGGCAGGGTAAGTTGCGTCCTAGGCTGATCATATCGGATTCTTGAAGATTTTATCACCGGCCTTCTATCGTCGGGCGGAGCGTTTACCTGAACTATCGAATCGGTCTTGTTATCGGGGCATTGGAGCATTCAACCATGGGACACCCACCGGGAATGTTCACATCATATTTTGGCTAACCCCTTATATCGAATCACTGATGCAACAATCTAGGCATCTATTCTGGGGTGATGGCTCGCTCGTATATTTTAGGTTATGATTGGCTCATCTTAATCGTGCCGGCGATACTTCTTTGGTCCACGAAAGCCAATGAAGTGGTCATAGGGACCCTTGTCGAAAGCGGCTGAAGTACGAGAATGGAACTTATCTTCGAAAAGCCAATATCGATAGACTCCGCCGTTTCAAAGATGCCTCGACCAGTCAGAGATTTTGATGTGAATAGTGAGTCTCTATCTAGTCATCAAATAGTATAGATTGCCTTGAAGATAACAAAAGCTCCAACTCGAATTTAGTATCATGTTGATTCCCATTTAGATTAAGGCTCAATCTTGAAGTAAATCCAAACACGGACCGATTTAGTCTTATTCAAACACGATATGCGGCGCCTTACTTGCCCCGATGACTCATGGATAGGATGATAACAAATTTGAGCCAAAATGCCAACTTCTAAGGTTCAAGAGGTAATACCTAGGTATATATCTGACACAAGTAGAATTTATAAGTTATCAGGCATACCTACCTAGGTACATGCATATATACCACCTCTCATTATGTCGAGTTTCGAAAATGAAATCAAAGCTCTGGAGTACCTAAGTAGGTAGCGGATCCTTCCAATTTGTTTCTCACCCCTTACTAGTGCTATTATACTAGTAATTATAACCTGTAAGTCTGCTCAATACCAGCACAGGGCCTACGAGTAATCTTGCGGTCACTCTTTTTCCCATGGGAGTTTTGTGTTTAATGGATTTGATCTCAGCTCAAGCGGATCTTCCGCATTAAAATGTGCCAGAGTATTGTTTCACTTAACCAATAGACCCTCTAATAAGCCCTGGAGTAGGAAGTATTCCTGAGTTCTAATAACTTCGAGATAAAAGCTTCAAATATGCTACTAGGCACGATATGATTAGTGTACAGTACCTAACTAGTACCTAGTACCTAGGAGTCAGCTTGAACCTCGGGGGCCTTATGAAAATCATTACTAATTTCGAATTACCAAATGAAATTTCTTCAAGACAGCACCCCTCACAGAAATACTTTCATATTGCCCAGGTGGTGAGGAGTGGAGCTTCGGGCATAGATTCCCTTGTTGCCGCTCCGAGGTCCTACATATCTAGTCATTCGCATTACCTAGGTAGTACATTCACCATTTTGTGATTCCGAGCTTCTGTCGCAAATTCACCATGGAAATTTGCAAGCCAACTATTATAAATACTGGGGTCTGCGGTTAACTTCCGAGGTCCCATCAAAACCCCGGGCTCTCTCCGGATAAACCTCGGTCTTTGCGGGTGTCGCTCACCAATCTGGACAATCATCCGTTAAACTTTCCGTACTAATATACGCGACTTCAATCAACTCTCACATTACTAGCTTGAAGAAGCAAAATTCAGTCCCCACCTGAAGCACTGCCCTCTTATTTCCGGAATTCGGTCCGCCGAGATCTGAGTCCGAGAGCTTAACATTGATACGGCAATCAGCTCCGGTAGATCTTGTACACGCGAGCCCATCTCAAGTCGGCAGGTTTACTATCCGGATGCCGATCATGAACAACTTGGGTGTGGGGCCTGGGTTTTTCCCCGCATATGTACTCCCTCCCCGGTTTTTCTTCAGAGTATATGAAGATGGGGAAGTCCCAGGCTACTGCAGAGCTATGAAGGATTATTAATCCTTGAAGCTCTCATTTTAGTCACAATGATTCAACTGGCGCTTGGTATTGTCACCTTGTTGGCGACTGTCCATGCTGCACCAAGCACCAAGTCTCCAACTGCTACGGTCCGCAACGGAACCTATTCCGGGGTCCACAGTAGCACATACGACCAGGATTACTTTCTAGGGATACCATATGCTCAGCAGCCCGTAGGAGACCTACGCTTTACCGTGCCGCAGTCATTAAATGAAAGTTGGGATGGAGTTCACGATGCGAAAGATTATTCTGATATTTGTGTCGGATACGGGGTTGGCATTCCCTCTTTTTTTTGACTGTTATTTGGTTGCTAACTATTGCCCAGACGGACTCTATCTGGTATCCCCAGTCGGAAGCTTGTCTAACACTTAATGTCATTCGTGATTCTTCTACGAAGAAAAATTCCAAGCTACCTGTTGGGGTTTGGATACATGGTGGTGGATTCTACATGGGATCAGGAGCGGATCAACGTTACAACATGTCTACAATTGTAGAAAACTCGTACAAAATTGGTAAGTGCATTATATCATGCTGGGAACAATTTTTCGAACATGTGAATCTGATCTCAAAAAAATCATAGGCAAACCATTCATTGCTGTTACAATCAACTATAGACTTTCCGCCTGGGGGTTTATCAGTTCAAGCCAAGTTTCCGGTACAGGTAATACCAACCTCGGTCTGCGGGATCAGAGACTTGCACTTCATTGGATTCGAGAGAACATTGCTGCGTTTGGTGGAGATCCCGACAAAGTCACCATTTGGGGCGAGTCCGCTGGCGGTATGTCGGTGGGCTATCATCTCACAGCATATGGAGGCCGAGATGACAAACTATTCAGAGCCGGTATCATGGAATCCGGAGGTTCAATTGAAGCCAGCCCATCAAACTATACGACATATCAGTCAAACTATGATGCAATCGTTTCACAGGTCGATTGTGCAGACACAGAAGACACACTTCAATGCTTGCGCGAGGTACCATTTGAGACCCTCAATTCCGTTCTCAACGGAACAGGTGGCTCATCTGAGTATAATTTCTCGCCAGTGGTTGACGGGGACTTGGTCCGAGATTGGGGAAGCGTTCAACTCAACAAGCAGGAATTTGTCAAAGTTCCTATCATTTCTGGGACTAACACAGACGAAGGCACCGCTTTCGGACCGACCGGGGTAAACACCACTGAGCAGTTCTATGAGTATCTTACAAGTCAGAAAGCCCAACCTTTCGTCATCTCCCTTTGCTAATCCCGTATCAGATGGCTCGCTCAACTTCCGAACACCTCCAATTGTCGCAAAGAAGATTCTCGAGCTATACCCGGACATCCCTTCGCAAGGTATTCCCGAGTTTTTGGGTAACGAGCGAGTTCCTTCAAATGGTATCGAATGGAGACGTACAAGTGCTTTCTCGGGTGACTTTGTGATGCATGCAAACCGACGACGGCAATGTGAAGCGTGGACAGAAGCCTCCACACCCGCATACTGCTATCGATTCAACGTACGCTCGGCTGACGTACCGATTCTCAGTGGAGCGACCCATTTTGAAGAAGTTTCGTTTGTCTTTCACAATATTGCTGGCCTGGGTTATCATTATGGAAAGCCATTTGCGGGGGTACCACAGTCATATATCGATCTAAGTTCCATGATGACGAGTATGTGGGCTTCTTTCATTCATGATCTAAATCCCAATTCTGGGGTAGTCAATCAGAGTGTTCATTGGGGGGGTCTATGATAACGAAAAGCCGTTGGATCTGTTTTTGGATGCCAACACGACTAGTCATATGGAACCTGATACCTGGCGCAAGGAAGGAATTGATTATATCAACTCGGTCGCCCGGGCGTTCTGGCGATAGTTACTGGAAATTGGCAGCGACTCATGTGGATCAGGTTCTGCGGATAACCAAAGTTCCTAGTTTGAGAATGATGTGCCCCTTTGAATTTCTTTTTTTCAGAATTCAGAAGACCCTTTGACACACATTTTCATTGTATGAGCATTTCTTTGTCAAATCTAAGAATGCATTTGTATGACGCATGAATAAATCAACTCTTTAAGTTTGATTGGCGAGAAGCACCGATCCATTGAAAGTCCAATTCAATGAAACAATCATCTTTGCAGGCTGGTTTAAAGGCTAGGGAAAGGTCAGACTGGCTTCTTAAAATGCGCGAGGTTTTGGCGGTCAGGTCGAGAGCAAATAGAGCATCACACTTTTCACCAGAACAAGAGATTGAAAGGTTTTCCTCTTATAAGCTATCTTGTCTCAATCTTCTCTATCCTTTCCATAATGACAGATCAGTGTGACCCCGATAGCCATGAAAACGGCTCCAATACAGTTCATACTAACGGACAAGAGGGAAGTTCTACAAAAGAAAGCTCTGTAGGCAACTCTCCTCTCCAGTCTCTTGATGTTACTCCTAGTGAAATTAGCGGGATTCAAGTGATACATCAAGATGCACGTTCATTTTATGCTTCGTTTCCCAAACAACGAGATGGTTTTGTGGCCTGGCTTCAAGCAAATATTAGCATGCTCCCTGATAATCAGCCGGGTGTATTCTATGAGATCGAGATGATGCTCAATCCTATTTCACAATGGCTTTCTATATTGCTCCTCCTTCCTACTCATTTGAATGCCAATAAGCGGCCCGGAGCTTGCTTTGGTATTAGAGCTAATAGAATCTGTCAAGCGATTCGCAAACTCAGCGACATTATGAGAGGACCGACCTGCTTTGATACAAATATCCGCAAACTTCTATACATGATAAGTTTACTAATCGGGCGGTTGACCCTCGATGGATATGGGGAATCTGATGGCAACGCTATCCACTCTAACAATGAGGCTAATGAATTTGACAATAACTTGCAGTCAGGTATTCCTCCTTACGAAGCTCCCCAGCGGAGGTATTGTGTTATTTACCAGATTTGGGAGTTGATGACACGTGCGACATCATTTTGTGACTGTCGCCAGTGCTACCAGGGAAGAATTTACAGTGATTCACGACTAATTCCCCGCAGAGAACTATCCCTTGATGACTGCTTGTGATTTTTTGATGGATTACTGCCTTGATTTCAAAGTCTATTGTCAGTATCCATGGATTCAATAGATCATTATTCTGTATAAATTCCCGCTGTTAATATTAGTATTTGTATTTGAGCATTGGAACTTTTTACCACTTCTTCCCTGGTCTAGCCGTAATTGAAATTTTGCCTAAAATCCCATTGAATATCCATGATAGCCAATTTTTATTTACTAGTAAATCAATTCAATCCATGAAAAATTCCTTATATAGCGCTATGCAGTAATTGCTGGTAATATATGGTAACCAAAAAATCCCAACTCCTTCATTCCCATGATTAACTGATTGGTGGCATCTCATCCAGTGTGCTTTCCTCTTTGGTGACTCGAAGTTCCTCATATACACACTTTTCACACTGACACGGAAATTTGAAAGATTTTCTAAGATGTTCACGACGAGAATCTCGGTCCGTAAACCGCGTCAGGTCAAAATATGAGATGCAGCATTCTTCTCCGGGAAGAATATCGCGTGATGCCACGAAGACCATTCGGCCCATTTCATCCGGCTTGTGAACTATCTGTAAAAATTTTAGTACTTCTGAGCGAGCGAAAAGGAAGGGAAGAACGAGTGTGGATATTTGTTTTACATTCGGCACGCAGGAATGATTGGCTATCGATGCCATGGGATAGACTGCTGCGGCAAATTGTTCTCCTCGATCCACTGGGGGGGCCCGGTGATTGCAGGGCACCAGTTTCTCGGGGATAAAGGCCAAAAGAATTTGCTTCTTCTTGGCAGATGAGATGAAGTATTCGCTCGGCGTCGAAACCATGGGGCAGTGCTGGGCTATGTTTGAGATACTTCTTCACGAGCAAGGTCCATGATCGGACCTGGTCGTGAGCCCAGGTATCAACTGACCCACACAACGAGTCCATTGCCGCCCATCCACGTTTCAATTGTGGGGTTTTTGACGTGATGATGTTGCCGTCCGCTGGTGCAGGTGAATTGCGCATCTCGGCATGCCGGGTGGCTAGAAGGCGAACAATCAACCACATCATACCGAAATCATATTCACCACGTTTGGTCCTAATTGGACCTGCATATCTTTTGAGCCAGGTACATTCAAATTCGTGTCGATATTGATCGGTGCTTTGGCAAGTATTGCTACACCATGTAACGTCTGGAATGCAGGCTTTAGGGCAAGGGAGTCGCCCCAGTTGGCGAGTAGCGCGACGATTACAAGCGGGGTTGCTGCAAAGGAGACTATCGTTGGTTTCCGGCTCATCCACGACTGGGATAACTGAGTATGGGCGATCAACGAGTAGACGAGTGCCTTTCGAAACAAGGCCCGACACTCGAAATTGGCGGCCCTTGATCGGGTCAACACTCTCAATCAAATGCGGGTGGATCCAGTCGGGTGTCTGGGAAATCGCATCTACGCGAATTGGTGTCGATGAATCGACGGTAATATATACGACCTCGGACATGGATGGCGCTTTGGTGGTGCTGAGGGCTCGGACAGGGCGCAATTGGGCCTGTGGTGCTTACAAAATCGAATTTTGAGGTCAAGGGCAAAATTTTTGCACTGGATTTGTGCTCTGAACAGGACCGCACTGCTGAGCGATCCGTTTGGTTCTGGTGGACGAGTGGGCCTGTTTTTCGCCATTCTGGGCCGCGTCCAGCCAATACAATTGCCATCCACAGCCCCGAGGTGAGGTTATTCCGAGCGGCCACTAATGATTGGCGGTACTATCCCACGCATAATTTCATGCATATCATTGGCCAATGAAGCTTAGCTTAATCTAGAAAATCCATGCAAGGAAGCAGTAAGGATTTATCTTAGCTCCTGTTTTTTTTTTCAAATTCCGTTCTGCTACTGGCACTAATAAGGCGGTAAATTCATCCCAAATCCTGCGACACCAGAGCCCTTTCTTGATCTAGGTGGAATCAAAATTAAAAGAGCAAGCTTGACTGGCTTTTCGCTGCCCTAGAATGTTGACAACGAGTTGATTAATTGCCGGAGCGAAAAAAGCAATGCCTAGCGGACCCACATTCTGGCGTAATTTTAACAAGAGAAAATAAAAGCGGGCACAAAAAGCCAGAAAACAAGCTCATGGAAAAATGTTTTGAATGCTCTCTTTGTCCCATCAATAACTAGTTCGGTTTTAAAGACAAGGGCTTGAAATTTGCCAAATCGGGTTCTAAAAAATTTGGTCCAATCCGGGAACATTAATCACAAAGATGAGTACTGGTTAGATACATCTTATATAGGAAACTTCGGATACACAAGCATGATTTTGATTAAGATTAATGGCATTGACTCTTTGTTAACCGAAATATGAATAAGAACTTGAAGTTAGAGGTGGCTAATTCTTTCAAGTTAAAGTAAGCCTCTCCTATAGTACAGAGCATGCTGGGTTGCAGTTGACACAGCCGTAAGACCCTAAAGAAGAACAAAGGACCGAATTTTCAAGTTCTTACTATTTAACATCATTTCCACATCATCTCACTATTCTTCTATAGATTCCTAAATTCTAAATTCTCATATATTAGTAGAAATGCCGTTTAGCTACGACCAATTTAAGCGAAATCGCAAAGACTGGGTTGAAGAGCTTGAAAATTACAACAAGATATGGTACAGGTTTCGCAAAAGCCGACAAACCAATTGGGAGCGCAAGCAAAATTTTCTCGAATTGCTCCAAAGTCAGCTCAATCAAACTTTGGAATATGATTTCAGTGAATTAACCAAAACCAGGTGTTTTGCAGTGAAGATCCGTCAAATATTGGGCGCGATCCCAATAGCAACCGAAGATGCAGTTATTCGTGGAGAAGTATTAAATATGATCACTACAGCAATTGGCCGACTCACCTTTGATGACGGATATGGTGAAGAGGACAAATTTGCACTGAGATGGGATAAGCGGGCAATGAAGGCCGATAAAGAGTGGGATGAAAATTCGCCAGGAAATGGAGATATCGAATATTTCAGACGAGAACAACTTCGTCTCATATGGTCATGTCTCTCTGTGATCCTTAAGGATTGCTATTGCCTCCAGTGTGTTAAGCGCCGTCCTTCAGCCAATGCATCGGAGGCGATTTCGAAGAGTGCCTTGGCTTTGATGTGGCAGCGTTGGCGAAATCTATTTTCAGGTATATGATATTTGTAACTATAATCTCCTTATCTTAAATTGAATCATATCCATTGGACTCTGTGCTCGCGCGCTCCCATTTATTCTTATTAATAAATATGGTAGAAGTTACTGTCCTTAATCAGCCAATTTTCGCGACTCTTGACTTGTTCGTAATTATCGTGCGATTGCTCTGATAAATTAGAGAAGACAATAGTCTTTCTTTTTCATGAAAGAGCACTTTCAGCCCTTTGATTATAGTTCAGATAATAAACCTTTGTTCCAAGCAAGTTTAAAACTGGCTAACGTCGACCTCGAGACATTTGCTTGAGCTGCATATAAATAAACTGCGTGGAATGACACTGACAGGTACCTAGGTACATCGTGAAATTTAATAGAACTACAATCGAACGCTAATAGTGATTCATTCAGCAATACTGTACTACTTTAGCCAACCCTGGAACTTACAGCAAAAATGACTACCACGCCTAGCTCTTTAGTCTATTCTCCGAACTTCATGATTTCTTGAGAGAATATGGTCACAGCACTTAGAGACAAGCAGAAGCGACTAACCAAGGACCCGGAAACGAACTATGAAGACCTCGCGAATTTTTTCAGAGAAAAAACTAAATATCTTGATACTCTATTAAAAGCTGATATACGTGAACAGACAACCGGAGATTGCTTCATGGGCAAAGTCAAGCTAATAAAGTGGGTAATTGACGAATCGATTAGAGATGACCATCTAGGTATCGACCAATGGACCGAAATCTTGGAAAAATTCTTGCAGTGCAGGTAGGCAGGCTAACCGTTGAGGGCTACAATACCTCTGATAAGTATACTTATCACATGAACGAGGAGGCCAAAGCACAAACAAAGAAGTGGCGAGAAATTACAGATCAGGAGGATGAGGCACGGGAAGACCAGAAGAGGCATCACTGGCTTCATTCCACTTGGCAGCATTTTGAGTGGTACGATCAAACATGTAAGTACTATCAGTGCCTTGAGCTTATGAAATATATACCTCTACAGCCTGGCTGGAAATTCGGGGTGTAAGGTATCCGAAAGGGTATAGCTGGTGTTTACCTAGGTATTTGAGCGGGCCTAGGGGCAAATATGAGTGAAGACGGCCCCGAGATCCGCATTATTACCTGGTCGGTCTTGGCTCTTACAGGCCAGCTTGTTGAATTAATTCAAGTTTGTTGTTCAATGATTCAGAACCTTTGAAATCGATCCACATATCCGCTCGTAGTGTATAGAATAAATTCAATAAAGCTCGACAGCACTGCGATGAGAACAAACATCACATCGTTTTCCAAAAATCAGGGTCCACTTCAACATCTATCAAAGGAATTTCAGTTCACTTGGTATCTTCAAAGACTTTCGTATCTATTAAATAGCTTTGTTCAAATATTGTTTGTTCACTCAAAGAGTAATAAATGGAAGACAAAGACAATCCACCTATGTTCCATTGCCACGGTATCGCCCATACGAAATAAAGGCTTTGATATAATAAAAATTAATTTTCCTGGCAATTCCTACCAATACTCATTAAGCCAATCCATTTTCAATTCAGCATCAAATACCCAGAGTCAACATGGATGGACGAAGCCGAGCTGCTGATGCTACGTGGGAAGAAAAGTCCAAGATTTTTGCTTCAAAACGAGATGCCTTAATTCACCAGTATAAGGAGCTACGAAGAGAGGTAGCAGCGACTTCGAAGAATCGCCCCGCGACAAGTTCCGAGAGGCCTGGCGACAATCAAGATCTCGTTGAGTCAATGAACGACCTTTTCTTGAAAACGCTCCATCTTCTATACACATTGAATCAAGTAGGCATAGACGACACGGCAACGGGGCTTTGCTTCCGCCCAAAAATGCGGATACTCAGATTTATTATTGAAGGTGTTGTTGGGACTGACTCACTGAGACTGGCTGATCATCGCGGGGTTCTCGATATCGTCGCTACACATTTTGGAAGACTTACCCTTGATCCCAATGGTTTGTGGGATGAAACCGCAGACCAAATGGATAATAAGGCAGACAAGGTATTCAAGCATTACCTGGGTCTCGCTGAGGATGCCATCTACCGCTTCCGTAGAAGTGAAATCCTTGGGCGGGACTTGAGGTGGTTTCACGACTGTTGGCGTCTGGTTACCTGGTATGAACCAAACTGTGACTGTCTACAGTGTACCTTCAGGGCTCATTGCGCTTTCCGGGAGGTGTGCTGGGAGGAAAATGACTACGAGATGATAACCCGGGCTATCATTTCATCGGGAGTGGAGACCTTGGATCCTCTTGAGATTTGGAAGGTGGAGATGAATGATCGTTTGGGCGAGACTTACTGATGTGGTAGACTTTTGAGGGTATCGTGCTGACAGATGCTACACTTCCTTTACTAGAGTTGATTCGATAATGGTCAATAATTAACTTTCGCTTTGTATCTAACAATTTACAAGTCTCAGCAGTTGTCTCATATCAACAACTACTAGTACATGCCAACTAGCCGTATCTTAGGTACAACTACAGCAACTATCATTTAACCAAACTGCCAGTGAAAGTAACAGTATACTTTCACCCCACAACAACTCAGACAGACATAGGACTTTGCCAATCTTGTCTTAGTAAACCACAGTACCTCACACGTGACTCTAATTTCACATGTCAATATCCAAATTTATCTACACATACTACGTCACGACAAGCCAGTTGTAGATTTGAGCCACTCTCCAGGTTGAATTCGAGGTCGAGGCCTTACCCGAATCTTCCGAAAGTGGGGCGATAGACCATGTGGTCATCTCGATCTCGACTCCTCGAACGCTTCTAAATTAATGTCTCAACGGTCTCAGCGCCACCGGCGGGTTTCACAATAGATGAATGGCATCCGAGGTTCATAAGGTCGGATCCGGCGGCTCCGAGGATATCCCAGCTTAGTCAGTCAATTAATTTAGGTTCTCTCCATGTCGTCATTAGATTAGTCAAGGTGTGCCAAATACAGCAATTAATTTCGATCAAGAGAAAGCTAGGTCCGAAAAACAAGAACAAAAGGTTAAGGTTCCAAACCTCAACGCAGGCAGACGGAGTACACCGGGAAACCCCCATAGAAAATCATCATCATCTACCGCCAAATACCCGGATCTAGAAACGTCCCCGGTGACTATTCAACTAAGCGTAATAGTAGTGTTATTTACCGGGACGGGACGTCCAGGGAAATGCTGATCGGAAAACAAGAAGCCGATCGCGATCTTGTGTGGGGTTCGCGCACGACTTGCCCTCCTCCACCAGTTCACCATAGCTTCAACGTACCTCTCATCTACAGACATGTCTTACCCAAGCCCCATCCATTATTGAATTTTCTGACTCATCGGCGTACCCTAATCTGGCCGCGAAGAACGAGTGGGCCAATTGGGCCAACCCTCTCTATGTACTCACAGCGTGGCTGTTGTCCGGATCTTAATTCCAGCGCTTTAAGACGAAGGGGGGGCGCTTATAGAGTGGATACTCCGATTTAATCGGACTGGCTTGGCGGGATTGTGTGGAGAGCGACTATTGATTTCCTTACCATTTACCGCAGATTCTAAAGGGAGGAGTGGGTGGATGAGTGGGTGCCATCGTTGCTAGATCTGGGTCTTGCTCTTTGTACTCCGTACTCCGTAGGGATCCTCCTGATCGGATTCAATCAACTAGCGACGTGGCCCGAAGCCACGTCTACGAGATATTTCCTAAGCAACTCCTACCCGAAGCAGTGGGTCAAGATCTCGCTAGGCAGCCTTGCTCTCTTTGTTTGTCTTTCTGTATGTACAGGTCTTTGTATCTGCATGTAACCAAGGTTATCTGAATACATCCATACATACCTGTACTCCGTACAAGGGAAATACAAGTACCCACCAAATAAAAGAAAAAAAGCATATCGACGGCCCGGAATTAAGGCACCTAGAAAAGAAAAGAAAAAAGGAAAGAGCCGAAAACAAAGCAAAAAAACGCAAAAAAACGCAAAAATAAAAAGTCACCGCTTGGCGATACATGCTGACCTGTGGGCGGCCGATCTATTCGGTAGTAAGATCCCACGTCAGCCCAGGGAAAACCCCCCTAGGTGAAGCAACGATCGCCTACGCGTGCATGCAGCATGGGAGATCGGATCCCGGTCGCGATGCCAATCAGCCACGATTGCCTGCAGTACGACATCCGGTGCGATGTGGTGGAAAGGGATTCGATCGTACAGTAGCGTAGCCCAGATGCACGCATGTCACGAGCTACGATCTAAAGTCGGTACTCCGTACATACCTACTCGGTAGACGGGGCAATAGTGGGCAAGATGGCGTCGATGCAGGCGCTAGATCTTTGGAAACCCCCTCGCGTAACGGTGGACCACTGAGATTAAATTTGAGATCAGACCATGCTTCGCGGGTTGGGATGGAGATTTTGCAGGCGCTAGTTTGTCACGATCTACCATCCAGGACCGAGAACGACGATACAAAGGCCACGTTTTCAATGCTGGATGATCCTGTAAAGCAGATTGGTAAGTAATGTGATTAGTACTCCGTACCGTAAGTACCACAGACCTAAAATTCAGTAGTTTACGCCTACGATCTCATCCATATGATGTACAATCATCTTATTTCGTACTCCGTATTCAATGTCCCTAATACCCCCCTATCCTCGCCCCTCCAAAAAATCAAAATCAATAGCGTACCAGATTGTCGGTATCGTAGTTCGATTCATCTCCACAAAGCCCCGCTCACATTTCCCCGATAGACTTTGGCCCGCGTGAGATTCCATGGTTGAACTGGCTTTCTTTGTTCGTTTTGGGACGCACGACCCACGGTCCTCAGCCGCCGCTAGTCAAAGCATTCTCATCGGCGAGTCAGCACTCTTCAAAGGGATAAGCCTAGTGGTTGTGCCTGCCCCGCGTACTGCGCTGATCATGATCGGCTTGCAGAATGATTCTTCAGAACTTAGTCTTTCAGCCGAAGTTGGTGCTACGGGCTGTGTATCTGTATGCACTCTGTACAGCGATTCTCCTTACATGTATGACATACACATACACTGTACGCGGAGGACATGTAGTGTCCCAAATCTATAGCCCGGATCTATCCGAAAAGACTTGGGTACCTAGGTAATTGATATTGACAAAGACAGAAGGATCCCCGGATCGGTAATACATACCTACCTAGCGCATGTATGTATGTACTCCATATCGTGGCCAGCAAAGGGGATCCCGAGATCCGATCTCACCGTAGCGTTTGGGTGAAAGAAGCAAAAGAAAAAAACTAGGGGGGGCGGAGAAGAGAGAAAATAAACATTAAATTAAAAATAGTAGAAGCCACCAAATACAAAGCAAGAACAGGGAATAAAAGGCAGAGAACACGAGAAGAACACGAGAAGAACAAGCCGGGCTCCACTGCTGCCATCATCGCGGGCCCAGGTTGGTTTGGTGCGGGAGGCCCCGGCGCCCGGTAAGATATGGATCTGCCTGTGGACAGGCCCTGCAATTTCATTAATCTTTACCATGAGCCAGGTGAAATTTCGGCAGAAGGGAAGAGGGGCGACCTAGCTGTGCTAGAGGCCAAAAAAAGGAGTGGATCGTGAATTCCACTCACAGACCGACATTTCAGGACATCTCGCTCTCGCTCCAAGCCACCCCCGGCAATGAGGTCCTTGATCCAGTTCCTCGGGTCCATGAAGTTCAATATTTGATATTTAATATACCTACAATATACAATATGTAGTAGTTGCATACGTGTCAAACTCAAACTTGAAGAGCTGACTCGAGTACAAATATTAAAGATGAGATCGATCGCAAGGGCGCGAATTGACCCCTCTAGTTCCAAGATAGGGTTTGCATTGGGTACCGATCGCAAGGCTTGTGTGCCGCACGGCACAGGCCAGGGCCGATCTATTCTTGCAGGGATGGTGCGCCAGATGGTTGTCTTAGGAGTCAAAGTAAATGTCAGAGAGAAATCAGATTAAATCAAAACCCCATAATACAAAACGTCTCAAAAATTATGCGTCATGGTAGTCGTGAATATGAACCATGTACTCCTAGACAAATCGCCAAACTACCGTAGGGGATACAAAGCCGGAACTTGTATCGGCAATGGAGCCCCAGCAAGCCGTCATATTAGACGCTAGCATCGTAGATCAAAACGAGAACGAGCGAACAAGCCACTGCACTGTGAGTAGAAAATAGATCTGCTATGGGGACGGCAGTCGAGGTACGGAGCACAATACTCGCCACCAGACTTGTGGATCGATCTCCACGATGAACGGAGTACGCCGAGTGTTCGATTCTTTCAATAATCCACCACGCCGGGAATACTATCAAAGCACATGCAACACCCGTATTCAAAATCAACAAAGGATTGACGGGGTACCGCGAACCACCACCAACTGACTCGCCATCTCGGCCGGCACCGGATCTCGGAAGCGGCGAATTGGGTTCTTTGGTAAGGTTCGTCTGTTATCTCCATTTGCAGCCTTCTGTTGAACATTCTTAATTCTATCTGTACAATGGGTTCGGCTCAGGCGGCGTGGCAACGGAGAACATGGCAAGTCAATGCATGTCACTGCAGTGCAGTAGTTTGGTTCCTCGGTGGATGTGCAGCAGATAGTCGCGGTGGAGAATACCTTATTGGTCTTCCTAAAGGCGCCAAGAGACATTTTTTCTTTCTTTTATTTTCGAGCAAGCGAATAAGCAAGACGGATAGCTCCATACGGAGAAAAGTGTATAGACGATGTATGGTCAGTCCATAACGCATACGCACTTCAGTGTAAAGTAATCTGTACTGTATGTATCCCATTCCAAGTGATTCACCGATCTCCACAGGGATGTCAACGCGACCACAACCCCGATTGGGTTATTCATGGGCCCCGATCACGAAGTGGGGAACGACGATTTCAAATGCTGCAATGCGATCGCTGCCATCCCATCTATCCCTGCTAGTCTCAGCCTTGGCCCGGAGCGTTGGGAAATCCGCCAAATTCAAATCCCTCGAATTCAAACCCCGGTCTCTCTAACTTCAGCCCAGGATGCTCAATCCAATCGATCGGGACAGAACTGGTCAATCAGCGACGCCTCCATCGTTAGGTCCGGGGTTTCTTCCAAATCACTATTACTATGACTATTTCCTAGCCTGACCAAGACGATCGATCTAGTACTTACCTTACCTTCAGCGACGAGATCAACAACTTGAACACCTGCATACAAACAAACATCGATCCGGACCAAATCTCGGAAGGATGAATCGCAAAATCGAAGCTGCAGCTGATACTCCCTCCCCTCCCCCCCCCCACTATAGGAAGTCGATCCCTCCGAACAGGGGATGGGGCCTTCGATCGGCCCCCGAAC